TGCGTGAACTATAGTCTTTTGGTGAAAATACGTGAACTATAGTCTATTGCATGAAAATGCGTGAACTATAGTCTTTGCATGAAAATGCGTGAATTATAGTTTTTGTGAAAATGCGTGAACTATAGTCTTTTGCATGAAAATTAAGAATTATAGTCTTTTGGTGAAAATGCGTGAACTATAGTCTTGAAAATGCGTGAATTATAGTCTTTGTAGAAATACGTGAACTATAGTCTTTTGCATGAAAATGCGTGAATTATAGTCTTTTGGTGAATTTCCGTGAAATATAGTCTTTGTATGAAAATGCGTGAATTATAGTCTTGTTAGTGAATATGCGTGAACTATAGTCTTTTGCATGAAAATGCGTGATGATCTTTTGCATGAAAATGCGTGAATTATAGTCTTTTGGTGAAAATGTGTGAACTATAGTCTTTTGCATGAAAATGCGTGAATTATAGTCTTTGCATGAAAAGTGGTGTAGTCTTTTGCAAATGCGTGAACTATGGTGTTTTGCATGAAAATGCGTGAATTATAGTCTTTTGGTGAATTTGCGTGAAATATAGTCTTTTGCATGAAAATGTGTGAACTATAGTCTTTTGAATGAAAATTCGTGAACTATAGACTTTTGCATGAAAATGTGTGAACTATAGTCTCTTGCATAAAAGTGCGTGAACTATAAGCTTTTGCATGAAAATGCGTGAATTATAGTCTTTTGCATGAAAATGCGCGAAATATACTGTTTTGCATGAAAATGCATGAATTATAGTCTTTTGGTGAAAATGCGTGAACTATAGTCTTTTGCATGAAAATTCGTGAACTATTGTCTCTTTTTAAATGAAGATATGATCTTCGCACTTTGCTGGACAATTTAAGCAATTGTCTCATGAACCTGAAAAATTCAGGTGACGCATTTAATGCAAAGACTATAGTTCACGCATTTTCACAAAAGGTACGATATCTAAAGACTATAGTTCACGCATTTTCATGCAAAAAAACTATAATTCATTTCACTAAAACTATAATTCACCTTTTTATGGAAAACAGTATAGTTCACGCATTTTCCGCAAAGACATAATTCCGCATTTTCTTGCTAAAAGAACTATAGTTCACTTTTTTTTTCATGCTATAATTCACGAGAATTTTCATGGAAAAGTTTTATAGCACCTCAACTTTCTTGCAAAGAGATTTATAGTCCTGCATTTTCATCTATAGTTCACGTATGCAAAATTCTAGGATCCTGAATTTTCATGGAAAACTATAGTTCACAATTTCTAACGAACTATAGTCATTTCATGCCAAAGAACTTTAGGTTGCCATTTTCTGAAAGACTTCGCTTCATTTTTCATGCAAAAACCATAGTTCACGAATTTTTATGGAAAGACTATTGTTCTGAGTATAATGCGTGAACTATTGTTCCGCATTTTCATCTGAGACTCATGGTCACGAATATTTATGCAAAGACTATGTTCTGAATTCATGCAAACTATTATTCTTGATGCATCATCTGAGGACTAAATTTCACGATTTTTCAGGAATACAGTTCACATTTTTCATGCAAAGACTGGATCACGACTTAAAAGACTTAGTTCACGCCTTTGCATATAGTTCTGGTACATGCAAAGACTTTTGTTGCGAATTTTTCATTTGGAGACTAAATTTCCGATTTTCATCAGGAAGACTAGTTCACGAATATTCATGCAAAGACTATAGTTCACGAAAAAATGGAAAGACTATTATTCACGAATTTTTCATGGAATTAAATTTCCGATTTTCACAAAGACTATATTCGCGTTTTCGAAAATAATTCACGCATTTTCATGGAACTATAGTTCACGTATTTTCACCAAAATGTGATTCGCATTTCCATGGAAAACTATAATTCACACATTTCGCAAAGAACTGGTGAACGTTTTATGCAGACTATGGTTCACGCATTTTCATCTGAGACTTATGAATTCATCGTTCATAAGACTATAATCGCACGTTATTTATGGAAAAAAGTATAGTTCGCGTTTTCCCGCAAAAGACTATAATTCACGCATTTTTCATGAAAAGAACTATAGTTCACGCATTTTCATAAAGACTATAATTCACAATTTTTCATGGAGAAATATAATTGCACCAACTTTCTTGAGACTTTATGGTTCACGCATTTTCATGACTATAGTTCACAATTTTCATGCAAAGACTATAATCATGCATTTTCATCTGAACTATAGTTCACGCATTTTCACCAAGAACTATAATTCACGTTTTTCTGGCAATGCGGATTCACGCATTTTCATGCAAAGACTATAATTCCTGAATTTTCATGCGAACTATTGTTCACTTTTTTTTTGCATGAACCATGGTTCACGAATATTTATGCAAAGACTGTTCTGGAACCATGCAAAGACTATGTTCACGAATTTTCATGCAAAGGACTAAATTTCACGATTTTTCATGGGAAAGACTACAGTTCACGAATTTTCATGCAGACTATAGTTCGCATTTTCATCAAAACTATAGTTCACGCATTTTCATGAACTAAATTTCACGATTTTTCATGGGAAAAGACTATAGTTCACGAATTTTCATGCAAAAGACTATAGTTCACAATTTTTTATGGAAGACTATTGTTCACAATAAATTCAAAGAACAAATTTCACGATTTTCGCCAAAGACTATAGTTCACGCATTTCATGAAAGACATAATTCGCATTTTTCATGGAAAAGACTATAGTTCACGTATTTTCACCAAAAGACTATAATTCACATTTCAATGAACCATAATTCACATTTTCACAAAGACTATAATTCACGCATATCACAGACTATAGTTCACTTTATTTTCATCAAAGACTATAATTCATGCATTTTTCATAAATTCACGCATTTTCTGGAAAACAGTATAGTTCACGCATTTTCCGCAAAGACTATAATTCGCATTTTCATGCAAAAGACTATAGTTCACGCTTTTCATGCAAGACTATAATTCACAATTTTCATGGAAAGACTATAGTTCACCAACTTTCTTTGCAAAAGACTATAGTTCACGCATTTTCATGCAAAGACTATAGTTCACGAATTTTCATGCAAGAATATAGTCATGCGTTTTCATGCAAAAACTATAGTTCACGCATTTTCACTAAAAGACACGCATTTTCATCAAAACTATAGTTCACGAATTTTTATGGAAAGACTATGTTCACGAATTTTCATGCAAAGACTATTGTTCTGCATTTTCATGCACAGACCATAGTTCACGAATATTTATGCGACTATTGTTCACGAATTTTCATGCAAGACGTTATTCACGAATTTTCATGCAAAGACTATAGTTCACGGTTTTCATGGGAAGACTACAGTTCACGAATTTTCATGCAAAGGTTCACGCATTTTCATGCAAACTATAGTTCACGCATTCATCAAAAGACTATAGTTCACATTTTCATAAAGACTATAGTTCACGCATTTTCATGCAAGAACAGTTCACGCAATTTTATGCAAAGACTATTCACGAATTTTCATGCAAAGGACTAAATTTCACGATTTTTCATGGGAAAGACTATAGTTCACGAATATTCATGCAAAAGACTATAGTTCACAAATTTTTATGGAAAAGACTATTGTTCACGAATTTTCATGCAAAGGACTAAATTTCACAATTTTTCACCAAAAGACTATAATTCACGCATTTCCATAGAAAAGACTATAATTCACGCATTTTCATGGAAAAGACTATAGTTCACGTATTTTCACCAAAAGACTGTAATTCACGCATTTCCATGGAAAAGACTATAATTCACGCATTTTTACGCAAAAGACTATAGTTCACGAATTTTTATGCAAAAGACTATTGTTCACGAATTTTCATGCAAAGGACTAAATTTCACGATTTTTCATGCAAAGGACTAAATTTCACGATTTTTCATGGGAAAGACTATAGTTCACGAATATTCATGCAAAAGACTATAGTTCACGAATTTTTATGGAAAAGACTATAGTTCACGAATTTATGGAAAGACTTATTGTTCTGAGATTTCATGCAAAGTTAAATTTCTGATTTTTCATGCAAAAGGCTATAGTTCACGCATTTTCATGCAAAAGACTGTAGTTCACGCATTTTCATGCAAACGACTATAGTAGACGCTTGGAAAAAGAAGGTGAAGTACACCCAGCTGGTATATATGATCTACATAAGCAACTAACCCAATTGTAGCTACGTCATCTCTACTCTTTCTTGACATTATAAATATCGTTAGAGATTTTAAATTTTCATTCAGCAGACGTTGACATCTAAGGAGTAGTCTGCTAAAATGAATGGTGTCGTTTAGTTTAATAACAGTTCTTTCAGAACTATTGGGTTAGTTTTCTGTGTGTAAAACAGATCGATTAAGAACTATTATCTTATTACTTTTTCCATTCAACATGGTGTTTACGGTCTTTAAAACGATATTCAACTTTGCCCAATCAAACGACCCACCTCAAAACCTGTACAGGTCTGTAGCCAAGTTCCATAAAACATCTATGAGATTGATGTTAGATACACAAACTTTAGGCTCTAATGTAAAGTAGAATAAGAATTCTTTCGTGGATGAATTTCAGATTGTATGCAACATTGTAAAAGGCCGATATTGGAACGAGAGACAAAGATAAAATAGAAGTTTAAAATGAGAATGTTTCAGTAAAAACCTCAGGAGATAGTTTTTTTGGTCCTTTATGCTAACTCTAACCATTAACAGCACGTAATTTTTCTTCTTTGTTGCTTCTTGTTTACGCGTGAGTCCTAAAGCTACAAAATAAATGTCAATGATTAAAAGGCACAGCCAAAACTGTAGATGAGATAAAGAATCGAAGAATGGAAAATACTATTAATTCAAATAATAAAATCTTTAAATGTACTGTTCCCACAAATTACGACAGCAAATTACATGTAAGTCATCATGTAACATTTAGGTTGTAAGTTGTGTAACTATTAAAATACACATTCAAATTAAATTTAAATTTTATTAGGTTATATGTACACATTTAAAATGTTTATTGGTTGTAAAAGGAATTATTTAATTAATACCAACTATAAATATTGATTTTTACGAACTATATACAAAGAAAGTGAAGCAATAACAGTTTAAAAATCTCATTTATGACTAAGTAAGTTCTCGGTATCCTTATTATATAAAATGTAGCTATATACGCATCAATATCATTTAAAGTTTTATATATGATTAAAATAGACAGCATTTATGAAAGTAGCACTTATCGGAAGTAACAATTGAAGATTCTCTCAATCCATATTCTCATGTATTTCTGTAATGCGTTAAGTCTCGCATCGATTTCCGAGATTTCCACAGATCTGTTCAGCGAATTGTCTCGTTTTTTACTGGCTAAGAAAAGAGAAAACTTGTTCGAGCTGTTTTTTTCCGATAAAATCAATGAATCGTGATGATAGAATGGCGCCATTAGAAAGATTTCTGCCTACCTTCTTTTGTTCTTCGTTTTAACTCTTGCGGTGTGCTGGAATACCTTGGACTTCATGTTAAGAAAGTAATTCCATCTCCCTCTGCGGTGTAATTAATAATACCAATGTAACAGTGTCCCCAAGTTCATTTTATACATCTCAGCTTTGCCCAGAGTTCTTTACATAAAACACATATATACATATTGTCTAACAAACTACTATTGCTATTTATCTCATAGTTTCTCAATGAAATCAATCAAAATTAACACTCAATCAATCATCGACTTGAACTGTATATGCTAACAAAATTAATATGATGAGTTTGAGATAAAAGAAAATAGTTTGATATGCTTCCGCGTGCAGTCGAGTTAAAAATATCGTCTTTATAGCTGATTAAATATTTGTTCTTGGCTATTTTAGTTAGATGAAATGTAACTTAAAGAGAAAACTGTCAAAAACAGCAATCCCCGATATCACAACCGAAATACAACAAAACACTTATGAAACGATCTATCTTTGTAGTGGAATTAAAGCAAGCAAAAAGATACATTCTTCTGATGTATTTTCTACGATCCTCCTGTAAAAAATAACATGCTTTATGAAGACACGCAATTAAATAAACACATGTTTACTGTCTTTAACGAGATAACTCTGTAGACTGTCTGAACAACTTCATCAGATTGTGAAATTAGAATAGTAGTTGGAAAATGTGTTTTAGAACCACACGTATTTTGTTATATTAACATATAAGTCTTAACAACAGAACAAGTTATGTCTTTTTTTTCAACTTAATTACAAATAGCGCGAGTCAAACTTCCTACCGCATCGGAACCTTCACCGGAAGACGCATCTGATCCAAATCGACGACGAACCACACGCTGTTGTGAGCTAAAATATAAATGGACATTATCGATTTAGAATATTTCTTATGTCCTTAGAAAAAATAATTTCACAAGGAGGGAAGAGATTGGGTACTTACCCAGATCTTCTGCGTCTCCCGTTGTTATCAGGGCGACCTAAGGAGCCAGATGATCGCCTACTACCTATGCTACTCAAAGATGATGTGCGATAGACTAAAAAATAAAAACAAAAAAATACCTAGCATTCATGTCCTTCATATTTGTCATTCAGCACAACATAACATGAACTTATTTAAAGGATGTATAGAGAAATTTTACATGGTTTCACATTATGTTATAACTGCCATCATTTAATCTAACGTTATATAATAGATAAATCTAATGTTATAACTGCCACCATTCGATGTATCAATCATAAAAAAAATTAATGAAATTCTTTCATTTGGAGCACTAACATGGCCTCCTTTTTCAATCTCTTATTGATCACAGAAAAAAGCAAATGAAATTCTGTACTGTGGACATTACACTATTTATGAAGTTCTGTACTGTGGACATTACACTATTTATGTAATTCTGTACTGTGGACATTACACTATTTATGAAATTCTGTACTGTGGACATTACACTATTTATGAAACTCTCTACTGTGGACATTACACTATTTATGAAATTCTGTACTGTGGACATTACACTATTTATGAAATTCTGTACTGTGGACATTACACTATTTATGAAATGCTCTACTGTGGACATTACACTATTTATGAAACACAGTGCATACTTTTATTGGGATCTGATATTCTTGGACGAAGATCTTTCGTAGAACCACGTTCTGATGATATAGACCTGACACGTCGATGTGGTTTTGAGCCAGAGCGAGTGCGACTTCGACTAAAAATAATTGCGACCGTTGTTTGTAAAAAAAAGATAATCATGTTGCAAATATTAACTACATTTTTTAAATCTTAAATAAGCAAAGTGCTAAAAATTATTTCACTTCTTCAAACAGCTAAATCCACAGTTTAGAAAACAATTGTTTTGTTAAATTTTTAATTTCTTCACTTCAATACATAATGAAACAATTTTAAAACGTGTGAATGTATCAAATTAAGACAGCTAAAGTTAGAAAAAAAGAGTTTGATTTTCAGAGAAATTCAAATGTAGCAAAACAAAAATTGTTTCCTATTTATAGATCGGAGTATATCCCAAATTTTCCTAACCTTCGGGCTTCTCTTGCTTCTTTCAACTTTCGTTGTTTTTCTTTCACGTAGCTTTAAAAGTCAGTCAAAAAAAACAACGACAAAACAACTGTCTACAATGGCTACTAGTCATATACTGATAAATCTAAAAACATCGAGCAAATATTTGACATGGATTCACTAAACTTAAACACGGGGAGCATGTGGGTACATAAAGGATACGCAGTAGGATCAAATCGTGGAACATCTCCTGTGTAGATACAAAAATAAACACATATCGTCAAACTAGCCCTTTTAATACATAATATTAATCCTAACACGGTTTTTTTATAACATGAAAAACATGTGACTTGGACAAGATTTGAACTCGCACCTTCGGGACACTAGTCCGCCGCTCTACCTGTTGAGCTACCAAGCTAACCATTTCAAGCCAACATATATATATACATATATACACATGCGTTGTGCCAAAATTCTTTACGAAAGTTATAAATATACCAACCTATTGGTGAAGGACTGCGTGTTTGACGACGTGTTTGAGGTGTCACTTTGCGTTCTTGTGATAAGGTTCGACGTCTAGCAACAACATTTCCTTCTTTGCAGACGATGTTCTGTTGACAGATCCTCCAGAAGGCGTGCGTCTATAGTGGTAGTGTAGTCAAACAGAAGAAGAATACACAGCGTAAATAAGTGTCGAAAAAAACACACATTATATGAAGTCAATATTGATTTTACCTTTGTCTTTCAATAACGCAAGCTCATTTGTTAGATTTCGACATCTTGCTCGTAAATTCCGTTCGTTAGCACGAGCTTCTTTCAACTAAAAAATTATATAAAATGAAATTAAGCGATAACCGAGATTAACGTGCAAGGGAAAAAGAGGAATTGGACACGAGACCGCCAGTCTGTAACATGAAGTACTGCAATAACAGGATACAAAATTAGCAATAGCGGGATCCAGGGCTTAGGTGAGAATACTTTACACTAAAACATATTTCCATTTTAAAATAGTTTGGACTCAATCCTACTGGGACTTTTTTAGCCATAAATTTTCGTCTCAAATTTCTAACCAACAGAACTGTAACAAAAGTATTCTGAACTTGAAATGAGTTTCTATAAGTTATTTTGACCTAACCCTAGACTCGCCACTGGCAAGTAGCATCGCGTTACGTAAGCAGAAAACTTATTTTCTTGTTTCCACCATAAGTGGTGTCATCAGGTGCAGACTAGTGGTGGTCATGTTCTTAAGTAGCTGGTTTAAAGATGAGCCTGCACTCCATGGCACTCAGCTTAGTTTAACCGAGTCAACACCTAACCATCCAGACGATGGATATTGAACATAAACAAGATATAATACAAATCAAGTATTTGATCCATGTATTTGAGAACAAACCTCGTCAAGTAAATCACGATTCTCCTGTGCTTTCTTGCTTAAGATCTTCTGGAATTTTGACTTTTCCTTCAACAAATCTCCCTGAAGTATTGAAACTTGTTTATTGTAAATTGTTTCACACTTGCTCCAAATACCATTGGTGAATTTGGACAATTATTTTCATTTGCAATTTTCATGATCACAATGACGTCATTACAAATATATAGACAGGTTGAATATGTGACAAAGATTATGTCTGTAGCCCTAATACTTTAGAATATTACAGTTAATACACAGATCCTATCTCCTAAGGTGATATGGAGATGATCTTCAGCTCGTTCAAAAGAGCTCAACAACAGCTTTAAGATGAGCTAAAGATCATCGCTGTAGCTTTAATGGGGGCTTTAGGGGCACAAAAATGTTTTAGTGGGACATGCCCTGCAGGCCCCCCCTTTGCACGGCCACTGATGACCAGAGAGCTTAACATGGTACGCTTTTATATTATTTACTTTCTGGTACTGCATGTCCACCTTGGGTTCGAAAAAATGTTTTGTCCTTCAAACATAATGCAACCTGAGTAAGAATGATCTAATTTCCTTCTGCAAACCTCTAGATTCTTGATGACTTTCTTGAGGACTCTGATCTCTTTACTTGTATCAGCAACACTGGAGTGTTTCATCTCACGTTGAAAGGCGTTATATTCTCGTTGAAGATTTTCCTTCTCGTTTAGGAGATTGTCCAATCTAAAAATCATCAAATGCTGTCAAAATACATTGATAATTTTATTAAAGCATTTCTAAATATTTATGTTTGAAATCAAATGATGCCTAAATAGTTATTTAGTTAGCATTCCAATTTGCAGTGTGCGAATTAGTTCAGAAAAAAACGATGTGCAATTTTTGACAAAAGTGTTTCTCTGGAGGCATAATCAAATCAATATTACGTTAATTATTATATAGCGCTAATTGCTAAATTAGTATTTTCAAACGTGCATAAATTCATATGATTTACGACAGTGTTTTTCGTTAGAACCGCAGATCCAGTTACAAATGTATGAGAGAAAACTTTTTCGCATGTTGTTCTCTCCTCTTTTTTTTTGTGCAAACTTTACAACGCAATAAATTCACCACTTGGCCATCATCCTAGTAATCAAACGAGTCAGCATTTGATGTTTCCATCCATTTTTTTACTGTATTAACTTTGCTGGTAGCTGCAACCTTTCGACGAAAATGGCAAGAAAGACAGAAGCGAAAAGAATAACCGAATATACTTTTGCCTGATTATTAACAGTAACATCCTTGATGTTTACTTACGATAAAAACATCATATTTATGTCATATTACAAGCAATATGTAAAAGCAAAAAAGTATGGCTGAACATGTTTGCCAGTTTGGCTTAATATTTTGAGCCAAATTTGGCTTCTTTTTGTCACGTTAGGCTTATTTAAAATCAAAATTCCCTTTGGTTTATTTTAAAATTTGGGTTATTTAAGTTTTTTGTCGTCTTTTAAAATCAAAATCAAAATGTTTCCTGATTTTACTGAAAATACTCAAAATAGTTATGATGCCAAAAACATTACGTAACGGTTTACAAAACAATGCAAATGGAAAATTGACATTAATAATGTATTACACCCCTATTGTCATAAGCATATAAACACCATGTGTGACTGTTGGCAGACTTCCAGTCTCAGTGACAACGTCTTTGAATTTGATGACATTGTGCCAATGGATTTTAATGTCGTGCAGCGCACTTGTTTATAAAGTAAAGATCAGTTAAGATTAAGCTTGAAAACTTTCCTCAATTTATGTGGTAGTAATCAATAAAGACGTTTTTTGCATATCGTTTGAAAAAGTGATGTGCAATTGTTTTCATTCTAGCCAAAACTATGTGCAAATTACATGTTAATTTACACACTGATTCCAATCTAGAGTCACATAATCACTAATCCTACATTTAACATTATACAAGTGAAAATTGTACTCACTGTTTCTGTTTCTTTTTAGGCTTGATAACTATGACCTTCCCTAGCAAGTTGGTTTTTCAAATTCTTTATCTCTTCTTTCAGCTTTCTATTCACATCTTGCAAATGAACTGGATCTGGTTTACCAGCATAGGGTAATGGAAGAGGATAATGGATCCTAAAGGATGTCATTGACAAAACATGAGTAAATGATTATAATTGAGGATACACTGCAAGGAAATGCTCAAGTAGACTGGGAGGGCATTAGTTGGCTGCACTGAGAAGCAAGAATATTTTTGAGATGTTGAACTTTGACAAGCAGGCAGCAGGTCCAAGACAAACGCACCCGATCAAATTCCACAGTGTAAGTCAAAAGAGATAACGCTTAGTAGCTAATTGAGAGATAGCTCTGGCTCCAGGAATATTTGCCGTCCCTACTCCAGGTTTCTGATTGCGTAGAGTCTGCAAATCTGCATATGTCAGAAGATCAAGACTAACGCTTGACGAGTCCTAAAATAGAAAAGTGCTGATTGCTTAAAAAATTCAAAATTTCCATTTGACAGCCATGTTCATTTATAGCAATGAGAGAAAGGCATGCAAATTTCCTCGGAATGAGAAATACCTCAACGAAGGTCTTTTCACCTATCCATACTCATATTTCATCAACTTCAAATTACCTTATTTATTGCAGATTCCAACATGTTGATAAACACTTTGAACTGCTTAAAGTTTCCCGTTTTGTGGGTTAAATCTTCAATATCTGCAGTGCAAAAGAATCAAAACAGCACGGAAATTTTGGTATCACTGAATGTCAATGGCTAATTTACATTAAATATCAACACAACGCTTAAAAACATCAACATTCATAGCTTACATCTTGCATCGAACTCTGCCCGCCATTGATCAGCAGTGAGTCTGTCCTCTGCCTCGAGAATCACATGTTCGTCTCTTAAAAACATGCTAACGACATACTCGATCCCATGGAATATATGTCTTGCAGACAAACTGCCGAAATTTCCCTCTGTCATTTTTTCTCGTTGAGATTTTGACGACATTATAATTCGTTAAGACATCCTCTCTGATCACAAAATAACTCTTGACAAGTCTTCTTTACTTTAGCTTTGAAGACAACAAAAAACAAGGATGCAGCAGTATCGAGCACAATGCAAAACCTTTTGGATTTTTCGGAAACAACAAAGTACTTTGTATTTTTAAATATGGCGCTCAAAAGCTGCAGCCGAGCCTGAATAAGTGGGATTGGGAACCAAACCTTATAATGAAAATGACATTCTTTTACTTAGATTTTCAAACAGTTAATCTAAGATAGATTTCTAACCATTTCTATGCAACTGTAATTCTCTGCAAACAGTCCCAAGCATTATACAAAGTTTTACATGGCTATATGGCTGATGGCCCTGGTCTGGCGGCAGGGCAGTGCCCGTAAATTCTAAATTGCTGGACGGGGGGCATGTCAAGTAATTGTGCTGTAAGCCTGTAACTTTAATTTACTTTACATTGATTGAATTGTTCACAATTGACAGTTCAATTTTTTAAATAAATGCCAGCGCCAAATGCCAATTCTCGTAGAGTATGTTACGCAGCAAGAGATAGATACTATGAATGTAGAGATAAAAATCTCGAAAACACAGAAGTTTGTGAAGAGTTGAGAAAAATATTTGAGAAATCCTGCCTTCCATCTTGGGTAAGTGAACACAAATCATTGTTTTCATATTTATCCCCTCCTGTCCAAACACATATATGTTCAATGTCATTATTAAAGGTAAAGCATTTTGATCAGAAAAGAATTTACCAAGAATACAAAAAGAAGTTGTACACGGAAGGTTTTAAACCATCAAATGAAGACTGAAGACATCTGTCAAGGAAAACATATTTCTTTAGTCCAGCTTTGCATTAATCCAAAACTTGCTTTCTACTACAAAATAGATTAAAGATAATGGCACACAAATGCTTGGTGAAACCTCCAGTAAATGAATGTTTCTGACAGGAACTTTTGAATCCAAAGTCCATGTAATGACAAAAATGCTTACAATGTACAATAAATATAATTTTTACAATAAAAAATGAGCAAAACGCTTTAAAAGTAGTCTGCCAAACGAGGGTCTGTGCGTAACTTGTGTTCCAGCTGCATGTACTTTGGTGGAGCCATTTCTTTGTGTCTAAATGAAAAGATTATGAATCAGTTTCTCACCCTCAGATAACCACACTCCAGACAGACATTAACCTTTGCAATCTTTGCTCCAGTATGTGAATTCTAAACATTGCTTCGCTGCAATATGTTAAATAGTCATCTTCATCTTCTTTTGTCATTGAAATCTGATTTTGTTGATACCAAGCTTGTTTCTGCTGTAGTTCGTGAGTCTCCTGTTTGTTGCCAATGAAAACAGTAGGTGAGTTACTGTGTATCAAAATAAACAAAGAGACCTAAAGGTGCAAGAGGATTGAGAAAATCCAACTTCTGCATGACTTCACTCAGTCACTTTCAAAACAGTTACTGTGTATCAAAATTAACAAAGAGACCTAAAGGTGCAAGAGGATTAAGAAAATCCAACTTCTGCATGACTTCACTCAGTCACTTTCAAAACAATAGTTTTTGCGATGATCATGAAACAATATTGCTCCGTCTTACTGCAGGATCATGCTGAAATTTAGCTTTGTTTTCAGCTGACCTTTTAAGACAGCGAGTCGGAACTCGAAAGAGTTCCAAGTTGATCTTGTGGCAAATTACATCTCTGCCTTTTAAAGCGGACCTTATTGATTTCAAGATAATTCTAACTGCATGCACTACGAAGCTAACTTCTCGAAGTAAATTTGTTGCGAGTTATTGACTTGTAACTATAAAGCAAGCTTGCATTACCTTCTCGAATCGAGCTTGAATGAGATTAGCTCTATCGATCAATCTCTGCTTCAAATCTTGTAGACACTCCTCCTTCAGTTTATACGCCTCAGCCCGACTCAGTTGACTTGGGTTACCTATCTGTGCAAGAAATGGTGCGAGGTAATCCATTTCCGTTTCGTGTTTCTTCTTTGCCTCTTCCTCTGCCTTGCGTTGCTACAGTGAGTAAGAAGGGATAATCAATGATCTGGAAATAACAACACACCTTAAAGATTTCCACTTATCATACAAGTTCCTGTCTGTGTAATTTTGCCTTTTCGTTTCGTTCTGTATCGTAGACGGAGATGGTTAATGGGCAAGAAGTCATTTCCAACGCTCTGTCTTTAAGAATCTCTTTCACCTGATAACGCATAAGATTTTACAAGAGAGTGGTTTATTTCACGATACAATATAAAAGATAAGAACAAAGAATCACGACTTTCAAAAATAGTTTGGGCCGCTGAGAACGATGCTGAAGAAGAATAATTTGGCTAACACTTGTATCAAGATTTTAGTCACTTGACAAGGCCAAGCTATATACGTATGGTTAAATCACAAAGATTCCTTCAAGGAACCTTAAGGCAGTGAGTGTACCTCGTCCTCCATAGATCTAATCTGGGAGATACTTTCTTCTTCAGCCTTCATTAATGACAGCAACATATTGTACACAGTAAGATTCTTCTTGGGTTTCTCAAGTGGATCTACCTGGTTAAAGCGCGGCAATGGTTAATTTTTCATTCGTAATGCTACGTTTATTTAGCGAAAACAAACAAGAAACATTCACCAAACCGAATTCAAAATCAAATAAAAACTACAAAACCGGCAAAAGTTTGACCTCTTTGAAAAATGGGCACGTACTCTGTGTGTGCACATGCCTGCTGACAATGGTGATACTGTCATAGACAGTTAAGAGTAGTTTTTCTTCTATTTACTTGCTGAAAAACGCAAGTTAAAGACGACTTACTGAGTTATGATTTTCAATGATGAATTTCGGTCGAATGAGATTATGAATGTTGTGATGATTGTTAAATTCACATCAGACGAGAAACATTTTTCTGTCACGCACAGATTTCGAAATTCCTGTGGCAATCATCAAGGTGAACACAAGAAACGCATCGATTTTTTTAAGACTACATACATTTTACAAGCACAATGAACGGCTTGAGTTTCTTTTTACAAGTATGAGCGATTGAGTCTACATTTAAGACAGCACGATAGCCTATCGTTGTCGATAGGGGGCTAAAAGCAACACAACGAAAAGCGAAAGAGTCCAAAAAATAAATCGAAAAAAAAATGACATTTTAGATTTGTGGCCAGCCCATACTCGAGGGCTGACGGGAAGACCTTCGTGATTATCGTAGGACAGGAATGACTGCTCACATCATTAAGCTGTTGTTTGCAAGTTTTTATGAAACTTTAAAGGTATTTTCATATTAGAAATATTTCATTTGAAAATAGTAAAAGACCGGTTACAAAAAAAAAACCCAAAAATTGCATCAAACTGAGACTTTATATGTGACAAACCTGAAATGTCGTCGTCATGTCAGGCGTCATGATAAACGAATCATTTTTGTCGTCGGTGTAGGCAGGTTTAACAAAGTCACGTGTTGAAGCTGTCACTCTGTCTTCCTCCAGATGGAATACCAAACTTATTCTCTCTTCAGACAACAGGAACAGTCGTTCAGCAACATCATCATCGGCTTTCTTTGTAAGGTTACGATGAAACTTCTCGATGATTTTCTAGGGGGGGGATGCCTCTCATAAAACACAAACTGAATAATTCATGTACGCATGTCATGTACGCAAGTGAAATGAGTATCATAAACTTGTTGAAAAGGCAAAGTTTCGTGGTGATGTTTCTAGAGTTATAACTTACAACAACATGTCTGTAATGGTTTTGTTGAGTTGGACCAAACTCCTTTGTTCGTGGACTAAATGTCACGTGACGGTAATATAAATAATCGTCCCTGGTCCTGTAGCTTTGCATCATTTCTGTGGGGGTCTCTTCTTGTTTTTCCAGTCCATCAATCCTCGCACTGTTAAAATTACAAAGTTAGTGGAGCATATATATGAGATCAAACTTCACATTACAATTAAAATGAAACTAATATCAATGTAATGTTACACGAGACAATGTAATGTTTAGAATGATCTCGTATAACAATGGAGTTATACGAGATCATTTATTAAATAGATAAAAATACGAATAAAAGACTATGTGTTGATAAGATGTACAAGATAATACAGTCTTGTTCTTTTTAGACTCTCGAGTCTCAGGAGAAATTCAAATTTTCAGGATGTGACATGACACTTTACATCAAAAAAAAGAACATTAAAAATACCCAAGGACTTGCATAAAAAGTACATAAAAAATACCAAACGACTAGCAGAACAAGAAGCAGATATATCACAATAGATTTTCAAGTGCTCGCACAGTTGTTTAAACTTCAAAAGCAATGTTTAAAGTTTCCGAGCTGTTTGTATTGCATTCGTGCAAGTTACATCAAATGAGTTCAAGTCAGTCAATCACTAAACAAAGGTGGAAAAAATGTTTAAGCACCTTGAGTAAAAGTACATCGTTCTATCAGCCTCCTGACCCGGTGAAGACGATTGGTAACGATGCTCTAAGAAAAAAAATCAGAATTTCGTTAGAAACAATTTCAACAAGCCTATACCACGAACGAGCAGGAATGATTACTTTGTAGCATTACAGGGAGGTACAGGTTACCATACAAGTACATGGTACTTATTTCATGGTAATTACGAGTGGGTTCACTGTTGCAAGGAGCAGAAATTGCCGGTGTAAATACCTTTAAGGCAATCAAGTCTTCCAGGACTGAAATATTCCGTAATTGTACCAGTTTTATGATTATAAACCTTCCTTACAAGTTTGTCTGCGCGATGTTTGTAGTCTTCTGCCATCTCCACAAGTTCTTTTACTTAAAAATATTGAACTGGGTCAAATTATATTCCAGACAAAGAATACTGAACTTTTGTTTTGAAATAAGAACAACGCAAAAATTGAAATAGAAATTTTTTCTGTTGATAGTCAAGGTTGGTGGAAGACATCGCTTTGCAGTGGACAGCGCTATTCATGTTTAATACGCCAGGTTTAAAATCTTAAAAACACAACTGACAAAGAAAGACTTACATTCGTAATCAGCGTATGAAGAAAGCTTCATAACCAGGCCATCTTTCTTAGAATAGTCGGGAAATATTTCCTGTTTAGCCTTCTTATACAGAATCGTTCGTTTGCCCTTCGGACACCTAGATTCGAAATCTGTTCAAAGAAATGTACATGCATGCTGAAAAATCCTTTTATTTGATGAATTGATGTTTTCTGTCTTTGTTGAAGTGTGTGTCTCTTACCTTGAGGTGATATGTACATGGCATCCACCCAAGATGGTGGCAGATCAAACTCATTATTCAATTCATCTTGTTCCTTTGTGAGAATAATTAGGTAAAATGAATAACCAAGTTTAAATAGAAGATCATTCTTGATGTAGAAAACAGACTTAGGATTCAAGTTTCGACATAAGAGAACTGGCAAGATGAAGACACTATAGACTGAAGTATATAAATAATCAACTTTCAACGTCTAAGCTCTACCAATGAAACGAGACTGGTGTATATCGGGACACAAGTTTCAATAGAAGATAATTCCTGATAAAGACACTAGGCTAGAGTATATATATATATTGATGTACTTAAGTTTCAACATCATTTCATTAGAGATGAAGATATTATAGACTGGAGTATGACTATGTTTTAACATCAGATTACTCCTGACAAAAAAACTAGACTAGAGAATAGTCAGAATACAAGTAATTAAGTTTAAAAAACAGAAGATTCTTTTCATGAAGATACTTTGCAGAGGAAAAAAACGTTATTTTTACCTCTTCGTCATCCAAATAAATATTTCCATCGTCTAAGTGAGGTAGCCCAAGAACTGGTTTATCTGTAATGGGAAACACGAACTCCCACTTAACGGCATCACCAAGGTCATAAGTCATATCCTATGAGAGAAGAGTTGAATACGCATCTTTCACAAACATTGGAAGACGTAGGATTATTCAGTGCTACATCAAGTATTCAAAGAACAGCTATACCAATTATACAACTAACTGGATTGAAATGACAGTTTTAAAGACAGACAATAGACTTTCTGATCTGAAGCCCCCTAACGTAATAGGAGCCTCAAATATTTTCAGTGGTGACTTTCAACACTGTACTCATCTCCCTCAATACAATTCTTAGCATCCCGACAAATCTTAAGCTCACTAAAACAATATAATCCCTTTCCCTTTCCCATAAATTCAACTCTCACCATAACACCTTTTGTACAATCTTGCATATTCACCCAACAATTCAAGTTGTTCCAAACACTTTCCACGCCAAGATATCCCGAAAAGTTTAGAGGATACGATTCACCCGTTGTTGATTCAATAAAAAAACTCTCTGGAATCTCACGTTTTCCAGACAAAACCAGTACCCAACAATGGAATCTAAGGCCACGAAGCTTATCAGGTGGCGGCTTCTCTAGTTCCTTTCAAAATAAAAAAAATACATTGTGGACGCACAAAGAGCAAGAGATTTCAAAAGCGCCATGTTTTGCAGATTGCTTGAAAACGATTTAGAAAAAAGAACGTAACAATTCAAAGCTGGTGCAATGCATCTAATGGATAAGTGCGGTGTGTGAATGAAGGTAGTGATGAATAACAGAAAACTAATATGTCACTGCTCATATAACTAAAATATATATACATATGTATAACGAACAACGAAGAATGAGAACAGTCACAATATAGTATATATAAGAAACCAGGTAAAACCTGCTGGTAACAAGAAGTGAAAGTATTGTCTTACAGCGATCTTTGCAGCTTCTTCGTTCATTAGTTTCTTTTGCAATGCATCCTCTTCTTCTTTAATCTTCGCAGCAATCTTAGCTTCAAATTTGCTGACGAGATCCTTTGGTGGTTTAACCGTGTATTTCCCAGGTTCTTTTTTCTTTTCCTTTGGTGCTTCCTAAACATTAACAACTTACTTCATAAAATACTGACTCTGTGAAGAAATAATCTACTCTTTAAAAGAAAAGAATTAAGAACGGCCATCAATTTTGACCAGCGCGGGAATTCCTTCATTGAGACCATTCAAGGGATAAATCAACAGCCTACCAACTCCATGAAAATTTTAACATTTGATTTAACGTAGCAACATATTGGTGGTCCATGAATGCGGAGAAAAAAATATTGGAAAGCTGCACGACTTGTAGTTGAAGTATAAATTGCTGTATACAGTGGAACCTCTACTTACGGATACCTCTCGTGATAGTGGACACTGATAGCGGGTCCTTACCAATATAAACTCACGTAAGTGGACACTATCAGTAATCGGACAGCAAGTCGTGGGTCCCAACAATGTCCACTTACTGGTGGTCCAACTAAATTTATGTTAGCAAAATTAATAAGTGACTTTAACGTTGTCCAACCTTCTTCTCCAACTTCAACAGCGGACATGCATCTCTAGTTTGATCCATCAATGTAATTTCTCGTGTAGCATAGCCACATACACAGTAAGCATCGTACCCTGCACCAATCAACAAAGAGCACAACACGATGCTCATCTCGAAACAATTTCCTTTTTGACGATTGATGGTTGTGGCAGGAGAAGCAATGACTGATGGCTATACGAGGATTCACAAATCAGAACAATGCCAAATTACTAAAGTCATAAATTTCTCAATGTTATGTTGGCACTACATGGTAGTTTAGAAATCGAAATTTGAAATTCAAAATTCTAAAGAACAGTGCTGTTAGTCCTCAACATACGGACAACTCTCGTAAGCAGACACCTCCGGAATACGGTCAATGCTTTTGGATTTTAACAAATAAAATATCACCTCTCTTTCATAGACTCACAAGCAAATAAATCTCGTAAGCAGACACTAGGTAGTGCTCTCAAAGACATCCACTTAAGGGAGGTTCGAATTAACTAAAACAAAAATGACTGTCCAAACGACTGTGCTAAATATCTGAGCTTCATTCAATCTTCCCTTTTTATACATTATTGATAAGAAAAATATTCAACACTACGTGTGCTAGCAATAAATGTTGGCCTCAACTTACGAGGTCAATGATGGGATCCAGAATTTCAAATGTGATGTAGTCAGCAACAAATTGTGCACAACTATCATAGTCGTACAACTCTTTATAAGGCAGTAGAGTAGGCCGCATCGTGGTGCAAATAAATTTCTACATAATTTAGAAAATGTCGAAATAAACAACTTCGGCGTTAGAAGAAAGCAATAATCTTATATGTATTGTTAAGTTATAAGACCAAAGTATACAATGAAATCTAGGAATGTACAAGTGGCAATTTCACAGCTACATCATTCGTACCTGAACTCCAGCTTCATTCATTGGACATAAGAGAAGCGGCTTTCTGTCACGAAACAAGTGTACAAACTGTCGACGAAAGTTTTCACAGCACGATAAGATCATTTTTTCTTTCTCTGTATTGGTCTTGTAACTTTCTGGAAAGTCATCCTCTTTCCCTTTCCTGAAAAGGAGCAAGCACGCGAAGTAATTAAATGCGAATTCAAAATGATATTGATACTCAGCCATGTTGTTGGAGTTTGTATTCTATTTATTTTGATTTATTTTACCTGACTGCAGAGTGTGCAAAGATAAGGTAAAAATAATATCTGCAGTGTGCAAAAAAGCATACTTTCTAGACTGGCTAATGAATTTCGCACGTTTCAATGTGAGTAGTTTTCAAAATTTCCCCAGGCACTTGGCAATGCGCTATAAGTACACTGGTGTCATGTACGTTAATTTATTGAAGTACATTTCTCCGTTGTGCTACTGCCACACTCTGCAGTGATAGAATGTACTAAATATCATCGAAGAAAACGCAAAACTCCATGATTCATTAAACTATAAATTAATGAAAGTTTAATATTAAAAAAACACTCAATAAAGATCTTACCTTAAAATTAAATCAGATTCCGTAGCCGATATACTATCCAGTTTCTTTTTAAGAGATTCAAACTCGTCCATGTCACAAAAAGGGATTTCTACATTATTTTCCGAACCAAACAGAAGACGTTGCTTTACACATTACGACGGCCATATTGAATATTTCCATGGCAACGCATACACTTTTCTCAATGACTTTTCTCTCACCGTAAAGCCTCGGGGTCACACTGTTCGACGATAATGATAAACGATAAGGATAAACTACAAGGATATTCAATGGTCACATACTAACGATAAACCGTTATCGTTATCGCTTCAATGTGACCGCACACAAGAGTTTGAATAACGAGCGATTTTTTTTGCATCGTTATCGGGGCAGTGTGACCGAGGCTTTACAGAAAGCGTAGGATTAATAAGTCAATAAAAAATATCCAATTACACGGTAGCACAGTTTCAGAAACCAAGAGAAAAGTTACAGGTCCAAACTTTTCACGTCAGTTAGTTAATCTTTCTCTGACTTAATTATTCTATCCATATGTGTGATACGGACCAACACTTTATTGTGAAAGTAATGCAAGGTCATTAATTTGTTCAATGACGTAATTTACAAAACCCTGGCGTATCCAGTGTACCTCATCCGCAACTTTTGCTCATGCTATGTAAATCTCAGATAATTACCTTTATCATTAAATAATCGGACTAGCTACACCACTGAAATGATAAGCACAACATTCTATAAAGTGATTTGTTCAAGAAAGAGAAAATTTACCCCACTAAAGTACTGGGGTTACGGCGATGATCTTTGGCTCATCTTAAAGCTCTCGTCAAGCTCTTTCGAATCTCTACGATTAAATGCTTAAATTAGTACTATAAAATGCAACACATCCGTTTAAATATTTAACCTTTGTTTTAATCTTACAATTCATTACAAACATAGACTTCGCAAAAGAAATTGTGGGAAGCCAATGTCAGCAGCTGTTGTTGTTTTGAGAGTGGCTGTACAGATCTGATTATTTGCTATCTCGTCCATCAACTGCCAGTGTGACAATTACCAAAAACTTTCTACGGTAATTTACAACCTTTCTTTTGGCAAAAGTTTACGTTGTTTCGTGGCGTTCCTTTTTCTCTTTTTACTTAGATATCGCTCGAGTTTTTTCGACTCTTTAAGTTTATTAAATTTCTCAGCCAATTCCAACTTCTTTTTCTCCGCTGCAGTGTGAAAAGAATGTATAAAATATAAAACAATCCCCCGAGTTTAGGATTGTAAGGTTTAAGAATGATTTACAGGTATCGCTTACTAACATTTTCTCAAATAAAACGGACGTTTTCCTTGTTTTATCAGAGCTAAATCCTCCTCTCTTTTCTGTTTTATCTTTTCGCGTCGAAGTTTGTTAAAATTTCGTGTCTTTTCATTTTGTTCCTAAATAAAAAGCCAATCCAATAACAAAATCATTTCCAATTATTTGAAATACACGGAATTCTTTATTTGGACCAAATACACAACGCCTCGAAAACCATTGAAAGGTTACAAAGCTGAATTAGTTCACCATTCTTTGAAGAAGTGAGTTCATCTTTGATTTTTGATTAACATCTTTCTCCTTTTTGATGGCATTTTTCACTTCCTAAACAAAGGAAAAATTACCTTGGTATTTGAAAGTCATCTTTAGGTCATTTCTTGAGTATCATTAAATGCACGCTAGTGTCAGAACACCAAGAAAACGTATTGTGAGTGCGCTTCAATATCAACAACACGATTGTTATGTTTGTTAAAACTGTGCGGTTACTAAGCGCCATTGTTATGTTTGTTAAAACTGTGCGGTTACTAAGCGCCATTGTTATGTTTGTTAAAACTGTGCGGTTACTAAGCGCCATTGTTATGTTTGTTAAAACTGTGCAGTTACTACGCGCCATTTCATTCACCACGTCTGTGACAAATGAAATGAAAACTTAATGTAAAAATGTTGACAACTAAGTATTTACTATTAGGTAGCTATAGTGAAACATCATCCATACATTTCTATGATGAATAAAGTACATTTAAGTCAAAATTGATCCCCAAGTGTTTACTTATGTTTAATAAGAAATGAATCAAACTAAAGTGAACCTCTCTTCGATTCATTTCTACAATGAATAATGACATTTCATGAAATTTTCAATACAAAAGGAAAGTACCTTTTTTTCTCGGCTTCGTATATCATCAACGAATGAATATGCTCTCTCAAAATGCTCTTTGCTAAATTTTCCACACAGATTATCAAATCTAGGATCTCTGTTTACCTTTGAAAAAAAAATATATGGAATTGACAAAAGTTCATCCATTGAACAGATATTGAAATTATTCAGTTTAATTTTTCCCAAACCACCTTTTTTGCAACAGGTGCAGCTTGCTTAAATATGGAAACTGGTCTTTTTGACGACATTTCACGTGGTCTAGTTGAAAGTAGAAATGAAGGAAGCATTGATTTTTAATTGAGAAGAATCTGTGAAAAAAACGTATTAGATCTTGCCAATACCTTTCTAACAAAGAATAAAATTATCATCCAACGACACATAAAACTGTAAATTAGCTGACAATTTCTGTTGTTGTTCAGTATGAAAGAATTGCAGGCTAACAAAATGATATCTAAGCATATCTTTATGCTAACTCAAAACAAATCCTAAACTTTCCCCTGGATTCCTACAAACGACTATGTCAAGGTGAGGCAAAGATCCCACATTCAATAGTGGCAAAAAAACAACAAAAATTTCAGTCAAAAATTAGGTAAAAGGAAGTTTAAAAAACCATTCTTATTCATATCAAACATTTTATAAATGTAGAAGAAGCACATTTAGGTACACATTTCTTGTCAGTATTGCGACCTTTTAAGATGGTGGCTTGCCTCACAAGTAAAACTAACTGCAGAGTTAGGTATATAACAGAATGGGCTCTAAGTTCTTTGATACCTGCCAAACAACAGCAGTCAACCCAAACCATATAAAAAAAGGTGGCATAATAACCAAACAAACAAAACCTGTTTTTGTTCTTTCTTTTCAAAGGCAGCTTATTCTTAACTGTAGAAATATCCACATTGCCATAGAAAGCAGAATTAAATCTAAATTAAAGGTATGCATCAAATCTTAAGACATGAATTCAATTCATTCCAAATGAAAAGTACAGAATTTTTGAGAAAACGAAAAATTGTATTTGCGTACTTTTTCAATCCGATTTTATCTTGCAATGCCTGTAATTCACAGAATGGAACGGTAGAAAGTTCTATAATAGTATGATAATATCTGCCATTAATGCATACACACCAATGTGAATGAGTAGAATATCTTAAAAAATAATCAAAGATTCCAAGTGAAATGAAACAAGCATGATAAATTATTACTAAGGAGAGATTTGTCCAAGAATAAGCAGTGACAAAAAGCCCCTTCGTGGAAATATTCAAATGCAAGAAAAATGTACATCATCAAGAATTGTCACAGAATTAAGTATTTATAACATTAGACTTACCAGATCTCAAATTTGCCTATATTTTGAAGAGAACAAGTCGAGTTATTTAGTAAACAAGTTGGTAAAATTCCTGAATGGCATAGTTTAGGAATTTCATTAATATTACTTAAAATACTTACGATTTCCTCGTTATCAGATTCACTATCAGACATGTTTTCAGTTGATGGCTAAATTAATTAATCCAGTTTTGACCTCGTGTCTTTATGTCATTATATAATGTCCAAGTTCCATTTTCAGCCGCCATGATTACTTTGTGCAAATTCGATACCATTTTCCCACGGTCTTTCGTCTTTCAAAATGGCGGACGACTTTCCTAAATTTCGTCTGGAATTTAAACGCTACAAACGGCGAAATCCCCCACCAGATTTTTCAGACGTGATTGATTTTGATCGCAAAGATTCGTGGAGAGGACGGGTAGAGTTTCGAATCTCAATTTAATGAAGAAAAATTTTTTGCAAGAGCTTAAATAGTTAACGTTGTCTGTCTTTACTGTTTAAAATGATTTCTAGCACTCACACGCTTACAGAACAACTGAACCAGTGACTTGAACTTTGAAAATCGAACCTTTCTGTCGATTTTAATATTTTCAGCTTTGTTTTATTTCCTAAAAAACGTGTAGAAGTTAAAACAATATCGATGACGTCACTTGGAGATAGCTTGTGAGAGGCAATTCTCCCTTGCTGTTTGTAATTGAAAAACACAAAGTGAACTTGTTATATTTAACTGTAGAATAAAAACATGATAAGTACAAAATACTTTCGATTTATGAATTCACCATGAACAATTCTGCAGGTGAAAAAATGCAGCTGCCCTTTTGAGGAAGTTGATGATTTAAACATCAGAGAACTGGGGTTGAGTGAAATTAAAACATGGAAGTGTCACAAGATCCTTGGTCATGATGGTTGGTTCATTCTTCAACACGTATATACTGCAGCGTTAACAGCTTGCAATTTTGGTCCTGCTTTATTAATTTTTCTTTAGAAATCTGTTGTTTTGGGATTTTTTTGCAGTTAGTGAACCCAGAAAATTATGCATATCATGTGCAAATTTAGCAGCGGGCCACGATCCTGCGTATAAACATATATATCATCCAAAATTTTTTCACTGCCAGGACATTTTCTTCGATGGCATCTTTTGTTTACAACTCTCGATCTCGATCGATCTACAGAGTTCACAACTTCACATAATAGTATTTTCCAGTAATTATTTAATTACAGTTCTTTTCTAGGATTTCTAGTAATCGTAAATCCATTCACTAGCAGTGGTCAACTACAATGGATAGAGAAAAGTGTTAAAGTATATCCTATGAAACCTAATGTGTGTAACTTGGACGCGCACTACGAACGGAACGATAAAAATCTTTGGACAGAATACGAAAAGGCGTGTTCAAGGTTACTTCACATCAAGGTTTTTTGTTCTTTATACATCAACCTGCCGAACCCTTACCTGTGGGCAAGATTAGTATGAAAAGAAGTGATTAATGCGTAAAAGTTTATTAGCGTATGATAAAGTTCGTTTTTCGTGTCTGTAACCTTAAGTTAGCTATGATGATTTTGTGTATCTTCATATGAACTAACTGCAGGGTTGTTCTGACAAATGTACGAGAACGTTGATTTTAAACGAGGGTACTTAGTTTTGAGAAACCGGATAGATACGTAAGTAAAATGACAATAGATTACATGAATACGTAAAACATTTTGGCCGACAACACTTGAAATAAACCGGAAATTTGTTCCTCCAAGTTTCTCTTTCTGAAAATAGTAATTGCTTCTGTCATGTATGAAATAAAATATTCAAATTAGTGACGCTCATTGGAAGAAATGTCTAGAAAATGTGACTTTTTCCTTTCAGCGACAGCGCATGTGCACAAGAAAAGACTACTAAAACATTGATGGAGAAGTTAAGATGGGTAACTTTGGGCTATCATTACAACTGGAATACGAAGGTAAGAATGCATCAAAATGTATGTGACAAATACTATATAGTGTATGACAAGCAAACTTTGAAATTACCGAATCAAACATTAGGAATACCACAAAGCCAGTTATACCCCTTTTCCAAATGATCTCAGCAAGTTAACAACGTATTTCGCGTGCGCATTGGGATACGAAAGGTAAACAGTAAGATGTACCATGTCATGCGTTTTTTTAAGTGTGAGCTGACCCAAAGCATCGTTTGTTCTTACCCACATTTTTTTCATTGCATAGTTTCATCCCTGAGGCAGCCATTTTGAATTATTACCATATGAATTCGACTCTTTCCGGACACACAGATCATTCTGAATTGGATTTATCAGCACCTTTATTTTCACTAAGGTAATACGTAAAAATCGAGACTTTTTGATTTTGAGGGGAAATAAGCTTCATGCACTGCGTTTGCTCAACATTCATGTTTCAAAACAATTTCACAACTTGACAGCTTCGGCCAAACGTGCATCTTTCTCTTGGGAGGGCGAACGTTGGATGAACAGCCATGCGCGGTATACTTACGCAGTGGTGACGTAGTAGTCATGTCACGTGAATCAAGGTTGTCCTATCATGGCGTGCCAAGGATATTAGAAAACGAGAATCTGTCCACATTATTCACTGACGAAAGTCAACGTGAGCCAAGTGCAGTAAAACTAGATTTAAAAAGTCTGAAGAAATATTTAAACCACTCAAGAATCAACATAAACGTTAGACAAGTCGAAGGACCAACCATGCGTTTTTCATGACACAAAAAACAAAATGAATTTTTCTTTCGACAAGAATTTCATTTGTTTTATTAAACTGAAGAACCAACAAAAAAATTGGTGTATAAAATGCGTATGTATAAATTTACAAGAATTTAATTTTATGAAAATCATTTCACCCATAACGCATGTGGGAATAACAAATAAAAATTAACGAATCTCATTTTCATTGGTTGTATTAAACTTCTTTGATGGAAAGTGACGCGTTATTAAAAGTATATGAAAAATAAATGCAATAGTAAACAAAGATGTTGTAGCGATAAACTTTGCTTTTCAAGGGTATTCTCTTTGAGGAATGGCAAGCATTGCCCAGATAATTTTGAAAATAACTGTTCAAACAGAATTATGAAATAAATAACTTAGGTAAACAGTATTATAGCAGGTGTGAACATCTGCTAATTATCTGAGTGTTTTGATCAACTTTCATCAGTTTGCAGGCTGATGATGATCAAAGAATGAAATTATGAATAAATTCATCCATCACGCACTAACAGCTAACAAAACAAAAACATTTACAAAAAGTTCACACCAAATGAGCCAAAGTCATTGATGAGAAAATGAAACGGGATAACGCATCTTGTGTGAAAATTGGTTCATTTGTGTACATGCGTTGTCCAGTTTCCAGGTTATTTTTCCACTCGATAATACTTTTTTCCATAAGAAGTGAGTTAAAGGTTTATCAGTTTATAAATTTTTTACAGATCATTTTTCCACTTGATAGTACTTTTTTCCATAAGAAGTGAGTTAAAGAGACATAAATGCAAAAGGTGCGACTTTGTCAAAAGTGTTGTCCAGCTTAATAAACATATCAATGGCCAAAATTCAGTGGCACACGATTTGTTTTGTAATTCTGTTTTCACAGTTCTTTTCAAAACTACCAAGGCTCGAGTTTGCACATACACCATGGAAAATATGCATCGAAATTCGATGTTTTAAATTGATCGAAACAAAAAGATGGTAAGATGTTAATTTACCCGAATTGTTAAAAAACGCCAGCTTAAAAGATGTTTTTTGGATTTAAATGTTTACTAAATAAAAATATATTGAATGGTATGAACATGTCGCCATTAATTATGACGACGACGTACGTAATAAGCAAACTTTCGCAGCAACAAATCACAAAGTTCAACGCAGCTAAATACACCGACTTAATGGGGGAAATGGACATTAAATATTAAGGATAAATAGTGAGGAAATCAACAATGATTTGGATAAATCGTTCGAATTCGTAGCAATATACAACTAGATATAAAACATGTCTGGTGAACTCTCTCTAAAACCGCTTTATTTTTGCTGATCAACAAACACTGTCACAAATGCTTACAAAAAGTTGAGACGCCTTTTTAAAGGAAATGCCCAAAAATGCTCACATAAAAAATAGCAGTTTTTGTGATTTTCTTCTTACAGTATTCAACTATGTTCGGAGCAATAATATTTTTAACAAAATACAGTCATAAGTTCAGTGCATGCATAAAGTGTTGACTTTAGAAAGAGTTCACTATGTTGCAAAATAAGCAATGAGATTGTCTTACAAATTAGTGCACAATTAACGCGAACGTCTAGTTCTAGGACCGCGCGGCTCGCTAAAATCAAGTCCCAATTCACCGAAGCGCGTTTCAAAGTACGCAGACAGACGAACACCTGCCTTGGCCTCTTTTGCACGAGGTTTATTGTACTCACTGCAGTTAAAAAATATTTGCCTGATGTCTTTGGCGATGTCATCGGTAGAACAATACTCACAATTAGTCAGTTTTTTCTGAATCGTCTGGAAATCCATTGGAGCTTTGATAACAAGGTGATAATCAGGTACCTGCAAGGGAAATTGTCATACGTGAGTCGCACAGGTAAAGCCTTGAATTTGGTTTACCAGTATCTAAACATCTTCAATTGATGACCGGAAAACATAGACAAGTGTCTTTGTCAGTCCAACGCCAAAATTATGTTTTTGTGGATCATCCCCTAACCCTAACCATCCTCACTAATATACATAGGTATTAGGAAATCAAGTACATTGATAACTTGTGTACCATCCTCACTATGACAAGTATTAGGAAATCATGTACATTGATAACTTATGTACCATCCTCACTATGACAAGTATTAGGAAATCATGTACATTGATAACTTATGTACCATCCTCACTATGACAAGTATTAGGAAATCAAGTACATTGATAACTTATGTACCATCCTCATTATGACAAGTATTAGGAAATCATGTACATTGATAACTTATGTACCATCCTCACTATGACAAGTATTAGGAAATCAAGTACATTGATAACTTATGTACCATCCTCACTATGACAAGGGAATAAAGAGAACAAGTACATTTATTCCAACTTTCACATAAACCTTAAAAAAACAAGCACGTCAAGTTCTCATGAATCATTCTCCGAAATATATAAGCTGAACGAACGTCAGTTCAATCTTTCATACCTTATTGGCGTCAACAGGAAAAAGGAAAGGCCAAGCATCCTCATGACATGTTAACTCCTTCAAAAGTTTTTCACATTGTTTCACAAGCGCTGCTGACATTCTGGAAGTTTTCGCAGGCGCAGAATTGGGCAAACGACGACTAGCAGATGCGCATGGTGTTTGGGTATTTGATTTTTTTACAGTTCGGCGAGTAACTGGAGTATTTTGTAAGTAGTCAACTTTTACCAAGACGTCAAGTAAATTATTATGACGTGTTGTTGTCACTGTTTTTTTTGTATCTTTATTGATCTTAGTCGTGGATTTAGATGGCGCAGATGTAGTAGAGATTTTTGGCTTCTTTGATTTTGTATTGTCTTTCTTTTTAGCTGTGCTTCGAGCATCTAGACAAGAAAAAGAATTTACCGAAGTTATGGCATACGATGATATCTAGTACAATAAATATAAAATTTGGAGAGCTTTCCTGAATAAACGGGAACTAATAAAGTATCAATGAAAACATTACATAGTTTATTAACAACAACGCACAGGGACTGTTTAGACTTTAAAATACTCGGATAATCTTTAAAACAAACACAAACACACCTCTAATAATAGATTTTTTAATTCTTCTTGATGTAGGCAAATCTCGATCCGCGCCGGAGCACACCTGACATATCCACTCCCCCCGGGGTACACGCCGTAACGGAGGATAAGCGCAGTCGACATGATAGACCAGCGGACATGTTTCACAGCATAACAATTCACCCTCTGCCCCACAACAAGCGCAAGTTTCCATGTGGACGGATTCGTCATCATCACTATGGTTTACTTCATCTTCTTTGGTCTCCATATCTTGGTCATCATTATCTGAAAGCAACAATCGCATATTCAGAATATGACGCAATAAACCCTTACTTAACACGTAACGATGGCCTAACTCCGACTAACACGTGGTAACTTTTGATAAAGATACACACAAATACCTTCGCTAAAATCATCTTCATCCTCGGTCACATCATCATTATCTTCATTCTCGTCACCACTCCCCTCTCCGTTTTCATCATTGTCGTTGTCAACGTCATGGGTGTTCTCAAAAAGTTTTATGTCTTCCTTTGCTTCATCTTCATCTCTACTCTTATCACGTTTACGGCGTTGTATGTTACGACGAGACTCCGCTGGCCGGCACTGACTACAGAACCAATCGCCTTCGGGAACCTTGAAAGGCAAAACGTTATTGAACATAAAATTATGAAATGGCATATAGGTTTAATGATATGCAAGATTAAAGCAGTCCTTTTATCAAAGTTTAAATTTCCTACAGTCTCCAATATACATAAAACACATAATTGTTACGATTGAAATAAAACGAAGATGAGTTTATGTTGACTCTAAATAACAATTTCCTACCCATAAGGCTCGGGGTAATGTCTAAAAATACACATCTGAATTTTAAATATGCCAAGTCAAACGTTGGCAAGTTTTGATAACAATCGTAGGCAAAGCCAGCCCTAGTATATACTCCAGCTATTCAAATTTTAAAAAATCCATTACTTGTTCATTTCTTCAGAAAATACATTTTATCAATGGTTTTTTTGCAAAAAAAGCACACCAAAAATATTTGCACAGTACAGCAGATAATCCGGCTGATTTTTGCCACCGATATTAATGCATGCATTCGAATAAAATCAAAATGAACCGTTAAAGAGATAAACAGCTATAACACAAACAAAAAAGCACCTTGCTGATAGGTGGTTTTAAACAATACATATGAAATCCCTTATCACAGCCGTCACACAACAACATGTGTTCAGCATCGCCTTTACGTCGACATATACTACAGCGAGCGTTCAATACGGACTTATCCCATGATATGCAGTTGTCAAGATTTGATAAATGGATAAACACTTGAGCAAGATTCGTACACGACATGAGAGAATCTTCCCAGCGCTCGAGTAATGATTTCTGTGACTTTCCTTTTGTCTTATCGTTACTGTGATCTGCAGAAAGAAAATGACATGGTATATTCCTTTACATTTAAATTCAATGTCGATAGATGAAAAAAATACTATTTTAGGATATGACATAATGTATATAATCGGTGCAAAAAATCTACCCAGTAAAATCATCGAGTGTTTTCGCCAGACGCCATGTTGGTAAAAAAAACTCACTTGTTCAGAAAGAAAAGCACATAAGTAAACTTACCTTTTTTCTTCTTACCATCATTCAAATCTACCTCACTTCCGAGGGGAGGAATCAAATACTTCTTTTCTATACCTCGCTCGATCTAGTAAATTAACAAATGAAAATTTTGCATACTTTTAATCATTCGTAGCCAAGATAATTTTGCTCAACATCAATATCAGGGATAATTATTATACAAAAGGTCATCTTGTGTAAGCGCTACAACGCCATTAATTCGCCAACTCTCTCCTTGGATACATTACAAATGGTTGACAAGAGATTCGAAAGAAATATTCTCCCATACAAACACATATATCCCTCAGTTGATCATACAAAGCCATTACTCATCATAGCAACCATACTCACGAAACCCATTCCCTACAAACAATGTTAGAAAATTTATTACTTGTATTAATGCTTCAGCCAGACTTCTTATACATGGATTTACGGTATGAGGAGTTTGGAACGAGGTAGGTGTTGAGGTCGACGATCTCTCCAAACGTGTCTCGGGACTTTCATAGATCTGATTATAAAACACCTTCTGTTCGAGATCTTTCCCCGTTAATGAAAGAGACCGATCAACATCCATATTCTCATTAACAGTAACCGCATCAGTACTATTATTTGATTGGTCATTCATTTGCACTGATTGATCGTTTTCTTGATTGATCACCTTTCCAGAATTCTCATCAACAGATACCTAGAGAAGAAAAATATGGATGACAAACTATTTTATGGATGTAAAAGAACAGGTTTTGTCAATACATATTAATTGCAGGATATGAGCACCATCGTGTTTCTTACCAATCTTATGTTTCTGAAAAAATCAATATAGGTACAAATGAAAGTTAACCTCCATGATTTTTATTATAAAACGTACGAGTGAGATAGAAATTTCTTCATTTATAGTCTCAGCAGTAATTCATGATTTCATAATGATATAATTAACAACACGGTCCATTTGATACTTATACATTTCTACAAGTCTATATCTCACCACCATGGACAATCTTTCTAATAAATACTAATGATCTGGAGCCTGGATAGCGTTATCCATTGGATAGCAAGTTTTTTTAACTTTTATAAAATCGTTTAAAAGGCAAAAAGTATAAAATTCGAACTGAACAATCACTGAAATAAAATCTTGTTTCAAAGATTACGAAATTTCCTTGCGTTACGAAAAATATAAACACCTTTTTTACAAGTTTGAAAATTTTTTTTATCCAATGGATAAACTTATCCAGGCTTCATACAACCGGCCCAGGAAATTCACAAAGCAAGATATACACAGTAGACATGCTACACAAACGAAAAGAAGTTACAAACATTATACACACCATATAAGCTACACTAATCATTTTGGACGAATCAACTTACATTTGAGTCATCAGGTAAAAAATCATATATTCCATTCTCCATTTGTTTTCTCCATGCAACAACATCATCAACCTTCACCACACCAAGACCACCCTGCCATAGCCGATCCTCCAAATCAAGCATCTGATCCCTTAAGCTCGCCTCAATAAAATCTTCCATTGTTTTATACATCGCCTTATTGACTGATTGATTACGCGTCGATGCAGACTTGGGTCGAGCATTTATCTTATCTCGGCGCTGTTTGTTCACATGACTGAAGGGATTATTCTCCAGTCCTTTCACAATCACGTCATACGACTCAATAAGCGCCTCACGAAGATGTTTTTCTCGATTACCTCGAGGATTCAATGAGTTTAAAAGTGAATCAAGCTCATCCTTCGATGAAATATATGACCACTGTTTTATTTCTCGATTCTTTATTCGTGAGTACATTTGTTCCAATCTCAAAGTTTGTACTCCAGAGTTCAGCACACACAAACGAGGTAAATTATCCACGGGAATGTTGTATAGTTTCAAAATCCGACATAAATCCTTTTCACACTCGATTTGTTCCCTCGACAAAGATGTGATACTCAATGGACTCTCAGAAACAGCTGACGTTGCAGATGACAACGGGCGATCTTCAGTGGCAACGGATGAACCCACGCTACTGCTGTCATCATCACTAAGCTGAAATGATATTTCAATATAAAATAATGTCTGACACAACTGCACTACTTCTCAAACGTCAGCCACACAATAGAGCATTTTATCATTCACAAAAAAACCCAAAAAAAAAACAACAAACCTCGGAGCTTTCATCATCCAGTGTTAGAAATGTGAATAAGTTGGGATCATCATCCTCAATAAAAAGGCCTGGTAATGAATTAAAAATCCAATAACGTCGAAACAATCGATCCCGACCTATCGGCTGTACACCAACCATTGACTGGCTTTTCTTGATTTCTTTCAAAAATACTTTTTCTTTCTTTCTCAAAATCTCTTTTCTCTCAAACCTTTCACTTTCTTCATTCCTTTTTGCATTCATCGTTTGCTCGGCGATGGGACCCCGGCTTCTAGTATGAGTCTTGATTTGGTCGTCATTATAATCATTGGATACAGTAACAGCAGGCTCTTTATTTGTACTAGTAACAGAATTGCAAATGACGTACAATAGGTGAAATAAATATAATTACAAAATGAGTTTCGAGCAAAGATTTCTCAAACAATAAATATGGTATTGGAGCTGAATACAATAAAAAAGCACATACTTTGACGAAAATATTTTTAAATAAGTTGATAGTAGGGTCTGTTCTGTATGATATACATGCACCATACCTGTCTTTTTCAGGATTTCCAGCGCTAGCTTTGTTTTCCTTTTCCTTTGCCCTCTCTTCCATACGTTTCTTATATTTTGCCGCAGCCTCTTCTTTGTCCTTTCTCTGATCTGCCCACTGCTCTTCTTGCAGTTCCCGCTTTGCTTTACGCCACCTAAAAAAAATGAAAATTTATTCGACAAAAAATTAAATTCGGACATTACCAACTTAACAAAACGCTTTTCAATTATAAAAGAAATTAGGTAATAATGGTTTAGTTTCTGTTCACAGGTGTATATTTAAGACACGAAACAAAAATTGCAACCTCTGTGCACAAGTTGAGAAAGATAAAACGATGAGTGCCCCTCTTCAAACCGTATATTCCTGCCATAAATACCTGTCAAAACCATCGTCGATGAAGTCACGTGTTGTAGCATACGTCAGCAACTGAGAGCATAATGCTTTAAGTATCTTCAATTTTTCAAAAGCTTTCAGATCGTAGATATTACCAGTTACCAGGCCCCTCATAATGACGCTTTCTTCGCGCTGAAACGTTACGAGATGGTCGTCTGATAGGGTAAATCCGCCACGTCTTTGCCAACGATAAGGCTCAGCGTCTCCGCCAGAAACTAAAAGAATTATTGGTGAAAACATTTCATAGTGACTCTCAATTACTTTCCTAGATACAAATCTCAGCGTGCTAGCAAACAACGTGATGATTAAAAGCATAAATTCAAATGAAAAGTCGAAGGTAACTGTGGCAATTCGTAGGGTAATTTTTATTATCAGGAATAGGAACAAATAATTAAAGCCTCCTAAACGCTACAGGGTGTTTTCAATTGACGTCAAAGCGGCCATGTTGGAAGACTATATATAAGTACCGATGCTCAACAAGGATGAAATTAACATAAATTCTTTTCACTGTATGCGATTTTCCTCCAACATGGCGACTGATGAAAACACTTTATTGATCTTTCTTAAAGTTGATCTTAGTTCTCTGGAACAGATAGTCAGGTCAACTACCAAGTATCGGTTATAACAATCAATAAACATAACTTTACCGAGATTGGCACCAGATGAAAGGATGTGCAATCTTAGAATTTCTGAACATGTAAAAGGATCAAGCGCAAGCTCGTGAAGACCCTTCCCTTGATGCACCAGAGCCCACGACGCGGCCATTGTCGCTGAAGTAGATATTGCCTTCTTTACTCGAGTAACATCACTATCTTCGTCCGCTTCACTTGAATTGTTCGGTTCACCCTTCATATTTTTCTACATCAAAAAATCATAAATCAATCATCAGGATTAGATACAATTATCACAATACCCCACTATAATTGGGAGGTATAATAGAGCTTACACTTAATCGAGGGAACATAAACCACTAAACCACAGAAGAAAAGAATCAACGATTCCTATGCACCAAATGAAACAATCAAAAAACACCTACGATGGAGGAGGGAATGTTCCCCATTGCAGAAAAGTTAATTGGCCTTTCACAGCACAGAAAAACATGAGACAGGCTCACGTTATAACAACCTTATGTGTGACTATACAGTTTTTAGAGCTACACTTGAGTACATTGGAGTAACTATGCAATTATAAAACATGTGTAATATTCAGTGTTGTTTGTTGATGTCATTTTATACGCTCCACAACAACACATGAATAACGTAGTTTGGTTCTCGTTAGCAAATCGTGATATTTTATGGAACTCCATGTTATCAATAAATAGTCATGATAGACAATAATACTTGTTTATACATTAATGTACCTCGTGATCAATATCATCAAGCCCTTCTTCTTCGACTTCCTCGGCATGTGTTGCCAAAATGGTGGAAAGAAGAAAGCGAATAATATCGTAGAATGATCCCTCGGCGTCGTGTTCCGTTAATGCAGTCTCAAGAAGCTCTGAAATGACAAAGTGAGGATGATTTTAAACAAGAACGTTTACCACAAATGAATTTAATATTGTAATTCAATGGGAAATTTCTCGTAAACTGAGATGCACGGAAACATTTTAACACTATTTCATGATGCGTAACAAAATGTTAATGTGTCTATTTCATTTTAAACTCGGATTATAGGATGTACTATTATATTCAATTGGCACAACTTTGCCATATCAATGTTCACCAAGTCATTGGTCAAGAAGACCTAAGGAAACATCAAAATTTGTGGGTCTATCCGTGCCGCAGCACATTTGCCTTTGATTTGACAAGACTTAGATTTCTTAAATTCTCTAACTAGCTAAAGATTGACACAATTTTGATGTAACGATTGCATATTTTACATACATTACAATAACATAGCATGTTATTAATTATCAGTTCACAACAAGTCTTCACCTAGAGAAACGCCATCGGGAAAATCTTGCTTGCCATTGAACAACTCGCTGAAAACGAATAGAAATTCCAGCACCATGACGATATCGGCAAAACACTCAGTTGGAAAGTTACACTCGATTGCTTTACACACGGGTAATTCCTGAAAGAAATTGTGAAGAGTATATCTTATCATGAATAACACTTTATAAATGCGCAGTACTTGCTTTGAGCACCTCACTGCGTGGTGAACATTAAACGCCTGATATATGTATGAATGGTGTACAGATGAAAGCTTATCACTTTTGATTTTACCTTGTGATCATCAAGTTTCAAGTCTTCCAGTGGTACACACCAATGTAATAAAAACATTTTTTGTTCCTTAAGAAGTTCGAATCTCTTTAAACGAGCCTAAACAGTTAAAATGAACAATAGAAATTCTATATATTTCTAATTTGTTGATTTTTACTCTCCATTAAAACCACATAGTAAGTTTCCTTGCAAGATACACACATACATGTCTAAGTTTCACAGCTTGTAGACCAAACTAAATAAAATGATGTTAAATCACCTTATCACGGGCTTGTTTCCGCAATTCCTTTTCTTTTTCTCGCTGTATCTTTAACTCGTTTTTCATTCGTTCAATTTCCTCGGGCGGAACCTTTTTTAATTTCTTTCCGTTTTCCACCTTCGAATAATGAGGTCAAATGCGAAAAAGGCATTGAAATGCTTGAATCTTTGATAAGAATCAGAAGTAATAAATTGCAAAACATTCAGTTTATTCGTAATCGCAATCCGTCAATTTTCTCCGCCACAAGCAAATAATTTCCCTCCAAAACCCTTTTCTTGTTAAGTTCCACTGACATATGTATCTGCTGTGTAGACGATTACTTCTATGGTAAGTGCAAACCAGTTTCGTGGCAAGTACTAACCAGTTTTATGGTAAGGGCAAACCAGTTTCGTGGCAAGTACTAACCGGTTTAATGGCAAGTAGTAAATGACTACTTTTAAAGCAGATTTTGGCAAGTTTTAAGGCCATTATTCACTACTCACCGTAGATGATTTCTTGTCGTTTGCAGTAGACGAAGATGATTTCTTGCCATTTGCAGGAGACGAAGATGATTTCTTGCTATTTGCAGTAGATGAAGATGATTTCTTGTCATTGGCAGTAGACGAAGATGATTTCTTGTCATTTGCAGAAGAAGAAATCTTTGATTTCTTTCTGCTCTCTTCGCTATCGTCGTTTCTTTTTCGTTTCTTTGAAGAATTCTCTAAAGCGTCGTCAACGATAGACGGTAGATCATACGTTTCCCGGTATTCTTCCTATCGTGGAAAAATCACAATAGCAATTTCGCATCAAAAATAGAAACAAAATAAAGCAAAATACAGCGACATATCGTATCGTACAAAAAGGTAGTTATCTTATGATAGAAAACATCCTTAACGTATGTTAGTTGAATTTGATATTTTTGTGCAATCCTATCCGAGCTACAAAAGCTCATTTTTTTAATGAAAATTCAACATTACCATTTTAAAACTTCAAGAGCTACAATGAACTAACTAGAATGTGAAAAAAAAACTCAATCGCAAAACATGCTTAAAGAATAAACCACATCTCTATACAAATACTTACTTTCACTTTCCAGTATGAAGTGCGATAACACATCACTTTGACGAGAAGCTTAAGTTTATCACGAGTAAAGGATCCTTTTCTACGGCTGCACGGAAAACAGATACAAAAAGCAATCGTAATAAAATACTATCAACAGATCAATCCATGATGTTGCAAGAAGTCACATCTTTTCAACCAGTAAGAAAAGTATGTTTTTTACAGGGGGGGTGATCATGCAAAATCTACAGACACGTTATTACTCTTATTACACCATTTGTTAACTAGATGTTGACTTTTTGAAGACACAATAAATGCAACAAAAAATCTAAAGAAAAATAAATAAAAATATAAGAAAACCAGTTCTAAGATCAGTCAGAGCATCTCCACAACTTTGCATTCAACCACAGCTCAAAATAATGTCTAAATGTCTTTAAATGCCAACAACCTTAGTGATAGTCATCGTCTGAGTCAAAATCTAAGTCAACATCAACACAAACAAAAACACCAACACCAACATCAACAAAAACACCAACATCATTACCAACAAAAACACCAACACCAACACCAACATTACCAACAAAAACACCAACAAAAACACCAACATCAACATTACCAACAAAAACACCAACACCAACATTACCAACAAAAACACCAACACCAACATCAACACAAACAAAAACACCAACATCAACACAAACAAAAACACCAACAACAACATCAACACTAACGAAAACACCAACACCAACATCATTACCAACAAAAACACCAACACCAACATCAACACCAACACCAACATCAACACCAACAAAAACACCAACACCAACATCAACACAATCAAAAACACCAACACCAACATCAACACCAACAAAACACCAACACCAACATCAACACCAACAAAAACACCAACACCAACATCAACACAAACAAAAACACCAACAACAACATCAACACCAACAAAAACACCAACACCAACATCAGCACCAACAATCCCTGTCCCTGACCTGGACAATCTACATCCACAAACATGCCTGTAACAATGTTCTCAAGTTTAAATCATTAACTTCGTGCATCAATTGCACCAAAGAACATGTAAAGATAATTTTTTGAGGCAAAAAATTCTTGTGTTTGACATTTTATGTTCTCTAGATGTTACCATACACCACATGACTATGGTACATTTGGGAAAGATGCAAATTGCGGCCGAACATAATAACTAGCAAGGTAAATTATGGCTGGTCAACAAGCATTTTTGGACATATATTATCATTGACCAGCCTTTATTTTGAGTCCAGCCAAAAGAATGTTTAAAGTAATCACAAGGGTGCCTAAACATGCACCTTAATAAAGTGTGTCTAAAATAATGGACCATGCAGATATATGCAAGCATATTAAATTACGTAGTTAGTTGCATAAATTAAACAGTATTTTGATGAAACACAAATCATGTTAAGCATTGACAAGCCATCGCCTCTCATTACAATGAAATAAAGCCTGTGAATGCATTGAAATTATTTATGAATTTCGTCAAAATACTGCTTAAATAACGAGGCTAACAAATTTTATATGCATGCATAAATCTGTGTGTTCCATTTTTTTAAGACAACTTGTAGAACTGCTTCAAGCTGAGGTGATTCAATTGTGCATAATTTCTATCCCCCCAATCAACATGTTACTGATGTTACCATACCTTATGCAAGACCCTTTTATGGTAAGATCTTCATGAGTACTTTTGGTTCTTTTCACTTTTACAACATACTCATAATTCTTGGCATCAGGCCAAACTGATTTCTTCATTGAATTTGTTGGACTTGTGCATGAAGATTTCTTGCTTGTGCCTTCATCATCTGACAAAACTACCATGGCATTCGACTTACTAGGTGTTTTGCCTGATTTGACGGACTTATTTTCTGGAGATTTTAAATTATTTGTGGACTTTGGTGGTGAGTCAAATCCATTTGCAGGTAGCGTGGGTTCAACAACATTATGAATAGTGCCTTGTAACCTGAAATATAACATTAATGATAGTACATATTTAAAAAAATAGCCATACAGAAGAAAAAAATATGTATTGCATAATTGGTGGTTGGTCAAAGTGTAAATGTGTTGGGCAATGTCCAAAATACCCTTTTTTGCTGGTAATTTCCTCCCACCTGACCTGTGTTCAATTTAAAAAATGTTCCAGATTGGTAGACCTTAGATCACTAATGGTACAAAGTTCACAAATGGTAACATTTTGTGGTCATTTTGTTTTCAACTTTGAACAAAATATGCATAAGATGTGAAAACATAAATTTTAATTCTTATGATGCATCAAAACACAATGGAAGAGCTATTTCAAAATTTAGGAAAGGATTAAAATAAAAACCATCACCATACGAGATGTTTGAAATAATATACCATTCTTTCATTAAACATTTCCTTCCCGTAATTTCTTTTTATGCTCTTACATTCATTTTCATTATCTCAAAAACGTTCACAACTGACTGAATCATACTTTTCTCTTTTGTAATTGACATGTACTTCTTCTCCTTCTTGATAACGCTCACGCATGTAGTTGAATAGCTCGTCGCATAAATTAGCCAAACGAGTATGTCGTGTGTAATGGACCAAAGTCAGTACACCTCTCTTTATGGGTTCCGCGATCTCTTCCACTATCTCTCTAGCATCTTGCTCAGATTCTAAAGCTTCTTCGTAGGTCAAACCGTGCCTAAGGGTAATCTCACAACTCCATACTAAACTATTACAAAGTATTGTCCGTTTGAAGAAGGAGCTGCAACACAAAAACATAAACGTACTAAACGCGAGAAGGCAAGACACGAGGCTAACGCAACTTTTAACCCAACTAACGTACGAACAGTGTTTATAAATTTCTTAAATTGAACATTATAAATGCTTACTCATAATCACGAAAAACCTCATTCGTTTGTCTGCAAACAAAAACTTCTTCTTCATCTTTCAAATCCAAAGGAGGAGGGTCAACTCGGAAATCTTTCTTGTCCAGCAAAGGCATTTGATTTACCAGATATTGACACAACTTTTAAAAACTCCCGGCAAAATCCACGAGAAGCATGTCAAGAACAATCAATACTTAATCAGTAAGAGCCTCCACAAACTTGGTCATCATCAGTTCATAATTACAACCAGAATCGTGTCTGGAAATGGTTGAAAATATCAGAAGAAAATGGACAATTCACGCTCAACGTCTTTTAACCGAGAGACCGCGCCAAACCACTTTTGAATAAAGACAGAGTATGGTATCGACTGCAGCAAGCCAAGATTGGAAACGATTTTTCTCCACTATCATATCTCGAATTTGCATCAAAATAATATCCATGATGATTTAAAAGCCATTATTTACACTGAAATATTATTTCCTCTAAGGATGAAAAATCTTTACGAGAAAATTCTTGAAATGGTGCTATTGCAAGAAAGAAAGTAATATGTAGTTCACAATATTTTCAAGCTCTGCTATTGGTGGAAACATGTTTTTTGCAACATATACTTCCGGTACAACTGGAAGTGAAGCTTTTGTAAACAAATACAAAGGAGCTCCAATAAAACGTGTATTACTTGATAAAACCAACATAAGGCCTAATTTTTCTGGAAATTTGGCCCTTCTGAATATATCAGCATACATTCTGTCTTAACTTTTGGAATATGATATGCTTCAAACATTGAAATAGAACACTGCTTTCCAAAAAACTGGTTCGACTATCTCGCCAATCGAAATGCCGAAAGTTTACACAGCCAAAATCAATATTATAGCTTTGCATCATTGATAAATAAAGGTCCACATGTTGAAACATATTGAATAATAATATACTTCCAAAAATCATTTGGTTTTATTTCACTTTACAATCTTTTACATATCCTATTGACATCAACACACACTAAGAGAACATATTCCACAAACTGAAATTATTAAAACATGAGCAAAATGGAAATATAAACAACTAAAGATAGAAATGAACAGTTGCATTAAAACTCTGCATATTTGCATCATTTCACATGTTTGTACAATATGTCGTAGTGTCCAGGTTTATATAATAAAGTGATCATAGGATCCCGACCATCGTCTGGAAAATCATGATGATTCACAATGAAGTCATCTCCGCTTCTGTCTAAGTGTTCAATTCTTATACACACCCCAGTTGCATCTGTCAAAGCTATAATATGAATATTGTCGCTTTCTCTAGACATTGGTTCCACCTCCTGCAAAATGTGAGTAAGAAAAGGTAGACGAGTGGCACTTTGTAAGTGTCACATATTTTTAGCAAGGTTGAAAGCATCAAGTTACCAACACAATTTGATTAAAAAACATCATTTAACTTTGGCAGATGATTTTCTCCTTACACTTGAATTCAAGCTAAACTACAGGAAACACATTACACAGAGTAGATATGAACACAAAAACAAGTTTTGTTAGTCCCAACAACAGCTGTGTAGCTAATTCACAGTCTTCCTCATTTGAACAACAACACACGCAAGGTATTAGCCAATTCAAACAGTACCTGACTGCAAAAATCTTTCATTGTTTGACCACCTTCAAGAAAGTTCTCAAAAAAGTCCTCCTTCTTTTGAAGTTGTGCAGATGTGAGTAGCCTGAGATAAACAACTATATAATTAGACATTCCTTCATCCTGAAAAACCTAAAGAACAAAAAGTATGGTATCCAATGCAAGTTTGGATTCATATCAGTGAGGGAAAAATTAGAAAGCACCACTCTTACTGTTAGCAGTTTATCTACATCCATCTTTTCTCCAATTTTATCAAGTAATTCTATAAACTAAAAAAACTCTTCTGTCAAATAAACCCAACTACTATGAGAACATAGGAATTAAACAAGTGACTGGGTTTAAAAGAAATAATTCGAACTTTGGGCAAAAACAATGGCAATTATTAATTGAATCTTAACAATAATCATGCAATACCGTATCATGAAAATCTTCAACCGTAAATGCTGGGAAGCCTAGGGCAACCAATTCATCCTTGCTACCAACAGCATAATTTCTGAATCTAAAAGAACATTATTGAATTATTAAAACACAACAAATAACATAAAAATATAAAGCAAGTTGATTTTACAGTTTTACCTCTCATATTCAACACGATCATTCAATAAATATTCCAAATATGCAAAACCAAAAGCACGAAAGAAACAGTTTCCATCTCCTCTAGTTGTTCTTATGCAAGAATATTTTTTTGACAAGTCCTTTACCAGAGAAAACATTGAGTTATATATGGTCAATGCAATGATACTGCATGGGTAATTTTTGACATGTAACTAAAATAACCATTAAGATTACGAACTTTAAGAAACAAATTCAAATTTTTTAAGAGAAGGTAAATAGATGAGTAAAACCTTATAAAATAGCATTCTCATAATGATACAACAGCAGTTTGTCATATTATTTTGACACATACAATGCAAAACACAGACAATAGAAAGGAACTTCACATTTCACTGTACAAAAACAATCCTAACCCTAACCACAATTACATAATAGAAGTATAAAATCTTTATAGTATAACTGGGAAAGTAGGTTCGCATGTATTTTCCTATTTGATATAAGAGAAACAAGAGAAAAACAGATTCGTAATAACAGCCTTAAATATGATACTTGCTTTAATTTTGTTTTGAAACACAATATCATCTTGTTGATAGATATTTGATAATGTAGCAATGTTTTGGAGTTCACTGACAAGATGTTGAGCATCTGCAATCTAAAATGATGTAGAAATTAATACAACCATTCATTTCCACGCCCGATCAAATAAAAATAATGGGACATTCAAAGCTAAGCTATAGATATACAAATAACGATGTAAAGTACACCACTTTAGACAAGTTATTGATAGTAATCTTGGCAAACCTAAACAAATTACTATTCACAGTAACGTACCTCAAGTATTTCTAAGATACAAACATTATTTCCCACTTAAACATCAATTCATAGAAATGCTAGTCAACTATTCTTGTTGAATAAACAATACAGACCCTTAAAGTCAAATTCATTGTGTATTCTGACTAATCATAGTAGCACCATCTACTCTTGAGATGACATTTATTACAGGATTGATTTCTTATGGCAAGGCATAGGACAAATTGATAATTGGGGGAGGGGGAGGGGGTTGTATTCATATAATCATGTTATAGTGCCTAATCACACTTGATTTCAATGGAACTAATAAAGTAGAATGTCCATGTATGAATACTAGCCCCTCAAATTATTACTCTCCAACTTTGTAAAATAGCAACGTACATATAAATACCCATTTGAGAAGAGTCAAATAGAGATGTGCTTATAAAACAGTTGATTTCATCTTCTTTATAAAGGTGAACATTGCAGTACATGTGCAAATCATAAATTTCTATATTCAAATAAGTGGTGGTGGAGGGGGATAGTTTCAAAATGTAAATAAAATTAGTCCTTTAAATTAGCTCCCTGTATTGCAAACTCTGACATTCACAACCACATGTTTTCTTCAAAAATATTTCATTTGTTACTCTTAAGTTATATAAACTTTGTTTGCACATTCACCAGCATAAAATTTACCAATCTTACCTCTTTATGAATTTTTTCCACTTGGTTCATTATTGCCTCGTCAGCATTTCCTGAATTATAAAAAAAGTACGTAAGACTTTCGCAGAAAACAACTTTGAATAATTCGTTCACTATTGCAGGAGGCATAGAATATTTTCAAATATCACAAACAAGTTTACACTGCAAAAAACATCAAACCTTGTGGTTCTAAAGCCATTTTCCGAGCAATACAAGGCAATGACAAGGCAACAAAAGTTACGGAAATACAACGTAAAACGGATAGCCAGATGCGGAGAGTTATGATTAGAAGACTAAACCTAGTTAACGGCTTGTGCCGATGATTTGAAAAAGCATATATATATAATTTCAAAAAGCAGCACTAAGAATAATTTAAGCGATCTAAAAGAATTTAAGCTTGTGGTTTCAATGCTCTTTTGACTATTCTTTAAAAAAATAAGCCTAAAACTGCATTTCTATAGTTCTAATTGATTTACAAACAAGTGACCAGAGACATGTCGAGAAGCTCCGGAAAATACCGGACTAGTCGGAAACGTACGTAAGAGTATATATAATACGACCATCCATAATACACAAGAACAGACTTTTTCGTGTCATTTACCGGTGTTTGAGTCGAATTTATTCCAAGTAAATTGACTAGGACATTTTATAATGGAGCGTATGGACCAGGGGGATGAGGATAGCCCCAGTGTTGTCAGACGACAGGTAAAATTAGGTTAATTTTCTCTTTGATTTAGTCCACTGTTGCTTCTAGATACTTTCAATTTATTTTAATTAAAGACAGCTTTTCTATGAACTCAATTGTTTGCGATAACGTAATTGAAACGCACTACTAAGCATCTTGTCCCAAAAAATCATGCATTTTTAACTAAATTTGCTGAGTTTACATCAATTTACTCAAATATATTGATACAAATCCTTATATAGACATCTCATCTTTATCCACCAAGTGTCCAATCAACATCATCATTTCAAAGTGGTATGTCTCCATTCCCAGGAACACCAATGACACCAACACCAATGACCCCAACACCAATGACCCCCATTGCACCACTTACACCCATTGCACCACTGACACCTATGTCTGTTGAATCATCTGGAATTGTACCACAGCTTCAGTAAGTTAAGAAGTTCTCAAGTAGGGAAAATTATGTCAGTTCTCTGTGACAATATAAATTTCAATCTCTTTTACATTTCCCCCCAGGAACATTGTATCCACAGTTAACCTTGGTTGTAAACTTGATCTGAAAAAGATAGCTCTTCATGCCAGGAATGCTGAATACAACCCTAAAGTAAGCTTTCTATTATATGTTATTACTCTATAGTAGGAATTGTGTTGATAGCCATTTGTATGCCTTGACTATTAGCGATTTGCTGCTGTTATCATGAGAATCCGAGAGCCAAGAACGACTGCTTTAATATTCAGTTCAGGGAAGATGGTGTGTACGGGAGCAAAAAGGTTAATGATTCTATGGTACTTTTTGTCCTCATAATGAAATATTTTAAACATGGGGCTTCAGAATAATCAGAAAAATTTGATGGTTAAAATTACAGACCATAAACTATTTGTGCCATTCTTTACAGTGAGGATCTTTCAAGGCTTGCAGCAAGAAAGTACGCTCGTGTTGTACAGAAACTTGACTTTCCTGTATGTTCTTGTGAATCAACTCATAAAAAAATTGAGGCGAAGTTCAACATGAATTTCTCATGATCCAATGCAATATTTTAGGCAAAGTTTACGGAGTTTAAAATCCAAAACATGGTGGGGAGTTGTGACGTGAAGTTCCCAATCCGATTAGAAGGTCTTGTTCTTGCGCATGCCCAATTCTCAAGGTAAGGATTTGTTTACCTGCAAGCAACAACTTCTTTATCTCATTATAAGAACAAAAATCTTAAATTAATTTTTGCACTTGTTTATGTTGCAGCTATGAGCCAGAATTGTTTCCTGGACTCATATATCGAATGATGAAACCGAGGATTGTTTTACTAATTTTCGTATCTGGGAAAGTTGTTTTAACAGGTATAAATTTATCAATACCTAGAGTGATCCGATGAACATCCCTATCAAATAAATGCCCTGTACCTTATTAATGCACCCATCCCCTCCGTAGCATGAGTTTTTATTTGGCACTTTACTCTAATAAACGCCCTATCTCTAATAAACGCCCCATCTCAAATAGATGCCCTCACCACGTTACCATTATGTCATTATTTTAATGATTGTTGATTGTTCTCAGAAACAGTATATTTAGTTTTGTTTTCATTTGCTCACACTAAGTTGATAGAAATGATATAAACGCCTCTCGTTGTTAAAGTATCGTATTTATTGATCATTTATATCTCTAGAACCATTAGAATTGATTACTGGGCGTTTATTAGATCGTTTGCGGCAAGCGTACTATAGAATGATACCAACTCTATCCACTGTCTTATGTGTATTACGTCTGATAAATAACGAAACAAATTATTATATTTAGGCGCAAAGGAAAGAAAGCAAATCTATGATGCATTTGAGAACATTTATCCAATCTTAAAGTCCTTTAGAAAATCATGACAAGTTACTTCAAGATTGACAAAGTTGTACATAAACGTTTGTTTGAAATTATTATCTATACATGTTTTTTTTTGTTTTATTGTCACCGATGTACTTTCTACGGAGTTTATGACTGGTTAAGTTGTCTCGTTATTTTTAACATATTAATATTCTAGCGAAACGGAGATCACTATAAATTATCACATATCATATTTCACTATTATATTATGAACATGAAAATCAATGAATGTTGATTCCTGAGGTAAATAAAATTTCGGAGAGCACGTCATAGTGGATTAATTTTAACCGAAAATGTTCTTTTTTATAAACTTTTTTTACACAGCAAAAGAATATTACGTAAATAGAATCTATTCCGCATAAAATTTCCATTTTCAACTAAATATTTGAGAGTATTGAGCTGAAGTTGGATACCACATTCGGAGTATGTTAAATTTTATGCTTCAGTTTGTTGTGACAAATATAGCCAGAAAATCACTAACAAGATCCAACTCAAACATAGATGTTGTACAAAAGGAATCAATAATGAGATTTCCGGATTTCGTATTCAACCATTTTTTAATGAAGGTTTGGAGGATCATTTAAGATGCACACCACAAGATTTAATCCATGTTTTTTTTCTCTATGATTTACGTCAGAACCGCGCACACATTAGCACGAAGAAGCTATAAACAGAGTTGCCTAATCCTCACGAAACAGACGGATCTGTTATGTTTATACTGCACTAACATTGAATTATGATGAAAAAAGTGACTATTTATATTAAGATTGCCTGCTCCAGTCTCGCGGTGCCATTGAAGTAGATTTTGATTCTTATTGGTGCAAAAATATTGAAGCATTTTCAAAGTTTATTTTAAGAAGATGAAAGGATTATGTTCTCAAATTGCGCCGCCTAATTCCCTATGGTTTTAACAACTTACGGCACGAGAATTAAGAAACATACAAAAGATGTGTTGCCGGTTTAGTATTGAAGACCATTCAAGATACCAACAGTATAATCAAATCAAACTCGAAAACATTGAACAGAACTTTAGGTAAACTGTTTTCTCAGTGAAATTTGGTACAAACACAAATTAAACACAGAAGCGACGTAGGGTTCTGAATACGGCTGATTTAATTTTATTAGGATATTCACACGCAGCTTAAAAGATTATTGACTGCGTGCGTCTTCATTGGAAGAGTAAAAAAAAACAAATGTGTACCGGATTGTTAGATGCACGTTATTATACGGTTATTTAACTACGTCGAAGGCTGGCGATCTAAAATTTGTGTTGTGTTATTATTATATAGTCATATAGTTTTGAACATGCTAAATAGTTAGAACGAAGATGATAGGGATAAAACCGAACGGAGCCTCTTTCTAAACCGGTGCAAGAACAACGAAAACTAAAATCTTTAAATTCCCGAAAAATTTAAAGGATTGAAATTCTTAATGTTTTTTTTGCGCTGGCAATCATCGTTGACAATGGACGACGGGGAAACGGGAAAGACGAAGATATTTATGAGAGGAGAGGTAAAGAACGCCAGAGCGGAAGAACTACTGGCCTCACTAAAAGAAGAGAGAGAGAGAAAAAATATTGCAGAGAGCGATGTGCCATACACGTTGAAAAAACAGCCATTGCTTCCTGCAATACAAAACAAAATATACGACAAGGTCGATGATTTCCCTATTGAAGACACGACATCACAATTCCTGTGGAAAGATTTAAACTGGGAAAATACACATAGATTAAATGATTTAGAATTATCTAATGGGAAACAAAATTTCGCAAAAAACTATAGCATCAATTCAACGGACCAACAAGGTAAAGATCTTCCCCCTTTGAAGATAAGAAAAAGACAATTTTTTAAATGAACAAGTTGTCCTGAGCCTCCGATCACACCATGGCACTATAATGTCCGGGTTTTCGTACACTGCACAAAGTAAAATTGTACCAAAAATATATAAGTAACATATTGAGGTGCGATTGGTAGCAACGTCGGCATCAAGTGATTGGAAAATACATTGAAGTGCGATTGGTGGAAACGTCGACCTTGCTTGACTTAGCGTATACTATGAGGTACAATAAAGGCAAGCGATTAGAAAATACGTTGAAGCGCAATGGGTAGCAACGTGACATCACGTGATTTTCAGATATGTGTTGGACGTACGAGGGCAACAACGTTGGTTCCTTCTCCTTTTCGTGGATGATCAAGGAGAATCGGAAGCACACAAAAATCTTTTTCACAAGATCAAATGGGCAAAAATATTGGAAGTGATCATTCGTGAACAACATAAAAAAAATGCTTGAACAAACTTGGTCGCTTTATCCCACTAAGTAGAAGATATTGTAGACCATAGCGAACCTTAAGAAGATTGATTTCTATTTTTTTTTTGAAGAAACTGCCAATAACCAACATGGCTTGATGATGCTATAAGATTCCTGCAACATCAATGAGCACAAAACACAGTAAGCACATACCGAAATCAATCCGCCAATTAAACTAAAAATAAATATAGAAAATCAATAAACGAAAAAAATGTTTGTGTGAAATGGAAAAGTTCAATTGAAAAACATTGGAAACCAAAATCGTTTTAAAGTTTGTACTAGTTTCAACTTTTTTTTATCTTTTGTAATTACATTTGGAAGATCTTTCTTTAAATGCGATCGAGCATTATGAAGGCGGCATCGCTTCAAATTATTATCACTGCTCAATACTAACTACTTTTACGGCAGAGTAAGCCATATTTTTAATAAATAGTTATGTATTGCTATAGACTCTATACTAAATACGACCGTAGTTGCTATAATTTGTATGATTATCGTTTCTGAAATATCTATTTATGGCACGGCTAGTTTCAATTTCATCAAATAGTTCAAATAACTGACACGTTTACAATTTAATTCACAATTCACATGCCTAACATATTTACATAAAAACCCTTTCTTTGTTGACCCACACTATGATTATGGAAAAAAATGTCTCCAAGTTAAACGAAATGGTGATTCTAATATCACTTCTTTTGAAAAAATCTCATCGTTGTACATAAATCTACGGAAAAACATGAATATATGAATAAAATCCCCCTCACTCATCTAGCTGGCGGCGCCACTGGCCTTGTATTAGTTTTGCAAATCAAAAGCATCATTGCGTCTCAATAAGATATTATCGTAAATGCTTTATTTTCTTACAGGAGAACAAAGATCTTACAAAAAGCTAAAACTAATGAAAGCAGGTCATGAGTATTGGTGATAAGTGACGTAGTTTCCTGAACAATTAAAAATTTGCAACAAATATTTAATTAACTGCCACGAAACATGATTTAATTGATCATGCATGTTCGGTCCAGTTCGGATGCGTTAATTTACACAAAGGTCTCATCTTCAAGAGAATCTTCAATCATTTGCATACACATACGCACCGTAGAATTGAAATAATTTCACTGTACCTTTATGCTAAACGGCAAATAGAATATATCGCTTGATGCTAGAATATTCTTATGTTCGTTTGCGTGCAAAGTTCAAAATGTATATTGTGCACCATTGTTATGGATATGAACGTACAACAGAGGCATTTGCAAGTTAATATTAGGTTTTCATGCATTCCTAGAGCATCCATGCATAGTCCAAAAAAGAGTTTTTGATGTTTATCAAATACTTCATTCATATTTTAAGTAGATTGCGCGGGGGTGTCTAACAGGGAACATTGCTGAAAATATAATCATATTAAGAATAACGTGTATCTTTTTGTCTTTGCCAGTTTTTTCAACTTGATAGAGACGAAAATATGGGAGCTAGAGTTTCAAGAAATGACTTTGAATGGACATACACCGATGAGCCACACGCAACGAGAAGAAAGGTCATTCTCAGTAAGTGAAAAGCAGAGGTGTGTTTCAATATTGACTTATGTAAAGGGGCCGTATACTATGAAACATTTACACGTCAACCAAGACAGAACTCTCGACTAAGATTAATTCAAGATTATAAAATCATCGACGTGAGATCTAGGAGCGAAATGCGCAGTTAATTTATTACTTGTTTTGAGAAAGTCAAAGTATGCTGTTCGTTACATCATGCTTTGAATATATAGTTGCTAAAGTTGTACAATTTTAATTTTTCCCTTCATCATGATCGAAAAACCATGATCGAAAGCTAATCTTAAATGGTTCAGGGGAAATTGCTTTAAATCAACGAATATACATGGGGATAAAAAGATTTAATGTAATGAATTAAACAGCATTATCAATAAATTTCGGCATAAACAATATAAGCAATACATTCTGATTGGGCCTCCAGAATTTCGAGAACAACGAAATACAAGTTATTTTTCCTTTGTGTACTATTGTCACGAATCAGAAACCTTTCGCAGGTGATGGGGCAACAATAAATAGCCTAAACTAAGGCAATTCGAATCTTTCACGTTTGGTGAACTTTTCGTCCTTCTTTTGACGTCATCACGTCAAAGTAACAATGCTGTTAGGTACCTACGTAGGGTAACAACATGGCTGCTATAAAAGTACTTTTTATTTTTCATACTCATTTGAAAACAACGATTTTATACGATTGACGGGGAAGAAACAAAGGTAAATAGCGAGTTTTTACAACAGAAAAGATTCCAACCCATCATCTCGTACAACATTTTCCTAGTAATTGTCGATCCATTGTTTTGCAGAGGCGCATCCAGAAATCAAGAAATTGATGGTCGTTGATCATAACTTCAAGTATCACGTAATACTCCTGGTTTTCCTTCAAATTCTCGTGTTACCCTTGGTACCTCATTTATCATGGTTAGGTTTTTTTCTGCTCACATACTTTTATGGTGCTGTAATAAACCATGCAATCCTTGACGCCATCCACGAGATCTCGCACAACATGGCGTATGGAAATGGGAAACCGCTTCCTAACCGTCTCTTCGGAATTTTTGCAAATCTGCCCACGAGCATACCTGTCAGCGTTACGTTTAAGCGCTATCACATGGAGCATCACCGTTACCAGGGCGATGAAGATTTAGATCCAGACCTGCCCACTGAATGGGAAGGACGTTTCTTCACTAACAGTTTCACTAAAGCTATTTACGTTGGAATTCTTCCTCTATTCTACGGACTGCGTCCACTTTTCGTCAATCCAAAATCACCAACAATGCTTGAATTATTAAACTATGTGGTACAGCTTTCTTTTGATGCAATTTTATACAACTTCTTTGGCATTATGCCACTGGTTTATCTGTTGATAAGCACATTGATTGGTACAGGATGGCATCCTCTCGGTGCACAGTTCATTGCAGAGCATTATATGTTTCGTAAGGGCCAGGAAACGTTTTCGTACTACGGTCCGTTTAATTACGTCATGTTTAATGTTGGTTATCACAACGAGCACCATGATTTCCCCAATATTCCTGGTTCTTTGCTTCCGAAGGTTCGCGAACTTGCCCCGGAGTTCTACGACAACTTGCCACATCATTCTTCCTACCTTAAAGTCCTCTATGATTTTATATTCGATCCCGAGATTAATCCATACGCACGCATTAAGCGGTCCAGTAAAAAACGGATCGACAGGAACAAAAACACCGAGCCAAAATCGAAAACGCACGAAGAATGACGCAAAACCGAGCAGTCACGTGACCAAAAAGTCTTTTGAACTTTTTTACCCAATATTGTAGCCTCGCTGAAATTTTTCACCCAATTGTGTTGGCTTACTGAATTTTTTTTTACTCCAGTTGTGTTGACTTACTGAATTTTTTTACTCCAATTGTGTTGGCTTACTGAATTTTATTTTACTCCAATTGTGTTGGATTACTGAATTTTTTTCACCCCAATCTAAAATAAGAACACTTAACAAAGTCATATCAAAGGAAAGAGAGAGGGAGCAAAATTTATCGAATTCAGTTTTGTGAAATAATACTTTATGTAGAAGTACATCAAACACAATCCAAATGTTGCTACATTCAAGAGGGTGAAGTACTCGTTGGAAAATGCACATTGGTTTAAATGCTTTTTAATATGTAACAATGAACGTAATCACGTGACCAAAAATTTACAGTGTGAATGTAATATAAATAAAACGATATACACTATAAGCATAAACTATTCTCAGAAAGATGTCTAATTCACTTAATGTGAACTACTTCAAAACTATGTCGGTTAAGGCACATGCAAAATCGACAAAACCATTCAGACTGCATGCTGAAAATCAATTTATCGCCATGACACTACAAAACAAAAGCGCAACAACACAGTGATAATTATGTTTTTTCACCTGTTCAAACAGGTTGTTGTGCTTGCGCCTCATGAACATTTTCCGTCATTAGATCGTCAATACACTAAGAATAACAGACCTTTAATGGATCAGGAAAATATCAACATCCTTACGAAATGTGTTGTAACAGACGTAATATGAAAAGGAACTCAAACAGAACAATAGCGTTGCACATACGTATTAATATAGGTTAGTGTAATAATATAATTTTAGAAGAACAAACGAAAGTGAAGTTAAGTACGATAATTGTTTACGACGTATTAAGAGAGCGACAGCAACACTACACGCTAAAATTTGTCATATTTGAACGTTTAAGACGAACATTTAAACGATGGGAAAAAAAACAAATTAAGATATAGTAAAAGAAAAGCGAGAAGAGTTTGAAAAAAACACGCGTATAGTGCATGTAATATATATGGCACGAGTAGTAATTAATGTTGTTTTTATTTTACGACGGTTTCGAGAAATTACAGTAAAATCAAGTTTTCAAAACTATGCGATTAGCACAAAGCTAAAAACAAAGCAAATTCCTTCTCTTCCTATAATGCATCGTTGAGCATGTGAGCTGAACACCTAAATGAAGTCTACATAACGTTTTTCAGCTATATATAATTAGTTTTACTAAAAGAGGAGCCGCCCTATTCAAAACCATAGTAATTATATACATCTCAATTCATGGATTGATATAGAGTGAAGAGATGGATAACAATGAGAAGAGATCCCATTGCGTACCAAAACCACCACCAAAATCACGGTTTAATGACGACGAGTCGTCAGCAGTGTTCCGACTGTTGTTGAAACAAGAGAAAATTCTGAAGGACAGGGAGAACAATCCAGCACTAAAACTTACACCAGAGAAATCTATTCGTTGTTTACCTCCGGTAGCAAACGGTATGGAAAGGAATCAAGAGGAAAACAAGATAAATGGTAAGGGAGAAAGTGACGTAATCTTATCTAGTAAACAACAGTCGCTACCTTTGGCAAGACCAGCATCAATAGGTGGAATATTTCGAAGTCCAAAATTGGCAAGAGTTAAAGACAGACCTAAAGGTTCGTACGGTTGCAGACAACTAAAACATAAACAAACAACAGAGCAACAATACGATCAACAACAACTCACACAACATGGTCAACAAGAACAACAGCAACTAACACAACATGAAAAGCATGAAAAACAAGAACAGCAGCAACTTACACAACATGACAAACCAGAGCAACAGCAAAGCATTCAAGATAATCGACAAGAGCAACAGCAGCAACGACTAGTAAATACTGGGGAAGAAAAACGACAAACTCATCAGCAGCAGGAAAATGAATTACAGAACCAAATACTACAATGCAGAGAACAACAACAAAAGCCCCAACTACAGCAACACCAAGAGCAAGAGCAACAAGGACAACGATCAAAACAACGACAACAAATGCATACTCAGAGCAAAAGCTTCAACGAATGGGAAAGGAAACGCTCGTATCAAGAAACTATTGCAAGGTTAAAGGAACAAACACAAAGGTTTGGAGGAAGACGTAGTTTGACGAGGACAAGAAGCTGTCCAGCACCTTCAAGGAGTCTTGAAACACACATTCCGCCCATTTCTTCAAACAAAACTTGGACTGAATCAACAATCGCAGAGTCTATGAACAAGTTCACCTGGAGAAATACACAGTTTCCAAAATAATTGCATGCGGATGTGTTAAAAAATGTTCATTGATAGGATGTAATACAAACGTTATGTTCATATCCATACTAGCTTTATTGCTTAGTCTTTAGGTAGTACTGTGAACAACAAATTATTAGATGGTGCTTAAAGTGTTTGTTTGTATGAAATAATCTTCAAAACTGAAGTATCCAAAACTTGGTTCTCTGACAGATCTTTATTTGCTTATTCAAGAAACGTGACGATATATTGAACAGGTCATTTTGACAGCAGGTAAATAATGATAGGAATAATCATGCAAAGTCGTGTTTGATGCTATAGAATACTTATGATCACAATCACTATAAAGTAAATGGTTTAAACCCGGGAGTATCGTAAACATTTTGATTGTTGGGAATTACTTTTGTGTTTCTATAATAATTTTTATTATACAATGTTGGTAGAATGTCGATTGCAAATGCATTGCTAAGAGCCTACAGATATTTCTCAATTTCTTGCCACCTACAAAACATTTAAATTATCGTTAGGTGACGCAATTATATACTAAAGTAAATGGTTTGAACCCGGGAGTATCGTTATATATTTGTAAATGTAGATCGTCCAGGTTGGTAAAGTCCTGAGAAGGACTGTTTTTGTTGTTGTTGACTGACGTTTCGACAACCTTAGCGGTTGTCATCTTCGGAGTCAAAAAAAAAAAAAAAATGAATGAAAAAAATTTTTTGACTCTGAAGATGACTACCGCTAAGGTTGTCGAAAAGTCAGTCAACAACAACAAAAACAGTCCTTCTCCGAACTATAATAACCTAGACGATCTACATGTAGAAACATGTAACAATTACTATACGTGAATAGGACTTCATAAGGCATCAAGATGGCCTTTTGATGTACAATGGAGAGAGGAAATGTTAGTAGAAAAGTTGATAAAAAAAGCGGAGACACGCCAGACGAAGTAGTTTTAAACGAGACGAAACATTTGCCAGCGTTATCGCTCAATGACAAGGAAACAACGCCTATTCAACCCATTAGCTCAAAAAAAGCACACACAAAAAGAGTTAACGCAGACGAAGATACCAAATTGAAAGCAAGTAAACAAGGATTAAAGAATTGCTCCTCGAAAGACAAGGTAGGAGACGCCGGTCAACATGAGAAATTCTCTGTTATTTGCGGCGCAAATACTGGAAAAAACGGTTGACATCATGAAATTCTAAAAACGAAAGCGTTTGACGTCGATTATTTACAATGGAACAGCAAAAATTTAATAGATGTGGCCGTAGAAGAACAAAATGGATACCAGTTGACTAAGAAATGGATACCAGTTGACTATGTATAAAGTCACTAGTACTGACTTTATACGTAATACTATGGTGTAAGGGCATTTTATAGTCTTTACGAAAATAAATACAGTTTGATGCAAGAAAAGGTATTTAATGATACGCCCAAACAAAACGAACATTTTCCGCAAAATCCCTAGTCCTACACTGCATTTTTCTAGCAACGTAACTAATTAAATATTTTGCGGATTTCGGAGGTATCAATGACTCCAGTAGAACAGAATGGCGCATGCGCATTATCTCTTATTCATCTGAGACAAATTTAGAGTTCTTGAAGTTTTTAAGAGCCCACACAATGCATCATCTCATGTCAAAAATTTCGCCAAGTTGACGCTGAGAAGAGAAATAAGGATTACGAATTCTGAGCTAAACCACAATTAAATGCTATGATCTGGACGTATTTATTTGAACTGATGTTCATAGAAGCGAGGCTGACTCGTGTGGAAAAGCTCGTTGTTGTATAGGCAACGCTAGTTTTTGGATGGGTTCTGGGGTGAAAAAGAACCCTCGCATACAAAATTACACAGGCACCGAGCTGCTAAAATCAAATTGTTCTCACAATTAAGAGATTACAGACATCAGAAAATTTACTTATCAGCCACACTAATTATTTTCGATCTACGCAAACGAAGTGTTTCCATTTGATACCAAGATCCTTACACATTCAAGAACAAATTTTATTGTCGCAAGAAAATAAATATTGTGCTTGAATGATTTTAACAGTAAAATATGAAACAATGCATTGGGATATTCTGTCATAAACTCAGTGGAAATATCTCCCACAAAGGTCTTACAGTCAATCACAGCAGAAACAGCATAATACATAACTGAGAAAATTTAATTCTCTTTATGAAGTTTATGAAAACCCTGAGTCCGCAATTCCTCACAACTTTGTTAGCACAAGATAAATGAAGTTCATATCTTGATCTCGACGTGTCGGAATCTAACCTAACTTTAAATAATTTAAATATTTGTTGCGCTTGCTTTGCACCTGATCACCTGACTCAAAAACCATTTCATCCACTTTAATTACTCAAAAACCAGTATCCACTTTGATCACACAAAACACAGTCGATCCTTTGATCACTTCAAAATTAGCCTATCCATTTTGATCATAAATCAATAAAACAGTCACTTGAAGTCTTAAACCAATTTACTATCTAATAACAGTTTTTTAAGTTCATTGAAAATTGTGCATGTGCATATAGATGACGATTTGTTTTGTTGTAATGCAATGGTGATAATCGTCGTAGTTTTTGTCAGCCAAAGTAATTAACGTGTGAATAATAAATAACGATGAATAATAAATATTAAAAAGGGGGCGTTCTTACCACCAGCCATAATGTAACCAAGGTGATTTTTGATTACAATCTAAAACAACCTTACACTGAGGAATTAAGAAAAGTAGCTGTGTAGTGGCCAAGAGAGACTACGTGTAAAATTTCCTGCTTTAAAGGCAGTTTTTCAAAAATCATTTAATCATGGCAGTCTTGCAAGATTAGCTGTATTAATGAAACAATGTAAAGGCGACTGGAAAGGATTATGTTAATATAAGTATTACATATGGTGAAGGCTTATTGAATCCCTTGGGTAAACGAATGCCGCGCGATTAAGTAGCATCTAAACCACTTGACTTTAAAGACGAGTCCTTTGGATTGCAAAGATTTCCCAAATATATTACACAAACGATCAAGTCATTCCGAAAACTTAATATGGAAGAAAATTTAACCGGCGAAAAAGATGATTTAGCAAAAGCAAAGAAGGATTTAATACTAAGGTTCGTAACGGACCAAGAACAACTACAGACCGGCCACACTCCTCCAAAATCAGGCAATAGCGATGAAACATTCGACATAATTGACAGTATAGAAATCCAAAAGGCCAGCCTTAGCAATATGCAATTCGATGATAACACGCCACGAAAGCAAAATGAGCACAGATTATTGAGTTTGTATTCAAACGCTGCAGAGAACAGACCACGAAGTCGAACTAACATATCAAACAACAGGAGAAGTAGGATAAGGGGTAAAAGTCCAGTGGGACTAAATGATCAATTCAGGAGAGAGAAAATAAAAAAGGAAGTACAAGGAAAAAGCTACAGCACCCTTCGTAAACACGAGAATGAGTTTGGACGACTACGATCGGCGCCGAGTTCACAAAATAAACAAAAAGTTCATACGAAAGAGCTTAACTTGCCAACAAAGAAAGCACCGTTAAGTATCATTCTGTCGAAAAAAATCGATGACCGTCATGAAATGACGTCGTTGACTTGCACAAATTTCAAACGCCCTTCCAAAGATATCTCCACAGTAGATATAGCATTACTTAATCAACATACTGTTCCTTCGATAACATCAGCTCACACCTTAATGCATTTGCCACCAATTCCCACAGATACGACAAAAAAACACCCTTCTACTTAGAAGAAGAAACACTCTGTCTCCAACAATGTTTATTTGTAGTATTTAGTTGCTAGCTAAATGTTATATTTCGGGCGAGTATACAAAAATAAGTTCAACTACATATAAAAACTTCAAAACGTACGAGAACGTTAAACAGGACCTTACACCATAAAAATATTTTCCCATGTATTCACTTTCCGCCATACAAATCTATTGTTACAATATGCATGATGTAAAATGACGAGATAGACAAAATGCTGTGATAAATACAGTAAACGTTGTATGAAAAGAACTCTTACACAGTTTTATTTGTATTAAACAAGCATTTTCAAGTTGTAGCCACTGCTGCAAAGATTAGAGAGAGCTCAACCTAAGCATGATGTCTTCCTTAGAGAGAGGTCTAAAATAGAAAGATGCTTACTTTAGAGAGATGACAACGACAAGCAATCACAGAACTACCACCACGTTATGCAGTGGGTGCGAAATTATTTCTTTTCATTATTTTCCCATTCATTATACCTCCTTCAGCAAGAGTTGACCTATTGCTCTGCAGATTTCTTATTCCGTGTCATCACCGACAAAACGGAATTCAACAAATTCTTGGGGCCATAACGAAGATTTTTTGCAAATAAAAGGCATCTTCTTTTGCGTTTTTGAATTATTAGTACTGCTTGCCCAGATGGTCTCTTTATGGTGGAAAGTAAAATCTTAAAACAATTTACCAGCACCACCATACTTTTTATGCGTGTCTTTTGTCGCCAAACGAGCGCTTACTCTTCTCCTTGTATCTCCTCGAGCAAGGCAACCGTGAAAAACATCCATTTTCACCACGACCAGGTAATAAACGTCACCAAAGATCCCACTTATTTTAAACTTGCAATTGAAACATTTCTCTATTTTGTAAATACGTTTTCTTGCTTGTGTGAGGTAATGAACTCTTTCCTTAACTACTTATAAATAATTCCTTTGATTTAACAATATTTTTTAATTCCCAAACAACAACAGCAGGATAACAGTAAGGATAAACGACTTTCATCAGTCGTTCCAGTTCTGTCCCATGTTTCAACGTCTGTTTTAAAGAGGTTCAATAATTATAAAACAGTAGTTTGCACTGAATGCACGACTCGAAATTAACTTCCTCTAACCATTGTCTAAGTTAAACATCTAAAATATCGTCATGGTCAAAAACACCCGTTTTCAGTTGACGATTCAATAACTTGATGGCAACCAAATACACTACAGTCTGCGTCGCATCAGAAGTGACTAATGATGCTAAAACGTAATTCCTTATACAGTACAGGAATGATCTCAAATCAAAACACACTCGTCTACGACTTGCATATACTTCAATAATATATAACCCAATATTATGTAAATTGGTAGACTATTCATAGCATGTCCCTGTTGACTTAAGGACATCAAGAATTCTTTAATGAATAATATATAGAGCATATTCTTCCTGTTCAGACCAACAACAAAAAAAATACAATTAACAGATGTGACGTCTTTCCCCACAGAATCTCAAAAGTGGTGCATGGTGCGAGAAACGCTGCGATGAATGAGCAGAAGGTTTGTAGATGACGAATCACTAAAACATCAAAGCTTAACTATAAGGCAAATAACTTACTGAAACTAATCCGTCAAAGCAGCTGGAAAAAACATCTAATAAGAAGATAATACGGCAGGTTAAAATTAACATATTGAGATAAGAAAAGCGATTGACGTTTTTAGTCAAAAGGCATGCATGCGTAAGCCTATTCGTTTTTCATGGAAATTGTCTGCTGTCGATGATTTATCGAATATATCTGTGCATTTTGAGAAAGATTACTGCATTTTAACAATGGCGTGATGTTCTCTTTCCATATTTAACACATAACAGCACACATCAAAATTCAACATTGGTTTGACACTCAACTGTGTACGAACATCACAAGATAGTTGACATTCTATCATAACTACTCCCAGGGCAAATTTTCATACAAAATCCATTGCACGAATTCTGACGTGTACAATATAAGGGGGAAATTGGGAGAGATGTATAGATTACGTTGCTATGAAGCTAGACCATACGTGTTTACATTTCAATTTGATCGCACGCATATAGAAGCGAAGACCTGCAGATACTAGATAAACCATATCACACATACTTGCAAATTTTACTGATTAAGAGCGATACCATAACCTAAGCGTTCAATAAACTTGTATCATCAGTATGAGACATAAGCTTGACCACAAATATTCGTTTCTCGGAAACTTGGCTTTGCTTAAAAGTATTTATCTGATTTACGTACTCTTTGTTCCCTAAATGAAGCTTCGTTTTCTATGTCGGACATAAATATCTCAAATGCCTATTTATCCACAGAATTTATGAATGAAAGCTGTAGTAGATACGTAAGATGACAAACTCCAAAAACATCGGAGACAAATTCTCGTTGGGGTTCACACCATCAACAAAACGTATACACCCTGGAGGAAACCAAATGCAAGTTTTTAAGCCACGAAGACGCGAGCCAGGTATAATTGATGCAACTCTGGAATCGCAGAAGACAAGGGAGAACAAAAGGAAGGCAGCAATGAAGAATTATTACGAATCTAAACAGTTGTTGTCGCTAACCAAACACTTGGATACGATGAAGGCAGCCTACTTTGAAAAGATGAAACGCGAGCAGTATCGCGTAGGAAGATCTCTTTGGGAACTGGAGCAAAGGAAAAGAAAGATAATGCGTCAGATCTACGAGCACCCACGAGCAACAACAAACAATTTACGAAACCCGGGCCTTTTTTATTTCACCAAACAGAAAACGCAAAAAAGATCGCGGAAAAGACCATTGCCGGAAAAGACATGCGAATGATCATTACACGGATTGTTAAAACTTTTGGGAAGAGAATCATCATGAAACACGTTCAAAGAAATTATATGTGCAAAGTAAAGGTAATATTACACAAAAAATATCGCTACGAAAATTGTAAATCTATTATAGACCTACTGGAAGGTTAACGCTTTTTTGCCCAACGTTGCTTCGGAGCAACAATCATCGAACACGATGGACTTCCATCATCCAAAAAAATTCATGCAGTAAAGAGTTAAAGACGTATTTCTATGTAAATATTATTGTAAAATCATGCAATAGGAATAGATTATACAATAAAATCGTCATGACATTAATTTACATTGATTATCGATGTACGTCTTCATCATTGGGTTAGAGTAGTTTATAATTTAAGTGGTTCGACCCATGGTAGCTAATTATTTGTTCCTTCTTGCAACATTATGAGTAATTTTTTATAACATACCCATTCACAAATATCAATTTTCAAGAGCTTAACTGGTGCCCTAAATTCCAAATTTCGTTTTTGAATTATGGATTGTAGATACCAAATAATTCAACTTAAAACTTAGATAAAAAATTTACCGACCATTCGGTAGCTAGTATATATTGTTCAAATAGCATATTATCCTCGCTTGATTTCAACTTTCACGTCTTCAAGTCCGGAGAAGTTAAGAGGTATCAGCCAGGAAAACGCAAACGGATCTCATTGCAAGAATTAAAAATGTAGATCCTATTTATTAAAATAACAATGAAAACCGCCAGACCACGGATCAAACAGAGATTTCGTTATAAAAGACGAATAACGACATCCTTTCTCCATTTCCCCGAAAGATCACAGAGACAAAATTTTAAATAAATTGTACCTGACGTTAATGCAAGTCAATCCGATAAAGTTGGCGCGTCAGGAAAGATCTTTTCGACAAAAGAGCCTCAGTTAAGTTTGGTCAGTAAAATATTAGCTTCATCGTGAGCAGTTTGGTCCTAAAAAAACATCGCTGTTAGAGGTAGGAAATGTCACTGAAACTCAATAAATGTTTTTATAACAATTACTGGACTGATTCAGACAATAGACAAAAAAACGCGAACCTAAATAAATGTCATATGATGAACTTATCATTCTAAAATTATATGTTTCATACGTACGTATGTCATAATGATTTATCAAAATATATTTTGGTAGTTGACAAACCTAGTTGCCATTTAGTTAGTAAACGCTTGCAGCTCACAGCACGCAAGTTAGGTTATGTTATGTAAGTTTGGTCACACCACATCATTATAACTATTCATTTCTTTAGAAATCTATTGTTTTGTACAGCAGCGAGTGAACACCAGCTGGTGGCTATGTCACTGAGGAAATTTTTACTCAAATCTACCAAAGATACTCAGCACTTATTACACTTATTACTCAGCCCCTAAAGGAATAAATAACACTAAATACTAAATATCACGACATTTTTAAAGATTCCCAGTGACAACTAACAAAACGTATTCTTGTAGTTTTGACGTTGGACATAAGCATTCAATAAATTTATCTATTCTTTTGAAGAAATGTAATGTTACTGTACATCTTTATTATTGACGGAAAGATCCAGAGATTTCTTTAACAATTCCTTAGCCTTTTGAGGATTACCAAGATTATGGTGACACTAAAAAAAGGTACAATATGGTTGACACCGTCATCAACGCAAAGGGATAAAACGAAAGCAGCAGCAATACCTTGGCCATAAATAATGTTATGCCCTTAGAAGAAGTTCCGTCGCCCAGTTCTTCCGCCTGAAACATGAAAACATTGTGATTTTGAACAAAAATAGTGCTGACGTCACCTATTCAAGAAAATTTGTTACACAGTCCAGCCAGTAAGCAACATAGAAGACGAGCTTCACTGTCCAGTTGTACAAATAACTGTAGTAACCCTGATTCACAAGATGACAACTACCAACAAGTAATGTTGCTAATAGTGAAAATTACTTTACTACTATTCAAAGTCAATTTTGAAATTGGGTTGAGTAAGTCGTTTCTTAAAGCACGAGTGACCTCATTCTTCACATGGCAGTTAGCAAACTACAATAAATTCTTCAAATAGTTTGAATCTGGGTTTGTTATTCATGTTGATGTATTTATTTAAAAAATGTCTGACAAATTAAACAATTTTTGTAAATATATGATAACCTAGAAGATCCTTAAATACTACATAAGTCTAATTAGCGCAACGATGAATTATCTTTGATTCATTGCTTAGAATTTATAACAATGTTTTTTCTATGGGACTTCTTTTCTGTACTGTGTTTATATTATTAACCTAAATTGGGGGTGAGTTTGTCATCAAAACTGGACTCCCATCATACCATATTGGCAAAAGAACTTAAGTAAACCTATCGCTTTATAATATTTATGCCTCATGTGACATACTATCAAAGTTCCCAGACCCCTAGCTTCCTTCACGTAAATAACATACAACAAAACATTACAGTTACATGTTTAAAACATTACATTTACTTTAAAACATTAGTCTAGTATCAAATTTTGCCACGTTTTTCACTTTTGACGAATACAGCGTTGAATACATACAATAATTTATTTTGGCTAATTAGCTGTCCGTGGAAGAAAAATAACTCTTACTTTTTGAAAGTGTTTTATAGCTTCCTCGTAGGACGACGTTGGAGGTTCGCCAAAAAAAGTGGCTGCCGCTCTACGTTCCCACCATGAGAGATTGGCGATCTAGAAACAAGAAGAGACGCGTAGTTTAGATGGTGCTTGTTGTATCAACACTGCTATCAAATAAATACTGATATTTTATCAATCTTTCTAGTTCGTTTTGAAAAATTATAGGTGCACGAAAAAGGGTCAGTTTCAGTTTCTATGGTATAAAATACGTGATTTTAAATAAAGCTACACAACAGCATCCTTACAACCTGCCTTAAATAACGAGCATTATTTGTTTAAATTAAACTCATTCAAATAATTATAACGTAATGAAAAAGTTAAGTCAATGAAACCAGCTTCACATTACACGCTATACAAACAATGAATGCAGTTCATTTTCATAGACTATTATATCAAACACTTTGATTGTCCACATTAGCACAAACAAGATGATTACTTTGGCGACCATGTGCGTCATCTATTACGACCGGAGAGTTTGAAAGATAAGTTTAAAACGCCACTTTACCGCCTGCCTGTAAAACTTTGACTATACAGGGACTGCAGAATCTTTGGGAGTGCTAAAACACCACGAATTCTTTCTCACTTCTTCTATCCCTGGGGCCGGATAGCGTTATCCATTGAATAGCAAGTTTTTTTAAACTTTTATAAAACCTTTCAAAAAGCAAAAAATATAAGATTCGAAGTGAACAATCACTGAAATAAAATATTGTTTCGAAGGTTACGAAACTTCTTTGTCGTATGAAAAATATGAACTCCTTTTTTATATTGAAAAATTTGCTATCCAATGGATAACACTATCCGGGCTTCGTGCAACCGGTAATGTAAGCATTGGATTTGTTTATTAGCTTATACGTTCAAGGTGGAAAATATTGGCTTCTCCGCAGGTCCCTTTATACCAGCACTCGAAGGAAGAAATGCACGTTGATCTAAATAACTCTTAATTGCAGTTGCAATTGTCTCAGCCATATAAACTCTACAAAAATTTTGACATACCCCATAACACCATCTTCCAAGGAGGTAATAATTGATTGAATCTTTTGGGTTTAACTCTATTGATTTTGAAATGGCTTCCTATACACCATGAAACAGCAAATGACTCAAATGGAAACAACCAAACAGCAATTGTTACATTATGCCCGATTAGGGTACTTTAGAATCACAATGGCAAGAATTGTGTACTTTAAAACCACAACGACAAAAAGTGGGTTTCTTAAGAATCACAATGGCAAGAACTAGATACTAAAGAATCACAATGGCAAGAACTAGATACTAAAGAATCACAATGGCAAGAACTAGATACTAAAGAATCACAATGGCAAGAACTAGATACTAAAGAATCACAATGGCAAGAACGGGGTACTTAAGGATGAAAGTGGCAAAAACTGGGTACTTAAAGACGACAGAGGCAAGAACAGGGTACTTAAGGATGAAAGTGGCAAGAACTGGGTAATTAAAGATGACAGTAGCAAGAAAGGGGTACTTAAGGATGACAGTGGCAAGAACTGGGTAATTAAAGATGACAGTAGCAAGAAAGGGGTACTTAAGGATGACAGTGGCAAGAACTGGGTAATTAAAGATGACAGTAGCAAGAAGGGTACTAAGGATGACAGTGGCAAGAACTAGGTAATTAAAGATGACAGTAGCAAAGAAAGAGGTACTTAAAGATGACAGTGGCAAGAACTGGGTAATTAAAGATGACAATAAAGAAAGGATACTTAAGGATGAAAGTGGCAAGAACTGGGTAATTAAAGATGACAGTAGCAAAGGGAAGTACTTAAGGATGACAGTGGCAAGAACTGGGTAATTAAAGATGACAGTAGCAAGAAAGGGTACTTAAGGATGACAGTGGTAAGAACTGGGTAATTAAAGATGACAGTAGCAAGAAAGGGGTACTTAAGGATGACAGTGGCAAAAACTGGGTACTTAAGTATCACAATGAGAAACATTTAGTATTTATAAACACTACTAACCTGAAATTTATAAGCGTAGGTAATTTGTTCGTTTAATGGCCTAAGTTGACATGACATTCCAAGCAGGATTCCATACCTTAATGATAAATATGAAAAAATAAGACTTGCTCTGTGAGCAAAGCAAACTAAATGCACTCATTGGTTTGTATCAAACCAACCATTTCCTTGCTAAGTAATGATCTTCTGCTACATCAATGGCACGTTCAGCAAGTCTCAAGCCTATTTAATGAAAAAATTAACACTGTAAAATCCCATTTCTAAAATTACCATGCTAAATACTTCAAGGTGGGAAATGGAAAATTCAAACAAGCTTTCCGCTCCTGGAAATAAATGTTTTTGAACTAGGTTATACAAAATACCATGTTGTGAGCAGTAATGCTGGGAGCTGGTGAAGGATTTTTGACATGTTTACCAGAGTCAAAACAAAATTAAATTATAGTAAACGTCCAACTAAATCAATGTGAAAACCACGATCAAGAATACAGAAAAAATACGTGGTTATTGTTTCCAAAAAGTTAAGAATTATCTAGAAATAAAGTAAATGGTTCGAGCCCGAGAGTATCATTACATGTTAGTAGATGTCCAGGTTAGTATAGTCCTGAGAAGGACTGTTGTTATTGATGTAGACTGACATTTCAAAAAAATTAGTGGTAGTCATCTTCAGAGTCAGTGAGGAATAAACGTCAGGTTTGCCGTATTTGTTGTCTGGTTCATACGTCATCGTATGGTGTGTCAAGGAAAATTGTGGGTGAGTGGGTGTCAATTGTGTATTGTGCTCGTGGATTCGTCTACATTTATGTATGAATGCAGTGATATCTGAAGCAGTTTTTTCTTTGGGCTGGAGTTTAGAAGGAGAAAGAAATTTTTAGCCGGATGGAGGTTTTTTCTGGCAACAGCTGCAGTTTTTTTAGGCAGAACCAGAGGTGTTTTTTTGGCCAGAGCACGAGCTTGAAATATTGATCATGAATTTGTTCAGCACAAGAGAATGTTTCCATTTCATATTGCTGACAGTAAACATTTGAGGAATAACCAAAGATTGTATTATTTCTTGTAATGAAACAATAATAAGTTATTGAAATATAATCCACAGAACTTTTAAAGTTATTGGTGGGCAGGCCAACATCCGACACTTAATAATTTTCAGGATAGCCAGTATTTCTCCTCTTGTACATCAACAAAAGTTTAAAGAAAATGGAAACAAGCAAAATATTTTACATGATATTATTGCACATAAATCTCTTCTTTCTGTTAATGAAAACCCAGGAAAACACACACACATACATCTTGTCTACTCAAAGATTATTTTTGCCAAACTATAACTACATACCTTCAAAACAAGCTTCTTTTGTTTCATGAGCATTAACTACAAGATCTGATTTGCATTTGTATGCCCTTGCACATCTAAACAAGACTTCCACATTATCTGGATCCTGTTTAGAGAAGATAGATGAATATCAATACAATATATCACAAAACATTTTGATTAAAAAGGTTATGGTTATCATGATGTAGTAGGAAACAATTTGATGTCATGAAGTATTTGCAATTTCTGAAGAGTAATCACAAGGTATAATTGCACCAAAATGCACTTACTTTGGATAACAGATCTTCTAACATATTTATTTCTGTTTCATTATCTTTGATGTTCTTATTTCCAGATAAATCATCACATTTTTTCAAAATTTCATCCAAATTTAAGATGAAGTTCTCTTGAAGACTATTTGAAACAATACAATATAACAAGCTCAGGTGAAGAAAATCACAACATGCAATGTTTACAAGAGTCAAATCTCTATTTATAGACACCTATAGTACTCAGACACTGATTTGGACTCTTTTGCAATATGCTATTACCTTTCATAAAGTTGAAAACTCCCATGACAGGAGCAGTAGATACAAGTCACTAAAGTGTTTATTGTGTTACTGGATATCTAGATAGTTCAGTTTCACAACCTGTATAGATACCTGTTATTTAATTCATTTGAGTCAATCGCTATGTCTTCATCATCAAAGTCAAAGAAATCATCTTCCGAACTGCTATCTTTTACTTGTGGTGGCATTTCTTTGATATCATTCTTGTTCACCATAAGGTCCAGATTTGTGTTCCTTTCTGTAGTTTTGGTTAATAAGCGCTCATTTGAAAAATCGGACGCTGTCGTTTGAAAGTGTTGGACAATTATAAGTCGTAGTTCTTTTATTTCATTCCTCATTCGATTAATAGTACGGACAAGTTCATGGTTTCTTGATTGCTCGTCAAGTTTTCTCGCGAGAAAGACACCAAGTGCAATACCAGCTCCTGCGCCAAGTCCAAAGATAAAGCAACGTTTGGCATTCACGTAATTTGCACCCATACCGAAGACTATTCTAAATCTTTTCGTAACTTTCGCCAAAAAAAGCCGTACAAACATGCGGAGAAGACAGGCCATAGAAACGTGTCACGTCTACTTTATGAACAGGCGAAAAAAATACCATGGCTATTATTACAAAAATAAAATCACGAGGAAATGTCTTTTCAGCAGAATTGAAAACAGTCACACAGTTTCCACGCTTTGCACTTTGAACTTCGCTGCACAAAGCAATGGCACCACCACTAAGTCACCAACGAAGATGGAGAAGACGAGCCAAGTAAAAAGAGCCTGGAATCCACCAACCGTATGCCCTACAAAAAATTTATGATAAAAACCACAAGTGCTCATGTTTGAAATAAGATAACTTTCACTTACAAATTGCCTTATCCTGGAACTGTTGATCCCAAAGGAAGCGTAAACACAATTGAATACAATAATACATAGTAAATATGTATGTTGAAGCTATTGCATAATATTGCACATTGCAAACCCATGGCAAGAAATTTGTTCATTATTGCTGAGTCCAGCTGAATCGTGCAAATCCTAATTGTTGGCCGATTTCAATGATTAGAGCAAAGGGCTTATTTAAGAGAGAAGGACAAATAGACATGAATCAAGCTTTGGCATGCACAGTTCTGTGTTCTGCTTCATCACTAATATGGTTTAAATTTCCTATTTAGCAATACACACAAAACTAGCCTAAGTTCTATGGTTATTGGAAAGTCTACATCCATAAACCACTTGTGGCAATAATAATAGAATAGTTGTTATTTTTTAAGAATATCATCACCTACCTCACTGACTGTGATGGTAGAGCTTGATAACTAAAAGGTCAAATATTTGAAGAAAGCAGACTGTTGTCAATTTGTCATTGTGTGTTCCCAGGTTTATACATGTTTATACCGTTCACATTCAAAAAAATTTGCATGACGTCACATGTATCATTGTAACTCGATAAACGTAACATATATAAATAAAACTCGATATGACGTCACATATATTATCAAAGCAAAATTATCAAAGCAAAATCACGCGCAGCAAGTGCCAAAATCGTTCTAAATCGACCAGTTAAATTCTTTGAGCCAAAAAATATGTTAAGTGCACGTACTTAAAGTCAATAGAAAAGGGCACAAAAATTTTACTGTCTAAGTTGTTTTCAACGTTGCCAACATATTGCGCCCACAAACATTTAGAGCATAATTTACAAAACAAAACCATACTTTATGTATATTTACATTTTGACTAGCTTTATATTTTTAGGTTCTCGTTGTTGTATAGAAAAAGATTCCAACATGCCTTACATTATAATTTCTACAATGATTAGAACGGTATGTGCGAAAAAAACTCATTACTTTGATATTCAAGGATTATTTGTCAAAGGCATGTTGACATTCTAGGAAAGTGGACCAACCATTGTAGGTGATGAATGGTCAGATCCAGAACTAATGAACTATCTCAAAGCAAAACTTAGCCAAGAATATGGAAATAATTTGTGAGTATTTTAAATTAATCAATATAATTCCATGATTTACAATTGTAAAAATAAAATTCACACTGAGCAATTTGCTGCTTGGTTGTCTGTCATAACAAGCGGCCACACTTGCCCAAAGTTTTTGCACAGTTAATAGTTAGAATTTTTTCACAAATTTCCCACTCTATATCATTGATATCAACATGAAATGAAGTACTTTAACTACCTATAGTAAAGAATATCGTTCACCAGACCCCCCACGGGTAATTTTAAACAAGTTGGAAAAAAAAGGCTACCACGTTGTCTCAATGGCTGGTGCGGGACAAACATGTTTATGGACTTGTTATGGAAAAGAATGAAACTGAAACTTCATTTATATCAATACACAAAGGTCATCATCATCAAATGCAATCCATGAAGATAAAACTTCATCAATTGTGTATCAATTCCATAAGTTAGATTGGAAGTAAGTGTAGATTATCAGTTTTGAATTTTGCATACTTGCCATTTGTTGTATAATAAATCTGTAGTCATTGTAATAACTTGTAAGTTATGAATGAAATTGTTTTAGATAGTTATTGGTCCCATTCTTCATGTTTACTTTTGGGGCACTCTTGCTAACCACCTACCTTCTTGTCTCGTTCAAGGATGTTGAGTGTAGCCTGGTCTCTAAATTCTCACGGAAGAATAGTCTATGATTACTGCTACCTAGATTCTTCATTAGCAATCTCTTCACATAATCTCTTTCTTTCCTCAGCTTGACGTAGTTTTCTCATCACTAATGTTTCAAAGTCTCTTTCCAAAGCCAAATTTTTTGGTGAAGATTTAAACTAAAATATGAGTTAATCAAAGCTAAAAAGTTAATTCTGCACCCATATGAACTGGATATGCCATATTTAACAAGACCTACATCAACCTGAGTTTCGACAGTTGTGGTAGGTACATTTGGGTTACCAATTCCTTCTAACCATGTGATTTTCAAGGGATTAGCTGGATTTCCATATTCATTTTCAACAGCCATTTTCTATTGTAAACACAACAATTCTAATAAATGTTTATACATACCAAATTGCTAAGGTCCAATTGCCCATAAAAAAGTAATATCAAGGCAAAAAACATATCGGCAACACTTACAGCAGAGTTAAAATCTCTAAATTCAATGATAGCACTACCCATTTTCTTTGAAGAGACCAAGAGATTCTCAATATCACCATACTACTCAACGTAAAACATGAGATAGTTGAAAGATTTTCTTCCTTATCTATTCACTTACTCAAATTCCATGTCAGCCAACCTTTCTGAACATTGATCTGAGAATTTCAGAAGAATATCCGCCATTAGTTGTGTCACTTTTTGAACATTTCCAACGAAGCTAAAAAACGGGAAATTTTCTCAATTAAAGATGATATGTAATTAGGATCTAATCAACAATCAATCTCCATTGAAAAATTATCACACCCTTTCATGACAAATACAAAAATATCCCTAAGGTTTACCTTAAGTTTTGGAGTAGGGGTAAAGTCATTATCTTGTCTAGTTGATGATTCTTGTTTCTGTCTCTCTTTTTCAATCACTTGTTTCATTAATTCTTGTTCTCTTTGCAATATTTTTAAGCCTTCTTCCCTCAAATGTTCAATCTAAAAAACAATGTTTAACATTATTGTACATGTTACTTATATTATCAATTAGCCAATAACAAGCTCAATCTGTTCAGTGTTACCTATTCGGTCATATCATACATGGTACTCTATCAATTACAATACTTGGATTATCAATGTAAATATAAATTATAATACCTCCCTTTCAAAATTCCTAACAATAACTTCATCTTTATTGAACTCCTCTTGACTTGACTTCTCCCTTTCCTCCAAATCTGTTATTGTAATTCAAAAATTATTTTTGAATAGGATGAGAAGGAAATACTTCCAAATAAACCTTAAACTTGAAAACAATATTTTCCAATAAAGTGAGCCACACTAGCCTTACGTATTTCAGACAGGATCAAAACTTGTAGATAAGTTCGAACGCTGATAAGTCGATGAGCAATGGCTGTTATTTTGAAAAAATTATGGTCTTTGACTTTCTTCTAGTTCATTACTTAAAATACCTTCTTTAAACTTCTTTCGCTTGCTGTCGTAGGCTTGAACACGCAATCTTGCCCTTTCTTTTGCCTTTAGGGTTGCATCATATGCTGCCTTTTGGCAAGAATACAAAAAGTAATTCTTGTAAATTTTCCTGGATTGCATATAGTATGTATATAGGAATTTTTCTGAAAACAAACCTTAGCTTTTGGATTGCCAATGACTTCAAAAGCTTTGCTAAGCTTGTGAAAAAGTTCAGCTAAGAAGATCAAAAAGTTTGATAATTGGTTATTGACTAGTTCTCTTAGTATATGGGAGACTTAAGAGATATACAACACAGGCAAGATTTAAAGAGAATTGTATTCACCTGCATTGGGATTATCTGGATTCTTGTCTGGATGACATTTCAACGCTTTCTTCCTGTAAGCTTTGGTGATCTGAAAAGCGAACACAACAAAAGAGTTTGCATTTCTGTTACAGAATTGAGCACGCTATATTTGCGAGAATTCATTAGAATTTTTGATGCATGAAATTTTCATAGCTGCGGAAAAGTTAACTACCTGTTTTTCTGTAGCATTTCTTTCGATTTCTAACAGTTCATAATATGTCATTTCGTCAGCCATTTTGGTTTTATCCATATAAGGAAAGCATGTGGCGCCTTTATGTAGACTACATCAAGTCTTCACTTTAGAGATATCTTGGGAAGATATTGCTCGTACAATATAGAAATTATAGCAAATGATTTGTCAAAATGACCATGGATCCGTTGTTTTTAGCGCTGAGCTTGTTTCGTAGGAGAAAATTTGAGGAATCTTCGGCATTGTGTACAGAACTATTAAAGAAAAATCCCTTTGATCAGGTTAATTATACAACAGTTGGCGGTCGCGAAGTGTCAACAATTGTTGCTATGATTATATTGTGATTATACACGTAGCATTTTTTAGAAAAATAGGAGAATTTTTTGGCTTTAGAAGTTAATTTTTTCTTTAAATAGTGTCTAGATTTTAAGTATTTTACTACTTTACACTCAAGTTATTCAGTTTTTCGCTTGTTAAAATGCTCAAATTTCCACTCAATCACGCACCCGCATCACATGTTTTTGAAGAATACGATTGATTCTTCGTTGTTAAGATATATTGTCAAGAGAGAATTACATTTTGTAGATAACCTAAGCTTCTACCTACTCTTTATAAGGCAAATCAGTTTGCGAACATGAAAACCATGGTTTTAATACAAACAAAAATCTAATCACAGGCAGCGTGGTGTCTAAAGACCAGAGCTTTGACAGAACAGGTGTATGTTGATGAAGTAGAAGTAGATGAAGAAGGACTTGCAGAAGTGTTAATGGATGACAATTCTGTGGCTCAGTTACCAAGTTAGCAAGCAATGTTTTAATATCTTAATTCTAAGAATGTGTTAAGCAGATTTTCAGCTAATAACTCACTTAAGCACTTTTTCCTAATTTCTTCCATTTCTTTTTTCCATTCCTCAATTTAACAGCATTTAGTAGTTGTTCTTTCTATCTTTGTGTGCATATACAACATTTGTTTAGTTTAACATACAATGAAGATTCATTCAATTTTTTTCTCTAAATTATTCAAGGACCCGGAACATCATTGAAAAATCCTGGCACAGGAATAGGGGCACCAACACCTGGAGTCAGGTTAGTTAGCCATTTCTAGCATTTTATAAAATATTGAGCACAAAGTCTTGTTTTTATACACAATGTGATATTTTTGTACACAGTTATCTCCCATTGCATTCATTTTGCTCATCACAGTAACTGGAGAAATAGTTCATGTCTTGATGATAAATTGAGCAGATTAAAATTGAAAATTTCTTTTAATTAACTCTACTGGAAAAGCAAACAAACTTAATGGTTACTTTGGACTCAAATAATTGATGAACATTGAATAGCAGAAAATGTCATTTTTTAAAATTCTTTTTATTTGCTTGTTTGTTACACAATAATTTGTTTGTTTTGTATTGAAGAGCTTGAAAACAAAATTGTAGTTTTTCAAACAAAAGTTCTTTGTAAATTTTGTGCTTCTCTTGCTAACCAAATGATTGGGGACAGTGAAATTTTCTGGCTTTGATATTGACATTTACAAGCCAACAGTTTTACGATGTGTTATTTCTTTTAGACCCATGTCACAATCTGGACGTCCTTTGAGTGGTTTCATTAGGCCTGGTACCCAAAGTGCCAGACCTGGAACCATGGAACAGGCTTTGCGTTCTTCACGGACTGCGGGTGGTACGGCAAGGTGAGTTTTTTTGAGGAATAAGAGAGCTTTTTCGAAAGCCTTATCTGGTCTATATGATTTAATTAGAATTCTTTTAGTTGCTTATTAAACAAATCTGTAGGCGAAGAGTTTACAATCAAACTTTACTTACAACTTTCAGACCGGTTACGAGTGCTTCTGGTCGTTTCGTCCGTATAGGAACGGTAAAGAATTTCAACATCTATTTTGTTTATTTAGTCTCACCTGCTTAAGTCTTTTTTTGGTCGTCGATAAAATAAAAACACTGCATCTTTGAAGATCTGTTTCAGGCGTCCATGTTGTCTCAGCCAGACGGACCTTTTATAAACGTAGCGAAATTAAACTTCGCCAAGTATGCTCAGAGACAAAATCTGGCGAAGGTGAACGTTTTATGCTGTTTGCATATGTAAAACATTCTTATACTTTTCTTTTTTATCTAATGGTATGTCTCGTTTTAGTCCCTTTTTGAATACATCTTTCATCAAGAAAATGACGTGAGAAATGTAGGTAGAATCCACGTTAAATTTTCAAGAGTACAATGAAAAGTATAACCTAGAGAAGATAAAGTTATATGCTATAGGTGACCCTTTTGTTCATGCAGTGATGGATTTTCTTTATGCCAAACAACAAAAAAGAAGACACCCTCTGATGTATGTAGGGAGAAATCGAATGCAACTACTTTGTAGTCATACTCTACGGTTTTTGTGAAAAACATTCTCTTATTTTATAACACTACATGCTTAAATTAAGTATATAAGATTTGATTTGTGAACTGTGTGTAAAGCGAAGTGATGATGGCATTTCGTCAGGCTTTCATATCTTTCGATATAAACGATGGAGGATAACACAGGGTCCCATCTTCTGAAAACGTCAGTTGTCATGGTAATGAATTATTGTAGGCTTTAGAATTAGCAGCACGAGCGACCGAATCCAGTAAGTTTAAAGACTGGTGGTGGAAAGTTCAATTAGCCAAATGTTATTACAGGTGTGTAAATGTTAGAAATATAGCAATTTTAGCTATGAGATAACGCTTGTCAATCTCATGGTATGACACATGAACTGCAAAAAAACTACCTTTACAATATTTGAATTGCATAAAAAATACATTAAGCCCCGTTTACACTATACCGGATTGCTATCGCAGCAGGTTGAATATTCTTTGCATTAAAAGGCAGTGAAATTTTTCAAAGTCAGAAACACAATCAAATAGACTAAATCTATCAGGTAAATAAGCTTTTACTCCGAACAGTTAGCCCTTTAGAGCAAATGAAGATGTCGTGATGAGCGAATCCGGTATAGTGTAAACGTAGACTAAACCATGATTTGGCTAAGGTGGTGATGAATGAACAAGAAGAGACTATACACGTAAAATTTATAAGAAATATGAAACTATGTGTTGGTGAAGGTTGTAATGAATGAACAGACAACTAACCTGAACAGTTTTTGAAGTTCCTAAAGCTTATGATAAATAAAGAGCAAAATTTGTTAACATAGGTAGTACTGAATGTTTTGTTCCTATCTCTCACAGACTTGGTATGTTTCGTGACTGCGAAAAACAGTTAAAATCATCCCTGCGCGATGATGAAATGGTCGACTCGTATTTATACCTCGCAAAAGTTTATGTTCGGCTTGATCAACCACTTACGGCCATAGATGTCTTGAAGAAGGTAACATCTCAAATATAAACATTAGCAAATCTGAACGCATACAAACACCAACAACAAATGGTTTCAATTTAAGTTCAAGAGAGTCAATACGTAAAACATTCTATCATTTCAGGGTGTTGAAAAGTTCACTGGTGAGACTGCTCTTCTCACTGGAATAGCAAGGATTCACGAGGTTGTAATGTAATTTATATTATAAAACTTTTCCTTGTTGTAAAACACACCAAGTGTCGTGGTTATCATTTGTTCAAGCTGTAACTGTAAAGTTTCTTTCCGTTGTCTGTAGTTCATGTATAACTAAGCTTTAACTTTCATCTATTCACAAGGGATTGAACAACATGACGGACGCTGTTCAGGTTTACAAGGATGTTTTACATTACGACAATACTCATGTCGAGGCAATCGCTTGCATTGCCACGCAACATTTTTACACCGATCAACCGGAGATTGCTTTGAGATATTTCAGGTAATGAAATATATTATTATAATAATAAAATGCGTAAGATGTACCTCAATGTACCTTTTATGTCCTCTTGACTAATGAAGGTGGGGAGTTTATTTATCTTACAAATATTTAGACGTTTACTTCAAATGGGAGTGTACAACACGGAACTGTTCAATAACCTTGGATTGTGTTGCTTCTATGCACAGCAATACGACATGGCTTTATCGTGCTTTGAAAGGGCGTTAAGTCTTGCCTCAGACGAAAATATGGCAGATGTATGGTACAATATTGGTCACTTGGCTTTGGTAAAAACTGCATCAGCGTGTCCTAAAAATCTTCTAAAAAATCATTATTAAAAAAATTCCGACACATTTAATGTTGTGCCAAACGTCAAAACTTTGAAGTGACTTACGAACATGACGATTTTGACGTTTACACAAGAACACATAATGCAAAAATGCCTTTTGAGAAAATTTACAATCAATTGTAGGTTAAAGGTTTTTTCTTTAATCATGTGTTAATTATTTTTCTTAAAGCGCATTGGTGATCTTGCAATGTCCTATCAATGCTTTCGTCTTGCTCTGTCCGCAAACAACAATCACGCCGAATCTTACAACAACTTGGGCGTATTGGAATTCAGAAAGGGGAACATTGATCAGGCGCGGGTCTTCTTTCAAACTGCACAGAGCTTGGCTTCTCTTATGTATGAACCTAGCTTCAATTATGCTTTACTCTCGCAAAAGGTGCGTAAATAAAATGGTTGCTTTTACATATATAAAGAATATTTGTTGTTAAACTTTAACCTCCCATCTCTCATTAGGTTGGTGATTTACAAAACAGTTTTGCAGCAGTGAATAAATCTTTGGAGGCTTTTCCTGAGCACTGGGACAGTAACGATCTCTTGAGACAACTCCGAACGGAATTAGACGCTTTGTAATCATGACGTCATATACAAAGCCCGTCAAAAACTTGTAAAGTGCAGCTTTTCTATACGCGCACCGAATCATAGGGAACGTGCAAACTTCTATTTAATTGTAAATAGTTAAATACAAAATTCATGTAGGATAGTTTCATGTATGAGGTTTTATAATTCATGCATGGCATTACCAAATGATTGACTAGAGCTGCACGGCTAACCGAAAAATTGGTTATTTCGGTCTTTACGTACAGAAAACTTTTTATGTAAAAAAACCGGTCGTTTCGGTTTAATTTTTACGTTTATCTACGCCCTCCTTATTGCAAACAGAAACATTTCAAAAACAATGATAATAATACGTAGTAATAAGTAAATAGATGTCGGGAAAATAAAATACCCCAGTGACTGACTCCAATCCATTCAAAGCAATCAGGGCAGTATATGATATCACAAATTTCAAAAAACACATACAAATTAGCAGACGTTATCATTAGTTAGCTTACGCCGAACTGTGCAAATTAATGGCATCTCGTCTTAATGTTCATGATTGAGTTAGTCCGTTCGTATTGTTTCTTATTTTTTTGGACAAGAACAAACATCAAACAAAACCGAGTTTTTTTCCCTTAAGAAAAACCAAAACCGAACTCAAACCGAGATGAAACCATTGGAGCCACACATGCAGTTCTACTATAATGGCTAAGCAGTCAGAACAGAACGGACATCAACGTGAACGCAGATAAAATTATAATATATCGTGATATGACATTAAATATAAATTTAAGTATATTTATTTTTAGTTCATAAATCAATCGCGTACGACCAGCATACTTCTAAAACGGCAGTATTCAAACGCAACTAATAAGAATGTCACGTGTGCATAATGAATGATTAGTTGGGTGAAACTATGCAAAAATACGTTTATAGAAATAGGTTGGATGGAACCTTAACTATATTGTCAAAGGAGCATCGACTTTCTTGGGAGGAACAGAACATTTTGCATCACCGCATGGCTTAAAACGACGCAACCTGAAGAAGGAAAATTTTTGCGTTAGAACGTTGTAAGCATTGCCACAAAAAGGACACAAAGAACAATCACCTGGCATTGACACATCGTTTCGACTGTCCTTCAAGCGGTGGTTTAGGCCCCATCAATATACCATTATTATCCTTCTCATTCACAGGTACTTCCACAAGTTTTGTCCCATCTATTAAATCACGTACATTTGTTTCAGAAAAGGATGTTGTACGTTTCAAAACTACTTTGGTTAAAAATACGACACTGTTCGGTTCATTTTCACTGATTTCTAAGGAAATCACTTTTTCACTGACAGAGTTATCATCTTCTACTTCATATACATTACTGGCCCTATTTAGTACATCATCTTCTTCCTTGACTACATCATCGGTCATATTTCCCAATCTAACTTCCTCATTATCTGCCCCCTTAAATATACGGACCGGCCGTGAGGACGTAATTATTTTAACTAAATTTTCAGTGTCATCTGCATGATAGGAAATCTTCAGAGCATCAAGATGATGAGTGGAATCATCCGGTAAAGATGTTTCTGTTACAGGATGGAATTGTGAAGCACCCGTCTCCTCTAAAGGTTGATTTTGTTTTTTTGTTAATTTCTCAAGATTTGGGAGTTTCCGACCTTTGAAAATCTTATGAAGAACGCAACCTTCAGATTTTGAAGTTTGTATGTTTGATGTGAAAACATCAACGTCGCCAACCGTTTGTTGAACTTGTTCATCGCCCTCTTTCTCTTGTCCTTCTATATTCACATTAGCTTCTTCCAAACTCGAGTACTCTGATAACTTTTCTAAAAACGTTTCAATCCTTTTCGGCTGCTCAATTGTTTCACGTTTACAAGAACTTTCTAATGGCGCAATACTTTCATCATTACTTCCATTAAAATCAAAAGAATGTGGCTCGCTTCGCTGAACACTGTCGTATTGTTGATTTGTAACGGTAGCAAGTTGCTGTTGTTTAATTAAGCTCATTCCATCAAAAGTTGTGCTTTGAAGCAATCCGTTATCATTGTAAACATCTTCTTTGTTGGTATTTTCATCGTCACCTATATTTCTTACATTGTTAATTTCTTGTGAATTTATATCAGTATCAAGTAGTGGTCCATCTTTATTTATATCATTATTAAGTAGTGGTCCAACTTTATTTATATCATTATCAAGTAGTGGTCCATCTTCACTTCCTTTGACTGGGGTCGAGACTTCAAACACGATTCCCCTGTCGTCGTCGTCGTCATCATCATCAATTTCTTCATCCACCCCATAGTATGATTTTATTTCCTCTCCAAGGTCATCTATTATTATCGTTGATCCAACTTTACTCCCTTTCATCAAACCAGATTGTAAGCTGGGTAGAATCAAACTCATACCTTCACCCTTACTTAGTTCTCTCTTTAACTTCGAGACGAAGCTGTTTGACTTTCCTATGGTCTCATTATCCTTTATAACCGGTGCCTGGCCATAGACACATGCTAGACTACTTATTGCCAATTTCTTCAAATGATCATTTGCCTCATCCGAAGATGGTGGCGAATCCCAGTCAAGTCCTACACCTGCCAAGCTATCACGACTTGTAACTCGGGAACCGATCGTACATTCCCGGAGTGCAGGCGATTCTTCATCAGAAGGTGTCGTTGTAATACCTTCAGCTGGAAGTAGGACGTTCGAGCTGTGTTCGGGTATAACGGCAGTCATTTCTGGGACGTATTCTTCATGTTCGCTTTTAGAAATATTCCCACTCTTCATGGCGTCATCCTGTTGTCCTTCTTTTGTGAAATTACCGTTAGCCACATCTTTTACTTCACCATTTACATAAATCGCATGCTTACCAATATCTACAAAAACAAAAGTATTTCCATATTTATCCCTGTAATCCGCTCTCTTAATCCAACTGTATTTCATCGGATTGTCAATGTGTATTCCCAAATTACCCGTGTTCATAACCTCATTATCCTCTTTTTTCCCCAGAGTACCTTAACACATGCATATTTTATCCCTTAATGCTACTTGGTGACCGCTGTTTAACCCCTTACTATAAATACCACCCGAAGTAATAACTCAATATTAGTGATCTTAGTGCTTATACTTTCTGAAGTGCTCTGAATGCCTCCTCCGTCTTGGATACGATGATGATCTATACCATCATAAAAATCAACCATACGCAGAGGGGCGTCGAAACTGCACTTAATCGATTCAACTTCGTTAACGCAATCTTCCTTCATGATGACGCCATAGACTTCCTCCCCTTCGACATCGTATAGATCGGAAAGCTTCGGAATGGTAAACGAATCCCGACAGGCTAATGTGGGTTGGTAATTTTGTGGTTCCTCTGATCCACCCCAAGGAGCGGCAGGTATCGAGTTGAAATCACACGGTATCAATAAACCTTTTGATCCTGAACATACAACTGGATCCTCGACAGAATCATATAATCCCACATGATTGCCGCCATTGTCAACCTCCTCGTATTTGCCATCTCTAACACGTACATCCTTGGTGGGTACATTGAAGGAACAGTATCGTGGACTACTGATCTCGTTCCTATGAAACAACGCCATCTCATCGGTATAAACTACTAATTCTTCACCAATTGTTGTTTTTATGTTATCATCATTAGAAGCAACTGGCGAGACTGTATCTTTTATATTCCTGGGACATGCAACAGGGGTGGAACAATCGAGAACATCTTTCACGCTACTTTTGTCATCATTTGAAACACGGAGTTTTAACTTGGGGCACCGTCTCGTTGAAGTAAGAGAGCTCGATTCCCTGCTAGCATGATGACCATTTTCGACAATATCATGTGTCACTATCCTTGGAAGATCTTTAGCCGAGTCATCGACACCGTTTCGACTTGCGTTGTATTCATGCTGAATTATAAAATAAAAACAATGCACTAAAACATGTACGCTGATTGCTCTATAGCTGTGTTTGCGTTTGCCTGTGCAAACCGATCTGAGCTAAACCAATTAAATCAATCAATCAATCAATCAATCAATCAATCAATCAATCAATAAATCAATCAAAAAGGATTTGCAAATCAATCAATCAATACATGTTAGAGAAAAAATAAAAACAATTTTTTAAACTTTGTCCGTTTCGCATTATTGTTGTTTTATATAAAATAAGACGTTTGTGAGAGCTCTCGAGCATGTGCAACCCTAGACTTTCGGTCACGGGCTTGCACTGATCTGTTCTCGACTTCTCCCAAGGGTCTCTTCCGTTTGCATAAGGCCGTGCAAACACAGTAAACATCTTTGATTTCTTAAATATGGAATCAAACAAAACATATATATATATATATATATATATGATAATATTAAGGATTCTCTGGAATTTTATTTTGAAATTTTTTATTAAGCTTTCAACTCGGTGCTTCGAGCCTTCGTCAGAATTTAAGAATATATTATTTACAAAGATTTTGTAGGCGTTTGGAGCGTCTGATTGGTTGGATAGTAGTTGAGTTGATATTATTGGATGGTATAAGATGCGTTTTCATGGTTTCGGGTGTATGGATTGCGTTAATGAAAGGCTCGAAGCTCCGAGTTGAAAGCTTAATAAAAAATTTCAAAATAAAATTCCAGAGAATCCTTAATAATATCATAATATCATAATATCATATTATGATATTATGATATTATGATATTATTAAGAGACACGGTATAGTCTCATATGTGAGACACGGTATAGTCTCATATGGAGACGTTCACCGTGTTCGCGCTATGCAAAGCTCACCTTTATAGGTTTGAGCACTGTGGTGACTCTACAATGCAATCCATACAATGTGTAACCGTACGTCCTGTGACCCAAGTGCAGGAGTCACCATTTTAATATGGTGATAGCCGGGAGGGCACATTGTATATACACTTTGTATATATATATATATATATGATAATGATAAGGATTCTCTGGATTTTATAAAAAAAAAAAATAAAATCCAGAGAATCCTTATCATTATCATAATATGCCTGGGTTACCAATTTTCAAATACATATATATATATATATATATTGATGAGAAGAAGAAAATACACAAAAACTACAATTTCATCCCGACAAGCCTGTTTCGTGATTTCTCACTCTTCAGGAGATAATATTAAAATATTATCTCCTGATTTATATTGTATATGATTTATATTGTATATGTTGTATCTACATACGATATCTCAGGATCAGGTAAGCAATCCTAACACAAGTTTAATTAATGGTCGGAGGCACAAAGTACCCGTGTAGATATAATCAGCTTCCCACAAACCTTGGTTTCAGTTACTGCAATATTTTTGCCATCTCTATTTACGTCGATGTTCTTAACCTCTTCGTAATTTTTCATGAAATCATTTACCTTGGGGATAATTTCAACAACATAATCTAAAATAGAATAGAAATGCATATCGTGAAGAGGTGCACAGAGTTGCAATTATTCAAATCCTTTCTCATCTCGGTAAATAAATGCTTCTTATATTCAGGACAATTTAGGATATTCAGGATATTCAGTACAGTTTAAGTTCTACTTATGTCATATTCAAACAGTTTACTTTTGCTGACATTTGCCAGTAGACGGTCTACTGTAGACCGGCTACATCTCTCACCAATCCATCTTTTCGACGGTAAACTCAAGTGTCAAAAATACGAGATCAAATTCAAAAATTCGGACATTCAAATGGTCGGACATAGTATTGTTTATGTAGAATAATGACAATAAATTGTGAATCTGAAATTTTGAAAACAAAAAATATCGTTTTCGGTTCATGCTTCCTGATACACCGAGATAGTTAAGCACTAGAGCGTCGCATGTTAATTCAGGGAACCAGATAATCCTTGTTTGCCATGGAACCAGATAATCCTTGTTTGTCATTACGGTTTGCTCATGATACACGAGAAACAGTAATGACAGAGTTATATCAGAAAGATATAATCCAGTAAAAATTGAATAAAACATGTTTAAGGTTGTCTTAAATTATAAGGCACAGTGTATGAAGAAGTTAATTGAAACATTGTTTGGCTTATTTTATGAGAACAACTCTTAAATAAACAAAAAGATAAAATTCGAAAGCAAAAAAAACCCGTTTTCGGTCCATGCTTCCCGATACCTTTCTGATACGTAAGGCACTAGAACGCCGCATGTTAACGTTTCGGTAGGAGATTTCTCTATTTTTCTCTAACTTTTTATCTGCATATATCTTGCATGTCATATCCAAGCTTCCTTTAATTTGACGGGCAATGGTTTTTAGTCACTCTTACACCTTCTGTCTTTAAAATTAGTATTTCTAGATTTTTAAAAAAAGATTTACAAATGCCCCAATGATCTCGCATTTTTGACACGTGTGTTTACCGTCGAAAGGTGGATTGTAACAGACTGCAAAGTTCAGTATAAAGAAATAATTCTGGTATGTATGGAACTAGGCTACTATGAACATTTATGAACAGTTGAAAATATCCATCGCAACAGAGTATCAGCGGATTATCTAATGAATCCACTGATGAAATTGAGATCCAAGTCGAGTTCAAGGGAAATCTGAGCTATCAAAAACCCTGTATAGACGATCGACTATACCTTCAACTTTATTTAACTTGTTATGTCGTAACACTTGGTCATCTTTTTTCTTTTCTTGTTTATCATGTGAACTATGCGTGATCACATCAGATCGGCCGATCCTGGGCTCGGCCGTCGAGCGATATGGTAATGCTGTGTTGCTGCTGTTTGTAGTTGTCGTAGTCGATACTTCTGTAAAGGATTTTTCCCAATCGTACAGATCATTTTCTCTGACACCTTCTCTTTCAAGAGCTTTTTCAAGTTGCAGGAAGATGAACTAGAAAATAAATACCAGACGATAAATCTCAAATGCTTATTGTTTCATAGACTGGACACCTGATCTCAATCAGTAAACACTTGTATTACGAACCTTATAATTAGGTTTGTCGGAGTATGTGAGACTCTTTATGTGCTTTAAAATATCGTGAAATTCTTTTGGTAAATTTTTGAGCAGTAACGAGTGATCATAATGTTCCTTCATTTTGCCAACTTTTTCCTAAAAGGCACAAGTTACGATATGTACTCATGAAGTAAACAGGAACTCGACTATGGTTAAACGATTAGCAAAATATCCTTGACTTCCAATGAAACGATTGTTAAAGCGAAGGTTGGGTTAGTACACTAGTTAACTGGGAGGTAATCGAGCAATATTTAGGAAGCTATGAGTAAATCATTTTTATTAATTCAACAAAATAACTAGTTGCCTTTTCTTTGATTTTTCGCCATGGAAGATAACCATTAGAAAATTCAGCCATCATGTACATAAACGACCATAAATCATCATGTCGGCCCATTTCCTAGAAGTTAATAAACATGAATCGTCAATAGTCAATGAGCAGCACTCAACATCATCACTGACATCATCACTAACATCATGAATGGTACAAAGTTTAATACACTAACAACATGTTGTTATAAACTAACCAATAAAGTTCAACAATAAAAATCAAACAAATTGATTGCTCAAATTCGGTGCATGACAGTTAGATGACTCTTACTTTGTTTTTATGGGCATTGATGGAAGCATATCGAACTGTTCCACGAAAGCCTGCACTGCTTCTTGCCTATAGAAGAAGAACAGGAATGAATTTTTCATTTCAAACCAGTAATTTTCCTAAGTATTTCAAATGGCAAATTCAAATTAGCAAGCACTGCTAGCAAGAAAGACAAATTTTAACTCAGAACAAGATTCAGTACTACTCTATGTAAAAGATATCCACTACGTATATCTTACCGGTTTAACTTCTCCCGATGACTTAGTGTATTGACGGCACAATCCAAAGTCCAGCATGTAACAAATGTGGCAATTTGCTACATTGTCTCCCATAGCAAAATTAGACTAGACAATCAATAAATGGATTCAAAATGATTATCAGTTTGACACAGAAAGTGGTAATTGTCTTTAAGCAGAATCTCAACAAAATATCTCAGCATTTCAAAGCAATGGCGTGTTTAATAGTGTGTTAAACAAGATTACAAAATGATACCAATAGATATCAACATAGTTCCTGATAGACAAAATGAGCAAAATATTTGAGGGGCATTGTTGAACAATGGATGATAAGAAGTGATAACAAATTTTTAGTATTGTCTTGCTAACTGATATTGTAAAAAAATAACTTATATAACTGATATTGTCTCTTTTAACTATAGCATGGATTCATAAATATAAATGAAATCTATAAAGAAAATGACTAGACCAACATACAGGTTTGATGTCTCGATGCAAGAAGCCAGCCTGGTGAATAGCCTCAATTGATTGTAAAACTTGATAAGCCAAACGAAGTACAGTACTTGAAGTAAATACTCCTTTTGGTTGCCCACGTCTCAGTTGAGCCAAGTTGTTGCCTTGTAATGACATAACTACGTAGTTGTAATGATCATTTCTACCACAACCAAAAAATTTGCAGATTGTGTTGCATCCTGCAATCAAAACATCAATTTTAATGCTGAAATAAACTTCTTGCATATTCTCCACTTCATGAAGAATGTAATGTTCAAACTTGTGTTCTTATATACTTTACTTCAATATCTTTATGGAGAGTGATCTGATGATGACCTTTAATGTCTAGCATTGGGATTTATCTGATGTTGAAACTTGACTTCTTAAATAATCTTGTTTAGTGTTTTCATAATGATCCAATGTTAAAACTTGACTTCTTACATACTTTAGTCTAGTATCTTTAACAGCAGTGTTTTAATGTGTAAACTTTAGTTCTTATCAGTGTGCAAATTAGTCGAGAAAAATGATGTGCAATTTCTTTTTCAAAAAAATGTTCCTCCAGAAGCATAATGAAATACATTAATTATGAAGCAGTACTGGTTGCTAATTAATATTTTTAAAATATGCGCTTATCATAAATATACCCAAGTTAAAATGTTAAAGTTCATAACTTGTCACTTTCTGACAACTCTTAGTCTAAAAAATAGGCATGTGTCTAACGTATAAATTTTCTCTTCAGTCATTGGCCTTCATATCCAGTGCTTGCTTCCTTTTGTTCATACCAGCACTCAATTGCAGCAGCTGGATCATAATCCTTCACTGATGGTATCTCCTCCCTAGTTCTCAACAGACTGTCCAATCTTTCTTTTGACATTCTGTTGCTTAGGTGTGGCTTCATTCTGGCCAATGTCGAGAACATTTTTTTAACCACAGCATTTGAGATGGATGTGATTAATAACAGTTCCACAATGTTTAGACAGTTTGAAAACTTTGCTTTACTAACAGGTGACGAGAGTATGGCAGTGCAAATATCCAAGTACAAACATATGTTCCTCCAAAAGTCCTCCAACCTTGTGCCAACATCAATGGATGTCTGACATTTGGCTTATTTTCACTTCTTTTGATTCCGAATTAGTTGACATGGCCTCAACATAGCCTAATATTTTAATGTCGTGCAGCGCGCTTATTTACAAAAATCAGTAAAGATATTGCTTGAAAATTATATTTCAATTTGCAAGCTGGTAATCAATGCAGAAGATTTTTGCATATCTTTTGAAAAAATGATAAGCAAATTGCAAATTGCACACCATTAATTCGCACACAGGTTCTTATAAACTTTAGTCTAATATTTTCACCAATAATGATCTGATGATGAAAGTTGGGTCCTTAACTAAACTCCAGTTCTTTCATGAGAAGAAAATGGATAAAGAGTTCAGTTGTTATGGCAAAATAATATAGAAATACTGACCTTGCAACTTTTTAAGTACAGCCACTTCCATTTTAAGGACCTGCTTTGGTTGGGTGGAGGACTCCAGTTTGACAGCAACATGTTCTTCCGTGTTCTTATCAAATCCTTCATATATTTCCCCTGGCAATTACATTCATGAAATAAGATATGTTCGGCAAATTAATTTGTTTACACTACGATATAATGGCTAATAAATTGCTTACCGAACCCACCGCCACCAATCTTTCTTATCTTAAAAAGCAAGAAAGGAATTATATAATTAAAACGTTTAATTATCTTTCTTGAGACATAATTTAACTTATAAGGGGCATACATTGATGGTGTAATACGGCCACTTTCAAAAACGATTTCGCAGAAAATCGTGTAAGCGGAAATGATTGTCTGTTGACAACGAAACTATCTCCGACGTCACTTTTTAGGGAAAACAATGACAATTCATTTTTTTTTTGTCAACGTATCACGTAGAATTCATCAGTTTTTCAAAAATTGAGTGCTCATAACTAAAAAGCAGCGTAAAACAGATGAGAACGTATAATATTTGGTTATACCGGTGAAATAAGCCCTAATTATATTGTGAAACCACACAATCAAGCTCATTGAAAACTTACAACTTTCCATCTCTGTTTTATTAGGTCTCCAGGGCGAAGTAAGTCCGTCATCATGAGTCTAGCATTTCCATAAATCTAAAAAAGGTTTTCTCAGCCTTCTTCTTTAATGTTTTTGGGTTCAACAAAGTGAAATCTCTATGACAATATAATTTCTTCGTCGTCTTCCTCCATTTCTCCGCATTTGGTGAAGTTTCAAATTCAAATTAAAATTGTGCTTCCACTTCATCAATTGACATTCCTTACATCTAGTATTTCCTTATGAACCATAAATAGATTAATTTTTCTGCTCTAATTTCTTATATTAAAGGGGGCGGGGTAAATATTTCATATAGTAAGGTCATTATGAAGTGCAACTTGAAAATGTTGGTAATATCAAACAGTGCATAATTCATGCAGGTGACATTTGGATGCGCTTTGTCGCCTCCCCCACAAAAAATCCTGCACGTGTCACTGAATGATCACAATTTTATTTCCATAAATCATAGATATTGTGAGACTGACAGGCATTTGCATATAATACAAAAAGAATTTGTTTTGCTCAATCAAAATTAGTTTGGTGAGACAAAACTTCAAAAGCTGTGCTTTTTGTTAATTGTATTTAATAAATTTTAGAATCAAATGTTGGCTTTATTCGCAACCTATCTCCGATTAAAAAGGCACAGTCAGTCAAAATTTTCTATAACTTTACCCTCCGGACATCTCCATCCCGGTATCAAAGATGTATAGGATTTGATGAAAAGTTGCATACCCAAGCACTACATTATCAAACTGCTGGAATTCCAACAAACCTTATGAACATATTTCAAAAAAGCAATGAGATTTTTGTAAATCAATCAAGCTCACTGACGTCTAACGTCTTTTAGTATCAATGATGTCACCTTTCAGAAAAAGCAACCAATGGGAAATGATACATTCAGCAACAGCTTCAGAGTGGCAGTAGATTTGGCATTGAAAGTTAATCTGTTAACGTGACAGGAATTCTCACTATGTGTGATATTCCACAATGGAATAAAGTTATGTTGATGAAACAGAAAAACGATGTTATATGCAATTTGTCAAATTATTTTTTGGTTGATTTACAAATTTCAATGTTATCTTGAAGTAATGTGTTGCATTTGTGCAATTAATAAATTACTTTCAATGACTTACTCATTCAACTAAATTAACATTTTTCAATTAATATATAATTTTCTTGTGATATCAAGAATTATCACAGCGTATTATGGGTAAGATAAGCACAGGCGTTAGTTTTTATCGATATCCTATTGAACATCATTCAATATTTCTGCGACATTTAATAGTTTGAAAAGTCCACATCACGTAGACAAATGTACGCAACGTACCTACTTTTTCATAATGGGAGCAATTACTGCGTTTTTTCAGCATTCAGATACAGGAGATAACAATGATACAGAAACCGTCAGCACTACGTGTCACACTGGCGTGACAATGGAACAGTAAAGAAGCCAATTGAAACTCGTTGAAAAAATATTAGGAGGTTAAATGTGTCCCGGTAAAAAATTCCTATTTTAAAACTTGATGTAACGTAAATAGAGGTTCGACTGTAATCTCATGAAATAGGATAAAGTAGTTGTTTTTGACTCAAATAAATGTGCATTTTCGTATGTTGGGAACTTTAAGTGAGATGTTTCATGTATAATGGATGAAACAGCAATAAAACGATATTACAGCAGCTTACTAACAACTGTACAATAAATGGAAGAGTTTTGAAATGAAGAACACCATAATGAATTGTTTACGTTGCACATCGCCGACAAATAAGCTTTAAATTGATTTCAGTACTTACTACCAGAGCCATACGTGGATCCATAATCTTGGATATTCAAATATGCATCAGTGTTTTCCTGCATTAAGCTCGATCTTGAAATGAATTGGCTTTCTTCAGGGATTTTAACATGCAAATATTATTATATGCACCCTTCGCCTCAAAACATCAAGTTGCGTACGGTATTGCTTGGTACTTGTCTTCAATTCAAACGTTGACTTGACTTTATGTTGAAAAGATGATAAAGAATTTTCACCATTTTTTGTTTTAACAATTCACCAGAAAGCCATACTCAGTTATCTTTGACATGAAGATCTTCCTTTAACTGCTCTATCATCTCACGCATGTGTTCCTATAAAATAAATAAATAGCACTTTTTATAGTAATGATGACACTTTTAAAATGTACTGCATGCACATGCTTTAGTTTCTCCTCCTCTTACAATGTTTTCAAACATAGCTAATGTGATTAGTTTTGTCAAACTTCGTTTAAATTTAATCGTTACTGCATTAGTGTGACTTGACAGGTGCAACGTGCCTTCTTCCTTGCCCAGCAAACGCATGCGCAAATACGACAAACAAAAGTATATACCACATAATTTTCCTAATTGAATCTTACCTCTTCCAAATCATCTTTTCTTTTTTCAATGTGAGATTCAAATACCATGTTCAAGACCCTGAAAGACGATGAAAATCTACTTCAGAGACATGTTTTAGCTCAACAATTGCGTCAATCCAGCTGTTATAAATGTGAAATAATAAAGAAATGAATAAATGATGTCCGAATTCTCCTTTTGAGTCATTACCATATCATGCAGATTTCTCTACCATATTTTATGCATGTTTTGCTGTAAAATTGGATAAAGATATTGCTGTTTAGTCAATAGCCATCGAAGAGACGAGAAAATCTGGTAACCCTACACTAGATTTCCTCTCTTAGTTAGATCTTTTGTGCCTCCACCAGCGCATTTTAGGTAATTTTCTGGAACAACGTTTTGTATCTATGTATATCATTTATAAAGATTCCTCATTTTCTCCACTTTAGAATATGGTTATTCATCGAAACATGACGTTAAATTTTCCTCAAGCAATCCTTTGACGTTTCTTACGTAAGTAAATTTAAAGTCCTTGCCCTTGGATCGAACTGACTTTGAGCCCCGTTTACACGAGCTCTCGCGGAAAACCGCTCCATTTTCCTCTCTTATCATCGATGCTTACATAGGAAGTAGCAAAGCAAGCATTTAATGTTTCATTAAATGGTGGGTCAATACCAATAATATTTTGTGTCTACAAATGGTCACTAGCATGTTATCAAACCTGTCTGAACAAATTCCTCTTGCTAAAACATCACTTGTAACGTCAGATATGAATTGAAGATACTTTTGCTCTTCGGTCCTGTTTTAAAGGTAGCAGAATACAAAAAAGCATTTTACTACCCCATATATCTGTAAATGTTATTACAAATTCAATATTGGTGAATGGTTTGTAGTCAATTTTATCTTTTAATTACTTACTACACAGATCAGTTAATGACGACTATACAATCTTACCAAATCAGTTCCTCTTGATTTTTTCGTCTGATTTTTCGTTTTGTAGGGGCTGATTTATAACTAAATGTCATAGCTGATAACCGTGACCTGGTGTAAATATCAAAATCGTTTTGTGTCTCTTCACATTTTGTTGTATTAGTGTATGATCTGCTCGTCTGTTTGAAGTAATTTTCAGGTAAAGGATTACGATACACATAGTCAATAAAATCTGCGTTTGAATTAAGCTTTTGTTCTGCGCTAAATGACTCAAACTGTTCTGTTTTCCTTGTATCAAGAGTTTGTTGTTTACGGTCTAGAGGTGAACGGGTTTTTAATGGACTTTCGCTGTAGTCGTTACGATCGTTTGAACTGCGTCTTCCACTATCATGGATCACAGTATTCTCTGTATCTGTCAAAACCTGTAAGGAAAAGTTGGAAAACGATCATTTCAGGTATTTTTTGATATGTAAACGACAAATCATGCTCTGTCAGGTTGGTTAGTTTGGACATAAAAGAAACTTTGATATCTTCACAATGGAACTGTTTAAACTGAAATCATGTAGTCTTGTTAAAAGTAAAATATTTAGAAATTTAAATGGCAAAACTCTTTTTGTCGAGGATACTTTAAGAAACAACAGGAAAGCCAGCCTGCAACAATGCAGTCATTCACATATTTTTGTGTGATAGTTTTCATTCGAAAAACTACTCTTAATCCAACGAGTACACTAAACTCATTCACAATCTGTTTGACTCATCAACAGGCTAAAATAGCCAAAAAATATTTGACGATTTTTACTATCTTAAGTTCTGTATTTTAGGCAGTTGATGAGCCACATCATTTAATAAGTTATTGACGGGTGTCCTACATGATAATCTTTAGACGTATCCGACTCAGTTTCACGACTTCTTAGTCTTGTTGATGATCTTGGTGATAATTGATTTGATGCAAGTAACGCTTCTTTGCGTTTTCGGTCTCTGTCTAAAGAAAAACATCCGCATTAGTTTAATATGTCCTCTCCCTAAAATCACCCAACGAGGACTCAGTTTAGTGATTTGACATACTTTTTATGGTAAGCTTCAGGGATGTCGGTGGCGAAGTATCCACGCATGCTATAAGATATAAAAAATTAAGATCGTTGTAAATATGCTAAGAATTTTATAAAGGAGAAAGATCTTTCCTTTACCTTTGGCTGAAGAGATGCGCTGATAATGGGATTTCATATGATTCAAAACTACATCCTGGGACATTCTTGACATCGATACCGGAGAGTATACTTCAAAAGAGATGTTCAAAACGTTCTCTATACGCTGAACACAAGTTACTATAAAAACTTTATGCTACGTAAAAAGTAGCAAAGGAAATTGGCTTCATGGTTCTAATTATGAAATAAGCAATAATACCTGAACTTTTAGTGGAAAGATGACCAATTGGTAAAACATAAGGTTTATTAGAACTTGTTTGTGGCCGACCTGTTTGTAAGAGGACGATACATTATTATGAGATAAGACATAGATTTTAACAACAGCGATCGTTTGACTGACGTTTGAACAATGCAGCTAGACTTACTAGACAAAAAAGACGAAGTAGACAAAAATTTTTAATGCGAACATGTTTCGATTCAACTATACGTCGTCTTCATTTTTAGTATGAATGAATACATTGGTTATAGCGTCAGATATATTAGTAGAAACATGTATTCATTCAAATTGAAAATGCCTTACAGTCGAAACATGTCTGTAATAAGAAAATTTTCCGAAACATGTCTGTATTAAAAATGTTTGATATATCTTGTGTTGATAAGATCGTATTTAAACAATAATTATTAATCAGTTTTGACATGCTATTTTCGAACAACTTGCCATTACCTTTCATACGTCGTGTCATTTCAGGCCATGTTTCATTCCTAGTTGTCAGTTTATTTTGATGTTCAGTTCAGACAGAAGTTCCACTGCCATGCTCGATTGTTTGTTTACATTTGTGTGCGTCTTATTGTCGCCTAGGCAACCAGTTCGAAAATATAAATCACTATGAATTTTGCGACAAAAAATTCATAGAATATGGTGATATTTCTGTTGAATGTGGAGGATTAAAACTTGGTTCAAAAATTCAACATACAAAGTTACGGCAAATCGAAATTTTTTTGATGTAATGATTATGAACAACTGAATGATAAATGTCAAAATAAGAGTAAACTTCATGTAGGTGGGAATATAGATACATTCCAACATGGCTGCTTCTTTGGCAAATGAAATCGGCAAATTTGCGTTTAATTTAGTGGAAAACGGTCATGTTGTCACTTGCACGGGAGGAATTCGCATAGAAAAAATTAGAAGTGGGTAGGTAAGCATAATTGATAATCTTGTATATTTTACTGAGCTCTGCTCAATCGAAAGGTCGTCATTGGAAGAAATGAATTTAAGGAAATTATAAATTTGCATGTCGTTTAACTCATTTTTATTTTCAAGCCTTTGTGAAACAGCCAAATTTTTTAGATCAAGCGTTCGAAAACGAGGCCAATGTGACCGTTTTACGCTCAGGATACCTTATGGGGGCACTAAACTAAATTGTAAATATTTTGATTTTTATGTCATTCAAACTATTTGGATTATTTACCGTTAAACTTCATCGGAATTCAATAATTTTCAGGGGAAGTTCTGTTCAATGGTCACGAGCCACATTTACCACCTGATATCATATTTGATGATGCTGATGCAGACTTTGAACCAAAACTAGAGGAGATGCTAGTATGTGAATAATGTGATATGTTTTAGTACATTGCATTAATTACATGTTCAACATGCCAGGGTGGATTGTATGTCGTAAACTCCCAAGATCTCCGGCATGGAATCAATATTGTCATTGGCATACCGGCATAACCTTGCACCTCATTGGCGCATAAGGGCTGAGTAGCTTGGCGTGAAATTTGTTTTACATAAAATATGATAACCATGAATAAGTAAGTTTTGGTTTGGAGTTAGCTGCTTTCATGTTTTCATGTCACACTACTCCCCTACCCCCCACCTCCTTATTTTTTGGTTCTGCCACAAATAGTAGCAGAAAAACTCATCTGCAAATGACCTTGGTTGGCATGTCTTTGCAAATATAATGGGTAGAGTTGGTGCAAGAGCAACACAGAATCCATCCTGGGCAACATGTAGATAGCATTTCTACACAGAAGTTATAGCTTCTGTTTACTCTTCAATAACATTTTACTACTTAACACTTTTGTTATCATCGTTGATATACAAATAGCTTTCTATCATGTGCAATTAATGTCATGTGAAACATCATTTTCAACTTCAAATTTCATATCTCATATTTAGTCATTACAGTGTTGGAATCCAGAAGATCACGGTAGTTTAATGGCTGTCATTAAGGAGCTGCTTGAGCAATACAAGAAGCATCAACTTGAACTGCTCAAAGAATCCTCTCCTATCATTCAACATGAATTTGAATCAGTTCACGAGCTTTCGACTTGCACAATCATAGAGGTTTTTGTACTAAGAAATTCTAAGGTAAATAGACTTTATGACCACTACTCCACTAGCAAGGACAGCCCCTGAAAAAAAGTCAAGAGTAAGGACAGCAAAAAATGCCAACCTTCACCATACTTGTGTCAACACTCTTGGCAATTTTTATGACAGAATATTTGCTGGCCAACTGATCTTAAAATATAATTTTTATCTAAAACCAACATTCATACGTACAGTTTACACCTAACTTACCAAATTAGAACGGGAAAAGATGTCGAATAACATTCTAATTTCAAGTCTTTGTCCCAAGAAATTTTGATTTGAATATGTTAACTTTGAAATGAACTTAAGAACTACCAAGATAGCACTTGGTTTTCATTACTGACCAGCGTTTGATTTGCCTGCACGATAACAACGTGAGATGTTGAACGCAATCTTCAAGCAATTTGAAAAGTTTATTACAATAGGCGATTTACGAAAAGACTACAGATTCTCTGCTAAATTTGTGAGCTTGTTGAGTTACACATCTTTTTCAAGGGCTGCATAGGCGAAGGGGACTTGACCCCCCCAATAGGCTAAAGAACTAATATCATGAAAATGAAATCCAGGAGAAGGGGCCATAGCTAGTGGACTATCCTTTATTGCCAAATCATACCAAACCTTAATAATATCATTTTATCATTTCAGGGCATAGTACAACAGATCAACTTTCTGATGAAATTACCTATTGATCTTGATCGTCTGCCACCCTACCTCATCAATGTTAGTATAAGCTATAAGCAATGACTGTATTTTTTTTAACTTTGGGGGAGGGGGAAACTGCAATTTTTTTGCGCTTTAGATTAATTTTGCTGAGGTTAAGCCAGTGAACACAATACTTAAATATCTGGAACAATATTTAGCTTTAAAGATCTTTGTTACCATTATTCATCGTCAGTTGTCAGGACTTAGTCTCTTTGGTATTCATAAATCATTTGTAATTTTGTCACGGATTAGGAGTCTATCGTTACAAGATCTTTTAAGTGGGAAGAAATCCTTACCAACCCCTCCCCCCCTTCTCCCAGTAAATTCATTCATGTTTGATGAATTTAGAAAACACGGTGATGTTTCATATGCGTTTGTTTAGAAAAATCTTGGTGAGGACAGCATAAGTCTGTTCGTTGTTTATCAAGGTTGTGATGGAAATAATGTATCACCACAAGTGTATTTGTCCCCTCGTGTGGAACAGTAAGGATTGTCTGCAATTATAAGACCTCAGTTATTAGCACAGTTGAACTATTTTGCGTGTTGTTTTCGTGTGGACTAAAGCGTCACGTTTTGGACGTCAAAATTACACGATATGATATGTAAAGTAAATAGTTTGGACTGTGCGATGCAAACGGTTGAAATGTGTCGTCTTCATGTTTGACACAACAATGTGCACATTTTGGAGCAAGGTTTTCATCTTTTGTCAAAAAAGTCCCTCGGAAACTCCAATATGACGAAATTGGTGACGATGTAGAAACATTTGTTACCATCACACTGACGAAAATAATAAAAACGATGATGCTGTTTAACATGAAGACGAGACATTTCGAACGTTATTATCTCACACTCCAAACTATTTTCTTTACAAACTTATCATTTATGTCCAAAACGTTACGTTTATCCTAGAAAACAACCCGCAATATACTTTTTGAGCAACGGTCGCCTCAGAAACAGTTGCTCCTCGACAAACGGCACTAGTTCGTGTTTTAAATATGTCTTTGTTGCTGTTAAAAACAATCTACTTAATTTTCTTTTTGCAACAAAGTTTATCGTAAATTTCGTAAATTTCAGCGCTTTTTCCGACGTTTCACTGTTGAATTATCCAAAATGGAAGGATAGCGGCGAATCTCTTGTCTCTTACATCATGGCTGTTCACGAATTCTTCAACGCAAAGGTGAGCGATGAAAATTTTAAGGCTCAAACTGATTTTTGGTTTCATAGATCATCGCAAACGTCTTTTATAAATGCTCCACGGTTAATTTGACATGGAGCTCGTGAAGCTTTAATGGCTTTCTCGATGATCACTCTTGTCTGCGCTGTATTTTTGTTTTCCCACTCCCGTGGATGGAAAAAAATATAAACAAAGCATAGATTTTGTGCAGACACCTTTCTAATTTTCTAAATCTTACAGACGGATGAGAATAATAGGCCTTTTAGCTTTTTGAACTTTGAAATTCTCTCGATTCAATGAACTCACACGATCGAATATTTATCATTTGACAAGTTCACTAAGTAAAACAGTTTCCTTCATAATTGTGAACAATTGGTGATGTTCCGACCTTGTTCTTCTTTGATTTCCAATTCTTGCAATACGTCCAAGAATTTTTTCGATCTGATCTAATTAGAATTTCCTGGTCTCACTTTTTATTGTGTTCTCCTTTGAAGATCGATGAGATCACTACCAGTTTTGAAAGGAGAAGAAAATATGTCGCAGCATTTCTCAGCTCATTTGGCACGTGAGTATAGACGTTTGTCCTCGTGATCAGAGAACGCAAAAGCCGGCTTACCACAATCTCTTCTTGTTTCTTTTTAAAGAAATTTTGATCACAAACCTTTGATTTTTTATTGTTGAAGGGATAAAATGTTACTTAACAGCTTCTTGTGCTTTTCATTTTACAAATCAAAGCTCTTAGTGCACGATCCCATTTTTTTACCATTATTCTATTCCCGTTTGATGAATATCATTATGATGCTTATGGGCCAAAAAAACCGACTTAAAAATATCAGTTAATAGAGAATTTACATTTAATTTTTTAAGCTATGTTGCGAACACTTGCGAAGAACAGAGCAAACATGACTTGCAATCATTGCAAGACGTTCGTAAAAATGGCGTAAAATAGCACGGACTCGTCTGAATATGGCCATGCATATTGCGCCATTTTAGGCCATTTTTTTGATGCCATTCTTTGGCTTTTTTATGTTTTTATCAGATGTGTTCTGGAGTACGATGTTGAAAGATACTCGACACTTTCATTTCTTGTCGAGTTTGACTATTTCTACTGTATCTGGACAAGTAAGATTCTGTTATTCGTTTAATGGCTACAAATCTAAAATTTTTGTAGTTTGTAATCTTTTTCTATAATCTAATCGTACACACGAGTGTTTGACACTGCAACGTTTAGTTATATATCTCTATATTTTTAAGTCGAGATTGGACTTGAGTTTCCCGAAGAGCAGCCATTATTTATCATGAAATCCGTATATCATTGCTTCGACGACAAACCTTACGAAGCAATTGATGACAACTATCCGTACAGCCCGCGATGGGGTGCCGATGAAATGGCAAGACGTGCTAGGTACAAACATAATATATTTTTCTTTGTTAGAAATGTTTTTGAAATCATATTATTAAAGATTATTTGTCTTTTTTTGTTGTACTAAGCTAAACACACCCCACTTAGCATTACGTTTGTATCCACTGTACGAGTCCTGGAATCAGTCAAGCCTTACCCCCAAGGTTAGCACTATTTTCCACCCAGCAAACCGCCCTTTACTTTGAAATATAATATTTTACACAATATAATATTTTACACAATCTAATATTTTACACAATATAATATTTTATATAATATTTTACACAATCGTCGAAAAACGACATATTTTCCAGCCTGGATTATAAGTTTATAACTTAAGGTGGTTGCATGAAAATTTAAACTGTAACATTTATCTGTAAATATTTTCATATGTTGATATTAAAAACTGTATTATAAAAATATAAAATTACTCGCCATCTCAAAACGACCTAGCACCAGTGCATGCATGGTTTCCTTTTAGCTTTTGGTTCTTTCCCATTAGCCGCCATCTTAAATTTATTTCCGATTGTGTAAAGTAAAGGGCGGTTTGCTGGGTGGAAAATAGTGCTAACCTACCCCCAACCCCTCGTCACCCATCCTTTTTTGTGAATTTGAGAAATCCGTTGTTTTTAAGTTTATCAAATTATAGAGGATTTTTTCTTTTAAAATGTCGTCTTTTGCAGAACGTATTTGGCAACTGCGATACCTAGGTTTAAAGCGGCTTCAATCAAGAATAAACCATATCAACCGCCAGGATTGTAAAAGTAAATACTTCCAATTGTAAATATGGTAATATGACAATGTACTTGTATGTACTTGTATGTACAAAACGAACTCCGTTTGTGACAGTTAGTGCCTTATCAAGTCCACAGAGCAACTTTCTGGTGATAACGAAGGATTTGTCGGCTTTCAATGGGGAATGTATAATAAAACAATCGATATAAGTAGCTCACGTAACCTTGAACTATATGAACTATCTATCATCATGTTTTTAAATTCATTAATTAGCTTGTTACGTAAAATTTGACGTACGAAAGCTCTTGTTACTAAAGCTGCATGTTTGTAACAAGAGCCTTTTCGCATTACCTTTTGTTTACAATTGAAAATGGCAGCACTTGGCTTTAGTTCATTGTTGCTTTTAACTGTTATTATATACGGTTGTCATTCTCATCCACAATGCCTCGACTTTCAACCACCATTCGTGCCAAATGCAAAGCGTATGTGGTGTCGACGTTACTCAAAGTTGGGTTGTTGCACAGCGGAACAAGATGCGATATTAAAAAGTCGCTACGACAGCGCTTTAAAAATCGTTCGCGTGAAAAAACAACACAAATGTAAACGTTATTTGTTCAAAGTTGTATGTCTCGAATGCCATTCATGGTCCGCACATATTTTTGACGCAGAAACTAATCCTTATTACAGTGCAAACTCGGCACTGCCTTGCTTGGGCTACAAGTTCTGTCAAAGGCTGGTCAAGTATTGTGGCCCTGCCATCGAGCAACTTTACGGTCAAGCGATGTCTAATCGCAACATTACACTACGGGATTTTTGCCGGGAGGCAGAAGTTACTTTGAACAGAGATTTGTGCTACCCGAAAATCAGAAAGACTTTGAAAAGAATGAAAATGCAGAAACAGCGGAATGTTGTTTCTTTGAACGCGACGAAAAAGGGTTGTCTTTGTGTGCGAGAGGTTAGTTTTTCTTTCTTGAAACTTAACACTGTCCAAAATTGTTACTCTTGGCAAGGTTTCAATGTTTTTTGTATTGTGATAAATTATCGTCAAGTTTCTTTGATGATTGATGAATATGTTGAAAACCTTTTTTGTTCGAGAGGTATTCTAGCCATGCATATACATGAGACAGACGATTTGTCAAATGAAAACTTCTCAGCCACGTACATGAAAAAGAAAACATGTCAAATGAAAACTTGTCAGCCATGTACAGGAAAAAGTAGATTAGTCGAAGGAAAACATGCATTAGATTGTAGAGTAACGGGACGATTTGAATTACGTAATCATATAGTTAATCATTAGTAGTGTACAATCACGCGAGTAAGGAGTATTTAGAGACTATATTCCATAGGGGGGTGGGCAGTAATTTCGAGTCTTTAGTCGAGTGCACATATCTGTATGTGAAAATATATCAAACTTGTGAATGGGACGGCCATCCACATAGCTTCTATAGCCTTCTCAACATAGAGATACTAGCATGCATATACATGAGATAGCTGATTTGTCAAAGAAACTCATGATTTTATAATTGACTGTATGTTTTTCATATGATATATCTACTGGGGTTGTCAATCACCTTTAGGAAAGGAGATTGACAACCCCAGCGAAAGCCCGGTCTGCATTTTGTTTTTCCATGTTAAAAAATATTTTTTTGCAGGTTGTTAGAGACCTACGCAATCCTCTGGCCATTGTTCACGCCAACGATGGTACACATAGACTTTTTATTGTGGAACAGATTGGTCTTATTCACATTCTTACAGAAAACGGTACAAAATTACATCAACCGTTTATGGACATACGGAAGAACGTATTTACTCGTCCAAACTTTGGCGATGAACGTGGCTTATTGGGACTTGCATTTCATCCGAAATATTGCGACAATGGACGATTGTTTGTGTACTATAATTTACGAAATCCTTTAAACAAAAAATGGCCGACTAAGGGGGGACGGACAGTACTGAGCGAATGGAAGGTTTCTGCAAAAGATATGAATAAAGTCGACCCGAATTCTGAGAAAATTCGCTTCATTTTCGAACAACCTATGAGCAACCATAATGGCGGTCAATTATTGTTTGTTAATGATAGTTACCTTTACATATTTCTTGGTGATGGAGGCGGAGCTGGAGATCCACTTGGAAAATATGGCAACGCTCTGAACATGTAAGTTAAAATTTTACCAGTTTGTTTTAAAAGTGCTTTAAAACTTCCCCCTTGTTATGAACTCAATGACAGCACCTGTAGTATGACCTCTAACAGACAGAATTAGCTCATATTATGAAAATAATAAAACAAACATGTATAGAGTAAAGCATTCTGGTATTGTATGCAGTGACTTTATCTTGCTTTTAATGTCTCTTCATTGGACAAAAATATTCATTGTGTGCAACTGTATTTAGGTCATCGCTTCTTGGCAAAGTGTTACGTATAGATGTGGACGTCGCAATGCCTGGCATCCCTCCCGATAATCCCTTTATAAATGTTTCTGGTGCACTTCCTGAAATCTACGCATATGGTTTACGCAATCCATGGCGGTGTTCAGTCGACCGCGGCGACAGGAAGAACGGATATGGTAAAGGAAGGATCTTTTGTGGTGATGTTGGACAGAATGCTTTCGAAGAAATCGACATCATTGTTAAAGGGGGAAACTATGGGTGGAGGGGACGCGAGGGGTTTAACTGTTACGACAAACTGATCTGTAACTCCAAACTAATGGGTCAGTATGGACAAGTTTTCAGATATAAAATAACTATTAACGAAAACAAAATGACCGGACGTTCATAATTCATAACTGATATTTGTGAAGTTTGAATGCTTTTGTTATTTATTAATGGGCAGAACATCTATAACAGAATGTTTTACTTGTATTATAAGGTACTACTACAGATTTACAGTATTGCACCTTTTTATCTGCCTCGTCTTACATTTTCAAATTGTCTTCACAGAGAAATCTTTTTTTTACAATTATCACTAGTCATTATAGTTAGACTAGGTAAAGGTAAAAAGTCAGAATCATAAAGATGATCAAATATGTAGTAGTTTGTAGTTTCAGAAACAAAACCACCCATCGAGATGTTGATCTTCTCTAATTTTCTTACTCTAGCCGGAGAGAAATTACCAATACACGCATACAGTCACAAGGTTGGCCAGTCAGTAGTAGGAGGATACGTGTATCGCGGCTGTAAATATCCCAACATGAGAGGATCTTATTTCTTTGCTGACACCATGAATGGGTAAGTTCCAGCAGACGAATTGAGTTTCTTGCTTTAATTGAATGTGAGCTCTAGCAAGGGTCGGTTGTGTTTTTGATTTTGGGCTCACTGTGCTAGAACTGACGAGTTAATTTAATTACTCCCGAATACTTGACGAATAAACAGCTAGCACCATGATCTGATAAATTATAAATAGTATAGTTGATTTTTTAGGTTAACTGTCTTACTTTTTTAATTTTTTTGGGTGGGGGATACTTGGAGGCAAAGGTTCGTCAGACAACCTCTATGACTAACCCGTGGAGCTCTACAGTGTGCAAATGTTGACGTTCTAAAAGATGGAATTCTAAGAGCTCATATTTTGATCTATGCTTTAGTTCGCTATTTTTCATAACTAAGATGCAATGAACCAACTATATTGTCCTTTCACTTTCATGTTAAAAAAATTTATTTTCAAACGCAAAACTTATTTTCATTAAACAGTCGTATATTTACCCTGAAAGAAAACCAGATGACGAAGAAATGGCATTCAAAAGAAGTTTGTTTTGGCAACCATTTCTATTGTAATGGTCCCAAGGTCTCAGGATATTATGCCCCGATGATTTTAACTTTTGGAGAAGATGAATTAGGTAATGTTGTGAGATTTCCTCAAACAAGAAAAACCAAAAGCTTGAATAATTGTTTCATTATATCTTTGCAGGAGAGCTTTACTTTGCTTCGACTCTTTTTTCGGGTAATGAAAGTCCGCAAGGTGTTGTCTATCAACTCTTCGATCCTCAAAGGTATGTCTTGTTCAAACGAGCGAAGCTACATTTTTGGCTCATTGACTTGATAAGTTAATACTACGGTTGGTAATTTTGTACAGTAATTTTTCGTCAACGATCGTTTTGTTGGTGGAACGTTATGCAACAATTGAGGAATTAGGCGTCTGGTCAGTCTTCCCAATGATTACACAAATTGATTTTTGACATATTATTTCTTACGTTGTCAGAATTTAATACGCTTGTTTCAATTACATTTTACTTTGTGTCTTTGCAGTCATAGACCCTCTATGTTATCTTAAATACCTTCCCATATGAAGCATTCGACAATCTAAGGTCGAAATCTCAATGTATTTTATTTGAATATTTTTTGACATTCAATTATTGCTGTAGTATTAATAGTTTGGTTTGCATGCTGTTTTTTTTTCATGGGTCTACAATTGATTTTTTCGATTTTTAGACGCAACGATCCTTCGAATTGTAAGTTGGAGATAGTTAAACCTCCCAGATCTGGTTGTTATGACCGCATGTGCAGCAAGTTTTGCCTTCGGTACAAACACTACTGCACGAAATTTTATGTTGAGTATATGAAGAAGAGATGCCGACTTACGTGTGGATTTTGTTAACATATATGAACGGTTAGTTAAGGTTTGGTCTATCATGTTTGTACTATCTTGTAGCAAAGATTTTGGAAGCAGGAAGCAGAAAGTATATTTGAATCAAAAGGTTAATTGCATTCTACATTCTGAAGTGTATTTCCAAAGAAATTGGTATCAACCCGTTAATCCTGTCTTTTTCTTTACTCACAATTATATTTCCCATACAGTGTTTAGTGTTGCTATTCACTGTGAACTTTCTCGCCCTGGTGGCTCATGGAAACTCTTTTAGTTCTTATCACAAGTGATGTCATACTCGTGTTTCTATAATTGTATAGAAAACGGTTAAATATTATCTATTTGTTAAATCTTCAATAGAGCTGATGTTTCGCTATGGTCTGTGTTCGCTATATTTTTTACTGTCAATCTACTGTCCTCATAGTTACGAGAGTTTGATTAATCTTTTTGCTCACCATGGCTGACAATTTGGATACCTGCATCATTCTGGACTTCAAAACAGTGAACTGGAAGTGTTTCTAATTTACAAAAAAAATTGTAAAAAAATACTTGTGTGTTGTATCTGTGTACTTAATTTTTTAATATCAATTAGCATTAAAAATGTCATTAAAGTATTGGGATGACTTTTTGGACATGTTATATTCAAATAAAAAAATGTTATATCCGAGTACACTTTATTTCGGCTGCCTTGCTTTCTCGATAAGGCTTTCTCGTTTAGTCAATTCCCATACCCCCCCGGAACGTAGTAAACCACGATTATAGTTTTTAGTATTTTTTCAAATATAGCAGGGGGTGGTATGATCTATTTTATTGTCAAATGCTTCGAGGCATTCGATCTTCGATACTTCGCGTGATCGTCATTGAGTTTCCTTTTGCGCTTTTTTTTTATGAAAGCTGATTAAAGAAATGTCTGATGTTCAAACCCTTATTGAGATGGGATTTCCAAAGAACAGAGCGTTAGTTGACGTCGAAAGCATATTAAACACAAAACATGAGTTTATAAGAAATATCAAATTTTTATTACTAGGGAGAAGGCTTTGGCCATTACAAAATATAGGGGAGTGCAAATCGCTATGGATTGGTACGTTCGAAATTAATTTGTCTACTGCGCTTACCTTTGATGTTTTATTCCGAGTTTTGTTCAATCATAATAACTTGCTTGACGTTTCTTCACAGTTATAGGAACAGTAAAAATCTGCTAAGTGCTTACTGCTCAATTTTTAGGCTATTTGAACATGCTTCAGATCCTGACATTGATGAGCCGGTCAAAATAGATCCTGGTCATATCCTTGGTGCAGAGTTGAGCATACCTGGTGAGATTATTATTATATTTGTTTAGTTGGTGATCTGGAGTGTTGATTGTTTGTCATAGAAACAGGTAGAGCGGCGGACTAGTATCCCGAAGGTGCGAGTTCAAATCTCGTCCAAGTCACATGTTTTTCATGTGCATATTAAAACCGTGTTAGGATTTATATATTGGAGTGTTGATAGTAAGGAAGATGTGTATTTACATTAATGCAATTCAAATTTCAACAGTTCATGGTACTCTATAAATACATTTTTTGAAGGCAAAGCTTGAGAGCCATGCCCTTTTTTACAAAACTTTTTGTTATGAAATATTCAAATTGTATCATCACAGGTGAAAATATTGATGAAAGTGATGGAATAAATGTTGTTGGTATAATGCAAGAAACAGACGGACAAGCAGAGGCACAAATGCAAGTAAGTCAAAGATTTCTAAGTCAGAATTGTCAAGAGGGATTGTGTTCAATGAGCAAAGCTCTTTTGACTTAATTTAGATGCATGCATCCAGAACAGGTCATCAAAATTTTGCTGGGTCTACCGAAGAAGTGAAGCCATTGACCGAAGAGGAGAAAAAAGCTCAGTTGGAGAAGTAAGATATATTCATTATGAAGACAAATAATAATTTTCTCTTTGTTTAGTTGTAAAATTACTAAGGAACTTTTCACAACAATGGCAGTTTTAATTTAAATGGTATTTTAAATATTGCAATTTCTTATAACGAGAGCTGTTGTATTTTTACTTTTATTAAGCTAAATCTGCCAATACTGATGTCAAACCTTATAAATTTTAAAAGCATGAAACCCCAAAAAAGTAGGTACGCAGTGCGTACATGTGGTTAGCCTCCCAAATAAACACATCACATCAAAATGAAAAGCAAACAGAACGATTTCTTTTGCATGAAAATAGCTTGAGTTTTTGCTGTGAAATATTGGTTTTTAACCTTAGAATAGGTGACTTTTAAAAGCTTTAAGCAGAAAAGGAATGCTTTATGCCCCTTGACTGTTCCATTAAAAAAGCGTTTTTGAAGATATGATGAAAATTTCAGTTATTTATATCGAACTTCAACTCTTTCCATACAAAGGCTGCAGTCGAAGATTATTGAACGGCGTCAAGAAAGAGCAGAGAAGGAGAAACAGGTATGGCTATGATGCAGAGGCATTATAGGTTGTTTGTTATTCTTCAGGCAGACACGTTTTGAGGTGCAGAGTGGGGACATTTATGTCTAACTGAATTATGCCAGAATGCTTTTCTTTTCTCGTGGTTAGCCCGCCTTTACGTAGTCAGTGCGATATTTATAGCAGTGTTTTTGGCTAAATTTATTTCGGAGTGTGTTAAAAGCCATCACGAAGACGTGCGAAATACAAATGAAAAATGTTTTGGCAACCAAAACGTGTTTTTCTCGTGCTTGTAACTGTATTCTTTCTTAAGGAAAAACTTGAGCGTGAGAAAATGCGACGAAAAAGCGGAAAAGAAATGACGGAACATAAGCAAAAGTTAGTTGATTTTGTTCTGGACAAAACTGCAAACTGCAGAATACAATCAAAGAGTTGTTTTTTTATGCGACACTTATGTATTTGTTTTAAGTATTTACATTAATATTTCATTCGCCCTTCCACTTGTGACATTTTTAATTCACCAAATTAGTTTAGAAACTTCGCTCATGTCGGCGTGTCAAGAAGATTTGCTTGACCCCCAAAACAGTCAAACATTAACCTTCGAGCAAACCATCTATAATTTCATACATAATCGAGTCTTTATTACTAATGAAAACGTCTGTCTGTCTTTCGTAAAGGTTTGAACTTCAAGAAGCACAAAAGATTGCCGAGCAAAAACGTCGCGAGAAACTGGAAGAGAAAAGACTGAGGTGAAGCTGCAATTACACATTGAGAGAAAAGTTCTCTTGAAATGTTGTAACTTGAAATACACATGAGGGCTTTTGATTCGATTTGTCTTAATTCTGTTTCACATGTTAAAGCAAAATAAGTACGTGAATCTGTTAAGTAATACTAAACATTTACATTTTTGTTTTTCAGGCAAAAGTTAAAGGAGCAAATCGCTCGAGATCGGGCTGAAAAAGCATCGCAGGCAAGTTGCTATCTCTACAATGCTTTCTAATATTTACTATGAAAATAACAGGACTGTGTGCCGTATCGTTAGCTGGGAATAGTTATTCTTCGGTCTATTATATTAACCAGTATGAATGACAACTATTTTTTCAATAATTTCATCAGTCATCGTCATCTATTAAACCTGCAAGTCAGGTGGTTTCACCAGCTGCAGGTGTAACATCCCATGGAGTCACGCAGTCACCGTCGAAAGAATATTCAAACTGCAGAATACAGGTATGAAACTGACCTTGATAAACAATACTATGTGACCATAGTAAAGAAGATGTAGGGACATGTTTCACTTTTTACTTTGGTTATCAACTGGTTAAAATGTAACAGTAACATTCTCGTCGTTTCTGCGCGCGCCTCTTTCTTTTATGTAACCAATAACTGCCGATAATTTTTTGTATTTAAATCAGTTAGTTAACTAAATCGGATACACAGTTGACTGCTACCTTGCTTCTTGACGATCTTCAACAGCGATTGATTCAACAATATCGATTAACATTGTACAGTATTCAACTACGACACTCAACGAATCCTTGAACAACACTGAACAACATGAAATAACATTGAACAACACTTGCAACATGCTCAACACTCGGCGGCACTGTTTTTAAACTTGCAACGTATTGTCCTTGCTAAGTATAACGTCTGGGGATTGGATTGTCAATTTGGTACTGTACCCACAAGTATACCATTATGTACAAGTCAATATCATCAAATCCAATTTTATCACTAAATGTTTTTTTTAGTTTCGCCTGTTGACTGGATCTACAATATCTGGGACTTTTCAACCCACTGATACGATATCTACAGTTGTATCATACGTTAAAGAAAACAGAACTGATGGCTCTGAGCCGTTCGCTTTATGTACAACATTTCCGAGGAAAAAATTCAGCGATCTTGACATGGAAAAATCCGTTAAGGAATGTGGTTTAGTTCCCTCAGCCGTTTTAGTTCTCACGAAACCTTGATGTGAACAGCATCGCTTGTGTGCGAGTTCAAATCGAAGCTTGTCTACAAAATATATTTTTTTTACAAGAAGGAAAACCATTTGTTATAAATGTCAAAAATTCCGTTTGCAACCATACGAGAGAATTGTTTTCCTATATAGTTATTCGTTCAGTCTTCTTGTTCCTACTCCCCAGTTTACTCCTCGGTCTTACATTCTGCTTTATATAGTTGCAAAATTTAGATAAGGGGAGAGCGTTTAAGCTCATTCGACCAAATGTGTTAAAAAAAACCTTGCAAAGATGGTCAGTGGTCACATTTCTGATTTTGGTCACACTGCATTGTGATGGTCACGAGTGATTGTGGTATAGAATATTTTGTACATTTTTACCAACATGAAATGTTTACCAACGGGTGTGTGCCATTTATGTTTCCTCAAAGAAAACTTTATTGGAGTTCGATGTTAGTGCAGAACTGTTCTAAACTACGAGAGAAGTCACCAAATGTACTTTAATTTTTAGTGTTCAACTATCCCATGATACAGCTATACCGGGTAATTTTCCTATGTACGAGTTATGACTTTGTGTATTTGATATTTGAGAAACACTTCAAACCAGAGCAAGTGTATTTGTAGATCGTCACAATTTGTGAGGTTTTTTTTTATATGTGTCATCAGTGTTTAATACAAGTTATGCCGGACAGGGTAAGTGGAAATTTCAAAATTATTTTCCCAAACTGTGCCTATTTTTGTAACTGCAAATGTGTTCAGTGCTCTTGTTTTTCATTCCAAAGTTTCATAATTGATGAATCTCTGAAGTATTTTTTTCATTGAATTTACGAACTGAACATCTAGGGTTCAACATGCCTGGATGGAGGATCATATTTCTTCAATTATCGTCAATGTGTCAGTTGCTACAAGAAAGCAAATATTCTCATCACGAATAGGAGACAGGACGAAGATGAGGACGGAATGGAAATCATTGAATATCAACGTACGTATTATTGTTTTGTTTTACTGCATCTCGTTGATGAAATACATGTGTTGTTTACCATCTAAGAGAAGATACCTTACTGAAATAAAAAATGGACTCTGTTTTCAATAATATATAATTCCTGAAGAAGAGAGTAGATTTTTGTGTATAAAAGCTCAAGTTTCAGCATCATGTCTATCCTGGCAAAGACTTTAGGCAGCATATTACAACTTCAGTTTATACATCAGATCACTTGTGATAAAAGCATTAAACTGGTGTATTGAAGGACTAAAGTTTGACATCAGATTACTCCAGATGAAGACGCTTGACTGGATTATATAAGGACTTAAATGTCAGCTCATTCTGATCAAGTCATTGGAGTGGCATGTTTGTAAATGATGATCGTCCAGGTTATTAAAGTCCTGAGAAGGACTGTTTTTGTTGTTGTTGACTGATGTTTCGACAACCTTAGCGGTAGTCATCTTCAGAGTCAAAATGAAGATGACTATAGCTAAGGTTGTCGAAACGTCAGTCAACAACAACAAAAACAGTCCTTCTCAGGACTTTATTAACCTGGACGATCATCATTTGCAAACATGTAACGATACTCCCAGGTTCAAACCATTTACTTCATTGGAGTGGGTTATATAATCTTTTCTTATCTTGAAACCTTGCCATGCAGATGTTTGTGAGAAGTGTGGGCACATAATTGCAAGTCATGAATACACTTTTCAAGTTAATGGAAATTATCAAGTAAGTCATTTAACTAAACTTTGATTGAATTTTTATTTTCTTTACTGGTTACTAAATGATTATGGCTACAAATATTGATGAATGTTGATTTTACTTTCAGGAATATGAAATGAACTGTAAACTTTGTGGTTTTGGTCAAGACAGAGTTTGTGTGTTTCCTCATGATCCTGAAAAATCTCGTAGTATATTTTGAAACCATAGGAAGTTGAGTACCATAAACTTTGCTTCACTGAAAATGTAAATATCGTTGCCCCAAGCCAGTTCAGCATAAATATATGTATGTTCAACAAAAACTTTGTCGTAAATACTTCCTTCAATGGCATAAGAATAACAGAAAATATTGTATTTTAATATTGCATAGACATAATATTGCAATGCACTTATGCTTCTAGATCTTAGAGAAAAAAGATAATTAAAAATGCAGGAAATTCCATAATTTAAGCCTAACCAAGAGTTAGAAATATTTTTCACATAACATATTCATTTTGGAATTAAAAGTACTTGAAGATGAAGACAACAGTATTTGTGAGAGAGAAATGCATTTTTGTTGAGTACGTATATGAGTTAAACGATGTTTTAAACTAATATCGTGTGGAAACATGATCACTTAATCTTCTATTGAAAATTAACATTGTTTATATTTTTGACTACCTGACTGTGACCTGCTTTATGCAAATTTTGAAATTTAAATAAAGTACTTACGTTACTTTCAGGTTGGTTAATTTGTGTTTTTACGAAAAATCTACAAACTGTTTGAGTTTCTCGTCTTTTTCAATATTCGTTGCAGCAACCCTGAGTGCTCGTTTTCTCTTCAAATGAATACCTTCCCACTAACAAATAAGCCATCACGTTTTCAGGACTGTCTCCTTCGTAATTTTGTTAATTGTACAACGAAACAAACGGAACTTCTTAAGGAGATTAATCATGGAAAGGAAATTTTCAATGGCTCCGGTCTTGTTCTAAATAAAATAATTTATAACAAGTACGTCAAAGTTTCCTAGTTAAAGAACTGTACAAATATTGTATATGTTTTGTGTGAACCTTGCAACTCGAATAGTTTTTTGTCTTTTTGTCCAACTTGTAAAGCTTGAATGAATAAGATGGCGAGGGCGAGTCAATATAGCTATACATTTACATTTTTATTTTTTCGTGTTAAAGATTTTAATTTCTTTTCTTGTAGACATTGGAGCAGCATATTGGTAATCGAAGTTCTTGCTTTAATAGGCCTGTTTCTCTGTTTTTGTGGATTTCGACTCTTGAAGGTTTGTTCTCTCTGCGACTATGCAATTTTTGCCCTCCTATTCTTACGTTTTAGGAGTAATGTGCAGAGAATTTGTTGCCCAAGGTTTTTTTTGTCCATTTGTAGACTGTTCTTTTTCTCGCTGGATTTGTCATCGCATCTCTCTTTACATATACCGTAACTCCATTAATATTTAAGACTAAAGTTTGTTGTGGAGTGGATAGCAACAGAACGGGTAAAAAATGTCTTTTCTTTGTCTTTCGGTATCATCGATTCTTTTAATGGCTTAATAAACTTCATGAATTTTTAGTTCATTTGGGTGTAAGTGTCTTGCTGGGTCTTATCTTTGGTATTTTAAGTTTGAAGCTTTATCGCCTTGGCGTTTTTGCCATCGGACAATGTCTCGGTCTGGTTAGTCAGTATTCAACTTCTCTTATTATAACAGACCAAGAAAATAGGATTTGAACTTACCTTCATTTCATTTTGAATTGATCGAACCTTGTTTTGTGTTATTTAGAGATCGATGTTTGAACGCTTTTTAGGCTAGCAGTTATAGCAATTGTATTCCCTTCAGTATCTTCAACTCATTTCCTGACCTCGTTAACTCCATATAATCTCCATAATAAAACTCACCTGAGCAGTTAAAAAAATCACAACTCTTATTCATTTGAATTGAATTTCCAGATCGTTGCGTTATCTGTACTCTGCACGCCAATTCATGTCTATTTTGACAGGTACGCAACTTATAAAAGAAAGTAAATTCATTTTTCCTTATACAGCCTACAGGAGGCTATTTGTTTGTCCACTGGTAAGGATATTCTTATCCATTCCCTTTCCTACAAGATTTCATTTACATTAACAAATTACTGCATGGCCGCTTTCCTTGCTTCACAACTTGATCAACTACATAAAAGTTGTTTGCGGTGTACTTTAAAATCACACGGTATATCGCGGGTATTACTGTAATCACGTGTTAAGTACGTGAATATTTATTGACTTTTGGTTCATTGATGTAAAATTTACAAATTAATACATTTTTTCTAAGATACCTCCTTTACTAAGGAACCTCCTTTAACGTAAACTTGCTTTTCAGCTTTTGTAATTGTTATTCTTAATTCTTTGGCACTTAAAAAACTGGAAAACATATTTTTAACTTGTCTTTCTGTGATTTTAAATATTTCAGTGATGTGACCTACTCCTTGTTTATGGGGACATTGTGTTTCATTTTCGGATCTCTCTCCTGCAAATATGAGAAACCCATCGTCGTCTTGGCGACAGCCAGTGGAGGATCGCTCTGCTTTTTGTATGGTAAGAATGACACGAGATCTCTCATGCTTTCTTAGGTGATTGAATGTTTACAGAGATTTAGTGACATTTTACTTCATGGTTTGATTGAAGCATCTGTTAAATCCTTCGGCATTTACATTTTGGGAGTAATAATGAAGAGAATTTTACACAAGAATTCATAATTTCATAGAGCAAGATTCCCCATGACTACTTGATGGTAGACAAAGACTCCCCATACTACTTGATGGTAGACACAGACTCCCCATGACTACTTGATGGTAGACACAGACTCTCCATGAGTACTTGATGGTAGACACAGACTCTCCATGACTACTTGATGGTAGACACAGGCTCTCCATGACTACTTGATGGTAGACACAGGCTCTCCATGACTACTTGATGGTAGACACAGACTCTCCATGACTACTTGATAGTAGACACAGGCTCTCCATGACTACTTGATGGTAGACACAGACTCTCCATGACTACTTGATGGTAGACACAGACTCTCCATGACTACTTGATGGTAGACACAGACTCTCCATGACTACTTGATGGTAGACACAGACTCCCCATGACTACTTGATGGTAGACACAGGCTCTCCATGACTACTTGATGGTAGGACCAGATTCCCCTGTGTGTACTTGATGGCAGAACATGACCCTCCGTGACCACTTGGTGATTTATGTTTCTTTGAATTCGCAATGCTTTACACGACACCATATTCTGTTTTAGGTATGGATCATTTTGCCAAAACTAGTTTCTCTGTGAGCGTGGAAAGATTATTGTACAGAGTAGAAGACATTGTAATAGATGGTGTTCATTCGGAGTATTCTAACTGGAAATATCATGTGAAAGGGCTTTCTCATTACGATATTTTACACTTCGATAACAAAGGTAGCGTTATATAACTTTTCTGTACTCTGTCAACTGACCATTTTTACTGCTACATGATATAAAAAAGTACCCTTTTTCTAGTCACCCAGAGTGTCAGGTTAAGTTATGACTTAGTCGAATTTATCTAGACGGAATAAATCATAATTGCCAGCACTGTTCTTTTATAGCTATTCCTATCTTCGTAGTATGGTTAGTGATGACGGTGTTGGGAACCGGAACTCAATACAAATGTTTTCATCCGAATGATAACGAAGATAACGACAAATTGTCATTGCCATTAAATTGCTGTCGTTCGATATGATTTGGCATAAACTACCCGAGAAACGTACCTAAAAATGTTGGCAAAATCTTCTGCATTTAGCATGAATATCGTTACTTTAGATGATCGATTAAGAACAGCTCTAACCAGCACCTTAACGCGCTAGATGCTTATTATATTATTCGTTTCATCATAACTTTCACAACTGAATTCATAAAAATATTGTGCGTTTATCAATGGTTGAGTTTTCGTACATGCGTAAGTGTTTGTCTTATAATATGGTGTATTATTTACTTCATAATTCTATACCTGTGTTTCCCCTCCATTGACTTAAGCATCGTATGTTTATTGAATAAGCACTTTGGTTCTTTATGGATCATAACGATGCTCTATATCTGTTGATGTTTTTTATATGCCTTGAAGTCTTTGAATAATGCTTGACGAAAAGTATTGAAAATTCATTCATACATTAATGTACAATATAATTTCAAAGCGTACACATTTTGTCCTACACGATATATTGACATTACATTATAAGGCCAGGATTCACTTGATACTTTCACAATAGACAAACCTGTCATCAAAACTGAAACTTTGAAGCATTGAATATGACAAAAATTTCCACTTTGGAAAACAGGATGCAAAAATATTTTTAAAATTGTATCCAGTGAATGCTTGCCTAGCAGTTTTATGCCTTACATAAAGACAATACTATATCCTAATATAAATTATTTTATTCTATAAATTGTTATTAACGTTAAAACGAATGGCTCGCAACACCTAGCACGAAAAAACCCCTGCTCATTTAAATATTAACACCGACCATACTATTGTTGCAGGAGAAATGTTGATGACGTAATTAATGATGACGTCACCGCAGTGCCAACAGCGGGGACAATAGACAAAGATGATTTCTGCCTGTCTTCGGAAGAAGTAACGTGTGAGTGTATAAAATAGAATTTACGAATTTATGTTCGTTTTTGTGCAATTTGGTGCCAATTTCCTTCCGATGTATATCGTACAACATGTTGGTTTCTGGTTTGTCCGAAAAACATTTCACTGCGCGTTGTTGAATTGCGGGTTCACGTATGAAAATCCTTGAAAGTCATCTTGATTGATGGTATCGAGAACGCCTTTGTCCGTCGGCGTTAGTCGTGGAGCCTCGCGCGTAAACTCGAGCTCGAAATTGACAGGATCCAAATGCGTTTTCTATTGGATAAAAAATATATTAAAACCGATGCAAGGCATCAATAAAATAACGTGTCTTACAAGCTACAGAAAAAATTTACCAAGATGGCGGTGTTTTTAAGTAAACCTGTAGTTATATTTATATATGCGTAAACAATGATCTACACACTTGTCCAAAATAGCGCTAATAATAGACGTATGAAAACTAACTCACCCCAGTCTTTGGTTTAAAAGGCGGGCGAATAGCTTTTTCTTCTAATTTTTTCCAATCAATTTCCTGGAAAAATACGTGTTCTCGAATGGCCTTTTCGCCTGTTGATGTGCAACCAAGTCTTTTGCTTGGATCCTTCGTCATGAACTGTTAACAAAGTTTTAGTGTTAAATTTAAAAGTTGAAATGTTCGAGTTCCAAAAAATAGATTATTGTGGCAGCGATTCTCAAGAATAATGTTAAGCATACTGTCAAAAATATCGCTTAGTTAAATTTAGGATTCTTACCCCTTTGAGTATGAGTATTGCCTCGCGCGAAAGCCATACAGGAAATAGCACATCTTCATGTAAAATACAATAAAACAATTCGTCCTCGTTATCAGCTTCAAATGGCGGCTGACCAGCCATCATTTCGTACATCAGAACACCAAGAGCCCACCAATCAACTGAGAAACAGTATGGTCTTTCTTGCAAGATCTACAAACACAATACCCAAAATGTTTGCGTTGAGCATATAGATGAATGTTGAATACTAAGTGATTTTGACGGCATGAAAATATCTCTCTTTGACTCAGTTTTTACGAAGAACGTGATCATCTTCTAACTTTGCCGTTGCATAACTCGTAGTGAAGATAATATCTATCACCACGTTAATTTCTTAACTTTACCTCGGGTGCAATATAATCAGGAGTACCACAAAATGTATTAGTCGTAGAGGTAGACGTCATATCGATTTTACACATCCCAAAATCAGCAAGTTTAATATGCCCTTCGCCGTCTAGTAGTACATTGTCCAACTTTAAATCACTGATAAAAAAAACAATATTACATCTATCATTGCTAAATCCCAACATGATGTGCAAAATACAAATATGATTGGGTTTTTACGATGATTGTGATGTTAACTGACCGGTATATTATTCCTTTTCTATGAAGGTATTGCAACGCAGAAACACATTCGGCAGCATAAAACCTACAATAGTAAATTAGAAAAAGGTGTGAATAATTATGGTTGTCCCAAAAGTGTTGGTTGGTTGGCAAGTTTAACGTCATGGTAAATATATTAGTGCTGTGCAAACTCCGGTTTAACTTTTTCAGATCCGGCTCCAGCCTTTTGTAAATTCTCATTCCCGGCTCCATCTATTTTATAACTCGAATATCTAGTTGTGGCTGGTTGATTTTGCAAGTCACTGTTTAACAGTCTGAGTAAAATTTTTATATGCGAAGTTAAATTTCCGCACTCCGACTTTCAATCATAAATTAGTTGACTGACGTTTCGACAACCTTAGCGGTAGTCATCTTCAGAATCATTACTCCTCATTTGATTCTGAAAATCATAAATTAGCTTGTGTGAACGCAATCTAGCGTCATGTTGTGTCATGCATAAAACGTTTTATTTTCACGGAAGTTCTTCACTGTTAGCCGTTGGTTATCGTTGCTTGAAACATAATGTTTTGATCAGTTACATTTACCAAAATCTGACAGTATTTTGCAGCACAAACAACTGCTGCCGCCGAATTTTTGCCGGAGATGAACAAACTCCGGCAACGGCAGGCAAAAATCGCCGGAGCTTCAGCCTAACTCCGGTGCACAACACCATGTTATGTTAAGTACCTCGCTCGAGACTCATCAAACTTTCTCGCTTTCTGAATTTGAAACATCAAATCGCCACCGTTGATGTATTCCATGACAAAAAATAATCGATCCTGAAAAAAATTCAACCATTGTTAGTGATATTTTTGAGTATAATTGACGAAAAAGAAAACCTCTGGTTCTTCTTCGATAAGATCTAGCTTGCCTCCCACTAATAATTGTTGGTATTCTTTTCAAACTTATTGAATGATCGTATTATTAATTTAAAACATATTGAACTCTGTTAAAATAGAGCTTTTCTTCAGAAATGTAAGGTTTATACTTCCCCACGATTAACATATGCATACGCCCTACGGTAGTAGTTAGATTCTTTCAATACAATGAGTCACATGATCTTACCACCACCAAATTGGGCGTCCACGAAGTTATATGAACAGTAGTATAGCCAGCCCGCAATTTGGTCGTGCTATGTTAATATTTTGGCGTTTTTACTCACGTTAAAAACAATATACTTCTAGGAAATTAATAATGCAAATAAACTAAAATTTAAAGACCACGACCAAACTAGCGCGGGTTGGCTACACCATGAAATATGGAAAATTTCTAGATAGCTTTAAGGTATTAGAAGTTTCATAAATGAATATGGTTCGGTTGCAGACTTACCGGTGTTTGAAAACATGAATGTAACGAGGTGAGAAACGGATGAGATGACGCCAACGCTAACACTGTTTTCTCGATCATTGTACATTCTGCGTCATCATCCTCCATGATCACTTGTTTTTTAAGCACTTTAATAGCGTACAGCTCTGTCGTTCCCTTGCGTTCTGCAAGCATTACCTACGTAAACAAAGAAATATTGGGCTGTTAATCAACCATTAACTTTCACTGGATTGGCAAATTTCATTACTACCTAAACAGACATGACGGTCAGATTCTGACCACAGAATTAGGAAATTACAAAAACGTCACTAGAGTAGGAACCTTTTACGTTGACGGTCGCACATCCGCCGTCATTTAGTGTTTGTCAATTGTTTCCTACCACTTAACTTACGTTACGTCATTTCCTTTAAATATTTTCAAAGAACCATTACACAAAAATGACGTCATTTCATTAGAAGTAGGAAACTAGTGAGGATGAGAAGATGTTCATATGAAATGATGATGATGAGAAGATGCTCTGTTCACATCACGCATCCACCCTGACACATATTGCCTTTCTTATGACATACTTTATGTAACAGTTTACGAATTGGCTCTTCCTTTAGTGTGTTATTAGTCTGTCGCTACACATACCTATCTCCACAAATGGAAACAGGCAACATTACCTTTCCATATGTTCCTTTTCCCAAAACTTTTAGCAAATCAAAATCTCTCAGTGAGTAATGACTATTGCCATTCATTATTCGCATAACTGGTTGCTTTTTGCTGGTACCAACATTGTTGTGGAGTGGTGCACTTGTGGGATAATCATTGATACTGTTTGGACTCTGTGGTGAGGTGAGGTTAACATCATTTGATTCTGATTGGGTTAGTAGAGATGTCGTAGATGATATGCTTGACTGAAGGCAACAGAAAAATCAATTATAGAAATGTTAATGTAATCTATACCCAAAGAAATGCTAATGTAACATACACCAATAGAAATGGTGCTGTTTCGTAAACCTTAGAAATGGTAATGTTTTGTAAACCTTAGAAATGCTAATTTGTTGTAGTAACTGTGTTTTACATTTCAATTTAAGTAGATAAATTTATGAGATAAAAATTGACAAATGAAATACATTTTAATTTTATAAGTGACAACAAGTTTCAATGATAGGATGACATACTTTCCTTGGTTTGTTTTTCATATTCAGTTCATTGTGACCAATAAGTGCCAATCTCTGAGCAAATTCTTTAGTGTTCACCCCACAGTTGTTTCCAACATTTTTTTGACATCGCTTGTGCACATTCATAAAACAAACTTGAGAAAAAATACATTTGTGTAAAATAAAGAGTAATGAACACCCACAAATCAAACCATACAGAAGGGATAAAGAATTTGAAATGTCCTTATTATGTAAGCTCCAACAGTTGCTTGAACAGTAGCGCCAACAACCCCAATACTTCCCATATTAAGGCTATATACATATATAACTTAAAAAAGTCAGTAATATAAAACAATGCTTAATATTTGTAAGTGACATTTTGTAGCTGTTTTCAACCCCAAATTAAAATCTTGCTGACACCACTGGTTGCTATAATACAAACATTTTCAATCCAGCAATTTTACATACCTTCACATTGAACTCCTTGCCTGTACAACCCAAAGAGCATAGAACCGCAATGATTACAAAATGTTGGTCTTTTGTACGTGTGGACTTTGAATCTGTGTGGAACATTGATAGTAAACCCTGAACCTTCACCCTACATATAGGTAAGTCATCCTTAATGCAAACTAAAAAACAACATCTTTACTTCTTCTTCCTCCTTACCTTATCTGATGTTTCATCTTTATGTCCTGGACATGAAGTAACAACATATTGGTGACATCTTTTGTGAACGACTTTAGTGCATACTAGTGAATCAAATGACATTTTTAAACTTTCAATTGACAGTTTCTTTTTCGCTTTTGTCTTTAAAAAAACGTTGCAATGTCTTGTGTATAATACCTTGGCACTGATATCCTTGTTTACCAATAACTCCCCTGTAATAAATGAAAGACACATTAAAAATTATCATATAATAGTTATTTGAGGTATCTTCGGTTCGACAAGATATTGCGCTTTTGACATTCCCATTGTTATCGCTAACACAATAAGATAGAGCTAGGAAAAAGAAAATTCTTGTTATTTAAATAAAAAAAACAATCTTCAAATGCCATTTTGAAGTATCATGAACATTTTTGTAGTTCAAATATCTAAACCCAAACAACGCATTAGGAAATGTTAACATGGAATAATTTTTTCACACTGTACATTATGAAGGAACACAACACACACATAAAAATATTCCGGAGTACTTCACGTGTGCAATGTAGCGTGCTGCCATTATATTTCTTGACTCTACGTGCAAAAAGAACGAAACTTAATCAAAGCAGTGAATTATCACAGACTAAAATAAACTTTATGTTCATTTTGACTCAATCAAAAAGATGAATTTCGTCTCGAATTTCCCAAAACAATGCTGTTGACAGACCTTGCAGGCTCAGCAATATCAGAAAGTTTACAAAAATCTTATCATGTCACAAACAAAATATAACAGTATTGAGTATTGTCTGGCATGTTTATGAAATTTTTGAAAAATTTCATAAACCAGTAGTTCTATCGTACGATAAAATAAGGAACTTTGACAATGTTTCAATTGTGCACGTCATTCACTATTTTCCAATTAATAACGACATTTTGAAACGATCGAATTGCTCCGTATGCAAAAGCCAATTTTAGTTTTTTAACGTAAATCAAACACGACAAGTCTGCCCTACTCTTCAATCTTGACGCATTGTTTACAAAATTTATATGTCTTAGACAATTGCAGCTCTCGAGACAATTTGAAAGAGAAAAGCATAGGAGCTTCGTGCAATATTCATGGTTGTTATTGTAATATTATAAACAAGGTGTGCAAATTGTGCTGAAACTTCTAATGATCATTTTGTTATTGTGGTAAGTTGGAACAATGTGATATCGGTGACATCTCCTACTTATTCATATACTCACCAAATAAAGTCTTTGCAATGAGCGCAAAATGTTGGCTGATATAAAAATGTGGCCATGAACTTGTGTCCTCTGACCTGGTGTATTCTGCGTCTCATTGCACCGCGTCTTCCTCGTGCTTTAAGCGCTCCTTCCTTCATTTTGAATTTTGGCCTTTTGTCTAAATAGTGTAGACGAAAACAAAACTTCACAAATGGCCAGGGGTTCTGCCTTACTATCATAATACACAGATGGGGCCAAAGACGTCGTGGTCTCAGAAAGTCACAACTCAAATTGTATCGTTTAAAGGTAGATTTTAGTGCGATATTCTTCTCCAAAAATACACGCTGTAGAAAAAGAAACATCGGCATTTATAATCAAATCTTGCAATTTCATAACAATTATGTGAAATACCTCTGTCATTCGATTCTTTTAGTTCGACTTTAACTCGAACTTTACCTGACGGCTCCAGCTTTATCTAACCAAAAATAAACATTTGTGTGAAATTAAAGCCCAATCTCCTCCTTTTAGGAGAAAGAAATAATCGACGAACCCAGAAACTATCGCTTGAAGCTTCCTTTACTAATGTTTCCAATGAAATCGTTACATTTGCAATAAATGGATCTGGAGGTAAAATGGCTTTGTGAAAAACCGTCAAACCCAATATCTCTCCGTAATCAATGAACTTTTCAAAATGCTCATCCCATCGTGGCGTTGATGATTTGCCTTTGGCTTGTGTTTGTGCCAGGTATATTTCATCCACATAGATCGAGACGTAAGGGTCGATGTTTGTCAATTTTACACCATGATGAAGCAAGCTTGTCGGTTTCAGATCGGTCGCCTCGCATATATCCAACTTCAGCGTACCACAAAACCCGACCATCACTTTTCAAAAGTCACTACATTAAAACTTTTTTACAGAAGAAAGAATCAAAACAAACGTATATTTTTGTATCCTCAGAACTCGAGTTAGGTGTTGATTTCCTAGTCACGACAAGTTGTTGAGCTTCCTGCCTCGATTGAACCAGCATGCATTGCGGTAAACAATGGGATCATGAGTGGGATGGGGGGCTTGGGTTAATGGTTTAGGCACCGAGATTTGAGAGACTAATCTTTAATCTAACCTTTATTTTATAATGCATGCCAATTTTAAATCAAATTTAAATTTCATACTTGGTTTTAACGTCATCAAGATGAATTAGAATGTTTTAGTTTTTTGGCAGGCAGATTTTTTCAAGTGCTTTTAGACAACACTGAAAATGAAAACAATTTAACTTATCTATAGAGGTTGGTTACATTACTGAAAGGCTACATTTGGATAAGCCCATACCAAACTTCAATGACAGGAGGTAGCCGTCCATTTATAATCAGTACATTGGGTTAGGTTATTAGTTTCAGCACTGTGGTTTGATCAGATTTAAAGCATAGAAAACATTGCAATAAGAGTGACAAAAATTTTTTATGAAAGTGAATTGCACAAATGTTCATAAGATGTGTATTTCTGCATCAAAATAAATAACTAAGAAAAAAAGAAGTCGAAAATACCTTTTCTTAGCAAGAAAAATATGAATCCTGAAAAGGTGTTTGGTTAGAAGAAACATTCAGATTTAACTTCCAAATAGTAAAGTTAACCTTTGTCTTTACAAATTAGCATGATAAATTACAGTATGAGATTAAGCTATAATACACATGGTATTAAAAATATGCAATCATCCAAGGTTACAAACTATGTTATCTTTTACTGGTTGCAAAATCATGCAGTTCAAGATGTGATACAATATCCCCAGAACTCATTTTGTTTCATTATTTTCCACCACCAGCTCGAGGATTTCTTAAAACCAAAATGACCGAGTCACCACGTAAAAACATCTTGGCAATGTATCTGTCCTTGTTTACAGGTTTACCCTTCTTCTTTCCCTTACCAGCCTTTGGAGTCTCTGTCCAAACTTCCTTGACATTTTCCAAAACCATGTTGCAATGGCGGTCAAACGCTTTGACCCTGGCAAGCAGTTTACGGTTGTTTCTGCAATTGATGAGAATTTGGGCATTGTCTTTGACAGATTGAGTGAGTATAGAGAGTGGGCCTGTTGCAAATTCTTCTTGTTCTCTCTGTGCCAATTCCTCTGGAGTCATGTCCGACTTGGGTTTTGCTGCTCTGCAATCAATTTAACACGTAAAAAATATTGAAACTATCTATAAGACAAATTCAGAGGACTAAAATGATAAAGGGAGATCAATTTAGTCCTTTCATGAAATGAATACAAACCACCTCATGTATTAATAGCTAAAATTTAAAATGATATCACGTACAGGTTAAAATATGTTCGAATTATACATTACTACACAACTTACAATGAAGCCATGATTGATGGCGAAGATTTTTTCAGATTTTATAGATCTTACTGGTTTGGCTCGTTCTACTGAGGATCGTCGAACGTTCGCGCGTCGTTTTCAAGCAGCGCGTTTTAAAAATTTTGGCCTGCGGTATATCAACACGGGCACGGGTGTTGTTTTCGTTGTTTTTGGTTTAACCGTGAATTTACTGTGGGTAAGAATAAATGCCAAAAAACTTTGCATTTTTTTTGTAGAAAGAAAACAAAGTATTTTTTTGTTTAATGAAGTGATTTTATTAAGTTTAAAGTTGAAAACTCAAGTAACATAAGATGAAATTAAAGTTGAAAGATACAATTATATTTTACACCCCCCCTGCTGGAGAACAAACATTTTTTTGTCATGCGCAATCGTCAACGGAACGTTGTGAATTGTGAACGTGCATCTTTCTACCAAGATTTTCTGGTATCATGGTATCATAAGAATCACTGATAAAAATTAACATTAACTCCACTAGTCGACAAAATATAATTGTACCAAAAACAGTGGACATTGTGTCAAACGTTGATTGTGTCATTTCTATCCTTTTTAATCAAAATACACTTGAATTTACCTAAAAATGTCTTTGGCAGACGAGTTACTAGCAGACTTGGAAGAAATAGGAGATGAAGGAAATGTGGACATTATTGATAATGACAACATTGAAGAAGCAATGGAGACAAGTGACAGCTTGGATACGAAGTCAGTTAAACATATAGCTAAACTAAGAGATGGAAAGCAACTTCAAGATGTTTTAGAGAAGATTAAAGAATTCTCAGAAAAACCACGAGGGGAAATGTTTGGGCCAATAGAAACGGACCCAGAATACCAGTTAATTGTGGAAGCTAATAACTTAACTGTAGAAATTGATAACGAGATTAGTATCATTCATAAGTACACAAGGGATCAGTATGCCAAACGGTTTCCAGAACTTGAATCACTTGTGCCCAGTGCTTTAGATTACATTAAAACTGTACAGTTGTTGGATAACGATTTGGAAGTTTCAAATGTTGATCTCACAGAGATCTTGCCACCTGCCACAAAGATGGTTGTCAGTGTCACTGCTTCTACAACGCAGGGTGAAAGATTAGAAAATGATGAGTTGGAACGTGTTATGGAGGCTTGTCAAATGGCGCTGGACCTTGTTGAAGCAAAGGCAAGGATTTTTGAATATGTTGAGTCCCAGATGTCTTTTATTGCTCCAAATACTTCTTGGATTGTTGGTGCAACAGCTGCAGCCAAGTTGATGGGAAGTGCAGGTGGTTTGACCAGTTTGTCAAAAATGCCTGCATGCAATGTGCTGTTGCTCGGTGCTCAACGAAAAACGCTTACTGGCTTCTCTAGTGCTGCAATACTACCACATACTGGTCACATCTATTATTGTGATTTGGTTCAGGTATTGTAATGCATATTTTAATTCATACAACAAATTTTTTTTCCAAAGATATGATTGAAGAATATGATACATATATTTTTTGAAAGCTTCAATACTTAGTGCTCTTATGGAGCTGTTTTCAACTTCCAATAGTTTTTAGATCAAAATATCGTTTTCACAGGCAATGAAAAATCCTATTACCTTTAATATTTCATAGTCTACTCATATTGTGAATGAGTATGGGATTATATTATGTTCTGCTTTTCAGAGTTTACCACAAGATTTACGAAAGAAAGGAGCTCGCATAGTTGCTGCAAAATGCACATTGGCTGCTCGTGTTGATAGTTTCCATGAGAATGTTGATGGCAGTATTGGTCGAAATTTTTTTGAGGATATTGAGCATAAATTTCGAAAATGGCAAGAACCACCACCTTTGAAGGAAGCCAAACCTCTACCAAGACCTGATGATGCTCCAAAAAAGAAACGAGGAGGTCGACGTGTAAGGAAAATGAAAGAGAAATCTGCAATTACAGAACTTCGTCGGCAAGCTAACCGAGTTCAGTTTGGTAAGATTGAGGAGGACATGTTTCAAACTGATATGGGTTTTTCTGTGGGTGCTCAAACAAAAGGATCAGGTAAAGTCCGTGCTGCTGCTGATAAGAAGACTCAAGTTTCAATCTCCAAACGACTTCAGGTGCATATTATTCTAGTTTTGTTTTGTGTGCTATCCAAAAATGTACCTAATTGTAAGTAATGTCACAACTTTATAGTAAGTGCTATTCAAAAATGCCCTTTCACATGTTACAAACTTTGTTGATATACTCAAACAAAAACTATGTCCAGCCGACAATATAAAAAAGTAAGGTAAAAAACAAATCCAAAGAGACAAGACATCTTGAGATTATAAATTGACTGAGGATGATGGAGGATGACTGAGGATGACGGAGGATGACTGAAGATGACGGAGGATGACTGAGGAAGACTTTGAAATAAAGTCGAAAATTTACAGTTCACTTCGCGTCTTGTTCTGATTCAAATTTTTTTTAGTATTTCTTGTCTCTTCAGAATTTGCTTTTTACTTTACTCTAACAAAAGCCTTTAGTTATTTTCTGTAGATCACACAACACACTCTTACGCTAACATTTTTATTTTTGTTCTCAGCTGTGAGCCCAAGGAAAATTATTTCTGATGTCCTTTGTGATCTCACTTTTTACATTCCCAAAAGATCCACGATAATTTTGACGTTTTTAAGGCCCGTTCACACGATCCGATTTTGTCGGTTCCAAAAAAACGAATCGTGTAAACACATATAAAGTGAGCCTTCCATAGTCTCGGATCCGTCAATCTAAAAAATCGGATGGAAATAGAACTTGCTCTATTTTCATCCGACAAGATCAAAGGAAGCCGACTTGTCAAATTACATAGATTTGAAAAGACTTGGAAACAAGAACAAAAATACGAAAATATACATCGATAAATGTACTGGATAACACAAATGGCTGTTCTCACGACTTTAAATATCTATATGAATATAAATATAAACAAAATGATTGGACCGTCTGAACAAGCAACCAAAAGTCGGAACCGAAACAATCGGATCGTATGAAGGGGTCTTTAACACCAAAGTACCTTGGTGTCTTGCACATATGTGCGTTATTTATAAATTGAAAACGGTGTGTAGCTCTGGTTTTCATCACGGCAGCTTTAAAATAACAGCGTTATTGTCATGTCTGTTTATAGCGAAATCTGCAACAAGGACAGGCGACCTACGGTGGAAAGTCCACCGTTCGTGGCCAGACCTCTGGAACGGCATCTAGCGTTGCTTTTACACCTCTGCAAGGTCTGGAAATTGTAAATCCGCATGCAGCCGAGAAACGTGTTGCTGACGCAAACGCCAAGTATTTCTCCAGTACATCTGGATTTTTACACGCCAAAAAGAAAGGGACTGGAACCAAATAGATATTGGACCTGTAATCGGAAGACTATTCAGGTGATGAAATTTCAATTTATTCCTGGATGAAAAACGGAAAGGAAAACACTCGAATCACAGATACGAATGCTTTTTATGCCTAAAATGTGAGATGTTTTGAGCCACGCTTTGAATCCATCAAATGATTTCCGTTGCTTTTTTCTACCCTCATAAATTTTGCAGCAGGTGTCAAGTTTAGCTAATCGCTATACAGTGAACTTTTTTATCTTAACCTTTATCTTGATGTGAATTATTTATTGGAATAAATACCGCGTGTTGGCAATCACAAAACTTATTGACAAAACTAGTTTTTTAAGATCCCTTTTTTCTCATTGCCCATTTTATATCTGTCATGAAGCAATGTGCGCGAAGGTGACATAAATATTATCACATAAGTTTTTGCTCGTCTATGAGTGCTATTAAAATAATTTCAGCCTCACCTATAGACTTCAATACGCAATCAAATTGATGCAATGAATTTATGCTAAAATAAGGCCGAAATAAGCTTAGAATTTTTAATAATAGGCGTACGAGGTTGGGTTCACCCCAAAAATTTGAGCTCAAGTAATAACGCTGGACAATGTCTCCTTAAAAATTGGGTAATATTTAGCCTTTTTACTGCAAATAAACCAAACTAATTTTGAGAAGCAAATAGACAGAAATCTTAATAGCAAATTAACTGCAATTGGAATCATTCATAACAACAAGCCCCATTTAACAATATATCAAACTCAAGTTATATGCAACATTAAGTAAATTTATCAAACACAAATTAAGCATCATTTGGTAAATTTATAAATGCTTCGCAGAAAATTTATTTGTACTGCTTCAACAAGTTGTCTAGGTTTGTTGTTCCACTTGATTAAATTCTTGCTAGAGATTTTCAAAAATGCCGCAAGGCTTAATTTTCCTGACATTATAGGCGTCATTTGTCTTCTGCATCGTGTGCCAAATCTATTGAGAGCCAAAATAATCACATTCCACACGCCATTTTTGAGGTAACTAGTTGTCATATAAAGGTCTCGATAACAACTGAGACTAATGTAATGATCACAATTGAGGTAGCTGAGATGCATTTAGCATGTTGTTTAGAAATGCAAAAACATTGAGTTTGAAAGCATTGAAAAATTTGCAGATCGCATGACCATGGCCTACTCAAATTTACATTGTAAATTTGAGTAGGCCATGGCATGACATATTTACATTTTGCACGTGTTATTCTTCGACAAGTCTATGGTAATCAGCTGACGAATTCGTAATATTTTAACTACTGATCTTAACTATTTTAACTATTTGGCTGATCTATGACAAATGATTCATGTCAAACTAAGTTTGACTTAAATGAAAATTTATATGATTGTATTGTTTAAAATAATTGTTCAACATGTTCAATTTATTTATTTATTGCTTCTTTTAACCATCCAGACTTCTACGCAGTGCTTTCAATATATTATTGCCGATTTTTTTGGTCCTTTTTTGGTCTCGTATGCTCCGGACGAATATCGACATTTGTCTCAGTTTTTTACAACTCAATATCTTGTCGAATCATATATGTTAGTGTCACATGCAATCGGTGATCATATAGAAATCACATTGGGAAATCATGGGTATTTCAGAATTGATTGACATTCTTAAGTGATCATAATTAGAAAAACGTGTTTTTCACACGATTGAAGATTGGACGATAATATTTCAAAACAATTACATACTTTGATATGTAGTCAGTATCAGAAGAGTTTTGGTAGCTGCAAGATTTATTTGACAATCGTAAGGTAATTTGATGTCTGTAAATATATAATCAGACTGCATTGTTAATTTGTTTTATAAAGTAAATGGTTTGAACCCGGGAGTATCGTTACATGTTTGTAAATGTAGATCGTCCAGGTTGGTATAGTCCTGAGAAGGACTGTTTTTGTTGTTGTTGACTGACGTTTCGACAACCTTGGCGGTAGTCATCTTCAGAGTCAAAAAAAAAATTTTTTTTTTCATTTTTTTTTTTGTATAGTATTAGTATATATTGGTTTAGTCCGAGGTAGAATTCGATCATGGCAATGGCAATCGAAAAACAATCAAATCATTTTTGTTAGGTTAACATTGTATGATTTTAACTGAAACTAGTTAAGCAAAGTACTGAACTAAAAAAACATTAAATTAGGCAAATCACTGAGTTTAAGAAATGAGAATGTGTATTCTTGATTCTTGCATTGGTATGTCATTTAAGGTCGTTGAGTATTTGCAGTTTAAGGAATGAAAATGTGTATTCTTGATTCTTGCATTGTTATGTCATTTAAGGTCGTTGAGTATTTGCAGTTTAAGGAATGAGAATGTGTATTCTTGATTAATCCGTTAACTTACGATCTTAAAAATTAGATGTAATATGAACTTTTAGCCATTTTTGTGAACTTTTGACACAAGCGAGCATGAATATTTTAAAATTTCATCTGGCAACACTGGTCATCGCTTCGTCTATCTGTCATATAAGTGTCATGGTACTGTCTTGGGTTTAATATACTCTAAGGTTTTGTATTTTAGCAAGTATTTGCATCGTCTGGTTTCATTTTTTGGCTTCTCAGACAAAAATAACTCTCTTTGCTGGTAAGTTTGTTTTTTGATTTAGTATGTTTTAATTGTGCTATTGAAACTCTGAGCAGGTTTATATCTATAGCAAACCATTCTTAAACGTTGTCGGGTCTGCGTTTGGCCAATAAATATTTTTGTAGTAGTTCTCATCTTTCATTTCAAATATGTGATTAGACTTGACTGTCAATGTAATTTCAAATAAACGTATCATAAGATTGCCTTGCAGTTCAAATATTGTCGTCATTTGCCGTCGTATCTTTTGATCAGTTTACACTCATACGATTATCGAAAAAACGTATTACTATCCCATTTATTGGTAAAATTGATCTGTAATTGTAAATTACTATTAGCCAAAAGCGGCGTGAAAAGGCTCTATTAAGAAGTAATAATTAAGCTAAAGCCTTTCATTTAAGCCAAATCTTTTCCCAAGCAATTTGACGCAGTTTTTGCATGACACTTAGAGTAGCAATAAGTCTATTTCAAGAAGCATTTTAACGTTTTGACCGTAATGAAAAAAAAATTCCTACCAATTTTATTAAAACATGTCCAGACAACCTTAATACAAACAAATCAATACACAATTACTTGTCAACAGGTTATAAGATTACCATGCATGATACAGACTTGTTAACTAATAACTTGTAACATGGTGACAACTTGTAACAGTTTATTTGCTTAACAAGCCTTTTACAATTTGCTGAAAAAGTTAACGCAGGCATGTTGTGCCATGTAGCAACTTGTTGAGAAGATGACGGGTTTTCATGTGTAGTCAAGTCACGAGTTAAAAGTTCAAACAGATAACTTCCCTGTCTTATTCCCGATGTGCAAATATTTTGTGTCCGTTGACACGCTGTAGCTAAATACAATTCGAAGAAAGGAATAATAGCAAAACTTCGACTGACGACGTTGTTGCAAACTGATACATAAAGTTTTTTCATAAAGAATTTGCTTTCTTGTATGTGCGTATAATTCTTAACTCTCGAGACCAACGTTTTTGCTTGAAGGTTTATCTTGTTGAAAACAGCCCATTCTTCCTTTGATAAATGACTTGCAAGCAGGAAAGCGTCCAATTTTCCCAAGAACAAACGGAAAATTCTGCAAAAGAAGACATGCTGACGAAACATGTTCAAAACGTTGAGGAGACTTGGGTTCTTGTTAAGAAAGATCTGGTTGGCAACGGGGCTGTTTTTTTGTTTAGGTATTTTGTTTAATGCATACTTTAGTAGGCCACATAAGCTTTATTTGTAAGAGATTTGTCTGAATGAATTTCTTTGATCAGGGTTATTTGACGTGCAAAGTATGCAGCAATACAACTCTCGGTGTTGGTGATAGGTGTTATAACTTTTAAATTCATCTTTTGCAAACAAGAGTTAGCAACACAATTTTTGTTGGTAGCTTTTCGCAGCGTACCATAAAATACCTCTTTTTATTTGTTCAGGTTCATCGGACAAAATCCAGAGATCAAAGATCTGTTCTCGTTTGGACCAAACTTTGACATAGAGAAGGACAATCATGATCACCCGGAACTACGAAAGCAGGCGGCAGTTCTTATGAAAATGATTGACTATGCTGTTAGATGCCTTCACGATCTAACAAACCTTACGCCTAAACTGAAAGCACTGGGAAAGAAACATTACGTCAAGTATAATGTGAAGCCTGAGTATTTTAAGGTAAGATTTGCTGAAACCAAAGACTGAAGTATGTTTGAACTTAAACGTCAACATAAGATTGCTCACGGAAATATTAGACTGGAGTTTATAACGACTAAATTTTTAACATTAGATTTCTCCTCACGAGTGCACGTAATTGTAGTAAATAAGGACTCAAGATTTAAATCAAATCACTCCTGATGCAGACCCTTTATGGAGTATATAAGGACTAAAGTTTCAACATTAGGTAACTCTTGATCAAGACACTTTAAACTAGATGTCTTCTACGCAAGGATCCAAGATTCAATATCAAATCGCTCATTTTGAAGACACTTGATTTAAGCACGCATTTAAAAACTTCAAATTTTAACATAACTTACCTCAGATCAGTCTTGATGAAGTCACTAGAGTGCATTGTGTAAGGATTAAACATCACATGTAAAAATTTCATCTAAAGTTATCACATTTTTATCTAATTAGCCTGCCATACCTCCTTTGATGTGGACTCTTGAAAAAGGTCTCGGAAATATTTTCACACGTGAAGTGGAAAAGTCGTGGCGGGTTATATTTGGTATTGTTCTTGACGTCATGATTGAGGGGGCTCAAGAGGGTATTGAGGAGTTGAATAATAATGCACTCTCGTAAAAAATATATTTACTTTACTATTACGTAATGATGGGTATCGCATTCTTAATTTAATTCTACGTTATTTTATAATCTTATGTTAGTACTTAAAACATTAACAATATATTGCACGCGTTTGTAAAAAGAAAATATATTCTCTTTCATTGGTACTTGAAAAATTGCACCTTGAAATTTAATATGTGCAACACGTTTTTGACTCAGCGGATTCATTGTGTATTGCATAAAATTAAGAGTAGGACTATTTATAAGATTTTTCGAAATCATGCTCTGCTTGTATCTCAGTGCTTCTATAATAATTTCAGGTTTTTGTGGTGAATGCGGCTTCTTTCTGAAGTGTGCGAAACACAACTCCAGTAACTGATTTGAGATCAGTCTTGCAGTGGGATGAAGGGGGGAGTGGAAGCGATAAAAACCTGTTTTTAAAACGAGCAGACGATTACATACTTATAAATCAACAAAGAACGTCTCGTGAGTCCGGATGAATGTTAACGTATATTCTGTTTTATTGCTCGAAACAAGCAAGTATCTTTGACTATGAAGCGTTGGATCAATATGTTTCTGTGTGTATTGCTTTTTAATCAAATGAATGTGACATTCCCAGCTCCTAGTAAAGCGGAGACGGAGAAAGACGACAAATTAGATTCTCTGGAATATGGTGGCGTCAGTGCCGGCGAACTGTTAGCTTACTCGGAAAGGAAAGAACTGTTAAATTATAATTCAAATAAATTCAACTCTTTGACGTCTAGAAACAAACTGGAATGTGACGCCTGCAAATTTTTGACAGACTTCGTGCAAAGTGCTTTTCATCTTCAAAACGCTCAAACCGACATTCAAAAAGCCGCACTTAATTTGTGCATAAAATTGAAAATTGAGGATACTAGAGTTTGTAAAGGAGTTATCCCAGAATTTCAGAACGAAGTCTTGACTGTTTTTGATAAAGTTTTTTTAGACCCAAATCAAATTTGTGGTCTTGTTATTGGGCCATCTTGCGGAAAAGTGCGATCATTATACCCATCTTGGAATGTCACTTTACCCAACGTTGCCAAACCTTATAATTCGCTCAAACGCCAATCTAAAGTTAGTATATGAATTAAGGTTTTCAGTTTTCAAACGGCATTTTTTTAGGAGAGAATCTCACAAAGAGTATAGTTAAATAGTTTACCCCTAGTAATGTATTTACTTATTTCGCCCTTGCTTTGATTTCCATCTATATCTTTAACAATTCTAAGCTTTGTTTTGTCGTAATATGTGGTAAGAATTCATTCACCATGTCCCAATTCAAATTGATTTTTTGTGATTTATTTTGACTGATGATGCACTGTTTTTGTCATGGGAAAGTTTTCTTTCAAACACATATTTTAAATTACGTTTTTATCTTAGCCTGGTCTGCCAACACTGACTATTTTGCATTTGTCCGATGTTCACATTGACCGTCAATATGCAGAAAATACAAGCACAGAATGTGGGGAACCTCTATGTTGCAGAAAATATAATGGTATGTTGGAGAATATTGAAAGGTATTTTGGAAAAGAACTTGGTGTTTTGGAGTATGTTTTACCCAAGAGAGTATGGCTGTAGAGCTGTGAAGTTATCAGAAAAAATTGTTTTTTTAAGATCTTTTATGTGCATTAACACAAAAAACCTTTGAAGAATGGATGGTTTTAGTGTTATTTTTTCTTTAATGACTGCAAAATATCTGCCTTATCCTAGGCTTAGTTGTTTTGAAAATAATAAAATGTCAAATGAACAAAAAATAGCACAGCGCCTCTTTTCCTTTTAAAGCAATCAGCACAGAAAATAGCAATGCCACAAATATGCAAAAATGCCCACAAAATTAGCCTACTTTGGCTTATGTTAGTTTAAATCAAACTGTGCAAGTTGTCTTTCATTCATAGTTAACTTAATGCACATGTTTTGATTTTATTAAAAAAAAATGCAATAACTCAAATCAAAAAAGGAAAGAACCAAAACCAATTTGAATTTGTACAAGGTTGTATAACTAATTTACTGATCATGTCATATTTCTTATTTCAAGGTAAGGGTAAAGCAGGATATTGGGGATCATATAAGTGCGACATTCCTATGCGTACATTTGAAGCTGCACTTAAACGCATCAAGAAATCTCATCCAAAAGTATGTGCAAGCTTATTGTTTTGTTGTTGTTTTTTTAAGAGAAAGTAATGAAAAATTGTTATTTTAGATTGATTTGGTATATTGGACTGGTGACGTCCCTCCACATGACATTTGGAACCAATCACGAACTGATCAGGTTTAATTCATCAACTTTAGCAATGATTTTTTAATGTTCATTGATTATTCAGGGAGTGCTTACAATTTCATCTTTGGAGAAGATCTCATCATTACTAAATTACGGACTGTTTTCAAAAATATTTGACATCTAAATTATATTAGGAATCCTTGCTATCAAATTATTTTGGACATAACTGCCTTAAAATAAATTAGAATTTAAAATAAGTGACTAAGCCAAAAGTTGGTGATGAAATTAACTTTTCTACTTTTTCTTTTCATGCAAAGATCAAGGCTATGGAATCAGCAGTAAAACTTTTCATAAAGTATTTTCCTGACATAAAAGTGTATCCAGCCATGGGTAATCACGAAAGTGCCCCTGTGAACAGGTTAGCATAACATCTAGTTTTTGTCAATTCATTATTAAGGGATTTGCAGCATTCTGTTCTCATGCACTGGTCAACTCATTATTAAGAGATTTGCAGCATTCTGTTCTCATTCACTGCTTGTTTGTAATGCTTAGCTTTCCACCTCCATTTGTCACTGGTAAAAGCTCCAACAAATGGCTTCTGGATAGTTTTGCTGATTTCTGGTCATTTTGGTTGCCTGAACATACAGGACCTACCATTAGAAGGTAACAGTATGAAACAACATTTGATGTATTTTTAGTATGAGAAGATTTAAAATTACCTTGAGACTAACTGAGCTGTTTGTATTTTTTCTGAAGGGGAATACTATACTGCTTTTTCTCTTAGATTTTCTCCTCATTGTGTTAAGAAGCAGTTTTTTTTTGTTTGTTGGATACAAAACTATTTTAAAAATTTTATGTTGACAATGACAAGTAGTTTCTATTTCTTCAAGTGTGTGATATCATACAATTTTGCACCTAAAAAAAAGAATTAATTAAACAGGCCATTACTTATTCTTTAAGAGGGGGATACTACACTGTTCTACACTCAAAAGGATTTCGAATCATCTCATTGAATGACAATTATTGTAATAATCAAAATTGGTAAGTATCTAGTAATTGATAATGTTCTTTATTTCTAAGAGATTGCTACATTTCACCGCTTGCCTAACACCACTAAGTCCACTTTTAATGTTTTTTTTACCTTTATTCCACTTTCTCAGACAACTTGTCTACCACCACTAAGTCCACTTTTGATGCCTTCTTACCTCTATTCCACTTTCTCAGACAACCTGCCTACATAGGCAATTTTATGCCTGCCTCACTCTGTCTCTCTATCTTTCATTCCTTACTAATTTTTTGTGTACTGATTTCTGACAGTTTTTGTATTTCTTGATCTTAAACTTTCGTAGGTTTTACCAATTTTACATAAATGATCTCTTCATGTTTTAAATTTTAGGTGGTTACTAATAAACAGTACAGACCCAGCTGGACAACTTCAATGGTTAATAAAGGTGTTACAAGCTGCTGAAGACAACCATGAGAAGGTATTGAATAATACTGAAAGTGAAGTAGGTTTCATGGATATAGTATAAGGAGGGAGGGGGTGGGAGAGTGATGATACATGTAGTGTTTACTATGCTGGTAAACTGTGTTTAGTATGTTTCAATGGTTCATACACGTTGCATTTACCATCACCCACCTTTAATGCTTTCCCAAAAACTATGCTTAAAATGACGTAAATGACGATGGGATTTTACTGTCAAAGAAATGGCGTTAAATGACTTTACATAAAAACATACTTCTACAACAAAGGAATGATTTTAATAAACTTCTTTTCTTTAAAACACCAACCTGAGTTTGAATTTAAAAAGTTTACTTCTATTTGGCAATGGTTGCATGTCATGTTTAGCATTTCTTTTGTGGAAAGCATGGACCGGTTGCTCGAAGCCTCGATAGCGTTATCCGTTGGATAGCAAAATCTTCAAACTTGTAAAAAAGATGTTTATATTTTTCTTACGACAAAGAAATTTTGTAATCTTCGAAACATTATTTTATTTCAGTGATTTTTCAGTTCGAATCTTATACTTTTTGCTTTTTAAAAGATTTTTTAAAAATATAAAAAACTATCTGTCTAATGGATCACGCTATCCGCGCTTCGTGCAACCGCCCCCAGGAGTTCATGTTTTGATAAATCAACAGGGAACCAATGCACCGGAATTATGCTTAAATTATTAAAATCTATTTTGGCAACTCTTTTCTGCTTCTTGGCGTATAGAACTTTGAAAGATCTTGAAAATTTCACATACATCTACTGTAAAAAGCTGTTATTATCGCTTCTTCTGTTCGGTTTTTGCTTTTGGTTTAATTTCATAACTTTTTTCAAGGTACACATCATCAGCCATATTCCCATTGGAACATCGTCATGTTTAAAATACTGGAGCTGGAATTATTATAGAATAATTAATCGTTACGAAAACATCATTACGGGGCAATTTCTTGGTCATACCCATCAGGATCATTTTGAGATATTTTATGATCTCCAGAATAAAAGTCGAGCGATCAAGTATGTAAATCTCCATGGTTATACTATTTTAGTTGAATCCTGGTAGAAAATGGTGTTACCTTCCAAAGTTTTCCTGTAGTCATTAGGATGCGCACGTGGCTGTTACATGTTTTTTGATGAAATGTCGTATGAGAATATGCAAATTTCTCTAAGGTGGAAATCTCTCTTTAGTGGCGATCTCTCTTTGGTGGAAATCTCTCTTTAGGTGGAAATCTCTCTTTAGTGGCGATCTCTCTTTAGGTGGAAATCTCTCTTTAGGTGAAAATCTATCTTAAGTGGAAATCCCTCTAAGGTTGAAATCTCTGTAAAGTGGAAATCACTCTGACTTAGACAGCTCATTCAAATCGACGTCTATTATTCGGGGAATCTAGAGATTTCTTTGTTTCTGTAAACTTATATCAAATCAGTTCATTGCCGTGTTAACTACATCTTTTACTCTTTAGTGTTGCATACATCGGGCCCAGTTTAACCACATATCCAAATCTGAATCCAGGATACCGTCTTTATACTGTGGATGGTAATCATGCGCAATCAACATATGTAAGTAGCTAATATTTCCAATATTTAAGTTCTCTTATTATGTTCGTCGACCGACACGTAAAACCACTATGACGACATATGTTCTTAAAAATCGTGCAGGCCATTTTGGATCATTCCACTTATTATCTGGATTTGGTCAGTACAACCAAAGAAAACCTGGTTTGGAAATTCGAATACAGCGCTAAGGTGATTTCGTTCACAATAATTTGCTGTAATCATTCAAATGTCAACATTTAATTTTCTATCACTGAACGTGTAATTGTTTCTCCAGGAAGCTTATGAGATGGCTTCGCTAGAGCCAGCTGCATGGGATGATTTTGTCACTCGTTTGGGAAAGAATTACACTCTGTTTCAGACATACTTCAAGTTAGTATTAATAATGTAAATTATTTTGTGTTTGTTCAAAACGAGAACGTATTTAAATAGCGATGATATCAAACGAGAGCAAATTTTCTTACAGATACAAATATAAGTGTTCCCCTTATCGCGAGAAGTGCACATCGAGAGCTTGTATTGTTGGTGAGTTATGTGGCCTGCGATCAGGTAGATCACATGACGATCATTACTTTTGTCGGAATGTTACCAAGCTCGAATACAACTTATAGTAGAATTCAAGTAAAAAGACTTTTTTATTGATATCCGAGAAATCATAAAAATTCATTTTATATTTTAATGCTGAGTTTTCAGGGAGGTGGCTAAAAGGATTTAAATGAGAACGTGTTTTTATGTCACATCCTTACTATGACCTGTAACATTTTGTAAAGTACAAGCGAACGTGTATGTGTAAATTGGTATTTTTTATTGTCATTCGTGTGAAAAATCAAATGCAAAATTTAAATAAAATCAACATAATAACGAAGGTGTTATTGGAAGTGATGGATGACAAACCCTTAAAGTATTATAAACCAATTGTGTCGGCGATTCTCTTCGATTGGGTATAAAAATTTACACGAGGCATTCCTGTGACGCGTGATAAATTTCATCGGTCATTCTTGCTACACGTGAATACTCACGTGGATTTCCACCACATGTGAAGATTGTATTCATCCAGTGCATCGTAGAATAATTGCCACCATAGAATGTTCATGTGATCTCGACTGAATGAAATAAGAGTAATGACGTCATTTGTTATGACCGAGGACCATCGCGGAGTGAGCCTACAGTACACTACTAAATTAGTCCATGCTATTCGATGGACTCGTGTTAACACATTTAATAGACTCTGATTTATCTCTAATCAAACTCGTTCAAAACATCAACTTCAGCTATAACTAAGAGCCTTTCTTGCCATATTCAGTCAAACGTAAACACAACTCGTGCTGCATTAGTTAAAGTTTCAATCGAGTACTTAGTTATGTTTCAAAAGTAGTTACATATGTTTCGAAAAAATATTTCATATCTGTTTAATTTAGACACGTACTTTGTCGCTGGACCAGGAAACTCAAAAGCCTCTTTCTTAGTGGGTGGTTTCTTCATATCCCAAGGTTTAGGGGTTACACCGTAGCCAGCGAAATGATAAGCTGAAATGTATATGTTGTGCATGATAATTTCAAAGTTAGTGCGCATGCGGGCTAACTTGTTACGCAAACTTCTTATTTCTTAAATCTTTTCCCAAAAATCGAACATGTTTGATGTATTATATATATAATGAAGGTAAACTAACTGTTTCTTGAAAATCATTGAATCTATATTTTAGGCTATTGAGAAATAAGCATTGATTGATTCATTTACAGAAGATTGCCCAAGGTACACTCTGTTTTATCTATTATGTACCCACCTTTCATTGGATAATAAAGTTTTCTGCGTACGTTGTACGAATATGGCAAAGGGTTCCAACGTCCTTCACAAATAAAAGTTATCATTGTTAAGCAAGTAATCGCAAAGATGAGAAAATTCGTTTTTCATGTACCGGCAAATGCAAAGAAGTACCACATGACGACTTGATCGCTGATGCATCCTATAACTGACGTCAGTTCCTATTAACAAAGAAGATTGAGAAACAGTCAGCTGCGCATGTTTTGGAAATAGCTATCCGTTCATAATTGTTTGAAATGATTTGGACTTCTTTTACTTGTTGGAGAACAAATACCTCCCACTTTGCCATCAATCCAGCTCGTGTTTCCATAGATGGCCTAAAAAAACACGAATTGAAAGGAGGATGTTGCAAGAGCTACATGGTTCTTGTTAAATTTTATGTCTTTAACCCAATGCATCGTCATTCCTTTATGTTTTCAATGGAAAAGGGTTAGGAAGTCTTAACGTATCGCCAGCATATTTCCCAGCCCCAATATTGTTTCTCAAAAGTTTACTTCTTCTACAGATAGTCCATGCACAAGGTGAATATGAAAAACAAGGAGAAACATTTTACTAAAGTGGTACCTTAGCACAGCTAAGCCAGCATTGAAACATGGATCGACAACTCCCTGAAACAGAACGTCACAAAGAAACATTCACTAAAAATAGCCTTTTTAAGGTGATTTCAGAGCGGACTTGTTGGGTAACTATAAAAATTCAACAATTCAAGGCATAGCTACAGTTCTCATGAGTTGCGAGTTAAGCACGGTGTCATAATAATAATTCATTTCCAGCTACCTATTTTTTGTTTATTTTTTCAAGGTCTAATTGTGCATCGAGATATGAGTAGTATTTAAGACGTAAATAATAAGCCGTTGCGGTTTTTAACTCGATATTTAAAATAACTTTAAAAAAGTGTTGCTCTCCCGCCCGAGGGTGACGTCATTTCTACTCCTTTACCTAAAATTCTTACGGGTTTCACAGTTGCCGTTGCAGTGGACGTTGTACACAAAGAGAAGGCTGCCAAAAATGCATCGTGCTTTCTATTAAAGTTTTTAAACTGTTTTTTCAACTACTCTACCATTCAATTATTCTGCTGCATTTTTACAAAGTATACCGGTATAGACTTGCGTACATAGTAGGCATTTATTAAACAACCATTCTTATATTAGTTTTCTCTTACCGGCCGTGAACAGTAAACGGCTGAAAGATCCCCAGGCATATCAAATATCTAAAGAACAGCAGATATCATATATGATATTTTTAAAAGTTCTGATATCCTGCATGTAGAAGCTAATAGTTTACAAGAAACTTTTTACCAAGTCTCTGACGAAGTAGGTAGTCGAGAAAAAAACGTTTCATTTAATTCTTGATTAATTAATAATCTTACTTCATCCATATTGGTCAGTTGCATAAAGTCGATATCCACGTAGGCGATCTGATAGGTTGAAAAACGAGAGAGAAAATATAAACTGATGCTATGGATTTAAAAAAAACTTTTTCATTTAGACAGTTTAAAGGCCTGTTCACACGATCCGATTTGTCGAATACTAAAAAACGGATCGTGTGAACACAGCTATAAAGTGAGCCTACGACAGTCGGATCTGTCAGTCAGAAAAATCAGATGGAATTAAAACTTGCTCTGTTTTCATCTGGCAAGATGAAAGGAAGGCGACTAGCCCCAGACTTCTCGCTCTCCATACTTCCCAAATTTGATTTGGTGCAAAAAATTAGATTTGAAAAATAATTGGAAACAAGAGCAAATATACGCAAAATATATTGAAAAATGTACTGAATGATACAAATGGCTGCTTCCATGACTATAAATATCTAAATGAATACAAATATGAACAAAATTATCGGAATTTTTTTATGTTCCTTTTTGATTGTAGTGTGAAGATCATGTTTGAGAAACACGTTAATGTACCTTATCAAACTGAAGTAAAGACCAAGCTTGAAATCTCGTGTGAGTACCCGGAATACCTACGTAGACAATAAAAAAGCACTAAATATTAGAAATCTTTTCGTAATTGTTCGTAATTATAAAGATGGAAACATGGAAATGTCATACAATTCCTTTGTAGCTATACAATGTACGTAAAAGCTGTTTTCAAAACTATAGCTGACACATTAATATGTACAAATTTATTATAAGATGAAATACAAATGCCACAATCTTTCTATTAACGGTCAATTTCATTCATACGTATATGTTTACCCGAATCCGTTGGTTTCAAGCCAAGTTTTCTTTCCATCCAGTTACAATCCAAGGATTCTACTTCAAATATTTCATAGCCAACCTGATAAAATACCGTTTTTTTGTCAGGCTAAGTAATAAATTTGGAGTGAAAAACGTCGTCAGCAAGTAGAAAAAATTCCATCGCGTATAAGAAACAGATCACTTTCGAACAGTGAAAATGTTCAGATTTGACATGTAATTTTGTTGGATTGTAAGTGGTATGATAATGTGTGTGGGGGTGGGTTGGGGGTGTGAGTGAGCATCAAATGTGCAACACAAAGTTTATCAGTTCATTAAACAACGCTTTTTCCAACGAATCTATCCAAGTCCAGCTTGTAATTCCCTTTCTGTCTTACATATTAAGTTGAGCATACAAAGTAGGTTGATAGCTCATGCAATCAAGTTAAGCACTTGCTATGTTTTATATGTCAGAAGCAAATTCGAAAATGCAAACCATGAAGCATTCCAGCAAAAAGTTATACTAACAAACGCTGCAATACATGTCTATCGCAAAGAAAGATATGCAACCTTTTTTAACACTTGTCTTGTGACATTGCTCAATTCTGACGTCACCAGAGCACCGATTTTTCTAGAAATTAAAAACAGGATGAAATTTAGTTTCCAAGAAAAACAATCAAATGCACTACTTTAAACATATTCTCCGAAGTGTTAAAATGAAATTTGAAAATAATTATTCATACGTGTAGCAAGAGATCTTTTTGATGGAATGAGCAACAGTAATAGCTCCTGGAAGAACGTTGTCAGAGGACTAAATGCACGAAAAAATGTCTTTATAAATATCCTTACTCATGACAATTCTTACAAAATCTTCATACCAGAGAAACAAGCCAAATAAAGTGCTTCTTTGAAATTTTCTTTTCCTGTTGCAAAAATATTATTCAAAAAGTTGCAAGATTGGTCTTTTGAATAATGACTAATGCAAAATGAGCTATTGCACTGCATGTGTCCATGCAACCTGCGCTTTATGTTGTGGTATTGTCATGACAAAAATTTGTAAGTAATTCAAGGAATTGTTTTTTTAGATTCAGCAGCTGAACTAGGGCAAGACAAAATACATTACAATATATGTATATTACAATAATTAGAATACTTTACAAATAACCTATTGACAAAATTTTGCCTGATAAATTTCTCAAAAAGAGCTTGTTGATTTTGGGTTTTACATTTGAAATCAGTCCTGTGATGTATTCTGACTTACTCAGAATTCAGCATTACTTTCATATGTTACCATCTGCTACATTGGGTATCCATTTCAAGGTTCCCTAGCAATCTTAAAGTCATTTACCTTACATATTTTCTGCATAAATCGCTTTTGAAGTTGATGATTGTTCCACACAAGCTAAAAGTTAAAAAATTGATGAGCTTATAAATTACCTATTTCAATAATTTTATCAAAAGCTTATCTAAATATAGAATTATTTCCCTTATTTAGGTTCTTGTGTCCAGCGATTATTATCACAAACCTCTGCTTCCTGCCGAAATATATCTTGAGTCCGATGTAAATCTTTGTTCACCATGTCAACTATTATTTTGAAATATGTGACAGTAAATGAAAAGTAGTTTGGCATTAAAGTTCTACAAATGAGTAAAACCACAGGTAGAGTGAAAAGAAGTTTTATGAAAGGATGTTTCCAGACATTCGCCACTGTCCACTGCAAGCACCTACAACAAAAAGATTCATTTTACTTCCAAGTTATTCACAAGCTTGTTAAAAGAAATGGACACATGTGTGATGCTTCAGTGCTTTGCTAAATGACTTATAATGAAGTTTGTTCCTCAAAAAATTTCACCCAAATTTTGAACAGATAGTGAACTAAAAAGAGTGACTGTCAAAAAAAAATTCAAAAGAATATATTTGGAGAAACTTCAGCCTTTGAACATCTGAATATGTCAATCCTGTTATGTCAAGTTTCCTCAAGGAAATCATGTAAACGGAAGCAAAATACACTATGGCATATAGACCATAGGGCAATTGCACGTGGGAATTAAACTGTAGTTTACCAAAACTCTTTTGAAGGTCTCTTTTAAATACGATGTAGCCCGAGAAACATAAATGATTTTTTTTGGCATTGCATCACTGTTGTGCGTTCACTGTGTTGATAAAAAATCGCACCTTTGTCGCTTGTTTAAAATCGTCGTCGTAGTTGAAACTTCAGCTGGAGTTAAGAAGTCCATTACTTTTGCAAAGTTGTTACGGTTCACTTTTTTGGTTTCATTTCAATTGTGCTTTAAAATTTGACGACGATTTCCTTAGTTCTCCATTGCGACGTCCATGCCAAATATCCTCATTCTGCCAATCATAACAATTCAACCCTCCCTTCACAATAATTGAATAAATACATTTACGGGGGAGGTAAAAAGGTGAACATTTTGAGCTTTTACCAGTCAAACAAAGGAAAAAATGCGGGAATATGTTACGAGAACATGAAAAATCATACTATTGTATGTAGCAAAACAAAAAGTTGTTGAAAAATGTCAAGAATATCGGCATACATTGCTTTGCACGCAAGGTAATGCTTATGTTTAGTTCGAGCCAACAGCCCAAACTCACGTGAAACGCTTCAGTCTTGCTTCAGCTTGCTTTTGTATTCTTGTTTGCATGAAAATGTTTAAAAATTTCATGCTCAGGTCAAGACAATTACAACACGTGTATTCATTGCAGGAGTGTTTCATCTATTCCACCGTACGTGCGTCGTCATAAATTAATGAAATGTTTTGTCGGGTTGTTGTCATGTTTTTGTTCGCCTTGCTGTTGTTCCGAGTTGCCAAGCCAAACTATTTTCATATGGACTATCCTATGCAAAGATAATCTATGAACTTGTCGACACTGGCATACAAAGACAAAATGATGTATCAAAGCAAGACGATCAGGTATTACAAAACTAAAAAGCATATTAAATTAAATAACTAATTATATACTTTACCAATGCTCATTTTCCACTTAATGACTTTGGCGCAGCTGGACTAGATATTTTATTGGTAATATTAAAATGGCAGAAAAAAGAACCTTTATTTTATGACAAAGGTAGTCAGGTTTGGAAGTTATGCTACTATCAATATATAAAACGGCCCCTAACTGAAAGAGTGAAAACGATAGAAAAATAATGGCTGCAGTCTACACGCATACAACTATGTTAACTTTTGGAGTTGGTTTTAATTTGTTCATTGACCAGAAGTGTAAAATAAATCGCAATAAGAAAAAAACAGTGTTGAGATTGGCAAAAAAACATACCTTTTTGTTTTTTCGAATTACAATTACCACAATATCCATGTATAGTGCTGTATAGTTCAGTGTTAAAAAATTGGGAAGTGTCTAGTTCGTAGCTATCTGGCATAGCCAGGTTTTGGTTGTCAATGAAGTAAACATGAAGGCATAACACTGCTACAATTCAATCCACCCTGACAATTTGTATGTGTATGTATTGCACTAGATTTCGATTTCATTATATGTAACAATTAAATGAATTGCATTCTATTTAAATGTTGCAGTTGGTTTGGGATCTACATCACTTGTAAAAAAATACATGGGGCAATTGTGTAAGGTAGTTCAATCCACTAAACTGTGTATATTATAGACTGGCTTCAATAATCCTTCCAATATATTTATGTATATGTATAATTCAGTGGCTCATCCACATTGCTGTTGTACAAGTTTTGTTTTATTTTCAATAAGGATAAAGTAAAAGTGGATGGGAAGTTTGCTTGGTTTGTGGCAATGGTAAGATGCATTTGACACTTGTGTATTGTCAGGTTTAACAACTTTTCTTGTACTAATAAAGTATGACATTTCTATTTTATATAAAGAAGTAACAATATTGCACTACAAATATTTAAAGCTGGCAGACTGGACAATTCTCTCTTTCTCTTCTGTTCATCTAGTCTAGCAACAAAATTGTCCCTGGAGCAGTAGCTCTTGGACACATGATCCAGACACTTTCTTGCTATCCGTAAGTGTTTTATAACATGCATTGAAACATTCTTTGAATTATGATGTTTTGTAGTAACTTAATTAGTAGCATAGTTTGTTTTACTTTGGCTATGAAAATTTTTGAACATATTATTAATACATACTCATCTGATATTTTAATTCTGATATATTTGCTAATAGTTCAGTGCTCAGTAACCTCAAAAACAATCAATAAATTGCATATTTTGGTTATCTTTATTATTGCCTGTAGCTGTAGAGAAACTAGTGTGGAGCTTTGGATGGGCGACGAAGACAGAACACTGAATAGTTGTGAACTTAACTGTTTGCATATACCAGAATTATAAAATCAGGTCAGCTTTATTGCTGGTTGCTGCCAAATTATCAAACTTGGTGAACACCAAGGTCTCCCATAAGCTTAGTGATTTCACTCTATTGTGCTTTGTTGACATGAAGCATCTGCTTCATCATATTTCAGACCAAGTTTGAAAGTGTATCATGGTCTAATGGATAAATGGGAGGTGTGCTTCTTTTTATGTTAATATTAAATTGACAATTTTAGAGGATGAAATGGGAGGAGACTAAGAAGCTCTAAACATGGACAAATTTACAGTGGTGCTGGGGGGGTGCCATTCCCCTAGACATCAGATTTCATCCCCCTAAATAAATTGTTCACCCTTCTAAGAGACATTTTAACTCCCCCCCCCAAGTTTAACAAAACAAATCAGTTTCAACTAAGTTTTTCATGTAAATATTTCAACTTTCTATATTACCTTTGATGGCTGCGCAACCAGACCACCTTAAATTCTAGACCCTTACTTTGTCTTACGTCAGTTCTGTTCCAGCTCACCCCCCCTAAAGTTTTTCACACCACCCCTGTAAAAAATAAGGGTGTATAGTCGAATGAATTGGAGTGCCAATAAAGACACCCAAAGTCACAAACATACCGTGAAAATTGCTCTATCCCCAGATTTTTGTGGTGAAATCAAAACGTGAGTTGCGGAACGTTACGATGAAAAGTCAATTAAGGTTACTACTTTCTAGTTGCTGAATTGTTCTGTTCTATTGAATACTTTCATGTTTACCAACGCGTTGAAAAAGGATATGTTACTCCAAAAGTCTGTGGGTTTTCTTGTTAATTCAGAATAAATATATTCCCAAGTGTGCATCAATGTTTCTTATTGACCTTTCATTAAGTTTGCCCATATATGACGAAAATCTTCTGGATACTCAGATCATTACGTCATAAATAGGAGGTCTTTATTCACATAAGTTGGCGCGGGTCAGATCATTACGTCATAAATACGAGGTCTTTATTCACATAAGTTGGCGCGGGTTAGATCATTACGTCATAAATAGGAGGTCTTTATTCACAGAAGTTGGCGCGGGTCATGGAATGTCCAAATGATCAGATCGTTCTTTGGCATTATTTCGCTTTCAATCTTTAGTACATGGAAACATTCAATTTATTTTCCCCTTCATCGTCACCACAGCTTCTTTCCTCCCATTGCGCTTATCCTAAGTTATTTACTGTATATTACTTTTAGAAAATTGGAATCCTCTCCCTTATTCGTATAACGTACGAAGAAAACTATACTATCCAATGAACGGTAATTTGAAAACTTGGTGCTGCGTGTTATATTTTGATGACATCACGTTCACAAAGGGTTGGACAGTTTGTCTGTAGGTTTTGAAAGATTTATGCTAAATGTTCATTAGACTGAAAATTGAGCACGAATCGCATATAAATTTGATGTAAATAATATTTATCGCAGTTTTGAAAATTATCATTTGTAGAGTTAAACACCTACACACGATAATGTGCGGAATAGAACGTCTTTACGCGTACAAAGGATTTGCTTCTTCACAAAATTCTCACTTCGCATTCTTTTGATACACAAGTAGTCGGTCATTGTTTATAATAAAAACATTTTTATTGTTTTGTGACGTAAATTGCCTTGCACCTGTCTTGGTCTTGTACCTGTTACTGTCGCTTAAGATCAACAATATTGTTTAATCTTGTAGTATTTTCTCAAGGTAAGGAGGTTGAGAATTGGGTTCTTTGTGAAACATGACGGGATCAAGTTGAAACGTTGGATTCTTAATAGATTTTAAAAGTGTTTGTCTCCTTTGCGTACATACCTTCTGCGTCACTGCTCAACACTCTCATGCATTTACATATTCAAATTAGGAATATAAACGGATGAATGATTCGCATGGCCTCGGTAAATAAGCTATTTGACTTAGTAGTGAAGCCGTAAGCAAAATTGCTTTCTCTTTGTTCCTGAAAAAAAGGTCTGTGCGAATTGTAAATAAACTGTTTCAAAGGCATTCTATGTTCGAAGATGTTGCTATTACGTTGTCGTGCTGGATGGATGTAAATATAAGTCATTAACTATTGCTTTTTAGTTACATCTTTCGAAGATAAAAGAGATACCCTGTAGACAAAACTTGCCCAAAAATCAAGGACTTAGACGGCGCATTACAACCAAACTGTAAGTCGATAAAGTTCATTTTACACTGGCTAAGTATCTAACGTTGTGTATTAAGCGTTTATTCTGTCATTACATTTCCCATTAAAATTTATGTTACAGTTGTGAATAATTCAGACGTGTAGCGAAAGAAAGAATTCCGACAATTTTTCTGCCGTGGCATAAAGATGGCAATCTTTCCTTAGCAATGTTGTTGCACTTTAAATATTTGCCCATGCACTAAACGGCACTGTTGTGAGCTTCAAATATTACGGTAAATTTTTGCCAGTAGTGAAAGCATAATGATAATTTTCGTTCTGCTTTCTATGGGACTGAAAAATGGCAAAAATTTTAATTGTATGTTGGCATCTGTTGGAGAATTGCAATTTCGTCGAAATTCTTCCTCAAATAATTTGTTTACCGCGTTTGTTCAAGACTTCTTTCCTTTTTAAAAGGACATGTGTGCTGATGTTTATACAGGCTTTGTTAAATGATAATTATATAATTCTTTCATAAAAAGTTTTACCATTTGCTTAGGAGCATAGTAATCTGGTACTTAAAGCGCTTTTTGAGATGACACCTGACAAGAGTCATTACCGCATTTTTGCATGTTTTCGTTACTCACGATACTTCATATAATGACGAAATTGCGATTAATTTGCAAGTTTTTGTAATCTCAAAAAAGTCAAATGGTCGTCATAATATAATCATAATCTTTTAGTCATTCTCCTAGGTTTGAATCGAGATTTTGCGTTCACCTCTTGCTGTTTTTGCATTTTATAAATGTTGAGTTGCCTAAAGAAATCCAACAAATTTATGAAATTTTTGTTTTGTCTTCTTGCATTTTGACGTACCTTGACAATCTTGATCCAGCTGTCACCGTGTTGCATGTGTAATAGGTAAAAGAAGCACAACTGTTTCATGTTTGTAACATGCACAAAACCACCATTTCTTTTATCCAGCATTCTATCCTGAGCAATACGTACGCATGGATAGCAGATGATCTTTAGGGATCTTCATGGATCTCTTGAACAAGTGAACAATCACAATACAAATCACACCACATAGAAGATATAGCGATCCTTTCCTTGCAGTCCATATGTCTGTAGTAAACAGTGTGAAGAGAATGAATATATTATACCAAACCTGATTTTTAGTACAAAAATCAGTATTGGTACAAAAACGACTGTCGGTGACAGACTGTCATTTTTTGACAAAGTGCCAGTTTGGTAAACGCGAGGAAAATGTTACGAACAATAAAAGCCCACGTGACACGTTTCTCAGACGAAAATTGGAAATTGGCGGTACATATTCATTTAGCAAAATAAACTTTTCGAAACAACAGCGGGGTTAATGAGTTTATTGTAAATGATCAACGAGTAAAACGTCTTTGCTTGTTTATTGCAAGCAATCCTTGGACACCCGTGGTTGGAATTTCTATCTCAGCTAGTCAGCGGGATGTTTTTTTTATTTAGCCTTAGGTCAAACTAATCTTGATGGGTACAAATTAAATAAAGTTCGTATGTCAAAGGCCGTACGTCTTACTACTGCCTATTATTTTAGTTCTGTTTTTAATGAAATCTGCTTTACAAAGATAATCTACTTGTTTGATATTGATTCTTATATGATTCTATTGCAACATTCGGTATGTAAAGAAATTGCCATGTTTTGTTTTCGTTTCAAGTCTCCAGTTGAGAGATTATAGTTATCTTGTGATTTCTGCTGCATTGGTTCATATATACAAGTGATGTGCATAATTTGGTAATTTTGTTTTCTTATGTCAATTAGGTCATGCCTCTTGAATTGGATCACGCCATGAACGTTTACTGAAAAGTGTCTATTATTCAAATGCATTGAAATGAAACGACCAGACGGCTGGAGTTCAAACGCAGTACGCAAAGAAACGTCTTTAGAAGACTGATAACGTTTCTGTTTCGTTGTTATTGTGTTATTACTCGAGGTGTGTAGAATCTTAATGTCTAACAGCTGTGTTGAACAAGTGATTCACAGCATCACAGGAACCCCATTGGCAGTTGTAGTGTATAGTCTAAATTTCTCGCGAATGAAGCGTTTGTTAGAGTTGAATCAAAGTGCTGCATAAATCACATTTGCTTTCATCTTTAAGATATTGAAGCTAAATATCCAGCTGATTGACAATTTTTTGCTAGTAGTTCCCGATCTGGTTTTGTTCATATTGGATTTTTGTGGATTCTTACAATAATTTTGACAGCCAAGTGGTCTCCACTTATCAAGACCATATTGAGTATACACAGGAGTTATGAATCATTCTAGTCATCGAATGTCACGAGACTTCAATATTGATTCTTGAACATCCTTTCAAAAATATTGTTTTCTTGAAGACGTGTCATAAACCATCAATCGTAAACATCCGTATTACAGGGATTTGGAATTATACAGGCATTCATCAACAATCTCGGAAGGCATCTCAGGGATCCCTTATTTTAACTGGAACACCCTTGTATCCTTGGAGGATCTTAACTTTGGTGTTCCAATGAAGAACCGCAAACGGATTTACGTAACATGCATGATTGCAATAATCATCTTTCTTCTTCGATCTTTTCCGAAAATCGATATATCGACATGGAGTCTTCTTCTAATGAATGACGACGAGGCAAATTTTTTAAGAACGTGGGCACGAGTTCAGCGCACGCAATTGGACCTCAGGGAAATAACTGGCACCTGCGAGAAATGTGTGGAGAATAAATGCCCGATTATAAACCCTTACCAAAGGACTGATGTTATGACTAGTTACGTCACCAATGAAGTCATTCAGCGTAGCGGAGACTTTAGTCGTGTTTACATTAGGACGAAAAACGCCAGTGGATACTATCGCACAACCGGGGGTGATGGTTGGCAGGTGTATATAAAAGGACCATCAATATCCACAGCTACTGTGTTTGATCTTCGTAATGGTACATACGAAATCGTATTTCTTCCTGTTGTATCTGGTCAATATACGCTGTTTGCTTATCTTATTTACACAGCGTGCGTTGCAATTAACAGACCACCAAGACAGCAAAGAGTTTTAGGTATGACGTTACATACTGGGGAGACATTGAAGTGTAGGCTGATAAAGTGTGTCAAACTAAGTCTTACAGGAGCTTTCATGTGTGTTCATTATTCAATATTTTCAATTCTACTAATCACGCCTGGCAATTTTCTAAAGATCTGTCTAATATGAATTAGATCATGTGACTTTTGAGCCGATCTACTCTGTAGTGTACTGTAGTATACTGTAGTATACTGTAATACATTGAAGCAATGCATAGTATTATACATCCACTCCAAAATTACCTGATGTAAATAAGCATCGCAGCTACGGCTGTTTAACAAATCGGATTGTTGCTAATAGATAAATTGTTAGTCGGTGCCCATGATATTTCTTTATGGCTTGTGATTATAATTTATCATATGCTTGCATATTACAATCACCAAAGCATTAATGAACTGAAAAATGAATAATTGTTTGTCCTGTTTTAATTTTTAGGCAGGTTGAAACACTCATTCTATATTCCCCAACAAAAAGGCGACTCTTTGCTTCACAGTAAGTATACAGCATCCGCGTATATAATCAAAACTTTCGCTTCAACTCTCCGCAGTCAAAACTATTTTAAACGTTCAAAATATCTTCTTTGCCTTCCAGAGCTGCAATATCATATGACGTTTCGTGACTGTTACGATCGTGCAGGGTTGTTTCAGTACCATCGATGTTACGGCTGTTGCCGAGGTTGCAGTTTTGTGTGGAACGGTTTGGGAAGTTGGGAGTATGTCAGAGGTTCCTTGAAATGGCGTCCTTACATTAAAATTGACGGTAAGAGTTCCTGGAAATATAGTTTGTTTGTGTATGTATAAATACTGACGAGATTATGACTGACAAAGTAAGCATGTGACAGCAAGTTTAATGTTTATGTAATCCTCCTGGTTTTGTTTTGTTTACGTGAACATCACTTCTGGAGAAACGTAGCTAAAAAACAAACGCTCTTACTAAAATGAAAAACATTTGTGATTTGAGCACTGTAGGGTATGTTTTATTAGGAGTGAGAAAAGAACAAGGAATTAGTTTCCTTTTGCTGCCATCCTCCTTAGTATATTTAACAGTACAATTCATATATGCATTGTCAGGGAAGACTTTTTATTCAAAAAATGGTGCATTTTAAAAATTATTGCAGACAGACCAAAAAAAGTAAAATTTAAGAAGCGCGCAGTTCGAAAAAATGGAACGTTATGGTTTTTGGGTGATCCTCAGTCAACAATATACGATGCTGTTTATCAAGGTCCTTTGTGCTCAAAGATCTTTTCCAGCTGTAAGTTGAATAATTTTATGTATTATTTTTTATGCAATGAACATTGTCGGTTTGTGTCGTTAACTCTTCTCCCCCCCTCTGCGGCTCCGCCCTATTTTACGTCCTTGCCTGTTTTGATTACCTATATTAACCAAAGATCACCACCGGTCCTCGATAGTCTCCACAGGATTATCTAGACACAACTTTAATTTAACGTGCTTTCCGTTTAGGTAAAAACGGATCAACGATCCTTTCATCTGAGCATTTAAAATCATTAAGCAGTGACCGCATTGCTGATCAAGTTGTAAAACGTCTCAAGACTTTACTCAATCATTCCATGCAGCAGCCTGAAAATGCTCTCATTCTAAATCCTGGTTTCATCAGAAATTTACCTTACGTCAGCTATGCTAACATCATCAATCGAATATTGCCGCTGATACACGAGGCAATGAATACGACAAGGCACGCGCAATTTATTTGGAGCACCTTGCTACCGTCTACGGTCGAATATTCCTCGTTGGTAAGTATTTTATTACACATTGTATATGCTTCGAAAAATTTCTACATGCTAGGTTTTTACGGATATTAATTCACGAGTGACCTGCATTTCTTGCATATGGGCCCCAGTTTAGTGAGGTGATTCCTAATGAACACATTTGATGGATGGTATTCCCTTTTTCCTAACCCACGTCGTCCCGAAAGTTTCCATGTTGTCAACTTATTTTTTATTAAACAGAGACTTTGACGTGGTAGCAAATATAAATATTGCTTGAAAAAGAGCAATTCCATGGTGAATCGCCTGAAACCCGAGAAAAACCAAGAACCCAAGATAAAACTGAGAAAAAGCGAAGAAAAAACCAATAGAAACCCAAACATATCTCTTTAGAACTTTTGGGTTTCTCTTGGTTTGCTATTGAGTTTTTTTCGGTTTTCATTTGTGTTTCTTGGTTTTTCTCGAGTTTCAGGCCATTCACCATAGAATTAGCGCTTTTTAAGGCAATATTTGAATTAGGTTTTTGTTTGACATCTGAGATGTTGAGTGAATCAGGAGTGATCTTATGTAGAATCTTATGTTCTCATATACTTTAGTCTGTTATCTACCTCAATAGCAGTCTAATGTTTGAACAGTTCAAGTACAACTCCATTCTAGTGTCTAGGAGCAATCTGACGTAGAAATTTGAGTCCTTGTATATTTCAACCGATTGTATACTTCAGTCGATTGTCTTCATTAGGACTGATCTATGTCACACTAAAATTGCCACTTCCTCTATTGAGTGAAAACGCTTACGACGTCTGCACCGCGCTGAATAAAATCCATATCTACCATTTCAGGGCTACCGGATTTATAACGCTTACGCCAATATGAAGCTTTGTAAAGAAAAAGTACCCATATTAGATCTGTTCTTCCTTTTGGACAGTCACTCCCTAACTGGAATAAAAACACAAACAAATGTAACATTGGAATCCGTAGAAAGACTTCTTGTTGACTATTTTGAGTTGACATCCGATCGATTAATGTTTAAAAATTGAAGGAACAATGTTTATCAAAAAATCCTTTACTGCTAGCGGAATCTTAAGTGTCTGTTGGTCATTGATATTCCAAACAAATATTTTCCTACTCATATTTTCATTTGCTACTTCTTTGGGTAACGTGTAATGTCCTGACTGAATGTCATCTTGTTCTTGTCTTGCGTAAATGTTTCCGCACACCCTGGTAGATACTTAACCTTTCTTTCTCTGTCAAGGAGGCCGATATAAAAGAAAGACATTGTTTTATACAAAAGGCTGTTGGCAGTGTTTACATTGGACCGCGGAAGTTCGATGATTTGAGGCCAATTATTCATATATATTTACCATGTAAAAAAATATGTATTGATTTCAATAGAAACTAATTAAGTAGAACACGCATACATAAATATTTGCCTTTCCAAGTTTATCGATCTTCCGCAGTCCTTGAAAATGTTCAGTAATACCTGATTTCTGGGATTAAGTTCATTCCAATTAACTAATGAAGATTTTGAAAAGGAAAGAGACTCAAAATGGCTGGCTTTCATTTCTTATATATTGTAATTTTCAATGAAAAACAGAGCCTCGCAATTATCTACACATCGGAATAATTGCTCACACAATGAAATGCACAGCCAGTTGAAAAATCACAGTTGCAATTACAGATAATATTAATATAATTTTTATATTTTCAACAATAATGCCTGGATTACAAAACTTCCAGCTTCATAATAATATAACTATATAATCTTACATAAAATTCATAGATATCTATTTATAACTGTTGAGTATTGTGAAAAATCAACAAAGTAAATTACTCTATTTTGCAATAATTATATTTTCTATAATAATAAAATCCCCTTTAAATTATCTTGCTAGTGAGTCTGTAAACAATTACAATTATAATCAATAATAGAACGACAGTCACCAACAATGGATGCTGAATGTGAATGCACATCCAACTTGATGAATCCTTCAGTGATGTTACTTTTTGATGAATAAAATATATGTTATCTGGTGTTAAGTTATCTGCCATTCCAAATATGTTCAAGAAACTACAGCTGTCAAATAGCTCTATTATACTTGGAAGAAAACTCCATTGTATAAAACCATGCAAAGTCACTGGTTTGATACCGAGGTGTGATGCTAACACACCTACATAAGCATCGTCAACTGTTATCATTCTAATATGGCTTGCTATGCGTACCATATCCCTAACAATCCCACTGGATAAGACATATAATGCCCCTTTGGGATACCAAGGGTATTGCACTTGTGGTAAATCTGTCCAGCTGACATAATGACGATGCAATGGATCCCGAACAATGTTAGCTTTATATAATACTCCTGCATATAGTTGTTTATCAGGATGTGGTGTTGTATTGATCCAGTTAATCAAAGATGGTATGTTCACATACACGTCATCATCTGTCTTTAGTAAATACTTGAAGTTTTGTTTGGAAGCCCAATGAAAAGCCATCATCAACTTTTGCGTTATTTTACTATAAGTGTCAGGAAAGTCCCCTATAATAATATCACGATACTTCTTTGCTTCATCCAAACGCTTTTCATCATGTTGTGGGCTAGGTGTCTTCCCAAGAAAAAATGTGATTCGCCAATCATTTGTATCCACTGCCTTACCCCAAGTGTTTCGAATTGCCATTCGTTTCTCGTAATGAAATTGGCTAGCAGCTGCCGAATTTATGAGTACTAGGATGAACAAAGATCCTTTAACTGGCAAGGGCTCAATAATCGATGGCACAAAGTGTTCTTGGTTTTTGATTATGGGTAATTTAGACACATCCACTTTAATGGGGTCCGCCTGCATCGTAGGCAGGTAAAATTCAATAATGTAAGTATACATATTACTTAAAATGTAAACTACCAAGAATAAAGTAAACGCAAGCACAGTGAAAATAAAATAACGACCACATAATCTACTCCATGCCCGTCCCAAGTTATATAAAGAAGTACATATCGACTTTAAAAGACAACAGGCCATCGTCCTTGTTCCCGATGATTGTGTTTTTCTTCCGTGCGCAAATTTATATCCATCAATTTTCTTTTTCCGTAATGTAAATTTTCTTAAAATCCAAGCAACAGGTATAAATGTTTGCATTCTCCTCGCTCGAGGAAGTCACACACAATCACACAAATCGTCGTAATTAAGCCGTAATCAGGTGACTGATCAAGCAGAATAACTATTGTTAAAAAGGGGTAAACAAGTATCAAGTTATCACTGCTCGTGGAAAATGCAGAGGGCCTCCCCGCAATCGCACCACGACGCCATCATTGACGCTATGGAAAATCCAACACAAATGGAAAATGTGGTGGAAAACAATCCGTTTAATCCTGCTGGTAAGTGATCAACATTTCCATTTTCTTATGGTTTATGTGTGAGTGAATACTTAGTTGTTTTTATTATGAGGTTTTGGAGACAAGCCATGAGTTTTTTGACATGTTTTAGTCTCACTGGAAACGGACGTCGAATTACCGATTTTACCAGCGAAGGAGAGTGTTGAGGATGAGTTAAGCATGCATCCTGCTGCCTTGGACGATACTGCATCTGCTGAAAAGATGGAGATTAACGAGTTGAGTGAAACGGTTGTTGGGGAAAATGAAAGTTTTGTTAAAGAAGATACCCGCGAATCAATTTCTTTAACAGCAGTCGAAGAAGCGAAGCCAAATGAAATTGTGAATTTGGCGAGTGATGTTGTTGAGGCAGAGAACCAAGTATATGAGGAAGTTAGTAAAGATAAAGTTGAAGAGCCGACGTTGAAAACAGTTGAACAAAATGAACCGACTTCTTTTGCAAATGCCACTGTTCAGGAAGATGTACAAGTCAAGGCATTCAACGAGCAGTTATTGAAATATTGGTATGCGGTTAACGAAAATCCCCAAGACTTCACTAGTTGGACGTATTTACTACAGTTTGTTGAGCAAGAGGTTAGAATTACACCTATTGGTTATGGATTGGGATTCTTTATAATGTTGTGTGTATAATGAAATGGAGGCTGTTCTATACTTACTCAGTCTTCAGCACAATATTTCAAAATGATTGCTTGTAGTTAGTCTTGTTAAAACTAAAGCCTCTGATATTGTTCCAAACGATGATTTTATGCCCTGTTCTGAATACCATAACCTCATGTGTATGCTTTGCTAGGAACCTGCGTGAAATGGCTTGCCAGTTGAAGTGGAATGTTCATATTGGTTGGAAAATTTTCCAAATTTTTCACATTAAGTGTGAATTTGTAAATTTGCTTATTAAATTCAACTGATTTGTTGTTTTTGAATCTTGTGGTTTTAGAACAAGATTGTTCCTGCACGGAAAGCATTTGAAGCATTTCTGAAACGCTACCCGTTCTGTTATGGTTATTGGAAAAAGTTTGCAGACATGGAAAGGAAAAGTGATGAAATTGATCGTGCACGAGAGGTACATAAAATATCATTTAAATGACAGACTGCTGAATATGTCCGTTTTACAAAAATTTTGGGAATGGAAAGTCAGAAAACATCAACCATTGGTAGACTTGTGTGGAAATGCACCCAATCAACTGTGTTTATTTTTTGTTTTGTGCTTAACAACTTTGGGGCACTAAGACTTGTAACTAGACAAATCTTGAGGGCCACCCTTCTCTGCAGTCTAAGTGAAATGCTCACAATCATCAGTGATTGCAATCATCAAAGGAGTATACTTATGATCCATACTAGAAAGTTTGTAAACTGCGCACCCAAGATCAAATTTTACAGAGATATTTGTGCACCTGAAAAGCAAATTTTGCACTATATTTTCATGGGAAAAAACCTCATACTTTTCAAAATATGCACACACGTATGCATGCCCTTGGCAAATGATATATTTATATATCTCATACTTTTTATGGAATTATGAAATGTTGTTTGAACTTGTTAATCATTGTACCATAAGCATTATGAAATTGGCATCTATTTATGCCTTAGTTCACCTGTGTCAATACTTGATGAAAGGTCTTTAATTCTCCATGTTGATAATTCCTCATTTGTCGTGTAGGAATTATAGGATTGTATATTAAAGCTGTGATGGGGGAAAACATGATGTATTGCAAAATTCACATTACAGGGTCCAAATTATTGCTAAAAAGTATGTCAACAACTTTCCTGCATCCTCGCCTGCAGGGTGTGAATTAAAGTGGAAAAGTGCATGCGTTTTACCACGATTAGTGCAGACATGTTAATTTGCAACCTGCCCCTGTATTTGTGCAATTCACATGCTTATGGCAATGCTTTTAAAATTTTCAACTAAAATCCTTAAAATTGTCACTTTATTTTTTTCAAAATCAGAAGATGTAGCAGGTTATACACCCTTATATCTACTACATTTGTTGAAGATGATGCTGTCTTTGATTAGACGTTGCTCAGGACCTTAGCATTAAACTCACATAGCAAACATCCTTCATCACCAATCTTAGTAGAGCTTTGATTTGTTATGGGGCTGCATTTGGCTATGTGTTATGAGCAGATTAGTGCAATACGTGTTTGTGTTTTCAAATAGGATTGAAATTGTTATATTTCCTGTTAGAATTGACAGTGTTGTTTTTTAATAGAATAGCATTGCATTGAAATAATGCAAACTATTATCAATTAATATGATCTGTTGACATATTTTAAAACAGAAGGGGTTAGCTGCAGTGCATAATAGAAACTCCTCCTTCGCAACAATGTAAAAACTAAAGGAATGTTTTCTGTAGCAAATTTATCATTATTTAGAAATACTCAATTTGGACTTTGTATTAGCAAAGAAATTTGTATTGGTATAACTATGGTTACAAATGCTTATTAATGTGCACTTATTGTAGTCATATAATGGCATGTTATATTTTATTTGTTGTCTACTAATTTAATTGTTATGGGTAGTGCGTGGTATTTACAAACTTTTTTGTTTGTTGTAGGTATTTGAAAAGGGCGTTCAAGAAATAGCTTTAAGTGTTGATTTATGGGTACACTATCTTAATTTTACATCCCAGATGTCTAAAGAACAACCAAATTGTGCAGAGACAATGAGAAAGTATGTGTTTTACTGTTGCAGTTTCTAATATTTTATATTGCCATTGGTTCAATGGCTCATAAAAAATCTGGTTAGGTAATATCACACGCTCAAATTTAACTTACAGTTTTTGTTTTTCATTGAAATGAGCATTAACCTCAACAAATGGCACTGTTATATTGTTTGCTCTTAATATTTATTGAGGCTGGCAAAGTATTGCATGATTATGATGAAATTCAGGCAATTGTGTGCAGTCTTAAATTTTGGAATGTTTCATAGGATGTAAATACTCAAACCCTTTACTATATAAAGTTTGTGTATTGATAGTCTACAATTTTTGCAGCAGTTATTTTTCTTGGTGTATTATATAACATCTCATTCGTTATTTTCTTTTTTCAAGTCTTTTTGAACGAGCAATTTCTGCAGCTGGTGAAGATTTTAGATCTGACAAACTTTGGGAGGCTTACATTGAATGGGAAAAGTCACAAAAGCAACTACAGAAGGTCACTGCGTTATATGACCGGGTTTTAGCAGTTCCAACTCTAAACTACAGCAAGCATTGGACAAAGTAAGATTTCAAAACACCGATGCTTATTTTGCTTGTTTCATTTTTAGCGTCGTGCAGATTTGGATTTGATTTTAGTAGAAATTTTTTTGTCATTTAAACTTTTGTTATAAAACCTATTATAGTGGTCTTCAATTGGGTCGTAATTCATGACGTTCAGTCATGCCATATTATACGATGTCCTATTGTCTTGGTCATATATCCAGACCTTAACACTTGTGTGTGTCACAAATACTATCCTCTCAAGGGGTTGTACGTAGTAGGTATAATGTGCAATTTGAATGCAATGGAGATAGTGCAATTTTTTCTCTTTTTCAAAGCATGTTTTTGTGGTGTTTGGTTGTGGCTTTAATTTTATCATTCTTATAGGTTTCAGGAACATATCAACTCAAATCCATTAGAGGAGGTGGTTATACCAGAGGAATTGCTGAAACTAAAAGCAGAGCTTGGTGCTGCCCCTCCTGGTTTTACTGTGGATAATGAGGCTCCAGTTGCTCCACCACTAGGTATGATTATAGGGTGATGTTATCTATTGTCCATCTACACTTAACAACTTAGCAAGTGTAATTTTTGGTTTGTTTAAAGTGTCAAAATTATAGGTGATTGCAAATGCATTCTTTGAATTCAAACTTGTGAATAGAGAATGTATATTTGTATTGAAATCATTTGCAGTAGCAATCAGTTTTTAAGAATGATAGCATGATTTGTTAGCTAGCATTTTTTTTAAGAAATTACAGTTCATATAAACTATGTGGATGTGTTGGTGATATATTTTAGGCAACCTTTAGCTAGTGGCAATGTCTAACTTAGTGATTTGCCACTCGTTCCCTGTTGCCAAAATTAAAATGCTGTTATGGTGATATATAAGTTTCTTGTTGTTTTTTTCAACAAGATTTCACACGAGTTGACAGCAATACTTTAATAAAATATTTTACTTCCGTGAGCCTTTTAATTTTTTAGGTTTTCTACAAAAATTTTATTTTATTTTTGAAGGTGGGGAAGTTGATGTCAATGGTATGGCAGTTACTTCTGAAGTGCCAGAATCAGAAGGATCAGAGGTGAGATCATTTTTTTCAATACACATTGCTCCATTCATTTTTTTAACTTCCTAGGAGAAAGCACCAAGCAGAAAATAGATTCACATTAATTATCAAAACTATTCTTCTTGTTCTTCTATAGTCCGTAGATCCTGAAACAAGGGCAGTTCGTAAGAAAATTATTGCTCAACGTCAAGCATTGCACAGTGCAAATGAGGGGGAAGTATCTAAACGGTGGACATTTGAGGAAGGCATTAAACGACCATATTTTCATGTGAAACCATTAGAGAAAATGCAATTGAAAAATTGGCGGGATTATCTTGATTTTGAAGTGAGCACTGGAAATCATCGTCGTGTTGTGATTCTTTTTGAGCGTTGTGTCATTGCTTGTGCTATGTATGAGGAGTTCTGGCAGAAATTTGCTTCCTACATGGAAATGCATGATTGTCTTGAAGGTGTTCAACATGTGTATGAACGTGCTTGTAATGTTCATTTGCCCAAGAAACCACGCATACATTTGGCATGGGCTGCACTTGAGGAAAAGCATGGTATGTGTTTAACTAAAGCATTATATTTAAATGTTGATTTCTGTTATAAAGAAAGTGTGCTCGCCATGTCATGTATACTTGATAGCTTGCCTATGACTACTTAGCACCAGGGCTAAATGAATGAGCTAAATTAAAATCATTTTATATTCATTGTATATAAGGATGGACTTAGTGTCAATCCCCCTTCTCCCCAAATATTTTCCAAATACACTACTTTCTCAGCTATTATCTAGTTATTTAGACCTGCGCAATATCCTTTGACCCCCTTTTTTTCAAAATTTCAAATTATTGTTTCACTTATTTTGCTGCCTCCCCCCATGTGTCTGCACTTTTCCAAAAACTTTGTTTATTTTTTTCATTGAAGGTAATGTCTTGAAGGCAAGAGATATTTTGGCTAACTTGGATAATGCTGTTCCTGGTCTAGTTCATGTCAAACTCTGTCGTGTGAACTTTGAAAGGCGTTGTAATGATTTCCAAAATGCTTGTGCTATTTATGAACAAGCCATTGCCGAATGTTCAGATACGCAACTCATTTCCTTTTATTCTGTGAAATACTCAAGATTTTTGACCAAGGTGATCTGCAACATCAGTTTTTTCTTTAAAAAACATAGGTCTGTTGTGAAATAGCAACACCAAGGCATGAGTCCAAAAGGTTAAGCTTTATACAATAACCATAGTGGTGCAAAGCAAGAATTACTTTAAAATTTGTTCTAATACACCAGATGTTTGCAAGGGGTCAGTAAAATATTTAAGATATTTCGAGGTTTCAATTGAACTTTTTTTTTAATTTAGATTACAAAGAATTATGAGAAAGCTAAAGAAGTATTAAAAGCTGCACTTGATAAAGATAAGGTATTTAACTAGGTTTTTTTGAGAAGTTACATTTTCAAAGATTCAATTCATTTTTTATATTGAATTCAGAACACAATGTCATTTTAATCTCTTGCTGAAAGAAGCCATTTTAGGTAGCTTGTTAGCTTTTGATGAAATTGATCATTGTCTAAAAATTTTTTAGAATTTGTCAAATCTTATAAACTGTTCCGAATTGTTCAAGAACACCATATTCCAGTTGTTATTACAAAATTATTAAACAAACGATATTATACAAAAAATATGCTCTTCACTTTTCCCACCTCGAAGCTCACTTCATGCCTTGTTATTATCCCTGTTTCCCATGCTTATGTATATAGCCTTCAATCAGGCATAACCTAATCATCACATAAACTATTTACAAGCTATAATCATTTTATTTTGTTGTGCAAATTGTTCATCAATTTTTTCTCATGCATTCTGTTGTTTTTTTCCAGGATAGCAGAAGATTATATTTGCAACTCCTTGATGTTGAGATGTCAATGCCCAAAATGAATGAAGATGAAATTGACAAGATTTTTGAGTTGGTCAAGAGCAGTTCGCTAACTGATGATGTCAAGGAAAGTTTCTCACAAAGAAGATTGGAGTTCCTTGAAGATCACAGTAATAGTATTGTGAAAATCATGAAAGCTCAAGAAGCACATGAGAAATTATATAAGAACACAAGTCAAAGCCTGACTGGAAGGAAGAGAGCTTCAGATAATGGGTGAGTGTTATAAACATCAAGTCATACACTAACATATAAATAGTCTTATTAAAAATTGTATAAGTCAATGCTTTATGTATGCATACCTATATTTAATATTTAATGTAGTCATCTCTTTGATGTGTATACATAAATTCATTAACAGAACTTTAGTTTTATTCTCTTAAGTTTAATAGTGAATTATATCAAGTATTGTTTAAATATGATTCAACGTTAATGTAAATTTTGTATCATTTATCAAAATCAAATTCTTATCAACTTACGTAATCTCAACTCAAACCTTTTTTTCAGGTCAGAAACTGATGCAAAGGTTGCCAAAACAGATGACTCATCTAATTCAATTCAATATAACCATACAGACTATGGCACTACAGATTATTCATCAGCAACAGGATATTCAACTGCTACTACAGCATATAATTATAGCACTGCACAGTGGCCTGGTTATGGAACATCTCAGCCACAGGTATATTAGCCTTGTATTTTTTAATGAGCAATGATGGCAACCATTAGCTAGTAGTTACGACTTACTTTGTCTTACTACTCGTTCCCTGTTGCCAAAAGCAATGTTTGAGAGACTTAAAAGTCTTGTGACAATATGCAGTTGCAAAATAGTCTTTCAAACCACATGCCATTTCACCAGACTATAATTATAGACCTAGACTAAACTGTCTTGGATGGATTGCATTTGGGTTGCTTAACTTATAACTGTACTCTTTATATAGGGTTACAACTATGGCAATTGGTATCAGCAATATGGAAATACTTATGCCTGAAATCTGGTGATATTTGTTAGCTATATAATAGTTGAATGGAGTGCCTTTAATGTGGAAAGTTGAATGTAATTTCTAAGAAAAGCTTCTGCGAGTGTAATGAAATCTAAGCACGGCCAGTATTTCAACATATCAACTAACTTAAGGGGCCACTAAATAGCCAGAAATAGTTCTGATGCATATCTTCACCCCCAAGGCTGAAACATGAAACCTGCATAAATCTTGTCCATCATAGTTTGTCACATTTTTCATTGAAATATATTTGTTGTATGATAGTTTCATCTTTTTTATGTTTTCTCAAACTGAACTGATTATATATTGTAATGAATTAAACTCTTAATCCCTGTGGCTTAGTGAAATAGTCCCCTCAATGCAGTTTACAGAGGCCTTTCTGTGTATGATTAATCAGCTAGAAAAGCTAAATGGCTCAAGATGGTTTATTTTAGATTTAAAGTGTAAATATATGCCTGGTAAATTGCAACAAACTTTCTAGGAGAGGGAGTTGTTTGTTAACTACAACTTAAAACCTTTTCACAAAAAAATAAACATCATTGTATTTACAAATTTCTAGTGTGATGTAACTCATAAAGCATTTTCACTTCGATAAAGGTATATCAATCAAAAGAAATTTTGATATTTTCCATCCTGTGGGGCTGTGAGAAAATGCCTGATTTGTTTACACTTCATGTTTATGTACATAACAGTTTTTAGTAAGATTATTAATGTAGCAAATTTCAAACTGTTTGAAATTTTATACTGATGTTTGTCGATAATTTTTTGTGTTTAATATCTGTTTCCCACACATGGAACAAATTCCTGTAATAAACAAAAATAGCATAAGATAGATGTATGAACATTATTTTTGCAACATAAATTTTTGCTTAAAATTCAGCTTTGCTCAAGTAATCTCTAACATCTGTCCAATGCCATCAAGAAACTCAAAAACATCAAAAATGTTAAGTTTGTAAATCCCAAAGTTTAAACAATGTTAAAGTCTTGTAAAATACAACTCCAAAGAAACAGCAAAACAATTTTAAAATGGCTAGATGGTTTGATCAAGGCCTGGATAATATTATTTTGTATTGCATTACCTTTCTTATATGCACATCCTTGGCAATATTTTGAATGTGGTTGGTGGATAGTTGTCCTACAGATACGACATTTCTCAAACTGACTATAGGGTGTGAACCTTAAAAATATTAAGATAATCATATGACTACACATATCAGAAGACCAGCTACAATTGGTGAGTTGGATGTCCCAAATAATGGTTGTTTCTATTGATGCGATTTTATGAAGGAAGTCTGGTGGCAACCATAGAGATCATGTCATTTAACAGACTCTAGCTAAATCTTCTTGATAGCTCAGTTTCAAAGAGAGGGAGATGTTGCTAATGACGTGTGTCAACATTAGTGACAATCTTTGGTATATGGTAGCTTGAATAAATCAAAAAAGTACCACCAAAACATACATGCCTACAAACATGAGTTGGAACCTTGTCAGGAGGAATCATTGAAGGTTGAAACTAACAATACAATCGAATTTAAAATTTATTTCACTTGAAAGCAGACCTATTTTTCTTTTGCGTCAAAAGCTTGTTTTCGCCAACTTTTCGTCCTCCTCCCTCTGAAATAATACACATCTCAACGTCAGGCAACTGTTGTGTGACCATAAAGAACAATTTTTAATGTATTTTGTAAGTTAAATTTCAAATTCAAACCTGTGGTATTTCTAGCTCCGGATTTCCACGGATCGGGAGTTATGACTTTCCCAAGCTTTTTTTCACCTGTTTGAATACAGAATATATCAAATATCCCTCAATTTCTATAAAACAACCGAGAATAAAACTTACATTTTTCACAAACCATTTTTGACGACAACACAAAACTTTGAGTTTTGACCGAGGACGGACGAGAGACTGGGTATTACAGTGAATGCGCATGAGGTACCCAGAGGATCAACATTGAATCAAACAAAGATATCAACTATGCTTGGATTACTAAAACTTACTATCCCATGGACCATGCATAATATCCATAGTTGGGAGTTTATGTGTTTGAACTTAATCTTAATATATAGATGATACTCAAAGTATACATCCGAAGGCATAAACAAGTAAAGAATTTTGAAACACTAAAATTATTCCACGTAATTGACGCAAACGAGAAATTGAGTACTCCAGTTACACCACCATTGTAGTATATTGCTGAAAGTGTAAACATTGTATTCACGTGATCTTCTAAATGCACTTGGTTTAGGTGAATTCAAACTACCTAATTTGATTTAAATAAGAATTTATTTAAAAATGGTTGGGAAAACTGTTTACTTTCTCCTATAAGGACAACATCAATGTCGTCGTTTATTAATGCTTTGAAAGGTTGTTTTAAGTTGGATGACAAGGATCCTCAAAAGTCTTATTGATGTCATTTTCGTTTCTTCACTGTGGAAGGTTTGGTCTCGGGAGTTTCAACCGTTTCAACGTTGGATAAGGAACGTTTCTCCGGTGATCGGTTTTGTTCCGACTGACGTAACGACTGAACGTTGGTGATGGCCTCGATTTTCACTGCAGGTTCCTTTACGTCTTTCAAGGATTCTGGGTTAGGAGAAATTCAGAGAAAAACAACACATTGAAAAAATGAGAATACGAAGTTTTTCATACACCAAGATATCTTACCTGTAGCGACGTTCTCCACAGCATTACCAGGAAACTAAAATATAAATTAAAATTTGGAATATCTCATTCTTCTTTATTTTCTTCGTGACAGTTTGACATTCCTCTTAATTATGTTGAAAATGCGCGTGATAAAACACGTGTAAAACACATGCACAATCTTTCACTTCGTAATGCACCTTAACGCGTTGTGGAGGAAATTTCTTAAAGAGTTCTTCTAGGAGTAAATCAACATGTTGACGTTGAAATAACGAACTTGCTGCCGTTCTTGAGTTGTCTTTATTGCTTTTCTTTTTTATATCTCTTTCAGCTTAAACACATGAAAAGTCAAACGCTTCTTTGAAGGTGATGTAATATGACAGACTTCATCTGCTTTTGATACCTTTATTTTCACCGTCTTTAAACTCCCACCAGTAACCTTTGGACGGATGGTATCTGGCATAGGAAAACGCTAAAATTATACAGAAATACGAAATCTTGAATAAATTTGTTGTATGAAACTATTTTGAAAACAAATGTTTCTGTCTTACCTTCATCAAAGGCAGCAGTAAGATTATGTAAAACTGACAACTAAAAATAGGGTAAAATTTAAGGCAAAATTCTCAAGTTTACTTAAAACACTTGGTAATTTTTATCAGAGAAACAAGCAACAATGAACAAACCATTCTGGAGTTGATCAACGAACCCAGATCAGGACATTGATACACAACTCCAGCTAAGATGTAGTAGTCTGCCAATGGTGTGACTGAAATTACAATTTAAGAAAGATTCTAAGTTATAGAAGTTTTGCAATAATTCTCCACAGCATCAATTCTATCACCTTGTGTGGGTGAATGCCTGTGTTGTTTTCTGATGACGAAGAGGATTGGATTTTGAACATGAAGCAAAATATATTCTAAGCCTTGCATCATTCTATAAGCAAATATCTTGGAAAATTTTTGCATGGACCCTTTCGCTACTAACATATCAATGCTAGGACGTATACACGTTCTTGGGTGCTGATTTATCACAATAAAGAGATATGTTATCATAAACAATACAGTCGTGTTACATTATGAGATTTCCCTCAACATGCAATGTCATACTGACATCAGTGTGCAGAGGGACGAAAGCCAAATGGCCAGTGGAAAACTTACGTTAATTGAGACATATCCAGGCGTTGCATTTTGATCATTTCGTTATTACAAGTTCGATCGTAGAAAGGGTTGGTCCTTTGTGAAAAATATTCAAGAACATTTTCTGGTGTAAGAATGGGAATCCAAGCGCTATCGTGCCACGAAATACCATAATGATTTAGTGACGGATCGGCCGCCATGTTTGGTCGGTTTGGTTTAACATCAGATCTAACCCTAAACCTAAATCTAGCGCTAACTCTAAATCGCAATTGATTGTAATCGCAATTGATCTAATCGCAATTGATTGTGGAAGTGAGAGGAGCGATGGAATCTAAGGAAGGTAAAATTCAAATCAATGCCTTAACAGGTTATTTTTTCAATAACTGGTCAGCAAGATTACTCGTTCACTGGTGATAAACAGTCATTTTTTTATTCTTCGATATTGTATTTGTATTTTGTAACGTGTCTCGCAAACGAAGGCCTGGGCCCTAATCAAGATTGAAAATGCTGCCACATCATCCGTCAACTGTACAATTTTATATTTCTATGTTTAAAATCTATTTAAAATTTATGGTTGTGTGATGTTGCCAGACATGCGAAATGTCTTGGCTAAGTACCAGCTTGTCGGAAAACCTCACTAACATTACAGGTCAACTATCGACGTTTACAAAGGATATTTTAACGGAAGGAACTCTCGAAGTTGACGGTAAAGTATATCTTTGAATATTTTAGTCACTTTGATGCTTTAGTGAGTGTGAGTCATGTGAATTGGTGCTATCTGATGTGTTTTTAAATGCTCATGCCCTGAACCTGTGTTTGTTTATCAGATAGTGTCAATTGCATAAATATAAAAGACAGTGCCACAGACTTCATACTTGTATTAGTTTTATTTATATGTCTGATGTCTCTATTTAATTTATGTTTTATGAACGATACTCATTGTTATTTCGTGAAATGATATGTTTTAATGAATTTCAATTTTATTTTAGTTGTTTTAGGATAATTAATACTGACATTAATACTTAATACTTGAACTAAAGAACATGAAAGCAGATGGAACTTGCCATGTCTGCATGTGAGAAAGATCTTACTCTTTCTTTTCATTGATTTTTTCGAAGATCATGAGACAGAACTTAAGATAACAAAAGCACGAGTCCGAGATCTAGAGCTGACATTGTACACTCAACGAGAAGAGGTATAAAATTCTAATCCTAGCGAGTACAGCACAAAATCTTTAGTGAGCAAAATATATCACCGTAAATTTTTTGTGGTATAGTATGACAGATTGAAAGAACTTAATCATGAATTGCAAGAAAGAACCGAAGCTGCTGAACTACAAATTACCAGCATTTCTCGTGAATATAGGGTACTTCTCCAAGAGAAAGAGGTTAGTTACTTGGGCTACCCTTGTTAACCCCAAGTTAAAAATTTGGTTTGGTTTTCGTGTCATGTTGCAAGATTTCACAAATCACATGTGACTGGCACAAACTCCTTGACCCAATAAAAATCCCTCTTGGGAATATATATTGCTATTGCGATAACTAACTTGGTCTTTACCTTTTTGAGATAGAGTAAGAGACTAGTCCATTCAGATTTTTCTTATTTTAATCACATTTTGTAAAATCATTGATATGTTTAGGATGAAGTTGTCCACCTAAGACATCAGTTAGAGTCTGCTAAAGAACTTGCAAATAAGGATGATCATGCTCAGCATCAACCAAGTTTCAGTGAAGAACAAATTTTTGAGGGAACAAGTCACGAGGAAGTGGAATATTTGAAAGCAATCATTAAGAAATTACAGGATGAAAAACAGCAGTGGAATAAAAATGTTAGTTGTATTGTATTCAAATTTGAAAAACGTTTGAAAATCATTCTATAGTCTTACAGTTGAATTTTAGCAATGTGGAAACACTTTGATTTGCACTATAGTCTTACAGTTGAATTTCAGCGATGTGGAAACACTTTGATTTGCGCAAAGTGAAGATTGCTTGCAAATTTTTTAACTTGAAAGCCCTGCATTGTTTCTCCAAGATATGATCTATTAAAAGATTTCTAAGGGTATTTTTAGGGATCTATGGTATTTTTGTATGAATAGAGAGCTTAGATGGTTATCAAAAAGCTGTTTCACAATTTTCATTATTTTGCAACCCCTTTCCCTTCTATATAAGCGAGAGCAATTAAATACATACATTGGACAATTTTGCAAACTTTATTTAAAGTAAATAAAATGTAAGTTATGTCAGATGAAACCTTGATCAAGCATTTTATATTTGAGCTTGGATAATTTGAGTTAGATATAAATCGTATATTTTCTTTCAGTATGACTCTGAGAATTTACACAAAGAAATGGATCATTATCAACAGGAACTAGCAACATTACACACAACTTACTCACAAAGAATTTCATCCATAAACAAGAAGCATAAACTAGAGATTGAAGAGCTGGAATCATTTCATCAAGAGGATTCTTTGAGAATACAAGAACTTGAGCAACGATTATCTGAGTTAGGTAAGAAGGATCTGTCTTAGTCTGTTGGTTAAAAGACATTTGTGATTGTAATGGGCCTTATTTCTTAGTTATGAATGTTGTTGTGGGTAGAGGGATGGAGAGTTTTACCAGAGAGGTTTACGTTTTGCCCTGACCTAAGTATCACAAACCACCCGCTAAAATGCATAACACATATGTAGGTATTGATGAAGATCTTGATGATCCTAGTAAATTAATATTTAAAAACTCCTATTGATTTCAGTAGACACTTTCAAACAAACTTGTTCTTTATGTGCTATGACAACAATTACATGAAGTCTTGTGTTAACTTTCAGTGCACTTTCAGACATGTACATGCATACAAAACCTTTTTTTGTTCGAAGGATACTTGTTAGACTATGTACATTAACTTTTTCACATTAGGTGTTTGGCATTTTTGGTATATTTGAAAATGTATGTTTTCCATACATATGTGTTCCGATTTCAGTCATTGCATATTCAAGGTTATCATTGTAAAATCTTTTATTTCAACATTAAATGAAACAGGAAAAGCAGATAATCCTTTTTCTCCATGAAGGTCGTGGATGGTTTTCTTGTGATGCATGAACAGTAAATGAGGGGGTTGAATCTTAAAAGATATAAACCAATAAAAAAATGCACAAAACATTTCTTAAGGTTGCTTTAAATTGAAAAAAAAACAAAAGCTGTTTGAAACTTTTCACTATCTTTGGATACTAAAGTTTGTATGCTCTGTTTGGCCTGGGTGCTGTGATACTAGAAAACCAGATACTTGAAATTTAATGCATTGAATTTGAAAACCAAAATATTTCTTACACCAGAGCGACACAGTCAAATGGCTCATGACATGGAGTTGAAAAATCTTCCTGAATCTGAAAGCGATTTGGAAATAATCATGAAAGAATCTGTTGAAAGCGATCAGCAGGTAGAAAAATTATATATTACAATAAGTGAAATACGCTTGAACATAATCTTGGTTTGCGAACATATTGTACTTATTTATGTGAGCCTTACAAGTGTAGTGATATTTCAATGTCAGAGGGGGGGCTGGCGTTTAGAAGGTCACATGTAAGCATTTGTAATAAGTCCACATTAGAATCTTTACTATTCATTTTGTTGAACGTCGTGTTGCAACGGTGTTATGGGACCTGGGATTGTATTATGGTTTTGTTGATGATTTTTGTTGGAAAGATAAATGAAATTTTTAATGCACTCTTTCTTGCCATGGTGCGTGTCTTCCTTATTGAAATGTTACCTCCATTGCAGGCTCTCGCAAGTGGCAGCAGTTCTTCCGATCATGGTGAACTAAAGTTACAGATAGACCGAATGGAATGCGAAAATAAGGAATTGAAAGAACTTCTTGGTGTTTGTCAGGAGAAAGTGAAAGAAAAAGAATTGCTTATTTATGGTTTGCAGCAGGAAAATTCTCAGCTTAGAGAACATCAATACAAACATCAGAAATATGTTGAAAATACTGGAGAAATGAAGACAGGCTTTGAAAGAGAACATGACGATAATAATGGACTAGGTACGGTCGTCGAAGTCAAGAGCATAAGCGGGGCATATGAAAATAACACAGACATACCAGAACTGTTGGAACATAGCAACAATGATGTAATGAAAGGGTTTAATAACGATCAGCAGGACTCAAGTATTTCCCGTTTGCAAGAAGACATAAGAAATCTTAAGGAACAACGAGATCAAGCCGTAAGTTCTAAAGAAAAAACATCGGCATCCTTGGAAAGTTTACGTGAAGAACTTTCACGTTTGGGCGCCGTCACAATGGAACTGATGAAGGAACTTGAGCAGTCACAAGGGGTTGAAAAGGAAAGGAGTATTGAGATTGAATCGTTGAAGAAACTTTGCCAAGTAAGGCGGCTCTCTGAAATTGAGAGAGATACTGGGGAAGTGATGAAACTTAAAGAAATCATTACAGGTTTGTTTGTTTTTTTGAATGATGTAATACAATAATACAAAGATGTTTTACATGTACGTCCGTGAGGGGATAAACGTTGTGTGTGGGGGGGGAGAGGGGTCGCCAATTAACCTATGTTGGTGTACATCATGAGGTAGCTAAGAGAATGGTCTCAACGATGATTATAAAACATTTGCTACAACTAGATGTTATTTAGCGTGCGGTCAAAAGGTCAGTTGTGAGGTTCAACGCAATTTTTTAAATGCTGCTTCTGGGCAATTCTCTTAGATTGAATCTGGATGGAAACATTTGGAAACTGATATGTTTTAACATGTTAATGTGTCCATTTCAATTTAAAGGATTATTGGACGCAGTATCTCATATATTTTGCATTACTTTGCCATATCAGTGTTCACAAAGTGTGGCCCTTGTCAAAAACCCTTAAAAAACGTCAATTTTTTGGGTCGAACACATGAAGCAGCACATTTGCCATAACATTTCTGAGAAGAATGGTGAAAATTTTTAAAGACATGTGTTTTAAAATAAAGTTACAAACTCTATCCTTTTCTTTGTAAAGTCTAAATTGTTGTCAACCCTTGGAACCAAGGTTAACTATGTAAATGCTACACACGTAACGAAAGAGTCACCCTTCTTTGCATTTGTTGCTGGACTGTTCATTATAAAACATGTTTGATCCCAGTCTTTAGCTGTTGAATTACTTAGCTGTTTAAATGTAGAGCATTTGGATCCCAGTCTTTAGCTCTTCAATTACTTAGCTGTGTAACTGTAGAGCATGTTTGGTCCAATTTTAACACAATTATCGTTTCCATTATTTTAGTATTGTGGCGCAAATACTCGTCAGTTATTGTTGAAAACGCGAAGGTCAGACGTGATATGGTCTCAATAAAGCGAAGACTGATCGCTCAATTACTGGATAGACATGTAATGATGTAATAATGATGATTTATCCAATGATGTTTAATCAAGTCTGTATTTGATTAACTAATCTTGATCTTATTTAATGATTAGTGATTATTCGATGATTATTGATCAATTTCGACATTGTGTATGTAGCTATGTTTTACACTTTCATTTTACGAGAATTTGTTTCTTGTTTGATGATTGCGCGTTATCCTCCTCTTTTCCTCACATATCCCTCGTCATTCCTATTCATATTTTATATATCGTCACGTTACTAACTTTTTTGCCTAACTCATAATTTTTCAACTATGGGATTTTTTCTTAAAACTACTATTTTGCCCACTAGTGTTCCGTATTTTTTGCCAAAGTCAATTGACCAAATTAAAATGACTCAATAATTGTTCAATATATGATGTTCAATAAAATGTTAAATTTTACAAATTCTTTTCTCTTGTTCTCAAATTTCCCAAAAATTATTTAGGCATAAAAGTTAGTAACGTGACGATATGGCCATGTTTTTTAGGCCAGTTTCAAACGTCGAACTTTACATGAGCCGAATGCATTTAAAACAAAAGATAATGATGAAGTTTATCTCATTTTCTTTTGACTTTAATGCGTTCGGCACATGTATAGTTCGATGTTTGAAACGGGCCTCAGCGATTTTTTATATTTTTTCGATTAGTTCATTCTAGCTCACTATTACTCAGTGTTTTGCAGGCAAACTACCTTCGTCGTGGACTAAATGGAATATTTTGCTAACCATTAACATTTTTCCCAAAGTTTTTTTCTTCCATTAAAATTAAGATAAAGCTCGTTTTCGAGTTCAATTTGATAATATACGCCACGACGAAGGCAGTCCTTAATCGTAAAAGTAGATTGTTCACGACAACGTGTCGAATAAGTAAACTCATGATATAATGCTGTATCTCTAGGGGGAAACCAAGTTGCTTTTGGACAACGTGAATGATGTAAAGACAAAATTAGCCAGTCAAATTGAAGGACAACGCCTAGGGGTGCAAATGGAAAAAAATAAACTGATATCAAAGGTGCCGGAAGTGGAAAGCGAAGTTGAAAATAGAGAGGAATGCTTGACGCGACTTCTTGAGCAGAATGATAAGAATAAACTTTTTACGAAGGAGATAGTTCGTGATTTTGGATTGCGTTCTTCTTTTGACAATTATGTCTCTACGTTAATAGCTGAGAAAGAAGTGCTTGAAAGGACTATTGTGGGACTGGAGGCAAAGGTCGAGGAATTAGAAGAAATTGTGAAAAACTTAAATGAAAGCGCGCCTGAAAATGGTGTGCCCGGTGTCCTGTGCGTGGACCATTCTGTGGATGAGGGGGAGACTGGGTTTGTTAGCCATTCTAGTGTTGATTCCATTAAAGATTATGAAAAGTTGATGGAAAAAATACAGGAGTACGAACAGACTATTGAGGAGTTTGAATTCTTTAGAAAGGACTGGGAAGGAGAGAAGGAAGCGTTGGAAAATGTCGTTGTTGAACTGAGACAGAAATTAAAAGACCCTACTCCAGTTGCTAGCACAGATCATCGCGAGCTTAAAGAGTACTTTGATAATATCGAGGACTTGATGGTGAAGAGAAACTACGTTGGTAAAGATGAATTGTGTACAAATGGAGGTTCCGGTACTAGGCTTAGACATGACATCTTATTGTCTCGTGTTGTAAAATTATTACAAGAAAAACAGTTAATGGAACTGCACAAGGACGATGTATCAGTTGATCGTAAGATGATTCGAGAGGATACAATTGTTCAAGAGAAGGATTCTATGTATAGCGAAGTTGGGATGGACAATGGATCAATTGGAGTAGATGAGGCTCATGATGTTCACGAGAAGCCATCTTTAGGAGCAATGAAAGATAATCTGACAGGACTGAAAAACGAACTTGCGGCAACGAAAAACGAACTCGTGAAAACAAAACGCCGGCTTGATGAAACTAATAACGAACTCGAAGTAGCAAAACAAAAATTGAGCGAAGGAAAAACAAAATTTGATGCACTGAAGCAAGAGTTCGAAACTGCTCACGTTGCAAACAAAGCTTCAAGTGAGAGGGAATGCTTGGATTTAAAATCGAAATTGGAAATATTAAAACGTGAACTTGATTTGAGTCGCGTGAATTTGAACAGTACAATCTCGGAGAAGGACAAGGAGATACACACACTTCGAGATAATGTGGAACAGCTACAACAAGTAATGTCTAACTTTGAACACAACAAGGCAACTGCTGTGGCTCAATTACAACAAGAAATCAAAGATTTGCACGAGGATCTAAATAGTGTAACAACATCTTGTAAAAACATGACTGCCCAACTTGAAGAAAGTAAACAACAATTGATTTCTGTCGAGGAAACACGAGCATCTCTTAAGGAACAATTGCACAAGATTGGAAAAGAGAAAACAGATCTGTTAGCGATGGTGAATGACCGCGATTCAAGGATCGAGGATCTTCAAGATTTACACGACACACTTGACCAGCAAATGAGTTCTTTAAAAGAGGAAGGAGATAAGAAATCGAGATCTTTTGTTGAACTAAGTGAAGAAAATCTCTTATTGAAAGAAGAGAAATCTGAGTTATTTGCAGCCCTCGAGACAAAAAGAACTCAGTTGGACAATACTTTGCGTGATTCCGCGAACCTAACAGAGCTACTTCGAGAGCAAGAAATGGCTACCAACGAAATGAGAAGACAAAACAACGAGCTTGCCAAAGATCTAGAAAGTTGGAGGATTCATATTGAAGAGTTAAATCGAACGAAAGAAGCCTTAAGTCGTGATCTTGATGCCAAGTCTGAGGAGATTATGAGTTTGAAAGAGAGTAATATTGAGCTTTCCAATCAGAGCTACGAAAGTAATGCAGAGGTTACTCAGAAACTGAGTATGCTTGAACAAGTCATTTCAGAGAACATGGCGTTGAAATCTGAAAATGGCAATTTGATGGCAATATTATCAGAAACAAAGCATTCCGAAAAAGAACTACAAGATTCCTATAATTCTCTTATGAAGGAAAAGGAACAATTGGATGCTAGTTTTTTCACGAAATCCGTGGAAATGGACCGAGAAATTCGCAAGAAGACGGATGAAGTTGAAGTTCTGAGATTGGAAGTCGCACGACTAACAAAAGAGTCCCACGACAAGGACAACGTAATACGGGCTCAAGTTAGTAGCAACTTGGTCAGCGGTAGCGATAGGGACATCGCTGCCAAGCAAGAGCAATTACGTCATATCTTAAAGGAGAAGGATGAAGAAATAGAGGCGTTGAGGAGTAAAAACGAATCATTGTTGGCTTTGTTTTCTGAAGGTGAACAAGAAAAGGGAAGAGTAAATGAAGAAAATGATAGCCAACACAGTGTCATGTTGGATAAACTTGAGAGAATGTCAAATGAAGTTAACGAAAAGAATAATCAAATTATCGCTCTGGAAGATCGTGTTGAAATGTTAAACATCAAATCGGCGAGCAAGGACCAAGCCTCGGCTCTCATGCATTCCGAACAACAGAAGTTGCTCCATCTTAATCAATCACAAGGTGAAGAGATCGGAAGACTTCGGGAAAAAATCGATAACCTAAGATCAGTTGTTGGTGAGCGAAACTCGAACGGGGAGTCGTTGCACTTAAGTCAGAGGAATGCTGAACTTCAATCGCAATTGGATACATTGCAAGCTGAACAGGAACGTCTTTTGATATTGGTCCATGAAAAGGATAAACAACTCTCAGTCATTTTGAATGAGGGGAAGAAATCAAATACTTTAAGTAGTCTAATTGAAGAACCTTTGGTAAGGAAAGAGAATGAGAGGTTTGTCAACGCGCTTTTTGAAGAATCAACTAACAACCTTTCAAACAACGAGTTAATGTACGAAAATAGTAAACTTCGTGAAGAGTTGAAGACATTACAGGGCTCCATTGAGAAAGATAGAAATGCAAATTCTGAACTAATTAGTGAAAAGGAGCGAATGGTTGAACGTCTTAAGAATTTGGAGGTTAACTTGAGTCAGAGTAAGGATGATTTAAGAAAGGTTGCTTTAGAAAGGGAGCAATTGCGCGAACTGTTATCTTCCAACGAGGAAGAGAATGGTAAACTTAACTACGAGTTAAATACGCTGAGGAACGAAAAGGATGAACTATATATTGAACAAACTTCTATAATTGAAGATCTAAGGAAAAAACTGGATGTTCTACTTCATATTGTAGTTAGTGACGTGGATCTTGGAGGTGAACAATTTGAGATCCTGGAAAGTCGTGAGGATTTTGAAAGACTTGTAACCAGAATAAAAACTCATCGTACTCGGTTACGTAGTGATAAAGAAAATGAAATAAGACTTCTCAAAGAACAAGTGCAGACATTAAACTCGGTTCAGAATATCTCCAGCCCTCAATTAGAAGCGAAATTAGAACAATTTATGAGCGAAAAAGAATTGCTAAGTCAGAAAATAGCTCAAATGGAAAGTGAAAGAGTTCAAATGTTGGAGATGAAAGAGGACGAAATGACAATTCTGCAAAGTCAGATTGTCAATCTTTCTGACGTCCTGAATCAAAAAGAACGACACTATCAGACAGAGAAGAGCGAGCTTGCTTTAAGACATAACACTGTCGAACAACATGCGAATGTCTTGCAACGAGAGCTTGATGCTGCTCGTGAAGGACTCAGTGCGTCAAAAAATGAAATCACGAGACTTTGCGAGGAGATAACGAGACTGTCCGCGTCTGCTGATAGTAAACTGGATGTGACATTAAGGGAAAAAGATGCACGTGTGAACAATGCAGAGAAAGAAATTCGTGAATTAAACGAGAAATATTCACAAAGTGTACAGGAGTTACAAAGCACAAAGAGTGAATTGGACAAGGCCAGGACACTGGCACGAAATTTGGAAGCGAAGAAAGAGAAGGAACTGGAGCGATTGCGCACGCATCTTCTCCAGGTGAGACTCGTGTGTTCGTATCCGTATGCCTTTCGACTTGTTTTATTGTGAGGAACAATTGCTTATTATAAGCATAACATATTTATTTAATAAGGTTGAAGACAGTTACACACAAGAAGCTCTCGAGGCTCAAGAACGAGAGAACGAACTTTGCAGCCGAGTTGAATCGATGCAAAAGCAGCTATTGACCAGCTCTAACTCGTTACAGGATAACAAGTAAGTCCTATGTTAGATGCGGTAGAATACGAAAACTGAAATGTATTTTGTAAAATAATGGTACGCAAAACAATACTGTTTTTCTTTAGTTACTGTTACTCAAAGTTTACTGCACATGTATATAACATTGCGAACTTGAAAGGCTAATCTTAGGCAAAGCAAAAAAATAGTTTTGGAGTATTTATTACGGTGAAATATCTGTTCAATTTTGATCCTTTAACGAGCTCATAAAATTTCCTCTCCTGTTGGAGATGAAGGAGGACGAAATGACAATTTTGCAAACCTCACGTGTTTTAGTCGCAATGCTTCCATAAAGTTTGAAAGTCTTCAGGAACAACTGAACAGTATAACCACACAACGTGATGAAGCGCTGGCTCAACTAGAGCAAGTTCAAGAGCAAGCATTGCAGTATGCAAGAAGTGTGGAGAATTTACAAATGGTCTTGGAGCAATTTCAACGAGGTAAGCGAATGTGAAAAATATTTTTAATGTTGTTTTTGAAGAAACTATTTTTTTTGTTGCTTTCTTTTTAGAAAAAGAATCAGAATTAAACAATTTACGAGCAAGTTATGAAAACAAATTAACTGAAACACAGTCGGAAGTTATCATATTGCGCGAACGAGAGCAGGAACTACAGGTTTGATAGTTACATTTGATTGTATCGGGTTGGTTCTGATATTAATTTGTTCCTTTGAATAAGAGCTGCTGTAGACAAACATCTTTTATCAGTAGAGTTGGGGTTTCTGCATACAAATTCTTGTTTGTTTATCGTAGAGTCTTTTGTTGTTTAGAAATTACTTCACAATGCGTCGGATGCATTGAATAAAGCTGAAATGTTAAGTAACGATCTCAAGGCAAAGGAAGATCAAATCGAAAACTTAAAAATGACTGGTTTGTATTTTGTTTCTTTATTGTGCGTTTTGCTGAGAACAACATCCTGTCAACTTGTGAATTGTTTATACTCTTTGATAGTTGTTCATTTGGAGTCGGATCTTCAGTCAAGTCACGATAAGTTACGGCAATTAGCGAGCAGTAACGATGGAAAAATTGAAAAGTACGTGTATGATATAAGGGCTAGTTGTAGTAATGGCCTTGAACCTTTAAGAGTAGAAGTTGATATGTTAGTTGAGCTACATGCATCCTCAGTATTTAGGGGTCAGTGGTAATAACGGATCTCAGCAAGTAAATCCCGCTATGCTAAAAATTAGTTCAGCTACTTACGACCCCGATATCTGGGTATTTTTGGTCAGTGGTAACAATGGATCGGGAGTTACTTTATCTGACCGTTTCTGAAGTGTATCAATATATTGTTATAAGGCAACACACGTAATACCTTCCTACGCAATCTTAACCATACTTAGCCACACGTAGGAAACCTTAGCCATACTTACAGCTACACTTTGACCTCGTTAGACATACTTAAGAGAGCGATGGTTAAGAAGGAATTTTTTAAACATTTAGAGGAATTATGAAGAACATGCTGTTAGCATATTTCAATACCACTGAACACAAGCGTTCTGACGTCGTTGCGGTTTTGGGCCACATTCTCGATTTTACTGATGAGGAAATTAAGAGAGTTGGTACTGGCTCTCAACCACCTCAAGCCACAGGCTGGTTCTCTGGTCTTCTTTCCATGTCTTCTGCTTCTCGAAGTCAACCGCAGTTGGACAAGGTGGGGGGTTGGGATTGGACATGTTTAATGATGATTGAAACATACGCAAAAATTTACGAGGCACAAGAAGAATGTTATTTACTACTTTTTTTATTGTGTTTAGACGTTTTCACAATTATTTGTCAGCTTTTTGGAAAAGGAATCGGAGAATCAACTCTCGTCAAAATCTCATTCATCGGTTTCTCAGCAACGGTCTGACATTCCTAAGTCATCAACGGTGACCGCGATTCCGTCTAGGCTGCGGGATTCTCCATTACCCATAAGTCCACTGGCTGCATCTACACCCCTTGGAGTTCCGGGAAACGCTAATACATCGAAGGGTGATGCGATTAACCCATTACTTCTAAACGAAAGGAAAGAAGAGAAGAATGTTTTGCGAGAGAGCCGGTATGTTTTATATGATTTTTATAATTTTGAGCGAATCGGTATAAAACAGGTTTGATGTATACAAAAATCTATACATGCATGCTCTTTCAGGGCCGTACCTAATGCTGGAAACGCACTTCTTGGCTCGTCATTGCGACCATCACTAGATCTTCCCACGTTTTCAAATTCATCTTCCTCGTCGACTGCCTTGAGACAGATCCTCTTTAACAACTGATGTATGTAGACTATACAACCGCGCTTTAATCGTGAAGAAAATGAGGTATATTAATCCACGTATTTTCACCTCCTGGGCAACAAAATTGAAAAACTGGAGCACAATGAATCAATGAAATAACATCTCAACACCTATATTTTTTGCAATGATAAATCGTTGTTTGAATGGATTTGTATAGAGGAGAAAATATTACCACGGCAAGACCTACGTTATATTACCATTCAATATTTGGAATGAAATATATATTTACATAAAATGGTGCATTATACATAAATACAATGCGTAAACATATTCGTGAACATATATATACTAAAATTGTTCGTATATTTATGAATACACAGCATGGGGAGTGCTACATCTGAATTACTATTTAACCATAATCTATATGTGTAGTCATCTTGTAGCAATCGTCTTTTTTATATTTGAGAATTAAAATCCTTACAAGTGTTTGATGGCAACCGGAAAAGCCAGGTATGACTGCCCTTTCTTGTGAATTAAAAGTAGTTTCATCATCCTATCCTGTTAAATACATTATTTCGAGTTTTGATTGTACTCCTTATCCAAGGTGTTAAAACCGTTACGTTCGAATACACGCCATATTTATACGGTAACGCACATTGATCTCCCCATGATACCAGACCAATGAGGTACCATGTATTAGTTCCAGGCTTTTTACATGAAAGCGGTCCACCGCTATCGTATTGACATGCATCGCGCCCACCCGCGTCATAGCCAGCGCATAAAGCCCGATCATGTATGGTGCCGTTGTACGACTTTTGGCTGTTGCATCTGTTCAACGAGACCAACTCCACGGTAACTTCTCGTAAATTATCCTCTAGTACCCCTTCGTAACTTGTATGACCCCAGCCGGCGATACTGCAACGCTCACCCGACTGGAACTTAATGCCATTATCGGGTAGTTTAATTGGCTTCACATATTTGGTATAGTTGATTGATCCTTGTAACTCAAGTACAGCTGTGATAAAAGATGATTAGTATCAAATTTTAATTATGAAGTAGATTAGTTGTAAATTACCCTAACTAAGTAGCTTGAAAGCGTGAATTATAAGCTACCTGTTTTTTGCTTTAGCACTTACATACACGAAGTGTTAAAAATATTATGAAAAAAACTATTTATAATCACTAAGTAATATCAAAAATGACTATTTATTTCTGTTGAGGTTTGCATGAAGGGAAGAAATAGTGAAACATCTCTCGCAAATATTTTCTCTCATTGCGTAAAATCCCTGGTAATCTTTTCCATGGCCTCTTGAGTAGAGATACATGTTACAATACAGAGGTTTAGATGTAATCTTTAAAGTGAACGGTGCATCTCTGTTTCTTGTATTACTCATTTCATCATTTTTCGTGAAAAATAAGAGTTGAAATTTGAGGTATGAGGTAAGGTGAAGAGTATTTGTGTCAATTTATTTAACACATTTTATATATCTGATTTTTATGTGTGTTTTTTTCATAGTCGTAGTTTTATGTTTCGACGCTACTCACCAATGTCATAATCATCAGGTACATCTATCCCTTTGTCATACAAGCTTGAATAGTTTGGATGATAGATGATTTGTTTAACTTTAAAACTTTGTTCGTAGTTCTCTTGTTTACTGAGAGTGAGTTTACCAACTCTTACGGTCCAATCAGAGGCCTTCGTTGAACTAAGTTTATCTACAAACAAATCGTTAAACCCAAGTTTATTTACAAAAAATAATCATCTGTGAAAAACTTACTTTCTGCTATTCATTAATCGCTTCTTATAAATCACCGAAAAACATGTTGTCTAATTTCTTGTGTATTTTAGATGGTCTTGACGTTGATCTTGGGCCATGGATTATTCACCACAATGGCAAAAGCTATCGCGTTTAATATTTCCGGTAAAAAAAGACCATAATTATTTTCTGTTCCGCATTTACAACTGCTTTCTTAGGTAAACTTATCTCGCTCTTATGTGTTAGGCTACACATCTCTTCGCTTACCATGAAAACAGTGAGCTGTTGTAACAATCCATCGTTTTCCGATTATTGATCCACTACAATATAACTGCGTCTGATTTAAGACGAGATTAGCAATCCAAGACCACTTCCCTGTCTTACCCCTTTTGACTTGAGTGCCGCCTACAATACGTTTCTTTCTTTCATGTGAGTCCAATGGAAGGCTGTTCACTGAGAAATAAGCAGAGGTGTTGCAGAGCAAATAGACAGAGGTATAAATATCTGATGAGCTACTTGATAACGATTCTTTTCGGCATAAATTCTTCTAATGCAATTTCAACAAACCCAATTCGTATATATTGGTAAATTCAACCCCACCCTTCTCTACTGTTGTTTCTTATGAATGTCTTGATGAAGGTTTGACGAATGTGTAAGTTCATTCAACAAACCAATGTCGGTATAAGGAAACACTTATCTTTTGATTCATAGAAAACGCTATTTCTCAAATGATGGCATACCTTAACTTCCTGCACGTTTTTACGCTCACTGCAAACTTTTAGTGTATAATGGTAAAATTTCTCCGTGCGCGCTACGCCGGCTTTTATTGACACGATACTTTATTTTTAGATCAAAAATGCGCTTAACAGCCGTAAGAGTTATGGCTCTCGTGGGCTTTATGTTGTAAGTAGGCTGTGTTGAAACTTATCAAACGTAAGAACGTATACAATTGTATAGTAGTATAAACAAAATAACGCATTTGCATTGTTTGAATTCAAAATATTATGAATTAAAAAAAATTCCTCTCATACTTCATTTTGGAAATGGTATGAACCATTACCTATTTTGATGAGAATTGCAATAGCGATTATGACTCTTTTCCAGTGTACCATTGAAATGCTCTTTTTTTCCATATCTGTCTCTTTGTAAGCGTCAACGATTTTGCAACAACTATAATATATACCAACAACTATAATCTCGTAAATAATCTGACTGTGTTATTACAACGAACGCTATCAGCTTACTGGTGGCACCTTGGAGAGAGGTCTTTTTATAGTGTGTTTCACAGTGCAGCCTTTGCCCCCTTTCCTGGAGGTTTTAAATTGGATATTGTCTAATACTGGCTTGTATTGAGTGCAAAATATTCATTTTAATTGACAGAAAAGGAATTTAACCTTAATTATATCAACGGTTTTTTTTGATCACTAACATGTCATCGTCGCATGTCGAAACATCTGATAGCACCTTATATGCATTGCGGTATTTACATCTCAACATCGATAACTGAATCTTCACATGTTTCCCTCGTACATTATACATGTTATGCAGGTGCGGAATTTTACAATCGGCATTGATCATGCCTGTCGTCATGAATCGCTTTTTTGCGACATGGGGGTACAATACATAACTTTCATTATTAATTTAAACCGATATGTTTTCAAAAAAGGAACAACTCCCACTCAACATCATAACATACGATCATAGTTAATGAGATCATTTTGGACAAGACAAACAGGAAATTAGGATTTTCAGTTTTCAATATTGAAGCAGCCTCAAAAATTAGTGAAATTGGTTCTTTTAAGATAATCCTTAATTTGGATGCCGAGCGTGTTCGTACACAGTTTGGCCAAATTTGCCGGAAGTTCGTAAGCTTGAAAAACATATCCCGTTATTTAACCCTATGTGTTCCAATTAGCTATGTCATTTTCGTGCGCAAGCTAGTTCCAAAGTGCTTCTTAGTAACACAATTCTCGCTCTAAAAATGGTTTATTTATTTGCGAAAATTTTAATGTCAGACGCACCATTGGAAGTCCAACTAACTGTTCCACTAAAGGTTTTTGCGGATCTTGCGCCGTTAACTTAATCGACGTTTTCACATCTGTTGGGTTTTTTTATACACCCTGTAGAGCGAGTTATAGACGATTATATAATAAACATTTTTTTATGATGAAAAACTGGTTTTGATGAAAAAATTGGAAAAGCTGAGCGTGTTTAATATCTCTCGAGAATCAAATGCCAATGCGCAGCGCATAAGTTGATATTTCCACTACGTTTAGTTGTTTGCTTACGAAGACTTGACATTGTTCGAATCTTTTTCTTTGATACAAGGTCTTTTCGATAGCCAAAATATCGAGCCAAAATTAAAACATGCTATGTCTTTGGGGTTGGGGGACAGGAGAATGAACACATCATTGCACACCTCATTTTCACCATTGAACGTCACTTTCATGACACCTCCATTGGACACCTCACGATGACCACTCATAGACCACGTGCTACTATGGACTAGTAGTTACCAGTTTCTTTGCTCGCGTTCTTGTACAACATGGCGGGCTATTGATAATAAAATGTTATGTCCACGTGTGTACTTGCCGTTTTTCTGCTCTTCAGGTGATGTAGTTCGATTCTGCTGTTTCTCCGAGACGAAACAATAAATTAACTAATGATGGCTTGGACCTTGTGCCTGCAAAATTCAAACTGACAAAATTCTCCGAGTAGGCAAGTTACGAGTACGACAGTAAAATTGAGTAAATTGCCAAAACAAGACAAGAAGAAGTTCAAAATGACCTCTATTATAAAGTTGACAGTGTTATCAGGAGGACAAGATGAATCTCCTTTAGCATATCTTCTTCAAGTGGATGAATTTCGTTTTTTATTGGACTGTGGTTGGGATGAGACTCTGTCTTTGGATATTATCGAACCAATAAAGAGGTATTCTTCGGTCTTCTTCAATAGACACAATTTACAAAAAACCCAAAAATTGTTTTCCAAGTGTACATTTCTTCATATTCTTTGTTTACTTGTATGGTATGTTGTGAATACCAAGTGTTAATGACATGTAAAGAAAAGGGTCTTTACCTTTCTGGTTCTTCAAGAAAGATTATAAACTGTATTGAGACATGAAGGACCAGATTATAAATTTGTTATACCAAAAGTCAAGATCTTTGGCATAATGTTTTATTTTACCACAAACTATTCTATAAATTCCTTGTATCTAATTAACCTTCCCTTGAAGTGTTAGTTTGTATTAGTTTGTATTAGGGGCTGATTACATGGAGTGATTTCAGTCCAGGCTGAGTTTCAGTCCAGTTGGGCTAAAACTTTGTGTGATTATATGGTCAATTTCTGCTTGGTATTTAGGCTTAATTTGTTGTCATTTTGTTGATGTTATAATAAGCAATAGGTATGCAATTACGCATGCATGAATATTTTCAGCTGTAATTTCAGTCCGGGCTGAAATTTCATCCCAGGTAGCTCAAGCTGGGGGTTAGAATTGTTCTCATGTAATTGCATACGCTATTTTGATAGGATATTATGACAGGCCCGGGCTGAAATTTTTATCCCGGCTAATTGCCCCCTTAGACACCTCTCTTTGACAAATGCCTCATCTCTATTTGATACATATTTCCAAACTTATATTATAACAGTATCATAGTAGTGGGTTTTCAATTGGCCTCAGAAACTGTATATTTAATCTTAGTTTTGTTTTAGTTTGTTCACATTAAAATGATAAATGCTTCTGTTTATTAATCCATTTAAAAAACGTAGCCTCAAAACTGCTCAAATTTATTAAATGCCTTGGATAATTATTGCATCATTTACTGTACAAATTCTTCAGCAAATACTAGGAAATCTCCAGCATGCCATAAATATGAGCAGCTTTGTTTGGGTTGAATTGATTTCATTCAAATAGCTGTGCATCATTTATTGTATAGGCATGTCAATCAAATAGATGCTGTCCTCATTAGTCATCCAGATTTATATCATCTTGGAGCATTACCTTATATGGTTGGCAAGGCTGGTCTTGAATGTCCAATATATAGCACCATACCTGTACACAAGATGGGTCAAATGTTTATGTATGACTTTTACCAGGTAATGAAACCTCCAGTCATCAGTATGTAGTTGTGCTGATGTATTTTTCTAAAGGATAAAGCACAATCTATTCATTAGTGCAGTTGTCTAACTACCAAGTTGTCAAACAAAATATGGCTAAATATGTATGAATTGGAAATTAAAAAGTGTCAAGAAACTTTTGGAATTAAATTAAAAGAATCAATAGAGTTTCTTTTTGTAGTTATCCTTTTATATCATTTATTAAATTAGCTAACAAAAAGTCTGCTTCATTGCACCATTGTCTTGTTGACTAATGGACACATTTCTTCACTAATTGTTCTATTGCTATCTATGATTGATTTTTTTTAAAACAGCAGCCAATAATAAGTACATAAGCTTTCATTGGTACCAGTACATACATGGTATTTCTTTATAACTTCTTAGTCACATCATAATTATGAGGATTTCGAGTTATTCTCTTTGGATGATGTTGATGCTGCATTTGAAAATATTGTCCAACTAAAATACTCTCAGCATGTGAACTTGAAAGGTACGTACTGTAACTTTTTGTAGCCATTGATATTCACGTCGTCTTATCTTTCAAATTACATTGTTGTGTATTGACGACCTACTACCATTGTTGTCAAGACAACCTACTACCATTACTGTCAAGATGACCTACTACCATTGTTGTCAAGACGATCTACTTTTTACAATTGTAGTTATGAATGCAAACTTGAATTACAATTGCAATAAATGCAATTCATGTTTGTATTTTTTTTGTTTTTGTAAAGGTAAAGGACATGGTCTCACTATAACTCCATATGCTGCTGGTCATATGATTGGTGGAACGATGTGGAAGATTGTCAAAGATGGAGAAGAGGACATTGTCTATGCAGTTGACTATAATCATAAGAAAGAAAGGTTAGTATATATTACCGTAGAGTCTTAAATGTAGCCTGCCCCAGAAAGTAACTGCCACATTGAGTATTGGGGCTATTTTAACGAATACTAAAGTATTGTGAAGTTAACCACACCCTCAAAAGTAATCACACCCTCGAAAATAACCACACCCTCTAAAGTAACCGCCCTCTTGAAAATAATCACCTTTATAGAACTTTTAAGAGATTTACAGCATTTGTACTTTTATCCAAATAAATGAGCATTTGTGCCAACTACTGCAAATTTACACAACTTTATACGCGTTGAAAAACACGGTTTAACCTCAGGTCGCCAAAGCTAAAAGTAACAACTCAAAACTTAACATGCTCCAAAACTAAGCGTTCTCTCCTGAAAGTAGCCACCTACTCCATTGTATGTTCTGTGACTCCGAGGACTGCATGACTTTGGATGATAATTTTACATGCTATTATTTAGGTTGAGAGTGTGTGCATTGAATATTGTGAAATTATAGTTATTATTGAGTTGAAAAATTTATTAATTATACGTACAAAAAGACAGAGAATTACGAGAATGTTTATTGTGTGAATGGGGATGGAGTTTGTTTGGTGGGTTTTTTCAAGCTCTCTATTGTGTCTGGCTGGTTTATTTTGAAAATAATTGTTCTTTCAATTGAAGTTAATCATACAAAACTAAAATTATGAACATGCTTTCATCCTGCCCAAAATTGACCTACCAGTAACGTTTCTGAGTACAAAACATAAATGCGTATGATCTTGTACTTTTCTTTCTTCTTTAGTTGTGTTACAATTAAAAGTGTTTTATTTATGTAGGCATTTGAATGGTGCAGTTTTAGAGACATTGAGTCGCCCATCATTACTTATTACAGACTCTTACAATGTTCTCAACATGCAGGCCAGAAGACGCGATAGAGACACACAGTTAATGTGTAAGAACTTTAAGTTTGGAAGTTTTTAAATCTATGAGGCTACGAATGATTAATATACAATGAACGGATTTTGTAAATCTTTTTATTTAACTCGTTTTCTATGATGTCATTTTGTCATAATGGAGACATGTTTGGTTTACAATTTCTCGATTTTTGATGGTTTTGTTTTAGCTCAGATTCTCAAAACCACCAGGCGAGGGGGGAATGTTCTTCTTGCAATCGACACAGCCGGACGTGTTTTGGAACTGACTCAACTTCTTGTGAGTTCCACACCTATTTTTGCACCTTTCTTGCTGTCATGTACTGTCAATTTAGCGGAGATCAAACATTCCATAAGATTTCCAAAAAAATCTTAAAATTTGCTTGTTGAAATGTGAATAACTTGCATGCTAGGATATCGATGAATACCTGAGCCATAATTGGGCTAATCATACTTTAAATAACCGAATTTTTAGAATAATAGGATCAATTATCACAAAAGGATCACGAGGCTATTTTACAAACTAACTAAGCACTTCTTCACTAGTTAACTATTCTTGCTTTTCTTCCTACGAATTATCATTCCCCTTGCTAAAAAAACTGAACTAATATGTTACACTAATACGTCCATAATTATCCCAATACGTCCATCCAAGTACTAGTCAAATGTGGATACTTCATGTCTTTTGTGTGTTTTGTTCCCAGGATCAACTCTGGCGTAATCCAGACTCGGGTCTTTTAGCCTACTCTCTTGCTTTGTTGAATAATCTCAGTAATAGTGTTATTGGATTTGCCAAATCACTTGTGGAGTGGATGAGTGATAAAGTTATGAAATCATTTGAGGTTGGACGCAATAACCCATATCAATTTAGGTATGTCACTAGCAATCTGTTATTTACATGTACTTTTTTTAACAAAATGTACCTCTTTATACCTAAATGTACGTCTTTAAAGCTAAATGCATGTCCTTATAGCTAAATATACGTCTTCATAGCTAAATATACGTCTTTAAAGTTAAATATACGTCTTTATATATTTTTGGATTTTTCATTTGGATAATATTGGTGTGAAGCAATCAACTGACATTACCTCTCACTGGTGCAAATGCATTGCATATGACCGTTTTTAGATATTGTAAACTTTGTCATGATTTGAACGAACTTTCCAAGATCCCTTCTCCGAAGGTAAAATACGTTAATTGTTGTACTTTTTCTCATATTTTTTCAATGACAACAACAAGTATAAAGAATACAACCACATGTCTCTGTCTTCCAGGTTGTCTTGGCGAGCATGCAAGACCTGACCTGTGGTTTTGCAAGAGATTTATTCATTGAATGGGCCGAAGACGATAGAAATACAGTTATATTCTCAACACGAACAGCTCCTGGATCTTTGGCCAGACAACTCATCGACAACCCTAACACGACTCAAATTGACGTTGAGGTAGCCACTAATAAAAATATGATTTATTCATGTTTTTAGGGAAAGTAGAGTAGTAATTATTACACCCCCCCGTGTCTTACTTAATTTCTCAAGGAGATCAATTTGTTAAAATGCTCCTTTCACTTGCACAAAGATTTTCACTTGCAATACTATATTTAATTGTGAACGTATTGGTGAAAAAGTTTTTAAGTCTGTCAAATCGTTCCACATTTATGGCTTTTTAAAGCATGGCTGGAAAAAATGCTCTGTTCAATGGACTTTGTCCGTTGCTCGAAAAGTCTGGAACGGGTTTTGTGACGTCATGCAAGCGATTCTTCAGTGGAATGAGATCTACCTCATCTCAATGAGATCTACCTTGGATGACGTCAGAATTTGGCTAGACCCAGACTTCGTGCCACGACGGACAAGGTCCATTGAAAAGCTAGAAGATGAATTGACCAAATTGAAAATTCTTCACCGAGACATTACACCTAGTTTTTAGATTGCAAATAATAATTTTTACTGGTAAGGGCACTTTCGATCCAAGAGATTTCCATTCGTTACAGTCATGTATACATGTCTTACTTCTGGGTATATTTCATTGTATTATGCTCGAAATGTTATTTAAGAAAAAGCAAAACATATTATTTAATAATACAATTGTTTTGTATCAGGTAAAGACTCGGATCAAGTTAGAAGGGGATGAATTGATTGATTACTGGGAAGCCCAAAAACAGAAAGAAAATCACAATAAAAAAGAGACAGAAGCAGTTAAGAAAAGGTAACATATGATTACTGCAGTGCATCCGAGTTTGACTTCTTCAGTGTTCAGGCGTGAAATTTGATTCAACCAATAAAGTCAACTTCCCTTTTTTGGATTGGTATTCATGCACATTATAAATTTGTGTGGGCAATATGGTGATGTCCAAAAACGTCACTGGTTGTTTTTTGAAGCTGCCAAATTTAGGAATAATGATAAATTAAGGAAGTACGGTACAGCTATACAACTAGGATTTATAATTTACTTAGCGTTATAAAAAATTCTTAAAATGCTAATAACACTTCCATTAAGCAATGCTTACTTGTAAATCTACGATAGTCAGAGGTCCCCCTGGCATCGTTAGCTAGGACAATGATGCACGCCCCATTGGAAAATCTGCACCCCTCCCGTTAAATGAGCATTGATCCGCCTCTGTTTTGTATTTTCTAAAGTTGTTTGCCTGGTTATGCTGTTTAATAATGTGCAAAGATGTACATTGCTTCATTTTACTTTGTTTAGTAAAGAGACCGTAGCAGATAGTGATAGCGAAGAAGAAGACCAAGGTGTTGGAATGACGTTTGGTGGCAGAACTAAACACGATCTTATGATGAACGATGAAAAGGTAAGTATTTCTTCAAATAATGACCACATGTTATCGATAAGATGTGGAAGATTCATTTCAAGTATAGATTATTATTATAAGTTATCGAGTTGTTTTGTCCATTGTAGAGAGGGACAAAAAGCAGCTTCTTCAAACAGGCCAAGTCTTATCCCATGTTTCCTTGCAAGGAAGAGCGTGTAAAGTGGGACGAGTATGGGGAGTTCATCAAACTGGAAGATTACGTCATACCTGAAATGATGATCGTGGAAGAAGAGAGGAAGATAAAGGCGGTAATTCATTCAAAAATACCATTCTATTATAGGGATGGATGTTAGGGAGGAATGTGGAGGTGTTCACATCTTCTCTAGCTTTGGCTAGAGGTTTAGTGAGAATGCTATCAAAAATTTCACAATCATATTAAAAAAATAAAATTATTTAATAAAAAAAGTCTGACATGCTACAGCCACAAATAACCACCAAAATATTATCCAAACTAGAATACCCCCATACAAACCCGTCGTGTATCCATTCCTATTCTATTATCCATGTATGTACATATTTAAATGCATCATATTGTCCTTGTTTGTGGCCAGCATTTCATATATGTCATCTATCAAAAATTTTTACAGTATTCCTGTAGTGCAGCGATACCTTTTTATTGAGTACATATCGTCGAATGAAACCCTTTCTTATTTGCCTATTAACCCATACATTTTTTTTTTTAAACTTAGCAACATTTTTTTTACATAGGAACCTGATTCATTGGCTTCGGATACAGAAATTCCTCCTGCACAAGGTATGAAATACATCACAGTTTGTTGAAGGATGAGATTAAGATACCAATATTCTGCGATAGTTATAAAATATCATACCTTAGATATCGTTTGCTAGTTTTTCTCTCTCTCTGGCTGCCTTGTATAAACGTTGGTAGATGAAACTATTGATACTTCTGACTTACATTTGGCTTAAGGATACATTATAAGTAGCGAGTGTTGCAGCAATTTGTTGGTGATGAATAACATTGTTTGTGAATGTTTGTCTTGTTTCAGATGAAACTTCCCGACATCCAACAAAATGTATCGTCGAGAAAAAAACCATTAATATCAAGTAAGGAGAACTGAAACTTCTGTAATTGAGTTTAAAACAAAGAAAATCTATTACGATAGTTGGAGTGGTCTTCCAAAGGTTATGGTTGGATGAATCGAGTTTTCCTGGCTAACCTTATACTGCAGTCCTTTGAAACTTGGGACAATTCGCTTCATGTGATCGACCCCCTAAATGCATCGCAATTGTAAATATTTGCTGGAATGTAGTAATGAGTTATGGTCTGGAAATTTTATCAATTTTTCTTTCTGTCGTAAAAGTGGTTAACTTTTAATGTAGTTTACTAGGAGAATGGAAGCAAAATCATGAATAATCAGCTGTTACTTTAAAATATACTTGAAAATTAAACATAGGAGACCTAGCTGCACTTATTTTATAACAAATATTCCCGATTTATAAAGTAAAATTGATGGAAGAATCTCGAGCATCTTTTAAGAAATATTTTGCGAGCGCCATGAACAATTACCATGACTTTTTCCCTTGCATCATCTCTTCCCAGCGCTATCTTTAGCCATTTTATCAATTTTATCATATACGCTATCATCTTATGCAGTCATGTTATATGTATTATAGGTGTTCTTATCTCTATATCGACTTTGAAGGTCGTTCAGATGGAGAGTCTATCAAACGTATCGTATCCATTGTTAAACCGAGGCAATTGGCAAGTTTGATTTTAGTCATTTTTATTCCTTCCTCACCCCCACCCCCTCCTGCCTCTTGTTATATGTGTTGGTAATACTTATATTTTAGGTTGTGATTCATGGTAGTCCAGATGCGACGAAACATTTGGCTGAGTATTGTCGTAAAAACATCGATATGGAAGTTAAGACGGTTTTCACGCCAAACACTGGTGAAACTGTCGATGCTACCCGGGAAAGTCATATTTATCAAGTAAGCCACGTCATTACCATCAGATTTAATGACCTACTTACACACTTCAACCAATATTAATTTTCTTTTGTGCGTAGATCATTCTTCGTGATTCATTGGTAAGCTCCCTTCAGTTCTCTCAAACACGTGACGCTGAGATTGCTTGGGTTGATGGTCAGCTTGTGAGAGAACAGTTGAAATCACTGGTGCACGATCAGGAGAATATGGATGTTGATACTTTTGACTCTGTACCGGTTCTAGAACAACTGCCTTTGGCTGAGGTACTTTTCACCATCTGAGTGGCTGGGTAATCCTGCCAATTCTTGAAATTAGGAATTGCCCCCTGTTGAGTTGGTTTGTTTGGTTGCAATATTGATCTTGATTGCTAATGGTCCATTGATGTGTAGAAACTTTATAAATTTTAGATTCCTGGTCATGATCAGGTCTTCATTAATGATCCAAGACTCTCAGACTTCAAACAGATCTTACAAAAGAATGGAATCCAAGCAGAGTTTAATGGTGGTGTTTTAGTTTGTTGTGGTGGTGTGATTGCTATTACAAGGGTAAGCAATAACTGGTTGACACAAGTCATTGAGATTTGCCATGTATTAAGCAGCTAAGAGACTTGTGGTAAATAAGATGCTGAACTCTTTATACTAATGTCATAAGAGTATGGTGTATTTGATTGACTGTACATAACTTACAGTATTATAAACATTTTACAAAAGATGTCAATGTTCATGGTTGAATTGATCTCTTTTGTCATTCCTCATTGTGTAGAATGAAGCTGGTCGTATTGGTTTAGATGGGGCTATATGTGATGAATATTATGTAATCAGACAAATGCTTTATGATCAATTTGCTATTTGCTGAGATTCCACAAAGGTTCACATTAAGGTAACTATCATACATTTGAACAAACAGAAATTGTACATCAATAATAATTGCCAACTTTGTTGCCACATTTTCATGCCATGTGTAACAGAATCTTGCCACATATTAAGCTAATGCAAGTCATCAAAGCTCACATTATTTCCATTTTGTAATTATGTTATTTAATTTTTTAACCAAAGTATTGACATCCCAAATAGAATCTTCCATAAGATGGAAATCACCATTGTTCATAATAGCTTGAACCTATTGCTTATCCTTTTGATGTTTAAGTAACATCAAAAGTGAACTACACATTTATTTTTCAACATTGATTACCATAAAATAAACAGTTGCAGAAACCTATGCAATCATGGTAATCATAACTAAGTATACATAGACAGTTGAATATATATTTTAACAAAACCTGCTTGTATTATACATGCATAGAGGTGAAAATTTAAAGTTCATTGCATTGTTTAGTGGAATATTAGTGTAAGTCATTTTGCTTTTGAATTCATCTTCAGATCTTCCATATTACTTAATGCTTGGTTGCGTTTTACTCTTGAATAAGGACCGATTTCAGGGTCGGTGATATAGTCATACAATACCTTCACCCATGATGTATGGTGTGGGAGGTTGTCGTAATATTCTGGGGCAATTTCTCGAACTTTTGGCAACAATGATCCTGGGATACTTGGAAAATCATGGTGCTCATTATGGTACCCTACATTAAATGTGACCATGTTTAATGGTCCGTAGTATGAATACGTTTCAAATCCTTTTCGGAACATATAATGCTCCGAGATGAAGTGACCTGCAACAGGGTGTAAGCCCATCCCTAACAAGCTACTGGCAAGCAAGTACACCAAAGCTTTTCCTCCAAAGTAATTTATTACAAAGATATCTAGGGCAGCTTGGGATACAAGGTTTACAATTTCCATGGTAGTTGGTGGTTTTGGGTTGACAAAGAGAGGACGAATACTATAGAAGAACGGTTGAAGAATAACCCAAATTAGCTTCGTGAAGGTATTTGTGAATAGCTTTGTTTCCATTTCACTTGGAATATCTACATCTAGTACATCTTGCCCTTGGTATCGATGATGTTCTAAATGGTATTTCTTGAATGAGAAGGTAACAGGAATAGCTATTGGTATGTTGGCAATCATCCCCAATATACGGTTATGCCACGGTTTGGAATATCCAAATCCTGCACTATGCGAAATTTCGTGGATGGCAAGAAGTAAAGCATGGTTAACCACACCACCGAAGCAATATCCCAGGACAAAGACCATCACCCAGTTTGCATAACGACCCACCAAATATGCGACAATCATTTGTAGTATGACCAACGAGAGAACTTGAAATTTAAAGTGATGATCGACTACCATTAACTTCTTGATTTCGGGATATTTTTCTGAAAAAGTACAATGAACAAAAGGCTTTTATATACTATCCACCCGCGCATCGCGTGCTAAATAATAGTCCACTAAATCAGTAAAAGAAATCAATTTCAATGTTGCCATGTGATTGATGAGGAAGTTTCGCACAAATTTTAAACACCAAATCGTCACCTGCAAGCGTTAGTTCACATTTAAAATAACTCTTTTCACAAGACCAAGCAATCTTGCTCGATTCATTAGACTCAGTTTTCCTTCGTTAAAAAAGAGACGTTGTCGTAGTCGTAGACGACCGGCCTATACGAAATTCGAGAGATTTTGTTTAATACTTACTAAGGATCTCTTTTCTTCTTGTTGCATGAGGTTCCTCTGTGTAGGACCATTCAAAATCCTTTCTTGAAACCTGGCCACCCATTTTAACTGTATAAAAAGTGAAACTCAGTTGTATTTTACTCCACCTTAGTGTATATAGAACTTGAAGAAAACATAAGCGTATTAATATTAATTATTGTGACGTCATATCGACTGATCCGAGGACAAACTATACAACGCAAAACATTTTACAACTCTTTCTCTGAATATAATTTTTGAGATTAATGTTGAATCAGTACGCTTGAAACGTAGGGTTTCTCCAGCATTTGCCATGCAAAAAAATATGCATGATGTTTTCCGCAAATCTCAAAGTCCTCTCACTTGATGTTATCGCGCTGTGTAATGATGCTTCTCGCAAATCAGGGTAGTTATAATTTTTTAAAACCCCCGAAGCTGTAACTTTTCACTTAGTAAAAATATTTCAGACTTTGTTCAATCAAGAATTTTTGCTTATAAGTAGTGCCTATGTAAATATCTGTGAATTTAGTACTTTCATCTCGGGGTAATAATTGGCTAAATATGTATTTTGGAGGCATAAACCGCATAATAATATTAATAATATTATCAGCGGAAATTTTAATATTTCTAGTAAGACAAATATTTGACATTAAGTTACTTAATATTGTACTTCTGTGCATACTATTTGGACAGCGAGTTTTTCAAACACCCAAAATATAGCTTTTTATATAAAAGTCACTAGTGCAAGTTCAAACAAGAATTCATAACAGTACTTTTACATAATTACATTACATAATATTCAGTAATGCCTGTGGTAATGGCCAATGCCAGGTAATGCCACTGGTTAATGCGAGTATAATAAATAATAACACATACATGTGTTTATTGGTGTAGTGTACATATTGGTACATGTGTGTACACACGGGTACATACTTTCATTTCAATATTGCAGCTTAATTTGTCATCCATTAAACTATATTGAAGTTTTTTGTTATCAAAATGAATTTCAATGTTTTGAAACGGACTATTTTCCAAACGAACAAGGCAAAAATCTTGTCTAGTTTTTCTTTGTCATATCAAAAAAGACGATGGCTCTGTTCTGCAGTGAAGTGGGACAAAACCAAGCTGGATAATGTTGTTGAGAAAAGTAAAATTGTCGTCTTTATGAAAGGAGTCCCCAGTCAACCAATGTGTGGGTTTAGTAACGCTGTTGCACAAATATTAAGAATGCATGGAGTTGACGAATACGATCATTATAATATATTGGATGATGACGAATTGCGAAAGGAAATGAAAGTGTACTCGAACTGGCCAACTTTTCCTCAGGTGCCTATTTTTAAATGAAAATTTGTTGCTCTTTTGCAGTTAAAACTTCAATCAAGATAGCTTGAAAAATGAGTTTAGCACTCCAAATTGTACAAGTCTGCATTTAGTATAGACAGGTACCCCTATATGCTATACTTGAAAGATGGTAAGATTCACAAGAGATTTATACGAGAACATTGTTTTAATTTATCTGTGTGACAGTATTGTTAGTGTATAAAAAAATTAAATTATTTTTTTGTTTTTGCACTGGCTTATGCCAACTAGTAGATGTTAGAGAAACTCTCAACAAAGTTGAACTTCTCTTAAGTACTCCCAAAAGTCTCCTCTGTTTGCATAGGCCTGTGCAAACACAGTAAAAATATTTTATTCCCTAAAGAGATATAAATGTATGCATTTGCAAACAGTCAAGCATTCAATGTAAGCAAAATAAAAATTCTTTGTGTAGGACAAACTTTCTTGTCTGACTTTAAGCTAACATTAATCTATCATCTTTTTTTGTTTTAGCATATCAAGTTGTTAATTTTAATTTTTTTAGTTTGTTTCAATAGGAGAACATGTTGTTTAAGCTTTAGTGGTGTAGAGAAGGCAATACTTATTTAATGTAGATTATTTGATGTAAACATGACATGAAAAACGGCTGAAACATTTTGACATTTACTGGATTTAAAAATATCTCGGTAATAAACACTCTCAAATTTATAGAAATTGATTCATATGTTCTCGCGCTACGGTTATTTGAGACTTTGTGGCAAATTTTAGCTACTTACATCAAAGTCTATTAGATATCCTAATCAATATCATTGTTTATCATAGGTGTATTTTGGTAGTGAGTTTTTGGGTGGCTGTGACATAATGATTCAACTTCACCAGAATGGAGAATTGATCAAAGAACTGGAGAAACTTGGTATAAGGTCAGCTCTGTTGGACAGACAAAATGAAAAGTAAATGATGAAATATGAGCTGATTTGCTCATATTTCAATCATTTACTTAAAATAACATGATATTGACTTGCACAAACATCTTGAAATATCCAAGAACTTTTTTTTATGTTTTGCTCAAAGTATTTGTTCAGTTTGCTAAAATGGTTAGATTGGGGATCATTTGAACATATATAAATAAAGTAAATGTTAATAGAATTGCATGTAGAAAGGCACATCATAGTTTATAATGACCGACATAGGAATATAAACAAAATTGCCGGTTCTAAAATCATAAATTACTAGTCTAGTAGGGAACAAAAGTTTTAACATTTTTTCACTTCGATAGATAGTGAAAAAATATTAAAACCTTTAGTGATTTTTTATGAACTAGCCTGTCTTTCATCTGAAAATGGGCTGGTCTTAGTGTTTGCTTGACATTCTTGCATTACTACTATAAATCAATAATTCAGACAAGGAAGGGTTGATAGCAGTAGTGTAGCCAGCGTGCAAGTTTTGGTCCTGCTATGTAAATTGTACAGCATTATCATTATTCATTTCTTTAGAAATCCATTGTTTTTACAGTGAGTGAACACAGAAAAATTAACATAGCAGGACCAAATTTGCGGGCTGGCTACACCACTGGTTGATAGCATCTGAATTAAATTGCAAAATATTTAAAGAACAATGACACTAAGACTTACAAAATGTATGTACGTATTGTGTCATGATATTAACTGATGGTATTTTTTACAAAAATACGAGTCTGTATTTCATGTACAAACTTTTAATTTTAAAATATTCATTTACAATTAGGTTGGTCATGTAAGGTTTTTGTAGCATTCCTTTATCTCTAAAAGTGTCCAGTTTGCCACCATCTTTCTGTAAGATAGCCTTTTGGTAAGGCAATTCTTTGCATCTTAATGCATTCTTGTAAAAAATCCTTGAACCTCTGAGTAGGTCCTCGTTTCTCTATTGGAGTCACATTCTCAATTGCAGGTAGATATTCTTTACAAAGCAACAAAAGTAGTTTCTGAAATTGCTTTCTATATTGTTGCATCATGAGATGACCACATACTTTGATGAATTCAAAAAGCATTGTAGCTGTAATATTTGGGTGAGGTTTAAGGTTTACAGTGCGAGCCATCCATGTCCAGCCATGTTCAATGCCATGTGGATGATCTGGTAGAGTGGCCCCTTTTGAAGATACAACAGCAGCATAAAGCTGCACAGTTCCAGAAAACTTTTTTAGAAAATGATTCTCATCTTCTACTTGATTATTATTTACAGAATAACCTAAAGCTTTGTAATAATCCTGATTGGTTTGGCCTTCAACTTGTGGCATGTAGTAAGGAACAAGGTAAGGATAGCTACGATAAAAATGAGCTAGGATGAGTTTGCCAACATCAGGGAATATTGACCATATGCCAACAATAACTGCGGAATAAAGAAAAGCTGATTCTGGGTTTGATGAAACCTGTTGTGCACCTTGCATAACCAATTTCTTGGCCACCAAATCTTGACAAAATGCCTATAAAATAAAAGCCTTATATAGTACATAAATATGTAGCATGTATTCACCTGAAGTTGTGCAGATCATCATCACTTAAATTGAAATCTTTTATAAGAATTTCAATGAGAAATAAAATAATATTACTGTGCCAATGAATATTTGCTTACCATTGCACAAGGATGACCTTTACAATTAACATGTTTTCCACCAACTTCCACATTATTTCCTTTTAACAATTCAACAAGTCTTCGAATTTTATCATTCAGTTGCTGTGGTGAATGAGCTGAAAGGGCATTTATTGGGTTGTTAACTGCTTTCTGAATGTCAAATTTATATTTGGTATTCTTTGGGTCAATGATAAACTCCTTAAATGAAGCTTGGACTGAATTCAAGTGATCTTGTAGTTGGGTGTATTCAATCAACGCCTTTTCTGATATGTATTGAGAAAACTTATCAACTGTTTTAGGGACATGTTTCTTATTTTCAGCATGGTTCATCTCTGAGCTTTTTGTTTCGCTTTCTTGTTTTTCTAAGTTTCTTTGAACTTCAAGTCTTTCAATTTCCTTCTTCTCAAGCTCTTGCTGTTGTTGTTCAATTCTTACCTTCTCCACCCTCCGAAGTTCCTCTTCTCTCTGTGCATCAATTCCCTTCTTTTGTGCCTTGCTGAGGACCTGATCAACCTTTTCATCGACTGGCATAATGGCTTTTATCAATTGTTGCATAACCTCAATAAGTTCATTTACATCAGAAATATCGTTGCTAACATTTCCTCTGCTGTATGTTTCCTTAGATTTAGCTAAAATACCATCCAAAATGTTTGAAATCTCTTCATAATCTTCTGCATCAATGAATGATAAGTATTTGACATTGGAAAATTTTTCTTTGATGTTTGCAATGCTTTTAGGACTTTATTATAGAATAATTTTAAATCTTCCTGCTGCATGATCAAGGCTCTCTTTTCCTCCTCTTCAGCAATTTGAGTTTCTTGTTTTAAGGATCTTGTCAGCATTTCATTCAATCTTCGTCCATGAGTAGCAACTTGTTCATCCAGCTCCATCCTATATTTTCGCATTTCTTCTACATTACGCATCTTTCTTTCCTTAATTTCTTCAAAGTGATGTATCCTCTCCTTTGCCATACGGTCTTCAGTTAACTTTAACTCAGTTTCCGTTTCCCGTTTTAAATACTCCGTTCTTCTTTGAAGAACATGAGCTTTCTCAGCAGTGCGTTTTCCACACTTTGGCGACACTGGTTTTCGTAAAGTTTTATGCCTAAATCGTAAACAGCATTGTGATTTATGGGCATGCTCTCGACCGTTGATGACTGATTTAATTCATTCTTGGTATTTATTTCAGATGCGTTGTCCGAGCCATCTTTGCCTCCATTATTTTCCAAATTCAATGAATTTAATTTCCAAGTCAGATTGTCAAAAGAGTCATTCAGGTAGGATTCAAATGAACAAGAAAGATTGCTACTCGTGTTTTCATTTATTCTCCAATTGCCGTCATACTTAAGATTACCTTTAGAGGTGGATTGGAGGGCATTCAAAGCCAAATTCAAGCTTTCATTTACGACTAGGTTTCCGTCCATCTTTGATTTGTAATGAATGCAATTCCTTCCCACGAATTGCCGGGGGGGGCAGTCGATAATGAAGCGTTGTTTGAATGGTGTTTCTGATATACTATAGACTTTTATTTTATTGAATGAACTGCGTTTGCATGAAATTATGACACAAATTGCCTATACAAAACTTTTACACCTATATAAAAACTTTTCAATATTTTTTCTTGACAACGCAGTAACCAAGGAAACTAGATTAGCTCCTCTCGACCAATCAAAACGCTGGATTTATTCAAGAGTTTGTTTATACTGCGTTACGTTTCGAAGGAAAAAAGACCAACTCACAAACAATTCGGTACCATTAGTTATTCAATAAATTCCGATACACTAATTCTAAATTTTAATAACACTAGCCTTTGCGTTCAAGTCTTGCAGTTTTGTATTGTGGTGTATTGGTAATGCTTCAACGCTTGGAGAAAATTATGGTTTTGTTGAGCTTTGGACAATAAATCAGTTCGAGAATGGGATACGCTGCTCATTTGTTGATATTTACTATAGTGAATTTTCTGTTATTTGGTGAAGCTCAGAATTATTTTCCGACATCGAGAGACTTTGTAGAGAAAAGCGACATTACGGCTTCTTCGACTTGCGGTGAAACGGAATCAAGTTATTGCGATGCAAGGACCTTGTCGAGATATCCCACTTGTACGTTCAAAATTTGTAAGAAAGGCTGTTGTCCCACATGCACAACCGTTTCGCCTGCACCTGTTCATTTATCTAATGATAAAAATAAATACAACAGTACTTATGAAAGTCCACCAAGACCGGGAGCTAACAGTCCCTCGGTTGGATTTGATGTTATTGCTGGGTCCTACATCAAAGTGGATAGGTTACCAGTTATTGACTCTGTCGTCAATGGTTTTGCTGTTTGTACATGGGTGAATCAGACAAGTGGAAATGAAGGGTAAGTGCTATGTAAGTATGTATTATAGCAAACTTTAGAAGTTTTGTAATAAATTTGTAATATCTTCTTGTCGTAGGACCATATTGTTGGCCAACAAAGAGGCGTCAAGTGTACTTGCTTATGCTATCGTTCTTCAGGATTTTAGTGTTACTCTATACTATACACCACAACGGAGTAACATCACTTTAAAAGTTACTATGAAAACAACAAGTGGGCAGTATCCAGTTGATCCTCGCGGATGGCATTATATTTGCGCTGTCGTAATTGACAAGGAGTTTTCATACTTCTTAGATAGCAAATATATCGGCAGCCATGCATTGACGAATCCTGTCGTTGGTACGACTGGAGTTGCTAGAATAGGACAAATGCTTAGTGGTATTTATGAACCTTTTTTTGTTATTGCCAAGTTCTTCAAAACTGTCTTCTGGATTTTGCTCATATTGTAACCATTTTATCTTTTTAGGTGCCAAGCAATTCGTCGGCCAAATGCAAGATGTACGTTTCTATAGAAAAGCTTTAACAAACAGGTTTGTAATTATTTTACGTTATTTTAATGGATCTTTCACGAATCAAACGCAATTTCAAGTTCAGACCATTATCCTGTATTATGTGGAAAAGAAAAGTTTCGTGAGTTTAATTTTTGTGTTTCTCGTAGAAATTTTTTCATTTAATTTTTCGTCAGTTTATGGTGGCCTTTTTGTACATTATTTATATTTTTAAAACTTTTCTTGTTTCCTATTTCAACTTTGCTTTTGCCAAATTTAAATGATTATATAGTTGACTTTTCGCGTCATAGGGAAGTGGTTGAAGCATATACAGGAGTATTTCCTAGGACCTACATCGCTTCTGAGTGCAGATGCCCTGCAAGTCATCCTAAAATATCCACAAGGATCCCTGGGAGAAAATGCGTAAAAAACTCGGACATTCTAGAAAAAAATCTGGTATCTAGGCTGTCTGATACAGCTCACCCTATCAAATTTGCAGCTGATAGTGACTCCTCAAGTTATTGGTTATCTACCAACGTTGATAACGTGACCATAGATATTGACCTATTGTATAATGGCCTTCAGGTAAGTTCTTCTATTGTCGATGTCAGGTCGCTTGTCAAAGCTTTGTTTCTAAGTTCATGACATATGTTCCTGACTATTGAAGAAATCGCCTTTCATCAATATCGAGGGACTTGCAGGGAGGATCGATTTCTTCAATTGATTTAAAAATTCACATTTTGCTTCAGAAATATTGTGCGACTTTATTATTGAAGCAGTCATACTTTCTATCAAGTAGTATGTTTTTGTTTAGAACTTTAAAACACGAGCAAGCTAATTGCGAACATTCGTATCGTACGGAGAGCGGAACTTGAAGCCATGTTTTGAAAAGTCACATAAGATGGGAAATGTGTTCTGTGTTTGCCAAATTTTCATCTTCATTTTCTTTGTCTCTTGTAGGTATTTTACATTATCAACACATTTTATGGTCCGCAACCCGAGGCGATGTTGATTCAACGATCAACAGACTTTGGAAAAACATATCAACCATGGCAGTATTATGCAAAAGATTGTAAAAAGTCATTCAATATGGCGAATAACGGCGCCTTGAGTCAACCTGATTCTGTTAATTGTCTTCAAAGGTAAAGAAAGCCATCGTTGATCATTTGTTTGTTTCATGAGAATTTGCTTCGAGTCAATGCTCTTTTAAACAGCGCTTTCTTTCTTAGTGTGTGCTCCAAATTCTTGTCACAAATTGTCTCTTAAAATCTATCGTATTGTCGATTTTAAAACGCCATACCAGGTTTTAAAAAATGTTAGATGTGCTTGTATAATATACATATTAACATGTAAAAAAATTTTAACGCTTCTATCTTTTTGTTAAAATTTATTCAATTGACTGTTCATTAACTTTGGTCAGCTCGTTGCTAAGTCTTGTCCATTCTTTTTCAACTTATTGTTAACTCTTTATTGCGAATGTTGTTTCATTTATCTACTAAAATTGTGTTTTAGTAACAGTACGAGACCAAGTGGAGCTACCATAACGTTCAATCTTTATGGATCTGTCCATCGGCCATTTGGTGGTACTAGCTGTAACAATCTTTACTGCTCAAGGAGATTACTAGACTTCCTTCGAGCAACGAACGTGCGAATCCATCTCTATAATCACACTTTATTTCCTGTTGGGGCCACAAAGTATTTTGGGCTGACAAAGATTCGTATAGTTGGAAGGTAAAAGGTTTGCGCTTATGTAGGTGAATTTGCTCATGGTGAGGTTTGGTGTAGAGGATGACAATAGTTTTCGTCGTGTGACATTGTTATTACATGTATTTTATTGGCTGAACTGTTTTATTTTTACTATTCGAGATTTTGCACCTTAACCAACTTCCTGTTTCCATTTCAGGTGTGAGTGCTTTGGTAAAGCAAAATCTGCGAGATATATTCCCAAAAATGGAACAAACAACGGTCGTTGTATATGTCAATGTGAGCCTTCGACTTTCAGCGAAGGAGAAAAGGTAAATAGCAAATACTTCATGGTTTTTTGTTCGTTTTCTTACCGGAGGGGTTATTTTGCCATTCAAGTTTGAAAGTCACTGCTTGGGCAAGTTGACTTTAGCTTGAATATTGACGCTAAGTCATTAATTTTTTGTTCATGTAAGCTTGGTGAAGTTCAAATTCAATGTTTTATTTTCTTAGATATTTTTAACGTCAGTGGCTGTACACACCTAACATTGCCTATTCACAACTCTTCTTTAGTGTGATCGCTGTCAACCTTTATACAACGACAAGCCATTTTTGCGAGGAAACTCATTCGCCGTATACAACTGCATTAAGTGTATGTGTCACAAACACGCATCAAGTTGCTTTTACAACAAAACCTTGGACCCATTCCCCAACGAACGAGACCGAGGCGGTGGAGGTGTATGCATCAATTGTCAGCACAATACCGTTGGACGTTACTGCGAGTCTTGCGCTGATGGATATTTCAGGGAACCTGGTAAGAACTTGGATGATAGAGATGTGTGTACTCCGTGTGGCTGCGTGGGATCTGGAGTCAAGTCTGGCAGACAAATTTGTGCAAAGGTTTGTAAGCACTGCTATTTTTGCCATGATTCTACCCACATAGCATCATTATATTTTATTCTTACATTAAACTTAATGTTCAAAGGATGATTCTGACGTTGGGGTTCTTGCTGGTCAGTGCCAATGTAAGAAGCACGTCACCGGTCGTAGATGTACGTTATGTAAGCCTGGATATTATGATCTTAAACCAACACACAAGGATGGGTGTGTTTCGTGCAATTGTGACGTCAGAGGAACTGTCAACGGAAATCAAACATGTGACGTCAGTGGTCAGTGTGTCTGTAAATCAAATGTGATTGGTCTACGATGCAATCAATGTAAAGCGAGTTATTATAACCTAACAACAACCAATGTGAATGGTTGTCAGCCCTGCTTGTGTAGTGAAACTGGGGCTACGAGCCAGCTATGCAATGCTGTCAGCGGTCAATGCACTTGCAAATCGAACGTTGCTTCTCGCCAGTGTGGCAGATGTGTGTCAGGCTTTTTCAACTTGACAACTGGGTGCATGCCTTGTCGCTGTTCTGTCCGTGGATCGGTTTTTAGGTCGTTAAATCGATGCGATGCGATTAGCGGTCAATGCCGATGTAAAACTTATGTTACTGGCATCAACTGTGACAGGTGCAAGTCTGGTTATTATAACCTACAGCAGAGGAATCTCAATGGATGTACTCGATGTCGATGTGATAACAGGGGAACATTAGGAGCTTGTGATAATGCAACCGGAGTATGTACGTGCAAAACCTATGCCGTAGGACAATTTTGCGACCAGTGTCCTCTGGGTTTTTATAATTTATCTGCAGCTAATCCTCGAGGCTGTCTGGCGTGTCGATGTTTTGCGAAAGGTACAGTATATGGTGACAGAATAAGACCAGGGAGCTTGCAATGCCATAGTTCTTCTGGTCAGTGCTCGTGTCTATCTAATGTCGAAGGCCTGAAATGTGACCGCTGTCGTGTTGGTTATGTCTGGAATCAAACTGGTCAGGGATGTGTGTCATGCAGGTAAGAAAAAGTAGATAGTTGGAAAGGGGTCATTATTTTCATAGAGCAAGGTGGGTGGAGCTGGTAAGGCCTGTGCGTGGTAGTCGTTTTTTTCAAGATATGGCATCATCGTGCAGGATGTTAAGAGATAATTTAAGGTTTATTTGTAAATTGTCTCATCCTTCAAAACGTCAGTGAATTTTTTACTTTGTTTACGTTTCTCTTAAATTGATTTAACTAAAGCATCCTTATTTTTGTGTTCCGTTATTTTAGTTGTGATCCTGATGGTTCCATGATGCCACGTACTTGTAACTCTAGCGGATATTGCTCATGCAAACGCGGATCTGGTGTCGGCGGACAATTTTGTGACCATTGTATGATCGGTTATCACAGTTTTATTGCTGGTAGCTGCACTCCATGTAACTGCAACTCATCAGGAATCATCCAAGATGGCTGCGACAGCTCAGGATGTTATCATTGTAAAAGTAATGTCGAGGGAAAACAATGTGAAACATGTAAACCTGGTACGAAAATTCTAAGAACTGAAAATCCTTATGGATGCAGTGGGGTGCCGTCACAACAAGGACCACCTGTTATCAACGTAATATCCTCGACAACGTTACATGTTCAATGGGATCCTCCAGATGAGCCAAATGGTTTGATAACAAAATATGAACTGTACCGGAACAATGTTTTAGTCTATTCAGGTCTTTCCAGAAGATTTAACGACACTGATCTTAAACCATTTACACGTTACGGTTATTACGTTATAACATTTACCGACGGTGGTAGCGTCAGAAGTTTTGCAGATGGTAAAGTTTACCGCACATTAGAAGATATCCCTATCGGTGTAGCAAGTCCCAATATCACAAATATTTTTCCTCGAAATGCAAAAGCAGCGTGGTCATATCCAAGTGTAACTAATGGTATAATAAGATCCTTTTATCTCGAGTCAACCAACCCTAGAGATTTGGGTATTATTGAACATTGCCGAGGCCTGGTACTTAGGTGTGACGTCACTGATCTCAGACCTTATACAATTTATAATTTTACTGTTCGTGTGTGTACTAATGCTGGTTGCGCCAAAAGTCCAGTGACAACTGTTCGTACTCGTCCTACACGACCCGATAGTCAGCCTGCACCCAGCGTGGTAGCTTTGCCCGGTGGGAGAAATTTCACAATTACGTGGGATGAACCAAAAGAACCTAATGGTATCATTATCAGCTACGAATTGTATCAACGTTTATATCCGTCACCTCAGGAAGATGAAGGAATTATTGTATATCGGTCGTCGCCCTCGGTGGACTCTGGGGCGAGTTCCTCTCGTCAAACTACCGTGGGTAACCTGTTTCCGTTCACGTGGTATGAGTATCGTGTTGTGACGCATACAGCAGAGATTGATGGAGACACTGCAAGTAATTGGACCAAACAGCGAACTGCGGAGGCAGGTAATGATGTACAACAAACTGAGAGTGGGGTACATAGGAGAGGAGACAATATGTTGGTCTCTCTCTAAGACCTTTTTATGTGATCTTGATAGTATTCTTATGACAAAAGTTACACCTACTTAAGCTTAAAGTAGTTATTATTTCGTTTAATCTTTTGCTGTCATTTAATTTTAGGAATATTTTTGCTTAATGTGGCGACAACTTTCTCTTTGTCATTTTTATGTCATTCTCTGTAACCCTAATACCTTTTTTTTAGTTTCTGTTGAAATTCAAAACATTTTTTTATCAATCTAGCTCCAGGAGGCGAAAACGGAATTCGTCCACAGTCCTTCGCTGTTTCCAGTTCTCAAGTGAACATTACTTGGAACTTACCCACTTCACCACATGGTATCATTGTCAGATCCCTCGTTTACATGTACACCAATGAAACATCTTATAGCATACCAATACTGGCAGTTACGGCCAATAAGTCATCCCATACTTTGGTCAGCGGACTTCATCCCTACACCATCTATAAATTTTCAGTTACTTCGTGCAACAGTGTTGGATGCACAAAGCATAGCGCTCTAACTGAAACTAGAACACTTTCTGCAGGTAGAGATCATGATTTTCCTTTATGCTTGAAAACTTTGGTTTTCTTTCATACTAAGGAAGATGTAAACTTTGAAAGATGACGACTCATCGCTATGATTACATGACGTATTTCATGCGTGAAAGCCAAAGCTGTTTTTGAAACAGATAAGATCAATTCAGCGAAAAAGTTTCAAAAGCAATGAGTTGTCATATTTTACAACGATTGTTTTGTGTATTAGTTACAGGTTTTCTTTTGCTAAATGTGATAGTAGCTATTTTATTCTTTCAGCTCCTTCAGGTCAACTTTCTCCATCGGGTATACCTATTAATTCTACCCATGTACGATTAAAGTGGTCTCTACCCACTCACCCTAACGGTCCTGTGCCTCCCGTTTATCATCTATCACGTGCCCATGCTGCCTTGTACTTCCCACCAATCAACGCTGTGACGGGTGCTCACTTCCCTGGGCTTGGGTACTATAAACTCGCCTCGAATGTTATCCTACCCGGCATAGAGACCTATGTTGATTTTTGGTTCAGAACGCGGCATTTGCATGGTTTGATACTGTTCCTTGCGTCTGTTACTCTGGATGATTTTATTGCTGTGGAAATGCGTGATGGAAGACCAAGACTCATTTTCGACTGTCAAAAAGGTGTTTCTCTTGTAACACCAAAGACTTCGCTCGAATTTAGTGATTATAAATGGCATTTTGTGCGCATCTCCCGCAACAAAAGAGCGGGAAAATTATCGTTGATGATAAATACTCCGGTGAGGGGAAAGCCCCGTTGGTGCATCGTATATTGATAGAAATACTGGCGTTTTTATTGGTGGTATTGGCATCGGGGTCAAGTTAAATAAACACATTCTTAATCATGTTTATAGCTTAAACTCCAGCATCGGTTTTATTGGTTGTATTAGTAATCTACGCTTGCAAAATAATATTGTCAACTTCCAGAATGCTACGGAAAAGGTAAACGTCGATCGTGTGGACAGCGGTTGTCCTTTGAGCAGTGACGCCGGATTTTACCTCAAAGGAGGTGGCTACTTGAGTCTCGTGAAAGGTGTTTTTGATGGCAACAAGATCTACTCAATATCATTCGACTTTAGAACTTTTTATTCGTCGGGTCTACTTATGTTTGTCTATGCTGAAGGGACTGGTATAGAGTCTTATTTAGCGGTAATGCTCGAAAACAGAACTGTGCGGGTGTTATATCGTACACGAAACTCCAATGGAAACATAACAGTCGTTCCTAAAAGGTCTATCTGCGATGGTATATGGCATAAATTGTCTCTGACAAACTTTGCTAGTTCTGTTTTCACCTTAGATATTGATGGAGATACGAGAACGGACATGCCTATTTCAAATCTGATCGTCACATCGGAATTATATTTTGGAGGCTTGCCATCGGGGTCGTTAGCTGCCCGAAAGGCGGGTAGTATTGGTCTTCGTACAGATTTCTTGTTTGGCGGATGTTTCAAAAATATTCAAACCAATCGTAGAGTGAATGTTTTGACAGAGCTTTCGTCATCAATGAATGTGGACTTTAGTGGTTGTCCTAGCAATACAAAGATAAATGGTACCGGTATGGATAAGTGTAATAATGAGACTGAAGACTTGGTTTATGTGGGTACACTCCAGGATACAGTTGATGGCGAGTTGGCGCCATTTACAGGTTGAAAATCATTAACATATCGTCAAGTTTGAGTAAGGTAAAAAAATTAAGTGTTTAAAACTTTTTCAGACTTCCTTTACCGCGTTGAAAGCAAACAGCCTGGTACCTATGGCGGAGGGAAAAGTTCCTGGGTTACTGTTCGTAGTGGCGAGGGAGGTAAGCATTTTTTTAGTTGATAAAATTTGCAAAGTTTTTTAGATCTATTTCCAACTGTTGGTCTCTTAAGGTTCTTGTGTGTTGTTGAAGCTTAGAGCCAAAGGAACTGACTGATCACTGAGATGTTTATACATCGTGTATTGTTTTCAAATACAACTTCAACCGAACTAAATATCATTTATCCTTAACTTTCCTAAACTGTTCTCTCTAAAAATCACCATCTTAGTCAGACTATAGTCAAAATATTTCTTTGTAGCTCCTAAGTTCTACACTTCCTCGCAAACTATTTCAACCCTTCCTGGTGGTGAATCCGTTTCTGTTGCTTGGAAACCGCCCGAAATATACCATGGAATATTGCGTGGTTTCATTGTCAGAGCATATGATTTTGGCAACTTGTCTTTTGGTCCAGTTGAGAAAATATTGAATGAGATCAGTGTCCTAAATACTACATTAAATGGTTTACGACCTTTTACTTTCTATGATGTTAGAATAGCTGCATTTACCAACGGAGGCGTGGGAGAAAGTCCTGGTGTGAGAATTCTCACAATGGAATCAGGTAATGTATTTCGTCTTTTTGAAGATACTGACACGGCAATCTTGTACAACAGTTTGTTTATATTGATAATGTTTGTTCTATTTATAATTGAGGATTTAACGGCAGATAAATGTGTATAAATGGTACTGATGCCTACATAAATATTTAATTTTATTGCTGATGTAATGTTTTTGTAGTCCCTCAAGAAGTTCAAGCCCCTGATGCTCAACGTTATCCATATTCACTCCTGATATCCTGGAGAATCCCTCGTAGACCCAACGGCATCATTTTGAATTATAACTTGACTGTAAACAACACCGTTGTGTACAGCGGTCTCAATAAAACATTTAATCTTACCGGACTTGCCGTGTATACACGTCATGTAATTGAACTGACTGCTTGCACGAAAATTGGTTGTGCCAAAAGTATGCCTGTGATCATTTTTACAGCGGAGCTTCCCCCTCAAGGTGTAAATCCACCTGGTGTTCGAATCCTTGGTGCGAAACGTGCCGAAGTCACGTGGAAGGAACCACTCATCAAAAATGGAAAAATACTGGGTTACCAAATTATTGTCAATGCAATAAGTCGACCAACTTTGCGTACGATTGTTTTGAATGCTACCGCTGATCAACGCTTGGCTGAAATTTTCAACCTTACCGCAGGCGTGTTGTATTCTTTCCGACTCAAAACCATCAATGGAGGCGGAGCCACTACAAGTTCAGCAACTTTTCGAAGAACTAAAGAGAGTAGTCCAGAAAATATTCCAGCTCCTAAAATACGTGGTCTCAGCCCATACAGCATTATTGTAACTATACTCGACCCAGGACTTCCAAATGGTAATATCACTCGTTACGAACTTTATAAAGTCGTTAGTCCTGCCGAACATCTCGTACTCAATGGAACTGAGAAAGTCTATAACGAAAGTGGACTAGAACCTTACACGCAGTATTATTTCCGGTCTAAAATATGTACTGCAATTGGCTGTGGAAGTAGCGTGGTTGGTAACGGGTTTACTTTAGAAGCTGCACCCAACGGAAGTGTTATCTTAAATGTGTCTTTGTTAAACTCGACCACTGCGCATGCCTTTTGGAGTTCAGTCCATTCTCCGAATGGTATTTTATATTACAACTTGGTGGTCCAAGGTTTGTTCTTGATACCAGGCTCATCAGGCTACCACGTGGAAAACGACACTCGAATGGTGGCTTGGGTTCAACATCCTGCTGGTGAATTGACTTACACTGGTCTTTTACCTTATACATCGTTTACTTTTCAAATTAATGCGTCCAATTCCGTCGGATTTCTCCTGAGTAACGTTGTCCTGCGAAAGACTGCACAAGGAGGTCAGTAAGCCTTGTAAACCTTGACTACGGCTAAATCTTTTCAGAGGCGTTGAAAGCAGGGGGGGAGGCTCCTTCTAATTTTAATATGCGCAATGCCCCTCCGCTTAACATTTGATAGATATATGTACACATATATTTAACTATGTGCATCCCTCTTTTTGTTGTTCTTTTGATGCCCGTTGACTTGATTCATGTCATACAAGTGGACACTTTCTCTATCGCTCTTTAAACAAGAGTTGAAGTGCATGTTAACAATCCAGTATGTTGCACGTATATGAGCATATTCTAAGATGGAGATGTTCACTTTATGTATACAATGGTAAACTGTATCTCTTTTATGAAAGATCTTGTGCGTAGGATAAGTTTTTGAAAAGTACGAGACCATCAAATGTCGTTTACCTGAAAGCTACTTATTTTTTGTGTTCGTTATATGACCGTAAAATTCATGCAAAATTACAGAAATATTTATCGTTTTCAGCTCCTATTGGTCTATTCCCTCCAAATGTAACAATTCTAAACTCCACAGCCGCTCAAGTCACATGGAAACCGCCTGCTCGTGAAAACGGTATTCTGTTGTATTATGAAATACGTCGACTTCATGTCAAATCTTTATCTGCGATAAAAAATTTCATAATAAATGCAAGTTCACCGCTGTCCTTGACAATGATTGACTTGTTACCTTACACGAAGTATAGATTCCAGGTTGCCGCTAGCAGCAAAGGCGGCAAAACATGGAGTGATGTTACTGAAGTGAGAACTTTTGAAGACGGTACGACTTATGTTTAATTTGTCGTAAGAATGTTCTTGTTAGAAGTCTTGCATGAAGGGTAATTACTCATTCATTCCTTCATTGGTTTAGTTGAGTGTGTTTGGTTTTATGAGTCTTGTGACTTTTTTTTTGTTTTAAAATGAGCCATATTAAATTTCCTTGAAGAACATTTCACAACTCATTGAGCTATTTGGAATTTGTTTTGTGAATTTGTCGTCCGATTGTTGTTTCGGATCAAAAAGAAAATATTCATCATACATTGGTAGAAAGAATTGTAAAAACTCACGGAATTATTTGATTGGGGAAATTTATTGTCGATTTCATCTGTAGTAACATTAAATCAACAAGAGATGATCTATATCTCTTGAGATGATCTATATCTGTATGACGAACAGATTAGAAATAATAAAGTGGTCAATGTAAAGTTATAATATGTATAGTTCAGGTTTCCTCTTGTGTTGACGATCAATGAGAGAGGATATTATACTGCATCAACGTCAATGAAAAGTTTATTTCGATTTCTTCTAAACATTTGTAAGAATCATTAAGATAAAGTTAATACATTCAGATATTTTCGTCTCTTATAGTGCCCGGACAGTTAGATCCGCCCACCATTCTACAGGTGGACTCACGCAGCTTGTTGGTGAACTGGGACGAAGTTAGCGAGCCAAATGGCATCATCTTACATTATATCCTTTATAGAAACATAACACATGTCACATATGTTGCAAGCAATATCACAAGTTGGAGTGTCATTGGATTGGAACCTTTTACCGTCTACATTTTCAGTGTGTCTGTATGTACAAGAGTTGGGTGTAGCAACAGTTCTCTATCTTCCCCCGTTAGGACTTTAGAAGATGGTAAGAATAATACGTTACTCTTCTGTTATGGTACTCTATTTGAAATATTCTTATGTTTATAGTACCTGAAGGACAATCTTCACCAGTCCTCACGCATGCCTCCGGGCACTTGATTATGATCTCGTGGTCGGAGCCCACGATCTCTAATGGTGTTGTATCTGAATACCAGATTCAAAGGAGATCTGATCTGGATATCTCAAATATAAGCTCAGTGGCTCGTATTTCTGCCAACTCTAGTACCCGGTACTTGGACAATGGTGTGGTACCATGTGTGAGGTACTATTATCGTGTCATTGCATTTACAAAGGCGGGCGGAGGGACTCCTAGCCCTTGGAGTAACATCACTACACGCGAAGGAGGTAATGAACTGACATTATATAAATCAGTGCTTAGAATAATTAAGTTTAATGGACACATCAGCCACAAGTGGGAAATAATAATTTTCTTTAGAAAAGTGTGTTAAAATTGATTTGTTAAATGGTCGTTTGAAATGTATTGTATTAATGAACATATTTCAAAGTGTTTTATTAGTGTTTTGGTAGGTTTATTAAACATTAAACTGCTGAGTTAAATTACATCGATATCACAAAGATAAACGATGATAAAATTTATCTTTTGAAGTAATTTGTCTTTGTGGATATGTTACTACAACTAAGGATAAAGATCTTTGTGGATATGTTACTACAACTAAGGATAAAGGTATGAGCAGCGGGATTTTTTCCACTGTCAACATTAATTACTTTTTTAGCTCCAGAATATATAGCACCACCTGTCGTCAAAACTCTCAACTCGAGTGCCATAGAGGTCACGTGGTCTGAAGCTCGTTCCCAGTGCATCATGTCTCACTATATAGTGCGCGTATTGGAGGACCAAAGAAACCATACCATTTTGCCGGCAAGTGGTCCGTTTTATTATGTAGTCAGCGGTCTGTTACCGTACAAAGTATATAGCGTGGTTGCCATTGGTTGCACTGCTACCGCTTGTCGAAATAGCTTGTCGAGTAAAGTAAGGACGGGACCTGGGCCTCCAAGCGAGCAATCTCCTCCAACAGCAACTCCTCTGACATCCACCAGCGTTCGTGTGACATGGATTCCCCCTGCAATTCCTGGTGGTCGTATCATAAATTTTGTGCTATATCGAAGAACTTTAGATGAACCATTAGCGATGAATTTCACTGTCACCCCTTACGTTGAAGTGTATTCTGGTATTGTGCGCAGCTTTGTTGACAGGAACCTGGGGATATTTTCACTTCAACAGTACAAGGTATTGTCCATTGAACTTTGGAGTAAATGAACCCAGTTTGCTTCTTATACCGTAAATAATGCATATAAAATAACCTATTGCTTGCAATCAGCTGCTTACAGTCAATTATTTTACAGTTAAAATGCAAGTGAATTACAACATTTTCATGAAGATTGATAGGATGACGTGCAAGATTAACTATTTTGCAAATGCTAGAGTTTTATGCAATTGGACCTTGGTGTTAAGGTCAAAATTTTTTCATTGCATTACAAAGACGAAGTTGAGTCATGTTTTTTCATTATATACCTATCGTCACCATGACATCACATTGTTCGATAAGATTTGGAAAATGGTATTTTTTTGATGAGTTTGTGTCAACCAAATTTGGGTCCTCATATGTATATTGTTGTACTTACTAAATTGTCTGACTCGAAAATTAGTAATTATTACCGTGTTAAAAAATAATGTTCAATAAAATGTTCTCGTGCAATGTGATGTCATACAGAGAAGTAAATTCATAAAATTTTCATATGGGTTGTGCAATGGAATAGACTGTTTGGTAAAATTTTGTGCGATATTGAAACCACCTTTTATCTCCAAGGTCACTGTCGTAAACACTCATGGGAACGCTACAAGTGAGGGCTCTTTGCATTTTCGCACTGGGCCTGCACCCCCGCGAGCGGGTGTTGTACTGCGTGCGCAGGCTTTGAACCACACCAGTGTATTTCTCAACTGGACTTTACCAAACCTGAAGTTGTTATTGGGTTACGTTAAACGTTATGAAGTGAGATTCAAAAACATTGCATCAGACCTTGAGTTCACATACAACGATAATCTACCTGGCAACCTAAGAAATGTTGTTGTCTCGGCGTTGTTACCAAGCAACAATTATAGTTTTCAGGTTTGAACCAGTTGGTATCTTTTGAAACTGTCGTGTTTTGTGTTGGAACAAAAGATAGTATTGCAAATGAATAAGACTTGCTTTGGCTTAGAGTAGAATTGTATATGAGTTTGATCAGCCATGACAGCATGAGAACCCATGTTTACAGATCGTCATTCCAATCAAAATAATCATCGTCAAAAAACGTATGATTAGTGATGGTAGCTAAAATAAACTGATTATGTCGTGATGTCAGAAAGTACTTAGGAATGAAAAACAATATATTAGCCACTTGCAAGCAGAATCCTACATATCACCTCTCCCCTTGCCTGTGAGGTAGAACAAAATGTAATGCAGTTGCAATGCTTGCACGTTTTAGGTAATTTTAAATAATGGTGCTGGTACCAGTTCAAGTAATGAAGTAATAACAAGAACTTTGGATGGAGGTAATTTGTAAGCTACTTTGTTTTTTTTCAAACATTTTTTCTATGATCGTGTTATTTCTTATCTGTTACTTTTGCGTTTTATCATTCGCGATGAAGTAAGGATTGTGTTGAAGTGTCTGGAAATGTCAAAATAATTATTTTCTATTTTTTTTAGATGATCTTCAACAGTGCAATTCATTAATGGTTTTCTTCTTTTTTTTCAGTTCCAGAAGGTTTTGACCCCCCTCGTGTAAGGACAATCAACAGCACATCGATTGCAGTGTCTTGGTCACCTCCTAAAGTCCCCAATGGACGAATCATTGCATATCGAGTTTATGCGTAAGTATTGACTTCAAAATATGAGGCAATGGAGAGGTTATGTTAGGGACTGTGGAGAAAAATGGGAAAGGACACGGAAAGGGGACTGGTACAAAGAAAGTTCAGGAAAAGAAAGGGAGAAAAGATAAGAGAAAGATATTAATTAGAGCAGGGAAAGGCCCAAAACGACCATAGCAATAGAGGACGGGAAGGAGGAACGACCATAGCAATAGAGGACGGGAAGGAGGAACGACCATAGCAATAGAGGATGGGAAGGAGGAACGACCATAGCAATAGAGGATGGGAAGGAGGAACGACCATAGCAATAGAGGATGGGAAGGAGGATAGCTAATTGCAGAATGCGTATTGATGGAAAGTGCTCATTAAACTCACGTTCCAACACTTATTATTCATTTAGGAACAAGAAAAGAGTGGGAAGCACATTGTCTTTAAGTTACAACATCTCATCATTGATTCCTTATACTGAATATATAATACAGGTAAACCACTGGGGCCGGTTGCACGAAGCCTGGATAGCGTTATCTATTGGATGGTGAAAATTTTCAAAAGTGTAAAAAGGGTGTTTATATTTTTCTTTCGACAAAGAATTTTGTAATCTTTGAAACAATTTTTTATATCAGTGATTACACAGTTCATTTTTTTTCTAATAAGAAATTTATGAACGTTCAGAAAAATTTGCTATCCAGTGGATAACGCTATCCAGGCTTCGAGCAACCGTCCTCTTGACTCTTAATTAGACTTTATTAGTCTTGTAATTAAGCAAGATGATACAAATTAAGTAACGTTTAACTGGTAGTTAAGCAGTGATTATCGATCACAGCGTGGACAAATAAATATATTGATTGATTGGTAGACATTGTCTTTACATTATTACACGCAACATCATTATGTAACATTTATTGTTATATTACTTATGTAAAATGACATTTTTGAATAGGTGGAAGTGTGTACTGTTTACACTTGTGTACTCAGTAGTTCGAACAGCGCAAAGACATTACCCTCGAGTATGTTGTGAATTGTTATCATGAAAGTTTAATCTGTTTGTTCTACATTGTCTTGATTTTTTCTCTTATATCTCTTATATCAATTACAGCTCCTAAATTTCTTGCCGCTCCCATACTGTCCCCCGACAGGCGAAGTATGTTTGTTTCATGGGGTGAGTTGAAGCTTTTAGCGGATTGAGTTAAAGTAACCATGTTTCTGATTGTGTGTGTTAATTTGCCTGATAGAGCTTATTTTCGATCAGTGAATGACTACTTTAGCCTAGTTAGCGCTGAGGAAACTGTTATAGAAGTGTATTTAATTTATCACTGCAACAAATCTCGTGTTTTGTGGTTATATTCTTTGTTTTTTATTAATTCAGTATATTAAATATTTCTTAGACCCTCCAAAGCAACCCAATGGCGAAATACTTCAATATATTTTATTTAAAAGGAAGCCTACAATTTGCCCAACAAGGTTTGCTGTTCCATATTACTTATTCACATTGATGTCTTTAATGTTTAGGTTTATATATTACGTTATTTTTGGACTAGGATATATGCTCTCGTCGATAGGATGTTATTGGTTGACGTATTCCACTATATGAAACAAGAGTTTGTTTTTTTTCAGACCGCCACCAGTGAAACTATGCACATATATTGAATGTCCGCTGGCTCAAGACCTTTGTGGAACGTCATGTTTTGACCCAAGAACTAAGGTAGCTGCTTTGACATGAAAAGTTTATATTAATTATACCTAACTGCTTATCACTTGCACAATACAGGAATGCTGTAATGGAGTGTTATATGATAGAGACATCTCTAAGACTTGTTGTGATGATAAATACTCAAGAAGACAGTTCTCTGATGACGTATGTTGCCAAGGTCGTTTTTACAGAAAGTCAGTTAATCACCAGTGTTGCTATGGACAATATCGACTTGTATTACAAGGTCAGATTTGCTGCCAAGATAAACGAGGTGTTGTCAATGTTGGCAATGGCAACGAGTGTTGCCATGGTACACCCTATGTCAAGAACCTTATGTACTGTGTATGTGGAGGGTTGTATAGGGATGATACGAGAAAATGTTGCGGTGGTAAGGTAGTAGCCAAAGTCCAAACGTGTTGTGGAGGTAACGAGAAAGGCATAACGTATAACTACGATCCTAAAAAGAAATGTTGTGGCACTAGCTATGTGTTTAACTCAAGTCTATGTTGTCAGTCTTTCACTGGATCTTGGAAGGTATTGTGAATGTTGTTTACGGGGGGTTTATCATATATTTCGAGAGTATTGTTTATCAAGTCCATCATCTTGACAGAGTTTCATAATTTATATATTTTCCGCTGTCATCATAAGATAGAAATGCATTAAAAGTTTACGTGTTGTCATCGATTGTTATGTAATCTAGTCTGCATGTATTTTTTAGATCTATAATTACACATCTGTGAGGGAGAGATTGGATTCGCGTCACTTGTGTTGCGGTTCCAATCGTATTTCCGCTGGCCTCAAGTGCTGCAATGGTCGCGGGTTCAATGATAGTCTACAGGTTTGTGCAGACAATGATAGTTGTGGCAATGGCACTGTGTGTCAGAAATCGGCGCTTGGTACAGCCAAGTGTGATCGTTGTGACTTTAGCAGCTCGTTGCATTGTGGATATACTAAGGGACATTACAGTCCCATCCCAACTACCCCACCTCAACAAAACTGTGGTGTCTTTAAAGTAGTACTATCAGGAAATGCAACATTACGTCATTACGCTGACGTCAACCTCGAGCCATTCACTAACTACGAATACTACGTTATTGTGGTGAATACTGAAGGAAATGTATCCAGTTCTCGAGCTATCAATAACACCTTAATGGACGCTCCCGAAGGCTTGAAGCCTCCAATTGTAATTGTTCGCTCAGCTAGATCTGTTGAAATCACAATAACACGACCCGATAAGCCAAATGGTATAATATCAGTGTATATTATTACGAGAATCAATGTGAATACAAGTGTCCAAACTCGAGTTCATCGTGGACTTAATCTTTCCTACGTTGATAGAGACGTGTTACCCGTTACTGAGTATTTATACATCCTGGAAGTTTGCACTACCCGTTGTGCTAACATCACTTCAAGACGGGTATATACGAGAGAATCAACACCGGAGAATGTGTATCCTCCGATTTTAACCGCACTAACAGCGTACAGTGTTGAGATTCGGTGGCAGAAACCAGGTCAACCGAATGGTGTAATAACTGGTTATAGGATTGGTAGAATCAATGAGACGGGACATGTTGTGCAAGAGTGGCCGGGTTACAATATGATATTTGTGGATAATTGTTCTGATATACGTCCTTATACAAACTATACATACGTTATTACTGCATGTACTATAGTTGGGTGTAGCACTGGACCTCGTGGGTTTGTAAGAACGCTTGAAGCTCCACCTGAAAGGGTAGCCTCTCCAAAGTTACTGGTTCGCAGCTCCCGTACTATCGAGGTAAATTGGATGAAGCCAGAATCACCCAATGGACATATTGTCTGGTATACTGTTTATCGTAATTTTATTGCAGTGTGCAACACTAGTGGAGATTGTCAATTTGAAACACCGTCTTATGGTGAATACCGCTTCATTGACCGCAGGCTTGTTCCTCACACACGATACAGTTATTTGATCGAGGCAAGTACACATGCGGGTAGTACGAACGGAAGTGTAGCGTTTGCATGGACTCCACAAGATTCTCCTGAAGGAATACCATCACCCACGCTTATCCCACAAACTTCATCAAGCATCCTCGTGAAATGGTCAATTCCTACAAATCCGAATGGTTTGATTATGAACTACAGTGTGATTCAAGACACCAGCATTGAGCATCTTGCTGGGAAAAATCTCCGTCTAATTGTGTCGAGATTAAATCCTTTTACCTTTTATTATTTTCAAATTAAAGCATGCACTTTAAAAGGATGTGGAGTTGGAAATCGTAGCGTAGCCCGAACATTAGAAAGTGCGCCTAGTGGCCAGTCTCCTCCCTCTTTGGTTGCACTTAGCGATTCTGTTGTCAGGGTGTCATGGCGTAAACCAAGGAAAAGCAATGGTATTATCATCAAATATGAAGTGAAGCGTCGGTTACAGTTGTCTGTTCCTGTATTAGTGTTTATATCCGAAACTCCTTTCGTTTGGCAAACTTTGGACACTGAACTTCTGCCTTACCGTAATTACAGCTACAGTATACGGACGTTTAATGGTGCCGGGAATGTAAGAAGCTCCTGGGCGACAATTCGCACGCATGAAGGTGCCCCGTCGGGGGTTTTTGCTCCTACTATTCACGTACTAAATGCAACTGCTGTATCGGCTTCTTGGAGCAAACCTCGTGAGCCTAATGGCATTGTTATTCTTTACGAACTGTGGTCTCGGAATTCAGACACCCAAGGCAATCGTGTTTTATTGATCAGTAGCCCAACACCAGGACAAAATGTGACCGCTGGAGGATTGAATCCCAGTAGCAATTACGAGTTCCGGCTGGAGGTGAGTACCGTTGTAGGGACTGGGCACAGCGACTGGATACTGGCTGAAACCTTGGAAGCTCCTCCAAGTGGTTTGAGCCCTTTGATTGCTCACAAATCTGGTAACGGCCGTGAACTGATGCTGTCCTGGGACGAGCCTAGTCAACCTAATGGTGTAATTACAAATTACATATTGTTCTCCAATAACTATAGAGTGTATTATGGAAATTTGACCACATTTATATTGCGAAATCTGCAACCTTTTACGGCTTATACTTTACAGCTTCAAGCTTGTACTTCTGCGGGTTGCACTAAAGGAAATATTCAGATCATCACAACTGCTGAGATACCTCCAGACTTATTACAGGCTCCGTTGTTTTTAGCTGTAAATAGCACGACTGTTACATTGCAATGGCAAACTCCTGCTCTCCCGAACGGTATAATTATTCTATATCAAGTACTGAGGATGAACGTTGTTGTTTATAACAGCAGTAATGTTAATGCTACTTCCTACATAGACACTGATGTTCAACCTTACACTACGTATCACTATAAGATACGAGCTTTCAACTCTGCAGGCTCAACAGTATCAAAAACATCTCCAGTTACGACCAGCCAAGCGGCACCAGAGCAGTTAAACTCTCCAGTAATAGAAAAGGTGACTGCGACTGAAATCGAAATCTCGTGGTCTCCCCCCGGAAAGCCGAATGGAATCATTAACTCCTACACTTTGCGTCGCAACAAAACCGTCCTCAACCATTGGGGTTATAAAATATTTCGTTACAGAGACATGTCTGTTATGCCTGATACAATATATGGTTACTCATTGACCATTTGTACGGGGGGTGGTTGCGCTAATAGTGAGACAACCATAATTAAGTCAGGTGAAGGGCGACCTGGAGCCGTACGTGCACCTATTTTGATTGTTCTTTCTGCATATGCTATTCGGGTTTCTTGGCAACCACCAGTTATATCCAACGGTATCGTTACGCATTATGAGGTGTACAAGGGTAACGTCTTAGTATACAATGGCACACGTAGATGGCATGTTGTATCAAATTTACAACCTTACACATTATACATGTTTTACATTGGCGCATGTACTAAGTCCGGTTGTACCAATGGAACGTCTAGTGAGGCGAGAACACATGAAGATTCTCCTCAAAACCTCGACGCTCCTACTTATCGTACATTTGGAGCGAGGATACTGGAGGTGAGATGGTCTCCACCACGAATACCGAATGGCATAATTTTGTATTACACACTTCATCGTAATGGCAGTTTGCTATACAATGGTTCTGATTTAAGTTTTAAGGACGATAACATTCAACCATTTACTTTCTATTCATATCAAGTGTCAGCATTTAACTCGAAGGGATTTATCTCTAGCCCAGTCCTTCATACAGATCGCACATCACCAGGTAGGCCCGAGAATGTATCCACTCCTGTTGTGACCGCCCTAAGTGGGACAGAGATACGAATCGCGTGGAATGCGCCTATCAAACCAAATGGTGTTATCAGGGAATACTTGGTGTTATACAACAATATTGTGGTCAGCGTTGGTAAGAATATGGCATACATTGCGCGTAATTTGAAGTACTTCACTGTTTACTCTTTCCGTATCAGAGCCTGCACAGCTTATTTGTCATGTGGTGATAGTGACGTTGCCTCCACAAGAACCAAGGAGGGGACTCCCCTAGGACAATTCCCGCCATCTATTCCACCGTTAAACGTGACTGCTCGATCTGTACTGGTGACCTGGACGCAACCTTTACAGCCAAATGGATTAATTATACAATACGCAATTCACCGTAGCAAAGACGATGGAGTAGCGTTCTCCGAGGTTTTCAAAGGTCTGTCGTTCAGTTTTACCGACACAGCTCTGTTACCTTATACACGATATCAATATAGAGCTAGTGCCATGAACAGCGTAGGCACGGTAACTGGTGATTGGACGTCTGTCAGAACCCTCAGTGCTCCCCCTGAACAAGTTTATCCACCACAAATCGTTACAAGGAATGAAACAAGTCTAACTGTAGCCATTAAACCTCCTGCACAACCAAATGGTGACATACTTAATTATGTTTTGGAGGTAAACAATAAGTCCGTATCGGCAGGTATTCATCTTGATCGCATTGTTGGAGGTCTTGAGCCTTTTACGGAGTTTTTCCTGCGCGTTCTTGTTTGCAATGTCGCGGGTTGTACTCGCAGTGAGGTTGCGCAAGCAAAAACGGATTCAGGTCAACCAAGTATGGTGAACAAGATGTCTTTTGGTGAGATAACCGCGAACAGTATTGAAGCTATTTGGATGGCTCCTGTGAAACCTTTTGGAATCATAAGAAGGTAAAATCATCAAATGTATTGGTATTGATAATTTGCAAAACGACAAAATAACTTTTCACAAAATTTCTTCATCTGTTTTGAGAACATTCCTTTTGCGTTACAGCTATAGAGACATGACAATACTCCTTTGTTAATATGATTAACCATCTGATCTTTACCTGATGTGCCAGTAAATAGAAATATCGAAATCTCTTTTTGTGTTTTTTTTTAGATACGTTGTCATGTACAAATTTGTCTGCTCTGATCATTGCATAAGAAAACGGACGGTTACAGAGCCAAGTGTTGACGTTGGCCTAAACACAAGTTACGTCATCACTAACTTGCAACCGTATTCGTTATACGAAATCATCATTCGTATTTACAACGAGAAGTATTCAGCTGACTCGCGTCCTCTTAGGAAACGTACAGGACCGTCAGGTATGTATTAGGATAAAGTAGGTTTGAATTTTATACATGTTAGAAATAAGAAACTGACGTTTCTATTCGTTGATATTGCTCCCTTTGATATTTCAGATCCTATTTATGTTCGATTGCCAAATGTCAACAGAACCGATAATAATGTCGTAATAGATTGGAGTCTGTCCTTCACACTGAACGGTCCATTGTATGAGTACACACTACTTGAAAATGATTTTTTAATATTTCGAGGTAGCAGTACAAACAGTGGTCTGTTGCCGGGAAGAACGGAAAATGGTACGTTTTCAAGCTGTTCTTTCATTCTCCTAATCTTCTCCTTTGGAAGACTTTATATACTTTGATTTGAGAGTGATTTTCTGTCTTTTCTTAACCGTTTAGAATATATTTACATCGTATCGGCGACAACGACAGTAAATGAAGAAAGACGAACTGTGAAGTCAGTTCCGTTTACCTATCTTGGAGGTTAGTAATATGATTTGTAATTCAGATAAATGTATTTACAACTGAAAGATGCTGTTGAGATGATATTTTTAGTGCAAAGGAGCTAGGCAACTCTGTCTCGATAAAAAAATCTTGCAACCCGCTGTTACTAAAGAACACTGTGCTGCATTTTCTTTGAATGCAAGGAAATCCAGTTGATTGATATAAACTCATTAGTTGGTCGAGTGAACTGCAAGTACTCATTCATGTATTATTGGCATGTTGTCCGTCTTCTTCAGTTTGTTTCAACTAATGCATTTTCAAACTCGTTACCTCAATTACCGTTATCGGCTTGCAAGGCCCTACCATGCTTAAACCATGCAAAACACAACAATAGACAATATAATGTTAGACATAAAGAAGCTTGCTCACATGTAGACTATGGACAACGGGACAACAAGTTGTTGTTTAGACTATATAGTTTGTGACAGGTTTTATTAAAAATGTTATTTTGCCATAAAGTCAATGGATGTTCGCCTTGCCTAATGACACATCGATGAAAATTAAATGGTAGTTATGGTGTAATGAAATAAATGTATGAAGCATTTTATCGTTGATTAAAATCACGAGTGAAAAGGCAGTGTTTTTTTAAGCTTTGCACTATCCTTCGATCCCTTGTTGTTTAATATAATATGGTTAAGTTTTTTCATATGACGCTAAATAAATAAACACGTAGTCAATAAATCGTATCTAATGATAGCTATGTTTTCAAACATTTACTTGAACCAATTGATATAGTTAAAATTCTCCTGGTATTTTCAGTTTTATCTCTACGACTAACTGTATGTTTGAATGACTTTAGTAACATCGAGTCGACAGAATGGTAACCAGAAAAACGATGCGTGGTACACGACTGTCTGGTTTATAGCCGTGATCGCAGTTCTTTTGATTCTCGCTGTATTCGCTGTTGTTGCTCTGTGTCTTAGAAGGACTACAGATGATAGAAAAGTATTCATAAGAGATAGAGATCCCCTACCTGTGCGCCCCAAGTCACGCTCAACAGTTGAATCAGATGGCAGTACATATACACTAAGCGAAGCACGGTTTAATCTTGGAATGGTAAGTTTTGGCATGCATTGTGAAGCAGGAAAGTAAGATAAGATGGTTTATGCTCCTCTGTTTGTTAAAATTGGGACGTATTGGAACAGCGGAATAATTTCGGTCTGAAGAATTTTTTTATCTGGAATAGATAAAAAATTGAAAAATCTAGAAAAAATTACCTGTTTTTTACTATGTATTGTAAACCAAAGGAAACGTATAAATGAAAATTCGTTGTTTCATTACTTTGATATCGACATGTTTGAGGAAAGTAGAGAGTTATATAGAATACATTGATAGATATGGCACAATGGTAATTTACAACCTATGAGAAACAGTAATATGTAGAAATAGCAAATTTACATACAGAAGGTGTTATACAGTTGTTTACAAGTTAGTTTGTGTCGCTTGTTTTTTTTTTGTATTTTAATATCGTGAGCAGTAATTTTCTTATGAAAGATTAGCAAGGATCGCCTTTTAATCTGATTTCAAATGAAAAAGTTCCATAGCTTGACAGTCGTACATGAAATTATTTTCACTGATGATGACCCGGGATCAAGTTTGAAAGAAGGGTGTAGGGAGTCAGCGTAGAACCTGAATATATACTCTACATATTGGACCCTGAAATATATTTAATAATTTGTTTATTTAACGCATCTAACTTGTTCTTACAGAGTAACGCATTGATTGCATTCGGTTATTTTAGTTGGACTTGAACGATGGCAGAGCTAGTCATGCCTCTACTTATGCTGGAGATTCTGTAAAGCTGAATTATGAACCAGACGAAAGTGTGGATTGGGAAGGTTATGATGGCAATGGATTTTATGCATACAATGGAAAGGTAAGGAGAAAGTCAAGTTCTGTAAAGTGACATACTGCGAAAGTTTCATGTTGAACTTAATATTTGGGAAAACAAAGAAAACAATTTTTGAAATTTTCATACCGTACAATTTCTTGCAAACTCATCATCAAACTTAAATCAGACATTGTCTTGTTTCTTTTTTCAAATATTCAGCTCAACCCGCCCCTCTTCTTCTGAAGGGGGGTGGAAGGCTCATATTCACATATGCATGATAAAATACAGAGTTACGTTCCATTTATATTCATTGTTTTGAACGGATTATAACATTCTTGTATGAATATGACCCCACCCTCCCCCCTCCGCAATTGTCGACTTTCCTACTTCTATGTTTCGACTAAAATTAGTGTGTGTTAATTGTTATAACACGAGCCCTTATCAATGATTGACTACATTACTACATTTTCCATCTTAGTTTGAAGAGGATCAGAACTGGACGGATAAAGAAGATGGCGATACCTTAAGATCATCGCGGTATCTTATTTTTTCTGACACGAGATTATGATGAGATTTCTTAAGGAGACCAACATGTCTCTTGTAATTATATTAGTCAAATATTTTTCTTTTTGCATTTTATATTATGGAGGAGGATGGAAAGCAGTTATTTTAATGATATCTATAATGTACATTTCAAGTGATATTAACAAATAATTACATAAACTTTTATTTTGCTTGAAAAAATCAGAATCATTGAGTTCTATAATAACTGGAGGGGAAACGTCAACAAAATTACTATAAATTATGCGTGGTCATATTGTCAAAGTCACGCGCTTTTTCACAATTGCGATTATATAAAATATCAATGCCAAGCACAAAAACTTTTAGAAATTTTATATTTAAAACATGCTGCAAACTTGTTTGGTATAGAGCTTATAGAGCTCAATGATCAGAATGTGATTGACTGCTGTCATATTGTAACGTGGGCGCTTTTTCCCGCGAAAATGACAATTTTAGATGCATCACAAAATGGCGATTTTTTTGTGTATTTCAAAGATTCTCATGTTGTTGTTTATTCATTTATTTGACCTGCTTTTAAGCAAGGAAACCCACGTTTTTATCGGCAGTAAAAAGGTAGGAACGTTTTTCATCGTTTTCATAACGTTTTGAAAATTGTTTGAAAAAATAATTTAAAATATTTTCGTTTTTTTAGCATGAATCGTTTGTACACAATGCCAAAGAAACGTATTACCTGGATAGAAATGAAACTATGACGGTATTTGATATGATATTTTACTATTTTTTTATTGTTTTTAGCTAGTTCAAACCGTTAGTGGTTTTATTTTCATTTACTACAGGTTTGGGCAAAGATTGTTCCATTCCCTTGGCAAGACAACAGATTGGTCGTAAGTTAAATATCAAAGAAATTTACGAAATTTTCAGTTTTCAGTGATTGCATGTATGAATTTTTTAGCCTGGAGTATCTGATCCTGAAATGCTCGAATTTAATATGTCGTGTATTGAGGAAGTTGTTATGCCTGGAGTTGTTTCTCGAAATTTGGTGAGCATTATGATTTAAACTTTATACGAAATACTTTACGAACAGATACAGCGTATTCTGCTGACGTCATAGCCGCCATTTTGGGGTACGAATTGAAAATGATTTTAATGTACTTTCAAACATGGCTGCTTTTTGTATTGTTTAGTTGATCCTTGGGGAACGAGCGAAGACGCTCTATCGCCTGTTGTTCTGTAATATTTAGCATTACAAATTTCATGTGTAACAATACATTTTTCTTATATTTGCAATATCAATGATACCATGTATAAGCTCCCTCTAGACTAAAATACGTATTAGTATTTTACGGCTGCATAAGTTTATTGGTTGAGAGCAATCTTAAAACGAATCTATGAACTTCTTTAATCATCCGTAGCCATTTTTTTTGCACAACCACAACTCATTGAACTAAAATACATGGAAGGAAATAATTGAAGCCAAATCTTACTCCAGACACGCGAGACTTTACCCCAGACACGCGTGTTTAGTGTTTCGAAATTCTCTCGCGAAGTGAAAACTGATTACTACACACGCGTGTCTGGGGTAAAATCACGGCTTCAAAAAATTATTAGTGTTTTGTATTGCAGGTTGCGTTCCATGTATTTCAGTTCAGTGCCACAACTATCTTGATCACATGATTTTATTTCAACATAAAATATATTTTCCATTTATGTAGACAGTAGATATCGCGCAGGTACAAAGAAAGGAAAAGAATAGGTTAGAGCATAATGACTTGACTATGTTGCTTGGATCTCTTGTTTACTTAGCTTCGAACTCAGTTCGAAAGCTAAAACAATGTTAAAATAATACATTGATACAATAGAGCAGAAGTGGAACATTGACATGTTTTACATGTGAAGTTTGCTGAATCGACCGAAGATGTAGTTTTTAAGCGCTTTTGAAAAACTGTTTCATTCAGGAATTGCGAATGATAATAATTTCATCTTTGTAACGTAACTTAGCATTCTAAGTATACAAACATGTGCTAAAAGTATCATAAAGTGTTTCAAATTTGTTTGCGTTCATTTTAAAACAAGTGATTGAGATTTTGATTTTTTAGTACAAGCAATTACAAAACAGGAAATGCAATATTACGTATTGAGGTCTTTGAAATGACCAATCATGAACCGTTATTATATATGGTAAGTAATACTGGATAGCTTTGTGAACTCTTCAACGTCATGTTCCGTCGCATGATTTAATTCTGTAGGAAACGCATGTAGTGGTTGGTTGTCCTCCCACTAGAATTTTGACGGTGCAAAGGTACATTTCTTATTGAAGTGACTAAGATATGAAGCATTTTTTAAATTAAATGTAGATATGATCTTCGCACTTTGTTGGACAATTTAAGCAATTGTCTCATGAACCTGAAAAATTCATATGAAGCATTTTTTGTTGATCATTATTATTTGCATTGCTTCCAGGTCAACTGAACAAAACTGTCCATCATTTGAGAAGTACGAAATCATCATACCAAGGTGTGTAGAATTTCATAGTAAGGTTCGTTTGTATACTTCTACTGTCCCTCGCAGAAATAAACATGGGAAATAATCTTGTTTAAAAAATGTCTGGGGCCGGTTGTGCAAAGCTTGGATAACGTTATCCATTGGTTGTAAATGATGATCGTCCAGGTTAATAACCTGATGATGATCGTCCATTTACAAACATATAACGATACTCCCGGGTTCAAACCATTTACTTTGTTATCCATTGGATAGCAAGTTTTTTTAACGGTTGAAAAAGGAAAAGTATAAGGTTTGACCTGAGTAATCACTGAAATAAAATATTGCTTCTAAAATTACAAAATTTCTTTGTCGCAACGAAAACATAAACACCTTTAAACAAGTTTGAAAATTTTACTATCCAATGGATAACGCTATCCAAGCTTCGTGCAATCGGCCCCCGAATGTAAAAAACTTACATTTAATTAAAAAATATGATTGTTTTATCAAATTGTTCTTTGAGTTAGTGTTATGATTCTGTTTTGTTAAACAGCCGTCACTATCGAACTCGGTTCACGACGCCAATAATTTATGGTGCTGCATCAAAGGTGCGTTTTATTTATAACGTTTGAACTTTGACGTTTATCAGTTTAGTCGAGAAAACAAGCAAGATCAGCATATTCAGTTAAGGGTTGAGTTGTGTTTTATGTAGAGTTAGCCGGCATGTTTTTGTTAAAGTTTTCTTCAAAAAATAAGCAAGGAAAACTAAGATTATTGTCCAATCTTATCTTGGTGTGAGGCATCTCTCTCTCTCTCATAAACGGCTCGTTTCTAATGGACTCCTCTCAAATTACCATTATCATAATTAAGATTTAAAAGCTCAACACAAAGTTTGAAATAGTTCCTTATCGTCGTCAAGTGTCGACCATTTCTTTGGGATATCTTGTTTGCACTTATGGAGACGAACTTTTTAGACTATGGTTGTAAAAAATGGTGTGGTAGAAATGTGTGTTAATATGGGCGTAAACTTGCTTCATTTTTGTATAGTATGAATGAAAACCTAGTTTGAATGTATATTTTGTACGTATAATATTTAATATAACATTCTATCTTGATGTTTAGATTTTGCCATATGACTTTAAAACTCTTGGCTGCCCAATTTTGGCTAATTATTATGAACTTTTCAAACCAAAACTACAGATGTGCGTACAATCGATGTTACATTATCTTTTTGTATCAGACCCTGGCCTGGGATCTGGTTTAAGAAATATGACGTCACTATTTGTATAGTTATGATAATGGACTGATGCTGAGAAACATGACGTCAAGTTACGTGCTATTAGAGTTAAATGGTAGAACAGACTACACTTATTACGCAAGCATGGCTGAGGTGAGGCTTGCATATCTTTTGCTTTGTTTTCAGTTTCATTGATATGAATAAAGAAGGTTATAAGATGTTTCACAGTCAATTTGTGTACTTGTGAGGCTTATCTATCCAATTAAAGGTTTAAAAAATATAAGCCAGCTCGTTAATAATTTCAATAAAAATATAATTCACCTAGTCAGCAGCTAAGCACTTGCTCAACTTTTAAAATGAGTTCTTTCATTTGCGAGGTTTGCTTTCAATGCAAATAAATTCCAGTGGTAAGCACGACAGTCTTTATTTTTAATAAAGATAAAAGCCACCCTAATTAAGAGGGGAGCACTACACCCTAGATAAGAGGGGAGCACTACACCCTAGATAAGAGGGGAGCACTACACCCTAGTTAAGAGGGGAGCACGACAAGTCTGTAACTAGGACTTCATTTTTTCACCTATTTTTGGAAAACATTGTTTACTCACTGTTTAGGAAAGTAAAATGTTTGCAGAGTTTGCAGCTGTTTGTGCCACTCCCAATTCACGAACTTCTCAGCAAAGTTGTAGTCATTGTGATTTTAAAAATTGTTGAATGTACTATATTTTTATTAAGGCTGGTTGTCTACGTAAAGCACAGACTTACCAACTGATGATCGATGATAATCTGAATAAATCTAATCTATCTCTCGTCTGGACATCAATGGTATTGACTATTATTTTCCACTTCCTTTGTTTCTAGACGTTGTATATGGAAGTCATTTTGGCTATTTTTACTGCTATTTTTATCGGCCATGATAGGGAATTTTTAAGCTTTCCAGCAGGTCTGTAGGGAAATGTTCAGTTTATGGCTGATGTTGGGTAGTCTTCATCAGGTATTAACTGGTATGGAGAGTATATCTTCTTCACCTACTATAGGGTGCGGGAATCATAAATGGTCTTACTGGTATGGAGAGGATATCTTCTTCACCTACTATAGGGTGCGGGAATCATAAATGATCTTACTGGTATGGAGAGGATATCTTCTTCACCTACTAAAGGGTGCGGGAATCATAAATGGTAACTGGTATGGAGAGGATATCTTCTTCACCTACTAAAGGGTGCGGGAATCATAAATGGTAACTGGTATGGAGAGGATATCTTCTTCACCTACTAAAGGGTGCGGGAATCATAAATGGTCTTACTGGCTGTTAAGTGATAACACAAATTATTTTCTGGAAGTTTCAAGAAAAGTAGTTTTGTAAGAAATGTTCAAGATTTTAGCGCCATATGTTACTCGAAATGCGATTTGTTTATGAATTAGAACAATTTTGTTTGAAAAGTCATTTTCTTATATATACAACTTCTGAAAAGGTTGTATTTTCGCAGAACTACGAGAGCTGTTTTGCATTTGATGATCTCGAAAACGCAAACTTGGAGGAGCGTTATGAAATCCTAAACGAAAGTGGAGTATCGTCCATAGTTTGGCAAAGTGAGGGCGTATTCGTTTTCCTAGCAACTGTAATAGATCCAGAATACAGGTTGGTAGCTAATTGGTTTGTGTCGTAGAATTTCCTTACAGTGATTGGAAGAATAATTTAGCAATTTTAATTTCGAGTAACGTAAGAGGATCGGCTCACAATTAGGTTTTTTTGATTTTAGTTTTTGTAACCTTTCAACAATGTTTGCTGTTTACGTGACTGGCCTGGAAAAAGAACGCAAAAGGCTTATTCCGTTTTTGGTATTGGGTACATCTGTATTTGGTTTGTTCGGTGTTTTGTTTCTTTTATATGTCACCACCAAATAATATTCTTCGTTGAAAAAGCAGCGTTTGATTTACTAACAATTTCGGCGCCTAAGACACAATATTGCTCGATATAGTGGAACATAGAATTGGTGAGTTTAATTTATAGATGCTTTGTTTTGGAGACGTATGATAAAAGAAAGTTAGTTCTGGTTTATGCGCGTCTGAAAACATTTATTTGTTCATTTTAAGATTTAAGTCCTTTAATCACTGGAATTTTTTAGTTGCCGCTTACATGAGCAAGTGTCCCGTTTAGGCGAGTGGACTCCCTTTGTAAATGTGTTGTATATTACTTTGACAGTTTAATTACATGGGCCATGGCAATCGAGTTGTCCCGCCTAGCCTGGACCCTGGTCGAGTTACTCGCTTAGGTGGGATCAAAATTCCTATGTAATTGCATTCTGTCGAGTTGGCTCGTCAAAGCGAGCCAAGAAATTTCATTCACGTATGCGTTTATTAGTTAGTTTAAATTGACATTGTTAGAGCGATGTATGCCAGAAAAATTGTTACCCAAAAGTTTGAATGGGATACCAAAATAATTAAAGATTTACTGAGTTCGGTATTAAGTCCTCAATAACCGAGCTCGAGGTCTTTATGGAGCAATATCGGACCGAGGTCTTTTTGTACAGACCGAGCCCGTAGGGAGAGATTTATACAAAAAGACAGAGGTCCGATATTTCTCAGTAAAGACCGAGAAAGCGAGGTTATTAAAAGGTTTAATATATGGCATTATTTGACCTGAAACGAAGCTTTGTTTCTTTCTCGTCTTTGCTGTTTTTTACGGGTTGACTTTCACTTTTCTAGTTTTTGTCATTAAAAAATAAATCGTTTCAAATTGTATCGTCTGGATAGTTAAACTGTTTTCCAAGTGTTTTTCCTTCGAATCACATTCGTAAATGGTTTTTTATTTCGTTTATTTTGCGTTTTGCTGTTTGCTTTACGAAGTTTGTTTACATTTGACTGTAAAATTACGCGTTTTGGACCGTCGTCGATTACGGGAAAATAATGGACCGGCAAAAATGTTTCTGAGCCAATCAAAGCGCGCCATTTTGCCGAAAGTGAAGCTTGCCATATAATAATAAAATATAAAACTTATATCGAGTTTAACAACGATAAACTATAGCCGTGAAGCAGTACGTGTGATTATGGCTCACAACTATTGAGATAATAAATTTAGTCCTACAAAGTTGACAAAACAGATACGCAACTAATTTTTCCTGACAAAATTTGCTCTCCCGTGCAGGTCAACACCTTTCATGTAATTGCAATTTTTAACTCGTCTCAATCTTACAATACATTATGAAGGGAAAACTGTGCTCTTTATTTAATTAAACATATTGTTTTATATTTTACCAATTACTATTTAAATTTCCAGTGAAACAACCTGCATGCACTAAATATACCAGATTTCTATAATGATAGTCGTAATGTCATTTGAAATGTCTTATGATTAGGACTGTTGCTGCCCAGGCCATACATTGATTTCTCGAATTAACACCCATTCTTGTTGGGATTGTACTTCTATCTTTATACAACGGACTTTCTTGAATGTTTTAAAATCAATGGCTAGTGTACCTCTGACAAATGATCCTAAAGATGTGTGGTAATGTAGGCAATTGTTTTTATCTGGCGTTGTGCCTAGTTTTAACCAGCCACTCTTTATTCTATCATTAATTGCTATGTTTCCTCCTGTCTCAACAATAACACCTTGCAGTAAAATTTCGTTTTGAAACATGATCACAATGTGGCAAGATGTCTTGTTATTACATGTGCCCCTGAAATACCTTGCACCTTTGTTGTATGCAAAGTCTATACTTGTTTGCATTTTTGGTATTAGATTAGTTTTTATCACAGCAGGGGGGTTATGTCCCAGATATTTTTGTGAGTATTTGTCAAAGTAGGCTTCATTTGTTTTTTGAGGCTTGCTTCTAAGGGATGATATGTCTCCATAATGCTCAAATAATGAAGCGACACGAAATCTCCAACGGCCTGCTTGTCCCTTAAGTTCCCGCCAATTATACTCCATCCAATCCACAGGCATCTCATCGTAAAATATATAATAAAATGTTGCAATTTCATTGAGGTCATAATTGTGATAGACTTTACCAATGTAGCCAAGCATTGAGGCATCAAGTGTGAACCATGTTTCTTTGTTTTCATAACTGTCAATAAAGTCCATAAGTTTTGGGTAATAATATGGTGAAGCTTTAATATCATCTTCCAGTTGTAAATGATACTTACTCAAACCATAACAATAACAAAAAAGGAAGGAGAAATCAATTACTTGTTTTGAACGCCATTTTACTCTTTTTTCATTGTCGTTGAATCTCCTTTTCAGTTTTTCAAACGAAGGATAGTAGGGTGGAAATACTTGTATAATATCCAAGGTGCCCTCATTAACAAGAGACATGTATTTCTGCTGTATTTTATTAGCAAGTTGAATTCGTTTTTGTTTACTTGAATCACCAAGTTGTAATACAATAAGAAATTTGGGTGTTATAGTTCCAACAGTTTGGTCCACAGTAAGACTACTTAGAGTGTCCATGAGATATACGTTTCCATTGTCACGAGTAATTGTTGAGATGCCAATGGTTAGAGTATCTGCAATGAAATATAATTGGGTTGATAAGGATGCCAAAAAGACTATATATATTTGTATTTATGGGTCAACTTACATTCTTTATCAGATGATCGGTTGCTATGAAGTTTAACTTCATTACTATCCAAGATGCTCCTTGATAAACATGCTGAAGCCAAGTTAAAACTATGAACTTGAGTTGGGTTTGATATCTCTAAATGGAAGCAAAAAGCATTGTACTTTTAATTTGTTTTAAGTAATCTGTTAGAGAATACTTGGCCATTTGTCCACTTTGCATTAAAATTGTAGTAGTGTGCATCTCATTCTTCCAAGGAGAATACAAATTTACTTCAGTTATAAATGCGTATGTGTTTCTGCGTTTGACGCATTTTTATAGCTTTTTCAGTGAAAGTAGAAGATTTTTACATTAAATTATAAGACACCTCAAGTTAAAATTTAAAATGAACTTTGGTGAACATAAAGTGTCATTTAAATATTTTGTCAAATGATATTAGTGTGGACAACAACAAATTTGAAATTCCATGTGATTTTTCTTATGATTTTTTTTAAAGACAAAAAAAATGAGATAAAATTCCTCATTAACTTGTTTTTAAATGCATTCGGCGCATGTGACATTAGACGTTTGAAAGTTGAAACGGGTCTAAATTTGCAAAGAAACAAAGACTATACTGGAAAGCTTGGTTTTCGTATGCCGTAGATTTTACGCTAGAAATTAACAATCTAAACTTTCTACGCAAGCACAGTGCGATACGATATATGTAATAAAATTAATAGTACTGGCTGCACTGGTAGAACTAAGCAAGTCAGATCTATTTAGTTTTACTTCGTTCCAAATTATTTCCGACCTAGATAAGGCCAATTTTTAATAAAGGACGCTATGGATAATTTACAGCAGTCAGTTTGTCTTGAATTAAATAGAGCAGTGTTCCTTACATGATGTCACGACATGCACTTGATACCAGATCCCTGAGTGAAAAATATATACAGCAAATTTTGATTTTTAACAGCGATTTCCCAAGATAGATTTAATGTAAATCAATTTTTTTTTGAATCTGTTAATTTCATGAATTGTTCTTTCAAACAATACTAAAATCCTGTAAGGTTTATATGCACTTTAAGGAGATATTTTGGATGAAACAATCTCTTCCGGAAGTATATACTTATTAAAAAATGTTGCATAAATAATCGCCGTCGCCAAAGAGTAAATGTAAACTGCTACAAACTAACTCGACTCACGTACAAGCCTTTGTACATTGATCGACAAACGAGCTCAAAGATTGTTTTCTGGCTAGTCAAAAATGAATGCATCTATATTTAATTCAATCCTTGTTATTTCATTTTCATCTCTTGGCCGACTGCGCTTTGCCGTCCATACAAAAATGTAGTTGCGTAGTTACATTGCGTTGCTGTTAGCCATCTTTGAGATTAACACGCGTAAAGCCGCCCCGCGATGTTACTGCATCGTGTTCAATGTTCAATTCAAGGGTTTTTTTTTTACCTCCAGTGAGTGTTGTCAGCAAACATAATATATAAATCAGTAGAATCACTATAAATTATGTCTACTAAATCTATGATTCTATTAATTAAAAATAATGCCACGCCAACAGATGCAAAATTAAACTTTTACGCCACGCCAAAGCAAAGTTCCTGGAATTTTAGTGAATCAAATACCCCCAAAATACGGCGTAGTTACATTTTTGTCACGCCATATATTATTGGCGTGACATACAAACTTTCCAGTCTTTTAACTAAATACAAGAAGTCTTTTACAAAGACGCTTGTTTGTTTTTTTTCGGTTACTATAAAACTTCTTACCGGTGGATATTGTTTCGTCCAGATATTGCATGATATCCCCAAGTTTCTTAGGCTTTTGAGATGAAATGAATGCTATAGCTATTACAATACACGAAAGGATAAAAATAATCTTCAACAAAGTTAGCAGTTTACTACCGCTAAGTATTCTCATATTTGCGTTTTTATTTAAAATTTGCGCCTTTCCACATGTCAGAAGTTTGTCGTCTGTTTACGTGGAACGAGGGACGTCGCAAAGACCTTGATATTGGGAGGGAAGGGGGGGTGTGTATTTTTTTTTAAATTTGCATGAAATTTTGCGGTTTTCCTGGTATGCATTTGGCCGAATTTCGGAAACACTGACTTCAAAATTTTCAATTTTAACAAAATGAATGAACGTTTTCAAAATATTCATTCCATAAGAATTTTCGGTAAAAATACAAACTATTTATAGTTAGGTTTATCAGGTTTGTCATGGTTAGCTTTGCCAGGTTCGTCATGGTTAGGTTTGTCAGGTTTGTCATGGTTGGGTTTGCCAGGTTCGTCATGGTTAGGTTTGTCAGGTTTGTCATGGTTAGGTTTGCCAGGTTCGTCATGGTTAGGTTTGTCAGGTTTGTCATGGTTAGGTTTGCCAGGTTCAGGTTTGTTAGGTTTGTCAGGTTTGTCATGGTTAGGTTTGCCAGGTTCGTCATGGTTAGGTTTGTCAGGTTTGTCATGGTTAGGTTTGTCAGGTTTGTTATGGTTAGGTTTGTCAGGTTTGTCATGGTTAGGTTTGTCAGGTTTTGCAAAAAGATGTTGAAACAATTGTTTCTTCGCTAATTTATGTCAAAGGTCAATTTTACATATTGAAATTTTAACTAGCATCAAAAATATGGCACAAACAAATATGTTAAAAGGATGGCACAAACCAATGAGCCCTGAAAAATTACAGTTAATCTCAGAAAAATACACCTGGCAGGAAAACTATCCAAGTATGTGGTGCAAGAAAGTCAACCCAAAGGTATGGTCACTGCTAAAGTGGAAAGAAAAAGAAGTTGGATGTAGAAATGTTCAACTTACAACAAACAGTACTCAAAACCATGTTTACAATTTTACAAACAATAAGCTCGTGTAGCTTTTTTGCACTGAAGTGAAGGACCCCACTGACAGTGAATTAGTGTTTGGAAATGACTTTGCCAAAAATTCAGAAGAGGCAAGTCACATCAGCTCCTCCATGAGAAATGAAAACCACAGAACGTACTCTGCTGACAAAAAACCATTCACGTCATACAAACTGAGGCATTCTTACAGCAACAAAATATTTTTACGGCAAGACCAGCAGAGGAGCCTGCAAAGACGGGAAAATGTGGAATGGAGATCAATAGAAAAAAATCTTAGATACTTTAAAACAAATCAAAGGTTTCTTTCTAACTTATCATAGGTTAGTTCCTAATTTAACTTTTAAGAGTTTCAAATTTGTTTGCGTTCATGTTGAAACTATTGATTGAGATTTTGCTTTTTCAGTGCGAGTACAAAACAGGAAATGCAACATTACGTATTGAGGTCTTTGAAATGACCAATCATGAACCGTTATTGGTAAGTATTACTAGATAGCTTTGTGAACTCTTCAACGTCATGTCCCGTCGCATGATTTAATTCAGTAGGAAACGCAAGTAGTGGTTGGTTGTCCTCCCACTAGAATTTTGACCGTGTAAAGGTACATTTCTTATTGAAGTGACTAAGATATGAAGTATGTTGTTGATCATTATTATTTGCCTTGCTTCCAGGTCAACTGAACAAAACTGTCCATCATTTGAGAAGTACGAAATCATCATACCAAGGTGTGTAGAATTTCATAGTAAGATTCGTTTGTATATGTGAAGTAAGTACTTCATTAATTCGTTCATAGATTTAAGTCATTCAACAAGTTGAATTTTTTTAGTAAATTCTTACAATACTTTATGAATGGTAATCCGGAAAAGAGATTTATGACGAGAATAAAATAAAATAGCCTTTAGCTAAAATAACCCTTAAAACGATGTTGAAAAGATAAACTTATTAATTTTAATTGCATACTGTTTATATTTCGCCATTTAAATTTCCCGCGCATAGACGAAATAGATTTTTGAGAATTCAACAAATCAGCGCCCGTGTTTTATAAACACATATATTGTTGCTAAGAATGTAGCTGATGTAGCATACAATCTTAACTATCCTGATAAAAGCTTTGCCAGAAACAGTCATAATGTCATTAATTTGAGATTTATTCTTAAGATCACGGCTGTTGCTGCCCAGGCCATACATTGATTTCTCGAATTAACACCCATTCTTGTTGGGATTGTACTTCTATCTGTATACAACGGACTTTCTTAAATGTTTTAAATTCAATGGCTAGTGTACCTCTGACAAATGATCCTAAAGGTGTGTGGTAATGTAGGCAATTGTTTTTATCTGGCGTTGTGCCTAGTTTTAACCAGCCACTCTTTATTCTATCATTAATTGCTATGTTCCCTCCTGTTTCAACAATAACACTTCGTAGTGACATTGCTTTTTGAAAAATGATAACAATGTGGCAAGACACCTGGTGATTACATGTGCCCCAGAAATACCTTGCACCTTGATTGTATGCAAAGTCTATGTTTGTTCGCATTTTTGGTATTAGATTAGTTTTTGTCACAGCAGGGGGGTTATGTCCCAGATATTTTTGTGAGTATTTGTCAAAGTAGGCTTCATTTGTTTTTTGAGGCTTGCTTCTAAGGGATGATATGTCTCCATAATGCTCAAATAATGAAGCGACACGAAATCTCCAACGGCCTGCTTGTCCCTTTATGTTTCGCCAATTATACTCCATCCAATCCACAGGCATCTCATCGTAAAATATATAATAAAATGTTGCAATTTCATTGAGGTCATAATTGTGATAGACTTTACCAATGTAGCCAAGCATTGAGGCATCAAGTGTGAACCATGTTTCTTTGTTTTCATAACTGTCAATAAAGTCCATAAGTTTTGGGTAATAATATGGTGAAGCTTTAATATCATCTTCCAGTTGTAAATGATACTTACTCAAACCATAACAATAACAAAAAAGGAAGGAGAAATCAATTACTTGTTTTGAACGCCATTTTACTCTTTTTTCATTGTCGTTGAATCTCCTTTTCAGTTTTTCAAACGAAGGATAGTAGGGTGGAAATACTTGTATAATGTCCAAAGTGCCCTCATTAACAAGAGACATGTATTTCTGCTGTATTTTATTAGCAAGTGGAATTCGTTTTTGTTTACTTGAATCACCAAGTTGTAATACAATAAGGAAGTTGGGTGTTATAGTTCCAACAGTTTGGTCCACAGTAAGACTACTTAGAGTGTCCATGAGATATACGTTTCCATTGTCACGAGTAATTGTTGAGATGCCAATGGTTAGAGTATCTGCAATGAAATATAATTGGGTTGATAAGGATGCCAAAAAGACTATATATATTTGTATTTATGGGTCAACTTACATTCTTTATCAGATGATCGGTTGCTATGAAGTTTAACTTCATTACTATCCAAGATGCTCCTTGATAAACATGCTGAAGCCAAGTTAAAACTATGAACTTGAGTTGGGTTTGATATCTCTAAATGGAAGCAAAAAGCATTGCACTTTTAATTTGTTTTAAGTAATCTGTTAGAGAATACTTGGCCATTTGTCCACTTTGCATTAAAATTGCAGTAGTGTGCATCTCATTCTTCCAAGGAGAATACAAATTTACTTCAGTTATAAATGTGTATGTGTTTCTGCGTTTGACGCATTTTTATAGCTTTTTCAGTGAAAGTAGAAGATTTTTACATTAAATTATAAGACACCTCAAGTTAAAATTCAAAATGAACTTTGATGAACATAAAGTGTCATTTAAATATTTTGTCGAATGATATTAGTGTGGACAACAACAAATTTGAAATTCCATGTGATTTTTTTATGATTTTTTTTATCTTTTATATGCTATGGCAATTCAAACAAGGTAATTAATAATTTAAAATGTATTTCATATAACCAATAAATTTTAGTGTAGAAAAGAATGTTGCAATTTTAATATAGAAATTGCAATTTTAACAACAAAAATTGTAAGGAAAAACGTTTCGAAGAAAATCTTAAAGATAAAATGTAATTTTGAATTTAGTAAACTATTTTAGCAGAAGTAAAAGCCCGTTTCAAACATCGAATTTAACTTGTACCGAATGCATTAAAGACAAAAGAAAATGAGATAAAATTCCTCATTAACTTGTTTTTAAATGCATTGGGCACATGTAACATTCGACGTTTGAAACGGGTCTAAATTTGCAAAGAAACAAAGACTGGAAAGCTTGTTTTTCGTATGCCATAGACTTTACGCTAGAAATTTATCATCCAAACTTTCTACGCCAGCACAGTGCGATACGATATATGTAATAAAATTAATAGCACTGGCTGCACAAGTAGTACTAAGCAAGTCAGATCTATTTAGTTTTACTTCGTTTCAAATTATTTAATTAAAAGATTTTCTTGAAATGTTGTTGAATGTTAAAAAAATCTTGTCCTTAATGGTTAAAGAATGAGTCTCACGGTAATGCTTTGCGTGCTTAGCCATGCACAGGCAGCCATATTTGGGGTACCTTAAAATGGCGCCACATTAGGTTGTTAGTGCAGCGATTTGTCCAAATTTGGTAAATGGTGATCCGTAATAGTTTAAATCATCTTCCTAGTGCTAATGCTATACAGTCAAATCTGGATCTTATTTAATTCCGACATTTTTTGCAATAAAGTAAATAAAATTGCAATCAGTACAAGTTAAATTCGATGTTTGAAACGGGCTTTTACTTCTGCTAAAATAGTTTACTAAATTCAAAATTACATTTTATCTTTAAGATTTTCTTCGAAATGTTTTTCCTTACAATTTTTGTTGTTAAAATTGCAATTTCTATTTGAAATTGTAACATCCTTTTCTACCCCCAAAATTTATTGGTGATATGAAATACATTTTAAATTATTAATACTTTGTTTGAATTGCCATAGCATATGCCATTACATTTTACATACGTTTTGCAAGTAACGTCAGACGCATACGCCAACAACTCTGGTTCAACCACCGCTGCAAGGATTTTGGTCTCGTTCCGGCAGGACTTAGAATTAAGTCCCCGTTGAACACACAAGAGGCTATTCAGATTGTCAAATCCACCAGCAGACGACTGATACGAGCACAGATTAACGACTGTCACAGACGAATCAACTATTACATCAAGCAACAAGAACAAAGACTGAACAAACTGAAGGAACTCATACCAACGACAGTAAGTGATACTTTACTTTCTACGATACAAACTATTACAGAGAAACGAGCAAACAACACAGAGACACCAAATCAAACAACAACAAAAACTTGAACGTTTAAAACGCACTAAAACACGTACAAGACGTAAACATGACGATAACTGGTGAGGAATATTTCTTCCCGCTCATTAGACGAAACTGAAACACGACTATCTTACGGACTAAAACATTCCATAACACCTAGACGAATCCGACTGAGACGATAGTATCAAGTGTCGAGGTTGTCCTAGCGTATCAAAGAGACTTGTCAGAGACAACCAAAGACGAGATCAGAAGCAGGGTAGCCTCCGCTTTACAATCGTCCTCTATACGTGACAACAACTTGACAAAGGACGAACAACAAGCACTCAAACGACTAAAACACGACGACAACATCGTCATTTTACCAGCAGACAAAGGACGCGTGACTGTGGTCATGGACAGGAATGATTACTTCGACAAAATGGACACCCTTGTTAACGACAGACAAACGTACGAACAACTCAAACGAGACTCAACACCATCACTTAACAGCAAGATTTTCTCTATGAGAAAATCTAACATTATATCTGAACGTATTTACGATCGACTTAGATGTTCAGTACGACGACCACCCAGACTATACGGACTACCAAAACTTCACAAACCACAAATACCCATGCGATTAATTGTATCATTCTGTGGTTCACCTACTTACGAACTCTCAAAGTACTTGACTGACATACTGCAACCACTTACAAGCAAATCAAAACACAAGCTACAATCCACTGAAACTTTCATTAAAAAACTAAGCACTGTACAAATACCGAACAACTATATACTAGTGTGTTTTGATGTGAAATCACTGTTCACCAGTATTCCACTTATTCTAGCACTTACTTGAACAAAAACCCTCATTACAAACACCACGGACGTACTGCCATTACCGACAGAAAACATTATGGAGATACTGGAGCTCTGCCTCACCTCGACTTACTTCCAGTACAAAGGTACACACTACAAACAATTACATGGAACAGCAATGGGCTCACCCGTTTCTGTTGTAGTTGCTGAAATTGTAATGCAATCTATAGAGGAACTGGCGCTCATGACTTACAAACATGCACTACCTTTTTGGTTCCGCTACGTAGATGACACAATCACAGCACTACATGCAGACGAGATTGATGACTTTCACACTCACATCAACAAACAGAACAGCCACATACAATTTACCAAAGATGTCGAAGAAAACGGAACTCTTCCTTTTCTCGACTGTTTGGTAAAACATAATAATCAAAAACTACGAACAACAGTTTATCGCAAGCCAACACATACTGACCGACTACTAGACCAATCATCTTACAACCCTACATCACACAAAGCCACCACAATCAGAACATTAACAAGACGTGCACAAATCATATGTGATTCACCGGACGCTCTACACAACGAAAACAACTATCTCAAACGTGTTTTTGACAGAAACAACTATAACTCTGACTTTATCAAACGCAACACTTACAAACCCAACGAAACGAACAACTCAGTGACAACAGCAACGACACCTTACATCAAAGGTCCGTCTGAGACTATCTCGCGTATCTTACGACCATACAACATACGTGTCGCACATAAACCAATCACAACGTTACGACAAGTACTAACGAACATAAAGGACAAAGAACAACCCAACGAACGACAAGGTGCAGTTCTGCTCCGACTGCCACGCCTCCTATATCGGGGAAACTGGCAGGAACTTAAACATAAGACTTACTGAACACAAACGAGCTACTATGAAACAAGACAGAACTAATCATGTTCAACCAGATTATAAGAAAGTGACCTATTTCGTCCGCCATGTTTATTATCAAACTAAACGTATATTGCGCATGCTTATGACGAACATTGTTGCTAACACATGGTCAAACTATCCCATCATGCAAAATTACCATAATTTGTTGGATAAAAAATTGACTACAATCAAATTCCATGCAACATTGTCCAACATCATGCAACATTATAAAAAAGGGTGGTCAAACGGGGCCAACATTTTGTGACAACAAAGTTGGATTATGTTGGATCAAAATGTTGCGCTCGTTTGACTGGGGCTTAATTTAAACTGCTACAAACCAACTCGACTCACGTACAAGCCTTTGTACATTGATCGACAAACGAGCTCGAAGATTGTTTTCTGGCTAGTCAAAAATGAATACATTTTTATTTAATTCAATCCTTGATATTCTTTTTCATTTCTTGGCCGACCGTGCTTTGCCGTCAAATTAACAGTCGAAGTAGACATATCACTGCATTGTGCGAGATCATTACCGCGAGACTCATTCTTTAATAAAGATTCATGGATTCAACAGAATACAAAAGTAGTTGCGTAGTTACATTGCGTTGCTGTTAACCATCTTTGTGATTAGCACGTGTGAAGCCGCCCCGCGATGTTCGATGTTCACGAACTGCACCGTGTTCAATGTTCAATTCAAGGTTTTGTTTACCTCCAGTGAGTGTCGTCAGCAAACATAATATGTAAATCAGTAGAATCACGATAAATTATGTCTACTAAATCTATGATTCTATTAATTATAAATAATGCCACGCCAACAGATCCAAAATTAAACTTTTACGCCACGCCAAAGTGAATCAAATACCGCCAAAATACGGCGTAATTACATTTTTGTCACGCCATATATTATTGGCGTGACATACAAACTTTCCAGTCTTTTAACTAAATACCAGAAGTCTTTTACAAAGACACTTGTTTGTTTTTTTCGGTTACTATAAAACTTCTTACCGGTGGATACTGTTTCGTCCAGATATTGCATGATATCCCCAAGTTTCTTAGGCTTTTGAGATGAAATGAATGATATAGCTATTACAATACACGAAAAGATAAAAATAATCTTCAACAAAGTTAGCAGTTTACGACCGCCAAGTATTCTCATATTTGCGTTTTTATCTAAAATTTGCGCCTTGCCACATGTCAGAAGTTTGTCGTCTGTTTACGTCGCAAAGACCTTGATAGCGAGTTTACAAATTGTAAAATCCTAGGACGCCGCCGTTTAAACCATAAACTGCGCAGGTGCGCACCAAGTTTAGGCCACTTAGCGTGAAGGCGACGCAGTGAAAAGCTGTTGTATGACGGCGTCTTGAAAATCGAAAATGGCGGGAAAATTAACAAAGACGAAGAGGTAAATTTTACGTATTTTTTAAAGGTTGGGAGGGAAGAAATATTTTAAACATGAGGTATTAGTTAAGTATTTGTTTTGACAGCAAAAGAAAACTAATAGAGAATTTAATTCAAATTCGCTGTATTTTCAATATGGCAGCTCAAGACTTTTGGCCATTGAGTTCGATAAGACCTGGAGGGGACAAGGGGCCTGGACCCAGTAGTATAGAGACTACCAATTCTGGCGCACCTCACACCTTGAGACCTAGTATACGCAAATCTAAGCCAAGGCCAAACCTTGGACAACGGCAGGAGCCAAAAACGGCCGGCCCACCCCCCGCGGCCGGCCGTCGGGGTCTATTATTTATAGAGTAGCGTATAGTAGGGTACGTGGTAAGATGAATAGTGAATCCAAAAGAGTAGTACGTATGAAAAGACGAGCAAAAAGAAAGAAGAGAAAGAGAGAAAAAATTGAATAATATAATAGTAAAACAGAGAGAAGAACATATTAAATTACATACTAGATTGTTACTAGAAGCGGGTTATATGAAATTAGAAGAATAAACATATTTATATATTATATAGAGTTAAGATTAGTTTGATGTGATATTAGTTTGATGTGATATTATGGATACTGTCAGAGAAATTTTACAGCTATACAAGCAAGGTGTTATAAGTGGAAGAGCTTTGAACTCGTTTCTTGAAGCTTTCCAACCACTTGCATCTACATCAAGAAAGCGTGCTAATGTAGCTCCACCTACACCTCTTCCGGAACAATGTAAGCGCAGACTTATTAGGCCTAATGATGTAGTCGAAATAAGACCACCTGTTATAACAAATTCTATAGGTTGGGAAGCTGAATATGGGAATATATGCGACCCATCGTTGATAAACTACAACGCACATCGGTTTCTAAGTGCAGTAAATAGAATGTCTAAAACGTCTAAAAAAGATTTTAAAGTAGCTCCGACACCTTCAGAGGTTGGCTCACCCCCTTTGAAGTGTTCCAGATGGCCAAACTTGAAGTGTTCTTATTCGGTTCTAGATAATGAACAAAAAAGCGAAGGAAAGCCTTCGGAATCATCTAGCGCTTCGTGTAGCAAATCTTCATCAAACAACCGTTGAAGATTCGGGTATTATACTTTCTATAGTGAGTGTGATAATTACTCTAGCAGTTTCCATCTGTTGAACAACTAATGTTGCATCAGCAGGTAAGTCTACATCTATAAAATCGCTATAGCTACATTCAGAGTTAATATCACCAATACGATGTGTTTTTGTTTTACTTAAGACAAGTAATTTCCTAGGAGTTTGAAGTATAGGTTTATCACGCGTAGGTTTATGTACGTCTGAATAGTTCCAAGAAGATATTAATATTTTTTCAGCATTAGAATTATTTTCTAGTTGGAATTTTTCAAAATTCCTCTCTCTATTTCTCTCTATTTCGTCGCAAAATTTCTCTCTATTTCGTCGTAAGTATACTTCTACTGCTCGGCGAAAGAGATCGTTTGTTGATTCGAATTCATGAACCGAAGTTTCAGCTGTGTTAGACATTTTAATGTTTGTGTAACAAACACAACTGAAGTGATAACACTATAAATATAAGTGAAAATTTATTGTTTTAGAATTAAGAATACTCTAAATAATGTACATGATATCTTCGCGTCCAGTTAATGGGTATTGTACTAACATATGACATCAATTTTTTAGTGTTATCATGTACGAAACTAACATAAGGCCCTCAACTTTGTTCAAACACAGAAGATCTAATGTTGAACCACTCGTGTTCAAACCAAATGCTTAATAATGCTAATTTATTATTTTTCGAGTGTTTTTCCAGTAGGAAACATTACTAAAGTTACATTTACTCCGCTCATGCCTGGGGAGTAAAATCCAGTAGGAGAGTTCAAAACAGGTTGATCTCCTTGGTCTCCTTTAAGACAATCAGCTCCTGGCTGTCCTTGAGGTCCTTGACGTCCTGAAGGCCCCTGAGGCCCTGTGGCTCCAGTATCTCCCTTAGGCCCTTGAGGCCCTCGAGGTCCTGCGGCCCCTGTAAAGCCCGGCACTCCTCTAGGACCTGTTAGACCTCTAATGCCTTATTTCCCTTGAGGCACTTGGGCTCCTGTGGCCCCGGGCGCACCATTGCTTCCATTAGTCCCATCAGTTCCGTCATCTCCTCTAGGACCCTCATCACCTTTCTCTCCTTTTGGTCCTCTAAGACCCGTATCTCCTTGAGCCCCTGCAGCTGCTGTATCACCTTTTTCTCCCTTTGGTCCTCTAGGATCCGTATCTCCTTGAGCCCCCGCTGCTCCTGTGTCCCTTAGCTCCTCTTGGGCCTCTAGGCCCTGGTGGTCCTGATTTTCCAGATCCATAACCATCATCAGTTCCACCGATTACTAATGTCGCCATTAGTCTGATGTAATTTTTAGTTTGATGCGATGTTTATATACCTATATATATAATAGAAAATTTTTTATTAATTACTGGATTTATATTTGACCGCGAGAGAAATCTATGACGAGCCTCCAGCCAGACCCGCGATTTTTTTGAAAGCTTGAGCTTCACCTTCACGGCGTGCGTTTTCAGCAGCGGTGGTAACAACTTCTTTTTCACGCTCTAAGTTCTTATTTGTCTTTTTCATCTCTTTTGAGTAGAGAAGCTACGTCGGCAGCTTCAAGAACGTCCCCAGCCGGGGCGCCCACACTGGATAGAGTAAGATCAATACCTCCAGTTCCTGTCACGACTGTAAAGGCACTCGATGCAGCAGATAAGGTGTGTCAAATTAAGAGTGTCGAAATAATGCGTGTGTATTTCTTACGCAGCTTATGACGAGCGTCACGCTCTTGGCGGAGCTCTGCCTCAATGTTTGAAATGCGAACAAGGCGAAAGTTGCTCGTTTCGACTGATGAACGGTTGGCGGGGTAAAATGCGGTTTATTATCTTGAGATTGTGAATCAATAGATGCTAGCACCGACTGTATTTCAGGTAGATTATAATTTTTCATTACACCATATGGGTCGTCCATTTTTTTTTTGTCCTATTATATAGTAAGATAAAAAACATTTATCCATCTTCATCTATCTTCAGATTGAAGTTCAAGTATGTTCATGTCAGTTGCATCTATGGAAGAGCGCGAAAAAGTAGTCCAAGAGTTTGTAAAAAACCGCGCAGAACTCTAGCGGCGCCAAGTCGATTTCAAAGTGTCTCGACAGTACGAAGGAGAATTCTTTGAAAGGGCGTCTGAACCAATTGTTAATGCTGAAAAATCTGTAGCAGAAGCTATTAACAAAAAACAAGACAAAGAAATTGAAGGGTTGCAAGAAGTCACTCAAGCGGTTGAAACACTCAACAGCAGCTTGCCCAACGGCTAGATGATCTAGTCCTTTTAACAAAAGGCTAACCATCTTGGAAGGCTATAGAGAATTCAAATTTGCTTGATCGGTTGGAGGCTGGTGAGTATATAAACGACGTAGATTTTGAAAATCTTGGACAATCTATCGGCCCGTCTACAAGACAAAACGCTTCTCCAGCTAACCAAGGGCTAGGTACAAAAAACCTCGAACGTTACAAAATTCTTAAAGAAAAAAGAAGTCGCCCCAGACAACACGAACAGGAACTGGAGTGCACTATTATAATAGCCCATCAGAGCTTATCGACCGCCTTTTTCTTTCCTGCAAGTCTGTAGAGGCTGGTAATGACTCTCGTGAGTTGAAAAACGATATTGAAGCGATTCTAACAAAACTGCTAGACGAAAGTGCAATAACGAAAAGTTATTACCGAAAGATTAGAAATAAATACGTGCGTTAAAATTTCTGCTCGTATATATACAAAGCTATTGTTTAGTGTTATCAATAGAACCATAATGGCTGGAGTATTATAAGACGAAATTAGCATTGAGTTAGACTCAACAAGAGCCGTTGCGGTACACGGTGGAGAAGAGAACGACTTTCAAATTATCTTTAGGCCACCTATACCTTTAGAGGCTAACAAAAAATATCAAGTGGCTCTTGCTGAAGCTAGTTTGTGGAATTCGCGGGAAAATGTCACTACTAAAAACAATCAACTTTGAGACTAGAGATGGAAACTATGGTGATACTGATGGTGCACAGAGAGGAGAGCTTAAACAGAATCCAATTCAACGGCAAAAGATCACAATACCACCAAGCGCTTACAACATTCCCGTTATCAATCAAGCTATTGAAGATGCTATGGAAGCATTGGGGGTAAAGTTCGCACATGAAGATGAGACCGCAAGACGTGATCCACCCTTTGTGCTGTCAGTAAATATTCCCACATCTAAATCGGAGATTACTATTAAAGGTGACCTTGTAGTTTCCTTTGACACAGATAACAGCATAAGCCCTATTCTTGGGTTGCTATGGGTGGAGGTGATATTACTAGAGGAAAGACTTTAAGTCAGAATCGAATTAACATTACAATTGTACAGAAGATCTATATTCACTGCTCGCTTGTTAATTCAAGTATAGTAAACGGGAATCCTAGTGATGTTATTAAATCGTTTACTCTAAACCGAAGACCAGGACGTTTGTTGGAAATAAGTCCTAGTCCACCGACCTATTTACCACTCATAAAAACTAGCCTTATTAATAAAGTGAGAATGGAAATCACTGATCAGTCAGGAAATGAGATTGATTTAAATGGTGAGCAAGTAACTTACACTTTAAACATCCGTCCAAAAATGTGATTATATATACACTCTCATAAAAGGATTCCAATTCAGAAGCTGTTACCATAATGGCTTATTTTTCCATATATAATATACTAGGCAAAATGATAGTTCCTATGATTAGACGCGGTATAGTTCGTCGAAAAATTGTCGGGGGGGTCATTGATTGGAAACCTCGTGGGCCTTGCTGGTAAGGTAAAGGGTGGGCTATTCAGTGCGGGGAAGTCCGCAGCTGCAGTCTTAGCATCTCGCGTAGGTACGTTTACTCCAAAAATCAAGAATGTGGCCGCGGCGGCTGGTAAAAAAGCAATTCTTGACACGGCTACAGCAACCAAAGAGGCTGTTATATCGACTGCAAAAGAGCAGTTCTCGCCTGAAAACGTAAGCAGTCTTGTTGCCGATCTCGCCCGCGGAGACGTTAAAGGAGTGGCAAGAAAAGCTAAATCACGTGCATCTGCAGTGGCTCGTGCTGGGGCTGAAGCTGGTATTAGTAGCGCAAAAACGCGCGCGAGAACCGCTCGCACTGCTTTAACGAAAGAAGTTGGATCTAAACTTATTGAGCTGGTTGGAACCACTGAAGCTAGAAAAGCTCTAGTATCGCGCGCTGAAAGCCTTGCTCAGCAACAACTGACTTCTCGAGACTTAGGTATTCTAAGCAACCTCGTGTCAGGTAACGGCATGATGTATTCCTAAATATCACATCAGAAATAATAATTAAATTACATTGGTCGATGATCGGCAGACACAAATTTTTGTAATATATGTATACTGCACGAAGTACAAACTATCAAAACAATGGCTACGGACATGATATTCCCAGCAATTCAACTCTTTGACGAGCCCATCGTTGACCGCTCTGTTGAGCGTCTGCAGTACGAAAGAGTTCTTCCCCGCGATCCGAATTTCGATAATAAGAATATCAATATCGACACTGAGAACGTTGACCAGCTTATATGGCTTCACAGAGCCGTTCTTGAAGTTCGAGGTCGCGTTGTAAAGAACGATGGCACCAATTATGATGCCGCCGACAATGTCGCTCTGGCAAATGGTGGCTGGAGCCTGTTTGATACGATCCAGATCCAGGTTAACAACAAGACCGTTGAAGAAATAAGTCAGTATGCTTCAACTGTCAACACGATCATGCGGCTTGTAACTGATTCGGATGATTCGTCCAGGAGCATCGCCACGAGTGCTTTCTGGTACCGCGACACTGGAGCTACCGGTGGGGCTGTTTCTAATAAGTATGTAAACAGAGCTAACGCTCAGTTGCTTCCTGCTGCTAATGTAGGTAACGGTGTCGCTTTGACTGGCGGCAACTTCCGGGCTAACTTTAACTTAAACCTCAACGCAACAGAGAACCCTAACTTCAACATTGGTTTCGCCAGTCGCCGCCAGATCTGCGCGGGCGCCAAAGACGTTACCATGATGCTTCCCCTCGCTGACATCCTAGGCTTCGCCAAAGACATTAATTCAGCTTTCATAGGTATAAAGTTCAATCTGAATCTCACTCGCGCTTCTGCTGAAAACACGCTTCATAGAGCAAATGGGTTAGATGCTGGAAATTTAAGATAAAAAATCTTTCGCTCTGGGTTCCTTTCATCAGACCTTCGATCGAAGTTCAAACCATGATAGAAAGCAAGTTGGTTGCTGGTTACACACGCATGCTATACTTTGAGCAAGGTCGTATTTACCGAGAGAGATTCACCAGACGTCAAACCAACGTCTCATGGCGTGTGACGACAAACGGAAGCGAAGAGCTACCAACACACATCTTCGTAGCGTTCCAAGATGCAGAGCGCTCAGACAATCAAGAACAAAAATTACAGCAGAGCTTACATGATGTTCCAAGACGCTGCGATGAAATACAGAAACAGGCTCTCGAGTAAACTTAGGAGACTTTGCAAACCTCTTTCCTATTTACCACTTTGACGTTAGTCATCATCCTGAAGCTTTGAAAAAAGCTCCGGCAAACATTGATGTTCGTTGGATCTTAGGTGGCCCTTTTAATAGTGCTATTAATGCTGGTGGTGAACAGGCGTACCACGTGTACTGCTTCGTGCTTAGCGAGCGTTTCCTTCGGCTCAATGCGGTAAAATGGACATAATGGTTTAGTGATATGTTACGTTTAATCCGATTACTTTGCACCAGAATTAATTATAAATTAAAAAAACAAAAATTTTTTCGACTATTTATATACGCAAATTGTTTTCCATGTGCACAAAAATGTCGGACATTGATAACGCAATATTTGTTGAAGCTCTCAGACCCGCCATGGAGCGAGTAATCACTCAGGAATTTAAAGGCGCTGGTATTTATCTTCCTGGGTCAAGAAGTACAAAAGGCGGTAGCTTTATTGGAAATCTTGTTGGAAAACGCATACTTACGGTCACTAAACTCATACCAAAAGTGTTACCGTCTCTAGGCCTAGCAGCTATATCAGGTGCTATCACCGGCAACACACGAAAAGCAGTTGCTGGTAGTGGTGTAGTTAGGAAAGGTGGTACAGCTGCTAAAGGTGGTGGACGTAATAACTACACAGTTAACGGCGTTGCACTTTCAACGGCTCAGAAAAGTAACCTGGCAAAGGCAGTCAGAGACGAACCGGAGTGACTATACGGCTTACCAAAATGCACATGACGGCCCTGACATGCTTATGCTTACTAAGACGCAAATTATAAGCGCATAATGGGTGCAAAACCCACAGGATCTGGGTTGGAACTAAAATTGTCTAAGAATCAGGTTACAGCCATGACGCGCGCGCAAAAAGGTGGATTCATTGGTTCTTTGCTTGCAGGTATGACTGCTCCCATCGTAGCGCCTGTCCTAGGAAAAATCCTTGGATTTGGAACGTCGGAGGAAAGAGTATACCTCCCGGGGACGCGGGTGAGGAAGTGGAAGCCGCTATCAAATAAAGATATCAATCGTATAGTAAATGGTAATTTAAAAGCAGTATCTAAAGACTTTAGGGAGGTGTTCTCAAAAGACATGCTTCCTAAAGAGCCTCTTAAAGCTGAAGAAAGTGTCATAATCAACTTACAAGACTTTCTTGATGGAGGTGGGACTCACTGGGTTTGCGCCTTTGCTGATGAGTTCTGTGTAGATTACTTTGACAGCTTCGGCCTTCCACCACCTGACGTAGTTAAAAAGTGGATGGAACGGTCAAAACTTGTTGTTCGCTATTCTTGCAACGAGATACAGGATCAGCGCTCCATTATGTGTGGGTGGTACTGCCTTCTCTTCTTACACGATCGGGTTCACAATCGGTCTGCGACAGATATTCTGTTAGATTTTGATTCGTGCCCTTCTGCGCATAACGAGCGTATTGTAAAACGGTTTGCTAGAGAAATTCTAAGAGCGCGCTAATAATTAACATCGCGATGCATTTTCACATCAGACTAAATTTTTGTGCATTATATGGAGATGGCCATCGCTGACTGTTTGTACTGTAAGAAACGACAACTTGTTGTCAAAGGAAAAATCGAATATACAAAAAGCCAACCTAGGCTCACGGGGCGCTGCCGAGTCTGTGACAGAGGCGTCTCCAAGTTTCTTTCTAAAAGTGAACTTCTAGATAAAAGGGAGGAAGAATAAGAGGTTTGAATAGTGCGCTTCCATTCGGTATTAATCCAATTGATTTGGCAATCAAAACCGCGAATAAAATTGATAAAATCAGAAAAGCTTGGTGAACAATAGTCAAGTGAAAATGACGGTCGCGTTTTGTATGCGTTGCAAAAGACTGCAACTAGTTATAATTGGTATAGTTGTAAATCATAACGGCAACCCCAGACTTGCATGGCGCTGTGGTGTATGTGGTAGTGCTGTTTCTAGGTTTCTTTCTCAAAGCGAATCTCGTCGTAATGAAGGAAAAATAATCGTTTCTACGGACGGAAGCGTTGAGGAACGTCTCGCAGAGGTGTACTACAGTCCTGCGGGGTACTGGCGCGGCCGTGCTGCTATCCCAAAGCTGGCTAGAGAGTGAATGGCTAACAAAACAGGCCATCTGGCAGATCTACTTGCCCGCACCAGCGCGCCAAGTGCCATCCCTCGACCTAAGTTTGACATCAGCACCCCGAATGAGGTTCACCAGGCCGATCTCTTGTATTTGCCTCACGATCGAGTCAGAAGACGCACATTCAAATACGCATTGACGGTCGTCGACGTAGCAAGTCGGTATAAGGAGGCCCAAGCAATCACAGACAAGACAGCGACCCAGCTTGGGAAGGCGTTAGAGTCTATTTATGCCCGTGGGCCTCTTCGATGGCCAAAAGTTTTACTAGTCGACCCTGGCTCGGAGTTCCGCGGGGCTGTGCAAAAAGCGTGTGATAAAAACGGTGTCACGATTCGACGGGGTAAGGTTCATAGAGATCAGGAGATCGTAGAAAGATTTAATCTAACTTTGGCGGAGCGATTTTTCGGTTACCAGTATCATCGCGAGCTAGCTGAGCCCGGAACTTGCAACAAAGAATGGGTATCACGATTACCTGAGGTGGTTAAAGCGCTCAATAATGAAACTACTCGTTTGACGGCCGAAAAACCCTCCCCTGCGATTCGGAAGAAGAGCGTTAAGGCCAAACCCTCTGCGCCGGCGCTTCGTCCGGTTGGTTTCAAAGAGCACCGCTTGCCATTGGATGTTATGGTGCCGTATTTGTATGCGCTTGGCGAACTCGAGAGTGGCGAGTGGAACTCCAAGTGGTGCCCTTTGGGACCGAAACACCGCCGGCTTAGTCGATGGGGTCCTGTTGTCTGGTACTACCTTGCGCTTAGCCGTAGAGCAGCTCTTTTACGAAAGCATTTATTTCTTTTAGTCCGATGTGATATTCGCCTGCGGCACCGGCTTCCCTATGCCCGTATGTTAGGGTAGAGATCTCATCGGCCGCGATCCAGCGCTTCGTGTCCAGCGGGCTCAACGATGTCTTGTTGACATGCTCGCCGAAGATCTGATGCCCGCGACTGCGCAGCATATCCATACCGTGGTGGAAGCGCTTTCCTTCGAAGAGCGCCTCTTTGCACTAGGCATGACTGATATGCTTTTTCACGACGGCCTTTTTAACACCTTTAGCTTTGCGGATATGCTTTTTCACGACAGCCTTTTTAACGCTCTTGGCTTTGCGTTCCTCGAGACCATCATCGGCTTTCAGGATAGAGTACATCTTGGGCTTGAGTCCCACAAACTCGGCGATAGGTGCCCCAACGCACTCGTCCTTCATTTTCCCCAGCACCTTCTTGTTGGCTGTGCTGAAGAGCGAATGGTCTTTGGGGTAGTTGCTTGTAACGTACTGACCGGCGTTCCGCCTTATGTTGGCGTATACATCCTCAGTCTAGATCTCGAGCACAAGGCTGTCGGTGTCGGTATAGAGGAGCTCTGCAGCCGGCCTGTACTGGGCCTTGAGATGGTTGTAGTGCCAGTCGTACATCAGGTGCTTCGAGAGGTCGAGAACGCTCATGCCCACGAAGACCAGCCAGTTGAGCAGCAGACTGCTTTTATTCATGTGAACGGCTGCGAGGTCTCCCGCATCGCCAAAGATGAGATGCCGATTGAATGTCGGCTTGGCGATAAGTTTGCGGAGTCTCTCGGTCTCGCTTGGCCGGAGCAGCTTCACGTCGACACGCTTTCGGAGGTTCTCCATCGTCTTGCCGAAGACGCTGTTGATCAGCAGCTTGTAATGGTTTACCTCGAAGTCGATTTTCGCCTTCTTCCAGAGTTCGGTGATTTTCCGAATGTAGGACTCCATCCACGGGCTTTGATCCACGGAGCGCCCTGTGGATCTTTTTCAGGCGCATGCCAAGCTGCAGATAGAGCTGCAGATTCCGGTAGTGCAGGACGTATCGGGTATTGTCGCGCAGATTGGGGACCAGCTTTTCGACCTCGTGAGACGATGTCTCAGTCTCGGCGATGGCCTGCATGATGAGGTGGCTGTCGTAGCCTCGCAGGTTGTGGAAGACAATCGGTATGGTTGTCGTCTTCGGACTGAGCCGCAACTTGAGGTTGCACTCATTGTGGGCCGCACCTCGGTACTTGCCAGTAATGTAGCAGTGGTCTCGCACGGAATCGCCTTCGAGGAGCTTGCCGCAGACCTGGCAGTTTGTGGCTTTCTTGTGGCTCCCCCAGTCCTTACCTGTCATATGTATTGGCTTGGGGTTAGCCAACACCGTCTTGATCTTGCGCTCTTCTTCTTGGAGCGCTTCCAGGAAATGCTTGGCCGCGTCGGGCCCTCGGTAGAGCTGCGGCGGCTGCGTTTTCCGGTCGGAACGAACGACTGTACGAGTAGCCGCATGCCTCGTGCCCGGAGGTTTGCAGGGTGCCGCTCTTTTCGGGTTGAGCGCGGGCCCTCGATTTTGCAGACCAGGCTCTCGAAGTCGGCGTAGATTATGAAAGGCTTTTTGAGCTGCTTTTGGTAGTTCTCAAAGCGGATTTTGTCGTTTTTTCCGGGGGTTGGCATTCTGATGGCAACCGCGGCCTGGTTGATGCCTCGACATTCAGGCTTATGCTCTTCCAGCAAATCCTGTCTGGTGAAGCCGTAAAGGCAACTCTCACAGAAGTGCAGCCGGTGGCCATCCTTCGATTCCCGGTTGAGAAGGCGGTTGAAGTCCTTGATCCAAGTGTAGTGGTGTTTCTCAGGGTTTTTCGAATCCGAGACGAGGAAGAGATTCACAGTCAGACAGTGAATTACTGTTTGGAAACGACTTTGCAAAAAATTCAGAAGAGGCAAGTCACATCAGCTCCTCCATGAGAAATGAAAACCACAGAACGTACTCTGCTGACAAAAAACCATTCACGTCATACAAACTGAGGCATTCTTACAGCAACAAAATATTTTTACGGCAAGACCAGCAGAGGAGCCTGCAAAGACGGAAAAATGTGGAATGGAGATCAATAACAAAAAATCTTAGATACTTTAAAACAAATCAAAGGTTTCTTCCTAACTTATCATTGGTTAGTTCCTAATTTAACTTTTAAGAGTTTCAAATTTGTTTGCGTTCATGTTGAAACTATTGATTGAGATTTTGCTTTTTCAGTGCGAGTACAAAACAGGAAATGCAACATTACGTATTGAGGTCTTTGAAATGACCAATCATGAACCGTTATTGGTAAGTATTACTGGATAGCTTTGTGAACTCTTCAACGTCATGTCCCGTCACATGATTTAATTCAGTAGGAAACGCAAGTAGTGGTTGGTTGTCCTCCCACTAGAATTTTGACCGTGTAAAGGTACATTTCTTATTGAAGTGACTAAGATATGAAGTATGTTGTTGATCATTATTATTTGCCTTGCTTCCAGGTCAACTGAACAAAACTGTCCATCATTTGAGAAGTACGAAATCATCATACCAAGTTGTGTAGAATTTCATAGTAAGATTCGTTTGTATATGTGAAGTAAGTACTTCATTAATTCGTTCATAGATTTAAGTTATTCAACAAGTTGAATTTTTTTAGTAAATTCTTTCAATACTTTATGAATGGTAATCCGGAAAAGAGATTTATGACGAGAATAAAATAAAATAGCCTTTAGCTAAAATAACCCTTAAAACGATGTTGAAAAGATAAACTTATTAATTTTAATTGCATACTGTTTATATTTCGCCATTTAAATTTCCCGCGCATAGACGAAATAGATTTTGAGAATTCAACAAATCAGCGCCCGTGTTTTATAAACACATATATTGTTCCTAAGAATGTAGCTGATGTAGCATACAATCTTAACTATCCTGATAAAAGCTTTGCCAGAAACAGTCATAATGTCATTAATTTGAGATTTTGAGATTTATATCTTAAGATTGCAGCTGTTGCTGCCAAGGCCATACATTGATTTCACGAATTAACACCCATTCTTTTTGGAATTGAATTTGTATCTTTATACAACGGACTTTCTTGAATGTTTTAAATTCAATGGCTAGTGTACCTCTGACAAATGATCCTAAAGGTGTGTGGTAATGTAGACAATTGTTTTTATCTGGCGTTGTGCCTAGTTTTAACCAGCCACTGTTTATTGTATCATTAATTGCTATGTTCCCTCCTGTCTCAACAATAACACTTCGTAGTGACATTGCTTTTTGAAACATGATCACAATGTGGCAAGATGTCTTGTTATTACATGTGCCCCAGAAATAACTTGCACCTTGATTGTATGCAAAGTCTATGTTTGTTCGCATTTTTGGTATTAGATTAGTTTTTATCACAGCAGGGGGGTTATGTCCCAGATATTTTTGTGAGTATTTGTCAAAGTAGGCTTCATTTGTTTTTTGAGTCTTGCTTCTAAGGGATGATATGTCTCCATAATGCTCAAATAATGAAGCGACACGAAATCTCCAACGGCCTGCTTGTCCCTTTATGTTTCGCCAAATATACTCCATCCAATCCACAGGCATCTCATCGTAAAATATATAATAAAATGTTGCAATTTCATTGAGGTCATAATTGTGATAGACTTTACCAATGTAGCCAAGCATTGAGGCATCAAGTGTGAACCATGTTTCTTTGTTTTCATAACTGTCAATAAAGTCCATAAGTTTTGGGTAATAATATGGTGAAGCTTTAATATCATCTTCCAGTTGTAAATGATACTTACTCAAACCATAACAATAACAAAAAAGGAAGGAGAAATCAATTACTTGTTTTGAACGCCATTTTACTCTTTTTTCATTGTCGTTGAATCTCCTTTTCAGTTTTTCAAACGAAGGATAGTAGGGTGGAAATACTTGTATAATGTCCAAGGTGCCCTCATTAACAAGAGACATGTATTTCTGCTGTATTTTATTAGCAAGTTGAATTCGTTTTTGTTTACTTGAATCACCAAGTTGTAATACAATAAGAAAGTTGGGTGTTATAGTTCCAACAGTTTGGTCCACAGTAAGACTATTTAGAGTGTTCATGAGGTATATGTTTCCATTTTCACGAGTAATTGTTGAGATGCCAATGGTTAGAGTATCTGCAATGAAATAAAATTGGGTTGATAAGGTGGCATCCTTATATATATTAAAAGACTATATATATTTGCATTTATGGGTCAACTTACACTTTTTATCAGATGATCGGTTGCTATGAAGTTTAACTTCATTACTATCCAAGATATTCCTTGATAAACATGCTGAAGCCAAGTTAAAGTTATGAACTTGTTTTGATATCTCTAAATAGAAGCAAAGAGCATTGTACTTTTTCTTTTAAGTCATCTGTTAGAGAATACTGGGCTACTTGTCCACTTAGTATTAAAATTGTCATGGTGTTTATATCATTTCAATTTATTTTCATAGCATTATTAATGAAACTAGTGGAATTTTTACATCAAATTTTATATTAGACATCTCAAATGGTAAAATGAACTTTGTTGAACATAAAGTGTCATTTAAACTTATTTTTTCAAATCATATTAGTGGGAACAAAAACATATTTAAAATTTCATGTACTTACTCTTATGGTTTTTTCATGTTTTATAAGCTATAATACTTCAAATAAAGCAATTTAAAATGTATTTCATATCACCATGGAGAGTAAATTTCAGTGAAGAAGAGAATGTTACAAATGTACAACGACAAAATGTAATTTTAAATTTAGTAAACTATTTCAGCAGAAGTAAAGGCCCGTTTCAAACGTCGGATTTAACTTGTACCAAATGCATTAAAAACAAAAGAAAATGAGATAAAATCCCTCATTAACTTTTTTCTTATGCACTCGTCGCAAGAGTTACTATACGTTTGAAATGGGCCTAAACTAGCAAAGAAACAAAGTCATTTATTTGTTGTTTGCCGTCACTAGCACTTCTTACCGACGGATATTGGTTCGTCCACGCATTTCAAGACATCCCCAAGTTTCGTAGGCTTTTGAGATGAAATGAAGGCTATTGCTATTATACACGCAACGATTAAAATGATCTTTAAGAAAGTGGGCAGTTTACGACGGCCAAGCACTCTCATATTTCGTTCTTCTGTATCAGTTTGTCTTCCCTACCACATTTGACCAAGTCTGTCATGTGGTCACGGTTAATAGCTGTAACAATTAACCCGCTAATGTGTTTAATATAACCCGCTAATGTTTTTCTAATTATTTGGGTTTTTTTGGTTTATTAAAGAATTTTATCTTGCAGCTAAACGTTGAATTACATAAAATATATAACCATGAACATCGTGCTAAAATTATGTAACCTCTTACATGAAACGAAATGAAGTAAAATATGTATTCCAACAGAAATTTCAATTATCATATTAAATTATTAAAAGCTAAACTTTTGCTTGAGATGCATAATAAAGGAGTTTCTAAATCTGTTTATTTCGGTAAACTGCAGTTGGATTTACATCTCAAAGATATATAATTTTGACAGAGCTCCTGTAGTAAGTAAATCGTTCCAGTAAATCGTAAGTAATAGATTCCAGTTGCATGTTGTTTTCAATGGACCATATCTGAACATTTGAAAGCCACGATATACAGATATTTTACAATCAGTATCACATCCAAAATGTTGATAGCAGCTGCAAAAAGAAATTTGAGCAAGGAAAACCCTTTTGAAACGTACTACACACGTCCTTGCTTCGATGTCATGTATGAAAATAGATCCCATGACTGGAAACTATTAATGCAAGTAACTACACTGACAATAAATGATTATTTGCTTTTTGATTTATCTCTATTGTTCTTGTGAAAATCTCAATGGTTTTTATTGATGCTACTGATTTTTGGTTTGTTTCTTCAATGTCACATAATGGAATCCGTCGATTTCGACACGTATGAGGGTTCCACAAAGTGGAACATCCTGGTTACTTAAATTATAGTGAAGGCAGCTGACCAGACTACAATCACTCGTACCTTTCACGCAACTACAACGCTGATATCAGCGTGACACACAGTGTGACAAGGCTGCAACATTGCAGATGCAGATACAGTCCATCCGAGGACATAGTTTCCTCTACCAAATTTCCCTCACATGGCTTTGGTCAACCCGGGCTAGGTTTACAGACACATTGCCAGATGTGCCACGAGCCGGGATTGAACCCGCGCCGGTCTGGCTTACAGCTCACGCAATTAACCATTCAGCCACCCGCCCCGTCCCCGTATTGAAGGATTACTTATTGTCTTTGTGAAAGGTGACATGCTCCTAGGGAGCCATTAAAAAATTTTAGTTATGACGTCACTTAAAGAAATGTTAACATATTTAAATTCGTGTGTTTTTACTTTAACGGAAAATTAGTCACTTTAACTTTGTAGAAAGAAAGGTAAATTCTGTATTTTTACTGAGGAAGTAATAACGAGTTACTTGGAATAATCAACTAGTCTTAGTGTAGTCCTTGAAATATGAAAGCTTTCACTTTAAAATGCTTCGACCACGATGTTAAGCCTTTGATCGTGTGAAATTTTTGCTCATTCTCAATATATCTGTTTAAGTCCAAACTAACGTCATATGCAGAGTTATTCATCATGAAATCTCATACATGCGATTCATTTTTTCTTATATTGTAGATCCCAAATGGATGGAGTCGTGAAAGTCCCTTTACCGCTTGTGTCATTCACTTCAATCACTCTTACTAGTTAGTCATTCATGTGTCATGGTGATTCATGGCCAAGAATGTTGATCTGTAGTTTGGATTCTCTGTTGATGTCAGTTGTTTGTTCATATAATGATGATGGGCCCCATTGTTATATGAGCCCACCTAAAGGTGGTCAGCTGACACTACAGAAGATCAGCTCTGCACTAAGCATTCTTTGAGTGATGATATAACTGGGATATTGAAGTTACCCTTTTCCTTCGCTTGAAGTTACCATAAGAGTGCATTATGGCGATTCATAATATAAGCAGCTACTTTTATTGGTTAATGATGATGGTTACTTCGTGTATGGAATGAGATAAACATATTGAATGGACATCGCATAACGGCATATGTACGTATGAACATTAACATTGAGGTGATTGGACAATAAAAATGGACTATATTCTACGAAGATGAAAAACAAGCGAGTGGAAAAACACGATTCATGTCTTGTGGTTTGTAAGTTGTGGTTTATATATATTATATATATAGAGTGTTAAAATTAACTGATATGAGTAACTGCATGAGATAGTTAAAAAAAGGATCCTGATGATCTATTTTTATAATTCTAACCTTAATCATGAAAAACACCCAAATTAAAAAAATGTCGATAAGAGATGTCACTTGCTTTAAGAAAATCGCTGGCTTTCACTCGCTACTTTTTACTAATTACGTTTAACGTTTATAAAGAAAATTGCAATGCTGCAAGTAGGGTTCATCGAATTTCTAAGATAAAAATGTTACAATAAATTTCTAAGATATACACGTAAAAACTGCGCGGCGAAGAAAAAAAGAAAGAGACCGACAACGTCACCTGGATCAGACTGACCAGGACAACGCTTGGAAATCAGGTATTAAAGTTTTGTTCATTTCAATATATTTAATTTATGTTTTTAATCATTCATTATGCTGACATTTATAACGTGTTTTTTTATTGAGTAGCTATGTCTGTAGGCCTACTACTGGACAATAATGAACGATCAAGTCGGATAAGAAGCACCAAGAAACAAGCGTCCTTATTGAAAGATTGACATTGCAACTTTCGTTATGCCGTTATGCATGTTATTTTCACAACACATTTTCAAATTCAACCGTTAAAAATTCCTGTAAAACTAAATTTTCGCAATTGTTAAATTTTCTGAAAAAACACACGAGTGAAAGCCAGCTATTAATTAAGGTCTTAATGAAGCAACATAGAAACTTTGAATCGAATGAAGTTTAGTAGACATCAAAAATGATTTTTATGCAAGTCATGACGTCACTTTGGTCATTTCTTTTTTTCATTGTTGTTGGCAGGTGAATGGTCAGGTCATGCGTTCTGAATAATTTTTTCATATGATTTATATATGGGATGCTATTAGTTTTCGTTTTTCGTCTGTTTATTAAAATTTTTTTTAACACTCTGCACTCTTACATTTTTTGTTCTCTACCAAAGTTTCCGTTTCTTTTATTCGAACACGAAGTATTCGCTGTGTCAAAGGTAGTCAGGCCGCTTTTTTGTCGCTCTGTAAATTTGTTATAAGATTGTACGACGTACGATCTAACTATGCTGCATGTTAAAGTAGATCATCGGGATCATTGAAAACAAGAAATTGAAAATGATGAAATATCTTAAAACTACGAAAATTTAAAGAAATTTTTCTAAACTTTTGATCTTTTCTTTTATTGGAGGGTTTTTTACCGGATCCACAGGTTTTCCCTCCCAATTAGTTTAGTTTTGGAAAAAAGCAGTGTCCACATTTGGGGCCAAGCGAAGCCATTTTTAATAACATTATTTATTGTAGCTTTCATGAAAATTCACGTTTCTTTTTCAATTCTTGGTCTTTAGGTATATCTCCCAAAGCACTGTGTTTATTAAATACAATGACATGATTTAAAAAAAATAGGTACGCAATGCATTCATGTTGGTATGCTTGAAGTATATAGCTACCGAATAATGTAGATTTAATCCACATAGTTTAAAGAAAATTGTATATTTGATATTACGCCAAACTTGTTCAAGATTCGTGTACTTCTATTTGTGTTCGTGTACTTCTATTTGTGTTCGTGTACTTCTTTTTGTGTTCGTGTACTTCTATTTGTATTTGTGTACTTCTATTTGTGTTCGTGTACTTCTATTTGTGTTCGTGTACTTCTTTTTGTGTTCGTGTACTTCTATTTGTGTTTGCGTACTTGTACTTGTGTTCGTGTACTTCTATTTGTGTTCGTGTACTTCTATTTGTGTTCGCGTACTTGTACTTGTGTTCGTGTACTTCTATTTGTGTTCGTGTACTTCTATTTGTGTTTGTGTACTTCTATTTGTGTTCGTGTACTTCTTTTGTGTTCGTGTACTTCTATTTGTATTTGTGTACTTCTATTTGTGTTCGTGTACTTCTATTTGTGTTCGTGTACTTTTATTTGTGTTCATGTGCTTCTACTTGTGTTTGTGTATTTCTATTAAATATGTAATATTATTGAAACTATGTTCATTTATGATTCATTAACTTTATTTTATTAGCAGGCTACCCACATGTACGCGTTGTGTACCTAGTTTTTCGTTATTTTAGTGTTCTAGTTTTTCTAGTTTTCATTGCTATTTTTGAAATCAACTGAAGCTCAAATTTTGCATTCAGCAGTAATTATTCTCACTCTTTGACCTGTAAATGCAATTGAAAACAATGATTAATACCAATTGCAATAAATACACATTGAAAATTTCAAAAATGAAATTCATTCCAAGTTTAACAAAATGGAAAATTTTAGGCCATGTTTGGGCCTGTTCCTATGCTGTAATTTTTTGTACTAATGAATCTCACCTATGAATCTAGTTATGTAGGTACTAAAGTGAATGATATCAGCAGACAGTTAAAAGAGACATATTACAAACACTTTAAATCTTGCCACAACATTGAAAGTGAGCAGTTTCCTTGGCGTGGTCAAAATTGATCCATGCTACAGTAACTTCTTTGGTACTCAGTCATGAATACAGGGGAGAACTTTACCAAGTATTTTTTTTTTGAAAGTTCCTGTTTTTGTTTCATGCTTTTCTTATTTTGTTTCAATCTCCTGGCAATGTCAAGCTGCTGTCGTTTCATTGCTCGAAGGGAAGCAGGATAAACCTGGAATATGGTTGGAGCAAAAAGAAGAAAATAGTTAGAAAGAATTATGTGAACAAAGCATTATAAATAAAGCAAACAAGTGCCTTGAAATGTCAAAATGGCAAAAAGGTGGACATGAACCACAAAAGACAAAGTAAAATTGTTGTCTTTGTTTTATAAGATTTGAAAATAAAATTTCTTTGAAAAGATATACATTAAAAATTAATATTTAGACTCACATCTTTCGCATCAGTTTTGACACTTGGTCTTTCATTCGTAAATTGTCTATCCGAGGACGAATTTTTTGCCGAACAACGGCAAGTAAATGGCTTTTTTCCATCCTTCGTCTTTGATTGATTCCATGAAAAACCATTCTTTGCTTTCCTTCTACAAGATTGCTCTTTTTGTTGTCCAAAATCATTATTATTTTGGCCAACAGATTTCTTGCCACTCTCAACCTTCTCAACATTCTTGTTTATTTCTAAGCCAGTATGACCTATCTTGGAGGCACGTCTTGTACGCAGTTTATTTTTATTTACAACTGGTTTCGGCAGATTTTTATTTCTGTTCACACCCCTTTTTTTTCTTTGAGTTGTGGACTTGTTTTCTAGGTTATTGTTGCCAAATTCGAGAACGCTACTTACTCTAGCATTGTCTTCCGAAGTATCCCATACAAACGACTCGTGCCGTTGCTCAACACTTCGCCTACCAATTCGATAAGCTAGCTTTCGATTGTACTCGTTTATGGCAAAGCTATCCCACTTTGGACCTTTAAAATGTTTCGTATATTGTGTGTAAATTGTCATCATGATACACGTATATCGAAATTGTCAATTTAAATTTATTCCTAGACATGTTGCAAATGTTTCTATAGCAACAGTCACGTGGGCGTGTATGTGATACTCTTTAAACTATGGTCATACTATTTCAATGGTTATACAATTAACATTTACATAAATGGTAGAAATCCCTAATATACAAACTTTTTCAAGATCTCATAGACGATATGGTTCTGAAGATTGCACTGACCAGTTGAATAAGTTCGATTTTGTAAAAAAAGTTAAAGAAAAAGCCTCAACAAGGAACAACTTTCAGTAGACTTTTGATATATCCTAAAATTTGCATATGAGACAAACGGAAACTGCATAAATAAAGCTATGTAAGCATGTATTTGGACTTGACTTTTGACTCTGATTAAATAAACACGACTTGAGTACAACTCAAACTGGCTCAAACCCGTGAAAGTGTTGTATTTGGCCTGGTTTGCATTGGCAAACCATAAACATTGAATAGTTAGAAATACCAATTTCACTAGCAATCTTCATAAATCCAATGCCTCCATAAAGACAAAGATTCCTCAATGGAGAGACGATATGAAACAGACCATTCCTAATTTTCTATTATCAATCGATTATAAGACTTTTCACATTAATCGTCGACTGCCGGAAATAGATCGGTAGTAATCAGTTTCCTAAAGCTCGTTTTCGTCGCACGTTTTTTTTGAATCTCTAGTTATAAAAGACATAAATATCATACGGAAAAATGAAATGAAAAGTTCGCAAGATGACAACAAAGCAAGATATAACGGATTGTTATTGTGATAATAAAAATCATTTGGAACTTACGAGATCGCAATTTTATTTATTCTTTGAAAATTTGTTTACAAAATTTTGACACAGTGATAAAGTCGGACAGCGGTTGCTCCGTTAAGCGGAAGTAAATAGTGTATATTTTCCATATATAGAAGTCATAATTAGGAAAAGTACCTTAAATTATGCGAAGAACGTTTTTTGACCAATCAGAAGCAGCAACCCCCTAAAGTTTGAAGGAAGGAGGGTAGATCGAGCGTCCTTGTGTTGCGAGTTCAACGTTTCGTGTCATGTTTAGAGAAATTTTTAGGAAATCACGTTTGAATTTTTTGACACTCTCCCTATAATTTGAATGTGCTCTTTAAAGGAAAATGAGTGCAAGCAGAAAGGAGTCGACCTATATTCGACAGGTAAGCTTTTGCTTTATCTTTTAGAGAGTGTGGAAGCTCGTGACATTTATATAAATGTATACATATTGTTGGGGTTTTTCAAAATGACTGTATGTCAGAATTTTCTATTTCCACACAACCTTCTTCTGTGAACAAGCTAAATATTCAGCAATTTTTCTCTTTGAGCATATATTGTCGTATGCTTATTGAATGTTACTTTCATTAAAAGTTGGCGTGTGTTGTGTAAAATGATTTTGATTATTGTGCTTCGATTCTTGCCATGTTTATGTTTGAAGTTTCTGTTTAATTTTCTCTCTTCTTGTATTATAGCCAGACGTCAGAGAATTGCGTGTTTGTTTTTTTAGTATTTCCATGCATCACGGTCTCTTTCTCTTCTTAAGAGAGAAGGTCGTATGTGGAAAAAACATTCGTACATTGTGTTTATCTTCACTTTCCCTTGTTCCTGTCATTGTGTTATTTATAACTTGTTGTTATAGTAGAATGAACTCATTGATCTTTTCATGAAAAAGTCATTTTGAATGCTCATATAATTGCGTTTCATGTTTGTTGATGTACATTTGATAGTATGTGTGCCTTTCTTTACTCCCAACTTCGCAGGATGTAGTTTGTGCAACCGTTTATATTTTATAAGTGCATTTGACCCCCATGTTGAAGAGCTCAGTTGTGACTTTTAAAAAGAAATGCTATTGAAGTGTGTATGGCTATTTTACTCTGCTTGGTAAATAACGTCAAGTCGAAAGACTTTTCAAAAGACTCATCATTTGGAGTAAATAGAATAACTTCTTTAAGATATATTGATTTAACTCATTCATTGTGATTCATGAAATAATATGGTGATGTTGGATAATTGAACCTTTACCTAGCCAGACAACCTTTAGATAATCATCTTTATTGTTGTTCAATGTAAAGGATGCCCCAAATTTAATCTAAGTTTTTAATTATTCCTTGAAATGGGTGTATTTCGACTTTATTTCTAAAATATCTACCAACATGTTGATTGTGATTGCACATTGTATTAAAATTTTCTATTGTAGTCAATTGAAGAACCGGCTTATTTACCAGTTGGAACAGAAGTTAGTGCCAAATATCGTGGTGCCTTTTGTGAGGCAAACATCAAATCAGTAAAGAAGCTTGTGAAATGCAAGGTATCCAATCTTAAATTCTTACAAACAGTGATAAAGTGTTTCCTTTGATTAACTCAGAGCAATTACGTGTTTTTGGATGAAGGCATAAATCTCATCATTGTCCTTGCATATGTACTATGTAAGAAAGAGAGTTTAGTGTTATTGACTTAAGATATATTACTACTAAAAACCAAAGTACAGTCATAACTCATACGGTATTGGAGGTAAAATTTGAAATTGTGTGAACATTTACGAAAAGTCCACTCCCCCCTTTCTTATGTCCCTTTAAATTAGTAAAGCTTAAATGCTTTGTATCATTTAAAGAGATGTAAAGAGTAGATAGAGTAATTAATTGTAGTTGCTATAAAGTACCTGTCAAAGGGATGCAGCACATAAAGGCCACAGAGTAACAAAATATTTTAATGCAAACTGAGTAAAACAGAAAAAGAGGAATCAAAATAAAAGACATTTGTTTTATTAAATATTTACTTGTAACCTCAAGATGCAGAAATTTTCTGATATTTATGCTTATGTTATTATGTAATACCTGTGGTAAAATGAATGAATGAACATACTTACTTTTTATAGCAATATTCACAACGTTGTAAATGTTATATTATGCCTGTTAAGACAGTAAAAATCTGCTGATTACTTTTCATTATTTTGAGTCAAAAGCTGTACTGAATTATTAATGAACAACACCTTGTGTTATGATGTTTCAAAATGCTATGTTGCCAGCCAATTGCGAAATAGAATAACTTGCTTTCACAAACATTGATTTTCCATTCACAAATTGCAAATACGGAGCTGCTGATTTGAATCCATGTGTATGGTCTTTGCATATTCTTTCTCATTTAGCAAATTTGTATTGAAGTTTTGATTTTAGACCAATACTTAATACCTTCAGTGGACTTGTCAAGAGTTAGAACAAGCTGCATGAGAATTTTGCAAATAGCCATGCATTAGCTGTGTGTTAGTTTGCTTGTTATCTCTGATTATTTTTGTTTATTTTTTTAGGTTAATTTTGAAAATGGTGGTGGAAACAGTACAGTTATGGATGATGCCATTATTGGCAACTTAAGGGTATTTATTCTATTTATTTGATTTGGTACTATCTATCTAATGTAATCTGGTGATTTGCAACAGTCCAAATATAGATGAATGTTATTACTATATTGTTACTTTGATTACAAAAATGTAATGGCTGAACTGAACTTAATGCAACCAGTAAATTGAGTTAATTTAGGTCATAGATGTTGTGGTTTACTTCTACAAAAATTCCCAATGGATTGGAGATTGCATAATTCTATTGTACTGATATACATCTGGCAGGTTGGATCTGACATAAAGGTGAAGGTTCAAGATGGTCAGGACAAGGCAGGCACACTTGTGAAAATAACAGACTCAAGCACATACACAGTGATTTTTGATGATGGTGATGAAAGAACGCTAAAGAGGACCTCTCTATGCATCAAGGGTGAAAAACATTTCAATGAAAGCGAAACTCTTGATCACCTACCGCTTACAGACCCTGAGAACTTTGGCACACCTGTCATGCAGGTTGATAATATTTTTTGTAGGAGGGAGATTTCCTCTTTGTAGCGAGAATCAGCTTTCAATTGAAAAGATAAGATATACTTTTTAAGACACACCTTTGCATGTTTAATGTGTAGCATGAGGAAAATGCTCTTCCAGAAAATTCACTCTGTAAATTTGCCCTCTTTTGAAATGCAAATATGCTTATTATGCCATTGCACATGATTGTTACTCTTTTTCTACTTAGGAATGAACGTTTGTGAGCATTTTTAAAATAATCTGTCTCTTTCGTTTCTTTAGCAAGGTAAAAAACCAAGAAAAGGACGAAGGAGTTCATTAAGGTATCGATTTATCATACCTGTGTATTTCGCAAACTTTGAGATTCGCAAAAAAATTCTCACATAGCTACTTGAGATTTTTAAGTTTGCGAAAATGAAGGAACGTCAAAAGTTTAAAATTTGTGTGTGCTTCTTTAGTTCAGCTAAATGCAAGTAAAAATATTGCCAAATACCATATTTAGTATTCTTTAAGGATTCTACAAATTATAGTAGTATATTTTGTTAGTGCTCAATTTCAACATATGCTGCATAGACAACGCGTAATGTAGCAAAAAAAGTTTTTTAAACATGACGAAACGTAAGACTGATAGCCATTTTAGTTTGTTTATTTGTTGAGATTGACATATTATGGTTTTATTGTGACAACCAGTGAGATTCACAGTTAAACTGTGAGACACTGAGATGAGACCTTAAACCATAAATCTCAGGGACAAATCACGAGTGTTAAAAAGTCTGAGGTATGTTAACCAGTAACTTTGAGCCAAAGACTGATGCTTAACTGCTGGATTTGATGCAACATGTATGCTCATGATGCAAATAATTAAGATCAAACAGAAATGGAATTTAGAGAATGAAAACAGAAATAAAGATTGGAAGAGGAATGGATGAGCGTATCGTTTATTTGAACGGAGAAAAGAATTTAAGTTATCAAAAACAGGGTGTTAATTTTAACTTATTAGAAGATGTTGGAGAGTCAAGTATTATGGATGAGCAGAACTTTTATGTTTATGATATATTTTCATGTACAGCCTTGCAAATGATTGGCTAAATTTGCAAACATCCTAATAATCTTAGTTTTGTGGTAAATTACAGCAGTTCTGGTGACAAACTTCTTTGTAACTTAGTATTATAATATAGTAACATAGTATTCCTATTAATTTTATTGTACCAACTCATATTTTGAACAAACTCCCCAATCGTCGTGAATGGCCAGTGGCTTCATTAATCCGCTGACTAATCATTTCAGTTTTACATTTAAGTTACCAACTTCAGTATGTGCTAACAATGCTCATGTATTCTTTATGAAAACTAGCTTAGATGAGAACAATGATACTGATGACTTGACTGTGAGAAGAAAGTTGAGCGTGAAAGATGAAAACAGTCTTGAAAAGGTAGGGAAATCGTGTAGAGCAAAAAAAACTATGACTTGCGTGCTGCCGTGTAACGTTGCTCTATATTTTAAAGGTTGTCTTGATAAACTTTACAGAAAAAAAGAAAACTTTTCAACTGCCAGTTTTGGTGAGAATAGTTCATAAATTCGTCGCAATTCCTTTCTCTTGCATCGCTCTTAAAGATTTCTCAGATTTCTTGTATGTTTTTTCTCCTTTCAGCTTCTCTCTTCCTCTGAAATTCGTGGTGATTTGAAAAGTCCCGATAATGTGCTTGTGAGATCATTCAAAGATGGAAAGCAGTAAGTCTCATTCGCGACATGCGCAAAACGGCTTCTGTCTGTTTGGATAAAGTCACCATTTAGGAATAATGCATGTTGAAGTAATTTTCACTTGTTTTTTTAACGATCTATCGATTTTAATGCATCTGATTGCCAGGAATTGGTCTGCGTTTTATGACCGCATTGGCTTTTGTTGTGGTTGTTTTTGATGTTTTATCTTGACTTCATCAATGTTGACGTTGTTATTTATGTGTGTAAAAATTTACTTGGTAATTTGCGTGATCATTTATATTTTTTTTGTGTTTTACTTAGAATGGAAGTTAATTTTAAAGATGTAAAAGAGTTCTCCAAAGAAAGTGCTATGAATTCAATTTTGACGAAAGGAGAAAATCCAGGCTTAAAGTCAGGTATCGTAATACCATGTTGTTTTGTGTCGTTCTTCTGATTCTGTATTTTTGTGCGCATCACAGATAAGCTTTAGACAAATTTGAAAGAAAACGGACTGTACTATATCAAAGTCTTACAAAGTCGTACTAAAGTTTCCTATAGTTTTCCCATGCTGAGACAATTTGTCCAATCATTTTTTGTCATACATTGCACACTGTATGTATGATCTATTTATTCTTCAAGCTGTCGAGAATGCTCTGAAGTATTTAGAAACAGATCAGTTGCCCGAGAACTGGAATGATGAAAGCCTTGTTGAGGCGCAGCACAAAGAGAATGGTGAACATTCTTCTTGTAGTGAGGCTGAGTCTGATGGTGATGAAAACGACAGAAACATATTCCTGGAGAAGCTAAATAAATTTCTTGACGAAAAAGGTAACTTTCATATGAAACTTTACTTTTGGTCGTAGTTACTACTACTACGACGTAGTTTACAACTTTTTCACAGATGCTTGTAAATAATAAAAAATTGTTTGTTGCCTGTTTATACGCATAGCGTCGTTGAACTTGAAGAAATTGAATCTCGCCTTTGCTAATCACAAGTTAAACCATTATCACGACCATAGTTTCGAACTTAAAAAATTTTTGTCCTCGATTTCGTGACATGATAATAGAGTGATATCTCTATTTTGTAAAATATTTCTGTAGTTTTCAAGTTTTCGCATTTCATTTCTTTTTTTGTCAAGGCACTCCGCTTCAGCGTGTCCCAGTTCTCGCTCATCGTGATCTTGATTTATATAAACTGTACAGAATAGTTCTCAAGATGCATGGAATGGAAAAGGTTTGTCGCGTGGCATACGTACATTTTTGAAGTCTATTACTTCTGTTTAAAGAAAATGGTCATCCGCCAGGAATTTTAGGGGTTTTTCGAAGTTAAAATAGGTTTGAGAGGCATTAGCACTCATCACGATGTTTCTGTTACAAATGATATTACTCGTGTTGATTTCTTGGGTAAAAAAGATTGTTGACTTGATTTTAATGCTGGGAATAGGAAGGTTTCTTTGAGGTGTAATTCGGGAAGGTGTGACTTCAGTCGAGTAAATTTAATTTGGTGCTGGGAAGACATGAAGTCAATCATGTCATGTCGTGACTAGCCAGATCAACTGGTCAGTTATATGCATGCAAGCTTCAAACGTGATTTTATCTCTGCTGAACGCACACTTGAAATTGGCTTTATCACCCCCAATGAATTCATTGTTTAATATACCACTACCACTATTTTGCTTTTCAAATGACTCTATCGTTCAGGTGGAATCATGGCAATCTGTGTACAAAAAGATGAATATTCCGGTTGTTTCCTCAGCTTCTGCTTATCATATAAGAACTGCTTACGAAAGGTGATAGTAAAATAACAATAATTCAACGCGTGCGCTAATTTGTCTATAGCCGATCTGAGCTTAACAATTAAATCAATGAAAGAGACTTTGCAAATCAATCATCACTGCATGTCATTTATAAACTTAAAAATTTTGTTTTAACTTTATATTAAACATCTTTTATTTCCTAAATATTTTTTTTTTGTGAATGGTGTGATATTTTAAGGTGAACATTTGTATATTTATTAAGACTGTATCTTTATTGACGAGTTTCGTTTTCGTTTCAGATATTTATACGACTTTGAGGTTCATTGTCGTGAAGCTGAACAGATTGAAAAAGGAAAAATGAGGTTGAAGTTGCCTCAAGAAGACGAAAATTCGAAGTTGGCAAATTCAAATCATGAAACTGAAACACCTGTTGTTTCCGATTCAGAGAAAGATAATAAAAATAGCAAAATCATATCCATAATAAAATCCCCATCCAAGCGGGGCAGGTATGTACGAAAAGCCAAACCAGATCGTACGCAATCGTTAAAGTCCCCTAGCTCTCCTGCGTGTGCTCCTCGTTCTCCGTGTTCACCTAGATCGGTAGGTTCCGTAAGTCCATCGGAGTGCACTGGCTCTCCTTCAGAGCCTAATGTTTGCGACGCTCGTGAGTTGCGAGCAAAAACGGAGAGTATTCCTAATAAAAATGCTCTGAAAGTTTCTGGCATTACGGATGATTCATGTGAGACAATAGCGAACTCTTGTAAAAAAGATAGAAATTCTAAATTGAAGAGTCCTGTTAAGAATGTCGAGCCTGGATCTCAAAATATGGACGCTGACCGCGAATATCACAAAGAATGTGATACTGAACACTCCTTTGATGAAAATACGAACGAAGGATGTAAGGATTCTAAGAATTTGAACCGGGAATTGAATGTAAAAAACGATATGAAGAATTGCCGAGATAAGGAGGACCCCCTTGACGAAGGTGGAGGCGATGGTTCTCACCGAGAGGATACGCAGAAAATGGATGTGTCTTTCGCGAAGGAATGTTCTGAGGAGGAAGATACAGTGGATGTTGTAAATAGCCCCAGCGGTACATCTGTAACTGTGGATAGCGATGATCGCGTGGAGAGAAAGAAGTGTAAGAAGAAAGTTGAGCAGAAGAATGTGACCAAGGGTGACGTCGTTGTTGATGAAATGGACAATTGTTTTGAATACAAAGTAGATGATCGCATCGATGTAAGATATGGACGGGGAAGGAATACGACAGTCTATCATGCTAAGGTAGGAATGCGTGTCAGGGACTGGGACGATTTGTATTACGTAATCAATTGAGTTAATAACTAGTTGTTAACAAAGTCACGTGGGAGAGTGGTTATTAGAGACTACACTTTTTATGGATGAGTAGTAATTACGAGTCTTTGGTTACCTATGGCGCTTATTCTCGCTGATGCAATGTTGACTATGGAGTTTCAAACGTGTGTCGACGTATTTAGTTTATTTCCTGTTGTATTAACTGTATATTTACTTTACATACTTAAAGGAAAGTTTTTGACAACAGGTAATGAGAAGTTCACTGTTCGTTGAAGGAAGCATTATTTGCCAAGAATGTTGGTCATTAAAAGGCTTTGCAATGTCTGCAACTCTCTTCGTCTGACCTTGTCGTGTTTATTTTTTCAGGTAACCTGTGTGGATCCTAATGCAGAAGAAGGGCTTTATTATCTTGTTCATTATCAAGGATGGAATGCAAGGTGTGTCCAACCTAAATTGAACGTAAGCTTGAAGGTCACAAACTTAGCAATAGGTTACCACCCTCGATGTTGATGAATGACATCATCTTTTTCGATACGTAATTTTTTAAGTTAAAGTTCGCCGTTTGAATGCAAGAATTCATTACAACTTTCCAGATCTTGTTAACATTTTACTAACATCTTTTATTTTAGGCACGATGAGTGGATAGGAGACGAAAGGATTATTGGACGGGATATGGCTCAAATCCGTACTCGAACAAACAAGGAAACGACAAAAAACTCAAAAGTGAACGTCAAACCAACTGCAAGAGCAACAGCCAAGCATTCTCTGAGGAGGAATGGCAAGAACTCTGCAAATCATGCGGTTAAAGGCCATGGGGGTAGGGGTAGAAAGAGAACGCCCTCGCCTGTTACAAATACAGCTACAAACTCTAGGAATGGTAATAGCCGAGGTTGTAAAAACAAAAAGGATAATGGCAGTGAAAAAATGGATGCTATTTCAGAAGGTTTGTGTAAAGAGTAGTCAAAGCAAATTCATGGGAATTCATTCAATTATTATTACAGGATAAATATGTCAGTGATCAATCTTTGCTATCAATGTATGTCCTGCAATTATTTTCAAAATATTATAACCTAAAAAAGTGCAAGAAACGTAAAATTAAAATGTACTGCTATTGTTATGTTTGAAATACTTTTGACGTTTTTCATCAGTCATGTCAAAACTATAATATCCTTGCAAACCTGGTACAACGTGCTGGCTTGTTTTCTTTGATTCCGATTATTTTTGTTTGTGCTTTGTGGAAAATGTGACATGTTTTTATACGTATAATTTTATTTTGAAAATTTAGTAAAACACGCTACCCGAATTACAAGACGAAACTCGCTCACAATGACGGTGGAAACAGGTATGCCACTTTAATTTTCTTCTGTTCTTTAATTTTCTTCTGTGCTGTGTTCGACGAAGCGTGTAGAATATTTATTACCACGGATGAACCTAAACGAAAATAACAATGCATGTAGAAGTCAGACTACAACAGTACGTTTTGTCATTATAGGCTTACATGATTGTCATTGTTAAAAAGTCTTCTGAGTCTTCATCATTAGATGTTCTGATGAGTGTTGTAGGATTTAACTAAAGTTAGACATCAAGCGCATATTACTGTTTAATACAAATTTAATTCTTATCTACGTAAAATGGCGATGTTTACAAAATGTTAACAAAGGTTCATGTACAAAAACATGAAAAGATTTTCATACTATTTTAGGGGAATGTTTAAAATTTTAGCGAGGTGAGTTGGTAAGGAAGTGACGTAAGACAAAATAAGGGTCTGGATTTTAGGGGCGGTTTGGACGTCTGGTTGTGTAGCCACTGTAGATAGTTTAGAAAGTTGAAACAATGCCTAGAAAAAACTCAGTTCAACTGTACTACTGATTTGTTTAGCTGGACATTCGGGGGGTTACAATGATTTTAGAGAGATGAACAATTTATTAAGGGGGGTTAAATCTGATGTTTGGGGGCGCACCTACCCACATTAATCCCACCTCACCTCAACACCAGAAAATCCATCTATAATAGATGGTGGAGGTATTAAATGGTAGATCCAGTGTAAATTAAAATATATTATAGCCGCTCTATTTCATCTTCAAAATATTTTCAACCCTGCAGCTTTTGTGTTTTATTTTGACATACCCTGTATCCGTCACAGCTGGTAATAAAATCTAATTAAAACGTTATACATATTCTTACATGAAGTGGTTTGCATTAGCTTTCTTTGACCTAACTGCCTATACACTCAACGTGCCTTTAGAGTTGTTACTAAATCACGTATCACACATTATATTTAGAAAAAGATGCGCTTTCTGAGAAGAGTCCGGACACCAAAATGGAAAATGCTTCGGATAAGACGTCAGAGGACGAGATTAAGTTGGAAGAGAAACAGAGCAACATAAAATTGTTAAATTCAGACGAATCTTCGGGAAACCTGGCCGACTGTAGTGCTGAGCGAAACGCATCAAGCAATTTAAAACGAACACGTACGAATGACAAAGGTATTTTTTCGATTGTTGTAAAAAACAAAATGATATCGAAAAATGCTGCAAACAATAAGTTACCTTGTTACCAAATTAGGTGATGAGCTAATTTTTTTTAACTCTTTAGAGAAATCATCGTGCGATTCTCCTCCTGTCAAGAAGAAACCTGAGGATAAGGATTCGTCTGAGGAGGAGGTTTTCGAGGTTGAGGCTTCAGAAAATACAAAAATACAACAAGCATCAACGACAGCCACCGATGACACGTCTGGTCCCGATCTTACTTGTTCCGAGCAGCTTCCGACTACGTGCTCCTCACCTGATCCATATGTTGGGGGATTTCCCAATACTGAAGGCTATTTGGAAGACTGTATTAAAGATGCGAAAAAGTGCATGGGAACTAAGGACAAGGATAGCTCGTCATCATTGGACGAGAAAAAGGTTTTTTATATGCAATCCAATGTATTGATTTTTTGTATACTTTAGCGTAGTGCCTTCATTAGTAGTGATCTGATGTGGAAAATTGAGTTCTTATGTTTTTACATTCAGTGGTGTCGCCAGCTCGATAAGTGAGAGGGATTTTATTCATAATATGGATGTTCTTGCGTATTAGAGTAAAACATAATCCGAAATTATGAAATTGTCGTCTTGTTTGCGTTTTAAGTTCCTTTGGAATCAATTGTTTCTTAGGGATTAAAAAATGAATATGTGAATATTGTCCCCTTCACTTATCGAGCTGGTGACGTCACTGTTTACATTCTCCAGTCTACAATGTCGACAGTCTACTCTGAGTGATGAATCTTTAGTCCTTTTATACCCTAGTCTAGAGTCTTTGTCGGATGTGATTTCCAGAGTCCTGCGTATTGAACTAAAATACATGGAATGCCACCTGAAGCAAATAATTGAAGCCAAATTTTATACCCAGACACGCGAGATTACACCCAAACACGAGTGTGTGGTGTTTCGAGATTCTCTCGCGGGGTGAAAATTGATTGACTACACATGCGTGTCTGGGTGTAAAATTTGGCTTCAAGACTTTTCTATTACAGGTAGCGTTTCATGTATTTTAATTAAATGGTCCTGCGTAATGCAGTGACTAGACGGATGCATTTTCTCTATGATCATTTATTACATATGTAGCATGAAAAACATACGACGAGTCGTCGTGGCAAATGTCGACGCGAGAGAAAAGGCAGAACTCTGAGCTCCTATTCTTCCTTCGAATCCACAGATTTACCAAACGGTACAACGACAGCGCCTTCAGTCACTGTGATGTTGTCACCTTCTTGGACACCAAGATATAATTTCACTGAAGATTTAGGTTTGACTGGAATTTTTTTTTGATTTTCGGTCTTAGGAACTAGTGCAAAATAAAAGATGAAAACAGACCACTTATTTAATTTACTTTTGTTTTGTTATTGAATATATATATATGAGAGTTCAACTATTTTTGATTTGACAGTAGGAACCCATGCTTATTTATGCACAGGAACTTGCCTAGGAAACTTGAGTTCAGATTATTTAAGTTCAAAGTCATTAAGTTGTCCACCACCATTACCACCACCACTCACACCACCACGACTACAATCACCACCACCACGAGCACAACCACCACCACCACGAGCACAACCACCACCACCACGAGCACAACCACCACCACGACCACAATCACCACTACCACCACAACCACCAGTACCACCACGACCACAACCACCACCACCAAATTATCCTAAGTGGAAAAGGATTTAACGCCTTCCAGAAATAGTGCCTTAATCTTTGAATTTTGACAATCATTAATACGCTTTTGGCAAAAGTGTTCACAACTTAAATACGACTTTTTATTTCCTTAGCTTATGTCATCACATAACATTCTCTTTCTTTACTGAATAACTCTGTAATAAGTTCATGTTGCACTTCTATGTCACTTGATTTTTCATTGTGACATTTTTATTTACTCTTTAGAGGAGTTATTGAAGAACGAAGAAAGCTCGGAAAGAATTCGTCTTCTTACGGAAAAAATAAAAGATATTCGTAAAGTTTATGGTGAGCTGAAGTCTGAACTTGCCAACATTGATAGGAAGAAGAAACGAAGACTGAAAAGAAAAAGAGAAGGTTCGTTTAAAAGCAATTAGTACGTCGATGTCGATATTGTGATTATCGAGACATGGCCCCACGTATTTGAACTGCCAGCAGGCGTTCTTATGGGAAGTGACGATACTTACAATACTTATAATGAAAATTTCAACAATTTGATAAGACAGTTATTACCTAAAAGAGCTAAGAAAGCCCGAAATTTGCAATTTAGATCATTAATTCTATACTTGACTGACGTTTTACTCTACCATCATGTTGTGAACTGTCATCAATGAATGGAGTTTGTTGACCATAGCTTATCGATAATTTCATTGTTCATGTGAAGAACATACAATATAAGAATACCTGAACGATGCCTCCACTCACCTTAAATATCTTTTAGAAGAATTGTCTGCCGAAGAAAATACAACCAGGTCTTCCAGCTCATCTCCTTTGGCAACAACAAACGCAGTCACGTCTTCAAACCCACCTGCTGCCGTGGAATGCAGATGATGGTGGATTGGAAACGTGAATTTTTAATCAATCGTAAGATTTATTTATTTGACAAGAGAAATATGTATCGATATTGAATGAAAGGAAGATAATGAAACTCATATTTATGAATACAAAATTGAAAATTAACAAATCCTATGCGAGGCAAGTTGACACAACGAGCCATATCAACAGAGGTAATTTAAACTATAAATATGAATATGAATTGGATATTTTAATGCCCTGGTAAACAGTTTTTAACAAACTTCAACAAGTGTCAATTATGAAGTTCAGTTCATATCACAAAGTCTGTTGTATGAAGATTGTTCCTCATGGAAGATTGAAAAGAGAATACTTTAATTTGGACGTGTTTTACAAAATTTTGTCAAAATCTCTCGCTCTAAACTATTCCTTGTGTAAATATTGTTTTATAAGGAACTAAAGTAAGTGCTGTCATCTCATGCGCATCAATACTTCGCATGCCTTTTTTCGCGATATATTATTAATTCCAAGCTCATGTTGCAGCTAACAAATTACCTTTCAAATTTGGACAGAAACTTGATACATTCGGAACGTCTGCAAACAGAAATATTTCTTTTGCGTATATAAAAAAAAGCGTTGTGTTTGAGCTATTAAAATGAAGTAATGCACTGCAATCGCAACCTCGTTCTTAGGTGGGTTTTTTTCTGAAAATGAACGCGCGGAGTGTAGGTGTTCATGTCATCGTTAGGTTTATTAACTTGCATTACGTTTGTCGGAAATAATTGCTTAACTATGTAAGGTTACGTGTTTGTTTTGCTTATAATAAGTAGATCTTACATTGCAGGTTCAGCTTCGTAAATCGAGAGCGCTTGTTTACTTTTTGTCGTACAATTTCTGACAATTTTTCATTTATGTATACTTGAAAACGACGCAGACTGCATGCGCGCATGATGAAGCAACTCCTTTCTAACTGTTTACTAGGGCATCTTTCAACTAAGACCTATTGTCAGTGAATGCATGGATTGTAAATACTTGACTACAAAGATGCTAAGCATTTTTTATCAATTTTCTTTTACTCTAATATGATGTGAATAGCATGATTAACTTATCAACATGCAATTGCGTAAGTGCAAGTAGTAAGTAAAAAGAAAATCCTCTTGTTTTGTAATACTTAATGTGTAAATAATATTGAATGTATATCTATATATTTTCACAATATTTAATGCTGAATGAAATTTTAAGTTTTCTCTGCGTTGTTTTCATTGATTTCAACAGGCCTGGGAACTATGTGTTTCAATATGCACTGGGATTTTTTTGGTCTTTCAATCAAAATAAAATACCAATACATAACGTTATAAGGTGAACATTTGCGTGATTTTGTTGTAAGTTGTAATTCCAGGTTTTCTTGATAACACAGGTCATGGTGTAATCAGTTCTGATCTTTGTTTAGTTGACTGGATTGTTTGAAAGGTTTTGGCGCGAAAAATTTTGTAGTGTTGACAATAGACATTTTTTGTTGAGGTTTGAAAGAGGTTGTGTCTTCAAAATACTGTTCAAAATACATGGAACAAACGCAACATGCTTTAATAATGATATCTCTTTTTCAAAGAAAAATGAGATAAAGATATGACAAGTTCTTCGAAACGTAGAAAGCGAGACTTCGTTGTTCTCAGTGTAAGTATTTTGGAATAAGTGTTGGAATAGTGAAAATCGTTTCTTTCAGCTCGTTGTTTGAGTTGAAAAAAATACACAATACACTGTGATTCAAAAGATAGAATTCACGTTGATTACTTTTGCAGCGCAAAGAGTTGTACGAAAAGTATATTCCACGCATAAGCGAAGACTTATCAAAAATCATCGACAACAGCAGCAACATAGCGTTTAAAAATCGGTGTCAAAAGTTATTGCAGGTATGTAAGGACAGTAAAAATTATGTACATGGTATGTACAGTTAACCCATAGTTTCTTGATGCCCGGGGCGAGGAGGCAAAGGAAAACGTTTTCTGTAAAAGAACGAAGTGATGGATAGTTTAATTTATTATTTAATAGATTAGCGATAAAAGTAAAATAAAAGAAACAATTGCTGATCGCCTGTTTAAATTGACTATTGGAGAATGCCAAATCAACACTCCTAGTGTTTCTGATCTTCGAAATTTTCAGGTAAAATCAGTTGTTATTTCATTGTGTTACTATCAATTCTTTGAATGATCGACTAAAGATTTATTTTTTCAAAGGAAAGCACGCAAAAAGAAAGCGGATCGTCTTTCGATGATCTGGCTAATCTTATGCAAACAGAGCAATGGCCTTCTGTCGAAAAAAATGACATGTTAAATACAAGAGCTTTGCATGAGACCAAAGAAGTCACCTTGCACCGTGATTTGGTAAAGCAAAGTATACTAGCCAAAAGTCAAGCGACAAAAACAAGAAGCTGTGTGATTGGTAAGAAGACTTCATGATGTCACTGAGATTCCTTTTCATGGGCTACTGCCGCTAAGGTTAAACTTAACTCATGAAAATTTATATCTTTCTAAAACAGAAACAAAACTTAACCTATGAATGTTACCTCCTGAATGAACTACTTGTATATAAATGTATTGTAGACCCATCTAGAAAGTTGTAAAAGCTCTATAATTTGCAATTGGTGATTACACAAATCCAGCAATCAATAAAGCAATAATTTTAATTAATTTACTGCTTAGCTAATCCATTATTGAGCTAATCCATCATTGAATAACTTATCCCTGTTGGCTAACATATGGACAAGATTATTTTTTCAATCGAGTAAAGTGTACCAGGTGAAGTAACTCACAGCTTTTGGGCAAAATATGATTTAAAAACTTAAAACAGTACATTTTCAGGCGTTATAACAGCCAATTTTGTTCTTCAAAAGAAACTGCTTCATTTGCTTTACATTTGCTACTACAAATGGCCTAATTGTTTTCGTGTTAATGAAGTTAAATTTACTCCATCAAAAATTGTCCTTTACATAATGACTTCTTCATGCCACTTTATTTAATAGCCGAAAAAACTGGAGAGAACGGTGATGTATTCTTTAACTCTTTGGACTCACAAGCTTTTCTCGACGAATCAGCGTGGCAGTGGTCACAGGATGACGACCAAAAGGGACCTTGTTCATCTGACATTAAATGTTTTGCAGCTCAGATAGTAAATCCTCCTGAAACTAACATTTCAATGGAGAATTTGGAAAACAAAACTGGTAGCCAAAACTCCCGTAAACAATACGCATTTCAGGACTCCAGAAATTCACAATTTATTGCTTGCGGTGAAAGGTGGAACTTTGGATCCGATCATCAATACAGTGTAATGATTCCAGGAAAGTTTACTTCCTCTGAAACTTCAATACGTAATGAAAATTATGACGATACTGACTTTGAGACCCTAGCTCATGTATTCTAGAAACTGAGCACTTCCAGGTATTTTAAAAAATTATCTTTTCATGCCGAAGTATTGTTCTTTTTTAGCGCAACAATCCTAAAATATGATAAAAACCTCATAAATAGAACAGCAAATACAATATTTCTAATGATTCATAATTTCCCTACGCTTAATTCACAAGTAAAAATTGTTTACACTTTAAAAAATGAAAACAGCACGGTTCCTTTCGTATTGTTGAAGCGATGTTGAACGAATCGGAATTCAACATCCGGGTATGTACGGCTACTACAAAATGTGCGCGCACGCTCGATGCAGATTTGACGCGGAGTAAAACGATAAAGACTTCTTTCAAAACTTATAATTTTAATCAAAGACATAACAATACAATCAGAAATAGGTCACCCATTTTGTTGTCAACGCAACCTTTTCATTTTTTTTGAGAAGCAAAAAACCTTATTCATACTTTGAAAATATTTTTGCTGTTTCCATGATCCGGTGATCGTAGGAAGAAAGAGAAGAACCGTTGTTCGGCAAAATACCTATAACTAACAAAGCGGAAAATTTATTCCTATTTACATAATTTACATAATTTTAATAATACCAGTAATATCTTGGCGGATTTCGTGCATACCACATTTTACTTTGATTCGGATTGCGTCTAATTATTCGTCAAGTGGCTCGAGTCTCCTACAGTTTTCGATTTGGTTTGCTGCAGAAAAATCATAATATAAACAACTCTTTTTACAAAGGACTGATTTTGTATGAGAGATGTCTTAGCATCGGTGTTGTCGTGGTAAACCAGTAGTTCGCTTTAAACATCTTCGCTGTACGTTATCATTATTCTTATACCATAAACAATTCGTGGTCTATTCGTATTTTATTCTGATCAGTTTGTCAAAACTCAAAAGTATCCGCTCGAGAATGGCCAAAGAAAATACCGGAGTTGGAAGTAAGTGTTATATTCCATTCATGATAGAATTCAATCGAGATTTCATGTTTTAATTTTCCAATGTTGATTGTGACATTTCGTTTATTTGTCAACGAAATGAAACATTTAATAATTATAAATAATCTACTTCAGCTTTCGATTTCTCAGTCGTAATTCATCTATTATTGTTGAAACAACCAGGAGTTGTCTGCGTTTTAACGGCTATAATTTCTAGCGAAGGAAAGTAACCATTAACATGTTTGAACTGCAATTGATTTATTTAAAATCTGAATTTAACAATATTATGATAATATTGAATTCTAAACATAATCTAAAGCGTCGAATTTGAGATATATATAGAGAAAATGGAAAACTTATCGAGAGGAACTTACAACGAACATTAAACATTTTATACAATATACTGCATTTCTTGTCTGTGGTGAACGTCAGTGGACTAAATAATCCAAAACACCCACGACCATCATTGCCAAAACATGTACCAAATCTCCAACTAAAGTGTCGCGAAACTTCTGACTTTTGAATTGAACAGTTTCCAGGTTCATACATAAAAAATTAAAACAACGACGTTTCAGAAAACAAAACGGTGTTAAAATAGTAAATTCTATTCATAAAACCTAAAAATAGTGAGATCATTATTATTCATCATAGCGACGTAACTTGTGTTTTTGTTCATAAGAAAATTTTATGCATTCTAGAAATTTGCAATTCCATTTGAGTACACTAGTATTACGCAACAGTTGTAGCACCTTAGAACTTTTCAAAGCGCTACACGTACGCTGTTGATCTTAATGTAAGCATGGAAAAAACGAGCGAACAACGATTGACTTCAATAGCACTTTATGTCCTTTCTAGTTGTAGCTCCAATCGTGTTCTTTGGAGTCTTGTTCGTTGTTTTGATCGCGTTGATGTTCATTTACCGTGCACTTGTGAAGGAGTCTTGTTCATGCATTCGTGATCCAGGGGGCAAAGAGGAGAAACGAAAGAAGAAAAATAAAGATGGAACGTACGACCTAGTTTCGGAGACGTCAACTGATGATGAAAATTATGTTCCACCCACCCTAGTTGAGAAGGAGGAAATCGATCCTGCATTTCAAATAGTCGATAGTAACACTAGTTCTCCCTATTCAGCCTTCTCAGCATATGAGGAGACCGCGTCGGTGGATCACAGTTACTCCACAGAACAAGGCATGGGGAGAGTACTTCTAACTGTCATGTATCATGCCTACGACTCGCTTCTCAAAGTTTATCTAATCGAAGTGGATGGGTTACCGTCCAAAGAGCAAGGAGGTGCCACAAACTATCGTATACATCTTGCTCTCCTTCCTCATCGCAATCTACGATTCAAAAGTAAAACGCGAAGTCGTTTCATGCAGAAGTTTGACGAAACCTTCAACTTCAAGCCTGTTCTTAAAAAAGACCTGGTGAACCTTGCTTTGAGATTCCGACTGTACGGCATTTCTACAACAGGCAATAAACTCATTGCAGAGACCTTCTTTCAATTGGCTGACATCGCAAAACTAGATAAGCAGATGATGGAGAAAACCTGGCGTGCATTCAGAGCTGTTCAAAAACCTGGAAAAAAGAGATAGCCTTAAGCTATATTCAACAGTCTTGCACGTAAAACCTTTTACCGTTGAGTAGAATAATTTGCCAGTGTAGTGTGTGCGCGACAACAGATGTAATATTGAAGCAATATTAGTGTAATGTATTTTCTGAATGGTTAGAAAGCTATTTCTTGATATCTTAAAGTGTACTTAAAGCTACAAAGTAGCATTCCATGTCGTAGAAAATGCATGCTTAAGGCAGAAGTTTAGCTTCTTGTCTTGCTCTTCATTGTCGACAAAGTGCTCTCTATGAGTTCGACGTGATAGTCCAACAGAGGTTTGTGGCGTCGTAAAAACGTAACACAAAATCTTCTTTTCAGTGTATGTGTATGAGGATAAGTCAATTTTCATATGTTGTTAATTTTTGTAAGTTGCGTTGTATAACATGCTATACCAGAAAATGGTGCAGTTTCATTATAGTTTAATAAGCTGTAAAACACGAATTATGATTTCTTTATATACTTCATATACTTTCTCCATCTACTAGTATATACTTTTAAAAACGTAGAATATAACTTTAAGGTCTCGCGATTGCTGAAGGAAGGAGGTATGTGGTAAAAACGAAAACTTCCTCTTTTTATCTGATTAAATTATAAAAACGTCTCAAAAATTTTAATAAGCGTAAATAATTTATGCATTACGATTTTTGATTGTTTTAAATTATTGAACAAGCATCCAATTTATTTAGATAGAAATAAATTCTTTCAGAAGTCTTTCATTCGAAGAAGAAAAGACTTCTGTTGGAGTGTTGATGTCACTCTGGTGTTGATCTGTAATGATAAATCAGTTAGTGTAATATAATAAATCTTGGGCAACATTTGTTATAGCTTGAAGATACTTTTACTTGAGAATGGCAGATGAAAGTTGGCGATATCTGCTATCGGATAATTTGACAGGTAGTGTATGTTTATGTTCCGACAACTAAGTTCCAATGTCAGGTTTGTGCTGCATTTCTATTGGCGTGATTAGTGGTGATAAGAAATCCTCAAGTCTTTGTTCGACAAATACCTTCAAAATTGGAAATTGGTTGAATCATATTTAACGATACCCATAGCTGTCAAATATGAAAGTTTAAACTAAGTTAGCCTTGTGTTGATGGAATTGATGCGAGGCATACGTGTAATATATGCAAAGAATGTAAACGAATTATCTTTTTAGTTTTTGCTCAACTGGTTTTCTATGCTGCTCTATTCGACTTTGTGATTGCCTTGGTGTTTATTTGCCTTGTGTCTATGCATGGGTGGTATTTTTATCCATGTGATCTGGAGAGTAATGAAGAGAAGGATAACAATAGCTCTACGATACAGGAAGACGACATAGCCTTAAAGGTCAATCTTTCAAGAATAACTCCTTCAGTATCACCCTCTCGAGAGCCTGCCTCAAAAGTCACTCTCTCTTTTATGGTAGAAAATGTTAAAGATTTTGATGATGATGATGAAATTAATCTTATGCTTGAGCTTGTTGACTTATAGAAATACTCTGAACAAGGGACAGCAAATACAGGTAGAGAAATCTCGAGAAATGTAGTTGAGACCGCTGCAGGAGCCGAAGATTTCGTGGAATTGGAAAATTCCGTTCCAAATGGTATTATAACATTTTCAAGAATTGTAGTAACAGTTATAATTCTGGGAACTGTGTTTTTTGTTGTTTGTCGTTGAATTTTTGATTTCATCTTTCAGGGAATTCCTCTATCAATTTGACTGTACAATGTGAACTTGCCCAAGATGGTCATTTTTCAATTGTTGTAAATGACAGTAGTAGTGAGAGAGAATCTGAAGATCATAACGACACGAACGACACGAAAAATCAAAACGAGAAAATATTAAAAATATCATTTGTACAACGACATGAAAACCATGTCGTCGATATTGCTTTATTTTCAGGAGCATTTGTGTTGTTTAGTCTTGCAGCTGCACGACTTTCAAACTAATTTATTTTATATGAAATGTAAATCTTCACAAAATTTAGAAAGCACCACAGCACCAAATGATCAGTACACATGCAAATGACCAACTAATTCATCATCTTCAACAATTGGAAACAGTGCATCTAATGGTGGAAAAGCGAGGTTTTAGGTTTCATCTTGAAATGATGTAAAATTGGGAAAATATATTTTCAAAAAGTTAACAGTTTATTTAGAAATATCTTGTGGAAGTTTGAACTTGAACTTGACACGCCGGTGTCAAAGGCGTAACTAGAACGTTAATTGGGGGGGGGGGCATATTCCTATATTCCTTTGTGCCTTACTGATTCCTTTTAAAAGTGAATACAACTGAATACATGAATGTACAACCCCCCTTAATTAAAGTTCTAGTTACGCCTCTGCCGTTACGTTACCATAGAAAATCGTTTGGGTACTCGAAGCTGTGTCAGTGGAAAACCTTTTTTACACTATTATTTCTTTTTCAGTTTTCAGAAAAATGAAGAGCTTCAAAAAGCACACGAAATTTCATTACAACTGTAACAAAATTTCTAAAAATACGTATTGAGAAGGTTTAACTCTGCTTTTATTTCGAAATGAAAATAAACTCCTCTTGCCAGGTGCCGCCAGGTCAGGTGCCAGTCAATCTATCCAGCAACTTGTGCGGTCAGATTTAGCTATGGCGGATTGTGCCATTTGGGCATTGGTTGATAATTTAGACTAACTTATACTTTTTGCTATGTTTTAAAATGTTTCACAGTAAAAAGATACCAAAGGATAATCCTGCCCGAGATTTCAAGAGGTTAACGCTAAAGTTTCTTGACTCAAAGAAAGAGTCACGCCAAAGGGCTCAATATTTACGAACACTACTTGGTGAGATTTGATTTGTGATTTCATTCTCAATATCTCAAGTTGTTATATGTTCCCTGTTTGATCGTTCTGTTTTAATATGTGAGCTATGCTCGTTAACATAGCTCACATATTAAAATTTGATAACCAGGCTTGATAAAGGCCTTGTATTTTTAATAATTTCGCGTTGGAAGTGACATGCTAGGCATTTCTAACAAAGACTAAGAAAGGAGGATTTTTCACAATTCAGATAGTTATTAATTTGCTTGAATTTGTACGTAAATAATTGTTGTTCATTTCTGTATAAGTAAGTAGATGTTTATTTTTTTTTTGTACTTGCTAAAATATGTCTGTAGATAATAATTGATTTGTTTATGGCAGAATGAGCAGGCTAGTGGAATGTACAACTGTTTTAAGCAAATTGTTGTTTAGATCCTGCATTATGAGTATTGTGCCATTTACTTTGAAAGATGTGATTACATTGACGTTTACACTCACTATCTGTTTTTTCTAGTCTATAAAAATGACATGTTGATCCTCAACATGATTAACCTTTCTTCAAAGTGCCTAGTATCCAATATACTACATATTTTATACCTCATTCTACAAAATTACCCTCTTTGGATTTTTGAAAAATAATATAAGTTTCAGCCTATACTATACCTTACCGAAATCTGATGCACGTAATTTTTATACGTTCATACCTTCAAGCTTGTGTTGTGTCAATGACCAATTGTAATGGAATTGAACTTTGTAGAAATGGCTCATGTTTGATCAATATCTGACATATCATGAACATTTATAATAGTATTTATATTTTTTCCACATTGTAAATGCCGTTAAATGCTATATGGCTATGTTTGACTGTAGAAATTAATGATTGCTTTTTTTTAAATTAGATGTACATGTCTATATGGATAATAATTTTTTGTTTTTATTATAATAAATGCTGTCATCATGGACATAGCGAGCATGAAAATTAGGGACCACAAATTCATACATGCATCTCATAATCTATGGAAACTAAAGGATTTCTTAGGAACTTGCATATCATGCATATATGAATATCCCTCCCAATATTAATCTTCATATAATTCTGACAGTTATAATTTACTGCATATTTTTTTTAGAAAACTTTGAAGTTCATGAAGCTAAAGTGTTTTTGCAAAGACATTTCTCTGAAGCATATTATATCTGTCATGATTCTTTTGCTGTTGTTGAAGTCAATCTTCGCCAAAAAGGTTGGTTGCTTTTTTAAAGCATTCATGAGTTTCTTCAAATATTCTCATAAATTGATCATTTTTTTTGTTCAACAGCTAGCAAAACTGTCCGGGATGATCTTGACTGTGCCTTGTATATTTTTGAGGTTTGTGTTTGTTACAAAATGTATATGTGTTGGTGGTATAATTAATGGCTGTTAGATAATGCCTGAGTTTTTTCTTTCAGAAAATATTGATTTTGCTTCCTGAACTTGTCCATGACAAATGGCAATTTGCAAGCATAGGTACATTCATATTTCTCTATCAGTAATGTAGAACTTACATTTGTCAAAACTCGAGTTTGTCATTTGTGACCTGTTGTTGTAATGGCTAGCTTAGGCTGGGGATACTTCATTTTGTTATTGTCCATTAAAATGAATTTAAGAACTTCATCTGTGTTTATGGGAAAGGAAGGCTGGATTCTGATGTAAATATCAAGGGAGGCATGACAAATTTAAAGGGAGATGTGTGGGGGTCTGATTGTTTGCCTTCTCCCGGGTGATGTATCAGCATCACCAAGCTATAACAATCTGTATGAATTTTTAACTGGCGTTGTGATTGCATGATTTTTCATTAATTATCAAAGGACTTTAAAGAGAACTTCTTCATTTTTGATTTTTGGCATTTTTAGTTTATTAAGGTTACCAACATTGTTATTGATCAAAATTTATATAATTATAACTTCTCTAAATGTACGTAAAACATGCTTTCAAACAACACAGACAGTGACGTCAGTTGTACGCCAATGGGGAGGTGGGGTGGGAGGCCAGTGTATTCATATATTCAGCTATATCTGGCTACCTGGCAAATTTCTTTTAAAAACAATTTCACTTTCAAAAGAAATCTGCATGGCATAGCAGAATGTATACATATGGTTCCCCTCAATTAATGTTTAACATCCATGTACATAAATACTTAACAAGTTATTAAGAGTTTAGACAAGTGCACTATTAAATATTAATACATACTGCATACACAATAGTCTATTATAAAATAACCCTTTAAAAACATGGGCTCTGATTGGTTGAATTCTCGAATTCATGGTTTGTCGGATTTCATTTGACAGATCAAGGAGATGTCTTGATTTTAATAGTACTTTAGAAATTAGATTTTCAGTTTGTGACGTGTTTTTGGCAATGAATTTTATATTTTAGGGGAGGTGTATTTACTTTCAGGGAGGTTGCAAACATTTTACAAAAATCCAGCCTTGTGGCAAAGAGCAGTTATAACTGATATTTAATGTTGCTGAATTTTGCAAATGCTTTGTTGTCGAACATTTTCAAATGTGAAATATGTGTCAATGCGAAGAAGACGATTTGTATTGGTTTTCTACATTGTATATCTTTGAAAAATTCACCATCCATACTTCAAAAGACAAAAAAAAATTCAGCAAACTTTTCATATAAAAATCTACTAAGTTTGACATCGGCGCCTTTGCTTTTTTTTATCAAACAGGGAGAACAATGTTGAAGCTGTTGCATCACGGGAATGCTTTCAAGGTTCTTACGTAATTGCTTTCGTTAAAATTATTTAGTAAAACGGCATCTACTTTTTCGTAACTTAATCTTGTACTCTTTTTTCCCACGATATTCGTTTGTTTAGCTGAGAAGTGACGGTATACGTCTTCTTATTCTTTGGCTTCAAGCCCTTCAAGATAACATGGATGTCTCGTGTGAGGTGATGTTTGCTTCGGTCGTGCCTGGTTTTCCAAATCCTCTTGAAGCATTAGACTGGAGTACGGTGAAACTTCCACGTCCTTTACTGGAAGATCTATGTAACTTCGTGCGAGGAAGTGGTGGAGAGAGCTCTTCTGGATCCATGACTCTTCTACCTCAGGATAGTAAAGATGGTGGAGGTGCGAGTTTCTTCAACATCAACGCGTAATGATTTTGATCAAAATTGACAGGCACACTTAGCTTCCGTCTTAAATCAAAATTTCTGTTTCGTTTTTGGTTAACGTATTATAGTTTATATATATTCCAGTCTAGTGTTTTTATCTTTATCACTGGTGATCTAATGATGAAAATTGAGTTTATATTTACTCCAGTTTAATGTCTTCATCAATAATCTGATGTATAACACTTAACTTCTGATTTTGAGACACTATTTTTGTGATGAACGCATTTTGTTTTTTGATAAAGCAAACTGGTGCGTGCTAGATGAGTTGCAGGTTCTTGTGCCTTTGCTGAACCAAGGGCAAGTGGAGAAAACTACAGGCTTAGAAGACTTGACCAAAGTTTACCTAGATAAAGTCTTGGACTACATGATAACACAGGTTTGTAAAACGAATGTAGATTATTATGTCGTATCGTAATAAATATTGTTTATAATACGTAAAACTCAATAGCTTATACAAAGTAGCATCTTACTAAATTTTGACCAAATGGTTTCTCCTTATGAATAAATAATAGATGAATATAGATAAATTTCCCCAATTTATGCTCATCATACACTACGTATTTTTGAAAAATTGATTGTTGCTCTCGTGTAAGTAATATGATTGTAATATTAGCTTTTGCTATTTCGTTAAATACGTTTTGAACTCTTCAATCTTGCCAAAAGTCGATCTTTTTTATAATGATATATATTCAAAGACTCTTGGTCTCTTGTAGAGTGTCCTTGGCTACTCTTAGACAATATTGTATGTGTCTTTAGAGCATTTTTAATTGCGACATGTACTTCAAAGCAATTTTGTCTTCTGTAGATTGGTAAAATTGAGTGGCTGGATATAAGTATGCGAAAGACAGGTTTTGAATGCTTGTTTAACCTTTTCAAGAAGTATTATCTTCATCACGTTTTTCCCATGTGGACTCCACACACCAATCTGTATACCACCAATCCAGGTATGAATTTTGATATTTGATGGAAAAAAATCAGTATACCACCATGGGAATATAAATTGTTTTACATTTATAAATTGTTTCCCCCCCATGGGAAACATAAATTCATACTAATGAATTAACTTCTTTAAATAAAATTTCTTCGGATACTTTAAGTAAAACAGACAAAAAAATGAAACACGTTCGTTAATTTTACTTACTCGTAATGTTGTTATTGCTTCGTTTGTAACAAGTTTTGCAAGATTAAAGCTTTTAAATATATTAAATAAGTTAAACAACAAAGTTTTATATTATAAAACCAATCCACACCAATCTGTATACCACCAATCCAGCTATGAATTTTGATATTTGATGGAAAAAAAATACTCATACAAACATTGCAACTCATCCCAAGTGTTAAATTGTTATTGATTAACTATTTAAGGCAGGAGCTATGACACGTTATACTTTGACATGTTCTGTCTTGAGTTATTACGGACTGCAGGCATACACAGCAAATCATAAGATGTTTATTCTAGAATCCTTATTCAACCTTTAGTTTACTGTTTTAATAATAGTTGCTTTGTGGAAAAGACTTCATCTTGACTTCATCAAACTCTGCAACCTTGTCGTTGAAATAGTTTACACTACAAGTTCAAGCGTTGTTTTTAATGTAAAGAATAAAAAATTGTGTTATCAAAACGTCTGTGAACTTTTACTATACATCATCCTTGCACTACTCAAATCACCCAAAAGCGCCAATTCCCATGCAATATTATAATACCGAATAAAATTAATATGTTTGCATTCAGAGAATCAAGTCAAAGAATTAGATCCATCTACTATGAAGAACTTTTCAGCAGATGGCTTGACAAAGTACGCCGATTCTGTCGTTAAATGGTTCGTCGCATTCTTGTCAAAGATAAAACGTGTTGTTAAAATGCAAGCTGCAGCCTCAACTTCGGTAGATACTTTGACCTCCACAAATAATGATTTGCAAGCGTCGACCGTTTCTGAAGGCAGCCGAAATGCGTTGTACGAAGATCTTTTGCTCGGTAGTAGCATCATACTTGACGTCATATACTCGACGCGCGAGAACGTGCACATTGTTCACGAAGTTTTTCGACAGGTAATTTGATATATTATGACATTAAAGAAGACACATAGGACCAGGCCAACATCATTAAACAATCACCTAGAGAACTCCTTTGTTGTTTCTTTTGCAAACTTATATTTTGAAGCAGTATTTTGGACATTCTGGATATCTCTGTGCTAAATAACATTTGAAAATTATCGATCGAACTTTTTGGAGATGGTGTCGGACTGACTTTGTTAGATTCGAATAAAAAGCCTAGCGCAAGTAAAGACTTGTTTAATGTAGCCTTATTAAGTCTGATGTGATGTTCTTGTTGCCACAATTTATGTCTTTGGTTTTTGTTTCATGCTCTTAATGTTTTTTTATTTCTACCTCTTTTTGAACCTCTCGTTTCTCTCCTGTATATTCCAGGCTTTCATTCTTCCAATGGAAAAAAGTAATGTGATCAAGGAAGTCCTGAATGTTTACGACAATTGGTTAAAGGTAAGGATGAGTATTTCCTTCAATAGAGAGTTTTAGTTTAGCCTTTAAGGCAAACGGCAAACCCCGATTGCCCGCTTGCCGTTGAGGTTTGCCGATTCGAAAAACTTTAAATTTAGTTCGGCGTTTTGCATTTGTATTTTACAATTCGCATTGTCGTGAGCTAAATTTCATGTTTTGTTAAAAGTTTGTCGATGAAAAAGGCATATTAATGTTGGATACTCGCATAAAAATACAGCATAAACCTCACTTGGTTGTATTAAAAAGTACTAAAATGCTTGCTGTACTTCACCTACCCTCAAGAAGGGCCTCTTGCCGTTAAAACCTGAATCGCAAACCGCAACGTAAACTGCAAAGCCATGATCACGTGACTTTGCTGTTTTCCGTTTGCCGTCGACGCCAAAGTAAAACTCTCTATTTGCTTTGTATACCGTGACTCGCACATCTTTATATTTTTATGTGTTTATCATGAGTGATTTGTTGTTGAAACTTGAGTATTTATTTGTTATCTTCACCAGTGACGTGATGTTAAAACTCTCGTCTTCACTTTATTGCTTAGATTTTTGATTGCTTGCGTACATTTTCTTGCAGCAAGAAAACAAGCCAAAGTTCATGGAAGAGCCGGATGTTCTTGATACGTCATGTAGTAAAAACGAAGATGTTAAAGCAGGATTGCAAGCCAATATCCGATTGCTAATTTTTCATTCTTCGTTTATCTTTTTTACTCCGAAACCAAACAGCTCAACGATAAAGCAAAAGGTAATAGTTTTGCTGTCGGGATGTTTGTTTCAATTTAAAACGACTGCCAAGATCTGCGGTGGAAGTTTAGTGATTTCACATGTGGTCATACGTTTAGGTGTATTTCTGTGAGAAAGTTATTCTTATGTATCGCAATTTTGTTTTGGAGACAAAAATGGAGGCCAAAACATGGTGAGTTGAAGTCATTGTGAGCTCTTTACGAAGTCTTTACAATGATTGTGCGCAGTTTTAGGAAATATAGATATGTAAAAATGCTGTACTTTTGTTTGCATAAAACAGGGAAAATCTTCTTGTTGTCTTGCTCACGATTGCAAAACATGTACTTGAGGACAAGAGTGTTGATGATAAAACCAGTTTTGCTGGACAATTAGCGCCTATATTAGTACAAGTACGTGCAGAGTTAGGCTCTGATAATATCTTATTTTATTTTTTTTTTGAACTGTTTAAACAATATTTCTTGTGTGTTGATTTCATATAAAGTCGTTGCTACTAAACGACCGAAAAAATCTCCACATTGTTGTCATTCAAAAACGGCTAACGGCTGTGCTAGACAGCCTTAACAAAGTACTATCTCAAAGCACTGTTTTTGATTTTTTTTAGACCTTGTTTGTTACCTGGATTCGTGCAAACTTGCAAGTAACAGTCAGTGTGAAATTATGGGATCGGTTTGTGGACGTCGTTTCCTCTCTTACACACTGGAATGAGGCTGTGAATGAATGGAAGGTAATAACAAGTCATGGTATGACTGTTTTCTATTAATCATCAAACATCGCATATTTATATGGTTGAACTAATCTGTCGCAAGAATATAGTTTGCAAGTGAATTCTACTTAAATTGTACGATACCTTCATACTTCACTATCAATTTGCTTTCAACAGCAAAGTTTAAACTTATTTTCCTGAAGTGACATGATGCCACTTACTCTGAAGATGACTACCGCTGAGGTTGTCGAAACGTTAGTCATCATCTACGTATACAAACATTTACATAAAGCCAGCAATGTACATAATCACACGCTAAGGGTGCGTTCATACCATACAACTTTCTTAGTGCGATTTTTGCTTTGTGTATGAATAGTAACAACCAGACTCATTTTCAGTCTGCAAGCAACATGTTACACGCTTGTTTTTGGCGTCTTCCGTACGAATGCAAAACAACATTACAATGATATAATATTGCAGTAGGTATGCTTCATTGTGTATGACGCATAGACAATCATGAATTATGTTGTTTAATTAAACATTTCTGTTATTAACCATTTATTTTTTTTCGCGGCTGTTATAGTCTACCATGATGACTTTGACGAGCGTGATTGCTCTACATATTTATCGTCTGAATTTAAAAGACCTTCCCCTCGACCGACTATCTGAACAACAATACAAAAAGCGCAAGCGTCTGTTGGGTAACAATGACCAAAGCAAAGTTCCGTCTAGTCCATCTACGCAAGAACCAAAACAGGATGTGATGTCATCGACGGCTATGCTTGTATCTTCAAATAATCACGTGGCTAAGTCTGTTGAGCCAAAGAAAGACGAAGAAAGTGTTGCACCTGTGGCGGGAAGTCAAGAAGAAAATAAATCAGGTGAACCATAGTATGCAGCACGTATTTTAGGGGACAGTATCTGATCTAGGGTATGTCATAATATATTAAAAATTGTATATTTAAAATTCAAAATACTTTGTAACCAATCCCATCGGCTAATTTTACACTTCAAAATACTCTTTAGAAATTTTTAATGAGGCGCTGTATTGTATTTTGATATATCCTAGGTCCTCCACTAGGAGTGTAAAAACACACTTGTTTTAATGCACGATTGCACTCTTAACAAAAATTCACCTATTAGGAAAAATATTTCAACTCTTAACAATTTTTGATGACCGAAACAAACAATAAAAGGCCTAAACGGTTGAACGCTTTAAATACAACAGAAACAAAGTTTGAGAGAAGTTTTGTAACCTGGCAGTCTACAGAAGTTAAGAATGTTTGTGTTTCAGAAATATCGGAAGAGCCTGCAGCAAAGTCGGAAAGCTTAGCTACTCCGTCTGATACTGAGACACTGTCCCAAACGACACCTGAACAAGGCTTGGAACAAGGTTATGAGTCGGACGTTACCGATTCTGGAAGCGAGCAGCCTTACACCGAAATAGATTTTGATAATTGGTCTGCGACCGGTGCAAGTGTATCGAGAGATAGCTCGCTTAATGGCGATAAAGGTGAAAAGACTTCACAGCTTGACGATGAAGACAGTCTGAATGAGAGCTCCACTAGTAGAAGTGGTGTTGAATGTTCAATAAGTACAGCTGATGGCTGCCGAAAAAATCAGAAGAAAGGCATCTCCAAAGCGTTTTGGAAAGATAGTGATGGTGCGGAGGAGATTTCTTCTGATAGTGAAAGTGTGCCGACTTCCTTTAGTAATCCAATTCATGGTAAGGGGAAAGCATTGTTTAATACTAAATATATATTTTTTTATTTATGCATGCGGAGTGACATTTTTTGTATTTCCCGCCATCTGATTGGCTGCAGCAGCGGGCATCTTTTTGCGATATCTTTACCGTTGTCCAAAAGGATATTTTTTTGCAATGTATTTGTTCACAAATTAAAATTAAAATTTTTAAAATTGATTTCAAAGCGATGTAAATTGTTCAACGAGAAAGCAAAGTGTATTCAGATGAAAGCAAAGTTTTACGTGTATTCAGATGGAAGCAAAGTTTTACGTGAATTCAGATGAAAGGGAATTTTATCATACAGACGAAGCGAAGTTTGTAGAAAACAATCCAATTTTAGTCTCAACATTAAGCTGCGTCAGCCATTTTACAACGCGAATTTCTTTATAATAAAAAATAAAAAAATAAATATGTTATTTACTGTTTTGGTCGGTCCGTACTCAAAAGCTTACTTTTTAGACCTTGTTAAAACCGGACCTCCACGCCTGTAAATAACATATATTTATATAAATTGACTGGAAAATAAAAATATCCAACCTTGTAGGTTTGCTTGACCAAATAATTGTATCATCCTTCGTTTTTATGTGGTGGGAGGGGGGGGGGGAGGGAGGGGAGGACTGGGGTTTGCCTTAAAACACCTTAGAAGAAACAAATGCCCATTGTAAGCGGGCATTAAATATACACAAGGAATAAATAAAACGAAAAAAGTCAAGCTTTTTATCTATATATTTTTGTTTAGAAGATACGAGCTTTGATACCAACAATCCAGTTACATCGCAAATGATGGATGAACCGACTGTACCTTTGGAAATTATTGAGCCGTCAGTCCACAGCTTAGATCTCAGTAACGAGGTCAGCGTCATATGTGGTGGCACAAAGACGGGGTGGACACCAGTTACAGCAGTTGTCTTGTGGACAAGAATGCTTGGATGTTTGGGAAATATAAATGATATCGATAGTTCTTCAATTCATGCTCAAGTCCTGAACGGCCTGTCTGAAATATGGCATCTCCTTTCTAAGGTGAGTAATAATCGATCATCGTTTTATGTTAAATAAGTTATGACTACTGAGTAATCATTTTTTAACTTCTCAACTAAGTGTTAAGGCCCGTTCACACGATCCGATTTTTTCGGTTCCGACTTTTCGATTGTTTGATCATTTTGTTGATATTTATATTCGCTTGGATATTTATAATCGTGTGAACAGCCTTTTGTGTTATCCAGTTCATATTTTCGATAGATTTTTCGTATTTTTGCTCTTGTTTCCAAGTCTCTTTCAAATCTATGTAATTTTACTGATCGGCTTCGTTTGATCTTGTCGGATGAAAATAGAGCAAGTTCTATATCCATACGAACTTTTAGATTGACGGATCCGACTATAGAGCAAGTTCTATATCCATACGAATTTTTAGATTGACGGATCCGACTATAGAGCAAGTTCTATTTCCATACGAACTTTTAGATTGACGGATCCGACTATCTGAGGCTCACTTTATATGTGTTCACACAATCCGTTTTTAGAATCGGTCAAAATCGGATCCGACAAATCGAGTAGTGTAAACAGGCGTTTATTTAAAAACATTGCATCGTCATCATTTTACCATTTCAAGAAAAAACTGTTTTGCGAATTAATAATTACACTTTAGGCGTCTACTTTCTCTTTGGGACCCTTTGGGTATTTTGATGTCTTTCGTTTAATAACGACCAATAAATTCTCTTAATTTTTCTTGTTGTTTAGAACAGTTAACTAACGTTGTTGAAATCTCATTTACCGATTCCACAACTTACTAATTTTTTTCTGTGAGCAATTTTTCCTTGAATAAAACAATATGCTGTGTTATAGAAACGCTCCATATTCTCCTTGTAGCTTTCAGAGTAAAATTCTTTTGTCAAATCAAGACGTTGGTGTGGTGTGCCCCACTTGTACAAACTTGCTCACAAAATTCCAGCTAAATACATCATCTACATAGAATGATAAATTGGTGTCACATTCTTTGTCTTAAGCACATTGTAACCCGAAAGATGTGAATCTAGTTAGTATAACTGTGAAGTCTGTGTTCTTGGGTTGTTTCATAAAATTGTTCAACTTCTAATTTTAGATAAGAATGAATCAAGGTATTTCGGTTGACAATAAATCAACGCCGTCTATGCCTGATTATCTACCACCTTTACACTACTTTGCATCGTGGTTATTTCAGGTAAATTTACTGTAAATCAAACAATCTACGTATATATACATCTGTAGCTTAGAGCCAGTGTACTGATGTCTATTTTAACTACCTGAACGTTGCATCTAGTTCAAGTTTGCTTGAGATTTTTCAACAAAATATATTCATGATAAAAGGATGTGTGTAAAGACTGCGACGAAAAAATCAACTATAGGATAGATAAGGACATCAAATGATAAATTGGGGTTATGGAGAACAATGGCTAGAATGAATGGTATAGAAGAACTGATGATGCAGATGAATAGGATTAATGGAAGGAATGGCCTTCGAAAGTAATTGTTTCACATGTACACATTTTATTATTGCAGACGGTGTATTTGCCTACTAAATACAAGCAAGGCAAACTCGTTGCTTATCAACTGCTTTGCGAGATGACCGTACGACGACAGGACAATCCATTGTCAGCAAGCTATCTTCGACATTTTTATCGATGTCTTCATGACGGACTTACCAATTCGGATCAGGTATGACGATTTGGAATGTCTTCATTTAACAAGTAGAATTGATTCAGATTTAATGATAATATATCGCAATTGGTTGAGAGTTTTGAAAGTTTACTAACCAACCAATCCGCGTGTATTTATGGAAGAAATGGCTCTGACGTTGAACAAGTCGTTGCTTTTCTTGTCATATAACAAATCTTGTAATGTGCATCCTTCTGTTTGAGTATCTGTTTGCTAAACACACTATATCTTACTGTGTTTATATGTAGCTTGTTGTTTGACAAATATTTCCAAATCTTAATCTGTTCTAGATTTGTGTTCATTGATTTTGTATTCTTTATTATACAAACTTTTCGAAAACGTTTTTTCAATATAACTTCTCTTTATAGGATATCATTAATGCTATTATTGAAAAATGTGAATTTTTCTTCGGCGTGGTTCTATCGAGCTCGTCTTTATTGATTCTTGATTTCATTCATGCAGCGAATACAATTATTGAAAGTGGAAGCACATCTGTGGGTATATTCATATATATAAGTGTGTGTGTTGAATAGTTGAACTTTACTATAACATGTAAATTGTAAAGTGAAGCCAATAGTTTTTAATACAAGGATTCAACAGCAGCACCTTGCAGCAAGTGTTAAAATAGTTTTGTATATTGTAGCATAATGACCAAAGTTTTCTTACAGTTTAATTTCCAGGCATTGATGCATATACAAACTGACTGACTTAAGGCACGACGTACTTCTACAAAATTTGACATGCATTTTGTTTCGCAGTAAAGTACTTCTATAGCTAACTCAACCATCTTCCTTGATAGTATCCAAGAACAGAAGCGGTTACCATTCTTGCATCGTTATTGTGCTATCCTAACGCTTTTCCCAGTATGAAAATCTATCAGATTGGCTCCCATGCTGTAAATGATGAACCCACCTTTTTGCCATGCAAAGACATAAAGGTTAGAACTTTAACAACAGATATGAGTAAGGAAAAACCGGTGGAATATTAGGTCAAATATAAAAAGTATTTTTGGTTTGTTGGTAAAATCAAAATTAAATAATAGTTGATGGAGAATGAAATAATTGTTAGAAACATTTTGATTCAAATGAAAATATTGAGCACAATGGTTGATTCAAATTACGAATCAAAAGGCAGTGTGTTTTTTTGAGATTTTGCAGTACCCTTCGATTTCGTATGGTAGCTGGTTGGACGTCATTTGCTAAATTGCTTTTTTTTAGAATTGCATATTTTAAGTGCAAGTGTTTATATGTAAATTATTGAAACTAAAAATTTTCGTGCTGTATTCTTTTTATGCACGTCGTTTCTACTGTAACTACTTCCACCACAAGATAATTTTTGAAAACGTTTTCTCTCTCTCATGAAATGTCTTTCATTTCTTTTTAGGGGAAGCTATGTGATGCCTTGTACAAAGCTGCTGTAAATGATCCCCTTTGTCATGCAAGGTATCCATCTCATATATGCTCATTACAAAATGTTATGTATTGATAATGACTTAATATGTCATCTTTAAGATGTACGGCACTTTGCGCCATCGGGATGTTTGTTGTCGAAGAACTGACGCATAATAAAGGACACAACAAATTGCATCAGTACACATCGCTTCTTCTGACATCGATTTTGGTTTGTTGTTTTTTTTTGTTTATTTTTCACGGTATTACATTATCTTCACATGTAAAACAGTACAAGTTAACCTGTACGTCTGTATGTTATAAGGTTAACTGTTTAACCTCACATGTAAAACTATGCACTTTTAAGTTGTACAAACAAATCATATATTGAAAAAAATATAACATAAATTCCCCCATGTAGAAGTTTATATAAGTTAAGGCTAGTGTAAACTTTCGAGGTGACCAAAAATAAACTTTTCTTAAATGATAAATACTAGAAACAAAATTTGACTTCATAAAGAATGAATGAATCATCCACAATGGTTTGTAGGGGATGGGGTTCTTTACTTTTGGATTAGATTTCGGTTTTCACTGGTTTTCGCTTCATGTCGTCAGACTTTTTTGTTGTATTCTGTTACCTTTCATTATAATTGGGAGGTCTTTTGGAAGTATGCTCCATTAAACACAAATCACAATTGCTTGTGCCTAAATATTATTAGTACTTAGTTGGTAAATTGGCCTCTCCTATGGCCCAGGTCCACCCTTCCGCACCGCTCCCCTAAACACATCTCTGCACGGTGTATAAATGAACAATGTTTTGACAATTATTGCCCAAATTCAAATTATTAAAAAAGTTCTTCATTAACGATAAATACGACATTTTAATTTGAAGTGCACTTCTTTCACAGTTTAAAAATTGGTCCGTGTCGAGCGTGGCGATTGGTTTGATTCAAAACCTTTCTGAATATCATGAAGAGTTATCGAATCATGATCCGCACCTTCCTTTGAAAATTTTGCAGGTTGTCAAACTCTATTTAAGTCAAAGAATAAACTACTAAAATTAACCCGATATCGTGTGAAATATGATCTGACATTGTTTGAAATATGATCTGACATTGTGTGATGTGATCTGACATTGTGTGAAATATGATCTGACATTGTGTGAAATATGATCTGACATTGTGTGAAATATGATCTGACATTCTGTGAAATATAATCTGACATTATGTGATATGATCTGATATTGTGTGTGATGTGATCTGACATTGTGTGAAATATGATCTGACATTGTGTGAAATATGATCTGACATTGTGTGAAATATGATCTGACATTCTGTGAAATATAATCTGACATTGTGTGATATGATCTGATATTGTGTGTGATGTGATCTGACATTGTGTCAAATATGATCTGACATTGTGTGAAATATGATCTCACATTATGTGAAATATAATCTGACTTTGTGTGATATGATCTGATATTGTGTGTGATGTGATCTGATATTGTGTGATATTATCTGACATTATGTGAAATATGATCTGACATTCTGTGAAACAATCTGATATCATGTGAAACGTGATTCTGTAGCGTATGATACGTTTTTGCAGTAGTTCTAAATTGTTAAATTGGATGACCAGAAACAATTGTGTAACCTTTGTATTTTATTTTGTATAGTCCCTGTGTGAAGTTATTCGACGATGTATGAATGACGGATCTGAAATGGATGCCATTCAAATGGTCAAGGTAATGTTGTTCATGCACTTATGTTAATAAAGTTGAGTGTTTCGAGGAAAAATCGATTTTTCTGCGTTATATCTTAGGAATCTTATTAGAAAGTATCGACTTGTTTTTTTTTGTGTGTGAAGGCTGTTCATATGCTTTACGCTTGAAAAATAGTCAATTTATTGTTTGAAGTTTTGTTGAAGTCTTTTCCTTCACCTTGCGTTTTGCAAAACATCGACTTATATATATATATATATATTTATAAAACTAGATATATCAACTGTTGTTTACTCCAGCTGCAGGAATGTATGTAACAGTTATGTTTATAATATAGTAATGTATGTATGTTTTATAGTTGTGTATGTATATATATATATAGTGACGTCTACAGTGGGATTGGTCCCTATTTTGGTGTGAATGTGCAATCAAATTATTTGTGAATACTTTCGTAATGGTGGCTGTGTTCAGTTATAGGCATTGTTTATGTATTGATTTGTACAGTATAGCAGTTCGTCGAGTTTTTATAAATGAGCTAACACAGAAAGCGTGTTACGCTACATGATGTTTTGTATTCTTTTCTAGACTTTAAATCCATTGATGTTTTGTCTTCTTGACTGGGTAATGGTTATTCCTCTCACTTCTTTGTTGAAAGTTCAGGATGATAATCAGACAACATTGGCACTTGTGTTTCAGGTATGTTAACGCAAAATAATCATATTCTCCGGTAGAAATGCAAAAATGGCGAACGTTTCTTCAAGGAAGGCTGAAATAGTGCTGGAAATCGTCAAACTTCATGACACAATTTGACTTAATGCTAAAAAGCCAGTAAAACGAAATTTTTACCATTTAATTTATTTTCATTGAAGAGAACTCTTAAAATGATAGTGGATTTTCGAAAACAATTTACTCATTATCACATCTCTTTTCATTCTTAGGATATTAAAATATTTGTAAAGTCTAATTTACATAGCCAGTGACGTCACGTTGCGAAATGAGCTCCTGCAAATTTATAAATATCCTTCAGTTTCTTTACCACTTTCTTATGACTTATGCAGAATTTTATATCATTAACATTTTACAAATATAGAAACTTTGCCGGTTGAAGTTATCAGTAGATATTCCTGATAGTTCAATTTTCATTGTACAATGAGACGTCGCTGGTTGTGTAAAACTTCAATATCTTGTAAAGGAAAAAAGATATGAATAAACTGTTTTCGAAAGTAAACTGTAATTTTATAACTTATGTTCAATGGAAATATAATGTAAATGAGCAAACTTTGTTTTACTGGCCTTTTAAGGAGGTCATTAATGAGGAAATGTATGAACCTTGAACTAGATTCGGTACTATAAACAGGGGAAAATGGTTGCCTCGTTGAGATGCCGGAATGTACACACATCGCTATTAAAAAAAACATTGTCCAATATGCGTACACACATCGCTATTAAAAAAAAAAACATTGTCCAATATGCGTACACACATCGCTATTGTTTTGAACGTTGCATAGAACAATAAGCAAGCTTATTTACATGGCCAACAAGAATTAAAAGTCAACAAAATTTGTCCGTATTTGACGATGAGTTCACTGGACAAAAACAAATCCAAACGTGTGCTGTTTGGATTTTGGATTTTTCAAATATGCCGAGCCGCAGGCAATCGTGCGCGAAGATCCTTGAGCTGACCGTAACTTATCTAAACCAAATCCGATAATGGAATTGTAATTATTACATTGATCGCCATCGTCTGCAACGATCCCAATTCGTGCTTTAACATTTGACTTTCCCACATTAAATCCATTTTTATTGCAATTCGACTGAAGTCTTGCATTATTTATGAGTCCTAGCCACTTGTCTCTAGCCAGTGTTGTCGTCTGTTGCTTGTTGTCTGCTATAACATCGTACAATGAACTTCCATTATGAGCAAACTTCATCCATCTTTTCTCATCGTTATATTGCATTCCCAGACAGATCATCGTGAATGGGACATTCCAGTAGGATTCCAACAATGTTTCAATATTTGAGAAGTTTGCCAATCCTCCATCGACATTGTAAACTTCTTTGTTTGTCCATTTGCTTGAATCGTATTCAAATGTTCTCTGAAAAATGAAAAATATGTTGAACATTTTTGTTCACGTTTTGAATTGCGAATCAATGTTTAGTTGTTTTGAAATTTAAATGCTCAGGCAGTTCAATCTTTTAAACTTAAGACTGTTTTATACGTGCAAACAACAATATATTATTAGTTGTTGTTATTACAGATTATTAAATTCGTAAAAGTCGGGTTTACTGGTTTTAAAAGAGATGTTGGTTAATGGGACACTAGTATTTGAAAGCTGATCCTTCAAACGTTTCCTTTGGAAGACGTATTACCTTGTTTCCAGACATTTTCATTACCAATGTCCATCCGCCTCTACCACAATCGCCAAGTGTTTCCATATGACAGTATACTTTATAGAATTTCTCTTCATCATCACCATTGTGTACGCTGGTTTTATTTTCCTTCAGTTCGTATGTACCACTTTTTGATAAGCTATATTAGTGTGAGCTATACTGTGATCATTGGTAAGTGTAAATTTTTGTACATTCATGAGAATCAATGGTTATCTCATAGTTAACCAGGATTAGTACAAAAAATGCATGAAACAATTAATACTACACCGAGGAAGGGGGGTTTGATTGTAGTTTTTTCCATGAACCTTTTTCTCCACTCACTGCATTCTTCTCTAACTGCTTTTTACACTGGTTGTCCTCTTCTCTGACTTCTTCCTTCCCGAAGTGCTTTCTCCACTGACATTTTTCTCCACTGACATCTTTCTCCACTGACACCTTTCTCTACTGACATCTTTCTCTACTGACACCTTTCTCCACTGACACCTTTCTCCGCTGACTGCTTTCTCCACTGTTCTTTCTCCACTGCCATTTCCTGACACCTTTCTCCACTGACCCTTTCTCCACTGACACCTTTCCTTGATTCTCTCCACTGACCCTTTTCCACTGACCTTTATCCACTGACGCCTTTTCCATTTTTCTTTCCTCGATGATTTCTCCCTGATTTCCCTTTGATCTTTCCGATGATCCATTTCCATTCCATTTCCACTGATTTTCCTGATGTTTCTCCATTGCTTTCCTGACCTTTCCTTCCTTCCATTCCACCTTTCCATTTCCATTGATTTCCATTGACTTCCTCCATTGATTTCCTTTTCCTCCACTTTCCTGATTTCCATTTCTTTCTCCATTGATTCCTTCTTTCCTTCCTCGACACTTTTCCATGATTTTCCACTGACATCCATTGACTCATGATTTCATCTGATCATTGACTGATTTTCCACTGACACCGATTATGCCTTTTCCATGCCGCTTTGACCACTGATTTTCCAGCTATTCCACTGATTTCCACTGTTGATTCCACTGATATCCGCTGATTCTTTCCGATTGTTTTCCGATCCATGACAGCCTATCCACTGACTCTCCATTGCCTATCCGATTGTTTGCCGATGTTCTCCGCTGACGATTCTCCGGCTGATGACCTTTGTCCACTGACGCTTTCTCCTGACTGCTTTTCCTCCACTGATGCTCTCCACTGACACCTTTCTCCGCTGACACCTTTCTCCACTGACGGCTTTCTCCAATGACTGCTTTCTCCACTGACACCTTTCTCCATTGACTGCTTTCTCCAATGACTGCTTTCTCCACTGACACCTTTCTCCACTGACACCTTTCTCCACTGACACCTTTCTCCACTGACTGCTTTCTCCACTGACTCCTGGCCTAACCTATGCTAGAGATGACAACAGTCACAAAGAAATTTTTTGTTGTTTTTTACCTGTCTCTTTCGAGTAACTCTTTACATGTTGAAGCCACATAAGATGTTCGATTTTCAGCTAAACAATAGTACATGAATTAACGTAATCGATGTTTTATTTTCAGAGGAGATTAGAATGATTATTTTTTATTCCTAAAGTATACTCTAAATTCATTTAGCTCAGTCTTTGTTTTTTTATTGGCGTTTAGAAAGTAGTAAACACCTGCATGGTAGTCATTGTAGAAAAGCTATACGTCTTAAAACTTTCACGTACTTTTTTTATTTGTCTCTTCTTTGCGATCATCAACAGTCTTCTTCTAAAGGCATTTTGAAAAAAAATTCATTTATGTGATTCAAAAATTCATGAAACGTGACTACGTTTCATTGGAAATCAGAATTTCATTTAGTTTACCGTTGTTTTTTTGATGATTTCTAAATAAACATATTCTGGTGAATTTTTCAAAACTCCGTTGTCATCCTTAGTTCGAACATCTTTTCCGTTGTTTAAATCGCACAAACTTTCCTCTTCTACATCTGCGGCTTTAAAGTTTACCGACTCGCACCACTTCTTTTGAATGCAGTACAGGGCACAGTGAAGTTCATCTGTCACCTTAAAGGTTTCCCGGACGTTGTTTGGTAGATACTTGCCCGCCATTTTACGAAATGGGGTATATTCACCTTCCGTAACTCTCCAAGTTAAGGTCACCGCAATAAGTGCAATTATATTGTGAAGTTTGCTACTACAAGAAGGCATTGTTTTAGCAATAGTTTTTGAAGATATAAACGAAATGCGCCAATCAGTAGCTACAGTCTCTGTACATCTGTCGTTTATGCTGTAGCTATACTATGAGCAATACTTTTATTCGTGGAGTATCTCGGTTTACATCTCTTAATGTATTTGGTCTTTCTTCAATTTTTGTTGGCTCCTCCCATACAAATTATGTTTATTAAATTTTTTTTCGTTTTGATTGCCAAGGTCGGATTTCCACCTGCGTACATTCGTGCAATTTCAAACTTTATTCCTCAAGATTACTTCGAAGAAATTTGTGCAATTAAACTGCGATTAAACTTTGGAAACGAACAATTTTAACCGCGGCGAAGTTCAAATGTCTTTTGAAAAAGTTTAATTTAGTTTCCTAGCACCTAATAATTGGATTTAAAAATACGTAAGTTTAGTAAAATGACGTAAAGGAGCAACGCTTATGCTAGTTACAGGCATGTATAGCTATCATTCCGAAAGCATTATAGAATTTTTGATGCAAATTTTCTAAGAATTCTCCTGTGTTTCAACAAAATATGCAAAAGTTTACAAAATGTTCATCTGTGTTAAGTTTTTGTCCTACAAAGATGTTACTAAGTGATAAAATTTAACGCCTCGCAATCAAACATGTCCCACGTCCATCAAAGATTGTTTCACGATTAAGCATTTATAGCCAGTTTTGTTTTAGCTGACAGAAGTTTAGCGAAAGACCGCCAGAAAAGAACGAGAAAAAATATTCAATCACAAATTTTCCATCTGGAGTTGCAAATCAGCTGCACGAAACTCTTTTTCTTCCATTTCATATGCTTTCATTAAATAATATGTTGCGCGGTGTTGGAAACACGTATAATGAAGGCAGGAATATTTTCATTGGTCCGTTTTGTTTGGCTGTATATATAACACTAATAAAAAATAATTAAACACATGGTTGCGACAAATCTAAAAAATAGTAAATAAACTTTAACAAGCAAAAACTTCAAGTGCTTTTATAAAGAACATTATAGAATGATAAAAATCCTGAAACATACAATGTATATATACTCATGTGTAGTCGTTTTACATAAACTTAGCTTCATTCAAATATGTAGCTATCGTTGCTTTTCATGTTAAAACTTATAGTTTTATGCTATATGCAATTATCAGATAAGTGAAAGTTGTACACTCGGTTATAACAATGCGTTTCAAAGACTGCATTGTAGAGTCACTAGAGTAACTAACATATTGTTGTAACATGGCAACAGTATGTAAAGAGATCTGAGCGTTTACTTGAAATGTTCACATGCATGTAAAGCATTATTTCGGGCTTTTCTGGAAAATGCTTCTCTAAATATTTTAGAACTCTTCATGGTACTGTCGTCAGAATAATTTAGCTAAATTATTCACTTTGGGCAGGCGAAGTTTCTAAAGTTGATTGTGAAGTTTCCATAAAATATTTTTCATATCGATTTATTTTAATTAATTGACGAAATACAGCATAGCACTCGCCATAACAATTTGTTATCGTTATTCGTGTACAGATATGATCACGCACAAAGGCGTACAAGAGCTATCATTTCTCGGGGGAGGGGGAGTAAATATTTTCTCCAACTCACAGCGAAAGCTCCGCCATATTTTCGCCCGACTAACGCTTAAAATTTGCCCAACTTTTCAATCTTCAAACTTTCGCGAGGGGCAGAAGCTGCCCCCCCCCCGTCCCGTATGCCTATGATCATGCATAAGGACAATGATTCACACATTTATTTTATACATAATAGGCGCTGAAGCATGTGGTCTCCAATAATCCAGCTACAACAGATCGAGAGTTTAGCATTAGTCGAATGATTTCCCACGAGGATCTACAAATTCACCTCGCTCAAATACATCAAGATATCCCAGATTCAACGTCGTCTGGCGCTGCTGGCTTTGTGGATGGCGGTGCGTGTTTTGTTGTTTTATTGATGATATTAATTTCCTATCTATCCTATGCTTTCCTCATTTTTCCTTCTCTCACTCTTTTTTTGCTAGATATGACTGGTAGCCTTTCTCAAACCATGGAAAGAGTTCGAATTACTGCGAAAGCGGTGAGTTTTTCGCCAGAAAAGCAGCCTTTTTCTTCTTTGATACAACTGCATTTAACTCATTCACCAATAAATCATTTCTAATATTTTATATCTAGCTATGCATGATTTACTTTCTCTCCTGGAATGGTGTGCTTATCTCGCTTATAAATATAAGCTGACTTCATATAGAAACTGTATTTTATATGAAACAGAATATGAACAGATTACACGAAAATTTGAATTTTCAATTTATATGACTCCTATTATCAACAATATCATTTGCTCTCTATACATTTATGTATTATGTAATACATCTCTTTCATTTACACTTTTTTAGAAGTTTCATGTCTTCTATATTCCTTACAATTATTTTTTTACTTTTTAGGTAATACTGCACATCGTTAATCATTTAAATCATTTCCCATTATCTGCTGGAGCAGCGCGACTCACGAGCATTGTAAACGAAAACCAAGATAATCCATTATGTGAATACGAGGAAGAACTTACATCTGCTATATTTTCATCACCAAATGTACAGGTTAGTACAAAATAGATAAAGACGCCAAATAATGTGCTGGATTTTATCAAGAAATATCAGTCAATTGCATTTCATTTTTAGTATTTGACTCGGATTTGGATTAAATTACAAAAGATTTGATTGCATTAGCATTTGGGTATAATTTATGATTGGATTTGTATTCGGTTGGAATTTACAACTGCTTTTTTACCGAAGCAGATATTGAATCTGATTGGTCATTGTTACTAAATGATTTCATCTTGCAGTATTTTAAGCGAGAATAATAATAGTCTAGTGTTATGGCAAATAATATTTGAAAATAAACGCTTGTTTTAACATGCTATTTCCTTACAATGTGCTGTTATGTATGCAAATACTTGTTTCTCTTTCAGCGCAGATAAACTTGAAAGTTTTATGTTCATCTGCACTTAAAGGGAAACAAGAATTTGAAGAATTGAACTATTAGTGTACAATGTACAACAGATTAACTTTTTGTTCATCCTGGGAATTAGCAGTCTTATTAATTTGGGATTCAGCTTAATCCACCTTTCCGACGGAAGACACACGTGTCAAAAATCCTACATCAAATTGCAAAATTCGGACAATCAAATTGTCGATTATAGTATTGTTTATGTAGAATAGTGGCAATAAAATGGTTAGGAGATGCTTTTGAGTTTTGGGGCATTTGTGAATCTGATTCTAGTTATTCAGAACGATTATTTATAAAGGCAGAAGGCATAACAGTAAATGTTAACCATTTTGTGTTAGAAAAAAGCATAACGATCGAAGGAAGGCTTGAATACTGGCATGTTGTTGCGCGCTAACGACTTTTTTTGTAAGGATTTTGTGGGCCTTAACGGCGTGACTTAATAATATCCAGGACGGAGCTGCATAAAGCGCAAAACAGCAAGCCATACAAATTTTTGAATTGTTAGTTTTGTTACATGTTAGTTTCGCTGTCACTAATCACTAACATTATTGATGGATGAAATCTCCCTAAAACTGACTTTTCACATTTATTTACAAGTTATATACGTAAAATGGAATTTTAAACTATTGCTAAAAATGCATAAAATTACGATGACGCTAAATGATAACACATAATATGAATATGTGTTAATTCTATTCAAAGGCAGTCATTAATCTCATCTGGAATCTCATGATACATCGAATCATAAATGTCATAAAAATAACAGTTAAAAAAATTCTATGACTTAAAATTTTCTTCGCTCGATGCAGCTAAAATTGGATCTTGATATTCTTTGGTAGGGTGGTTTCTTACAACAAAATGCATACTACATGCATTTACGTAATAAATTGGACGGCTGTCTCTATGCGAGAGTGTCCCTTGGTAATTAAGGGAACCAGATAATCCTTGCTTGCCACGAAGCCCTTTGATGGTTTCCTCGTGATACACGAGAAACAGTAAATGAAAGAGTTTAATCTGAAAGATATAAACCAATAAAAATTATATAAAAGGTTGTTGAAGGTTGTCTTAAATTATAAGTGTTAGAAAAAGGCAAAGTGTCAGAAGAAGTTAATTAAAACATTGCTTGGCTTATTTTATCTTTGAGAATATATCTTTGAGAAGATAAACAAAAAGATAAAATTCGAAAGCAAAAAAACCCGTTTTCGGTCCATGCTTCCCGATACCTTCTGATACGTAAGGCACTAGAACGCCGCATGTTAACGTTTCGGTAGGAGATTTCGGCCCCTCCACGCTATCCTACTTGGGAGATGCCAATAGCAAGCTTCCGCCCATCCGAGATCGCCTGCGATAGGCTTTGCTCGGGCTACGCAGGGAGAGTGAGGTCGCCACCGAGCGAGCTCTGAAATTGGTGCTTGTATATGCACTTAGCAAATTTTTAATAATCTATTTTCGGTTTGCTCTTTGCCTTCTTAAGCTTGGTTTGACAAATGCATATCAAACTCTTCAACCCTGTTTTATGGCACTTGTAATACCCGCGACAACGTTTTTTCTATATAACTTTGTATATGCATATTGCATGTCATATCCAAGCTTTCCTTCCAAGCTTCTAAAATAGGGTTTACAAATACCCCAAGAGCATCTTCTTTCTATTAATTGCCACTATTCTACATATACAATACTACGCCCGACCATTTGATTGTCCGAATTTTGTAATTTGATCTAATATTTTTGACACGGTGTGTTTACCGTCAGAAGGTGGATTGGTTTGTCTTTTTTTTTCGAGATCTAGCATACTCAATCTGTCATCTGAAATGATTAAACTAGTAAACCACAAACTTTTGTTATAAAGTCAGTGATCACCAGCTCTCAATCGTACAAAATTCATCCTCTGTTTAAATGTCTTAAATATTGTGGCTGTTATCCCTTCAACTTATTCTAGGTATATTTATTATTCATTAAACTCTCAATTGAAAATTTTTTATTAAATTTAAGAAAGATTTCGCTCCTATTTTGTAGTTTTTTGTGGTCAATGATTCAACGTTAATTTCAATGGTAGAGTTGCCTGTTGATGTAAGTCAAATTATATTTTCTCAAAGGTTTTTTTTCGATGCGTTAAATCATGCATTTATTTCTTCGTTGCGCAGAATGCTTCTACAAAAGACAAGAACTTATTTTCTGGCAATACGTCAGTTAGACTCATCGTCCGAGATATGTGCGGTAAACATTGTTTAGATATTTCAACCTTGTATGGGCCACGATTTGATGCTGAAGAAACTTTTCCAGGTGAGAATACATGTACAGAACTTTAGCTGTAACATCAAATTATTATACTGCTCTTATTATCACTCCTAAAAAATCAGTCCTGCTAAAAACTCTTGTATGGCTGAACCCTTGTTTGATTTTATTGTTTCTGTAGGCGTTCTGAATAGTTTTTTCAGTGAAGAACATCTAAATGAAATATTGAACTCTGGTGAAAGGAGGTCAATACGAAAACAATCATCGGCACCATCTGAACGTGACAAATTAGACCAGGTATGCATTCAGTAAATGGTATTTGTATTTTTCACAAGCTTTTACCATATTTGCCAAAAGATAACGATAATGGGATGCTGAAACGGAGAAGAAATCTGGTATTGTTAAAAGCAATGTGATGTTGCTGATGTGGTATTGATCAAAGCAGGTTGATACTACATACTGCTCAAAGTAATCTGATATTGGTCGCACCATATAGATATCACTGAGAATATTTAATCATGCAAATCTTCTAAATTTTAAGTAATGCGATTTAGTCAATTATAAGTAGATTCTTCATCTGCCCATATGTCAATAGTTTGGACATTGCAAGATGTTCCGATTATTTTCTGTAAAAAAACTTTGTTATCGTTTTATAATTGTTTTGTTTTTGAAATGCATAGTTACTCCAGGATATTGGTTCAACCAGTCCGGAATGTCTCTTTCATCCCCATTTATCCCTTAACGAACCTGCTCCGCCACCTGTTCCTTTGAATGAAAAGATGGAGCAGAAGCTAATCGATGCTATTCGGGAGCAACGACAAAACGAGGAAAAATTTTGTGAAAACGCCCTCGACGATCCAAGGTTTGTTTTGACGTTTTTCATTGTAACTGACCACGAAGGTATTTTACGATGAAAATTTGCATGGTTTTCAGGCTAAAAGGCAACAAGTTAGCTCCTAACGACTATCAAAAACCAAGTAATCCATTTTACCTATCACATTTTCTTTTTAATCAACTGGGAATGTTTGGATGGGAGAAAAGGTTTGTTTACACTTTAGTAACGTTTGTTCACGTTTATTATATGTTTTAAATCATTTCCTAGGGATCAAAATAAGAATGAAGGTAGCAGTCATAATGTTGCTTCAATAAATGAAACTTGATTGAAATTCTTTCAATTTTTACACCAATGTGACGGCTAAGTGAAAACGTTTTGAACTTTGCTCCATGTCCATGCGTATTCTATTCGTAAACGAACATGTTTTTCGTGAGGTCAGGCATATTATAAATTTTTCAGATCAAAGATTGACTTATTGAAGAAAAGTGAAAAACTTATAAGAGAATTGAAGCATCTTGATAATAGGAAAAGGTTTGTTAATTTGTTTCTATAGTGATAACTTTTGGTCTGTGTTATGCATTGATCGTAATTAGGTGATGGACAGTCAAATCCATGCCTCTATCCGTTTACAGTGTGTTAGCAATGACCAAATGTTCACGATAAGTTATTCGTTAATTTAAATAATCAAGTATGTCTGTTTTATATGTAGTCGAGAGACGCACAAGATTGCTGTATTTTACGTTGCACCCGGACAGGAAGATAAAACGTCAATTATGAGTAATTCGTCTGGAAGCAAAGAATATGAAAATTTCATCTCTGGTCTTGCATGGGAGGTATGTAAACATTTTTTATGTGTTATTGTTGTCTCTGGTCTCGCATGGGAGATATCAGATATGTAAACATTTTTTATGTGTTATTCTTGTCTCTGATCTTGCATGGGAGGTATGTAAACATTTTTTATGTGTTATTGTTGTCTCTGGTCTCGCATGGGAGGTATCAGATAGGTAAACATTTTTTATGTGTTTTATTGTTTCTGATATTGCATGGGAATTATGTAAAATTTCTTATGTGCTTTTGTTGTCTCTGTTCTTGCATGGGAGTTATGTAAACATTTTTTATGTGTTTTTACATTTTAAATGTTAAAAAAAAGTAGCAACAAATGAAGTATTGCAAATGGAGAAAAATGCCACAAGAGCTTAAACAACAAGGGCTATAATATGTATTAGAGTGCAGTGCATTATCAAAGAAAGTGTTTGTCATAGAGAAACCACAGAGACCATTGTACTTGGTAGATTCATGAGACTCGTGTAGAGGGAAAGCCGATTTGTAAAGTTAACGTTGTGGTTTCAATGATTGGTCGACTCTCGTGATGACGTAGAGTTTTTATGTACCAACATGTTTTTTATTTAATAAACGCAAAAAATTAAATTGCTAATAAATATACATTTAAATATATTTTTGTGGTAACATTTCATGTTTACACTAAGAGTCCTCGGACTCATATAGATAAATATAAAGTTTAGTGAAAATGTTCACTATCTTGGATTATATACAAGGATCAAAATAGGTCGAAGGATGAATTGAATGAAGCGGTAATGCAAGTCGTGATATGTCTCGTCTGATCTATCCAAAGAGTCTTTGACAAATTTGTAATTTTATCAATCCATCAAAAATAGTCCTATTTTATTTTGCATCGTGTGATTTGAATATTTCTTCAAAAATGTCTGTTTTCGTCAATTTTAAGACCATGTGTGTGCCATTGTAATGACATACATAAGGTTATAATATTTATATACAAACTACATATCTACAAACAACATATGAAATATTCTATCCTAGTTTTACTCAAACGCGTAATCTAAACAACTAAATTGTACATAACTGCTTTGCTAAATAGGTAAATACAAATTACAAGAATGTAATAGCGTTCCAGTATATTGTCTTATAGTTAGTACCAGCATTGGAATAATATTGGTTTAATTTTTATATTGTTGTTTAGAGTTAGTGAATAAATCATGTTTTGCAACTGCTTTAATTGGCTGTAGCTAAGTGGATTCTAACTGCTGCGGTCAACTGCAACAAAAGCTTTGCCCTTTCCGTTTGGCAATTAAGAAGTTTTTCACGATGTTCTTCCTTGTTCTTCAACTGTTTCTTCTACATTCATCAAATGCTCAACCGTACAAGTGTAGGTCTGAGTACAATCCATCGGATTACCGAAGACATTCCGGTGTTCCTCTAGATTGCAATGTAGAAAGTTTAGGTTGTCAACCATCATGGAAGTCTGGGATACCCGAAGGAAGTGAAGCATCTCAACCAACGATTTACACGAAATTTCTGTCTTGTCAAGAACGATTCTCTCTTTGCGGTTATGTCTACGTTGATTATGAAACTGGAAATGCAAAAGATGGCGTTCATATCGCTGCAGGGGTCAATTTAGGGAAATTGTCGAACTCATCACTTTCTTCTTTGTCCACAATGCTTCGCAGTAAACTTCAACCGTATCTTGGCTTAAAAGGTAATTTAGCAGCCTGTGCTGTTCTTGAAATGCCGCTAAATATCAGCCAAGCTGAAGCAAAATCCCTTACAGACCTTTTAGTTAACGAGACGATTTATAACATTTCAAAAAGATACGATGCAGAAAAAAGTAGCACATCTTTAGTGTTTTTCTCCCTTCCTCGCGGTATTCGTACGGCCATTGTTAGTGTTTCGTATCAACTTGGTTCTCCCGAGGCGTTCAACAATCTTTGGCAATTTGTGACGAAAAACGATTGGGATAATGTGGTTAAGAATTTGAGGAATTTTTACTCGAATCATAATGAGCAATCGCGACGAGATTTAGTAAGACGCAATAACGAAGCTGATATTATAGAAGCAACTCTCTCAAAATGTAACAGTTCTGTTGATCTTGTCTTTCTTCTGGATGAGTCTGGTAGTGTGAGTAGGGGGAATTTTCAAAAAAGTTTGGATTTTGTTTTAAACATTATTAAATCGTTTCCCGATGAAAGATTGAGCGGAGAGGGCGGTTCAAGATTTGGTCTATCAACTTTTTCAACACCACCGTATATTTCACATTTTCATTTGAACGATTACACTACCCAATCAGAATATAGGACGGCAATAGAGTCCGTTAAGTACAATAGCGGATGGACTTACCTTGGTGACGCACTTCAGAACATTTTAACAGATCAATTCACGGAAAATCGAGGACTCCGTCCTGCTGTAAAAGGTGTACCACGAATACTCATCATTTTAACGGATGGAAAAGCGACCGATAGCGTCTTAACTCCAGCAAAGAACATACGAGACAACGAAATCTCAATTTATGCTGTCGGAGTTGGTGGATATGATATTGATGAACTTAAGGAAATAGCTTCATCAGATAAACACGTTTTTACTCTTGACACGTTTGCGCAACTCAAAGCTATCGTTTCTACGATCACTTCTTCAACATGCTACAAGCCTCGTGCAGCAGCAAAAAACGAGACAATTATGACAAATGTGGAGAAAGGTTCATTCAAGTACTTTGATTACAAAGTCAATCTTGGTTTTCATCTTCAGATAAACGTCAAGGATCTTGTAGGCAATACCATAGTCTATGCATCTCGTACTACACCTCATCCCTATGAATATAATCACGATTATAAGTTTAATTTAGCCGCACAACCGAACAAAATTCTAGTAATTCCAGTGAATGCAGACTTCACTCCAGAAAGGTTGGTCAAACGATCTGCGGACGATGACCTCCGAACAATCTACGTATCTGTAACGTCTGTTTCCGATGTAGCAGAGTTCTCCATTCAGGCAAGCGAGTGTGATCCGTCGAATTGTAGTGAAGGAACAAACGAAATACAAACGACAACAGCTCAAGTGCTTACAGCAACTCCGTCCATTGTTTCGTCCATCACCATTTCAATGTCACCAACTTCCTCCTTTACTATCCCTACTACTTCATTTAACATCACACTTTCTGTCACCTCTCATTCACCAACTTCCTCCTTTACTATCCCTACTACTTCATTTAACACCACACTTTCGGTCACCTCTCATTCACCAACTTCCTTCTTTACTATCCCTACTACTTCATTTAACACCACACTTTCGGTCACCTCTCATTCACCAACTTCCTCCTTTACTATCCCTACTACTTCATTTAACACCACACTTTCTGTCACCTCTCATTCACCAACTTCCTCCTTTACTATCCCTACTACTTTATTTAACACCACACTTTCTGTCACCTCTCATTTTACCTCGATATGTTTGATTACAGATTTTCGTCGCCCACCATGCAATTCGTCTTCTCGCGTAGCGTATACTCACCAGTTGATGGTGGCTGTTTTTTTGTCTTTTTTGATTATTTTCGTTCAACGAAATTAAGAAGCTCTAATCCAGAGGGTCATTCGTTGGCTCTGATTTATTTCTTGGCGTCGAGTCTAAAGTTGGCATTTTTCAATTTTCTCGTTGAAATTATCAATCGATGAATAAGTTTTCATCAGCTTATAGCTTCAAGTCCAGTGTAATTTTAACCTTATGATAATATGGAAGAGGAAATCCATTCATGACAGTGTTAATAAATATCTATCTGTTAAAGTTGCCATGACTTCAGCGAGGGATTTTCCCGTTGATTTTATTTATTATTGTATTATTAATATTATTGATAATAATGACAATAATTTTATGTTTTTGTTTAAACAAATCAACCTGTTAATATAAATTCAACAAGTGTGGATCAACTTAGCCTCGGTTCCATACATGGAACGTAGAGATTAAGTGCTTTATGTAAAATTTCGGTTTTCTCCAACATCGAAGATGTGTGCATGCCACCCGAGATTTGTGGAATACAAAGATCTCTCAAATAACTTCCTAGCCTATCGAGACAACCCCATGAACTACTCACCTCCAGAAGAACGACCTTTGTTGAAACACTTTGCATTCTTGTTTATTTTGCAATAATGGCAGTAATGATATTATTATGATAATAATCAAATGATAATTCAAACCTTCGAACTTAATGTATTTCAAGGATTACAGCACATTTCACATTGTATGTTTCTATAACTACTCTTCAGTGCAATATATGCGTCATTATTTTGCTTTCAAAGTGGAACGTTATTTATGTCATTTCATATAACTCTTATTTTTCTTCTGAAACCACATGTCTGAGGAAAACATTTGGCTTATGCTAGTCCAGTCATGTATACCTAGAGGTTTATCATCTAGTTTTATCATTTCTATTTTCAGATGGCGATCACTGTTGTTAGCCTCTTAAACAAATCAGCTTTAGTGAAAAGGAGCTTAAATCTTGATAGTATTTTAATAATCCTTTAGGTAGAGTTATCGACACATACAGGTTTCATGGGTGGTCTTGACAAGAATCAATCGACAGGTACAACTACTGCTTACTACGCTAACTCCACCACTGAAGTAATGTTTCATGTTGCCACGAGAATGGCCGTTTCTTCTGATGAAGGGGGATTTATCAAAAAGGTTTGTGACGACATTGAATTCATCCAATTTTTGCTCTCATACTTTAATGTGTTGCAAATACTTTGTGGAGTTTTCTTGCTTGATGTCATTGTTACCGATGTTTCTTCATCTTGCCAACTGATTTCCCTGATACAGAACTGCTATATGTTTCACGTAGTAACCTTTATATTGTAGTTTAAGAACTTCTAATTTCACATACTTGTCGTATATAAATATAGCTGTTATACTATCTGACTTCCTTATTGCATTCGCTCTTTTTTTTTGTCATACAGTTAAACACCTCTTCTCTCTTACAGCTCTACATATCACGTGCTTATTGTAATTAAATACATAGGTCACACAATACATAGTAACGTATACACAATCTAACATCATCATTAGGAGCGATTTCATGTTAAAAACTCGAGTCTTTATACTTCTTTATGCTGATAGGGTTAGTATTCTAAGTATTTATCTGACGTTGATCTCAATTCCGTATGTTCAAATTCATAGTCTGTAATCACTATGAATGCATTTGATTATAGTATGTATGGAAACATGTTTCAATGATAGATCATTTCTGATAAAGATACCATATTGTATTTTATGAAAACATCGAGTTGTACCTTTTCATCATAAAACACCTCTAATTTTAACAAAATGTCGGTCTTCGTGAAGACACTTGACTACGATATATATAAGTCTCCACATCAGATCACTTCTGGTGAAAACGCTCTAGTGGAAGAGAGAAAGAGATAAGTTTTTACATCCAATACTCGTACTCATACAGGTACGTCATCTTGGCAATGATGAAGTGTGGATCGTCTGGTCTGAGCATTTCAGAGATTTTCGTCATGGGATTGTGAACGCGGAATTTGGAGATGTAGTTATCATCATTTATCCACTTAAGAACCATCTTTTTAGAATACAGATTTTAAAGAAAGGAAACGTAAGTATGTGGAATGGGTCACACACTTATCAATTAGGAGATGTTCATACTAAGACGTACATCGTTTATGCCTAAAAACAGAGAACGCCAGAGTTACTATTCAAAGTGCCAATCGAATGTGGCATCCAGTTTGCATGAATTTTGCTCAATGAGAAGTCAGTAGCGAGTTTATCATACAGTAACAGCTTTTTCTTCAACAACCGTTGTCAAAAATGATGGCAAATAATAGTCTAATTTAACATTAAGAACACTGGTATAATATATTGATGGATAAAGATGGATTATTTCACCGTGAAAATTTTACATGATTTTTTATAGATTCCCTTCTTTGGACCATTGTTCGATGGAGCCATCGTGAATCGTCGTATACTGCCGTCATTGGTTAGAATGACTGCTGTGAATGCTAGTCGTGCAAAGCGATCCCTTATTCCTGGCATGCAAACCTAGTATCTTTTTCTTACAAAATTCTCATAATGAACATGTTGCAATGTCATTAACATGATTGTTATTCTAATATCAATTTATTTCAACCTTAACACCTTTACAGCTATGAAGAACGAGCAAGTTGTATCACTAATGTAGTGAACCATCACAAGGAAACTACGGTTTTTGAAGACTTTGCCGAACAGATCTTCTGCCCTGTTCAAAAAAAGACCGACGATAGTGACATAAAGTGTCAGGTATCGTCTGGAGACAAACCAACTGCTAAACGCGAAGGTTACAGTACGTTGCCTTCGGCAAAAGCTATCGCAAAATCCAAAGTTGGTGAGGAATTTACCTTGTACTATATACTGAATCTAGAGAGGAATTGAATGCATATCATTATATTCTTCATTCTAAGAACTTTATACCTTAATCTATATACTCCACCCCTAAGAGCGATAATTATAAACTGATTTTATATGTGCTCTAGTTTTGTATTTCATTCGAATTTTCAGGGCAAAAGATTCGTAGTCAAGTTATATTATTTAGTTGCTGTGTTGAAGTATTTTAATAACAGGTTCTATGATGAAGTTGCCGAATTCTTTATCGATGGCGAAGATGTATAAGTAAAGCAATAAATAAACACAGCAAACAGCTGAGACTATACCCAGTTTATGTTATGACAAATTCCAATGACGATGTTCACTGCAAATGAAATACAATGTAAAGCAGCATTCTTGCGAATTTGTTGTTCTTGTTTTTTGTTTAGCAGCAGACAAAGAAGCGATATCTTCGACGGTATCATTACCTGATGGACTTCACAAAGTTGTACAGACGGACGCACTTCTTCCTGCTCCAAAATTAGGCGTCAAAAAATTGTCGTTTAGACGCAAACAAACCAAGGATGAAAATGGGGAGTAGTAGGGTATATTGCAGGGTATATGTAGATATAATGTATAGTTTGAAGTTCCAGTTCTAAGCTTTGTTTGTCTCCTCCTAATGATGGAAATACAATGTAAATGTATGTATATGTTATCGCAAAGGGACGATTTTCTTTCAATATTGTAATTATAATCGATTTGTAAGGAGTGTAGCTAAAACTAGTTTTCTCATGCAGGAATATTTAATGATATCCATTTGTGTATGTCAAAATATGTCAAAACAGCTCTTATTTACATGCATTAATTTGAAAAATATGTTAAAGAGGTTTGGATTGGTTTATACATTGGAAATTTATAACGAATTGCAATTTTCATGAAGGTTTTTAAAATTGAAATTGAGCTTCCATAATTTATTTTGACTTGCGTTAAGTCTTTCGCTGTGTATAACACATTGAAATGGAAGATCTTGTCAGCAGTGAACGTAGTTTAAAAGTAAAATAAATTGTTGTTAAAAACAACAGCGTATGCTTTTTGTTTTAAAAACCATAAAAACTCATGTGGAGTATATAACATGATGACATATATAATATGTGTGCTTTTTAAAATGCCAATCTTACATTTTTTACCAAACATATATGTACTGCATGAATAATTTCCTCAAATATACGCTTAATGCGTGTGTGCTCTTTATAATGACGACTTCCGTTTGTTATAGAGTTATGTTGTGTATTTGGATTGGAGAAAAATTACACCACAATTCATATCGATCCTTGAATTTTCTTGAATTGACATATTGAATTGCTTTTGTACAGCGAATTGATAACATCAATTTTCACCTGTTGTATTCGTACGGGATTTGTCGCCAAAATATATTACAAATCAGAACTAAGGAATTGACTGAATAGAAAATTTATAATTGTTTACATGAAGAACTTAACAGACGCTCTCTATCCAATATAGCGCAATTGCATGATGACACGTATACAAACAATTCATAGCATGTAGATTCCTTGTGAAATATATATTTTGACTCTGTAGACAAAATTGTCCCTATGGGGGCTGGGGGTGGGGGTGGGTGTTTACATAAACCGATCGATCGAGATAGCTGGGATTAAAGAGAACTCAATTAAATCAAATTAATCCAAAGATGTTTCGCGATATACAACATCAAAATTTGTTGCAACTGTCACAAACTTACATAACCTACATTTCTTCAACGTTTAGGCTCGGTGATGGTTGGAAATACTTGACAAATTTTCTTTCAAATTCTAATTGGTTGATAGCGCAAGAATTTAGTGTATGTATATATTTTGCACACTTTTCAATGCCGTTTCTCAAGAAATTATTTGCTGGGTGTTCTGTGATTGGCTAAAGTTTGGTGTATTCAGGCATTTAACTGCTACTGCTGTTTTCGATTATTTATTTCAAGACTAGCGTCATTGAATGCATTTTGGTGAAATTTGTCACGATGGTCTTCCTTGTTCTTCAACTGTTTCTTCTACATTCATCAAATGCTCAACCGTACAAGTGTAGGTCTGAGTACAATTCATCGGAACACCGAAGACATTCCGGTGTTCCTCTAGATTGCAATGTAGAAAGTTTAGGTTGTCAACCATCATGGAAGTCTGGGATACCCGAAGGAAGTGAAGCATCTCAACCAACGATTTACACGAAATTTCTGTCTTGTCAAGAACGATTCTCTCTTTGCGGTTATGTCTACGTTGATTATGAAACTGGAAATGCAAAAGATGGCGTTCATATTGCTGCAGGGGTCGATTTGGGGAATTTGTCGAACTCATCACTTTCTTCTTTTTCCACAATGCTTCGCAGTAAACTTCAACCGTATCTTGGCTTAAAAGGTAATTTAGCAGCCTGTGCTGTTCTTGAAATGCCGCTAAATATCACCCAAGCTGAAGCAAAATCCCTTACAGACCTCTTAGTTAACGAGACGATTTATAATATTTCAAAAAGATACGATGAAGAAAAAAGTAACACATCTTTGGTATTTTTCTCCCTTCCTCGCGGTATTCGTACGACCATTGTTAGTGTTTCGTATCAACTTGGTTCTCCCGAGGCGTTCATCAATCTTTGGCAATTTGTGACGAAAAACGATTGGGATAATGTGGTTAAGAATTTGAGGAATTTTTACTCGAATCCTAATGAGCAATCGCGACGAGATTTAGTAAGACGCAATAACGAAGCTGATATTATAGAAGCAACTCTCTCAAAATGTAACAGTTCTATTGATCTTGTCTTTCTTCTGGATGAGTCTGGTAGTGTGGGAACGTTGAATTTTCAAAAAAGTTTGAATTTTGTTTTAAACATTATTAAATCGTTTCCAGATGAAATATTGAGCGGAGAGGGCGGTACAAGGTTTGGTCTATCAACTTTTTCAACACCACCGTATATTTCACATTTTCATTTGAACGATTACACTACCCAATCAGAATATAGCACGGCAATAGAGTCCGTTAAGTACAATAGCGGATGGACTTACCTTGGTGACGCACTTCAGAACATTTTAACAAATCAATTCACAGAAGATCGAGGACTCCGTCCTGCTGTAAAAGGTGTACCACGAATACTCATCATTTTAACGGATGGAATATCAGATGATAGCGTCTCAATTCCAGCTAAAAATGTACGAGATAGTGAAATCTCAATTTATGCTGTCGGAGTTGATGGATATAATCTTAATCAACTGATGGAGATAGCTTCATCAGACAAACACATCTTTACACTTGACACATTCATCAAACTTAACGCTTTTATTTCTACGATCACTTCTTCAACATGCTACGAGCCTCGTGTAGCAGCAAAAAACGAGACAATTACGACAAATGTTAAAAAAGACACATTTAAGTACTTTGATTACAAAGTCAAGCCGGATTTTAACTTTCGGATAAACGTCCAGGATCTTATTGGCAATACCATAGTCTATGCATCTCGTACTACACCTCATCCCTATGAATATAATCACGATTATAAGTTTAATTTAGCCTCACAACCGAGCAAAATTCTAGTTATTCCAGCGACGGCACCACAAAAGTTGGTCAAACGATCTGCAGACGATGATCTCCGAACAATTTACGTATCGATAACGTCTGCTTCTGATATAGCAGAGTTCTCAATTCAGGCGAACGAGTGTGACCCATCGAATTGTAGTGAAGGAACAAACGAAATACAGATAACAACATCTCAAATTCCCACGGCTGAAGTTTCGTCAGTACGTATAACAGTGTACAATTTATATGTACATTTCTTTTTACTTCAGAAAATGTGCAGGGGCTTTTTTGAGCGCCACTGTTTATCACTGTACACATATTCTTTTCTTTGTTCCACAATTGGTTCATATTTAACTATGATTAATTACATCTATTGTCCATAAAAACATATAATTTTATAAAATTTATGTGACAATCGTGATATTTTTTTATGTGCGTAACATGTACTGGTTATGATTATATATGTAATTTTGCTGAGAATATCAAGTTTGTGTTCAGTTTTGCCTTGGTTTAGTGATCCCATCTAAATATTTCATATCTAACATATATGAAGCAACATGGGGGAAATATCATAACTGTTTCTCTTTCAAATTGTAAAGCGTCGATATTTTAAGAATTTATTGCATGAATGATTTTGTATACTTTTGACTTCAGCTTTTTTAAAAAAATCTTTTGCTACGTGTTCTGCTGTTGGCTGAAGTTCGGTGTATTAAGGCATTTAACTGCCACTGCTGGTTTCACTTTAAGATGCGCATCGTTGATTGAATTTTGGTTAGAATTAGTGATTTGCCATGATGTTCTTTCTCGTCTTTTAGCTGTTCCTTCTACATTTATCAAATGCTCAACCGTACAAGTGTAGGTAAACAACTACATTACATAATTGGAGTATGCAAAGGCAATAGAGTCTGTTAGGTACAATGGCGAAGGTACTTTCCTTGGTAACGCACTTCAGAACGTTTAAACCGATCAACTCACGGAAGATCGAGGACTTCGCCCTGCAGTAAAAGGTGTAACACGAATAGCATGAGAATTTCGTGTGAAATATTTATTTTGAGGGGGGGGGGGGTTACATTAACCTATCGATCAGATAGCCGGGATTAAAGAAAATTCAATTCAATGAAATTAATTCAAAAATGTTTCGCGATATACAACATCAAAATTTGTTGCAACTGTCACTAACTACTGCTTACTACGCTAACCGTATGTTCAATTCCGTATGTTCAATTTCATAATCTGTGATCACTATGAATGCATTTGATTATAGTATGTATGGAAACACGTTTCAATGATAGATCATTTCTGATAAAGATATCATATTGTATTTTATGAAAACATCGAGTTTTACCTTTTCATCATAAAACACCTCTAATTTTAACAAAATGTCGGTCTTCGTGAAGACACTTGACTACGATATATATAAGTCTCCGCATCAGATCACTTCTGGTGAAAACGCTCTAGTGGAAGAGAGAAAGAGATAAGTTTTTACATCCAATAATCGTACTCTTCGTAGGTACGTCATCTTGGCAATGATGAAGTGTGGATCGTCTGGTCTGAGCATTTCAGAGATTTTCGTCATGGGATTGTGAACGCGGAATTTGGAGATGTAGTGATCATCATTTATCCACTTAAGAACCATCTTTTTAGAATCCAGATTTTAAAGAAAGGAAACGTAAGTATGTGGAATGGGTCACACACTTATCAATTAGGAGATGTTCATACTAAGACGTACATGGTTTATGCCTAAAAACAGAGAACGCCAGAGTTACTATTCAAAGTGCCATCCAGAGTTACTATTCAAAGTGCCATCCATCGAATGTGGCATCCAGATTGCATGAATTTTGCTAAATGAGAAGTCAGTAGCGAGTTTATCATACAGTAACAGCTTTTTCTTCAACAATCGTTGTCAACAATGATAGCAAATAATAGTCTAATTTAACATTAAGAACACTGGTATAATATGTTGATGGATAAAGATGGATTATTTCACCGTGAAAATTTTGCACGATTTTTTTATAGATTCCCTTCTTTGGACCATTGTTCGACGGAGCCATCGTGAATCGTCGTATACTGCCGTCATTGATTAGAATGACTGCTGTGAATGCTAGTCGTGCAAAGCGATCCCTTATTCCTGGCATGCAAACCTAGTATCTTTTTCTTACAAAATTCTCATAATGAACATGTTGCAATGTCATTAACATGATTGTTATTCTAATATCAATTTATTTCAACCTTAACACCTTTACAGCTATGAAGAACGAGCAAGTTGTATCACTAATGTAGTGAACCATCACAAGGAAACTACGGTTTTTGAAGACTTTGCCGAACAGATCTTCTGCCCTGTTCAAAAAAAGACCGACGATAGTAACATAAAGTGTCAGGTATCGTCTGGAGACAAACCAACTGCTAAACGCGAAGGCTACAGTACGTTGCCTTCGGCAAAAGCTATCGCAAAATCCAAAGTTGGTGAGGAATTTACCTTGTACTATATACTGAATCTAGAGAGGAATTGAATGCATATCATTATATTCTTCATTCTAAGAACTTTATACCTTAATCTATATACTCCACTCATAAGAGCGATAATTATAAACTGATTTTATATGTGCTCTAGTTTTGTATTTCATTCGAATTTTCAGGGCAAAAGATTCGTAGTCAAGTTATATTATTTAGTTGCTGTGTTGAAGTATTTTAATAACAGGTTCTATGATGAAGTTGCCGAATTCTTTATCGATGAAGAAGATGTATAAGTAAAGCAACAAATAAACACAGCAAACAGCTGAGACTATACCCAGTTTATGTTATGACAAATTCCAATGACGATGCTCACTGCAAATGAAATACAATGTAAAGCAGCATTCTTGCGAATTTGTTGTTCTTGTTTTTTGTTTAGCAGCAGACAAAGAAGCGATATCTTCGACGGTATCATTACCTGATGGACTTCACAAAGTTGTACAGACGGACGCACTTCTTCCTGCTCCAAAATTGGGCGTCAAAAAATTGTCGTTTAGACGCAAACAAACCAAGGATGAAAATGGGGAGTAGTAGGGTATATTGCAGGGTATATGTAGATATAATGTATAGTTTGAAGTTCCAGTTCTAAGCTTTGTTTGTCTCCTCCTAATGGTGGAATTACAATGTAAATGTATGTACATGTTATCGCAAAGGGACGATTTTCTTTCAATATTGTAATTATAATCGATTTGTAAGGAGTGTAGCTAATACTAGTTTTCTCATGCAGGAGTATTTAATGATACCATTTGTGTATGTCAAAATAAATCAAAACAGCTCTTATTTACATGCATTGATTTGAAAAATACGTTAAAGAGGTTTGGATTGGTTTATACATTGGAAATTTATAACGAATTGCAAATTTCTTGAAGCTTTTTAAAATTGAAATTTATTTCCATTTTCATAATTTATTTTGACTTGCGTTAAGTCTTTCACTGTGTATAACACATTGAAATGGAAGATCTTGTCAGCAGTGAACGTAGTTTGAAAGTAAAATAACTTTAAGATTCGAGGCTTATACTCGTGAAAAATAAAATAAACTATACGTTTGTCTTTTTGTTTTTATTTTTAAAAATAGTTAATGAAGATTGGTGGAGATTTTACAGGGAGGGGAGGGTAAGTATCGTTTAATGAGACCACTTGCTCCCAGAATATACTTTGTTACTTTGGAAAATTTTAGATTAGAAAAGAACTAAAGTAGAAAAAAAGAGACGAAAAGAAAAGAAAAGTGAAGTAAAAAAAAGTCGCCAATCTTTGTTAATCGTCATGCAGTAATAACAATTTACTTTCTTTCGAAAATGTAAGAATCCATCTTTTTTATTTCATATAGAAATTGCCTTGATGGTGTTCGAGAAAACTTGCATCCTACTGTAATCCACTCTTGATGGACCGTGGTGAAGGATGTTGAAAATCATTGTACATTTCTATTTTCATGTTCATCGTTAACCGACCATCTTTGTTGTCTCTTTTTATCCATTTCTATAACAGAAAAAGAAAGGTTGTGTGTTTTACGATGTTATAGAAAACGAAAATTTGACACAAGAAGGAAAAATATGGGATGGTTTGTTGTACATAGTTTGTGTAACTTTCAGGCTTATTTTTATTTTAAACACTCAGAAGTAAATCATTTTTACCAGAAAAAAGATCATTGCTTAACCAATGGTTGTATGCGCTTTATATATTATAGACATACTATTTGTTATTTTTTTTCTAATGATTAATCTAATCTTTTTGGTTGCCATGAATTTGCGCCACCTCGATTGAATGAAACTACAAAGTTCCAGGATGAATATTAAATTCCTTAATTTTTACCTAATGTACAACTGCTAATTTTTTGTGCATTTTGATGATGGAACTATTGGTAAAAATAAAAGCGTATGCTTTTTGTCTTAAAAACCATAAAAATCATGTGGAGCATATAACATGATGTCATATATACAATGTGTGCTTTTTTAAATGCCAATCTTACATTTTTTACCAAACATATATGTACTGCATGAATAATTTCGTCAAATATACACTTAATGCGTGTGTGCTCTTTAAAATGACGACTTCCGTTTGTTATAGAGGTATATTGTGTAGTTGGATTGGAGAAAAATTACACCACAATTCATATCGATCCTTGAATTTTCTCACTGCACGACCAAAAGGTGAGAATTGACATATTGAATTGCTTTTGTACAGCGAATTGATAACATCAAGTTTTACCTGTTGTATTCGTACGGGATTTGTCGCCAAAATATATTACAAATCAGAACTAAGGAATTGACTGAATAGAAAATTTATAATTGTTTACATGAAGAATTTAACAGACGCTCTCTATCCAATATAGCGCAACTGCATGATGACACGTATACAAACAATTCATAGCATGAAGATTTCGTGTTAAATATTTATTTTGACTCTGTAGACAAAATTGTCCCTATGGGGGGTGTGGGTGGGTGTTTACAGTAACCGATCGATCAAGATAGCCGGGATTAAAGAAAATTCAATTAAATGAAATTAATTCAAAAATGTTTCGCGATATACAACATCAAAATTTGTTGCAACTGTCATAAACTTGCATAACCTACATTTCTGCAAAGTTTAGGCTCGGTGATGGTTGGAAATACGCGACAAATTTTCTTTCAAATTCTAATTAGTTGATAGCGCAAGAATTTAGTGTATGTATAAATTTTGCACACTTTTGAATGCCCTTTCTCAAGAAATTATTTCCTGGGAAGTCTGTGATTGGCTAAAGTTTGGTGTATTCAGGCATTTAACTGCTACTGCTGTTTTCGATTATTCATTTTGAGACTAGCGTCATTGAATGCATTTTGGTGAAATTTGTCACGATGTTCTTCCTTGTTCTTCAACTGTTTCTTCTACATTCATCAAATGCTCAACCGTACAAGTGTAGGTCTGAGTACAATTCATCGGAATACCGAAGACATTCCGGTGTTCCTCTAGATTGCAATGTAGAAAGTTTAGGTTGTCAACCATCATGGAAGTCTGGGATACCAGAAGGAAGTGAAGCATCTCAACCAACGATTTACACGAAATTTCTGTCTTGTCAAGAACGATTCTCTCTTTGCGGTTATGTCTACGTTGATTATAAAACTGGAAATGCAAAAGATGGCGTTCATATCGCTGCAGGGGTCGATTTGGGGAATTTGTCGAACTCATCACTTTCTTCTTTGTCCACAATGCTTCGCAGAAAACTTCAACCGTATCTTGGCTTAAAAGGTGGTTTAGCAGCCTGTGCTGTTCTTGAAATGCCGCTAAATATCACCCAAGCTGAAGCAAAATCCCTTACGGATCTCCTAGTTAACGAGACGATTTATAACATTTCGAAAAGATACGATGCAGAAAAAAGTAACAGGTCTTTGGTATTTTCCTCCCTTCCTCGCGGTATTCGTACGGCCATTGTTAGTGTTTCGTATCAGCTTGGTTCTCCCGAGGCGTTCATCAATCTTTGGCATTTTGTGACGATAAACGACTGGGATAATGTGGTTAAGAATTTGAGGAATTTTTACTCGAATCCTAATGAGCAATCGCGACGAGATTTAGTAAGACGCAATAACGAAGCTGATATTATAGAAGCATCTCTCTCAAAATGTAACAGCTCTGTTGATCTTGTCTTTCTTTTGGATGAGTCTGGTAGTGTGGGACCGTTGAATTTTCAAAAAAGTTTGGATTTTGTTTTAAACATTACTAAATCGTTTCCCGATGAAAGATTAAGAGGAGATGAAGGTACAAGATTCGGACTATCGACGTTTGACACCTCTTATACTTCAATTTTTCATTTAAATAACTACACTACACAATCGGAGTATGCAATGGCAATAAAGTCCGTCAGGTACAATGGAGGAGGTACAAATCTTGGAAATGCACTTCAGCGTATTTTAACAGATCAATTCACGGAAGATCGAGGACTCCGCCCTGCTGTAAGAGGTGTACCAAGAATACTCATCGTTTTAACGGATGGACGATCATTTGACAGCGTCTCAATTCCAGCTAAAAATGTACGAGATAGTGAAATCTCAATTTATGCTGTCGGAGTTGCTAGATATGATCTTAATCAACTGACGGAGATAGCTTCATCAGACAAACACATCTTTACACTTGACACGTTCACCAAACTTAACGCTTTTATTTCTACAATCACTTCTTCAACATGCTACGAGCCTCGTGCAGCAGCAAAAAACGAGACAATTATGACAAATGTCAAAAAAGACTCATACAAGTACTTTGATTACAAAGTGAAGCCGGATTTTAACCTTCGGATAAACGTCCAGGATCTTATTGGCAATACCATAGTTTATGCATCTCGTACTACACCTCATCCCTTTGAATATAATTACGATTATAAGTTTAATTTAGCCTCACAACCTAACAAAATTATAGTTATTCCCGCGACGGCACCACGAACGTTGGTCAAACGATCTGCAGACGATGATCTCCGAACAATTTACGTATCGATAACGTCTGCTTCTGATACAGCAGAGTTCTCAATTCAGGCGAACGAGTGTGACCCATCGAATTGTAGTGAAGGAACAAACGAAATACAGATAACAACATCTCAAATTCCCACGACTGAATTTTCGCCAGTACGTACAACAATGCTTCCTTATCCCACTACTTCAGCAAAGACTACCACGAAGTTGGCGCTGATTAACAGTACACTGTCTCCCTCTACTTCCACTACTTCAGCCATAACTACCACAAAGTTGGCCCTGATTGACAACATAGTGTCTCCCTCTACTTCCCCTACTTCAGCCATAACTACCACAAAGTTGGCCCTGATTGACAACATAGTGTCTCCCTCTACTTCCACTACTTCAGCCATAACTACCACAAAGTTGGCACTGATTGACAACATAGTGTCTCCCTCTACTTCCACTACTTCAGCCATGACTACCACGAAGTTGGCACCGACTGACAGCACACAGTCTCCCACTACCACTTCCAGTGCTTCAACCATTCGCACAACTTATGTCATCAAGGTCATGGTGCCATTTTTTCTGTCTTCACTATTGATTGCTGTGCAGTACCTGTGTTTATCAAGCCAGTGAACATCTTTGTACTGATTATCGCATACTTTATCGCATGTATTAATCCAATTAGTAGTTGTTAATGAATAAGTTTTGGTATAATTGTAGTTCACATTATAGTTCGTCACATAACTTCATTATAGCACTTTATATGTACATTTTTTTTACTTCAGAAAATGTGCAGGGGCTTTTTTGGGCGCCACTGTTTATCACAGTACATATATTCTTTTCTTTGCACCACAATAATTCATATTGAACTATGATTAATTACATCTATTGTCCATCAAAACGTATAACTTTATATCATTTATGTGACAATCGTGTTATTTTTTTATGTGCGTAACATGTACTTTTTATGATTATATATGTAATTTTGCCGAGAATATCAAGTTTATGTTCTGTTTTGCCTTCGTTTAGTGATCCATCAAAATATTTCATTTTTAACATTTTATGAAGCAACACAGAGGGGAAATATCATAACTGTTTTTCTTTCAAATTGTAATTCGTCGATATTTGAATTTATTGCATTAATGATTTTGTATACTTTTGACTTCAGCTTTTTTAAAAAATCTTTTGCTACGTGTTCTGCTGTTGGCTGAAGTTCGGCGTATTTAGGCATTTAACTGCCACTGCTGGTTTCACTTTAAGATGCGCATCGTTGATTGTATTTTGGTTAGAAATAGTGATTTGCCATGATGTTCTACACTACATAATTGGAGTATGCAAAGGCAATAGAGTCTGTTAGGTACAATGGCGGAGGTACTCAGCTTCGTAGAGCACTTCAGAGTATTTTAACTGATCAATTCACGTAAGATCGAGAACTTCGCACTGCTGTAAAAGGTGTACCACGAATACTCATCATTTTAACGGATGGGAAAGCGAATGATAGCGTCTCAACTCTGGCAAAGAACGTGCGAGATAGTGAAATCTCACTTTATGTTGTCGGAGTTGCTGGTTATAATATTGATCAACTTAGGTCAGGTGATGCTTTCACTTTAAACATAGTTTAAATCAACTTACTTTGCATCTCTAAATGCATTTATTTAGCATTTGTCTTCATCCGCTCTTTCTTTTCATTGACTTTGCTTTTGCATGCATAACTTAAATATCTCTATTTTATTAATTACTTTTTTCTCCACGTGCATGTATATAAAATATTTATGTTTTCAGAGATGTCAGATTAGGGTTCGGTGGGTTCCACTCTTGAAAAGGGCGCAAGAGAGGCAGACAGTTTCCTTAAACTATAGCATCGCGGTAAATTGATCGAAAACGGAAAAGTGAAATTCAAATTGCTTGCAAGCAATATTTAAAAAATTTTATGATTGATAGTTTCTACAAACTTTCATTTTTTATATTTCGAAATATCTTTGGATCAAGCTGGTATAAGTTTTTTTGTGTTTTAGTGAAACTTGCATAATTTTAGCAACCGTATAAAGTTGGACTTTGTTAACAAAAATTTCCCAGAGTTGGTTCCACGATCAATGTACTCGGGAAAATTCACTTTCTTATGTTCTTACCCTACGAAATATTTTTTACAGGCTCTACGAATGCTTTCACCTTGTCAACTTTCCAACCTTCTCGGAAATATTAAAAGAAGAGAAACAGTCGTGACGTCACATTTTCACCTGGTCGTAGGCGCTCTATGTTGATAATTTTTCGTGGATCACGCGAGACAAAAGTAAATACAATCATGCAAATTATTACAAACGCATAGCAGAAACAATATTTAGAAACTGGCGTTGATGGCCATTATCTATATGACTTGGTTTTATTTTCCTTTATTATTCATAATTTGATGAGTTAAATTTCAAACGTGGGCTAAAATGGACATGGACAGAAGTACTCGAGTTTTTAAGTCTCCACTCTTCTTATGGGTCAGTATTGAACTTAATATTGATTGTTTAACTTCAAAGCGTCCGGTTTAAAGATGTCTTTATACTTTGTTTGCTTCAACGATATAGCTACTTAAAGTACTCGGAACTAAAGTGAATTGTATCAGAATACAGAATTTTAGGAGGCTTTACTTAATTTTAGGTACGAACATTCGTTGCTGCTGAGTTAGCGGACCTAACGGATTTCGTTGATGGCTATCTTTTGAACAAAATCATGACAGAAATGTAAGTACCGTTAGTGTTATTCAAGTACGAAAATAGGTCTCATACTTTCTATTCTTACTTGGGATTGTTCAAAGATATCTTTCTACTTTTCTCGGAATATTTGTGTGAAATGAAATACGAACAATGGGAAAGATGTTTATTGTTTTCATTCCTGACCGAGAGGCCATTGATATGTTGTGTATTTCTATGTTAAGTGGTTTTCAGTATTATGTAAATATGAAACAAGTGCGCTAAATTTGCGTGTCGTGTTGAATACTATCAATTCCTTTTAATTTTATATAGCGACCCTGCCTTTTTTGGTACGACATTTGTTCATTCCAATGTTAATGACGATGTGAGCTTACGGATTCACAATTTAGAGCATTTGTTACGATCTATAAAGAACTTTTATAAGGTATGCAGAAAATTGCTGCTCATTTGACGTGGCACGCTTTTGCTCGAGAACTCGAGAACAAACTTCGTGCAAATAATTTGCTTGTAACTACCTATATAATAATATAAACAATTCAAACAAGTTAATGTTTGTAATTTGATATGACATGGAAAATTATGTTATTGAAGATGTAATCGGTCACACGATTTTCTGGTTTTTAATTTTTTAAAGGATTAGGAAAATTGTATTGGATTGAATACAAAAAACGATAAAAAAGAGTCCCATTTCAACATTTGAAATGATACCATTTGATACTAGTCAGTTGAATAAGACCATTAAATTATGAACTTGAAACTCTAATTTTTTTGTGGCTACCAACGTGACCGTCGTTATTGAGTGTACGTTTTTAATCATAACAACATTATAAATATACGGAGAGAAGTATAATGAAGTGGATAGCAGTCATAAAACCTAATTATTGCTTCCTGATTTGGGATTATTTAATGTTACATCATCATGTTTCCTACATAAACACATTACTTAGCAACAGTTCTCATATTTCATGACATGACATAAATGAACATGTAATCCTTGGAAGCACCTGCTGTGATGATGTCATAGCTATTTTTCCCACTTTTTCTTCCCAATACCAAGCTCTGTGTCATTATTTGCATTTTCAGCTGTTAATTTTTATTTTATCAACTGCTTGCTCATATTTGTTTTAGTATATTTTGTTTTAAATGGTGGCATTTCTTTATTATCTGTAGGAGAAACTTCAGCAAGTCATAATCATGGAAACTCCTGATGTTTTTCTCATGGCAAATGAACCTGAAAGTGGTGAGTTCAAAAAGTTTTAAGTAAAGTTATATACTTCAGTATAGTGTCTTTATCTGGAGTTATCTGATGTTGAAACTTTAGTCCTGTATACTCTAGTCTAGTGTCTTGTTCAGGAGTGATCTAATGCATAAATCTTTGTCCGCATAGGCTTACCGGGTTAAAAGGATAGGGGCTGGCATCCTCAAATCCTTAGACAAACAAGGCAAATTGTAAATTTTCTATAGATATGGTTGTGATGCACTTAGGTACATATTTGGCAGTTGTGCAAATTGCCTACCACCCTTCAGTTAATATTAAGCAGTATGCCTGTGCTGCAGTTGATGAAGTTTGATGTAAATATACAATTCATAGTAATGCTCATCACAACTGTCATATTTGGTACCTAGATGAATGTATTCAAGAATTAAAGAAAATTCTTCTGCTCGTTCTTGGTTGTGCTGTTCAGGTAAGTGAAATTAATCAAAATTAGTACCTGTCTATTGAAAACACCTAAGTCTTCTTTCATGTACCCTGAGATAAGACAAGCTATCTATTCCCTTAAGGTAAAATCGTTTTAGCTATTGCGTTGAACGAAAAAGATGTTTTCATAATTTGCATTCTGTTAGTGTGAACGAAAAGAGTTCTTTGTGGAGAAAATTACTGCTTTGGATGAAAGCATTCAACAAGAGTTAGTCATATATATTCGTGAGGTAAACTTAACAACTAGTGAGATGTAAATAATCATGATAATCACATGAAAATTACAATAATATACTTTTTAAAGCGTTGTAGATACAATTTAGAATGGTAGAATTTATAAAGGAACAGGTTTCATAAAAACCTTAAGATAATTCGTAGACGTCAGTTACAAGAACAACAATGCATTTTGGAAGACTTTCTATAAGTATGCTACATTTACTCTAATGATAACTTCATAAGTCTGCAAGCATTTATAAAGTAAAAAAACCTACAAAGGTTCTACTACCATCACTTCACACTTATTTTTTAATCATAATAATAAAAATGTCAATGATATTAACGAACGTGTATCGTACAAAAAAAATTCTAATCATTTATAGATTACGGAAAAGTTTGATAAAGTTTTTTCTGTTCAACCCGACGAAATAGCGGCTTTATCTCACGAGTAAGTTAATTAAGTATACTTTTATGTATTTTATTTTACAATGCATCCTTCTTCTGACTACATGTGTAAGAAACGTCCTTAAGTATAGGTGTTTAGCCTTCCTCGCCCTCACTGTATTCACCACTCTCTGCTTACTGACCATAAGACCATTGATATCGACGACTGACTGGAAATGTTACTGACTTAGCTCTTTCAAATCAAATTTTGATGTTCAGCCTTTCGATGTTTCCAACAGCAATGAATATTTAAAAATATCATCGATTTTCGCGCGGTGTTTTTCTAAATCTTGAAATTGGTCTTACATATGTTCATTTTCAGAGATCTTTTGTCGTATTGTGAACAGATGCACCAGCAAATGATTGTATTAGTCAATCAAAGGGACTCTGCCCAACAGGTATTTACGGATAGATGGTTGAAAGAAAATGATTATTTGTTGCTGACTGACCATTTTAAAGATATAAAATTGTCGTTTTTGATTTAGGAGATACATCAAATATTGGTTGACAGAAGTATTGTGTCCAAGGTACACTAATCAATTCACCAAAAAGTGTAACACAATATGTTGCATTTCGCAATGCATGGCAGTCAATCCTGTTTTGGTCTTCAATAATTATTGTAGATATTCAGTGCAGTCCGTCCTCTTCATCATGCTGTTTAACGAACTATTTTTATTGTGTTTACAAAATGAGTTTTGGTTTTTTTAGGAGATAAATGGAAGTATCTCTCGTGTAAGCTCGCCTCCTCTCAGTCCGACCAACTCTGAAATAATGTTTGCCGAGAGAGAAAAATTAAAGAAAGTTCACGAAGAATTGTAAGAAATATTAAATCTCTATTGTACAAACTTAGCTAAAAACGAGTTGACTCTGAAATAATGTTTGCCGAGAGAGAAAAATTAAAGAAAGTTCACGAAGAATTGTAAGAAACATTAAATCTCTATTGTACAAACTTAGCTAAAAACAAGTTGAACAACGAGGCAATACTAAATTGTAACGTTTACCAATTTTATTGTTTATTAAATACGTATGTATATGACATAAATGTTGAAAGGCGGAATATATCTTATGCGCATGACAGCGTTTCATGACCAGGATTGTTGCGACAATTAAAAACATTTCTTGAGAATGCTAAGTTACATTATAAAAAAAGGACATTTTTTCAAAATTTGTGAATTTTATTGTTTTTTTTTCAGAGACGAGAAAAATCTGCTGATTCAGGAATTACGAGATGAACTTCAGTCAAATAAAGTTACCATCGAAAAATTATTCCAAGAGGTATGAAAAAAATATTGAACAGCCTCACGGAGAAGTGTGTTTTGACCTGACATATTGGTGGAAGTGTTCTGAACAACTGTCCTCTGATCACTTGATTTTGTGCAGCTTTGCTGTATTGTTTCATCAAATAAACTTTGCGTGTCATATTTTTCAGAACAGAGGTTTAAGTGAAACATCGAGATTTGTCACTGCCTACCGTGATCAATTGGATATTTTGAAAATTAAAGCGGAGAAGGTTAACAAACTAGAAAACGAAATTATAAAGTATAAAGAAAAATTAATGGAAATGGATGTGTTAAAAAAGAGAAAAGAGGTGGGCTTTATTTTGTTGAGTCATTTTATTGTTGTCGCTACCAGAATATCTTACTGATAACTTTATATAGCCTTTATTCAGCCATTTTATTTCAAGTTTTAATTTTCGCACTAAAGGAGTTAGAGGAGCAGAACGAGATTCTCTACAATACCAAAGTTTCGCTGGAAAACAGACGAACGTGCTCCATTCGAAGGCAGAAAAGCTCGGTGAGGATCTTGAATGGGCTTTTTTCCTGCATACCTTCTAGGTACATAGTCATTGAAATTCTTTCAACTTGCAGTTGAAACTGAACGAGAACTTGTTCAATTCAAGAAAGATCTCAAGAATATAAATGAGGTACAATTTTTTTTCCACCAATTAGTGCAACCACCCCCCCCCCCCTGGGAGTAAGAAAACCATAGAATGCTCGCCATGTTGGATGAATTTGCATTGTAAATAAGGAAAATCCTTTGTTAAAATCATCCAACATGGCGACTATGACGTAGCTTGCAACCCAAAAATAAGAATATTAGCCACCTTTTTGTCTTGTTTTTTTTTTACCAGTGTTTTATGAGAATCTTGTATTTTCAATCTTATATACTTCTTTGCAAGTGATTTTAAGTCCGTAATGTTTTTATTAGTAGTGATACACATGGTATTAATTCTTTATATCTCTCTGTCTGTTCAAGACAACTTTGTGTCAAAAATTAAGTTATTCTACACAGAGTGATTAGTGGTGTTTTAGATATGATTTTAAGATATCCCGTCGATCAACATTATTCTTTCGATTTGTTAATATTCCTGACCATTAATGATTTTCAGGAGAATAAGTTATTAAAGAGAAAAAACAAAGATCTTCTTGATGAAAACGCGGTGCTTTTGTTAGACGCACAAAACAGGTAAAGGATATGAATAAAAAGTATACGTTAAATCTCATACCAAGAAATGCTGTCAACTTGTTCAATACGACTAACTGTTTTCTTCAACTTCATGAATTTATCTCAGTTTTTTTTTCTTCTTCTCATTTACAATCATACAATGTCTGTTACCTATTGCCTCGTGTGTATTCTTGAAGGTTTAAAAATTATGTTGTATTTTTTAGTTTCTCTGAAGTGTCAAATTTAAACTCGGAATTGGACTTAATGAAAGGAAAGGAAGAAACAACGGCGGAAGGTATCCACTGTAATTATCACAAATGATAGCAGCACGAAATGCATGATGGTAAAATTGAATTTATAATCTTGGCGGAGTTTTTGCTGCAATAAACTGATAATAACTTTCACTTGGCGCTATTTATTTTGTTTGATTGCGTTTCGTTTCATTTTTAGGTACTTGCTTAGCAAGCGAATGCATTCAAGTGTCGTAAGTAGATCTAGTATTTCAAAATCGCTCGTGCGCAAGAGAATAGCTTATTATTTAAGACTGGAATGTTTTTAATCAATTGACCAATAAAGAAATTTAAGAAATCAACATTTTTTATGAGTCATTTATAACTTTTTTTTTCAATTACTGTCTGTTGTTGGTTTCAGCTGTCATAAATTCTTTCCAAATTCCAACAGCCAAGATGATATTGTATGCTTATATGTTTTGTATAGATCAAAGCAACTCCTAAAGCTAGAGAATGAAAATCATCGCCTGAAAGGCATTATTGCTGAACTGACTCAACAAGAACCTGTTACTCTTTTACAGGTACTATAAAGAGAGTAAAGAGAAAATTTATTTTGTTTTGTCTTTCTCCTCGGTTTAAAACAGAATTTGTTGTTTTAGAATGTCGGTAAAGGAGAAGAGGCACTTGGAGATGTATTTGAGCAAACTACCGAACAAATTGATGATATATCTGAAGATGCTGAAGTCAGGGTTGTGCAAAGACAATCAAGGTATATGGTCACTACCATAGAGATTATAAATAAGACTAGAGGTGGCATCGTAATATAATCTATACTTCAAAATATGGTAAGCGTTTTTTTGGGGGCAAAATTCATTCTTGGATGTTAAGCTACAGTGGAAGACTATGATTTTTTACTTTTTTGTACATATTATGCGTAAATACTATACTGAATACTATCACAATCTAATTGTTGAACAATTCTTGCCTTTTTATCGTAATTTTAGATGGTTTAAGCCACTCGTATTTTGCAAAACACGTTTTGTGTTGCTTTTGTATCCATTCAGTAAATTATAAATCCGTGAATCATTGCTTGATAAGAAGACCTTTTTCGTATTTAATTCAACTGCTAACAGACTTCAAAAAACATATACTTGTCATTCATACCGGAAAAATATAAAAAACTGTTAAACTATGTGAATATGTAGGTTGTAAAAACAGAAAAACAAAAAGAATAACAAAAGTTTTCATTGCGTATAGTTGATTAAAGCATACAAAGCATACGGAGATTATAAACAACATAAGTTTTCATTGCGTATAGTTTAATTAAAGCATACAAACCATACGGAGATTATAAATAACATAAGTTTTCATTGCGTATAGTTCAATTAAAACATACAAAGCATTCGGAGATTATAAACAACACATAATCATAATAACCGCTCGCTAAAAACAATTACTAACACTTTAAAATAACAAAATGACAAATTTTCTTGATACTCGTACAAAAGAGTATAAAAACTCACTAAATATATTATAAAAGAATCCAAAACTCGAAGCAGACGGGAAAACATCGTGTGTTTACTTCGTGTTTTAATCCGGGACCTAAATTTGCCCTCCCCCCCCCAATTCACGCGTTCCCTAAAAACGTCATCAATGCCACCTCTAGTCTTATTTATAATCTCTATGGTCACTACTACACATCCAGAGGCGTAACTAGAACGTTAATTTGGGGGGGGGGTGCATATTCATATATTCCGCTGTGCCCTACTGATTTCTTTTGAAAGTAATTTGAATTTCAAAAGAAATCAGTTGTAGGGCACAACTGAATATATGAATATACACCAATTAACGTTCTAGTTACGCCTCTGTACATATCCCATTCTCTTATCATTGAATAAGCTCTTCTTGATTGGAATAGCATCGTGTGTTTTTTTTACAGTTTTCTTGAGAAGCAAGTTGCGGCAGACAGTGCGCTAAATGTTGTTAAGGAGAAGTTACGACAAAAAGAAGAAGTAAATAGCAAAATATCAGAATCACTGTCAATAATGGAACAGGAAAACAGCGAACTGAAAGACAGGTTAGGTTACTCGATGTCCATTGAAATGACCGTAGTTACTTCATGCTGTTATAATAAGTTCAGGGATATTTTGTTGAATTTGCAATAAAATTGAAGGAAATCAGTACTTTTCAATGAGAATGTGTCTAACAGTATTCATAAAAAAGTCTTTTAATATTTCAACTTAATTTAGTCGTTATATAAAGGTAATTTTTTATTTGGTTTTCTCAATCATTATGATCTGTCGAAATTTGAACACGAACGTGTTGATCTTCAATGTTTTTATCAGAAATAATCTAGCGTTGAAACTTCCACTTGTTTACATGGTTGAAATTTGAACACAAACGTGTTGATCTTTAATGTTTTTATCAGAAATAATCTAGCGTTGAAACTTCCACTTGTTTACATGGTTGAAATTTGAACACAAACGTGTTGATCTTTAATGTTTTTATCAGAAATAATCTAGCGTTGAAACTTCCACTTGTTTACATGGTTGAAATTTGAACACAAACGTGTTGATCTTTAATGTTTTTATCAGAAATAATCTAGCGTTGAAACTTCCACTTGTTTACATGGTTGAAATTTGAACACAAACGTGTTGATCTTTAATGTTTTTATCAGAAATAATCTAGCGTTGAAACTTCCACTTGCTTACATGGTGTTTTGTGGTGAAATTATGTATTTGTAACCTTCGATTTTACTTTAATTAAATCAGAATGCAACAAGTCTTAAATCAAAAACGTCGCAACGATCAGATTATCGAGAGAAAAAGCGAGGATATCTTAGAGTTGGAGAGAAGGTTTTTTTGCATCTGTTTCTTTCATGCATGGATAATTAGTTAATTAGTGATTAAAAACGTTTTAGGTTGGAAGAAGTTACATTAGAACGCCAAAAATGCGAAACTACGGTTCGTCAAAAAACGCGAGAGATAAATGAATTGAACAACAGGTGAACTTTTTGTGTGTTTTTTTTTAGTTAAATTTGTATCAGGCAGTAAATTTGAAAAGACATTCTTCTTTATAAATTCTGAGCTTTTTTTGCAAATTTTTCATATAGCTTAAGTGAAATGAAGGAAGACAAAGAGAGATCGATTGAAGATGTAGAAAAGAAAGCCAAAGAACGTCACGAACTAAAAGAAAGGTGCATTTATTAATAACGATTTATTTGAATGATCCTTTACTAAACTTTTTTTAGCTTGTGAGTAGGACGTTTATTTTTAACTTTCTCTCAATTTGTTAATACGACAGAGTTGACTTGATCTTGTCTGAAAAAGAAAAGCTTGATGATGCTTTGAACACAAAAGATAAAAAATTGGTCGACCTGGAAAACAGGTATGTGCCTTTACATGATGAGCATACTATCGTTGATGCTATGTACCATCTTATCCTTTCATGTATCATAACGTTGCATCCCAAGTTATCGTTTCATGTTACATATATTTGGTATTTCTAAGACTTCTGCGTGTTCAAGAAGCCAACAAGGAACTTGCAAGAACTCTCGAATCTCAACAGGCAAAAATAACAACACAAGACGAACGGTATGTTTGAACTGAACAGTAAATAAAATAATTTGCTTAACGAATAGGCAAACTATATCATTGTTTATTTTTTAGAGTGTCAGATTTATTGTCATTGGCTAAAGAAGATGAAAAAAGATACTCTGATAGCATTAGAGAAAAAGATCGACGATTAAAAGAATTTGAAAGAAGGTTTGGCCATTGCTGTTATGATTTATGACATTTACTGAGAAATTTATCCCCCCACCCCCTCTGAATGCCTGATTTGCGATATAATTGTAGTATACTTTCAACTCCATCTATAAAATAGCAAAGTCTGTAGAATGGGTTGATGAGATAACAAAGAGGCATTAAAAAAATAAGTTAAACATATTGTTGCAGATTGCTTCAACTTGTCTTCTTCCTCATCTTTTGCATTTATGATTAGAGAGGCTAAAAATTTATATGCGCTTTTTTCCACGTGGTTCGGGGGAGAAAGTGAAGCATATTGATTTTTACACCTATTTTACGTAATTATTAGGGGGGCTGTAACTCGCCCCCACCCACCCCTCCCCCTCGCTTCCGACGAGCACGTGTACTCTTATTTACTTTCCTATGTACGTATGTTAAAAATAAAGTAGATAAATTTGTGGCATGTTCTTTCACTGTGTAGAATAACACATTTAATTGAAGTGGAAAGTGAGTTGGAAAGTTTAAATTATCAATTGAAGCAGAAGGATCGAAAAAGTGACGGGTTTATAAAGACTATCACAGAAAAAGACGAAGAGATTGTGCGTCTAGAGAATAAGTAAGACATTTGCAGTTTTATATTTCACAGCGAGGATGTGTTCAAATGACCATTGAATATCAAAGCAAAAATCAGATATTTTATTCGTAAATACTGTTCAAGTTTTACATTACATGCTTTCGGGAACCACTGAGTACTTTTATGCACGACAAGGGTAACTTTAAATGATGTAAACGTTTAAATTAAACGTTTTCACTTTATTTAGTCATCATTCTTGATCACCATTTTGTCATGACTAATTAGTGTCAAAACGTTAATTCTAAATGCTTACATTATTTGAAATTGTGTGTTTGCATTACATCATAATCAGTTTACGTATTTGCAACTTATTTTTTTCACTTGCAATTTTTTCCATCTATACCTAAAGAAAGCTGGTGCTTTAGTGTGATGCTAATCATTATTAATTAAAGCAAAATTAGACGATTGACTTCACCTCATGTACCTCAACACTAATATCATAGACTCGAAGATGCTAGCAACGCCAACAAAAAGTTGGTCCACAATCTGGAATTGCGTGACAAAAAAGTGGAAGCATTGGAAGAAAGGTGATGATGATACTAAAGTTTCCTCCAATGACGCACAGGAAAGTGACGTCATATTTTTTTTTCAAGATTATCAAATGAATCAGAAAAGCAAGAAAGCAATAATGTCAAAGCAACAAGAGAAATTTTGGAATCGAAAGACAACAAAATATTAGAGCTTGAAAGTCGGTTAGTTCATTAAGTCACTTGATTCCCCATCTATACCACATTGCTATAAAATGTATGTTAAATAAGAATGAGACGTCAATCTTGAAGCATGTCTATGTCTTATCAAATTATGAAGATTGTGTATGTCTCATAAGATGTTTGAAACTTGAGAACTTTTCGTTTTCCAGTTTAAGTGTCTTTAACAATTAGATGTTTGATGTCTGATTTGTAATTGAATATCTATCGATTATGCATTGGATGATAGTTTGCATTAAATATTGAATCGTTGTTTTTTTTCTACTCAGCCTTGAGGATGCTCTAACGAATTGTAAAAAACTTGAACATACACTGAAGGTTAAAGAAGAAAAGATCATGAGTTTTGAGAGCAGGTATTTACAACTGATGAAGCAGACAGCCTTGGCTTTTGATTAATGTGGATTTTATTTTGATGTTTTCTTTTTCCATTCTTCCACGTCCACTGTCTTTCATTTTCATTGTGTTTTGGGTGAAGTTGAAATCCTTAAAATGATCTAATTTTCTTTTAGACTTGAAGAAGCCAGCGTTTACGAGCTTGAATGTAACAAACTTAAAAATGCCATTGACGAGAGAAAGAAGGTCGTTGCTAGACTCGAATCAAGGTCGTGAAAGTTTCTCCTTGAAGAAATTCTTGTGAAATCGTTCACGAAATTCGGAGTTTGACTTTGCAATAATTGTGCATTTTTGTATTTAGCCTTGATGAAATGTCCAGTGACAATCATAAACTGTCATGCGATCTTCAACTAAAGGATACAAAAACAAAAGAACTTGAAGAAAAGTACGTTATTTATACATTCTAGATTTCTGAAATAGTCCAATGTATTGTTCTTCATCAGGAGTGATGTAATATTGAAACTCGAATTCTTATATACTCCAGATCTGTGTCTTCATCGGGAGTGATTTAAGGCATTCGTTGTTAAAACGTTTGAACGAATGTATAATCTTCAATCTAATTATCAAGATTGGTTAGTACGTAGCTGCTATATATTTTTAGGATTCGTACGCTAGAAGCTGAGAAGCAAGAAATTGAGTTAGTCCAAAAAGCGTTAAAAGAGAAAGATGAATATGCAACCACGTTAGGCGAGAAATTGAAAAAGTGTATGGAGGAATTAGCTGTGCTTGAAAATAGGTTTGTAGAAGATCAAACTTGTATGCGGTTTACAAAAATTTTCGCTATGGACATATGAATAAAATATCTGAATAAATTGTGTTAGAAAGAAATATTTCTCTTGCAAAATTTATTTCGGGATTTTACATTCGAGTCTCCAGGATTTTAAGCGTGAAGCCTCTTCCATATCACCTGTACGTAGGTTCTTCTTTATGGTTTTACACTGTGACTGTAAATAAACATAGCAATTTAAAGGTCCTTCAGATCCTTGGAGATCCCATTCTAGCATACCATGTGCATTTTCTATTATTGCTAACTCGTGTTTAAGAGCAATGCATGGTTTCCACATAAAATGACTATAGATTTTTGCCGTATTTGAAGTGATTTCTAATTATGCAGTTGAAAAGCTAATCGTCACGGAATTAAAAGCTTCTCGAATCCCAGTGGCCAAATATCTTTTGTGTTTTAAAACAAAGTAGATGTTCATGAATATTGAACATTTCCCCATTTCATTACTCATTGAGATGACTAGCAGATATTTAAAATATCAAAATCTATTGGTCCACATGTCTGTGCAGGCAAAAATGAACAAATTTCTTATTTCTTTCCTTATGAATGATCGATTTATCAGAATATTCCCATTGGTTCAAAGTTTTTCAGATCCTTAGGAATCACATTGAATACACATGCATAATTCATGTATACTGTTTTCTACTATCTGCTTCATTTAATTTTTACGTCGTGATACAACTTTTGCTTGATGATTTTTTGTAGCACGTAGTTTCAACTTTCAAGCAGTTACTTTCCCAAATTCTGATAATCTCAGATATTTTCATTACGACGATCATTTTTCATATATTAATTTCTTAGTCCATATTCACTTGTGTTCATGCCTAGTTGTGCATTTTGACCGATGATGCCCAAATAGCATCGACAAAATAGCCAAATTATACGTATTAGAGTCAATACATGACCAGCATGCCATAGACGGCTAGACTGATACCTATATGCAACTATTTTTTTATCTTGTAATTGGTCCCTATTCATTGCGTTGTTGCATTCTTAGAGTCTCTACTTTTTCTTACATGCTTTATAATATATACAATTGAAATTATTTACATTCGTTTAGAATCGAAGAAACCAGCAGTCAGAATGGGAAACTTCAACATTCAGTGAAAATGAAAGATGAACGAATTGTAAATCTTGAGTCCAAGTAAGATATTCTTATGAACATGTTGTTTTTCGTTGAGTTTTTTCGTGGTACCGGGGTTCAACAAACCATAGTACCATGTAGCCGGTTTCATCTTATAAATATAAAGCATTTGAACACATCAACGTAACTATAGACGAAGAAACCTTGTTGGTATTTCCAACTCTAAACAGTTTATTTCCAGGTACTCATTCTAGCAGCCAGTTCCTTCAATAAGAAATTCATGAATACTTTTCTAGACTTTTTAAAATGACTTTTGTTGTTGCCCTCGATGCTCAAAATCTGTCCAAGAAGTTTGTAACTCTTTCTTGACTTCTTAAGGGAAGAGTTCTAAATTGTTTTAACTCTTGCTGCGTGGCGTAATTTCATTTTTGTCACGCTCAGCAGGCTCATATTTTCATCAACAGAGTGCTGGAGCTCGAAGACATGACAAACCATAATAAGAAATTGAAACAAATGATAGAACAAAAAGAAGAAAAGATTCGATTAATGGAAAGAAAGTAAGTTAATGGGGCATCAGGTCGATAATATGAGGTAATTCATATTCGCGTACTGGTTCATGTTTTGCCATGTGGTCATTTCTTTTGAAATCGTTTCTTATTGTCAAGATAATAGTGTCTGTGTAAGCCTCGATGCCATTTTCACTGCACTTGTTTAAGCGATGTATATATAATGTGATGGATTTCAGTTAAAAGATTTGTTCAGTCATGAACTTTGTTTTGATTAACAGAATGGACCACTATGAGGATGCCAATCGACAGTGTGAGCGATTGACTGAGAAATCTAGCAAACAGGACGAACACATCACTAAACTTAACAATAGGTATAAGCACTCCTTCGGCGCACTATATAGCATCCCTTCAAAGAAATAGAAGCTGTTAAGATGAGATTTAAAACAAATGTTCGCTATTCATGTGCTATTTCTGTTTAATATTTATTGCCAAATCCTTAAGCCATTATTATTTTGCTGTGCTGACTTCTCTCTCCCTCAAAGAGCAAATGAAAAACCGACCAATCGCGGAATGTGATTGAATTAATTAATATTTTAAAAAAATTAAAAATGCGATTAAAATGTTTTACAAACAGTTTCTATTTCTTATTTGATAAATTGCAAATTCGAACGATTCCACGTTATGCATCAATTAAGGAAGAAAACATCTTTAGATCTTTCTGTTTCAAGATTTTGTTTTGATATTTTAGAATATCTGTCCTCGAGGAATACGAAAAAGAGAATAGGACTGTGAAGTTTAAACTGACACAGAAAGATGAACGAATAACTTATCTTGAGCAAAGGTATGTGGATGAAGATCTTTCATCTACATAGTTTAGTGTCTTCCTACCTACCTAACATGACAGCATAATTAGATTTCAGACACCATACAACATTTGACCAGTAAAAATTTTCGAAACACTTTAAATTCTGGGAGTAATTCATTCGTGGCTTTGAAAAATATTGGGAAATATAGTTTGAGTGAACATGGCTTTTATGTGTGTGGCGAATAAGTTACGCTTATACTCCCTTTGGCACTTAAGCAATTCGACCGTTTGTCTACGTTTCTTACGGTCCTGGGACTAGTATACAGCGCTAATATATTGAGGTTGTTTCAATTTAATGAAATATTAACATTTCCTTGGAGAACTTCATCAAAATTTTTATATCTTTAGGTTACAAGAAACTAAATTGAAATCTTCTAATTTGGAGAATGAGGTCACCAAGATGCAGGGAAAATATGAAGAAAAAGTAAAACGCAGGTGTGTGTTGCACCATTTCTTCGTACTTACCGTCAAGTTTGCCTAAGGTTGGCAAGGTGTCATGTTAAAACCATTATAATGGGGGTCTACTGCAATCTCAGTTTCTATGGTTTGTCCATTTGAAAGGCTTTCCCTTCTAGGGCTGTTTATTTTTCAGAGTATTTTTTTATTGTTTTTTTTTAAAACACGGATCTTTAACTTTAATGTAACATTGATATATACTTGCATGGCATAACTCCTGCAGTCTCGAAGATGTTTAATGTAGCATTAATATATACTTGCATGGCATAACTCCTGCAGTCTCGAAGATGTTTAATGTAGCATTGATATATACTTGCATGGCTTAACTCCTGCAGTCTCGAAGATGTTTAATGTAGCATTGATATATACTTGCATGGCTTAACTCCTGCAGTCTCGCAGATGTTTAATGTCGCATTGATATATACTTGCATGGCTTAACTCCTGCAGTCTCGAAGATGTTTAATGTAGCATTGATATATACTTGCATGGCTTAACTCCTGCAGTCTCGAAGATGTTTAATGTAGCATTGATATATACTTGCATGGCATAACTCCTGCAGTCTCGAAGATGTTTAATGTAGCATTAATATATACTTGCATGGCATAGCTCCTGCAGTCTCGAAGATGTTTAATGTTGCATTGATATATACTTGCATGGCTTAACTCCTGCAGTCTCGAAGATGTTTAATGTAGCATTGATATATACTTGCATGGCTTAACTCCTGCAGTCTCGAAGATGTTTAATGTAGCATTAATATATACTTGCATGGCTTAACTCCTGCAGTCTCGAAGATGTTTAATGTAGCATTGATATATACTTGCATGGCTTAACTCCTGCAGTCTCGAAGATGTTTAATGTAACATTGATATATACTTGCATGGCTTAACTCCTGCAGTCTCGAAGATGTGGATACGCATAAAATTCGACGAATAGAGAGCGTTCGTCGAAGAGAAGAACAAATCAAGTCTCTAGAGAAATCACGGTCTAAGTAGGTTTTTTTAGCATCTCATTTATTTTTGTAATTTATGTTTTCAGATTAAGCAATGCATGATCATTATAACATTGATAATTGTCGTTTGTAGACTTGAGACTGTACTACACGCTCAAGAAAGCCATATTCATTCCTTACAGGATCGGTAAATTGTTTTGTTGTATAATCTTTTGGAGGGCGGGAAATTTTATGGAATGTTACTATGGAAATGATACTGTGAAGTATACGTTAAACATTTTCAGATTTTTAATTTATACTGCTCTTTACAAAGGCCTTAGGATTACTGACATTATTTTTATCAAATTGACACGAGTTGCTATCAAAGCCAAAATAAAGTTATACTTTAGTCTGAATGCAGGCTCACCGTCTCACTTTTCAATCACGTGTATTTTTTTCATTAGTTTGGAGAATTTGATGAGTGAAAGAAACCAACTGGGAACTAGCTTAAGCAAAAAAGAAAGCATCATTAATGAACTGCAAAAAAAGTAAGGGAATTTCTTTTGTTTTTAAGCTCACCTTATTTTTCAGCAATCTTAAGTAAATTTACAAAATAAATGTATTTTCTTGTTCGATTTCGTCCTGTTTTCTAGATAACGACTCCAGTGAGTCAAGTAATTAATGTTCAATTCTCAACATCGTGTTCATTTTGTACCATAAATCTTTTACGAGCGTTTATACAGTAAAATTCCTCTTCGCTGCTGCCTGATAACATAAAATGCCCTCTGATAAAAGCAAGCCAGTGAAGCTCCCTTGACAGGGATTGCACACATTGTCATTATAACTTTATTATTCTATCAACTTTACCTTTTTTTTTACTTTATATGTTCTTCGTGTTTTACGTATTTCATGATCTGTTCTCAATTCTAATTTTCATGTGAAAAGAGTCATGGAACTCGAAGATAACTTTTGTGATGTGGATAAGTTGAATGATTTGATGAAGAAAAAAGATGACACGATCAAACGATTTGAAGATAGGTATTATTATATATCCATCCTTTCTTGTTTATTGATGCCAGATATAAGATATTTTATGAAACTCTTAGTCTGTTTCAGAAAAAAATGGCATGTATCGATGGAAATATCTAAAAATTTTTAAACTTTGGGAACGGACACGGAAAAAATATTTAACTCAAAACGTCGAGGAGCATTTTTTTCGTGTTCTCGTAAACCAGTCCATTGCAAATCCCTCGGTTATTCAGTGTTTAGTAATAAAACAATCAAAGTGCGCGATTTCATTTAAAGTAAAACTTTTAGTTTAGCTAATAATAGTGTGTAAATGTAACAAGGTACGTTTACTGAAGTAAATTCATTGTTGTAATTTGAGATCGAGATGAAATGCTTTTAATGAAATGCATTCGACATTTCTCATACGTAGCTATAAAAAACCGTTTTAACGATTTTTCATAACCGCTTTTCTTTCCAAATTCATGAACGTACTATAGAGTTCGTGAGGTTGAGATGGTGTTGAACAGGACGCAAGCATCTAATCGAGAGAAAGATACGAAGATTGATTTACTTCAAAAAAGGTTCTTCGTTGTTTTTGACGTAAAGCAGTTTAAATCTTCTAGTACGGTTGCAAACATGCCTGTGCTGATTGAAAAGCTATCACTTTTTTATTTTGTCCATTGAACGCTTCAGGATTGACGAGTGTTTGGAACAGAACAAAAAACTTGAGGAAAAATTGAAGAAAAGAGACGAAGCATTACGAAAAGCGGAAGAAGATATGCTTGATGTTGAAAACAGGTTATCGTGAATAATATCGTTGTTCACGCGTTACATTGGAATGAAAGTTGAAATGAATAATACTGAATACAGAAAAAGTCAGTTCTCAAAGTCGATAGGATCTTTAGTTTTGTAGTATTAATATAAAGTTTGTGATTTCATTACCATATTATGTTAAATTGCATGCACGCATACTTAGCTGAAATTTTCAATTACCTAGATTTGATGTTTAGACCACTAGAGTTCCTGGAGCATGTAAGGACTCAGGTGTTAACATCAGACTACTGTTGTTGTAAAAAACGACTCAAGATTCTTTTTTTATGTATAGAAATAGAAGTTCACCTGGGTTGTCAACGGACTTGAATAAACTCCAGTCCATTAAACAGAAACTATGGGAAGCCGAAGCAAGGTACATGCTGTACATTCTAATGTATTCACGGTGTGCTTGATGTTAGTTTCATTTCCCTGCTCTTTTCCTTTCTTTAGAATTGAAGAGATTGATAACGAGAAAGGAAAAGTTGAATATCAACTTAAAAGAAAAGAATCTTATCTGCAGGATCTGGAAGTGCGGTATGTTAACTTGTTGTAGTTCGTGGCTTGTGTTTTACATATAGAACATAGAGATGTGCTTGAAAATAAGGTTATTTATACAATTGCTGGTAAAGTATGATAGGGGCACTTTTTTGTTGCATCTTTTGTTCATTTGAGTTTCTCAAGATGTATTATATCCTGAAATTGTACATATTGCAGTGCATATAAATAACATTTCGACTTGTACTTATAAGATTACGTGAATCTTCTGATGCCTTGGACGAAAATGAACGTTTGAAACAGAACATCAAACATAAAGAAGAACGACTGAGAATTTTACAAGCAAGTCTCGATCAAAATCTTTCTGAAATCAACTCTCTTGAGAGTCGGTACGTTATTTCTAACGCAGGCCATGGCAAATCGATTGAACTCTTTTAGACAGATGGAAAAACTACTGAACTAAAATTTTAGAGTGCTAGTTCAATTTTCCTATGCACGTGACAAGGTTTAAGACGCATATACACATTGGAAACAAACTTGTTACGATTTTCTTGAGGGGAGGAGGTTATAGGCATTCCTATAGCATTTGCACTTCTTCAAGAGAAGTTAAAGTCGCGTTCGTGATATTGTTTATCTTTGCTCAATTTGAAACTTTTAAAGATTAATTGACGTAAAACATCAAGTTCTCATCCCATTGACACGTGTGTGATCATATCCTATTGTGTGTATTGTATAGTCTTGAAAACATGACATCGGAAGTCTACAAACTACGGAAAGTTGATGGCGAAAAACAAAAGCGGATCAACAGTTTTAAAATGAAGCTTGAGGAAAAGGATAAGATCGATAACGATGGGATATTGAGGCAAAAGAACGAGAGAATACACACATTGGAAGAGAAGTATGATATCAAATCATATGATATTAATTTTAGAAGGATGATCTCTTGTTAGTAATTATAGAATGATGTTATCAGTAAAGATGACATCAATAATGTATCAATAAGGATGACATCTTCAATGATGTATCAATAAGTAAACTTATTATAAACGGATAGTTTCAACGCAACTACTGTACAAAACATTGTGAAACCAGTACTGTACGATTGTATTTGTAGAAGACGCTGTAAATAAATACATTAAGTGGATGTTTTTTTCCACAAATAATTTAGAAACAAACAACTTCTTGAGGAGAAGAATATGGCCAGTGAGGTTAGTGTTATTCACGTTATGACATTCTCAATACCTCTTGCAGATTATGTTTTCTTGTTATTCATGGTGGGAGCAGACGGTTCTTTTTGCTTGACAGTTCAAACTGTAGATTTTGCAAATTCACGAGGGACAGGCTAGAAGTATCTACAAAAGTATCATATACCATCAATCAGGAATCCAAAGTTAACCATAATTCTATTTCATATAACGCTGCCTTCTTTACTTGTACTTCTTTTTCGTTAGTGTTTTCATGTTTAATCATTGTTTACAGCGCATGGCGGAGCTCGAGATAAAGTTAAATAAAGGTGACAAAGCACCAGACAACACCGTAACGATGATTGATAATATTTTCCATGATCGAAGGTAATTTATCATTTATGTAACAGCTCTAATTGATGTTTCATCCTGACGAATATTTTCGTGCGCTAATGAAATTCCTTCTCATGGAAAACCATTTCAGACTTTGGGAATGAGGTTTACGAAATACATTTTCCTCACACCGTTTGTTAATTAAGATATCTTCTCAATGGTTGATATGCATTCGACTCGCCCAATATGAATCAATAGATGTTATAATGACCACAGTTCTACGTGACACGATTATTTTATACAATCTTGCTTTCTCCTTCAGATCTATATTCCTTTATACATTTATTTATTTTCAGACCTCATGTTGCTCGTGTTTCAATGGAGAACGAGAAAAACCTTGACATGCGATATAAAGATGTTGAAAAAGAGGTGAGCTATCACCGTTGTAGGGTTTTCCTTTGGGCGTACTTATGAAAATCCAAATTTTCTTTGTTTCAATGATATTTTTTAGGGAAATTTTTTTATTCCTTCTTTTGTGTAGTTTGAAAATTTGCGTCTGGACAAAGAGCATGCCGAAGGTAGATACTCGTCGTTGAGGGAGGAAAATAAAAATTTAAGTCATGAACTGAAAGCACTAAAGTCAGAACATGATCATTTACTTAATGATCTCAATGAAATGAAGGAAAGTTACACAGATCTAGATCTTCTGTCGGCCAAATCACTGCATCGCTGTGAGGTATGCCATTGTTGATTTTTTGAAGGAGATTTTCTTCGGTGTCCATGATGCATTTCTTATTATTGTCAGTTATCTGAGCTATATTATCGCTTTTGTTTAATTAGATAGAAATGTGTGAGTGTGAAATACTTTGCTTTACCATTTGTTATAGCAAAGATTTTTTCATCTCCCTTCATGAGTTCAATTCATGCAAAGTAACTCTTTAAACCATTTAGAAAATAAATTCTCTATGCATACCATCCGAAATTCTGTACTGTATAATTCTTCTTATGTGATAATAAATATCAAGAGAAATAACCATTGAGCTTTTCTTGGTAGAAACGTGATTAGACATAGTCTGGTTTGTTGATTCTGGTTGTATTGACCATCTTTTTGTGCAATTTTAAGTTAGGCGATTATCAGAGATTGGCCACATAAACACAAGACGTGTTATGGACATTTTCTCTAAAACAATAACTATTAACTTTTTTGTCTTTTGCGTTAATAAATTTTCAGATGTTGACACAAATGAACAATACTTTAGAGGAAGAAAATAGAATGTTGATGGAACAAATGAATAAATTACTCACACAGGTATTACCACATGACTAAACTTTCAAACCAAATGTAATTGCGATTTGTAGGTTAAAGTATTACCGCTCCTTTACCTATATAAAAGACGTAGTTAGAAATTTCATATCTTATGATAACAGTTTCTAGAAGGCTAGAATTCACTTATTTATATTTTTGGAATGTGCATTTTTGCCTTAGAATCAGGAGTTGTTGACGGAGTCTTTGGTGAGTCGAGATCAGTTTTTGGAAGAAGAAAGAACATTCTCGTGAGTAAATTTTTTTGTTTGTTTCATGTAGTTGTTCAAGAATTTGTCATTTTCTTCGTGTTATAATTTGTCATTTTCGTCGTGTTATAATTTGTCATTTTCGTCGTGTTATAATTTGTCATTTTCGTCGTGTTATAATTTGTCATTTTCGTCGTGTTATAATTTATCATTTTCTTCGTGTTATAATTTATCATTTTCTTCGTGTTATAATTTATCATTTTCTTCGTGTTATAATTTGTCATTTTCGTCGTGTTGTTATAAACGTATAATTCATTGATTGTAAACAATAGTTATTTAATTTGTGGTTTTAACTGTTATTTATTCTCATTCATGATTATTTAGCAATAGTTATGTCATGGTTAGTAAAAATTGGTGGTATCATTTATGTTTGCTAACAATTTCTTTTCAAAAAAAATACAAATAAAAATACTTAAAATACAAATACTTTGTTCGTGGTTGTTAACCAATTGTTTCTACATTCATAGTCCTTTCTCGTCTTGTTCATGAAGCATTTTCATATTTTGATTCTTCGCTCTACTATTTTTTAGTGATCGTCTTTACGAACTTCAGAGGCAGAAAGAAAAATTGGAAGAGAAGATTGAACAGGCAAACAGGAGTCTTGCTGAAAATACTCCAAAGAAGTTTGTTGCCTTAGTTATGACTGCTTCTATTAAGCAAATTAAATGATAATCTTGCTCCTTTTCTTCTAGGAAAAGCAATCTGTTTAAAAAGGTTTTGCAAAAAGCTGGTCTGAAAAAGGTAAGGAAAACAATGTAGAATTCTATTGGAAACAATAACAAGCTAAAATCTGTTACTTTTCTTTCTAAAAGAGATAGCTTGATATCATGCATACTTTTTAATATTTCTTTTATATTTTGTCATTCTAAAATAAATTTGTTTGATTACAGAAAAAGGAAGATGGCTTAAAGAGTAAATCCGCTGTGCAACTAATCAAATACGATCAAAGTCCCCGTACAAGTGTTGAAGGCTCATCTGATGTGTCAGACTCGAGCCCAGGAATGCGTCATCTATTTTCAATGTCGCCAGAACGTGCTAGCGATTCATCAAATATTAGCGAAAGCGTAAAATCAGATATTTCTTTTGAAAATGATCTTTCTCCATTCGCTCGAAAGAAAGCTCGCCTAAATCGTGCAAATCGTCAACAACGTGTAAAGTCTGAGTACCTAACGTCAGTTCTGATGGATAATCTTGCCATACAAGGTCGTAGCAGGAGTCTTGACCCTAAAGAATTCAATGATTTAGTTTTCGCTGCCAAATCAGATTTTAGTTCTGGTCAAGTTTCGTCATGTAGCTCTATGACTGTATTGAATGCAAATTCTGATGAAAGTTCAGGGGACTCGGTACGAGGTAGGAATAGTTCAAATGATGTCAGCAGAATTTTAAGTTTCTCATTGGTGCACGATGAAACTAAACGCCCATCGCCAATTCGCGATAGGAGAAACGTTGAAAATAGAACAAGAAATCCTCCTGAATACAATTCGAAAGAGAATGTCAAAAATTCTCCTCATTTGCAAAAGATAAGAGGAGTTGCTAAGGGTGAAGCTGGAAACAGGATGAAGATTAAAGATTTTCCTCTTAGGAATGAAAAAGGAACTGTTAATATCGAAAATAAAGTTAAAGATTCTCCACATTTGCAAGAGATAGATGGAGGTTTTAAAGTCGAAGCTGGAAACAAAGGAATTGCTAACATCGAAAATAAAGTTAAAGATCCTCCACAATTGCAAAAGACAAATGGAGGATTTAAGGTCGAAGCTGGAAACAGGATGACGATCGAAGGTTTTCCAGCTAGCGAGAAAAAAGTAAATGTTGATGTTGAAAGGAAAATTAAAGATTCTCCACTTGTGCAAAAGATAAGTGGAGGTTTTAAGGTCGAAGCTGGAAACAGGATGACGAATGAAGGTTTTCCAGCTAGCGAGAAAAAAGGAAATGTTGATGTTGAAAGGAAAATTAAAGATTCTCCACATGTGCAAAAGATAAGTGGAGGCTTTAAGGTCGAAGCTGGAAACAGGATGACGAATGAAGGTTTTCCAGCTAGCGAGAAAAAAGGAAATGTTGATGTTGAAAGGAAAATTAAAGATTCTCCGCATGTGCAAAAGAAGTGGAAACAGGATGACGAATGAAGGTTTTCCAGCTAGCGAGAAAAAAGGAAATGTTGATGTTGAAAGGAAAGTTAAAGATTCTCCAAATTTGCAAAAGATAAGTGGAGGTTTTAAGGTCGAAGCTGGAAACAGTATAACGATTGAAGATTTTCCAGCTATCGAAAAAAAAGGAACTGTTGATATTGAAAGGAAAATTAAAGATTCTCAAAATTTGCAAAAGATAAGTGGAAGTGGTAAAGTAGAAGGTGGCAATTGGATTACGGTGAGAAATGGAAGTGTTGAATCTGAGATCTTACATCGTGATAAGAAAATCAAAAATAACTTTGAAAAAAGTCCGAAAGCAGTGACTGAAAAAGAAAAATCCTCCTCGTTGATAAAGAATTTCACTGCATCGAATACTTGGGAAGAAAAGAAGAGTAACACTAACAACAAAATGGATAGCACTAACAAAAATTTAGATAGTGCTCAGTTGCCACTGTCATTGGAGCATCGCTCGTCAACTTTATCCCAAAATGGTTTTGATAAAAGCACTTACAGACGTTTCTCCGAGTTAAGCTCATCTTCACGGCCTCCAAGTTTTACAGAGAATGAAGTGAAAAGGACAACAGTTCATCTTGTGAGCTCAAAATTGGCAACTGTCGATGATGGTAAAAATCTCGTCGATAATCGTGAATTGAAGGTAAAAAAAGATTATACAGGAAAAATTTTCTTCTTGATGTTGTTTTTTCATAAGTCTTTTGATTATAAAACTTGGGAGCTTGTATTCCTACCTAGGGGCCGTTTGTACGAAGGCTGAATAGCGTAATTCACTGGATATCAAATTTTATTGAACGTTTACAAAACCTTTTAAAATGGAAAATATATGATTTGAACTGAGCAATCAACGAAAGAAAATATTGCTTCTAAGATAAGAAAATGTTGTTGTTGTAAAGAAAATACAAACACCTTTTTTATAAGTTTGAATATTTTACTATTCAATGGAAAACGCTATGCAGAGTTTTGGAAGCCCTCCCCCCCCCCAGTGTTGATTTTTGGTAGCTTTCAAATATTTGTTGACTTATAAAAAGATGAAAAAACATTCATTCGCTGGTGTTATGTTTTTGTAATTTATGTTATAAGAACGATCGTGACAATGATGATATTCTAATAATCATATTGATAATATTTAATGGTTGAGTGCGTCGATGTGTTGTCAAAAATTCGTGGAAATTCACAATTTTAATTTGATGCTTATAAACTTGACAGCTTATAAATATTGCATTCTTGGTTCATTTTAAGCCTGTGCTTTTGAAGTCCACATCTGAACTAGTGTCATTTTTAAAATCATCAAATTTTTCATACAGGCTTACTGAAGAATAATTTCATTTTATTATCAGCACACGTCATCGATCATTTCCGATCACGTGCCAAAAGAAAGAACAATAAATGTCCCTTCCAAGTCTACTTTGTTTCCCTCAAGAACAGTAGATACCTCCAATACATCATCAAAAGTAACTCATCGAACGGAAAAAATAAGTGCAGATAAACAACAAACAAAACGGACAAGTTCTTTTATCATTCGACCCCAGTCTCCCTTGACCTCACGAAACCAGGTACACCGTCAACATTCCGACCGTATAGTGACAAGTTCAATGGAAATTGAGCGAAAGAAGTCAAGTCTAGGGGAACCTGCTGTACCTGTTGCCACCAAGAACAAGCGTCCGCAATCATATTGTCAGCGTTCTGATTCTATACAAAGTGCAAGGCAAAGTATTGGTATGGTTTCCCATAAAGAAGTCGTCCAGTCTGCTGCTCTAGAATCTAATCCCCGGATCGAGAGGAAAGAAGGAATTGATCAACCGGATAAAAAAGGGTCGAGTTTTAAGGGAGATGAGTATAAAGTAAAAACGCGCAGAGGACAACAAACACCGTTATCTTCAAGGCAAACTTCCAAGGTCGACAATCTTGTACCAAAAAACGATAAGACTCTGGAAAAACAAGGAAAACCTTCTCTCTGGTATGAATACGGTCAAGTGTAACAACGTTACTTTTTATCAAACTTGTACTTTTAGATTTTTAATTGTTTCTAAATTATTCAGTTTTAACATTTCATCCCATTTTTAAAGAACTTTTCAGTGGCAGGTTTGTTGCCCTTCCCTCCCCACCCGTCTAAAAAATTACATAAACATCGATTTTAAAACTTTTTTCTAATTTGATGAAAAACATGGAGGTTATACCTTCAGATCAATTTCTCTGTTCCTAATATGTTGCATTATGCTCTTCCGTTTGCTCCCTTTATGTTTTTTTTTCAACTGCCTCAACAAGCAGTCGTTGGCACTGTAAGAAAGTAAGGGCGTACTGTGACAGGCATTAGAGTATAACTGTTATGAGAATGTTGTGGCAGATGCAAATGTTTTTTCATATATTTTTTGATTCCCCGTTTATCCAAAGCGCCCTTCTCAAAATAATCTTGAATGCAAGACAAAATTCAAATATCACAAAATATTACCATAAGAAACTTTGCAATAGAAAATAAGAGTCGTCATTCGCTCATTGCCCTGCGGACACTAAAACTTCGTGTTGGGTCAATACCGATAGAAGTTCGTAGAAATCTATTTAAACATCCATGTTTGAAAAGCATTCTTCATAATTATTGCGTGCTGTTATACTTCATACATTTAACTATGAAAAATCCACTAAACCACAGTGCATTTTATTAAATAATTAAATAGAACTTAGTCGTGGTGATAAATCTAAAAATTGTGTTAAAAATTGTAAATACCAGATGGTGAATGGCAAAAATAATAACCTAGTAGCTCTTAAAAGAACTGTTTTACACTATATGGTTTGGTGGAAAAAGAGAAGGAGCTTTGTGAAATGAAGAGATGGAAAATAATGGAGGAGAAATTTGTAGATAGTTATACTATGCAGGATGGTCGTTGGCTGTTTTTCTGTCTGAAACTTTAGCTTTGTAAAAATAAACTAAAAAATTCAGTGTTTTTGTTCTAGGGTTCGGTTCTTGCATAATCTTTTCCTTTTCTCTAAGTCTTCCATTCTGCTCTACTAGATAATTGAATATTTGTTCATACCGCTTGTCAGTGATAGATAAAACAAGGAGTTGAAATTCTCCATCTCCCCTTGAATACATAAGGGTTAACAATCCTGACTGGAGAAGTGATAAGAACGTAGAAAAAAAATGCATTTTCTCTCTTGAATATGGTCAAGTGTCACAAAAAAGGTGAATGACGACACAAAATAGTCATTGCCGCCATCAGTTATTTATTTTAAATAAGATGAAAACTTTAATTAGTAATGTGTTGCAAATCTAAACGTGCATTGGTATAATTCCGAGTTCTTTATCTTCAAAAAAATCTTAAAATGCGAGAAAAAATTCTGTAGAGTTAAATATAACAATCAAAACCCAAGGACTTCTGTGCACGACGAAATAAGACCCTGAGAGTATGAGCCTGGTACCGAGAGTGAGAGCCATATGCGTGTACAACAAAAACGACCCTGGGGACTATGGAGGGTGATCTCCGCCAAAATTAAAAGCCATATTTTCAATTGCTAAAGCGCATTTTGTCCTTTGCAATGTGCATTTTGTCTTGATCATATTGCATTCTGGAATTTCATAATCGGATTTTGTCCTGTTCAATTTCCGTTAAAACGCATTTTGTTATTGAACATTCCATTATGATGACGTAACATTATTCGTGACTCGCAGAACATCAAATTTTACTCGATCACATTATAATTTATTTATAATTATTTACCGCCAAAAATTGTTAATATCAATAAATTATACTGTTGCAATATGCAATAACTATCACGATCTTTGTCCTTCGAAGCAACTTTAGTATTCTGTAAAAAAGAAACGATTTTTTTGGAATGGGGGATGATAATGGAGCGAAAAATCGAGAGGCAGCAGCTTTGCTTCGCCGAGCAGCAAATTTACTGAATCCAGACTCTTCTGGATCAGCAAGTCTTAGATCTTCATCGACTGCTCAAGATGGTAATCTTGCCGATCATGGAGCTTCTCAACGTGTCCAATCGTCAACACTAGACAGTACATTGCAAGAACAACATCAGGCTTCGTCATCTCAAGCTTCAACATCAAGATCATCTTGTTCGATAAGAGAGCAAGAATTTAGGCGGTTATTTGCACCGTATAATCGAGCTAACAATGGAAAGATGTTTTCTCATCCACCAGCAAAACGTGGTGGATCTAATTCGTGGGGACAACAAGGTCGGTGTTATAAACCGCAAGAAACTTGGACTCACGATTTTTTTTGCCTGGCAAACCATGGGCAAGATTGTGGGCCTACTAGAATGGAAAAAATTAAATTACAAAAAGCTGGTCTTGGACGTAAACGTATTTCTTTCCATAAACAATACATTGATATAATTGAGGGGACAACTAGTGGTAAGTGTTTTGGTAGAAAGATGCAGGGAAGGTTGTAATTGGTTGTAGTCAGTCTATGTATGTGTTTTTTTTTGTGTGAATATGGTTTGCTTTTTAATATTTGCACCACAACTGATTATATATCATATGTTGGAGCAGCAGTAACTTTATCTGTTTGAACAATATCAATGTCAGTAATATTTTCATGCTTTCAAATTGGACCTTTGCTTTCTCCAAAAAAAACTTAAATGCTTGACTGTTTGAGGTACTAGTTATATTAATACTTTAATACCTGTCTATTCCTAAGGGCAAATCTTAAAGATCTGTTGTCTTTTTGGACTGGGTGTAATTTACTGCCTGCAAATGATGCAATCCTGCATCTCAAAGTTGACAGAACAAAAGATTGTAATCTGCTGCCAGAAAGTAGAACTTGTTTTCATTTGTTAGTTCTTCCATGTTATGAAAACTTCCATGAACTGAAAGCTAAACTGGATAGGGCTTTGCAACTTGGTTCAAGAGGATTTACCAATATTTGATCTTGGAACAGTTTATACATTTCTTTCAGCAATAACATAGCTTGTTACAGCTAATATGGATGATGCACTAAATTGAAATATTTTTATTCTTTGTTTTTGATATCATTTTTATAGTTAAAGACTTAAAGTGAATATGTTAATGTTTCATTAAATTTTGTTATGTCAGTGCATCAGCATTTATGTGCTAAAAAACATTTTCTGCTAAAATGTTGAAATAATCAACATAATGCAAAATTTATAGCCTTTGTTGCCATACATATCTTCTTTTGTATTATCTGAATTGACACCAATGAACAATAGGTCAAGTAGCTTTTCTTGTTTTGTGAGTTCACAATGTCACTCGTCTTCCTGGTGCAGTCTGGTATTTATAAACTGAAGCACCTCAATGTATATGTCAGCACCATTATGATTAGAAGGCCTTAAAGGATTAATGGTTCTTTGCAGCTCATCAAGATCTATTTCATTCAATGGAATGTTGGTTTCTGGAACAATCACTTGTTGCTGATCTGTTTCATGACATGCGTAGTTTTGTGTAAAGGTGGGTGGAAATTCTTGGTTTACCTTAGTGAATTGGAACATTAAATTAGATTCTGACTTCAACATACATCAATTAGCTTTGGATCCAGTCTGATGATTATAATGTAAAGTGTAGCCTAAAAGTAAAGTCATGAGTTATTGCATAAAAATATAAAAATACCTGCTGTATATGGTCGTTTGAATTATTGGCTAAGCAAGATCCTTGGATCCATAGCTGTTCAGGTGATAGATTTCTTTCTGTTCTTATGGGAGATCTATTGTAACCTTCCTGGAAAATTTCCAAATTTCTGTTAATAATTGGACAAAACACATAATGCAATGAAAACACATGTTCTTCATTTGATGGATCCAATATTCCATTACTTTCCATATGATAGAATAAATGACAAAAGACTTGTACAACCAACAAAAGATCTCGCCAAAAGCTCAATCCGTTGGTTGTGCACACTTCTTCGGTAATATGACTGCCACGACCAGGTCCTCGTAAATGGTGGTTTAACATAAATTGAGCAATACCAACATTTTCACCTCCTTTATCAGTTCTTACTCTGGATGGCAGTCCATATTGAGACACACCAGATAGAAATAGATTTAGAACAGTATCAGCTCGATTGTTTGTGCTACAGCGAATAAATACCAGCAAACGTAAATAGCCGTCTATTCCTGCATGAGTCACAAATCTCCATCTAAAAATATGAAACTACTAGCACACTTGTATGCAAAACTGAGATTTATTAACTCCCCAAAATAGGTATTTTTTAGTAGCTTACCTAATCAATTTGTGATTGCCATCAACATGCCAAAGTGATAAGGGGCTAGTAACATGATATTTTCGTCTGTGCACTGCTCTAAGAGACAAAGCACGAAACAATGTACCCTGTGGATCAACTCTTCGCATCATTTCACGAATCCTGTACTGCCGAATTCGCAAACCTCTTGCTAACAGCAATCCTGACATACGTTTGTAGCCAAGATTGGGAAACTTGTTCGTTATGTTTCTTATGACCAACTCGAGATCTGAATCGTTAACGTCAGAATAACAATTAGGAACTGATAAACCAAACTCGTTCATCCTCCTCAATGGTTCTTTTGCTGACTCCCAGAAGATTTGCCGTATCTTTCACTGTAAAACGCTTATCCAATAAATAACGCAGAATATCTTCGTTTACTTCATACATTGGTCGCCCTGGCGTGCCACCTAAAACTTGAGGGCAGTTCAATGAAGAAGATGTATTAATATGATGATGAACATCGACATTTAAAAGTTCTTTTGCGTTTGAGATTAACTGCAGAACAGCCTCTTCAAGCTCAAATACTTCAGCAAATCGCAACGTAGTATGGTAAAGACAATCAATACGAAAAACGCAAAAATCCCGATCTGGACTTCCTTCGAGGTCAGCAATACAACCCAAAATAGAGTTGCGAAGGAGTCTTACAAAGTATAACCTGTCTACCATGTTTTAGGGTTGTAGACTTGTAGGTAAAACAATTGGTTTATTTTGTTTTCATTTATATTACCGCACGAAGAAAATAAATTATAAATAAATTATAACGTGATCGAGTAAAATTTGATGTTCTGCGAGTCACGAATAATGTTACGTCATCATAATGGAATGTTCAATAACAAAATGCGTTTTAACGGAAATTGAACAGGACAAAGTCCGATTATGAAATTACAAATGCAATATGATCAAGACAAAATGCACATTGCAAAGGACAAAATGCACATTGCAAAGGTCAAAATGCGCATTAGCAATTGAAAATATGGCTTTTAATTTTGCGGAGATCACCCTCCATAGGGGGCAAGGTTGCTCATATACGATTGAGCTCGTCAACAGTGTTTCGATATTATTGATAATTGTTTCTTAGTTCGATCATGACCGATACAGAATTCGATTACCATAACGGCTTTTATACACTCAATGCAGAAAGCAAGCCAGAAGACTGTAGAAAGCTGTACGAAGATGCTAAGGACTCCTATGAAAAGGTAGAACGTTTAGGTAGTATTTCGCAATTCACTAACACATTTGCTTGTCCCAATTTGCATTACGGCAGAATTTGACACAATGGAACAAAGTATTTTGATACATTGACATTGTTAGATTCACTACGTAGTTTTTGTATAAATTTTTTCCACTCAAGAAAATTTTCAAAGTAGCAAATTTTCTTATCACATCCATAGAATTTTCGATTGTTTTAGCTGCAAAACTTAAATTGAAAATTAGAGTGCTCAACTCATATAATGCACGAGCTTGTTTTGAATGAGGCAAAGGTTCTTCCTTCAAAATTAACTTAGCATATAGATAGAATGAAAGATTCTAGGGAAATAGTTGCCATCAACAAATCCTACAGTATTCAGCCAATTGGGTAGTTGTTTTAACTGTGCCCATTTTAGATTGCCTTTGAAAACATGAAGTACATAGCACCAATGATAACTGCTGAGTTTCTTGTAAAACATCTTGAACAACTTGGGTTTAGTCAAGATGTGCGGATTCTTGACCTTGGTTGTGGTACAGGAATGGTAGGTGAGGAACTAAATCGTCGAGGTTACAAGAACATTGATGGTGTAGACATTTGTGGGGCCTTAGTTGACAAAGCCAAAGAGAAGGGGCTTTACACAAAGCTGACAGTGGGGGAGATGGCTTCTGAGGATTCTAAAAAGTTGAATGTGGCTGCTGACCAATATGATGCGGCCGCATGTGCTGGGGTGTTTACTCTTGGTCATGTGAAAGGCAAAGGTTTTGATGATTTTCTACATATTCTCAAATCTGGTGGAATTGCATGTTTTACTGTAAGGAAGATGGCTTGGGATGATAAAGTCTATGGCTTTGTGGAAAAAATGGAGAAGCTTTGTGAAATGAAGAAGTGGAAAATAGTGGAGAAGAAATTTGTTGATAATTATACTGCAGAGGATGGTTGTTGGCTGTTTTGCTGTCAGAAACTTTAATTTTTTAAAACTTTAGTAGTTCTAAAATTTGCATGTTCATCAACTCTGAAGAATGTTTAATATTTTTGTATTGCACTGTCTGCACATCAAAATATGATTTTGGAAAACCTTTGAAATTAAAAGATGTCAGGAATTTAGTTGTTCACAATGCATTATATGTGTATGGCTTTTAGCCAATCAGCTTACAGTAGTTATTGATAATATTAATTATGTCATAATTTTGCCATATCGGTGTGCTGCATGGTGTGTTTGTATGAACTTTTGGGGATTCAGTGGGGTTTCCATTTAGGAAATACTTTAATTTTTTAAAAATATGGTAATTCTAAAATTTGCATGTTTATCAACTTTGGATAAAGGTTAAATATTTATGTATTCCATTGCAAATCAACGTAGACATGATTTTGGAAAACTTTTCAAATTAAAAAACGTCAGAAATTTAATTGTTCACAATATTCACAATGCGTTATCATTGATATGCGTTATATCTACTATATGACTTTTAGCCAATCAGCGTACAGTAGTTATTGACAATATTAATTATGTCATAATTTTGCCATATCGGTGTGCTGCATGGTGTGCTTGTGTGAACTTTTGGGGATTCAGTGGGGTTTCCATTTAGGAAATTCCATCCCGTAGGAAGTGACTCAATTGAGTGTCCCCAGGCTCCATGGTGCTCTCTTACATAAAATGAGCACCTACAAGCTAGAAGTGTATCATTTTCATCGTTGTTCACTGTTATATGTGTCGCTAGTACAATTATGACGAATAAAGAATACGATTACTATAAAGGTCTTTATGCTCTCAGTGCAGAAAGTAATGCTGAAGACTGTAGAAAACTTTACAAAAATTCAAAGGAATCCTATGAAAGGGTAGGATAGTATTTCGGACTCCAACAATACGGGGCTAATGAAACAAAAACGTAATTTGCGGTAAAGCTATACTTGATATGCTATAAATGTAGATAGGCTTGCTACGCGAGCGTTGTTGAATGTTTGAGTGTGCGCGCATTTGCGCACGCAAAAAGTGCTTATTTACTCATGCAGTCTCATCGTGATTTTCAACCTGCGCTTTTAGCTGATTTGCGTGTTCACGTGGAGTTGGCGCAGATTTTTGCACATTGCAACCAAATATTGTGGTGCATTAAAAAATTATTAAAATTCGATTTTTTGCTCGTCCAATGGTCAAAATTTTTGAATATACCTCCTACAATGCACCATGTTCTCTCACTAAAAATTTCTAACAAAACAAAGTAAAAAGTAATTTTACTCAAACCTGTTCACGTGAATTGAAACGAATATGTTGGGTTAGATTACAATTCAAGGGTTGCTGCGCCATTCATTGCGAAGCATACCTTACAATATGCTGAACATACTTGGGTGCTTGCGCTCTGCACTGACTAAAAGCAAATGACTTTCGATTTCTTCGGGCAAAATAATTTGCGTTCTCGCACTGACAACGGACTTTCGATTTCAAACATCAATATAAGAATGTGAAAATTTTGCGTTGGGTGTTTTTAGGTCATGATGATAGACCTTAAATATGGGACCGAAGGACTGCCGGTTTCTCGAAAACATGCAACAACTTGGATATGGCAAGGCACGGACCTTGACAGGAATTAGGCGATGAGGAACGTAGAGGTTACAAGAATATTGATGGCGTAGACATTTGCAATGACGTCATGATAAAAGCCAAAGAGAAATCGATTTACACGAATTTAATTGTGGGGAGATGGCTTCGAGGATTCTAAAAGTTGAATGTGAGTGCTGACCAATATGATGCTGCAGTTTGTGTTGGGGTCTTTACCTATGGTCACGTGAAAGGCAAAGGTTTTGATGATTTTGTGCATATTCTTAAACCTGGTGGAATTGCATGTTTTACCGTGAGGAAGGTAGTGTGGGATGATAAAGTCTATGGGTACACAGATAAAATGGATGAGCTCTGTGAAATGAAGAAATGGAAAATAGTGGAGAAGAAATTTGTTGATAATTATACTGTCGAGGATGGTTGCTGGCAGAAACTTTAATTTTTTAAAAAGACAATAGTTTTAGGACAATGGAATAATGATATTGAATACAAATGTATAAATTGAATAAATTTTTTGTTTTAAATATGTTTAGTTCCACTTCATTTGTCTTTTGTCTTTTTCTAAGCACGGGAAACGTCAAATCGAGTTTAGAGTTGAAATTGGATTACAAACGTCATAAGGTATGACGTTGCTCCTCCTTTCAACAAAAACAATTGTGGAAATTTATTCAAGATACACACGAATCTTTGAACGAATGTTAGGAGAACTAGAATTATTAGTATCAAGGGACTAAATATTTAAAACAGAATGATGTAAAGGCACAGAAAATCAGGAATTTAAAGCTTCGGCTGGAGAAGAAATAATACAATTTCTTCTTGTACGCGGCCGTGAGAGGAAGTCCTTTCTATTTAAACTAAAGATGGAACACATCGCGGATGATCCTTCGATCATGCGAAATCAAATAAGTCGTGATAATTTACCGTATCCTACACACGGCTGGTGCAAAGGGTATTTGCAAGCGAACATATCAATCGTTCCCTCTTCTGTGGCTGATGACTTCGAAAGATTCTGTGAATTGAATCCTAGCGCTTGTCCACTTCTGTATCGCAGTTATGAGGGAGAAATATCAGCACCACCATTGGCAGATCATTCGGATATCAGGTTATTTACTAATTAACATATTTTTACTGAGCACATTTCACTCGAACTTTAAGTTTGCGTTATGAACTACATTATTCAATATTAAACAGTCTATTTGTTTTTGAGTAAGCTTACAATACACAATACTGACGATTTTCATTATCTCTCATTCGACAATTTTTTGTTGAATGCTGATAATCACAAAGATATTATTTCAAGCGATAAACAGCAAGTATGAAAAGTTTTGCATTGATTTCCAAACACTTGTTGTCTTTTGAATTGTCTCCATAACTTTCATCACCAATGCCAGTCCCAATTGTCATTGAAATTAATTTGATTTTTCAGAACGCAAGTTGGAAAATATTGGTATATAAAGAATGGAGAATTACAAAAGGAAGTCAGCAATCTGTATCCATTTGCATTGTCTGAGATGGTCACATTTTACCTTGGTTGTAGCTTTGGTATGGAAGATGCTCTAGAAGCTGCTGGAGTTAAACTACCAAAGAATGTTGTAAACGTTTCAATGTTTGTTACAAACATAGCATGTCATCAATCTGGACCTTTTTTTGCCAACATGGTTGTCTCCATGAGATCAGTTCCTATTGATTTGTTGGAGGAAGTATACAGAGCTACATACACTTTGGATTGTTGCCATGGTGCTCCGGTGCACATTGGGGATCCTACCTTGATTGGTATTAGTGACATATATGATGTGGATTTTGGAGTGCCGACAGTTATTAAAGAGGATGAAATACCAGTGTTTTTTTGCTTGTGGTGTTACTGGCAACAAAGCATTACAGTCAGCTCGTGAGTTTTGTGATTTTATGTGTAACTTGTAATCTTTATTTCATTCATTTATTATCTAATGTGCTAAGTTCTTTGATTTTAAGTCTACCTACTTCTTGTCCACTGAAAAATGGTAGGACATATTATTGAAATGACATAAAATGGAAAGCATTTTTTCACTGCTTGAGTTCATTTGTTGCAGAAATAACTCGATATTGGGTCCTGTTTACTTCTGATTTTTTCATCTTTTCTACTGCTAAGTAAACTTGCTGTAGTTGTTGTTTTTAAGGGAAGGGGTAATCATGCTTCATACTTTGCAAAGTTTGTTATCAACAAATTAATATGCTTTGTTGCTAATCTATTTTAGCATGTGTTTAAAATGACCCTGTTTCCAATTGGAAAAATGCCCAAGTATTGGCATCATATGAAACTGAGTGAAAAGTTTTTGGGACTGGAACCAAATAACCATAGTGCACATCTTGCTTTAGAAATACCACACCCAAGAATGAACCATATTGTTAGCAAATAATTGTTTTGTATTCTAATTTATTCTTAACTTTCTGATCCAGTGGATTTGACAATCAGGGCCATAGAAAATAGTGGTTTTTTTCAAAACGACATTTCAAAATCTTTTACGCACATGAAAGTACCTGCTTGAAAACAAGAAAGTCATTTGAATACTGGTACCGGCCAAAAAAGAAGCCCTTAATAGCATAGATAACACTCTTTTCACAAGTCTAAACTGAGTATCGACTCAAATATTGAGATATGTATTGTCCTCCAGGTTTTTATGTGCAATTATCTTTTTCAGGGCTTCCAGTATGTTTAACGCATTCACCAGGTCATATGTTTATTTGCGATAAGAAGACAGAAGAGTTTCAACAATCACAGCCATCGCCCTATGAACATCTTGTTCCTCGTGTCGTACAAATCAATTTTACTCCTGCAAGATTTTCAGTGGCTTCAAAAGAAACACTGCGCAAAATCAAAAAGTTGGAGAATTTGCTTCTTATTGATATTGGTGATCGCGGTGTCCATTTTTTAGCCATCCGAAAAAGTCTTTTAAAGAGTTTACTGCAGTTGTACCAATCATCTTCTGTTGGCATTACGTTTGGATTCCCAGTTTTGGTGACGAGATGCCTGACGATCTTAATGAAAAACTGGAGCATTCAGTTGAAGAGACAGATGGAATTCCTGGGGCAATTGATATTGCGAAAGCCCTTTAGCTTTGAATAAGAATGTTAGCTTTATTATAGATAAAAGAAATGAAAGTTTGATGCGGACTGTTATTGACAGTTGTTTGTTTACACATTGTTTACCCAAAAGTGTCCCCATATTGGTGTATGAGCGAACTGCTGACCGGAAATCTACTGCTGTAAAATTTCTCTACCCTAATGGACGAAGTGAGAAACCGCGTTTTGATCATCTCGTAGCCATAGAGCGCACTGCACCTAATAAACACGGTAATTACTGCAGTATGAAAGCCGAAGTTTTGAGGGAAGATTTGATTGCACCCATTGAAGATATTTTCTTAGAAGGTAAGCTTTTGTAACATTCTCCGTACTTATAGCATCAGATCAATCTTAAAGAACTCGCTTAATCTTAATGAACTCACAGTGCTGCATACAAGGACTTTAGTTTCACCATCAAATCAGTCTTCATCAAGAGACTTGACTGGAGTATGTAGGGACTAAAATTTCAATATCAAGTTATCCCTGACGAGGACATTAGCATTAGACTGGAGTATATGAAGGCTTTGGTTTTATCGCCATGTCACTGATGATTGGGGGCTAATGGTTAGTCTTTAAAACCTCGCATAATTATATTGGATGAGTGCACAAACTTAGGTAGAAATACGACTCACATTTTGACAATATATTGTTTAATTTGTTTTCTTATGAAACTTCTGGGTTAGGGCGATTTTAAAAACAATTTGATTAATCCATTTTTACCCTTAATACCAGCTGATAAAGATGACAGAATTTCGACCACTTGTATTGGTGATGGTGGTAATGAAATAGGCATGGGCAAAGTTTACGAATCTGTTTGTTCAAACATCAGACATGATGAAAAAATTGCGTCCGTTATATCATGTGACTATCTCATTGCTTGCGGTGTCTCCAACTGGGGTGGTCATGCGCTTGCTGTTGGGCTGTACCTCCTGTCCAACTGTCCAATTCATGATAGATATGTGCGTAGAGGATTGGTACGAGTGACCCCACAGAAAACGAGAGAAGATTTTTTAAACAGTATAAAACAGGTAAGAACAGAATGATTACACTTTTAAGAATAATTTTTTTGAAATATTCTGCTCTAACTTGAATAAGAGAAAGTCTTCAAGTGCAAGTAATATGTTCTAACTGTTCTAGAACGATCCGGCTTTACGATTTTAAGTGTGGAATTAAATCGTTAGAATACAACCAATAACAATGCATGATAAAGAGTTACTAGCACTGAATTACTTATTTGTCATTTTTAAATAGTGAACATGAACAGGGCTGCATAAAACATTCTATTTTCTGGGACCACCTGACCGATAAAAATACTCTCTGCAAGAAAACGCCTCGTGGGAATTTCCACCTGTCCAATACGAATGAAAAAATTCAAGCCCTTCCCCCTTCCCTCTAAAATATTTTGTTGCATTTATATTACTATTTTTAAACCACAGTCAATGTTTATATCTCAGTTATTCCATTTTAACTGGCCAATATAGACAAAAACTCCAAGCTACGCCACTGATTAATCACTGCTATTAAATGCAGTAGATCATAAAATGACAAGTAAGAACTGAAAAGATGACTTTGTCTTACTGAGTTCTACTTTTCACCAATTTTCTTCTGCAATCCTCAACACTTTTCTGTGGTCAATGATCCCACGGTCCGTTATATTATGCAGCCCTGAATATGAAATAACTTGGCGATTTGCCCAACCGTGCTGTTCAATAAATTCCGAAATCATACAAATTTTGCTACCTAGCTTAAATATGTACCAATGCTCTAGTCTATAAACATATGTCATTTGTGTGAGACTGTTCAAATTTCAAATTTTTTTTCTCTTGTTTCGATGTTAAATCTTCAATTCAAAATAACTTATTGCGAATGTCTAACGATGTAAGTGCCGTTAACAACATCCGAAATTTTTAGAAGGAAAAGGTGTTGGAAGTCCTAGTGGATGAAGGTGTTCGTGATGGAGTTACAGGAATCTCTGAGCTTTCTGTCGATGGCTTCCATTTGTATCCATACCACGAGCAACATTTTGAATATATGACTAATCTAATAGACGATTGATCGCCTCTCTGAAAAGAATTGCTTTCAGTATGATGTGATGTACTGGGGGGTTCCGACTGCTTTGCTCAGTGTTTTCAAAATAGTGTGATGAGCCGATGGGCTTCTTTTCAAGGCAAGTGTATGAATAAAATAACTATAGTTTGGTCTGGTTAGGAAAATTTTGATATATTAAAGTAAAATTTCATATTAGTGTGAACTAGAAAATACCTAGAATGAACTAGAAAATAACTTTTGGTTTGTCGAAAAACATTCTTTAATTTAATTTTGCAATAATGAAGTACAAATTAATCTCTTTTCATATAATAATACCTTTATCTAAACATTATTGAATCCAGGATTATTGTTCTTCTGTGAAAATCGGTTTTAAATATTTGTCATCCGTTACACCAGACGCGCACAAGCCACGCGCTCTCATATTGTTTTTTCTGTTGCCTTTCCTCTGGTGTGCTTAACGTTGGATCATTTATGTCGATCAAGCTTAATCTTCGAGCTTTTATCTCCTCCATTTCTTCATCCGCTCCGGTTTGTATATTTAAGACTTTTAGTACCGGAGCTGTTGCCCCTCCTATCGCTATCACCGATACAAGAACTATTGACAAAGTCGCCGTGAGCATCATTTGCCGAGGTATAGAGACAGTGTTCCGCACGGCTAGGGCAAACGCGATTGCACCACGTAGACCCGAAAACATCATCATGTGTTGAAAATTCCAGGAAATTTTTCGGGAGCATCCCAGATTTAGAAAAAAAGTCAACGGGTATATGTTAAGTATGCGACCCACCGTAATGGCCAGAAACGACCATGCAATGAAGCGAAAATCCCATATATGCACGGTGAACGTGAATAGCGACAACCCTATGTAGGAGAATATAAAATTTTCTGATAGGAAGTTTAGTAGGTCAAACGTTTCGATGGTCCGTGTTCTCGAGTGTTCCGATAGATTCTTATACGTGTAGTGTTGTTGTGTAACACCACAAAACAGTAGCGCAACAATCCCGGAAAGGTTTGCCACTTCTGCTGCAAGGAAACTCGTGTACGACATGACGAAGAACAACGCAGTTTCCAATATGGGAAAATGGTTGATTTTTGTGAGCTTAGTTATCAATGCATTTGTGCATGCGACGCTAGTACCGATGAACAAAGAACCGAAAAAGATAAAAAAGAAACTACCGAGCGCCCATAAAAAGGAAGAAAGATCGAACTCACGTTTTGCCATCGGTTGGTATGCGAGGTAATTCTCTACGGCACTATATAGCACAATTGACACCGCATCATTGAAGATGCTTTCTCCAAAGATTAACGCATACAGGTCCACATCGACTCTGAGATCGGTGAGAATTGCCAATACCGTAATTGGGTCTGTAGCAGATATCAACGAGCCAAAGAGGAGACATTCCGTAAAGTCGAACGATTCCGGTACATCCATGTAAACATTGTACCCGTAGACTATGGCTCCTGTACAGAAAGTTGATATGATGGTGCCAATGAAAGCGTACGTTAGAATAGCACCTAGGTTACGAAAGAAATACCGTTTCTTATTGATATTGGTGATCGCGGTGTCCATTTTTTAGCCATCCGAAAAAGTCTTTTAAAGAGTTTACTGCAGTTGTACCAATCATCTTCTGTTGGCATTACGTTTGGATTCCCAGTTTTTGGTGACGAGATGCCTGACGATCTTAATGAAAAACTGGAGCATTCAGTTGAAGAGACAGATGGAATTCCTGGGGCAATTGATATTGCGAAAGCCCTTTTAGCTTTGAATAAGAATGTTAGCTTTATTATAGATAAAAGAAATGAAAGTTTGATGCGGACTGTTATTGACAGTTGTTTGTTTACACATTGTTTACCCAAAAGTGTCCCCATATTGGTGTATGAGCGAACTGCTGACAGGAAATCTACTGCTGTAAAATTTCTCTACCCTAATGGACGAAGTGAGAAACCGCGTTTTGATCATCTCGTAGCCATAGAGCGCACTGCACCTAATAAACACGGTAATTACTGCAGTATGAAAGCCGAAGTTTTGAGGGAAGATTTGATTGCACCCATTGAAGATATTTTCTTAGAAGGTAAGCTTTCGTAACATTCTCCGTACTATAGCATCAGATCAATCTTAAAGAACTCGCTTAATCTTAATGAACTCACAGTGCTGCATACAAGGACTTTAGTTTCACCATCAAATCAGTCTTCATCAAGAGACTTGACTGGAGTATGTAGGGACTAAAATTTCAATATCAAGTTATCCCTGACGAGGACATTAGCATTAGACTGGAGTATATGAAGGCTTTGGTTTTATCGCCATGTCACTGATGATTGGGGGCTAATGGTTAGTCTTTTAAACCTCGCATAAATATATTGGATGAGTGCACAAACTTAGGTAGAAATACGACTCACATTTTGACAATATATTGTTTAATTTGTTTTCTTATGAAACTTCTGGGTTAGGGCGATTTTAAAAACAATTTGATTAATCCATTTTTACCCTTAATACCAGCTGATAAAGATGACAGAATTTCGACCACTTGTATTGGTGATGGTGGTAATGAAATAGGCATGGGCAAAGTTTACGAATCTGTTTGTTCAAACATCAGACATGATGAAAAAATTGCGTCCGTTATATCATGTGACTATCTCATTGCCTGCGGTGTCTCCAACTGGGGTGGTCATGCGCTTGCTGTTGGGCTGTACCTCCTGTCCAACTGTCCAATTCATGATAGATATGTGCGTAGAGGATTGGTACGAGTGACACCACAGAAAACGAGAGAAGATTTTTTAAACAGCATAAAACAGGTAAGAACAGAATGATTACACTTTTAAGAATAATTTTTTTGAAATATTCTGCTCTAACTTGAATAAGAGAAAGTCTTCAAGTGCAAGTAATATGTTCTAACTGTTCTAGAACGATCCGGCTTTACGATTTTAAGTGTGGAATTAAATCGTTAGAATGCAACCAATAACAATGCATGATAAAGAGTTACTAGCACTGAATTACTTATTTGTCATTTTTAAATGGTGAACATGAACAGGGCTGCATAAAACATTCTATTTTCTGGGACCACCTGACCGATAAAAATACTCTCTGCAAGAAAACGCCTCGTGGGAATTTCCACCTGTCCAATACGAATGAAAAAATTCAAGCCCTTCCCCCTTCCCTCTAAAATATTTTGTTGCATTTATATTACTATTTTTAAACCACAGTCAATGTTTATATCTCAGTAATTCCATTTTAACTGGCCAACATAGACAAAAACTCCAAGCTACGCCACTGATTAATCACTGCTATTAAATGCAGTAGATCATAAAATGACAAGTAAGAACTGAAAAGATGACTTTGTCTTACTGAGTCCTACTTTTCACCAATTTTCTTCTGCAATCCTCAACACTTTTCTGGGGTCAATGATCCCACGGTCCGTTATATTATGCAGCCCTGAATATGAAATAACTTGGCGATTTGCCCAACCGTGCTGTTCAATAAATTCCGAAATCATACAAATTTTGCTACCTAGCTTAAATATGTACCAATGCTCTAGTCTATAAACATATGTCATTTGTGTGAGACTGTTCAAATTTCAAATTTTTTTTCTCTTGTTTCGATGTTAAATCTTCAATTCAAAATAACTTATTGCGAATGTCTAACGATGTAAGTGCCGTTAACAACATCCGAAATTTTTAGAAGGAAAAGGTGTTGGAAGTCCTAGTGGATGAAGGTGTTCGTGATGGAGTTACAGGAATCTCTGAGCTTTCTGTCGATGGCTTCCATTTGTATCCATACCACGAGCAACATTTTGAATATATGACTAATCTAATAGACGATTGATCGCCTCTCTGAAAAGAATTGCTTTCAGTATGATGTGATGTACTGGGGGGTTCCGACTGCTTTGCTCAGTGTTTTCAAAATAGTGTGATGAGCCGATGGGCTTCTTTTCAAGGCAAGTGTATGAATAAGATAACTATAGTTTGGTCTGGTTAGGAAAATTTTGATATATTAAAGTAAAATTTCATATTAGTGTGAACTAGAAAATACCTAGAATGAACTAGAAAATAACTTTTGGTTTGTCGAAAAACATTCTTTAATTTAATTTTGCAATAATGAAGTACAAATTAATCTCTTTTCATATAATAATACCTTTATCTAAACATTATTGAATCCAGGATTATTGTTCTTCTGTGAAAATCGGTTTTAAATATTTGTCATCCAAGTTACACCAGACGCGCACAAACCACGCGCTCTCATATTGTTTTTTCTGTTGCCTTTCCTCTGGTGTGCTTAACTTTGGATCATTTATGTCGATCAAGCTTAATCTTCGAGCTTTTATCTCCTCCATTTCTTCATCCGCTCCGGTTTGTATATTTAAGACTTTTAGTACCGGAGCTGTTGCCCCTCCTATCGCTATCACCGATACAAGAACTATTGACAAAGTCGCCGTGAGCATCATTTGCCGAGGTATAGAGACAGTGTTCCGCACGGCTAGGGCAAATGCGATTGCACCACGTAGACCCGAAAACATCATCATGTGTTGAAAATTCCAGGAAATTTTTCGGGAGCATCCCAGATTTAGAAAAAGTCAACGGGTATATGTTAAGTATGCGACCCACCGTAATGGCCAGAAACGACCATGCAATGAAGCGAAAATCCCATATATGCACGGTGAACGTGAATAGCGACAACCCTATGTAGGAGAATATAAAATTTTCTGATAGGAAGTTTAGTAGGTCAAACGTTTCGATGGTCCGTGTTCTCGAGTGTTCTGATAGATTCTTATACGTGTAGTGTTGTTGTGTAACACCACAAAACAGTAGCGCAACAATCCCGGAAAGGTTTGCCACTTCTGCTGCAAGGAAACTCGTGTACGACATGACGAAGAACAACGCAGTTTCCAATATGGGAAAATGGTTGATTTTTGTGAGCTTAGTTATCAATGCATTTGTGCATGCGACGCTAGTACCGATGAACAAAGAACCGAAAAAGATAAAAAAGAAACTACCGAGCGCCCATAAAAAGGAAGAAAGATCGAACTCACGTTTTGCCATCGGTTGGTATGCGAGGTAATTCTCTACGGCACTATATAGCACAATTGACACCGCATCATTGAAGATGCTTTCTCCAAAGATTAACGCATACAGGTCCACATCGACTCTGAGATCGGTGAGAATTGCCAATACCGTAATTGGGTCTGTAGCAGATATCAACGAGCCAAAGAGGAGACATTCCGTAAAGTCGAACGATTCCGGTACATCCATGTAAACATTGTACCCGTAGACTATGGCTCCTGTACAGAAAGTTGATATGATGGTGCCAATGAAAGCGTACGTTAGAATAGCACCTAGGTTACGAAAGAAATACCGTTTTTTCATGTTGTAGCCGGCCGAAAATATGATGGGTGGTAGGAGAACGTGAAAGAAAATCTCCGGATTGAATGTAGAACGTACTTCCAGTTCGCTCTCCTGCGCTTCCTTATCTTCATAGATGATTCCCTTGAAACCATAAGAATATAAAGTACCGTTGATATTTACCTTAAGGATTTCAGGTGCAATTGTCAAATGACTGCAGTTTTCGACCGTTATCGAATTATCTTGAATGTCATGAAATCTGTAGTATTTTATAAAAGCCCCAACAACTATTCCAAACACTGTTGCAACACCTGTCTCATGAAAGCAACGAAAGCGGCGTATTTTAAACAACCACGTCATGAGCACTGTAAAAATTAACAAATTTGTAAATATCAGCATGCTTAAACTGTCAACATTGTGCGAGTTCGCTATCTCGCTCTCTCGTTTTCCTCTAGTTTCACTGGAATTTCCTCCTTCCTTTCCTTTGTAAGATTCTCCGTCATCGCCATGTTGAAAATAAGCGTACTAATTATCATAACTGCGCGTTCAAATCTCGAATACATGTCCGTTTAAGATTTTTTCACGCGTTGTTTTAACACAATTCCTTTTTTTCGTTCCAACGCTGCCATGATCGGTTCAAACTAAAGCCTTATGTGTTGTATTCACACTAACAACTAATGCGTTGTTACAGGTATTTTTTCATGGTAGAGTGGATGCAATGAAAATGTTATGGTATGCATCATTGATTGGCATATTCTTGGGGTCAAATGAAGTCCAGGTAATTCTGCAGGTCTTCATTACTCTTTACATACTTTCAGATTTTTCTTCCTTTCAGACTGCATTGTAACAATTAAACACGATTCTAACCAATTATTTTTTTACTTTTCAACGTTTTGTGTGAATTTTACTTGCATACTTGCATGCCATCGTTTCTTTTTTTCTGAAATGCCGAAAACTTTTTCTTTTTGTGGAATTTTGTTTGACGATTCCATTATCGCAAAAGTGTTTAATAACTGTGTTTGCTGAACGATAAATCAATCAAAAGCAGGATGATTTGGCATTTTTTTTTCTTACTAAAAATATCTAGTTTGGAAAAAATTATAATTTAAAAACCATATCCAGTCTTTTTAAGAGTATATTTTTCATATTTTAATATGTTTATCAATCGAAAGCCAAAATGTCATTATGGTTTTGCCAAATACACGCTCTCCAATTTTCACCTTGCAAATATTAGTTTTTTGTCCGTGATTTTTCATTGCGAATCTTATGAAGTAGAAAGTAAACTTCAATTTTGCTTTTGTTTGTAGTTCAGTAAATTTACCTTTATCCAATTTCTCTTCAAGTTGGCTATTGGCGTACTTATTTTTAAGGCACGTGTACTTTTGAATTTTATTACATGAAGTATTGCCTTCTTCTTGAAATTTTCAATCATGTCTTCAATAACAACACGTGAGAAAGAAATAATAACGAATTTAGCAAAAACTCTGGAGTATGAACTGTTTTGCAATGATGGCAAGGTACAAAAAACCAGTCTAGAACATTTAGAAGCATTGACTGACGATGAAAGGAGTATTTTTAGTGAGTAACTTAAATTTATTTATGACAGTGACATCTGTCTCACTGTTATTGTGTACAAAATATCTTGTGAACTAAAGAGTTTTTATTATAAATATGCTAAAACTTGAATTTACTGCGTTAACTGTTTCTCTCTTTGTCCCAAGTTGTGCTAAAATACAAAATTGGTTGCAAATAATGTATTTTATGGTTAAATATGTATGCGCCGTGTGTGATCAAGTATTTTGTTGGCCATCTTGTGAAAACTTTCATTGGAAGTGGTAAAATCCTGTGTCCTTCAATTGTACTTGTGAAATATTTATCACAATTGGGATTTAAAATATTTGCAAGTAACTTGGAGAATTATTGGTCCATAAACTGACTTAGCATTTTCACCTTAATAAATTTTTCCTTTTTGCCAACAAATCACTTATAATACAAACTAACCTGTTATCAATGACACCTTTCAAAAAGGTGCCAAAGAAATTGCGTGGGCAAAAAGACGAGATTGCTTAGCCATCATAATCATTTTGCATATTTCAGCTGAAATAAAATTTGTATTGGAAAATTTATTGTACGGTGATTATGGAAAGATTTTTAACAGTCCATCGTGTAGACATCTTATTTCATTGGAACATAAAAGCAAACCAGGTTAGTAATTTTTACCTACAGCAGTCTTGTTGTGCTGGGCTGACTTTAATTTATGGCAGTTATAATTAGTAATTCCCACATCCTGGTTTTGCAATATCAAATTCACCATTTAATCAGTTGTATAATCGTACCAACAAATATGTTGGTGGAAAAAGATTTTAATGTAAATACTAGCCTTATATTTCTTTCGTAAAGCTATCGCAACAGTTGTGATAAAAAAGTTGATACACAAATAATTTGTCAATAACAAGAACTTGTGTAAATTTCTAGTTAAAGATAAAAATTACATTAAAAACATTATACCTAACTGTCAATTGTTTTATTGAAAATTTCATCCTGATTTTTAAGAAAATACATTTGACTTCATTTTAGATTTTACCAATGGTCTTTTGAAGGAACATATATCAGAGTATCTTTGCTCATCAACCTCAAACATTGACAGTTATTTAAGGTAGTGCTGTGTGCTACGTTTGTATTGCTTTATGAAAGAATGGCCTACAGTTGTATGGAATTGGTTTTTCTGCTTTTTTATCAAAGAGAACTCCATATTTTGTCACTGGGTATTGTGTGTCTACAGTTGGTTGTTCAGCAAAATTGGCTTGGACCATCATGTAATATTGGTGAAATTCTATCAGATTACCAACAAGATAAAGACATGGTATTTGATAATCAAATATTTCATAAGGCAGGGGGGTGCTTATTGGGCTATGCCATTTTCCATGCTTTTGACTGTGTTTTTAAAACCTGCTTTGTTTTTATTTTATTTGTAGATGAAAAATCATAAAAGAAAAGTCTTTGATTTTTTGAAAAGAGATAGCGAGGTAATTACATGCCAAAATAGGTTTTTGTTGAACAATTAATCTTTTCATTTGGAAATGGTTTATGGAAAATACGAAATTGGTCATTTTCATGATGTTATTTGTTGTGTAATTATAACAATAAGATTAACATACTTCTTTGAAGAGCTAACATCACATCCTCTTTCAGTGAGGATAAACCATCTTCTAAAAACATAATCCTAATCCTATCCCTAATCCTAACCCTAACCCAACCCACAACCTTAAATAGAGAGGAAAGAAGAATAAGCTTTCATGCTATTTTGTCATTTCTATGATGAATAAATTAGATTTAAGTGGAATAATTAACCTATAAGTTTTTACTTATGTTGAAACTTCTCCATAGTTACAAGCTATGTGCATTTTATTTCAAATAACTTGGTATGACATAAAATTTCTTCTGTTTGCACATTATTGCTTTGTTGCATGTAGAGTTGATTTTAAATGCAATGTCTAATCATCTTTTTTAATTTATAGGAGGTGTATGTTCTTTCTGAACATCTGGAATTTTTATGTATTGCAAAAATTATTTTGGTGGACTTAAGACACATCTTGAAGGACTTGAAAGTATGTCCATAACATAGAGATTTCTTATTGGGTTTTCTTTTTATGATGTTGAAAGTTGAATTCTTATAAACCCCAGGCTTGTGTTTTCATCATGAGAGATCCGGTGTTAAAACTTGAGTCGTTAAATACTTCATAGTGTTTTCATAAAAATTCATTCGATGTTTAATCTTGAGCTTTTATATACCCTAGTTTAGTGTCGTTAATGTTAAAACCTACTGTCTAATGTCTTCATCAAAATTGATCTAATATTTAGACGTCTTATATCACACTGTGGTGTCGTTCAACACGATGGATCACACGTATTTGAATGAATTTTGTTAAAAATATTTATATTTAATGTATCTCTCTTTTGCCAGACTCAGCCTCTCTGGGAGGTGCGTTGTTTGTTCATACATCAACAGTTTTTGGAAGATCGTTTATCTTCGTTGAAAGAGGATGTGATGTTAGCTCTTGAAAGAAGTATGTTAATCTAATTGTTATAAATACATCACGAATCCATCAACGTAAGAATTCTATTGTTATTTATTTGTAAAGATCCGTTATTCACGTTTTATCTTTTAGCAAAAATTGTTAAGTACCACAACAAAGTGCATCACAAAATCAAATATTTTTCTGACTAGTGTTTTACCACTCCATTTGGCAAAGTGCGTGAATTAAAAGTTTTAACTGACTGTCACACTTTTTAAAGTTTATTTACATTGTATCTTAAACAGTAAGTGTAACGGTGGTTATCAAAGCTTTTTTTAACTCGCTTTTCAAATCAAGCGTGGCTGTTTAGATTTTTTGAAAAAGCAACATCACTGATTGAAAACATTTCTATGAATTACGTTGCGGCATTGCTCCCACGTGAATCTTAATACACCTTTGTTTTTTGTCTAAATCTATTTTTAACATTTATAAAACTATTTATATCAAACATGGAGCCATTTTATATGTGATGAGGCATTGTCTTATTAAAGGGCTTAGATAATGAACTCAACCACACTCAACGAAAGATTCGTTTTGTTATTTTCAGTTGACTTGGATGACTGCACCTTTTCAAGGTATTTTATTGTCTACATGAATGCAGGAAGTCTTCGTTCGCTATTAAAAACCTAGCAATCTCACATATATTTTATTTCAAGAACATGCTGAACATTTACATGTCTATAGTAAAGTTTATGAGTAAGTTAATCTAAAACAACATATTTACATCCTTGCGTTTTTTTCATAAATGAATTTTTGTTAATTCAACGGCATGCCAGGAAATATATAGTTTGACGCAAATCGATGCAGATTGGATAGTACAATATTGTATGAAAATAGTTGTTTGAATTTCTACTTGTACGTTACATGTTTCTGTATTAAATTGCAGTAAAATGCGGTCGAGGATTTACTTGGAAAGCGGCTATCATCACTTACAGTATTTTGAATGCGGGAAAGCAAAGGTAAATTTTTGAAAATTGGGTCATAATATGTATACACAGTGGCCATGATGTAGAAATTTGTGTGATTAATTTTTATAAAATTGTTAGTTCTCTGTTTATGGAACAAGAGTGTTAGCACATTTCAACTTGCTATTTGCTTTGCATTCGTCTTTCAGGAACAATTTGAAAAGGCCCAAAAATGTGTTGGTGTTGAAGTCTTGTTAGCAGGTAAACAAGCGAATTTTTCATCATCCATGAAGGCTACAATGAGATTTTGTTTAATGTAATGTTGTTTTACCCCATTTTCCACCATGTAACATTAGAATTCTATTAATATCTTGTGAAACAAATGGTCTTCAAACATCACCGTAATATCGTTTATCTTAAGCGCGCCGCACACTGGTAAACTTGCCGCGCGTACTTGTTATTCGTGACAAGTGCGATCGACAGAATTTCCTAGTGTGCGCGGAAGTTTTGAACAACATTTGTCATTCGTGACAGATGAGTCTAATATCAAACGCGTTTGATATTAGACTCATCTGTCAATGTTGTTCACCACACTAAAACTTTGTCGATCGCACTTGTCTGAAACAAATCAAGTTCTGTGCTTTAGGGAGTACATTACTACTTTAGGAGCTCTTGGCAAATATCTTGTGAAACAAATAGTCTTCAAACATCACCGTAATATCGTTTATCTTAGGGAGTACATTACTACTTTAGGAGCGTTGGGCAAAAGAACAAAATTCCAACAATTTGATTACGTTCAACTACTGGCAAAGGCAAATTTGGAGAACGGCTGTGGTATGAACTTAGATAGGATTGTGGCAGATAGTAAGTCTATGTACACTCATCTGTGGTTATGACTAAAGGAGGATTTCTACAACCCTATGTATTTGATCACAGTTGAAAAAGTGAAAGGGCACATGCGCAGTACAAAATACTTAAAAATAAAAAAAATTAAATATGATATTCGAGTGATCAAGAAAATTAGAATTGGTTTCTATTCCTAACGATTTTTTGATGTAGGAAAAGAAGATGAGACTTTTGAAGTTGAAAATCTTCCCAAGGTAAAACAAGAGGCAAAATCAAAATGTTAGATTTTCAACGTGAACTTTACTAATTTGTGTTTTTATATTTACAGAATGTGAGTTTAGAGGATGATACACTCCTCAACGAACCAAATTTCACTAATCCTAATAATCATCGTCAGGAAGATTTGAACCCATTACACTTGGCCTTAATCTTAGCTGTTTGGTAAGAACTGTTAAAGGTTTATGTAGCAATACTCTTTTACGATTTATTTTTATAGCGATGTGCAAATTTCCGGGGGAGGGGGAATTTATTCATTTCCGACTCCAACCAAAGAATTCTGTTACAAATATAGACTATTTTTCAAATCTTGTAACGACGAGACTGTAGTTTGGACTGAATCAAGGTTTTAATAAATTGAAAAGTTTGTTGTGGACTTTTACTTTGGTAAGAGCAAACCAAGAACTAACGTATCAAAACTTTCTTGTTGCATCAAAAAATTTTTACCCAAAGTATAAATAAATTTCATACTTAATGCATTTAACCATGTTTTGCAGCTCAAATATTCTTAAATACTATGTTATGTTTGCCATCTAGCTAAGTCCGGTTTCGGTTAAAAAAACAAGCTTCATTTTTGATAGAAAGTTTTCCCAGAATATGAATTCATCGTTTTACTTACATTGTTATTGTTTTAGCTTTTACAAACAGAAATCTCAAGCCTACACCGAGCTTTTAGTAGAAGAAATTCTTGCTAATGTTGCGGTACATAAAATCTATTTAGTTTTTCATACCTTTGTCTTTCTTACGTTGCAAATGAGTTTTCATCTTCATTTTATAATTTTTTGTTCTTTTTATTACTTATTTAAGTTGCTGCTGTCCCAACCGCGAGCTTGGTGCATTCAATCTTTAGGTTTACTGCTCAGAAGTCAATACGAAAGGAAATCGTCTCGTAGGAAGGAAAGAAGTATGGTTCAACTTCAGGTATCGTAGTCTGTCATTAAAAGAATGTTACTAAAATCGTGGTGGCAATGAAATGTTTCATTGCACGATTTGAATGCATTTTAATATAGGAACTTGTCGATCAGTACGAGAATTCTAATGCAAAGGTTTGTATTTTTGTTGCAGTATGTATTCATGCCGGGGGGAGTGATGTTTTTTCTGTGTGCAATGCGGGAACAGGAAAATTGTTTAAACTTGATGTTATGAATTGCAAATACTATTTTTGGCAATGAATTTATCGTGCAGTGTTTAATATCACTAATAAACTCTACGTACTGAACAAGAGTCGTCATAATTTGGGAAATTTTCACTACGCTGCACTTACACGAAATCATGTAAGTTGTTGTCTTTTCTAGATTTCTCAAAGAATTGAATTTTTTTACGGTGTGCCATTTCCAACAAGATGGAAAATGCAGGTTGGCAAAATATGAACGGCGGTTGTTTGTATTCAGTGATATGAGAAATAGAATGAAGAAATGTTGTGAGGATTATGTAAAATTCAAAGGAAACTTACTTCTTTTGGAGAATCTCCTCAATCAAAAGTTTATCGTAATTTTGCTTCTATTTAGCGTGAATTGGCGAGTCTTTATGTTGAACTTGGTGTTATGAAAAGTGCACTGGAGATTTACGAAAGGCTTCAGTTATGGGATGAAGTTATCAACTGCTACATTTCTTTAGGATGGTTTGAAAAGGTACAGTTTTGTGTTTTGCTGCGCTGCATTTATTTCACAAAATTTTGTGAAAAAAATCACTGGGCAAAATTTTGACTGATAGATAATCAAAGGTAGGCAGCAACAAATTGTTTTATTTTACTCAGGCAGAATTTGTAGTAAGAGCACAGCTAAAAATACACGAGACAGCAAAACTTTGGTGCTTATTGGGTGATGTCACCAAGGTACGTCATAAGTCGCATTTCATGATGTCACCAAGGTACGTCATAAGTAGCATTTCATGATGTCATCAGTGTATGTCATATGTAGCATTTTATAATGTCATCAGGTTAATAAATTTTTCTGCAAATATGATCATGATAAAATAGGAGCATCATGGTGGTGAATGTGTCTTCTTACCACCAATGGCAATTGGTGGTAAAAGCATCATGGTAGTAAATGTGTCACATTCTAGTTAGGCAGAGACTAGAAAAAAGATTGGTGCAATGCCTCTATTTTTTATGTTTTTTTTTTAGAATGAGGATTATTATAGGAAAGCTTGGGATTTCTCAGATCATCGTAGTGCAAGAGCGCAAAGATCCCTGGGATATTTATTTTTGAGAGAAAGAAAGGTACCGCTAGTTTTTTTTTGTTATTTTCTTAAGTTGCATTTGGCAAGCATTGAATTTTTAGTACCTTGAGAATCGCTAATTTATTATAAGCAAAAAGCCACGCAATGCGTGATGTTGTAGTGAGAAAGTTACTATGATCAAGTATGAAATTTTCTTTATGTCATCATTACGATTTAAACTATGATGCATCGGTTTTTCTGTTTCGGTTATCGATCCTGTTGCATCTCCTTGATCACATTTGCTGATTTGCGTCACCATCACATTGCTGTTTAACGCAACATAAAATATTTTATCCTCTAATTTTTTGATTTTGAATTATTTTTTCTTCGGTATAGTTTGAGGAGTGCATTCCCTGTTTTCAGAAGTCGTTAGAAATCAATTCTCTTCAGGTATGAACTTTGCTGCAATTCAAAGTAAAATTTGTAATGAACACAGCTCTTGCAACAAATTTCTTTAGTGTGGCTGGCTGTATTGTAACATTCCCTTTCCCTTAATGTCAAATTGTAAATATGACATTAAGAAAATGACGTATCCATCATGCTATATCATGGTTTTAATTTTTGTCTCCTCTTTGTGAGAACTTCATGTTATGTTTTTCAAGTTTGTAGGCATATTCTATATGAAGTACAAATTTTTTTTTATTTTAAGGAGAGTGTTTGGTTTTCTCTTGGCTGTGCTGCCATAGCAACGGAAAAGTTGGACGTTGCTGCCAAGGCTTTTCATTGGTGCGTCTCAATGAACCCGGATGTACGGTCACGTTAAAAGTTAACTTTTTATTTCTAAGTTGGCAATATTTACAGAGGGAAAAAAGTGGAAAAACTTACCACACGTTTGTTTAGAATTCCGAAGCTTGGAACAATTTATCTTCAGTTTTCGTCAAATTGAAGCACAAGTTAGTAAAAGCTTTGCAATGGCTGTTCATCTAATTGCCGTGTGTATTTGTATAGTTAAGACTTCTCCCTTGTATTTTCCTCGAGTAGAGATCGTGCGTTCAGGACTTTACAGGAAGCCCTGAGAACGAATTATGACAAATGGCAAATATGGGAAAATTTCCTCGTGGTACGAGAAACTTACCTCGATTTCATTATAGTGTTGTGTTCTGTTTTTGGGAAACTTAGTTTTGGAAAATGTTGCTTTGCGTGAGCTGCTAGTAACACACAACACGGAAACTGTATTAATCAATTGTCTTCGAGGCTTTTATGTAAATAAAAGATTATTCATCGGCTTGAACGTTTTTTGTACATTTTGGCACCAAGAATTGGTTACTGGAGAAATGAAAGACTTCTTCTTTAAATTTCTCGATGAACAACTTTAACGTTTAAATGATTTTTTTTACTGTTTTGATTACACTAGGTGAGCGCTGATATGGGCGCTTTTGAGAACGTTATTGAAGCTTTGCATCGATTGATGGACCTCAAGGAGAAATATTTGGATATTGAGGTTTGTTGATAAGTAGTTAGTACATCAAACTGTTGAAGTAACGTCTTGTCAATTGCTATGTATCATCAAAACGTGTTCTTGCTGACTTTTTCGCTAAAATATAAATCATGTGGACGTAGTTGTCTTATTCTTTTCATAGATTCTTCACATACTGGTTAATTCTGTTATTGATGGCAAGCAGGACCATAAAGGTTTCTCTGGTAGGGAATTTTTAGTTATATGGTGGGAAGACAGAAGTACCCAGTTACTGATGAAGATTCCACTTTCTAATTTTAAACTCTTTGTTTCATTTTATATGCTTCGATAAGCATCAAGATTGAAAGGCAAAGTAAGGGAGTTATTTGGAAGAATTACATCGCAGGTGATCAATTCTTACAATGGCGATAGCTTCCTAATCATAGGAAGAATAATGATTTTTGATCTTTCAGTGCACAGGAAATGCACAAGTTTGGAAACTTTATTCGGATCTTTACAAAAACGGGCAGACTGCCGAGGAAAAACAAAAGGTATTTTTTGGTGATATGGTGACAAACATGGCTAAATGGTGTAGAAGTAAAAGAAATATCTCGAAATTAGTTTCTACAGTTCTTGGTGAAAGCAAACGGAGTGAATATACAGTCTCCCGGATGGGAAAAAAGTCAAGAAAGTATTGAAAACGTTGTACAAACTAGTCTTGAACTATCGAGAGGTTAGTTCATAGAACGTTTGAAGTCTGCTTTCTTCTTAGCATTCTGTTCTGCCATCGTATTAATATTTTTCACCAGACCCCTTTTTCGTTCGGTAACTGCAAGCTTCAGACGGTCATAAAGATATAACCAGTTTCATAACTATATATATTTTTTGATTTTATCTTCCAACGTTGAAAATGACTTGTTTAAGTTAATGTCAAGAACGTTTTATTCTATAATCATTTACTCAACTATATAGTGAGGAAATAAACAAATGAAAATTATGTAAAATCTCCCTGACACAAAATGCTATTGGCCGTAGATAATCACGTGATCAATTTAAAGATGCGTAAATGATACAGAGTATATTTTTAGCTTCTTTTATGTATTATATTATTACAATTTTTTTTATATCCTAATTCTAAATACATTTAGCGTATCGCGAAGCTGTCAAAGGGGAAAAAGAAAATAGAAAAGCCATCCAGCTGTTGTCATCTTCCAAACTTAACCTTAAAGGTCTTGTTGTTAAATTTAAAGTAAGTGAAACAAAATACATTGTTCTTGTTGATTGGCTTTTCACAAATTGTTAGTGTATGTATGACATATCTTCCCTTGCAGAACGCTGGTTTTCAATTATCTGGAGAGGTTGAAAATTGTATAAATGAATCAATATCCAAGCTTCAGAAAGAACTTGAAACGACTGTCAGCGCAATAGAAGATTTGAAAAAGTTGCCAATTCAGCAAATACTATAATTATTTGTTCAAGCTAACAACATCCAAAAGTTGCAGCTAAATGCCACAAGAAGTTTTTGATCTGTGAAAAGAAAAAAGGAATTGTCCATAAGCATGTCCAGAGGATCCCTGCACATTATTGATATCCTGTCTATGTTTTCAATATTTCAGATTTTTTTAACACCTTACCATCATAGTAAACCTGTACCTTTTGCCACGAAACGTAACTCGTTTTTATTTTGCGAGGAAACGGTCCATAGGTTTGCGTTTGCAGTTCTTTGTGTGTGATGGTTCTCGTTTGCGTTTCTTTGTTATCGACTTTCCGTGGATCTTTTGGTTTCCAGAATTCTTGAGTAGATCTTGTTTCTTCAGACAAGTGTCAACATGTGTATTCATTTGTAGTAGTGGATCACCAAATTTAAATGTGAAGTTCTTCCCACATACAGGGCATTTAAATGCTGCAGGTTGGGATGTAACAACATCAGGCTTCGATGATTGGTCAGATTTCTCGTATTTGTCAACCACATTGGGAAGTCCTTTGGAATTGAGTTTTTTTGATGTCTCGAATACCTGAGCCGACGACGATTGCGCACTTTCCGTCAAATCACAAACATCGCTCTCGGTTTCTTTGGAGGAGAAACACGGTGACGGTTTTGATGGTTGCACTATACCCGTTCTTTCATTCTTCATCAAACTCGTGATGGTTAGTTGTTTACCGTCATTTCCAATCTTCTCACATAATTCAGCAGCTCTAACACCCATCAACCTCAAACGCAATGGCTCCGGGATACACGAACGGATTTCATTAAGGATGAGTTTTTTTGCGTGTGAGAATAACTCCTCTGATCTTTGAACAGGAAACGCGGCCGTGCTTATTCTTGTCTTAACTTCAAAATTAATCGTCTTCAATTTTACGCCAATTTTTCTTGCAGAGTTTACGTTTTAAGACTTTGCGAGAGTTCTTCACAAAGCTCGCGACATTTTCCTAAATGATCTTCGAGTTTGTTTATTTCCTTAAATGTAGTTTCTGTGCTTATGCTTTTCCTTTCACGGTCAACGTCGACGACATTAGATCCAAGACCAAGAGATATTTCTAGGTAGGATCGTAATGCAGTTGGAGTAAAGAGAAGCTGCATTAATCCGCGTCGATCGTAAAGCTGAGAACATGTCTTAACATCTAAAACGGATGTAAGTATTTGCTCGCTAACGCGGCCAATTCCATACGCTTTCCTCAGAGGTAATTCAGAGACAAACCTCATGATCTCCTCTTTTTCTGGCTTCAGAAAGAACTGACCATTTGGCTTATTTCTGTCAGAGCAAACCTTGGCGAGAAACATATTTGATGCGATACCTGCACTAGCAGTAAGTTGGGTTCTATCTTCAATTTTTCGTCTCATTTCTTTTACGACCTCTTCCACTGTGTTGTAAACGTCTCCATCAAACATTCTCTCGTCAGTGGACTGATCTTTTGGGCTCTTCATTTGACGTTCATGTTGTTCTACAGAAGTATCAACTTTCGATGTCTTCCTTTGACGACTCCTAACATAATGTGTAATATCCAAATATGCTTCGTCAAGACTCGTGGGTAAAAAGTTTGGATCGTACTCAGCAAAAATATCTCTTATTTCATAACTGACTTCTTTATATTTTTCATAATTTAAGGGTACAATGATCAAATTTGGACACAACTTTTTAGCAATAAACCCGGGCATTGCAGCGCGCACGCCAAAACGTCGAGCCAAGTAGTTTGATGTGGAAAGCATCGCATTTCCACCAACAGCCATTGGTTTCGATTTCAAACTTGGGTCATCCCTCATCTCCACAGCAGCAAAAAATGCATCCATGTCTACGTGGACAATAATCCTTGACAAGTCACGACCTTTCTCTAACTCCTGAACTAGTTTATCTGTGAATTGATGGGCTTTGTTTCTCTGCTCAGCAGTGAACAAAACCATTTTTCTTCGCAGTTCTGTAATACGTTTCTGAACCTGCTGTTCTTTCTTTCTCTCATTTTCGTAAAACTTTGAGCCTTTGCTGGCTTCGTAAATTATTTGGTTGATTTTATTTTTGTCCAACCCATCCATTCCCGCTTTAGTCGTGTTTAAATCCATTCGAGACACTTTCATAATGGAACTTTGACCGTCATTTTGATCATTGTCACAGAATATTTTAGAAACGTTCTCAAGAAAAGTTGGGGTTTTTTCATTATTCATAGGTACGTTGGAAGAAACATCTCGTGATAAAAAAGATAAATTATAATTTTCATCAAATTTCCAATCGTTTAAGAAATCTTCATCAGAAGAAAGGTTGAAGTCATCTTCGTCCGCCATGTTTGTTGGAGTTTTTTTTCCCTGAACGGCTTTTTACGGCTCCTTCCGATGAAAATCTGCCATGTTGAACGTTCTAGCTGCAAAGAAACACATGCATTTGGCAAAGTTTTTTCAATGCAGGTCAATGCATTACGTTTGTTTTGCTGTATGAATCAATGGTCTGAACCTAGAAAGCCAAGAATTGGTTGATAGTTACATTTCATCGTTTGTCATGGTTGTGCAGCTGTAAAAGGTGCAGTAACTGAGTAACTCAACACTTAATATTTTTTTTGACAACATCAGCGTCAGCGAAAGCTTTGACGAACTACTTGTAACTTGTTGCGCACGGTTTGATTGAAAACTATATATAATGGCGACTGAAAGACAATTGCACTCATGAATGATTCTGTATTGAATATGGTTAAATTTTACAGTTGTTCATCCAAGTAAAAACTAATAAGTAAATGTCTATTGTCTTATATATCTTCCATAAAGCATGAGTATTTAAGCCTATTTTATGTGGGTCTGAAGCAATACTACACGCGCAATTATCATATTTCTGTTTAGTATTGTTGGAAAACCTCCCTTTCTAGGATAGTTGTTCTCTTGTTGTACCTAACAATCCTTGTTGTACCTTGTTGTACCTTGTTGTACCCAAAGCATTGTTGTTCTCTTGTTGTACCCAAATCCATTGGATAAAATTTGATTTGTTCTTACTTGATTCTCGGCAAATTAGGAAGTTTTAATATTACTAGGTCCTTGTCTTGATGTCATTTCCAACATATTTTGCAATGAGGACAAAAAGTGTCTGACTTATTAACTGCTAGCGGTATAAGTGTAGTTGGTTCTTCCAACTTTGATAGATGTTTGTCCCTGCTACTCTTCACAGACCTTGCGATCATGTGATAATAAAATTGATGTTGGGAGCACTTTGAAAGGCAGGTCAGTGGCTATCAACGAAAACTTGATTCCATGAATTATTTTATCCTGGTTGTTTTACAACCAGCTTTCATCTCTGTGTTTGTTGACATACCTTCTTAGTTTGAATAGGGGTGAATTTTCTTGTGGGGTGCATACTCCCACAAAATTCTCTAGCACCCCCAAGAAGAATTCTAAAATGGTGTTAGGTTCTGTAGACCTAATTAATATAACTGTATTAGAGACTATGACATTGTACAGTACGACTAAGTATACATAGAACTTCTCATTCCAAAGGCAATTACATATTTTATGCTACCACCATTTGCTATTGAGCATTATCATGCGCACCATTAAAATTGAAATAAATTACTTAACATGCATTCATTAACAAAAAACATAAAAATTCATTAAAAAGCTAATAACACTTTCATTACACAAAGTTCACTCATCTGTAAGCCTAAAAATCCACAATAGCCAGAAGCCCCCTGGCATCGCTAGCTAGGACAATGATGCACCCCCCTTGAAAATTCTGCACCTCTCCTGTCAAATGATCATTGATCCGCTCCTGTGTTTCAAATCAAAGTTTTATTTTGCACGAAATATTCCCAAATTCTAAAGAAAGTAATCTACAAAATTCATTTCTTTTGTACTCTCAAATACAAGTACATCTTTATTGCAATCTAACAAGTTTTAAGCTTGAAAATGAAAATATAAACAATGGAAATGTACATTACGTCCCTAAACTAAAAAAGATTATATCAAAAGCAAAGAGAAAATTTTATCATACCTAAACGTTACATCTATGGTGAACAGTAAGTAGCTATAAAATGAAAGCAGGAAATCTGCAAGATCAAAATTTATTCAAAAAAAAAAGTTTTTTCTTCTTTCCACAGTCCAAATCCATTCAGTCCATAACCTAGGTTGATCATAGTATGATCAGCGCCTGCAGTTTCCACGGAGATATCGTCCCAGTCTGTTGACGAAATGATGACAGTTGTTCCATAACAGACGATATCTGCCATAACGATATCTATATCGATTTGCCCATCGTGTAGCATCATTCAAAGTGCATCTACTTTTGCCCTTTGCGGCCCAGGACCATCTAATGTCACAACTCGCTGGACTTTTACCCGTCGTGCCAGAAGAATAAATACGTTTACTTCCCCACTCAAAAATTTTTCCACGGAACATGAGTAAACTGTGTCTTAACTTCCACGTGTTTTTGACAATTTTACTTCTCTTCCCCCACCAAAACTTCTTTCCAAAGAGCTTTGTACTTCCGTAAAAGAAGTCGTTTGTTTTTTCTAAAACAGAAAAATTTTCAATTTTGTCTTTGACTAAAAAATCATCAATGTACGATGTTTCAATGCTATTTAAATTCTGCTGATTTAATTTATTTTTAACAATGTGGTGTTTCAAAATTCTTCGCGTAATTTAAGGTGGCTCTTATTAGAAAACATAAACATTAATTTCTCTTCAGTATGAAGCTATACCTTTGAGATTAGTGTTTGTATGTAATTGCTCGTTTCACTGCACATCATTACACAACGTGCAATGACGTTAAATACAAGATGAGAAATACTGACCAGAGATAGAGCCCTGTGATGGACGGGGGTATCGACAATAAGTGGGTGGTGAACGACGACGACGTCTTCTGCGCCTCCACCAAGACTCAACAAAAATGCTTTGAATCATAAGCAAGAGAACCACAACGACAAAGATACTCAAACGAGCCATTTTCTGTTTCGATCTATATCAAAATGTATCAAAGAAATATGCTTTTTTGCTTCAAAGGTCCAAAAAACGCGAAAATCCTTTTTGCTGGCACTTGTTGTTTGATTGACTATTTCATATTTTTGATTGGTTGTTGATAGGGGCGCTATTTGGTTGATGTGTTTGGTAAATTGCTACAGTCACAGAAAGATGTTCCGTAATGTAGTTTTTAAAGACAAAAAAATTTTATTTACGAAAAATTGTTTGAAAAAAATTGAACGATATTATAATTTGCGAGCTTCAAACACAACTACAAATCAATCAGTTATGGTGCTTGGTTATTAAATAAATCTTTCAATTGCTTTTTAGTTTCAATGTTAACCTGCCTTAAATCGTTGCTTGTGAAGGATAACCAGGACACGTAGACAACTTCAGGTAAAATAAAATAAAAAGTATTCAGAACATCGGTCTGACTCGGTTCTAACGATGCCGTTGGAATAAAAGCGAAATATTACCTACCTACTTAGTCACTAAACTTTGCTTTATCTTATATCTTATCAACAAATCGAGGTTACAAACTCATTAAATGCCCCTATAGAATCAACTTTAGACAGTTCACTTTATATGTATATTAACAAGCTTAACACCAACCTGAATCATACGTTTTCTTGTGTGCTTCTTTGACTCTTGCAGTGATCTGACGTTTATGCGTGTTACACTTATATTTAAGTATTTTCTTTGACGTTTACTTCCTTTAGCATTTTTCTAAAGCCTTACTCTTTCACATCCAATTGGCAAATTTCAAAATAGATATCTATGGACACGTGTGCAGTGTTTTTGCGTAATTTAATTTTTTTAACATTGTAATTTATAGGCAAGACAAAATTTATTCCACTAAAACATTGACCATTGCTTTTTAGAAATCTAACGCTTATGTTATCGCTCTTAGTAACGAAATGAATATAGCTACATGTGAATCATTGCTAGTTACTTGTACGTAGAATAAATCGCGAGAGACTTTTGAATCAATAAGCTTCCGTTTTCTTATGCATAACGAAAAGAATTTATTTCCTGTGTATATGTAGACAGTCATGAAAACATTTTATTTTATAAAACAGCGATATTCTTTTAAGCAGAAGATGCAGCATATGATGTAGCTCACATCTTTTGAAGACATGATTCTGAATGCATGAGTAAGCTACATTACATAAATAAATAGTTTAACTTCGACATCATTGTGTGGATTTTACGGTGTATTTAGAAAGTCACACCGCACGTGCACCGCTCTTAAATCCTTAAAATCATCTCCTCAAGACTTAAAACGAGATAAAAAAGCAAACCCTGTATAAAGTATGCCTTAAAATTAGAGGCTGGATGTTTGTTATTAACGTCATAAATCTTGTCTTTGTTTGCCTTGAGTGTAATTTCTTTGAAATTGAAATCGAAACTATTCTTGTTCTGTAGTTGAAGTAAACAGTGCGCGCACTGATGGAAAATGTTTCGTGTGAGAGAAAGGTACGAGTTAAATATAAATACTAACAATCGATGATTGTTGTTTCTGTCAAAAAATTTCAGAAGAATTTCTCAAAATATTGCTTACTTTCTTTTTTGTTAATAATAAATTAACGTTATTACATATAAAGACTTTTTTGTTCTTGAATTTTCGCTTATTGTAGAAAAAATTATTTTAAATTCTGCATTTTGATTGGCTATGCTACTCCTTTTAAATTCTGCATTTTGATTGGCTACGCTATTTTCTTTTCTTGTTCAAACATACATGCCACGCTAATACTGAATAAACTACCAAACATCTTTCTTTTTTGTTATTAAAATTTTGTCGCAGTGCTTTTAATATGATAAAGAAGTTCTTTGTTTGCACCAAGGGACGCCGAGTATAGTTTAATTGGAGAGTGTGATTAAAATCATTCTTGTTGATTTGTTCTGTAGTCGAAGAAAATGATATATGAGCTAATGGAAAATGTTACAATCAATGATTGCAGTTTCAAAAGAAACATTGTCTGAAAATAGTCCTTACTCTCTTTTCTATTATCAATACATTAACGGCAATAACATAGAAGGACCTGTTTGTTCTGGAATTCCCACTTATTGTGATAAAAGTTCCTTAAGCACTTTTATTTCATTCTGCATTTTGATTGGCTACGTTACTCGCTATCTAATTTTTGATCAGTGGGTTGGGTTCTATGCCCTGTACATTTGCCAATGCAAAAATAATGTAAATTGCACAATGAGCTTGTTTGTCGCATTTGAAACTTTTTAACATGCCACGATGTACACTGCTAATCCCTGAAGCCATCACCTTAAAACTTTAAAGTGACATAAAAAGCCAACATGCGATATGCATGGTTTCGAAAATTACAAATGGAGGTGAAATTTATTTTGGTTTCGAGAATGGAGACTTCCTATTACATGATTGTATTACCTTTTACTGGTCAGAAACAGTTCAAATTGAACAAAAAATTATTGCGTTTCTCGACAGAAGATCAGTCAAGGACACAATAGCTGCCACATATCGATAAACACACAGATAGAACTTTATTTAAACATGCTTATAACGTCAGTCAAAACTGGTTTCCACTTTGGCTACGAATACGTAACAAAATTTTCAATTATAATACTTTGATGACCCAACAAACTAACTAAACTAGATGGAACAATTATTTACATTTGTTTGTAATGTGCAGTGATTTTCCTTTTAAACTAGGTAACTTACTTACTTTTTTCATATTAACTTGTTTGGAATACCAAGAACGTGTACACCGTTATCCCTGAAGCTCTTTTTTAAGCTATTTGTATACAAGACATATAGGTAGACAAACAGTTGAAGATATACCTCGGGAGATTTACCTAAGAAAGAGGATGCACATGCACTTAAGTTCTGAAAATATACGTTCAAATAAAAACGAAAGATATGTATTCAAAATGGAAGATTTCACAGTGAAAGATATACATTGAAATAAAAACGTTAAAATTGTTCTTCTATTTTCTTTTCTTGTTCAAACATACATGCCACGCGAATACTGAATAAACTACCAAACATCTTTCTTTTTTGTTATTAAAATTTTGTCGCAGTGCTTTTAATATGATAAAGAAGTTCTTTGTTTGCACCAAGAGACGCCGAGTATAGTTTAATTGGAGAATGTGATTAAAATTATTCTTGTTGATTTGTTCTGTAGTCGAAGAAAATGATATATGAGCTAATGGAAAATGTTAAAATCAATGATTGCAGTTTCAAAAAAAACATTGTCTGAAAATAATCCTTGCTTTCTTTTCTATTATCAATACATTAACGGCAATAACATAGAAGGACCTTTTTGTTCTGGAATTCCCACTTATTGTGATAAAAGTTCCTTTAGCACTTTTATTTCATTCTGCGTTTTGATTGGCTACGTTACTCGCTATCTAATTTTTGATCAGTGGGTTGGGTTCTATGCTCTGTACATTTGCCAACGCAAAATTAATGTAAATTGCACAATAAACTTAGTTGTTTTATTTATGAATTTATTCTTTTGCTTTTCATCGTTTCTTCTGAGGTTAATACGAAGTTTTTCTTTGTCTTTGAGTTTGGTATTGACATAAACTTTTATGTTGAAATATCCATCAAAAATTAATCTTTTTTGTGAATACACGATAAGGCACAAAATTGCATACCAAATGAAGCTTTTCTGCTACTATCTCACACTTGATATTTCTCTTTCAAAACCATAGACGTTTTAAAAAAATTCTTTATGTTAAATTATATAGGTTAGAAAAGAATAAAGCTCCTCGAGGAGTAGAAAACTGTAGAAAACTGTAGAATCTTCAAAGAAGTTGTGTAGCAACCTTTCTAAATGGATAGTCAGTAGTAATTATTGATATGGTTCAAGATATTTTTCCCGATGGATACACCTATGGATACTGAGATAAGACTTGGCCCTGAATCATGTGATTATTGGCCGTGCATTTTTCATAGAAGAAAACGATTTTGAAGGTCAGACCAGTAAGTTTTCTTTTACTTTATGTTTGTGTATTCCATCATTTGGGAACTGGCGATTTTCCCCCAGGGTAGTTTCCCCTGGAGATGTCGTGGCTGAAGTCATTTGTGGGAGTGTCCCAACCTCCCTTTGCGATACCGAAGCTTAGGTTGTCTTTCATTTTTGAATATGAAATATATTTTGAATACATGTGGCAAAACAGTTAAGTTTGTATATGAAGAATAAGTTTGTAGAGTTATGAGGCTTATAATAGAGTTATGAGGCTTATAATAGAGTTATGAGGCTTATAATAGAGTTATGAGGCTTATAATAGAGTTATGAGTTTGTATAGTAAGGAAAATGGATGCTAAGATAAGATATATGATTGTGAGGTGAAGCATTCGAGAAATTATGTATGGTTAAGAGGATGGTTATTAAGTGCAATTTCTTGTGATAAAGATAAAACGTTTAAAATTATATAACAAAAATACAACCTGCTTTCTTACAAACACGGTGTACTTTGGCAAGAATAAGCTGTTTTTACCTCTAATAGTTTGAACTTTCTTCAGGCTTTCAATATTGCAAATTTTCATGTTTCAACATAAGCAATGTTAAATATACATTAAATAAAAGACAGTATAGGTAACATAATGTCTGATAATATGAAAGTCATTTCCTTTCAGTTGAAACTGCTCGCTGCTGTGGCGTGGCTAGAGTTCGTGCTTGTCGGGCGAAGCATGACTTACTTTTCCGCAGTTTTATTTTTTTTTCAAAGATCAACAATTTGATTTATCAGCAAGAAGTTGTATAAAAGCCTTCCCATCGTTTTTAGAAACTGTGGCAAACATCGCTGTTGTTTGATTTTTTTTCAAAACCTGCTTTTAATGGCGTCCATAATTGTAGAAACTATTATATGTAGATATGACATCATATACCTACAGATAGCGAGAATTATTTGTCATTTGTCACACGCAATTCTCATATTTCTGTTTAGTATTGTTGGGAAACCTCCCTTTCTAAGATGGTTGTTCTCTTATTGTACCTAACAATCCCTGTTGTACCTTGTTGTATCCAAAGCATTGTTGTTCTCTTGTTGTACCCAAATCTATTGGATGAAATTTGATTTGTTCTTACTTGATCCTCGGCAAATTAGGAAGTTTTAATACTACTAAGTCCTTGTCTTGATGTTATTTCCAACATATTTCGCAATGAGGACAAAAAATGTCAGACTTATTAACTGCTAGCGGTATAAGTGTAGTTGGTTCTTCCAACTTTGATAGATGTTTGTCCCTAGCTACTTATCATAGACCTTACGATCATGTGATAATAAAATCGATGTTGGCAGCACTTTGCAAGGCAGGCCAGTGGCTACCAACGGAATCTTGATTCCATGAATTATTTTATCCTGGTTGTTTTATAACCAGCTTTCATCTCTGTGTTTGTTGACATACCTTCTTAGTTTGAATAGAGGTGAATTTTCTTGTGGGGTGCGTACTCCCACAAAATTCTCTAGCACCCCCAAGAAAAATGGTATTAGGTACTGTAGACAATTAATATAACTGTATTAGAGACTATGAAATTGTACAGTACGACTAAGTATATGTAGAACTTCTCATTCCAAAGGCAATTACATATTTTATGCTACCACCATTTGCTATTGAGCATTATCATGCGCACCATTAAAATTGAAATAAATTACTAAACATGCATTCATTAACAAAAACATATAAATTCTTTAAAAAGCTAATAACACTGTCATTGCACAAAGTTCACTAATCTGTAAGCCTAAAAATCCACAATAGCCAGAGGCCCCCCTGGCATCGCTAGCTAGGACAATGATGCACCCCCCTTGAAAATTCTGCACCCCTCCTGTCAAATGATCATTGATCCGCTCCTGTGTTTCAAGTCAAAGTTTTTTTTGCACGAAATATTCCCAAATTCTAAAGAAAGAAATCTACAAAATTCATTTCTTTTGTACTCTCAAATACAAGTACATCTTTATTGCAATCTAACAAATTTTAAGCTTGAAAATGAAAAAATAAACAGTGGAAATGTACGTTACGTACCTAAACTAAAAAAGATTATATCAAAAGCAAAGAGAAAATTTTATCATACCTAGACGTTACATCTATGGTGAACAGTAAGTAGCTATAAAATGAAAGCAGGAAATCTGCAAGATCATAGTTTATTCAAAAAAAAAGTTTTTTCTTCTTTCCACAGTCCAAATCCACTCAGTCCATAACATAGGTTGATCATAGTATGATCAGCGCCTGCAGTTTCCACGGAGATATCGTCCCAGTCTGTTGACGAAATGATGACAGTTGTTCCATAACAGACGATATCTGCCATAACGAGATCCATATCTATTTGCCCAACGTGTAGCATCTTGCAAAGTGCATCTGCTTTTGCCCTTTGCGGCACAGGACCATCTAATGCCACCACTTGCAGGACTTCTACCCTTCGTGCCAGATGAATACTCACTTCCACTTCCCCACTCAAAAATTTTTCCACGGAACAGGAGTAAACTGTGTCTTAACTTCCACGTGTTTTTGACAATTTTACTTCTCTTCCCCCACCAAAACTTTCGAAAGAGCTTTGTACTTCCGTAAAAGAAGTCGTTTGTTGTTGCTAAAACAATAAAATTTTCAATTTTGTCTTTGACAAAAAAATCATCAATGTACGATGTTTCAATGCTATTTAAATTCTGCTGATTTTATTTATTTTTAACAATGTGGTATTTCAAATTTCTTCGCGTAATTTAATGTGGCTCTTACTAGAAAACATAAACATTAATTTCTCTTCAGTATAAAGCTAAACCTTTGAGATTAGTGTTTGTATGTAATTGCTCGTTTCACTGTACGAAGTGATAGCATATATAAGGTCCGTGCAATGACGTTAAATACAAGATGAGAAATACTGACCAGAGGTAGAGCCCTGTGATGGACGGGGGTGTCGACAGCGACGTCTTCTGCGCCACCACCAAGACTCAACAAAAATGCTTTGAATAATAAGCAAGAGAACCACAACGACAAAGATACTCAAACGAGCCATTTTCTGTTTCGATCTATATCAAAATGTATCAAAGAAATATGCTTTTTTGCTTCAAAGGTCCAAAAAACGCGAAAATCCTTTTTGCTGGCACTTGTTGTTTGATTGACTATTTCATAATTTTGATTGGTTGTTGATAAGAGCGCTATTCGGTTGGTAAATTGCTACAGTCACAGAAAGTTGTTCCGTAATGTAGTTTTTAAAGACAAAAAATTTTTATTTACGAAAAATTGTTTGAAAAGATTGAACGATATTATAATCTGCGAGCTTCAAACACAACTACAAATCAATCAGTTATGGTGCTTGGTTATTGAATAAATCTATCAATTGCTTTTTAGTTGCAATGTTAACCTGCCTTAAATCGTTGCTTGTGAAGGATAACCAGGACACGTAGACAACTTCAGGTAAAATAAAATAAAAAGTATTCAGAACATCGGTCTGACTCGGTTCTAACGATGTCGTTGGAATAAAAGCAAAATATCACCTACCTACTTAGTCACTAAACTTTGCTTTATCTTATATCTTATCAACAAATCGAGGTTACAAACTCATTAAATGCCCCTATAGAATCAACTTTAGACAGTTCACTTTATATGTATATTAACAAGCTTAACACCAACCTGGTTCATACGTTTTCTTGTGTGCTTCTTTGACTCTTGCAGTGATCTGACGTTTATGCGTGTTACACTTATATTTAAGTATTTTCTTTGACGCTTACTTCCTTTAGCAGTTTTCTAAAGCCTTACTCTTTCATATCCAATTGGCAAATTTCAAAATAGATATCTATGGACACGTGTGCAAGTGTTTTTGCGTAATTTAATTTTTTTAACATTGTAATTTATAGGCAAGACAAAATTTATTCCACTAAAACATTGACCATTGCTTTTTAGAAATCTGACGCTTATGTTATCGCTCTTAGTAACGAAATGAATATAGCTACATGTGAATTATTGTTAGTTACTTGTACGTAGAATAAATCGCGAGAGACTTTTGAATCAATAAGCTTCCGTTTTCTTATGCAAAACGAAAAGAATTTATTTCCTGTATATGTAGACACAGTCATGAAAACATTTTATTTTATAAAACAGCGATTTCTTTTAAGCAGAAGATGCAGCATATGAAGCTCACATCTTTCGAAGACATGATTCTGAATGCATGAGTAAGCTACATTACATAAATAAATAGTTTAACTACGACATCATTCATTGTGTGGATTTTACGGTGTATTTAGAAGGTCACACCGCTCTTAAATCCTTAAAATCATCTCCTCAAAACTTAAAACGAGATGAAAAAGGAAACCCTGCATAAAGTATGCCTTAAAATTAGAGGCTGGATGTTTGTTATTAAATTCTTCTAGCAGTGTTTTTTTTTAACTTCATATATCTTTTCTTTGTTTGCCTTGAGTGTAATTTCTTTGAAATTGAAATCGAAACTATTCTTGTTCTGTAGTTGAAGTAAACAGTGCGCGCACTGATGGAAAATGTTTCGTGTGAGAGAAAGGTACGAGTTAAATATAAATACTAACAATCGATGATTGTTGTTTCTGTCAAAAAATTTCAGAAGAATTTCTCAAAATATTGCTTACTTTCTTTTTTGTTAATAATAAATTAACGATATTACATATAAAGACTTTTTTGTTCTTGAATTTTCGCTTATTGTAGAAAAAATTATTTTAAATTCTGCATTTTGATTGGCTACGCTACTCCCTTTTAAATTCTGCATTTTGATTGGCTACGCTATTTTCTTTTCTTGTTCAAACATACATGCCACGCTAATACTGAATAAACTACCAAACATCTTTCTTTTTTGTTATTAAAATTTTGTCGCAGTGCTTTTAATATGATAAAGAAGTTCTTTGTTTGCACCAAGGGAAGCCGAGTATGGTTTAATTGGAGAGTGTGATTAAAATCATTCTTGTTGATTTGTTCTGTAGTCGAAGAAAATGATATATGAGCTAATGGAAAATGTTACAATCAATGATTGCAGTTTCAAAAGAAACATTGTCTGAAAATAATCCTTACTTTCTTTTCTATTATCAATACATTAACGGCAATAACATAGAAGGACCTGTTTGTTCTGGAATTCCCACTTATTGTGATAAAAGTTCCTTAAGCACTTTTATTTCATTCTCCATTTTGATTGGCTACGTTACTCGCTATCCAATTTTTGATCAGTGGGTTGGGTTCTATGCCCTGTACATTTGCCAATGCAAAAATAATGTAAATTGCACAATGAGCTTGTTTGTCGCATTTGAAACTTTTTAACATGCCACGATGTACACTGCTAATCCCTGAAGCCATCACCGTAAAACTTTAAAGTGACATAAAAAGCCAGCATGCGATATGCATGGTTTCGAAAATTACAAATGGAGGTGAAATTTATTTTGGTTTCGAGAATGGAGACTTCCTATTACATGATTGTATGACCTTTTACTGGTCAGAAACAGTTCAAATTGAACAAAAAATTATTGCGTTTCTCGACAGAAGATCAGTCAAGGACACAATAGCTGCCACATATCGATAAACACACAGATAGAACTTTATTTAAACATGCTTATAACGTCAGTCAAAACTGGTTTCCACTTTGGCTGCGAATACGCAACAAAATTTTCAGTTATAATACTTTGATGACCCAACAAACTAACTAAACTAGATGGAACAATTATTTACATTTGTTTGTAATGTGCAGTGATTTTCCTTTTAAACTAGGTAACTTACTTACTTTTTTCATATTAACTTGTTTGGAATACCAAGAACGTGTACACCGTTATCCCTGAAGCTCTTTTTTAAGCTATTTGTATACAAGACATATAGGTAGACAAACAGTTGAAGATATACCTCGGGAGATTTATCTAAGAAAGAGAATGCACATGCACTTAAGTACTGAAAATATACGTTCAAATAAAAACGAAAGATACGTATTCAAAATGGAAGATTTCACAGTGAAAGATATACATTGAAATAAAAACGTTGAAATTGTTCTTCTATTTTCTTTTCTTGTTCAAACATACAGGCCACGCGAATACTGAATAAACTACCAAACATCTTTCTTTTTTGTTATTAAAATTTTGTCGCAGTGCTTTTAATATGATAAAGAAGTTCTTTGTTTGCACCAAGGGAAGCCGAGTATGGTTTAATTGGAGAGTGTGATTAAAATCATTCTTGTTGATTTGTTCTGTAGTCGAAGAAAATGATATATGAGCTAATGGAAAATGTTACAATCAATGATTGCAGTTTCAAAAGAAACATTGTCTGAAAATAATCCTTACTCTCTTTTCTATTACCAGTACATTAACGGCAATACCATAGAAGGACCTGTTTGTTCTGGAATTCCCACTTATTGTGATAAAAGTTCCTTTAGCACTTTTATTTCATTCTGCGTTTTGATTGGCTACGTTACTCGCTATCTAATTTTTGATCAGTGGGTTGGGTTCTATGCTCTGTACATTTGCCAACGCAAAATTAATGTAAATTGCACAATAAACTTAGTTGTTTTATTTATGAATTTATTCTTTTGCTTTTCATCGTTTCTTCTGAGGTTAATACGAAGTTTTTCTTTGTCTTTGAGTTTGGTATTGACATAAACTTTTATGTTGAAATAGCCATCAAAAATTAATCTTTTTTGTGAATACACGATAAGGCACAAAATTGCATACCAATTGAAGCTTTTCTGCTACTATCTCACACTTGATATTTCTCTTTCAAAACCATAGACGTTTTAAAAAAATTCTTTATGTTAAATTATATAGGTTAGAAAAGAATAAAGCTCCTCGAGGAGTAGAAAACTGTAGAATATTCAAAGAAGTTGTGTAGCAACCTTTCTAAATGGATAGTCAGTAGTAATTATTGATATGGTTCAAGATATTTTTCCCGATGGATACACCTATGGATACTGAGATAAGACTTGGCACTGAATCATGTGATTTTTGGCCGTGCATTTTTCATAGAAGAAAACGATTTTGAAGGTTAGACCAGTAAGTTTTCTTTTACTTTATGTTTGTGTATTCCATCATTTGGGAACTGGCGATTTTCCCCCAGGGTAGTTTCCCCTGGAGATGTCGTGGCTGAAGTCATTTGTGGGAGTGTCCCAACCTCCCTTTGCGATACCGAAGCTTAGGTTGTCTTTCATTTTTGAATATGAAATATATTTTGAATACATGTGGCAAAACAGTTAAGTTTGTATATGAAGAATAAGTTTGTAGAGTTATGAGGCTTATAATAGAGTTATGAGGCTTATAATAGAGTTATGAGGCTTATAATAGAGTTATGAGTTTGTATAGTAAGGAAAATGGATGCTAAGATAAGATATATGATTGTGAGGTGAAGCATTCGAGAAATTATGTATGGTTAAGAGGATGGTTATTAAGTGCAATTTCTTGTGATAAAGATAAAACGTTTAAAATTATATAACAAAAATACAACCTGCTTTCTTACAAACACGGTGTACTTTGGCAAGAATAAGCTGTTTTTACCTCTAATAGTTTGAACTTTCTTCAGGCTTTCAATATTGCAAATTTTCATGTTTCAACATAAGCAATGTTAAATATACATTAAATAAAAGACAGTATAGGTAACATAATGTCTGATAATATGAAAGTCATTTCCTTGCAGTTGAAACTACTCACTGCAGTGGCGTAGCTAGAGGTCGTGCTTGTCGCACGAAACATGACTTACTTTTCCGCAGTTTTATTTTTTTTCCAAGATCAACAATTTTATTTGTCAGCAAGAAGTTGTATAAAAGCCTTCACATCGTTTTTAGAAACTGTGGCAAACATCGCTGTTGTTTGATTTTTTTTTCAAAACCGGTTTTTAATGGCGTCCATAATTGTAGAAAGTATTATATGTAGATATGACGTCATATACCTACAGATATCGAGAATTATTTGCAGGTAGTTGACCCATCAAAAGCGACATTGCTTACGTAGTGAATAATAATACCTATTACTGCAATTGTTTATTTTGGTCATGGAAGGGGTTGAGCAAAATCAATTGACCATTTCTTCTGCCCCCTTTGATAATATAGTAGCGAGGCTCGATCGTTTTCTTCGCAAAATATTGGTGAGCAGAAAGGCATGTAATTTTCTGAATTTAGCATATGAGCACGACCTTGTTATTTCCCTGAATTTCTGCCATTGTTTTGACGAAAGAATTCGTTACACGATACGTTCATGCATACTTAAATTACTGCTTGTCTATCATTTTTAAATACTGATTGTAATAGGTGGCCTTTTTAGACAATACAACGTTTCTTATTTTCCAGAAACGATGATTTCGTAAAACAACATTAACGCTTTTTTGACTGGCCACTTCTACAGTAAATGTAGCTACACAAACAAAATATTTTTTACCAAATCCAATGTATAAATAAAAGAGAGCGAAACTTTAAAATTTACTTTAAAAATTTGTCATATTAACAGTGGCAAAGCCAGCCCGATTATTTACTCCTACGGAATATTTTTTCAGTAAAATTATTTGGATTTATATTTAGAAAATTTCTTCGTTGTTTTTTCAGTGAATGAAAGTAGAAATTTTTGCTTTATAAGAGTATGCTTCATTACTGAATAAACTTAGGATTATACTGCTGTTCTGTTTCTAATCCTGTTGATTGATTAAATAGCTTTTTGTGATGAAGTATAAATCGATGAAAAATCCACATAAACAAAGCCAGACACATGTGCGAAAATTTTCGTAGTATTTTCAAAAAAAATTATCTTAGATAATGGAATGAAGACTTCGTTATTTTCAATTTTTGGTGTTAACTATCCAAAAAAATGTAAGCAAATAATTAAGTAAAATATGTGAAATTGTTTCATACGCGTTACTTGACGTATATCACCTTCACAGGCCGTTTTATTTGAGTTCCATCAGGTTTTTTGACGAATTGATATCCATCTGGATTGTCGTACTCACAACGATAGCAAGATTTAAGTCGACCGTAGGCTGCCTTTAATTTCGGTTTAGTTATTTGACCAGAGTCGTTTTCAGGACCAAATACAGCACATAAAGCTTGGAAAAAGAAGGTGGAATACACCCAACTGGTAGTCATGATCAACATAAGGAATTGACCCAAGATAAGATAGGATACCGTATCTCCTAGAGCATCAATAGCACCTTAAAAGAACAAAAAATTTGTAAGGTACAAAGAATTACATTTTCAAAGCCTTTGTCTAGTGAAATAACAACATAAAAGTTGACAGAAGTATCTCTGTCTCAAAGAAATAAAGAATGTATTTCATTCTAAACCATTTAAAAACCGAAAACTGACCTGTAAGAAAGGTAGTAAAGCTGCCATCGTCACAGCTGAGCTCATTTCAGTGATGGAAAAGAACACTCTATCTTTCCTGTTTGACTTATTTTCGGCAAGTACAAAAGCTACCCCGTAATGTAGCGCAAAATCCACCGCCAATCCAACGGAACAGGATAATGTGAGCGATTCCAAGATACTCAATTCCCAACCAACTAAAACCAGTGAGCCAGTAGTTACTGCCAAGATAAACAGGATGGTAATAAATGCAAACACACTTATGAACAAATTCCCAGTGGTAATCAACATAACTGCAAAAGATACACCAAGTGAGATACTCATCGATACAAAAATACCGTTGGATAAACTTCTCTGCAAATCGTAGAACTCTAATGTACTAATGTACCATCCCCGAGAAGAAGGAGGACTTTGATGGAGTTCGTTATCAATCCATGATCTTGAAGTGTCCCAAAATTTTTTAGCTGGATCGAACGAAGTGGTGAACCCGACGTTACTTACAAAATTTAAAGTCATCGCTTTGACATTTTCTTCAGAATCATATAGTGGAGAACCTTCCGACATGAAGCCACTTCCCAATTTTACATCTTTAAGTTTCTTACAGTGTCTTTGCAACAGGCATTTATTAAAGACAGTAGAATTGTAAGGAAATTTCGTATTCTCGCAACATAACCGATTTTCTTTAGTGCAATTAGCTGTCTCCATGTCGTCAAAGAATTCTTCCAAAAAAGATTTCTTGCCAAAATCCAACACATACGGCTGCTTTTTCAATCGTGATATAAACCCTCTGATCCATTCCTGACTTTCTTTTTTGGCTAGGTCAAAATCACCATCCCACGTGATCGGGCCAAAGCTTACAGGATTCAACTTGTCACCTTTGTCGATTGGTTTTGTACCCCAGATGAGACTAATGGGAAAGCCTGCACGTTTGGTTGACTCAAAATGAAAGTAGTTGCGTATTTTAAACGGGTATTTCTCAAGCTCATGAGACTTTTGAAACATTTGAAACACTGGCGATGAAGGTGGTTTGAGTTTAGGCTCCACAAACGTAACGATGAATCCTCCCACAGCAACAAGAGAGAGGAAAAAAACCCAAAAATATCGAAGTCTGATGACAAGATTAGGCAAGATTTTTTTGTGAAAATTGTGATGCCACAATACGAGTTTGGCAACGATTGCATTTATATCGCAACATCGTTTAAAGATGGTATTTAAATGGTCACATAACTTATCAGGGAGACCACGTTTACGTGGTTTAGAATGCACTATAATGACGGCGGCTGGGTACCACGTGAGCATTAAAAGAAGCATGCATATCATTGAAGTTCCAGCGTAGATTGCAAACAGACGAATAGGTGTGATTACAGACGTTAGCCCCGTAAAGAATGCAGCTGCTGTTGTAAAATTTGTAACAAACATTGAAGCAGCTGCGTGTTTCAACGTGGTTACTGTAAGATTAACGAGATCTTTACGTGTCAAATCTTTATCTGTGGAGGGCACATCTCTACCTGTTTCTTGCTTCAGTTTATCTTTGGCTTCACTCCAAAGATCAACGTAGAGAAACGCGTTGTCAGCGGCAATACCGACCATGAGAACGAATGTGAAGATATTCAAATTTGGAAAATAATCCAGATCAAGGACAATGGTATAAATGAAGTATGCTATGAGTAAACTACACTGCATAATCATTCCAATAAGAACAGTCAGTATGAGAGAATGTGTATAAAGCCAAAGAATGACCATAATAAGATTCATTGCGATAGAGGGAAGATACAACTGAATGAGACCAACTTCAACGAAAATCTGCATTTTTAGTTGACTCAACTCGTAGCTAGTCAATTTCACATTTCCATCTGTCATTTCTTTATCTTTCAAGTTCGACTTATAAACATTTTTTTGAAATTTTTTATTTTCGGCCATGGGAACAATCACCAAACTGTATCGCAGAAAAAGATTTTGGGTGTTAGACAAAAAGCCTTTGTCAGTCAAGTAATGAAGTATGTTATATACAGCATTATACTTGCTGCAATTTTCAGGGACAGATTTACATTTTTTCATGTCAACTTGATTCGTCTCAAAGTTCCAACAATCTGGTTTAAGTTTTTCTTTGCGGTAATATGTGGAACAGTTTTTAAGCAAAGTAGCTACTTCATCTACTTGGTGGTCTTGAATGTCAGAGCATGAAGCAACATTTGTTAAAATGGCAACGTAATGACCAACAGACCAACTTGGACAACAATGGCGCGTTCCATTAACCTTATGACAAAGATCATTAAAACCTTTGTAAGTGCGTATGGCTTTATGTTCAAGATGACATATTGACTTTAAATTGTCAGCTGATAACAAACTCTCGCCATTCGTAGTGGTAAACACAAGTTTAACGATGAGTCGACCCTGACTGGTTGTCTGTTCCTTTGTGCATACAGCGGGTACGTCATCGATTTCTCTTCCTTTCATTGGATTCTTTATGCCGCAGATTGCGGGAAAACGTGAAACTTCTCCTTCCTTCTCACTGTTGATAAGATTTGCCTGACTGCGCCAGCGATCACTTATCTCCGTACCACGAACTTCGAAACCCTGAAAATTTGTGATGAAAGATAAAACTTTTTATACAATAACCATACACACAATAACCATACATACAAAAACCATACATACAATAACCATACACACATTAACCATACACTCAATAACCATACATACAATAACCATACATACAATAACCATACACACATTAACCATACACTCAATAACCATACATACAACAACCATACATACAATAACCATACACTCAATAACCATACATACAAAACCATACATACAATAAACATACACATTAACCATACACTCAATAACCATACATACAATAACCATACACACAATAACCATACACACAATAACCATATACACAATAACCATACATACAATAACCATACACACAATAACCATACATACAATAACCATACACACATTAACCATACACACAATAACCATACATACAATAACCATACACTCAATAACCATACATACAAAAACCATACATACAATAACCATACACACATTAACCATACACTCAATAACCATACATATAACCATACACACAACCATACACACAATAACCATACATACAATAACCATACACAACCATACACATAATAACCATACATACAATAACCATACACACAATAACCATACACACAATAACCATACACACAATAACCATAAACACAATAACACATACAATAACCATACAAAAATAACCATACACACAATAACCATACATACAATAACCATACATACAATAACCATACACACAATAACCATACACACAATAACCATACATACAATAACCATACACACAATAACCATACACACAATAACCATACACACATAACCATACACAATAACCATACACACAATAACCATACACACAATAACCATACACAATAACCATACATACAATAACCATACATACAATAGCCATACATACAATAACCATACATACAATAACCATACACACAATAACCATACACACAATAACCATAAACACAATAACCTTACATGCAATAACCATACAAAAAATAACCATACACACAATAACCATACATACAATAACCATACATACAATAACCATACACACAATAACCATACACAATAACCATACATACAATAACCATACACACAATAACCATACACACAATAACCATACACACAATAACCATACACACAATAACCATACACACAACCATAAGCACAATAACCATACATACAATAACCATACATACAATAGCCATACATACAATAACCATACAATAACCATACACACAATAACCATACACACAATAACCATACACACAATAACCATACATACAATAGCCATACATACAATAACCATACATACAATAACCATAAACACAATAGCCATACATACAATAACCATACATACAATAACCATACATACAATAACCATACACACAATAACCATACACACAATAACCATACATACAATAACCATACACACAATAACCATACATACAATAACCATACACACAACCATACACACAATAACCATACACACAATAACCATACATACAATAACCATACACATAATAACCATACATACAATAACCATACACACAATAACCATACACACAATAACCATACACACAATAACCATAAACACAATAACCTTACATGCAATAAACATACAAAAAATAACCATACATACAATAACCATACACACAATAACCATAAACACAATAACCATACATACAATAACCATACATACAATAGCCATACATACAATAACCATACATACAATAACCATAAACACAATAACCATACATACAATAACCATACATACAATAGCTATACATACAATAGCCATACATACAATAACCATACATACAATAACCATACACACAATAACCATACACACAATAACCATACATACAATAACCATACACACAATAACCATAAACACCATAACCATACATACAATAACCATACATACAATAGCCATACATACAATAACCATACATACAATAACCATACACACAATAACCATACACACAATAACCATACACACAATAACCATACACACAATAACCATAAACACAATAACCATACATACAATAACCATACATACAATAGCCATACATACAATAACCATACATACAATAACCAGAAACACAATAACCATACATACAATAACCATACATACAATAGCCATACATACAATAACCATACATACAATAACCAGAAACACAATAACCATACATACAATAACCATACATACAATAGCCATACATACAATAGCCATACATACAATAACCATACATACAATAACCATACTTACAAACTCATACATTAACAAAATGCGTGTCAAAATAATCACAAATTGCGAACAAACGAAACTGTTTTGCTTTTGTAATCACTTTTATGAAACTATACTTACAAAGAAAGGATCGGTTAAGTCGGGTAGAGGCTTGGCACCCAATTGTGGAACGAAACTGAAAATTGCAAAGATCGGAAGAATTACTGCAATGACGACAAAAAAAACGTAAGGATGATCCACGATAAACGTAGCATATCTAAAAAACATAGTATGAACGTAATTCAATGCAAAAAGCTACAGACAAAGTACAGAAATGTAAACACTAAAACTTTATACGGTAGCACACTAAATTGGCATTGGACCAGATGGCAAAAATGTGCTTAAGAAATTATTTTTGCTGCACACTTTTGATAACTAATAATTTCTTTTATATTGCTATAGAAAATAATACAAAAGCAATTCATCAATGTGACCCCAAGCGATAAGTGTGCACAATAAGCAGAAATTTACGTTTTATTCACGGTGACGTCATACATAGTTATCAAAACCAAAAAATTTGCAAACTCAATTCTCAGTGTCATTAGACTGATCAGTATGAGAAATACCACAGGCAGACCTACCAACTCCACCAGTTGTATCTTCTGTCACCTAAATCTTGAAGAAAATCTTCAAGTACAAGACAAGACCTCAAAATGCCGAATCAGCATCATGGTAAAAACCATTCGTTGTTACGTCATTAACGAATGACTGACGGTGCAATAAACTTTTTTAGTCATCTCATACTAAACGATATTTGGTTACTGAGAATTTTTGGAATTTGCTAATTTTTTGGTTTTGATAACTATCGATGATATCATCGCGAATAAAACGTAAATTTCTGCTTATTGTGCACACTTGTCGCTCAGACCACATTGATGACTTGCTTTTGCATTATTTACTATGGTACGATGAAAGAAATTAATAGTTTGTTGGATGTGTGCAGCGAAAGTTTTGTTTTTGAGCACAATGGTCCATGGCCTATATATCTTCACTGCCATTTCATAGGGAGGTCTCAAGTGTTTGAAAGGAATCCTAGACTAAATCGCTCTTGATTAAAATCGCTCTTGCTCTACAACAGGCTGCAGTCTTATAATTGTTAAACATCCGGCTTGCATAATCAGACCAAAGCGTTGATAAGCTTTGCCTCGATGAGCAGGTGCACATCAGTTAACGAGATTGCAATGCAAATGAAATGAAATTATGAATTTTCATTGTAATATCCATGACAACAACGATAGCCCCAAAACAATTACTTATTATTTCTCATTTGCTTATACTTGTGTACGAATTTCTGTTTGTAATCTTGCCCTTCGCGTACCAAATCACCAGGAGTATTAGCACAGACAAGCTACGACACAATGTCTTCCAATAGTTATGTTGTTATTGAGTGTGCTTTTAGAATACATGCGAACGTCTCTTAGACTATTGATACACACAATTTACTCCAACTGTTACATTTCGTGATGATATGCAACTAGAAGAGCGTCTCTTTTGAAGTGTTTCTGTACGATACAATACAAAACAAAAGTTAACTGTTGTAATGCATCAATTTAGCTCTACAACAACGAAAACGAAAATACTCTACCATGCATTAAGTGAGAGAACTATCAAGAAACCAATAGTGCTCTTCAATTAAAAAAACTGAAGGTAAAAGGCTCATATTTAACGATATATAACAACTTTTCTATAGCCCGTCTTGTATTTATAATTTACGTATTCATAATGTATGAAAAATATTAATTGTTAAAAATATATATAACTAAAGCAGAACTACATCAATATTCTAGGGTTTATAACACTAAAGGTACAAACAACAATTACTTCTTCGAATTTAATACCTGACTAAAAGAGATTTCTTCTCGGATTGAAAATCCTTTTCCGTTTCAAGAATGGCAATTTCTTCCTCAGAAGAACCGTCTTTTCTGGTCGTCAATTCATCATCACTCTGACGATCCTCATCAAACTTGGACTTCTCAGGAACAAATGTTTCTTTCTCTTCACTCATTTTCTATCTGACTGACGGAGTCAAAACACCACAGCTAACTGAAAAAAAACTTACTCGAGAAAAACCTCCCCAGGTACCTCAAATGTCCAAATAATATTTCATATATCTTTTATGGATTTGAAAGCAATTCTACCCGAGAATACCTGCTAACTATATAGTTGTCATGCAAAGGTATCAGCTGCTTGCATTTTTTAATGAACCTTTTTCGGTTTCAGAATCGAACACCTGTGATGTAAATGAATGATAAGAATCATCAGCCATGAAAGGATGTACCCAAATGCCTGCTGTAGCTATTACGTTTGAACAAAGTTTCAATTCAGATTGTCTAGAATTTTTGTTTGGTACGAACGACATTACAAGTGGTAATAAATGAACGTCTGGGAGCAGCTTGCTTTTGACAAAAAGTTTTCCAAATTATGCTGGTTAAAAAACCTCAACTATTTCCCAACTATACAAAAGCCATAAAATGTGGTAGTTGTGGACATTTTTTATGCTAAGTCACATGCTCCTCGCATTAAAAGCGGAAATTTCATTTTACAACGACGAATAGCTGCTGATGAATTGTTTTAAATAATTAAATGCCCTAAGGATAGCAACAATCTAATGGATCTGGATGCTATAAATGGGCAGCGATGTGACAAAAGAGCAAGCTTGAATGCTGTCTAGACAAGTAATATAATCATGCAGTTAGCCACTATTGCAGCAGTGTTTTAAATAGTTGCAGGCGATAGCCGTCTGTCTAAGACTTAGAGGACCTTGTCGGCGATTTGAGATTTCAAAGCGAAGGAAAATGGCGAATAAATGTATTTTCCCATGATGTAATTAACAGAAATATATCTAGATATTATTGTGACATCGACTATCTCTTCCTTTATTAATATTTCCGCATTTATTCTTTTCAAATTTCGAGTTGAAATAGTGCACCCGCATTTTCTGTGGCTACCTGCATATTATTGACTTTTTTTTCAGACGGTCTATAATATGAAAATAGCTGGCAAAAATTTTTTTCTACAAAAATGGCCTACAAAATTTGACATATTTTCACAGCGTTATTTCGAACATTGACCAACCTTTGAAATCACTTTTATACGCGGTACACATTTTTCCATGTCATGCAGGCGTCTTCCGTAGTACCTTAAGTAAATTGATTATGAAGATGCTATCTGTCATAATTTATAAATCCCGTACAGAAACAGTTGTCAACCGATATTTAAGTTTCATAAACAGTTATATTGTTTAACCGCTTCGAACAAGAAATGCAATGGACTAACTTAGCTTATTTCCTCAGAGAGGGAACCATAATTTAAAACAAGTCATTTAACAATTGCCCTCGTTTACTAACAGTAACCGGTCACAAACCAAACAACGTGAGATATCCGATGCTACTAACTACACTAGTACATCTCAATGCCAGAGCTTGTAGCTTATCATGTTACTAAAGTTACGGAGAAAACTTTTTTGTAATTAGAAATAATTAACGACACAGCAAGCTCTGTTTACTGTTCGCTTTTCAAGTTTGGTTTGAATGTCTTTGTGCCTCGTTCATTATATACACTTTATTACTGTCTTTATTATTTTTGAAAGAAATATAGGAGTATTTTTCTTTAGTTACTGCAGCTATAGACAAAATTTCTTTAAAAGACTCACCCACTTTATATGGATAGATCACCAGGTCAACCCAACTCAAATTCTTCTATGCGATAAGAACGCCGGTTGCATAAATCTACAACACGCTAGTCGAGCCAAACATTCTTTGAAATAATAAATATTGTATTTTTAATTGAAAGATTATAGTCACCGAGAGCATTCTTGTCATATTTAAGATGAATTGAAGTATGCCTGTACATTAGAATATCACAACACGTTACCTTGTTCATTGGGCCAATCGCAATGCTCGCCTATTTTGTCAACCAATGATAATTCTCATACAGATAATTCTGATGGGGGTGGACCTGCAGTTATGATTTTCTTTATTACATTTTTCAAGATTTTCGTTCTCCACGAGCCAGTTCTGAGAGCATTTCGTCACCTTTAAAGAGTTTGTTGTTGGGTGAATATTTCTAAAACGATCTCTAGTTAAAATGATAGTGTGGCTCAGCAAACTTGAAAAGCAATCAAAGAAATACGTGTCATTTGAAATTTACCGCTCTATTTGCATAAAAAGAAACGGAAATATCAGAGATAGCGATCATTTATACATCACGATCACAATGTAAATATTAATTTATTTAAGACTTTACAAGTCTTGTTGAATTGGAATAGTTGAAGTTGATTCAAAAAATCTTTACAAAAGTTTATATCTTTGCAGAACTTTTAGAGCATGACAAATATTCAGTTTATTATATTAACGAATTTCCTTTAACCACGGCTAGCAATCGGTATCTTTACCATAAACGTATGTTTTTGTATTTTAATCTTATGTTTGTTAAATACAAACGCACAATGTCAAAGCACAATGTCAACGTCTTGAATTTGATCTGATTCAAGCTGAAATTATTTTAGTGAATAAATCGTCTAGCGAAATAATCAAGAGAAACAGAAAACGCTAAGTAATCAATGAGCAAGCAGTTCAGGAAAATCTGCATGTTTAGTAGTTCTGTTTTACATGCATAAATCACACAGTAAACAAAAACTAAAATGAAAACCATCAAAATACACCGCTGGCTTATATTCATGTATTATTCCGCATGTTCAAGTCTAGTATCCAAAACATCTCCATCCCCAAAAAAATATTCCATATCCTTTGTTAAACTCCATTAGCTTGCTCATGTTACTTTTATACTCCTGGTGTAGTCTTAATTTTTGATTGTGTTAATCTTAGTGCTGGTGTTAGTCTTAGTGATTGTGTTAATCTTAGTGCTGGTGTTTGTGTTAGCGATTGTGTTAATCTTAGTGCTGGTGTTAGTCTTAGTGATTGTGTTAATCTTAGTGCTGGTGTTTGTGTTAGCGATTGTGTTAATCTTAGTGCTGGTGATGGTCATTATGATTGTGTTTTTCTCAGTGATAGTATAATCTTAGTACTAGTGTTAGTCTAAGTGACAGTGTTGGTCCTAGTGCTTGTGCATGTTGTTGGTCTAAGTGATAGTGTTAGTCTTAGTGTCAGTGTTAGTATTAGTCTTAACGCTAACTACTGTTCGTCCTAGTTAGTCTTAGTGCATGCTGTTGTTATTTATAGTGCTAGTTTAGTGTTATGATGTTTTCCTAGTGAAAATATCGTAATGCTGGTGTTCGCCTAAGTGATAGCTTCTGCTTGTCTTAATGCTAGTGTTCGTTTTAACGTTTGTGCGAGTGATGCTTGTATTTGTGTTACTCTTGGTGTAGTGTTAGTGATAGTGTTAGTGCGTTAATAGTCTTGGTTTTGCTGTTAGCCTTTATGAATGGTGCTGGTGTTAGTTTCGTTCTTAGTGTTGGTCGTTGTGTTATTCTTATTGCTTGTGTTACAGTTTATAGATTTTACAGTATATTTTGATGTCAATGATGGGGGGAGAGTATTTTGATAATTTTGCTGTTTCTTTTTATGAGAATGATAAGAGAGGAAAATAGTATATCCTCTCTTGTCTTTGCCTATTTTCTCTTCTCTTTGGCTCTTCTCTACTGTCCTTGCCTGTCCTTGCGACTCTTCGCTTCTTTTTGCCCTTTTCTCTTCTATTCGTGCTTCTCTTTTTGCCCTTTTCTCTTCCATTCGTCTCTTTTTGCCCTTTTCTCTTCTATTCGTGCTTCTCTTTTTGCCCTTTTCTCTTCCATTCGTGCTTCTCTTTTTGCCTCGCCCTTTTGTAGGTTTTGTTGTATCAACAAATGTTTATTAGATTGGTAGGAGCACAACCAGTGTGGCACTTTTGCATATATGTAGTATAAAACTATAAATATATTCGTTTGAATATAGTTTGATAATGTGCAAAAATCGCTGTTTGTCACAGATAAATAACTATTTTATGCATTTGATTTTTAGATATTTGGACGAACAAATTGAAAACAGTTGAACTTGGTTTGAAAGAAAAGAAATGGACGACAAAATGAAATAATTAATAAAAAACAACCGATGGATGAAAGAGAACGTAAAAACAGTCGTCGATTATTAGAATGTTTATTTATTCGTACAATCAGCTCCTTCACGTTTTTTCGTACTTATCAATTTCTAAACTATGCCGTAGAACGTTGCTTTGTCTTTGCACGGCTTACTGTTGACAACAATTTACCATCTATTGGTGTCATATTGGACGTAAAACATTGATAAAACTCATTTTGCGGGATTTTCCTTTTTATCGTTGTGTTTCCTCGCCAAATGCACCAATTTTGGCTAAATTGGATCAAACTTTATTAGCAAAATGGAGTCAATGATAATCAGTCAATGAAAATGCATTCAATGCAGTCAATAATAAAAATTATAATAATGAAACGAAATGTAGAAATACTTTACTTGAAAAAAAATAACAAACGGATTTAATTTTATTGTTGCCCAAATTTGACTGTATCAGTTAATATGATTTATGATTAAGTTATGTGATTATTTAGGCAAACCCATCTCTAATCGATGTTGCGTAGCAATTTTACACAAAATCTTGTCATCAGACTTCAATATTTTCGGTTATTTTCCTCTCTCTTATTGCTGTGGGAGGGTTCATCGTTACGTTAATGGAGCCTAAACTCAAACCACCTTCATCGCCAGTGTATGAAATGTTTCAAAAGTCTCATGAGCTTGAGAAATACCCGTTTAAAGTTCCCAACTACTTTCATTTTGAGTCCACCAAACGTGCAGGCTTTCCCATTAGTCTCATCTGGGGAACAAAACCAATCTACAAAGGTGACAAGTTCAATCCTGTAGCTTTGGCCCGATAACGTGAGATGGTTGTTTTGACCTAGCTAATAAAAGAAAGTCAGGAATGGATCAGAGGATTTACATCACCATAAAAGAGGCAGCCGTATGTCATGGATTTTGCAAGAAATCTTTTTGGAAGAATTCTTTGACGACATGGAGACAGCTAATTGCACTAAAAATCGGTTATGTTGCGAGAATACAAAATTTCCTTTACAATTCTGTCTTTAATGCCGGCTTTGGTCACAAAAGTGCCCTATGATCGTTACACAAATGCTCAACAAACATTGCAAATGCCATACATACAAAATGTCTCAAATGTTACGAAAATGCCCGACAATGTGAACTATAGTCTTTTGCATAAAAATTCGTGAAATATAGTCTTTTGCATGAAAATTCGTGAACTATAGTCTATTGCATGAAAATTCGTGAACTATAGTCGTTTGCATGAAAATTCGTGAACTATAGTCTTTTGCATTAAAATTCGTGAACTATAGTCTTTTGCATGAAAATTCGTGAACTATAGTCTTTTGCATGAAAATTCGTGAACTATAGTCTTTTGCATGAAAATTGGTAAACTATAGTCTTTTGCATAAAAATTGGTGAACTATAGTCTTTTGCATGAAATTTCGTGAACTAAAGTCTTGCATGAATATTATATTCGTGAACAATAGTCTTTTACATGAAAATTCGTGAACTAAAGTCTTGCATGAATATTATATTCGTGAACAATAATCTTTTCCATGAAAATTCGTGAAGTATAGTCTGTTGCATGAAAATTTGTGATCTATAGTCTTTAGCATGAAAATTCGTCATCTATAGTGTTTTGCATGAATATTCGTGAAGTATAGTCTTTTGAATGAAAACTGGTGAACTATAGTCTTTTGCATAAAAATTGGTAAAGTATAGTCTTTTGCATAAAAATTGGTGAACTATAGTGTTTTGCATGAAAACATCGTGAACTATAGTCTTTTGCATGAAATTTCTTGAACTATAGTCTTTAGCATGAAAATTCGTCATCTATAGTGTTTTGCATGAAT